TCATCATCATCATCATCATCATCATCATCATCATCATCATCATCATCATCATCATCATCACAAATGCGGCACCCATCTGCCCCAATTCACTTGTTCGTATGCTGATTGCGGCATCCATCTCAACGCCGCAAAAGATTCTACAAGAACATAGAGCCTGGACACGCCATAAATGATAGCAACAACAATCGACGCCGGAATCCTCCACCAAGGAACAATCACTCCGTCGGTCACCTTGCCCTTCTTAGCTCTTCTATGGGCCAAGAACTCTTCGAAGTGGTCCATGAAGAACCAAGCGACAACACAACATATCATGACGATGGACGAGATTCGCCACAGCAATCGTTCCATGTTGGTCGCAAGAGGTATGTTCCATGCCGCAATATGGAGACCAGCATAAGCAAGCGTGGTGATGGCGCAGACAATTGTGACCGGCTTCTCCATCACCGGCAGGCGGTCATTGCGGATTCGGTTTGCGTCGTACGGTTTGCGTCCCCAGAAATGCCCATATAGGTCAGTGAATGAAGCGGTAAATGTCGGGAGACCATCGTCGATGATTGTCAGCTTGTTGTACGGCGCCAGAAGCCTGCCATTGTTATCGACCACTTTGCTCGTTTGATGTCCTGCGATATACTCCTCCAGCAGATCTCGCTGCTTGCCGCTCCGCTCGACGAATTTCAAGTCGATCTCTTCAATCGCATAGGCTGGCATCTCGAGCACAACAAAAGTTTGCACGTCGTATGGTTTCCGATACCACGCGATGAAAGTACCCAAGGTACAGACCACAAATGATAAAGTTGTGATCTCCAGCGTGGTCGTTTCCAGTTTTTGAATGGTCCGGGCGATCACCTGTATGGCGAGCCAACCCACTTGCATGATGGCCAAAAATTTGGCCAAGCTGTCGGACTTGCTGCGGTCATTGATTTCCAAGGGGGTTGTCCTGGGCACATCGATGTATCTCTTCCGAACGAGGTGGTTGATGTGTTTGGCGGTGACAATATACACCTGGCCGGTACTGTCCCTCAGCCGGAAGCCACCCATGTTTGCATAGAATGCATGCCGCAACGTCCACCTTTCATCATATTTCCTTTTTTTCTCCTCTTCGAAGGTTTCGGATCGACGCAGCTTCGGTCGGGTATTGTCTGCCTTCGCCAAGTCTGCAGAATCTATCTCCGGGTTGTTGGGACCGATCAATTCGATTGTCGGGCTAGCCGTGGATTTTGCGTTCAACCTCTCGCCAGCCTCCATTTCGTGCGCCTCGTCGAGCTCGACAATGATCTCTCTCATTTCGCGCCAACAAGCACGAGCCAAAGACCACTGGCCGGCGGCCAGCAGTAAGACGATTTCAGGAACCATGCAACAATTTCCAACTCCGAGCACGTTAGTTGAGCACTCAGCAGGAAAAAGAAAGGGACGTACCCCATTTCATCCTTCTCAGCCATAAAGCCAGGGTTGTGTCTGTATCAGGCGGAGCGGGTACGTTGAGATGAACGGCCGTCCAAACCTGGGCCTCCTTTTAGCACTGATGAATTGCGTCGGGGCACACACAGCTTCCGGCAAAGCTCTTTGGGACACCGACGCACGTTTGGGAGCGTACGTACGCATATGAAGACGGTGAACAAGCATGACCAGATGATATCCATTGTGCCTCGCTGGTTGGGAGAATCCTGCCAGGTGATAAAGTCATCGGATTGATCGTTGTCTTGTTGCGCATGGCCGAATGTCGAAAGCAGCAGCATGAAAGGGACTGGAGAGGTCTTCATCGTATCTTTTCCTGCCGGAACCGGAAGGTAACGTGTCTGAGTCTATGGATGACCCTGGCACTGAATTCAAGAACAAGAGGGCATAGTTCGTTATATCTGCAGAGCGAATGACCCGCACGCCAAAGGGATGATGTTCATGTACCAGCAGATATACGGACCCGTGCATAGTCGTCAGCTGGTATACTGAACTGCGCGATGGGTGGAATCACCGAGAAACCGTCAGTATCGGCACTCGAGAGACTGAGAGTCCCAATGTGAATAGTCAGTCTGCGACCAAGGTGTATGCACGTGGGATCGTGAGGTCTTGCGCAGAATCGCAGCCTGGAGGGTGCCATCAGTGACACAGCCTCGTGGAAAGAGTCATTATTGCTGAGACAAGTGTAGAGGCAAAGGGGGAACTAGGAAATAACAGAAGAAGATGCAGGGCAGTAGAGGAGCGAGTTTCACATCCCTCTCTTGAAACCGAGCCTCAACTGCGTCGTCAACTCACAGTCATGCATGAATCACCTGTGGCACACAGAAAGCTGAGAATGGAAGGTCTAATGGACGTGGCTGGCCTAGTCCGCAACGTTTTGGGTGACTTGTTACGGAGTAATCGGTACGCCGAGGGGTGCAGGCCGTGATAATGACCGGAGATTGGGAAACGGCACAGAAGAATAAAGTTCGATCTTCGAAAAGTAGGTGTGTGCTCCGTACCCAGAGCTTGGGTACTATCAGGGCCCCCAATTCAACGAGGATCAGCGAAGAGGTGAGATGTCCTGCGACTTCAACAACGATGCATTGGTGGCACCGCTTCCGCCCCCAAGTCAGAGGTCGCGTAGAATTTCTTTTTGGCCTGATAGCCGCCCACGTCTCATGCCCAGCAGCCCTCGAGCATTATCCAAGGAGGCTGGGCCGCGTAGCCTGGCTACCAGTGGGTGGCTAGTACGCGAGGTAGGTTTGCACCATGGTCAAACGCGTCGAGGGCCGTTCCGCTGGGATGTTTCGATTTGGCCAGAGTTGAATTAGTAATAATAAATAGAGAAAGTCTTTGTGCCTCGTAGGGCCAAAAGAGAAGGGAGGGGAGGGGAGCCATCCAGCCTTGTGTTCTCATTTGTCCATTCCCACAGTAAGGGAAAGCAGTGCCCCTTGGTGCAATGCAACAGTACAAATTCCTCTGCATGAGACGGACAGGACGGATAAAGACACAGCATCTGCCACCTCAGCATCAACACCGCCATCACCACCACCTTCTCCTTCCTGCAAAAGGGGAGGGGGGGGGGCTTTTTGGCCGCTTCACCCAAGAAATGGAAATACTCAGCTTCAGTATTGTGGTGATGGCCTTCAGTCGATGATAGTACCCAACAAGCGAGCCTCCGGCGTGAATTCCTGACCCTTTCTCAAGAAAACCCATCCATGACTAAGTCTGCATCCGATCGCTCGGCATGCCGCAAGAGGAAAAGGGTCATGCATTTCCCCCAATGTGATGACGAGTTGTTGTCATGGCCATTACTACTCCATACAATACTCTTTGTCGTCTCGGGCAACTACCGATTTCCACCTCAACGGCAGGCAATGCCTCAACCACCACGTTATCTTGAGGCTTCCATAGCGACGAGCGACTCGGTTGCCTCGGTGGAGCCGAGCTCACTGTGTGTGCGCGTGTGAGATTCCTCTGCCAGAAAAAGTCGCAACACCTGTCTCAATTCAGCAGCCTCAAACCCCCCGAGGGTCTTCTCTGCCAAAAATCCTGCGTCCCAAGACATATCGGTTGCTCTCAATTCTCGGCCGGGACTGATCACTCGGCACAAGGTTCAGCGGCAGACGCATCTTTCCCGAGGCGACTCTCCTAGTGTTTGCTGTCGTTGATACTCCAGCAGAATAGCCAGCTGGGCGCGGAATTTGTTGGACGCTTTGGTAGCATTTATGACTATTATTAGTGTCTCTCACCCCCCCACATACACTATTTGACAAAGAAGAGGACTACAGTTCCCATCTGCGAAGGTGTCACTTCGAGCAACGTTTGCGGCTGAGGGCTGATCAGGGGAATTTTGAGGGGCCCGTGATGCAACAGCGCTCTTAGTTCCGACTAACGAGAACTCGTCAAGGCTGAGCTTCCGGCGAGAAAAATGCTGTCCTGCACCAAGTATATGCACTCTACCGGTTTTTCTGTGCTTTGCTCCACCATTTGGCCCATGATATCATGTTTCAGATACTACCGTCTAAATGCTGGCCATTCCAGCTGGTGAGAGCACTCAGGGATGTGGCGAAAAGAAATTGAGCTAAAGACGTCGAAAAGTGCCAGCACACTCATCGGAGGCGAAGTGAAATAGGGCCAGGTGGTTTCAGTGGTCTCATCTTGCTCGTCGACGATATGTCGAGTTGAAAAGTGCTCAGCAAAATGAATAACAAGCATAGCTTCTTCAACCAGAAACGGGACGCATTCTCAGATGCTTGCACGCTTGCTGGACTAAATACTCTCCTGCCCTGCTTCTGTCGTTGCTGTAGATTCACTTGTGTCTCTCGCTTTCGCCTGTGCTTGCTGCAGAGGCCATCACCAGCGTCCGACGTGTTTCCCGCATTCGTATTGTGTCAACGCCAACGTGAGCATAATGGAGCTAACATGTCTCAACTCACCTTAACCCGCCATTCATCTACCAAACCCTTGTAGTCCTCTGGCCCATATGGGTACCAGATCTCCGCCCACCAGCTCTTCTTCCTTCTAAACCTTAGCCCTATATCTCTCAACAACATATCCATGTACGGCACCGCGTCGAACACGAAGTCGGGAAATTGCTTCCCGAATGCCCCCGGATACCGCCATTTGCCGAATTGGGTTTGCAAGATCGTTTCATAAGCTACGGCATCCGGATCCAAACTTTTCGTGGGATTATCTTGTTGAGCAGGCAGTTGGCCGTTTAGATAAGCTGTGGTCCACAGCGCTTGGGCTTGTGCGACCGGGACGGTGTGGATTGTCAAAAGGATGCCGAGGAAAGCGATGGAGGGGTTGTTGATGCTTGTGGGCGGCACCATAAAGCGATACAGGCGGAAAGGGCGTTGGTTGACACCGGCCTCGTCCTTTGTTGGTTGCAGAGGCATGTAATTTTGGTATGCATCTGGTTGGTCTTTAAGTCGGGGAAAACGACTAAGAATCTCCTTGTCGGCGCGACTGAGGAGTTTGAATTCAGGTTCGCTCGAATGGTTCGGAATCCCTAGCTCTGCGTCGATGCCTTCAGGCAAGAATTTCATGGAGGGTCGATGGTGCCAGCCCGTAGAGCAAATCAAAGCGTCCCCACTCAGTTCCGTACCGTCGCTCAGGTACGCGGCTCGTTTCGAGAGATGATCGATGTCGGCGACATGAACCTTGATAGTCCCATTGCGGACGTATTCGAAGACATCAGTGGGATAGTTCAAGATTGACAGCGAAGATGCGTGCCAAAAGGCGGGGAGCTTCGGCCTCAACTTTGCGGTCTCGGGGTGTTTGTTATAGCCGGTCCGCTCTTCAAGATCGGCTGTCAGAATGTCCCAGAACCTGTCGACGAAGAATCTTCCGATCCAGGTACAATGGAGCATCTTTCGAACCCACGCGAAGCCGTCCTGGTCGCCCCAAATGCAAGGGCTGAACCAGGTGAAAAAGCGGACGCCCACCAAACCCTCAAGTCTCTTTTTGAAAGGTGTAACAAGGGACGGTGACATCCAGTTGGCACCGTGGCCAGACTCACGGATAATCCAGTCTACAGTCACCCCTTGCGACGCAAATGCATATGCCGCGTCGTACGAAGACTTGGAACCTCCAAGGAGAATGATGTTCTTGGCGGACTTCAACAGTTGGTCTGCGTGGTCCTTGAGATGCCTCACGTGGAAGACAGGGGTCTCAAAAGTGTCCTGGCCCGGGAACTGAGGAATAAATGGATTGTTTGTCAGGCCGGTAGCAATGATGAGCTTCTTTGCAAACACGCTCTCGACAGAGTCGGAAGCATCTCGGTAGCTGACTTTCCATTCATCTGGAGATAAACGCTCGACAACCTCGACTTTCGCATTAAGCTTGGTCCTCCTGGTCAAATCAAATTCAGCAGCAAAATCCTGAAGGTATTGGTGCAGCTTTGGGCCCGGGATGTGCTCTCCAGTGCTGATTCCCAGAGCGGATCGATCGAGCGGGAAATCCGAGTACTCATAAGATCCTACCAAGTTATTCGAGTGAAGGCCCGGGTACAGTCGATTTGCAGACCATGTCCCTCCAATCGATTCGGCTGAATCCAGCATCAACAATCGAGCGTCTGGATAGACATCCAGGTAGGTCTTTGCCATGATAAGACCATGGATGCCTTTTCGAGTTCAGAAGCATGCTCTATCCCGTCCCGAGGCCATGAGGTGACTCACCAGCTCCAACGATGACTATATCATACATTTCCTCTCCTGTCAAGCTCACAATATCGCAATCAACGGATGATATCGTCTCCTCTCTGTCGCTGTGTGGAGGTGTGAATGTGGAATTGCACAAAGATTTTCTTTATAGATGCTGTATTCTACTTGGATCAACTATGAGTCATTCTATTCTCACTTAGGGAGTGTCCAGAATTTACAATGCTGACGCATTGTAAGATATAAGCAGAGGTGCCACATTGAAGGAACGGGAATGATTGCTAGTCACGTGGCCATGTGTCACTCGTGCTGTTGATTGTTTATCGATCGAGGATATTCTTGACCAGACAAGCCAAACGAACAAACCGTCTCTCTCCCAAGCAAAAGGATCCGGCCAAATGCATCCTGTTCGTCAGGTACCAGTATAGAAGTGGTACTCGGTTTGAATGACCGAGGGAAGAGCGAGTATGTATGAATGTACCTATGCAACAATGGCATGTGCAACGCAGCGTGTCGAGCTAATACCAAGTAGTCTCGAAGATCCAGACGCGCAAGACACTTCATAATGGGATTTGGCTGGAGATTGCTCAGGGCAAGACAAGCTAAACTGGTGTCACAATGCATGGGCCAGGGGAAACCCTCCAGAATAAAGGGATTGTTGATAGGCCGACACTGCTGATGAAAAATGACGAATGATTGGGACACAGCCGACCCGACACGCGAGCAGAGATTCGTCTTGCCTGGTTGGGCTATGTATTAGAGTCGTGAGATACTCGGTAGGAATGGATGATTCGATGGGCAAGGGTCAGAGGAAATGGAGTTGAAGTGGGCGCAGTTTCTTTTTGGGGGGGGGGGGTTTTCTGGGACGAGGCAAGACGAGGCTAGTGGCGGCGCGAAGTTGGGTTCGGAAATTGACACTTGTTGGTTCGCAGAGGCGATGCCAGTGACACGCCATGAAGTCCCGATTGGAGCGTCGCACTGAGAGATTTTTTTTTTGGAAAGGCATTGTTTATGTTAGGGAAAAAGGATAATGGCTCTACCTACCGAGTAGATGAGAGAGTTTGCAGCGGGACTTTGGTCTGCGGTATGTGCTGGCGCAGATGGAACCAGATACAGATAGATGCCTGGAGAAGCACCACGGAGTACATTCACGTACCTAAGTAGGTAGGGCACCTGGTAGGGTTAGGGGTTACTTCGTACTGCTTACTTAAGTATACTATTTACACCGCCTGAGCCACCTGTACAGAGTCCCAAGCGCAAGTCGAGTACAATGGATTACACGCCAAGTAAGCCCCCCATCAGCCACCCGTGAGCCCAGAAACGCCCGCGGAAGTCCACTGGCTCATCCTGTGGCCAAATTTCAGGCGGGGTTTGCGAAATTCAGGCCCCGCAGCCACTCCGTTAACTTCACTAAGCCAGAAGCCCAGGTGCTTGGTGCTCCCAGAGTGCTCCCCGAGTGCTTCCTGGCCCTGGCTAGCCAGACTAGTGGCCGCCCAAGAGAATCTCTGGTGCGCCTAAACCCCACCCATTCGCCCTCCGTGGTCATCGAGCATTGCATCAAGCATTGAGCCTTGGCACAAGTTACAGCTTTGCTTCTCTTGTCTTCTTTGTACCCATGTAATATCGTTTGCTTTCAGCAACTCATTGCATTGCTTTGTGCAAGCCCGCCTTCCGTCGTCTTTCTATCACTCATTCTTTGTCGCTCGTTTTCCCCAACTGCAGTCATTCTTTTGGCACCTCACGCAAGTCATTCATTAGATTAACACTCCAGCGGCTGTCGTGCATTCGTCCCACGCCTTCATTCTGTGCGCAGTCTGGACCTCACATTGACCAACAACGCAACTTTGTCCTGCCAAACAAGCACAGCAAAGTCTACAGTTCTCTGCCCGCCACCATGTCTTGCTAGAGCAGCTGTTAATCGTCGCCTGTGCCTTTGTCGGCAGATAAAACCAATCCCCGATCCAGCCCTAATATCATGTCCTCCTCTATTCTCCCCGAAAATGAACCACAGATCCAGCCTCGGAACCCATTCGCTCGTCCAGGTCCCATCCCGGACATTCGGTTAGAAGGCCTTTACCTGGAGAGACCCCCTTCCCTTGTACAAAGAGCCGAATCGTCTTCGAGTTCATCGAGCCCAGCAACTACAACCTCATGCGGACCAAACGACAATTCAGGCGCCTGTGAGAAGTATTACGGTTCTGATGGGTCGAGTACGACTTTGCCAATTGTTCTGGGAGTGGTCATTCCTTTAGGGATCGCGTTGATCCTGTTGCTATACCTGCACCGACGCCATGTAAAACGGTTGAAACAAGAGGATGCCGAAGATAAGCACAAATCACTCGATTTTGGCCTCCTGGAATCTAAGCATCACCCGGGGAAGAAAAATGGCCGAAAGGGCCCTGAGATGTTAATGGCCCAGGAGAAGGAAAGTGGTAGTAGACGTGGTCGGGGCTTGTCGCTTGATATGGGTGCTAACAATCCGTATCTTCTGCCTCCCGAACTGCAACACTCTAGGGAATCACTGCACTCCCTCTCTCGTTCCATAACTGGCGATGACAAGTATCGGGCTACCACGTTCATTCCAGATGATGGTTCCATTCGACCACCGTCAAGTCTCAGAAGCCCAGTGGACGATTCATCAAGTTTTACCGGGTCTTCCAGTCGCAGATTTCCGTTCGACTCGAACCAAAACTTGTTGCGCAATGCCCAAGAGCCTGGAAATGGGCCGCCTCCGTCTCAACGCAGTACTCTAGCGGACCAAGCACCGGGGAGCCGTATACCCGTGCCACCAGGAAACAACAATAAGTTGCTCCCTCCCGCTCTGCCTGACCCGGTACGTGACTCCGTTGTGAGCACAGCGAGTAGCAACGGCGGAATGAATGCCCTGAGAGCCAGTAACAACTATCTTGGCCAATTCATTAGTGGTGGTGGACCATTTGGAAAAGAAGATCCGCCCAGTAAGAAAGAGCCTGTATCGTCTGTGAAGGAGGTACCAGTTGAGACAATGGTTGTGCAAGTCCAGGCGCCTCCTGCGGCCGTACTCAAGGACGCTCCGCCTTCACGTCTACCGCACACAGTTTCAATCCCTCAGGACCAGACGTCCACGGTACCCGGCATCACGTTGAATCTACCAGAAGAGGAGCGCCAGCCAAGGTTACCCCAGCTAAGCTTCATCGACTCACAAGGCAACAGGCAACAGACACTGCAACCCGAAGAAGACACTCACATGCCTCTAGATGTGTCAAATCATACACCTCCCTCCGCTCACGCTTCAATGGATATTCCTCACCCAGAGCACTCGCAAAATCAAACATCGCAAGGTCAAACCCAAGTTCAACAGCAAGAAGACGATTACTACGATGAATACGAGGCGTATAGTGACTACCACGACGAGCATGGGTATTATGGTTACCAGGACTATGACGATCACACCGGGTACGATCCTCGTCGACTCACGATGGGCCTGCGACCATTGCCCCCTGACGATCCCACCGAAAACCCTGAGCAGCGCGCCAACCGTATCAGGTCTTTTTATAAAGAATACTTTGACGACAGCAAACCACAGAACCATGCTCAAAACATGCAATATTACGATGGTGCTGAAGGCTATTACGAGGACAGTTATGGACCAGATGCCTATCAAGATGGCTACTATGATCAAGCGGCATACCATCCACCTCGAGGAATGTCACAAAACGGCACGTATGGAAGACATCGCGCCACAGTGTCTAATGGAAGCTACCAGTCAGGTCCCCGGGCATTTTCATCAGCATCAGGTCGGTACGGTGGGGGATATCCTCGCGTGCCGCCGAAGAAGAACTTGCCGCCACCGAAGGCATTGAACGTCTTACCCACACCTGCAAAACTCAAAGAGGACACATTCTTGCCCATTGACTTCGCTCCGCCCAAGAAAATCCACAATCAGAGGGCTGGGACTCCCGATAGTCTTCGAGGAGGATTGAGACCTTATTCCCCAGCAGTGAGAGCTCATGTTCCCCTTGCTTCGTCGTTCGATGACCTGGCGGTGATACCCAGCCCGTAAGTCCTTCTTTTCCAGAATCTAATGATGGGTGACGATAGTTAACCGTAATTGGCAGACATCAATTAAGAAAGTCATCCACATTCACAGCTTTGGACTTCGCACCTCCATCGCGACTTCGATCAACCGACACCGGAAGTGAGACGGGAAGTATTCTCAGCAATCGATCTGGGATTTCGGCTCTCCACCTCCACAACATCCGCACTGGAGCATACCGAGTCAGTCGAATACCGAAGAATGTTGCAGGGACCCGAGACGAGCTTGCGGCAGCTTTGAGGCCACAATGGGATCTAAACCGATGAATGCCCTTGATGCAGTGTGATGGATGTATCTACATTGACCGATATCTTTGACCCAAGGACATGACTCTCTATATGAGACTTTTCTAAGCAGCATGGCGACTGGCATTTTTGGGCGGGCTCAGGGGCTCCTGTTAGTAAAATACCGCTGTGTCTGGGTCCGCTGAGACCTGGGAGTCTTCTTTTGGGAGTCTCTGGGTCTGCGCCCGTGTCTAAAAGTTCAAATGTACAATATCAATGTGGAGATATTCCCCCGCCTCGATATCTATGGTGGTGGTGAGTGGTGACAATACCAAAAAGCATTCATTTCCATTGATTGGATTGCCGATCAATTCCGGGCTCGATCCGACCGTGATGCAAGCTGTCCTTCCTTTCTCGTACGGGATCCATGCGAGCTGCATGGTATTAGCGCTTTTCGTTGGCAGGATTCTGCGCTGAGAGTTACCCGAGTATTAATAAGCTGCCGCAAGCAACCAGAATCAGGCAGCTCGGCATGTTTAATACGGGCAAACACAAGCGGAGAGGCGGAATACAAGATCCAGCAGCAAGGAAGGAGTCTTGGTTCACCTTGCAGAACTGGCGTCTCCTATAGGGTGAAGATCGGGAGCGAGAGTCGTACGATCCCTTCGCTTCGGTGCAGCTTGCGTATCATAATGACCGAAGAGATGGGCTGGGATTTTCGTCGCGACGGCAGCAGTCTCACATCATCGGGTGCTCCGTACCCTGGTACGGGGGACGGGGACCAGACTCCCCAGGTAGGTCGGTATCAAAGCTGCATAGAGCCGCACAACACAACAGCACTCGGAATGCGCCGATGGCTACCCCTCAGCTAAAGGACGATAATCGTATGAGGGCGATGATCATCAACGCCAATTGATAACCATCCTCGATACTACATACCTACAAGTATGTACATAGCAGACCGCCTCGCCGAAGTGATACTACCTAGGTACCACTTATGTCGAGAGCAGCGACCAGGGTTGTGCCCAGTTTTGTTCTCGAAACGGGCGGCAGGCTTCTGCAAATCTCAAACTGGACGGAATCTCGGCTGTGTGGGTTGGGGGGGATTCCTAGGGTTGATAGTGTGTGAGTAGGGAGGGCTATAGGCCAAAGAGCAGAAGGTCCAGAGGGCAGCTGGGGGCACTTAAAGGCAATAAGGGCGCCCAAGGACACCTAGTCTGGGTCGTATGTGCCAGGTGCCTGCTTCCTGGTAAGTTTAGCATGCGGCTTACCCAATAATAATCACATAGGCTCCACCAACCACACCACCGGCATGCATATCCACATCCACGGCCCTCAATTGCAGCTGTTTTCATCGTCCCAATTTTCTTCGCTTCCCTTCTGCTGCTTCTCTCCTCTTTCTGCCACTGGCTCGCCACTGCCTGCTGCGCCTTCCAGCAGCAGCTTGTCTCTCCTCGCTCTACCCAGTACTACATTGAGATGTCGTCTCTCTCCGTCTGTTCGTCCAGTTCGCTACGTTATATCTTCTCCTATCTCACTGTATACGCTAAGCCTCGCATCTGATATTGTTAGAAGTCGCCACTCATTGTCATCGTCTCCTTGTATGTATTATTGGACGGGCCACGGACCACAGACAGCCCTCGCGTCGTAAACACATCCAATTCGATTTCGTCTGGCCCGAATTTTTTTTTTTACGGCTGACGGCAAGGGCGAAGCTCTGAATTTACGACAAGGGGTTGTGTCATACTGGAATTCAACCATCTACAACCTCTTTGAAGAACTCTGGGGAGACGGACAGAGTGAGCTGTGCTACATACGCGTTGAACTCGGACTCCCTCCGCTTGCTGCGGCAGGCACTGCTTGCCCTCAAAACTCACTCCAGAATCTCAGTCCACAATGTCAACTGGTATGGATAGGCCTGTCCATGCCCCAGCTTCCAAACTAAAAGAAGATAGATACAAGTGCGACCGACTCGGTCATCACAACTGTTATCGGCACAACCTCGACCAGCCTTACAACCTCCTTCTCTACCACTGTCACTGTCACAGGACCATCCTCAACGCCTGATACCTCAGCATCCGACACGTCCTCCCCGAGTACAATCACCTCGTCCATCTCAATTCCCCCTTCGACAACAGTGGTCACTGCCTCCACCACTCCCGTCGACACCAATCCCAGCGTCGTTGCTGTCACCGAAACCATTACTCAAACACCTGCGTCGTCCTCAGGAGTCACCCAAAGTCCTTCCGTTGTTGTCGTCACGTCCACTCTCTCTCCAGACACTCCAACCTCAAACACTGCCACAACCTCAGTGACGCTCACCTCTTCTAACACATCCCCCACGCCATCAGCATTAAGTGCCTCAGGCTCCGGGTCCGGTTCCTCTAGCGGTCTCAGCTCAGGCGCAAAGATTGCAATAGCTGTTATCATACCGATAGTCGTCATTGCTGCAGCATTTTTGGTTGGATTCTTCTGCTGGAGGAAGAGAAAGGCCAGGAAGAATGCGGAGGAACTCCGCAAGAGCGAGATGGCCGAATATGGGTTTAACCCTAACAGCGACCCAACACTGGGAGTGGCCACAGCTACATACACAGACAACCAATCTGAAGGGCAAGATGACAACAGTGGATATCGTGGATGGGGAGCAACATCATCCAACAGGAAAGCATCTACTACACTAGGTTCCAACGGCCGAGCCGCTGGTGGTCCCGCCCTGTCAGAGAGCAGCAGTCAACCCGGAGGTCATGCTACGCAGGCTTCGCCCAATGCGACGTCCGACCAATACTCTGCAGACCCCCTGATGAATGGTCACCCTGAGGGTGGAGATGGTGTCGCAGCACTGGGGACTGTAGGGGGACTCAACAGGCATCGCAGTGGTACGGGAGATATCCGCCGCGGACCATCCAACGCCTCTTCAGCATATTCTTCGGGCCACCACTCTGAGGCATCTTCAGATGCACCTCAAATGCCTGGCCCATATTATCAGGAAGAAGTCCCTTACAACATATACAATGACGCAAACCCCAGCCATGGGCCGTATGGGGACGGATCGTACGGTGGACCTGGCACACAACCAGTTATACGTGACAACCAAGCAAGAAGGAGCGCCCGCGTCGAGCGAGCACCAACATTCCCGCAAGCCCAGGGCGGGATCTCGCAGAACTTTTAAGCATATTGGCGGGTTGTCTGGGATGTCTGTTCCCATCTTTTTTTTTCCTGTTTTGTGATCTGTTTTTGAATGTTTTTTCTGGGCGGAATTGTCAGTTGTGGGAAAAGCATTTGGACAGATCTCCTCGGATTGATCTCGCTAGCCTGGTTATTTTTTTAACTTATACCCTGCACTTTCCCTCGTTGACATTTGACGAATCTCTTATGGATCATGGGGAATTTAGCACCCCAACCTGGAGTTATTGAGTGGTCATCCAACGAAACTTTCCGGGGCGTCTCGATGACAAGATATATACACATCCAATCCGCTCAGTTTTGAGCACCTAATCAAAGAGTCGGGAGCCGCGGAGTGTGAAGCACCAGGAGCTGGAATGGATCTCGAGTTCGTGGTTTTGACGATCTATGTATCTAAGTACAACCAGTAGCTGCCTCGACATATAGGCATGCTGTGTGCAGCTCTTACTAATAAGGGCCTCTCAGATCAAGCACTCATCAAGACTACCCTAGGCCCTTCCTCTCCCCCTCCCGACAACACTCGCTAGCCTGCACCGCAACCATGGAGAAGCTTATGAGACGCCGCTGTATGGACATCTATCTCAGTTTCAATTCCTTCCAGACTAACGCAAGGCTGAGATATCACGCTAGTCTAATCGATAAGAGCAGCCTTGTGACTTGAAATTCTGCAGAGAACTCAAAACGCCCATCCTTATTCATTTCAAACTATATCTTGCAAATCTGTGGAGAGACGTTGCATGCGAATATAATATATCTTCCTCTTCGAACACATTTGCCGTATTTCCAAGATCTAGCGCGATCAAAAGCGGGATCTTCAATTTCGACAGCGCCCAGCCTGGAGCCATCCTTGCTTGCAGGAACAATTGCCTGAGTCACGCACGCATCGTCTCCTGTGTACTTGACTCATTTTGTGCAACCATCGATTTCCGGTTATATATCAAGGGCACCACGCCAAGTCGATATCTGTCCTCAAAAGACTGACCCCACCTCACTATTCCTTGAGCCGTAAGTCTAGGAGACAACTGGTCGCCGACTAATTCTTCACGCCGGAGTACCCCCTTGAGTGCTGTGTCTCTCTCCAAACCTCGACATCTACACCCATCACCTCCTGGCCAGCCCCTCTTGCCTAGCTTTTCTTCTCACCAGCCTTCTTTTGACCATGCCGGGCCGTGGCCGTGGCCGGGGTGGGTTCCGCACTGACAACTCGCCTCGCTCCGTGCTCGTTTCGAAAGCCCTCTCCCGCCTCCTGCGCCATGCGGCCGTGCAGGAACACATCCCCATCGACAACCACGGATATGTGCGTATGGATCACTTGCTGGGATGGCAGCGGTTACGAAATATGAAGCCGCCGGTAACGTTTGAGGAGGTAATTGAAGTTGTCAAGGGGAATGACAAGAAGAGGTTTGCGATGAAGTACGGCAGCCCTGCAGCAGATGCAAAGGACGACGATGCAGGAGATCAGGGGGGCGAGGCGGCTACCACGCCGACCATCGAGGCGGATACGGGAATACCTGAACCAAATTCAGAGACTCAAACGGAAACCGAAACACAGCGCGCAATATCTATATTGGAGTCCCTTCGTGGCGACGAGGTTGACACGAGAAGATTCTTCATTCGCGCAACCCAGGGTCACAGCATGAGAGCCGTCGAAGCCGAAAATCTCCTCTCTCCAATATCGCTGGACGATCCCACGACCATTCCGGACACGGTTGTGCACGGAACATTCTACGGGGCGTGGGAGAAGATATTGCACAGCGGTGGCCTGAAGAGTATGACCAGGAACCATGTCCATTTCGCAACCGGGCCTTCATTAAGCGAAGTGTTACCAGCATCATCGCATGCGGACGATGGCAAGGACGGTGCCGGAATTGGATCTAGTCACGATGCGCAAGGCAAGGCCACGCCCAAGGGAAAAGACAAGTCGAGGAACAACCTCGGCTTGTTGCTAGGCAAGAACAAAGTAATCAGCGGGATGAGAAGCGACGCTCAGATCCTGATCTACATCGACATTCGCAAGGCCCTGGCCGAGGACAAGGCCATGAAATGGTGGAGGAGTGAGAATGGCGTCATCTTGTCAGAAGGGGTAGTGGCACATGCTGCTCCTCCTTCTCCTCCTCAACCAGAGACACAGGAGAGGAGTGGGGAGAAGACAGCAGAGACAGAGGCAGAAGAAGAGAAAGGGAAAGGGAAGGAGAAACTGGTGCCGATCGCGTACTTCCTCGCGGCCGTCGAGGTCAAGGAAGGCATCGGGCTGCTTTGGGAAGCCGGGAAAGGAACTGTCAGGGAACTGCCTGAACAGCTGCGGACGAGGGCCGTTCCCAGAGGGAAAGGAGAGCGGCCGCAAGGGAAAAGGCAAAGGTAGAGAAAGATATGCAGGTAATTAAAAAGGCGTCCGGCTACCGAAATGCCTAGTATCTATCACACGGTGTAAAGGTCACGGCTGTCTTTTTGTTACTGCTTTCGATTCTTTCGAATGCAACACATACGTTCCCCAGACCCTTGTGTTGGCCTGCCATCCCCAGGAAATACAAGGCCAATTGATGATGGAGAGGAGACCCTAAGTGGTCAGCGCTGCCTGGCCAAATTATGCCACCAAGACTTCGAGTCTTCTGCTCTGTACTGCCCTTATTTGCCCTCGCAGCCGCCCTTGCTACATCTGACTCGCTCATCCTTCCATGTCGAGATGGCTTCTCGAACGATACTCCACAACATCGCCAGATATGCTGTAACTAGCAAGTAAACATGTCAAGCAGTGTTTGGACCGAGTTCTCTCCACGTCCTCCCTTCGCAAATGCTAGGCGGAATAAAAGAATCAGAGAACGGGGTGAGGCAGTGACTTCGAGCCATCGTGCTCAAAACCTGTGCCCTTACTGTGACTTGAGTATCTGTCAACTTGGTCTGTAGGTCCATTTCAACACCGCTTCTGTTATTTGTCACTGCACAGTGACTGAGCTGCTGAAAATCCGCTCCTCTGTTGCCCTTCCTTCAGCGGTGCTCCACCTCTTGTTTCCGGAGCTGGCTCCAGGTAAGTAAAGGTACCATGTCGTCCGTCAGCGACCACATACCTTGTGTGCAAGTCATCGGGATACGGTTCTTGAACGCAGTGATCGCAACAGCACATTCCCCTCCCCTCGCAAACTGGCTCTTCGGTACTAGCGCCTAGAGGTTTATCTCGGAGGCCCTGTCCTTCAGATGAAGCCCAATACCAAGCAAATCAACGGTCCTCTTTCCAAGTTCACTTAGAGGGCCCAGGGGGCGGCCCCATATTGGTCTTCTTGGCCGGAGGCAACCCAGGAACCTTGAACCCTCCATTTGTCGTTGCAGAACTGAGTTGAGTAAAGGTGCCACTTGAAAAGTAGCCCGCGCTTTCAGCTTCACGCTTCCTCTTCAGCTCGGCCTGCACCTTTGGATCGACTAACTCAAGACCTTGGACGGGCGTGAATGCGATTGAACTTGCGGTACCGGCTCCGACACCACTGCTTCGAAGACCTTGAGTCCGGATTGCAGTGGCGTTTCCTCCAGCTAAGGAAGACCCAAAACCCCGCAAAGATGTGACTGTGCCGCTGTTTAGGTTTGTCGCCGTACCAGAGACACCCCAGCCGGGGTTCTTCTTGCTCAACTTCGCCATGGTTCGACGATCGACCTGTGTGGCACGTATCCTACCCTCGTTCTGAGCGCCAATCATGCCCAGTCCCACTGTTTCCTCTCCCGTCCCGTAGCCGACTTCCTTTTCTTCCTTGCCGAATGCCATGCGGTTCTGTTGCTTTCTGAGCTCGGTCATGGCATACGCTTCCTTAGCTTTGCGCGCTCTTCTTCCGCCACGCTTCCTGCTTGGTTTGTCATCGGGTGCCGGCAGAGCTCTTACACCTCTGTTCGGCGGAGGCTCGGTTAACTTATCGAGCCGTCGTAGGCACTCGTTAAGGAGTTGTTCACCTGTTGAGCCGTCGGGAGCTTGATGCACGCTGTCGACTCGAGCAGCAAGAATAAGTTTCCCTGACACGATTCGCATCGCTTGGACCTTTAAGTCATTTGGGATTTCTTGTATGAGGGGTGAATGGTAGAGGTATCCTTGCTGTCGGATCCCCACATTGGTGGCCAAACCACTTTGCCTCTGCCTCTTTGAGCCCATGGCGGGTACATTGCGGTCGGGTGTCTTTGCCAGGCCTTTGAGCCCACCAGCAAAGTTGAGTAATTGAGCAGCGGTTAGCGAACCAATAAGTGCTGTGAGATTCGGAGCGAAGACGTTCATTCTCGATTGCACGTATTCAGTTAGGACCTTTTTGGCTTTGTCCAGTTGCAGGACCATTTCGCACGCCCGGAGAGTTGTTTCAAGTTCTTGCTCGGTCAGATCTTGGCCTTTTGTTGTTGTCCCTTCCACTGTGACAACCATCAACGTCGGCCCATCCAAGATAGACCTAAGAGGAGCCCCGACAATATTGTCTGTAGAATCGGCCAAACTTTTGATGTTGTCCACGGGTCCATTTTTTATGATCGCGACAGTTTTGGCATAATCCAGCGGATTGGCCACGAGAGTCTCGAGTTCGGGGAAACGCGTAGAGTAGTGATCGCGGATGAACTTGTGGACTAAAATAACTTCGCTGTCGATCTGTGTGGAGAGGGAGTTCGCCTGAGTCAAGAGAGCGTATTCAGGATTATCTTCAATTGAGCCAACGGTGGTTGTCCGCTGATCGGGCGGGATGTTCTGGTAATGTGCTATTTTCTGCAGGGTGGACGAACCGTCAGGGCTATATTCACATTGTGTAAACGAACAAGGTTTTATTATATTGGAAAGGATAACGTCTTACCTGGAGAACTGGTTCTAGAGTCTTCATCAGACCAGCAACGTTTCTCACGTCGCGGACGCCTCCCAGTCGCATCTTTTCAACCTTGGCCTTGGTATCTTCTTCATCGTCGACGGCCTCGGCGACGGCGGCCTGTTGAGCAGCGAGATCTTCATCGGCATCTCCTATCTCTTCCTCATCGTGACCTCGCTCTGTGTAATCAGTCGTAGGTCCCAGGCCATCTGTATGATTTGCTTCGTCTCCATCTTGGAAACCATTTGCTTGATCGTTGTTTTCGTCACCGGAATCCTCGAAGTCATTGAGCAGTTCGTCAGCTAAGGTCGCCATCGTCACACGGGTGGCAAGAATGGCAGAAAATCAGTTCGGCCTTATCAAAAGAAGAGCGCTCATTAAACTTGAAGTCGGACGTGGAGTTGGGCCACCGGTCTGCGGAACAGGAGAATTAGTTTGCGCAGCGGAGAATATTGGCATCCTTACCAGCTCGCGAGGCACTGCGGCCTAGTACTCAGCTTGGCGAAATTTCTCCGCAGTCACGAACGTGCCATCACACATCCTGTGAAGGTTCCATTTGTTACGCCACGCCTCAGTCTCCGTGCGCCTTGTTCCAGCCCTCTTCTTGATCAGCATTTACACGGCAGAGCCTCGGACGCAGGGTGACTCGTCCTGATCCATCCTTTCAACCTGACGCTTCCGTTCTCGCGAAAATGGAGTCGACAAGAGGCCCTCCCAGGGTCAAAAACAAGGCACCTGCTCCCCAGCAGATTTCGGCCGAGCAGCTGCTGCGGGAGGCTGTGGATAGACAAGAGCCTGGTCTGCAAGCACCTACTCAACGCTTCGCCGATCTCGAAGAACTCCATGAATTCCAGGGTCGGAAACGCAAGGAATTCGAGGATTACGTGCGGCGCAACAGAATTAATATGAACAACTGGATGCGGTATGCGCAATGGGAACTGGAACAGAAAGAATTTCGCCGGGCAAGATCGATCTTTGAGCGGGCCCTGGATGTGGATAGCACGAGCGTGGTTTTATGGATTCGGTACATCGAGGCAGAGATGAAGAACAGAAACATCAACCACGCCCGGAATCTTTTGGACAGAGCAGTGACGATTCTACCCAGAGTCGATAAGCTTTGGTACAAGTATGTCTACATGGAAGAAACTCTTGGCAACGTCGCTGGAACACGACAGGTCTTCGAGAGATGGATGAGCTGGGAGCCGGACGAGGCTGCTTGGCTGGCTTACATTAAGCTTGAGAAGAGATATGGAGAGTATGACCGTGCGCGGGCAATCTTCGAACGGTTTACTATCGTACATCCGGAACCACGAAACTGGATCCGATGGGCCAAATTCGAAGAGGAGAATGGTACAAGCCAACTGGTTCGTGATGTTTTTGGCGTCGCGATCGAGACTCTCGGTGACGACTTCATGGATGAGAAGGTTTTTATAGCGTACGCTCGCTATGAGGCCAAACTCAAGGAGTATGAGCGAGCTCGCGCAATCTACAAGTATGCTTTGGACCGTTTGCCCCGCTCACGCTCAGAGGCACTGCATAAAGCGTACACTCAATTCGAGAAACAATTCGGAAATCGGGAGGGAGTGGAAGATGTGATCCTCGGGAAGCGCCGGGTACATTATGAAGAGCAGCTCAAGACCAATCCTCGAAATTATGATGTGTGGTTCAACCTTGCAGGTCTAGAAGAGACGGGGGGCGACGTCGAGCGGGTGCGAGACGTCTACGAACGAGCAATTGCCCAAGTTCCGCCTTCACAGGAGAAACGTCACTGGCGAAGATACATTTATCTATGGATCTTTTATGCCGTATGGGAGGAAGTGACAAACAACGACGTGGAGCGGGCGAGGCAAGTCTATCAGGAATGTCTGAAGTTGATCCCGCACAAGAAATGGACATTTGCCAAAATCTGGATCATGAAAGCGCAATTCGAGGTGCGGCAAATGCAGCTGACGGCGGCGAGGAAGACTCTGGGACAAGCCATCGGCATGTGTCCCAAGGACAAGTTGTTTCGGGGCTACATTGAACTGGAGAAACAGTTATATGAATTCGAGCGTTGCCGGACTCTGTTTGAAAAACAGATCGAATGGAACCCGTCAAATAGCCAGGCATGGATCCAATTTGCAGAGCTAGAGCGCGGACTGGACGATCTGGAGCGAGCGAGGGCGATTTTCGACCTGGGCATTGAACAGCCTACCCTGGACATGCCAGAGCTGGTTTGGAAGACATACATTGATTTTGAGGAGTACGAAGAAGAATACGACCGCGCCCGCGCCCTGTATGAGCGGCTGCTGCAGAAGACGGATCACGTCAAAGTTTGGATTAACTACGCACGATTTGAAATCAACGTTCCCGATCCCAGCGAGCCCGAGGCGGGCGAGGGCGAAGAACAAGTGGTCGGCGAAGAAGCTAAGAGACGGGCACGGAAGATTTTTGAGCGGGCGCATGACCTATTCAAGTCGAAAGAGATGAAAGAAGAGCGAGTGGACCTGTTGAACGCATGGCGATCATTTGAGCAGACGCACGGGTCGGCCGAGGACATTGAGAAGATTGAGAAGCAGATGCCTCGCAAGGTCAAGAAGAGGAGAAAGATCGAGGAGGATCGGTTCGAAGAGTACATTGACTATGTGTTCCCAGCCGACGACGAGAGTGCGGCTAAGATGTCGAAACTGTTGCAGATGGCACATGCCTGGAAGTCGAAACAGCAGGCGGACGGGGGTGGGGAGTGAAGCCATCGAGTATCTCAACTCGGCACCTCGCACATAGGTACATAGCTATTTATGTTCACGGAATACCGCAGGGAGGATGGGCGAATGCTGGGCCAATACTGGTGCTTGTACTCTGCACCATCGGTAGACGTTGGCTGCTATGTCATTGTGCAGCGGAGCCATGACTGTAGCCCCCAATCTTCCCATTGTTCAATAAGTACTAGGTAGGCACCTCATACTAAGTAGGTAACTGTTCTCTCACCGTGTGTCTCTGTCTCTAACACAGCCGAGTGACATAATGCGGTCCAAGCATCGTCGGGCTGCAATTGGTGACACTTGGTTCCACTTCTCCAGCGTTGACTCGTAGATTCGTTGGCTCGCTGACCCCTGGATTTTAGCTAGCTTCTTGTCATCGACTCGTCCCCCCCTTCAAGCCCCTGTCCGGAGTGTGCGGTGCCTTGTACCTGCAGCAGGCGCAGCCAGATGTGGAGATCAACGCCCTCCAGCTCAGCCAATCCGCGCCCCTCAAACCGACCGCATGAAACACCTCGACTAGCTCTTCTCCTGCCGTCACTCCAACCAAACCGGATTGCAGCCCTCACACAGGCCTTGGGTGTAACACGTCGAACCGGCATCCGCACGAAGAAAGGGTGTGATGTGGTGACGTGGGCATTCGTCTGGCTGCGCTCGGGCGTGTTCAAGAGGAGGCGAGAAGGAGAGGAGTAAGGGAGCAGAAGGAAAAGAGATGGGATAAGAGTCGAGAGAGCGATTCAACTCCAAGCCAGCATGGACCAGTCGTCGACCGTCCACATGGCTGGCTCAAGCTTGCTGTGCTTTGCAGGGAGCTATGTCTCTTTGGTCACTTTCCATCCATAGGCACCGCGGCTTGGAGTGTATCCGGGCCAGTCTCTGCTCACTGCCTGCGCTTCCAAAGCCTTCTTTTGTGTTTCTTTGCAACACTTGGACCTCGCTTCCCGCAGTCACAAGTGCACTAGTTGCTACTACTGCGTATGAATTCTTGCTGCCATCCTGCCTCTTTTCTCCTCCTTTGCGAACCCCCCCGTCCTCGGTCTCTTCCTCCCTCTCTCACCCAGAGTTATTGTTCACTCTCTCCCCCTTCTCGAGCTGGAGTGGCGAAAATATCTTATCCGCAAATCCCCAATTCTCTTTTTCCCCTTTGGCTAAGCCCCAGGACTGATCAACATTGCTCTGTGACAATCCCACGAGCAAAGCTATTCCACCGACCCACCCTTCGGAACAGTCCAAACCCAAAGCCCACCTGCGTTGCGCCGCGACTGAGCGCCTCTTCAAACGCAAGGGCCCTCCCTTTCTCGCGGCTTGCCCTCGCAGAACAATCTTGCACAACTCACGAGGTTGTCGGGTCGTTGTCCGGTCTCCCTCACCATCAACATCACGCCTCATTCCTCGTTGAAAACGCCCTCCACGAGATCTTCCTCCGCATCAACCTTCGCCTGTGGCAGCGAGCCTCAATCCAATCGAACTCTGACTGAAAAGACGTTTGTTTGCTTCGTCTTCCCGCCCTCCCCTCGGTGGCCCAGGCTTGACCCAACTGGATCTCAAAGACGCTCTTGCGTTCCTCGAGGATTATATAACTCCACCTTTTCAGGAACGGGCAAAACCAGACCGCGTCGACCTCCCTTGGCCGGCCGCGACCATTGCCCAGTCCGTCCCCAACCTATTTCAGAAGCCGTACAGACTATACCGTCAAGGGTTTTTCTGAGGGGAAAATGCAACTGCGACTTTGACCCTTAACCTGCACCCTGCGGTCCGGTGATCGGTCGACCCCTTGGAGATGTCAGTGCCCAAGCCTCCTGTCGCAATCAAGAATCACTGCTCCGTTATTCATGATGGAGTCATCTACGTCTATTCGCCAGACGCCTTTCAGACGTTGGCATTGAAAGAGGGGGCGAAGTGGAAAGAAGAGGCAAATGGCGTGTCAGTAACAGGGGCCATTTGTGTAAAGGGTGGAGTGGATGGCGACAACTCCAAAGCAGCCTTGTACGTCGTTGGTGGTGCAACAAATGCATCGACAACGGATTATACTGGCTTGCAGCGGTATTCGTTTGACGACAAGTCATGGCAAACTATCGTCCCTGTGGTCAACGTCACCCAGAATCGCTTAAATCATGGAGCAGCTTATATGAATGCTTCATCGACATTGGTCGTCTATGGCGGATCTCAGAATGACAACATTGGGCCGTCCTCAGAGACCTTTACAATTGGGCTATTTCCTCCCTATGAAGTGCTAGCATACAGCTCCATTGCTCCGCCAACGGTCAGTGCTTTCATGTTACCATGGAGCCAGGATCATACCCTCATGGTGGGCGGCAGCTCGACGAATGACAAAGTCTTCACATTCGGTCCTACAGATGGCTGGCAGGACTTTGGCCTGACACTGCCGGCTCCACTACCAGATCACTCAATAGCACAGAGTGCTCTATTTACCCTGGCCGACAACAGCATGATCCTACAAACATTTGATCTTGGCCAGGTACCCCCAACCGTGACGACAAATGTGTTGTTGAATCCAGGAGGTGCTCCTGCGACATTTGGCGAAACAGTGGGAGGCGGCGCAACTACGGAGACTCCCTCGCCCTCTCCGACAATTTCCTCAAAACCGAGAAGGCAAGTATCTCTCAATACTTATCCAGCCTATAACGACACTCTTGCCCCTTCTGCGTCCCGGACAAGATTTGATCTAGCACAGGGCGATGACGGACTGGTGGCTCTAGTTGGAGGTAATGATGATAATCCGGTGCTATTCTTTAATCAGTCCGGAAATGGTTGGATACCGGCGTCCCAATTTCTTGGAAAGGAACAACAGCCACTCGCTACATCGTCGAGCAGGGTACCCACACCAACTTCTTCAAACATCCCCACTTTCACTTCCACTTCTACGGCATCTCCGGCTGCATCAGGCTCCTCTGGCAACAAGAGTCAAGGATTGACTATCCTCGGTGCAGTCCTCGGCGCTATCTGTGGCCTCTTAGCCATCCTAGTTATCCTTCTTCTTTGGCTGAGATCGGTTCGAAGAAGGCGGAAGGCAGCGTCGGAGAAGCAGAATGAGTATTCGGATGACAAGAAACGAAGTGGAGATTACAACTATGAAGAAAGGGGCCTTCGTCCACTGGCAGGGGAAGGGCAGCCGATGGGAAGAAGTCCTGTTCCCTCGGCAGTCATACCAGAAGCCGACACTGCTTTCATGTTTGGGGACGGAAAACCAGGACCAGGAACCCTAATCAGACGCGTGTCTTCAGATCGAACTCCCGCTGGGTACCGCGGGTCTGGTATAGGATTTGGGCAGGCATTGTTTAAGCGCGAAAAGGAAAGGGAGAAGGAAAAGACCGGCCTGACCATCTCAAAGCCAATGATGCCGATTTTGAACGATTACAAAGAAAGTCCGAGTATTGAACTTGGGAAAGCAACCCCCCCTGGAGTGTCGCTAGGAGCTGCCGACCCCGAGAGAAAGGCATCTCAACGCAAGACTGACGAGGGATGGGGCAAATACTTCCAAAGTGAACCCCTCTCCGATAATCGATCAACGTTCTTGTCCAGGAGTTCTGGCCCAAAAAGCGGGTTTTGGCCTGGATCCGGTGTGCTGGAAACATCTACAAGGTCCCCCAAATTTATCCTTCGAGACAGTGTGGGCAATCCTCTGGAAGCGCAGAACGTGGCAGCCGGAAGTCCGAGTCTTGAACACGGACCACCAAACCCTCAGTCGAGGGGGTTGCAATCTGTTCAGGGTATGTCTGGGCAAATCTCTCATGCAAGTTCAGTGCGAACGGCAAATTCCAGCGATGATGACGACGACTATGAAGATGAGCAGGTCTTCGATGGTGCATTCTCGAGTGGAATTCCTGCCAGTGTCCATGAGTTGCCCTGGACACCGGTAGGAAATACATGGTCGGGCCCGCCCCAACGACCACTGCGGCCGCCGAGCAGTTATCTCGCGGCCCAACAAGCGCAGGTTGAGGTGCAACGTTCTCCTCCCACGGTGAGCTCGAATGAGACCAGCGATACCTCGGGGACGCTAGACTCGTCGATCCCCTCCTTCCCGATGCCCAACTCGATTCGATCCGCTCAGCCTGGAGGAAGTGAAGGAAATGTCAACAACACCACAACAATCCATCAACAGGTGACTCGACCTGGGCCTGAACAGCCAGCTCGTAGTGAATCCCACGACTACTTTAGCTATGTCCCAGGCCATGCACGCAGCAACAGTAGACAACAGCCGGATACCAACGCCAACGTCAACACGGACATGTCCTGGCTCAACCTCGGCACGCCGACCCGGTGACTATCCAGCCGGTTCTCGCAGGTACTCTACCAGTTCCTGCTCGATGACGTTGCTAGGAAGCCACCCGGCAGCAAGACGTCGCGAGTGAGTAAGGAAGATGGATCTGTTGAGGGCCAAGGTGGGGTCACCGACTCGACGACGAAAAGGCATGTGAGCTTGTTTCGAACGAAATCCATGCCAAAGAACCGCACGCATGCGTTCCATTACCCGCTCCAGGCGCTTAAAAGAGATACAATACAGGAAGAAGGATGGAAGGACAAAGTTGAGCCACCTAACATAGATAGTCCAACACTGCCTCCTCCTGTAACATTGGGGAGAGATTCTTTGAGGAGTGATGGAACGAGGGGGAGTAAGAGGCTCACTATGTGAAAGAGGGAGACGAACCGAATGATGAAGAACGGGGCAACACACGAGGGCAGTGGAAAACTCGTGTTTTCCATCCTTGTGTCCCGGCTGGTTTACGCAGCAGAGACCAATATGCACAGAGTCGATAAAGGTGCTGGGAGAGGCAGGACGCGGCTCATTTACTGCGCAAAGGGGTCCAAGATCTTTGACGACGATGATGTTTGTGTCTATGTCTGACTCATGTACTAGTGTACGATACCGCCAGAGTTGGTTTAAAGATAGGAAAGTGATAATGGTAATGATTGCTGAGTGAACGTGCTCTGTGCTCGGTACAGTCTGGAGAGCCGTTCGGAATTTCGCTTCTTGTTGCTTCAAACTTTGATCGAGGGAGTTTTGGCAAGCCTGGAGATGTCGGTCGGATTCAATGAGGTAAAAGCTACCGATGGAGGGCGAGTCGGAAGACGATTCGTCGCACTGATGGATAGCCCATTCCTTGTCCAAACAAAACATGTGATGCGAGAAATGAAGAAAAACATGCCATGTCGTTTGGCGAGCGCGAATCACAGGACAAGATCGCGGCGCGTGAATCTGTGGAGTGGTTGCTGTTTGAAGCCTGACGAGGCCTGGTCGGAGATGGCGCAACATGACATGCGGAGGGTCGATGTGGACTCGGAGACGAAGAGTCTCAACTTGGACCGCACGCCATGTCTTTGTCTTTTGTCCTGATTCTTCTTTCTCTTTTGTCTTTCTCTTTCCCGGTTGATGTGGAGAAGTTCGGCAGAATTCATGATGAACTTTGCCCAAACTTGCCGTCGAGCTGATGGAGGGATGGAGTTGTAGCGGGCATCGACGGCGAGGATGTCACAACAGCCAGGATTGATACAGCGGCGCTGTTTGTAACACGTGCCGAAGGGACAAGCGGGCGGGAGTCTGGAGGTGGAGTACCCAGTACTGGGTAGTTCCATTTGTGTAGGATGGATGTCCTTGATGGTTGATCGTGGATCAGCTGAGCGATCAGACAATGTCTTACTTCATCAGCATCGTCAGCGCCCTCATCATCATCATCTAGGTGTGACGAAAGAGACGAAGGGCTACGTCGTCTATATGTAGCAGGTAGCGAGCGTAGGCATGTACTTGGTATGAGTGTTATCGGCATTCTAACGAGGCGGATGGTGGCGTTCTGGCTATTTCGGCGGCGAGGCTGTTCTTTGCTTGTCAGGGCTCCCTCGAGGTCATCATGGCATCGAGTGTGATAGCCGTTCAACTCTTCCGGGGATGTGGCCACTCCTCCGTCTTTGCCCGTGTCCAAAAGGTTTCTTTCTTATCTCGTCGACACCCAAGATAACGAGTCCTCAGCCGGCCTTGAGGTTGTGTGGCGATCCCACCCGAGGATGAGTTTTAACATGCATTTAGAGATTTTCTAGTGTTGTCGTGGCGGCAAGTAATTCAACGTTGACCCTTTGGCTGTCATGAGGAGATGAATATTGAGGTATGTACCTACCGTAGGGCAGCTTAGTAGTTTGTTGGTGCTGGCTGCGCTGGCTGTGGCTCAGGATGCCCTTGCGATGGTGTCGAGGCCCCCTTATTGGGTGTGGAAGTGGGCAACCCATAGGCCACCAGGCCGCCCTACTAGCCTGTCGGAGTGCCGATCTTTAGCCACGCGGCATCCCCCAGAGTTCCTGCTTAGAGGCTTATCAAGTCCAGGAAAAGTGTTGGTGGGTGCTTGTGCGTGAACCCGTGATGGTCCATGGACAACATGGATCGTCTCCGACCAGCCGCTCCACCGATTTCCGGAGGGCGACTACTTGCCAGAGTCACCCACTCGGCCTGGTGGCCCTTTGCCCACTAGCCTTAGTTGTTCAGCTGGCCAATTCCAGCCGGCGCCTCGGTGGCTGATTCGGCCGTTGTTCCTCTCACCTATTTGTTACTCTCACCAGTTACGCCTTGGAACCTGCTCGTGCGCAAGGGCCACCAGGTCACTGGGCCTGGTTTTCTCTCGAGCGCCTAGCAATGCCTAGCCCAAGGTCCTCAAGCCAGAGGGCGTGGGTGAGAGACCCCCCAAAAGTTCCCCCCCCCCAAGACTTCCCATCGTACGCATCCCATTCCATCCCCATCCCCATCTCCCTCTACCCAGTACACGTCTGCATATTATTGTTACAACAAACACCCAGCATTGCCCAATCTGTCAACCAACCAAATCGGCACCTGCACAACCAGCTGCACAACCTACTTCGCCCACCCACCCCCGCTTTGTTTATCAGAACGTCCATTCACTTCCATCGTCTTGTCTTCTTCTCTTTCTTCCCTCTTCTACATCTTCCTTATCCAAAGGGAAGATTTCGCTGCAAAGGGAGACCGCCGTCCAGGTAGTCTCTTCTCGCTACGCTCACACTCAGAAGCTCACTAACACCTGCGTCGCTGACCCAAACAACCCACCTTTGGTCTGCTACCTGACCTCTGCGCAAGAACTGCCCAACCAGTGCCTCAGTCGCCACCGATCTCGATAACTGCTATCGTCGCTTCTATCTGTCGAATACCGTCGTGTGGTGAGTCACACACCTCCCTCTATATCACTCTGTCGCTCTCCCCCCCTTCCCTCTATGACGCGTCGTCTCGCCGCGACATCTCTCTTTCATGCCAGCTGACTCATAAATTCGCAAAGCATCCAACACACGATTTCCCCTTCGCAGCATAGCAAGAACAATGGCTCCGACATCTGTTTCGGCTCTGGGTATGGCCCTGAACGGCAAGTCCGCATCCGTCGACATACCAAAGCCTCGCGATGCCCTCAAAGGCCGGGACAACTTCACTGCTGTAACGGCCGGTTCCTCCTCTAAGAAGCACTCTGGCATGTTGCCAACTCCTCCAAACTCCATCTCGCCGAACCTCCCGCCGCGTGGCCATGGCCGTCGTCGAGACAGCAACCAGCATGGTCCCATGTCTCCCAAGAGCACGGCGGTGGATTCGGACATCGACTTGCAAGATGCGCCTGACAACCTGAAACCTACCGCGTTGAGCGCCGAAGCCCTTGACAGTTTGGGTGACCTGGACTCGGCTGGCGCCATCACTCCTAGCATGCTGGCAAAACACCATCTCCCCGACATCTTGTTGTCTCACGGGCCCCTGGCCATTAGGCACATCATGGGCTATTTGACAACCTCGGTGCCCGGCTTCTCGCGCATCACTTCGGCTAAAGCGCGTCGCTTGGTCGTGGCGGCCCTTGAAGGCAAAGGGGGCGGTGTGGAAGGCGCCGGCCGCGATGGGGACGTCATATTCGAGAAGGTCGGATGGGGGCGTTGGGACGCTCGGATGAAGGGTCAACCGCCGCGCGAGCGTCAAGGCGCTACCATCACTCCGCCAGGCAGTTTACCATCATCCTACTCCCAGCCAGGCCTTCAGGTACCTACCCACCGGTCCTGGCATACGGGATCTGAAAACCTGGGGACTAGCTACACCGGCAACTCCGCTGTCTTCTCCCACTCCGAAATGGAGTATGAGGATCAAGACATGCTGGAGCATGAAGCCGATAAGATGTCCTTAGACAACGACGACGATGGCTACGTCTCGTCCGTTGCCCCTGAACCTCTTGATGAAGACCTCGGAGACGGGGAGATGACGGACGAAGAGGACTGGGCCAGTATTGGAGCCGCAGCACTTCGAGCCAGATCTCTCCCCAACCAAGGCCGATCGGTTTCTGGTCCGGGCAGACTCTATCAGCCCATCGCGACATACTCTTATCGGCCAAGGTATCGCTCCAAAACGCCAGGCGATGTCGCCCACACCGCTCCAACCAAACCCATGCCAGTCAACCACTCGACGACTTTTGCATTTCCCACCGGGGCTGGCGTTAATGACTCCCAGGAACGAGCTGCAATTGAAGCTCTCCTGAGTCTGGGATCTATGTAACATTATGATGACTTTGGCAGAAACGACCGTTCCCTCCCGCTAGACGGTCCACGCGGAATTCGACCGGCATTCAATATGACACTCCCTTCTGAGGATGCACGGTACTCGAACATCGCACTCCTCGTGGCTTCTTGATGAACGTCACGAAATTTTTGGGGCGTTTTGGGAATCTTTATCACGACACCATACTCCGCTGATGAATGACCTTTTGACGACCTTGAGCCGCTGAGCTAAGCTGGCTCGGTTCGATGGATGAACCCCTTTCTCTGTTTATGTTTTCCAACAGCTGTGGAAGCTGTTATCCGACTTCACTTCTACCCTGATCGACAGCTCGATCTTTGTCTTGACGACAGCCAGCGATGCTTGGGTTCAATCCGCACGTTTTCGGCGCGGGCGCAAGGCCCTTAACTTCTTCTAGGGATATTTCATTTGTAATGCGTGTTTCAATCTATCGCTGTACAGCGGCAAATCCGACAACTATTAGGGACGAAAAGGGATGAAGAGCACACAACTCGTCTCGCAGAGGCTCTACTCGCCGGTCCTCTTTATTGATCGTACTGGGAATATGGTTCTGCGCTCTGTCATATTAGTTTATTGCACGGAGTGATGAGTTGCGTCGCCCGGAGAATTATCCTCTCTCAACCGGTATCTTGTCGTCACCACATGGTAATGGAACCGATGATGGGTATTGAGGCAAACGGTATACCTACAACAACAACTACTACATCAAAAAATTTCTTTTGTTCACAGTGAGGGATACGGCACGTCAACTCAACATGAGAAATTGAGCTGGGACTAGAATGCCCACCCAACTATCAAAGACAATCTCAGAAACACCCGAAACAAGACCAAGATATGAGGGACGAAGGACAAGCAAGAAGAAATACCTCGGACGGACAAGGAGGTGAACCTGAGACGGCACTGAGGATAGGTTAGCTTTGGAAGAGGACGTTTCGTCTTGTTTATGGTGCTGCCTTCATCTCGAGTATGGCTTTTGCGGGTGCTCTGGCTAGTCGAGCTGTTGTTTTGGCGACTCGATATCGACGCTTTGGGGATATGCATGTGCAGTATTGGGTGAGAGAGGAAGGGGATAGAGAAGGGGACAGGTGCCGAAGATGCCAGTGAGCTCGACCCCCTGCCCCCCCAAATAGGCGTGCAATGGAAGAAAGAAAGTATACGGAGCACCAAGACGAGCAAATCCAAGGTTGAAACGATTGGAATAAGATTGATAGTTTCCAGCCGATGAAGTTGGGACCAAATCAATCAATTCACAATCAGCCTTATCCATGCTGCCTTTTACCACGTCCTCGCTCTGCGTCCTCTATCGCTCCGGCTCGAGTCGAGTAGCTATCTATCTATCCCTCCAACCACTGCCCAAAGTAGCCGAAAGCAAAACAAGACACATGATCATGACCGGTAGGCAGCGCAGAGCCATACCAGGCCGCATGCTATCTCCATTCTATGTATTGAAGAGGGCAAGAAAAGGGCCGAGCATAACATCTCGGGCGGCAGGAGGCTTGGACCGGCCCGCGTCGCCCGGCCGGCCGGAACGGACGGTTGTCGGACGAGGGGGCGACGTACAATGAAAGGGTGTATCAATACCTAGATGAATTTATAAATGAATCAACGGTCGAGAACACAGGCGAATATCACTACGGATACAGTGAACACCAGACTGACGACGTCAAACTCGCCACATGGATAGTGGACTGGAGAAAAAGGGAAGAAAAGAGAAACCAAGGGAGGGGTCTCTGAGAAATAAGATACTACCGCTTCTGGAAACGATAGACAGCTATCTGCATGAGTGAATGAATGACTATGTATCGAGAAGCTTTCCACCAACACAAAGCCCTTTCTTTGCCATTGACGCGCTGCGTCGAGTTTCCCTTCTGAAATTCAAATGAGCGTAACTCGTCCTATTTCCTTCTGTCCTGGTTTCCGAGTGAAGGCAGGTATCCCTCCTTCCTATTCTGATTTGGCGGTAGGAGACCTTTCCTCGGCTGCATCATAGTCTCATGTCGTATGTCGACTCTTCAAGTCTCGCATTCACTAGCCAGAGTCGTTCAGCTCTTCCACAAAAGTGGTACTGAAATCCAAGTTGATATCGATGTGTGAAACGGCATATGCCATACCTCAATGCGCAGTTCCGTTGGCAGTGGTCGAGCTAGACTGGTCTCAAGCTGTAAATCTCACCGCTGATGACGAACTCGACTTAGAACTTAGCGTCACCAAGCAGCTGAAGGTACCTCGCAGCAAGGTGGCGCATGGGGAGAATCACATAGTGGAACAGGCCCAATTCTACCGCCACAAGCACGCACCGTCGGCCTCGTCCTCATTTTCATGGTCCTCGGCCTCATCGTCATCCGCGATGACAACTCCGCCTCGGCGCTTTTTGGCACTTTTACCCGTGCTTCTCAGCCGCGAGGCCGTCCCAGCGTCGAAAGTTTCGTCTGCGTCGTAATTCGTATCCTCGTGACGCTGACGCTGGTGGTGGCGTTCATGCTCGTTACGTTTCTCATCACGATCATTACGTTGATGATCATATTCGTTCTTAAAGATGCCCTTCGCAACAATTCATAGAAATTTTCAACTTGTTTCCTCCAGGAAGAAGTAATTCCCAGATAGCTTCTGCTCTTGGTCCAATTGGGACTGATACTTGTTGATACGCGGACGGTACGAATTGGGATCCCGGCGGAACGTGACGTCCAAGTTCTTGAGAAACTTGTTGCAGCCGGTCAGTAGGGACTCGGGGGTGTTGGCGCGGGCGTCGACAGATGGTTTGCCGTCAAACACGATGACGCGATCAGCGAGATAGGTGGCCATGATGAAGTCGTGTTCGACAACGAAGGCCGTCTTTTTGCTGTGCATGATGAACCGCTTGATCACGCGCGCGGCAATGATACGTTGCTCAGAGTCCAAGTATGCAGAAGGCTCGTCAATCAAGTAAATGTCTGCGGGGAGACCGAGCGCCAAGACAATGGCCACACGTTGCAATTCACCCCCGGACAGATTCTGAACTTCTTGATCGATGAAGTCGTCGATCTTGAGAGGCTTGTAGACGTCGGTCTGGAACTGTGGGTTTAAAAAGGAGGCCTTGATTCGCTTGAAGAAGAGCTGACGGACCGTGCCCTGGAATTTGGGCGTAATCTTCTGTGGCTTCATCGAAATGTTCATGGCCGGGACCTTCTGGGTGCCATCAGGCTTCTCCACGCCCGCGAGCAACTTACAGAAGGTGGTTTTACCAGTACCATTTTCGCCCATCATGACGATGATTTCGGAGTCGGTGAACTTTCCTTTTTCGATCTTCAAATGAAACGAGCCGAGGGTCTTCTCCATGGAGGGGTATTCAAAGGCACGGGCTTTGTCGACCATATAATCTTCACCAGCTTCAGCGATGCGGAAAGTTAAGCTTTCCTCACGGAAACGCAAGTTCTCAGTGGGGATATTGCCATCGAGGAAGATGTTGATGCCTTCTCGAACCGAGGCAGGAAGAGTAACCACTCCATACACAGCAGGTCTGCCGTAGAGGACACAGATGAAGTCAGAGAGGTAGTCGAGGACTGACAGATCGTGTTCGACGACAATGACATAGTCATCCGGCCGGAGTAGTTCACGAATAGTCCTGGCGGCGCTGAGACGTTGTTTGACATCTAGGTATGACGAGGGTTCATCAAACATGTACACATCCGCCTTTTGGACGCAAACGAGGGCGATAGCAAACCGCTGCAGCTCCCCACCTGAGAGAAGACCAATCTCTCGGTCGAAAACAGCATTCAGCTCTGCAAGGGTCGTTAGCACTTTCTTCTGTTAGTTTGTCAAGTTGCTTGTCCCTCACCGAGTACATCCATGATATGGTCGAGATTGCCCATCTCGGACTTGGCTTCGATAAGCGGCTTGACAGTCTTGACAGGTCCCTTGATGGCTCGTGGAAGTTGGTCCACGTACTGTGGCTTGACAATGGCCTTCAGGTTGTCTTCGAGCACCTTTGTGAAATAGTCTGTTTGCCCGGATTAGAAGTCGGTCCACAAGGAGACCATGTATTGCTCACTCTGCAATTCGGATCCACGGAAGTATCTCAAAATCTCTTCCCAGTCCGGTGGATTGTCATATCGCCCCAGATTCGGCTTCAACTTGCCACTCAGAATCTTCAAGGCCGTACTCTTTCCTATACCGTTTGTCCCCACCAATCCCAGAACCTGACCCGGCCGTGGCATAGGCAGTCTGTGCAACTTGAAGCTGTTTGCCGAATACCGGTGGGTGACTTGAGTTTCAAGATTTGTTGGCAGGTTGATGATGTGAATGGCACCAAACGGGCATTTCTTGGGACAGATACCGCAACCGATGCACAGTAGTTCCGAGATGTAGGCGATTTTGGACTCGGGAGTGACTTCAATGCAGAGTTTACCCGTTCGGACGACGGGGCACGACTTCTTGCATTCTTGACGGCATTTCTGGTGGCAGCGTCAGCCCTTCTTCTCTCCAGGGATTTGGTTGTCGGTGGTGGTTTGGCTCACTTTTGGCTTGCACTGCGGGGCAGAAAATCGACTTGTTAGCGACGAACACCCTCGAAGCACAGACGAACAGAGACCATCCTCACCTTGTCGCTATTGACAATAGCAATTCTAGGCGAGTGGTTAGCCGACAGTCGTCTAGAAGCCGCAAAATAAGAGCATACCTGGTCAATTTGTCCGCCATTATGACTTGGTCGAGGGCGAATTGGTTCGTCGGAGGACGCTGTAGCAGGTGGGTGAATAAAAGGAAAGGGCTCTGTGGGAAGAAGATGGTTCTGAATAGGTCTATATGAATGAGTCACCGACAACAATAGCGGCAGTCGAAGAGCTGGCCGGGTGGCTATCGTGGTTTGTTGAGAATGCGGTGAATGAGTGAGTGAATCGAAGAACAAGGTGCTCGACTGCCTGAATGTGAGTGAATTGGTGAATAACACCCACACAAGAGTCAGAGCCTGACGAAAAATCAAAATTCCTGGGGCCGTGATTGGGCCAGGCGCCCATCTCCCGCCTGACCTACCCATTCAGGTGCCATGGTAGCCCAGGCGAGCCCCAAGCAGGCCCTAAGCAGGCCCTCTCGGCGTGTGAATGGCGTTTGGATGGGCCAGTCGGACCAAAGTCCCTCCCTAAGCCTAACCAAACCTATGTACCTTGTATGGAGCAGCAAGTCCTTCCCTGCCGCTGCCCTGTCTGCCCTGTCAGTCAAACTGCGCTTGCACTTCCTTCTTACTTTTTACCCCAAAGCCTCGTCCCTCTCGTCTCGTGTGAGCCCATATTTCTCTCCATCCACATCCACACCACTCCTCCCACTCGACCTCTATATACAACTTCTGATACGAACATAACCGAATTCCAGGTGCCTTATGGGCTCTGTCCATTGATGATGGAGTGTAAGTCATCTCGTTGTCGTGCTGATTTTTGGTTGTTGTATTTCCAGACTCGGTTCCCGTTCCTCTGATCGGCGGCTGCTCGGCCTCGTCTTCAAGCTCAGCGTTCGCCGGTCAAGTTCAATATATCTCGTCTAGAGAGATCCTGCGACTTGTCGAAAATGCCATAAGCAGTTCTTCTGTGCTCTCCAAGACCGTCTTTGGCCGAGATTCGGTTGGGAAAGCCGCGCGAGAGTCACCCGACTTTTGCACACCTAAATCATCTCGTCGCCTTCCAACTTCATCGAATCCATCTTATATTGCCCATTGCTCATCTCACAAGCACTCTACATTTGGTCCTTGAAGCTTTTCTGAATCGCGAAAGTCCAAATTACCCGGTCCCGCGGCTTTTTTAGTACTGGTCTCCTCCATGTGTGGCCGACCTTGCTGACGCTGTCTCTTACAGCCTCCGGTACCCTCGCCGCACCTCAACCTCCCTCAATATCCGAACCCTCACCATCTTCTGAACCTCCTCCGTCACCGCCTGCCACCGCAATGCAGAACGGCGCCAAGTACTCCGACAGTGAGAGCGAACTGTCAGAGCCCGCGGAGCCTGTTGCTGCCGGAGCCTCGCCGTCACATGTCGACAACGAGGATGACGATGAACCCATGCAAGATCATGACGAACCCAGCTCAGATGAGCCTGATGCTGAAGGTGACGCCGATTATGAGATGGATATCTCCATACGCGCAAACGGTGCGCAAGCGGACGAGAACCACTCTTCCTCGGATGATTCCATTAGACCCGCCAAGAGGAAGGCACATCCAGTCGAAGAAGATGACTACATTCGGAATAACCCAGAAATGTATGGGTTGAGGCGAAGTGGGAGGGCTCGACACGTTCAAAACATGGCAGAATCCTCCGAGGAGCATGACTCGGACTCGGACGTTGTTGCTCCCCCCCGGAAGCGGGCGCGTCACATTTCTCAACGCTCGTCGAAGCAGCCTACTCCTATCGTCGAGTCTCCTACTGACTCTGACGATTCCGATGCTTACGGCGGCCGACGTGCAAAGCTGTCCAAGAAGCAACGCCGAAGATTGTTACAGTCTGCCGAAAGCCTGACGCCTCAACACGCTGAAATCCGCTTCTCCACTCGTCGAGCTGCTAAAGTATCTACATATAATGAAGATGACGATGATGACATGTTCGAAGAGGACGATCCTGAGACAATGACTCCCAACTATTGGATAAACGGTCAAGACGACAACTCCCCGGCCATTGACATTGTCTTGAACCATCGTCTTAAGGCCGATGTTACCACCCCGACGCGCTCAAAGGACGAGTACGAATATCTCATCAAATGGCAGCAGAAAGCCTATTATCATGCTACATGGGAAACTGTTGAGTCACTTGCTGGCGTCCGGAGCGTCCGGCGATTGGAAAACTATGTCAAGAAGACCCTGATGGAGGATATTCGCATTCAGACTGACCCCAATATCGCCCCAGAAGATAAAGAAAAGTGGATTCTGGACCGTGAGCAGTACATTGATGCCCTAGATGATTACAAGAAGGTGGAACGAGTCATTGGAGATCGCGATGGTGAAGAAGGCACTGAGTACTATGTCAAGTGGAAAGGCCTCTTTTATGACCAAGCTACCTGGGAGGCGTCGAGCTTGATTAGCCTGATTGCGCAGAACGAGATCGACAGATATATCAACCGCAGACGAGAAGAGTTCAAGTCCAGTCCGACGGAGAGCAATCCTTCGACTCGGTCACCCTTTCAACCGGTCCGGGATCAGCCATCATACATCAAGGGTGGCACATTGCGAGATTTCCAGATGACTGGCTTGAACTTCCTAGCATACAACTGGGTCAAAGGGAAGAATGTCGTCCTAGCGGACGAGATGGGTCTTGGAAAGACTGTGCAAACTGTTGCATTCCTGAGTTGGCTTCGACATGACCGTGGTCAACAGGGACCATTCCTTGTCACCGTCCCGCTGTCGACCATGCCGGCCTGGGCAGAAACCTTCGACCTATGGGCGCCTGATATCAACTACGTGGTCTACAACGGCAATCAAACCGCTCGGAATATCATCAAAGATTACGAGCTATTGCCGGATGGGAACTTCCGCCATCCACGCTTTCATGTCCTCCTGACAACGTACGAGTATGTGCTACAAGATGCGCCGTTCTTGAGTCAGATTAAATGGCAATTTATGGCTGTGGATGAAGCTCACCGTCTGAAGAATCGTGATTCTCAGCTGTACGACCGGTTACGGGAATTCAAAGCTCCAGCTCGACTACTTATCACTGGCACTCCAGTACAGAACAATCTCGGGGAGCTTTCTGCATTGTTTGATTTCTTGAATCCCGGTGTTGTCAACATCGACGAGAACATGGACCTCACCAACGAGGAGGCAAGTGCTAAAATCGCTAAGCTCACCGAGGACATTAAGCCATACATGCTTCGACGGACTAAGCAGAAAGTTGAGAAAGACCTGCCGCCGAAGACTGAAAAGATCATTCGCGTTGAATTATCGGACATCCAGCTTGAATATTACAAAAATATCCTGACCAAGAATTATGCTGCCCTCAACCAAGGCGCTAGGGGTCAGAAACAATCACTCCTGAACATTATGATGGAGCTGAAGAAGGCCAGCAATCATCCATTCATGTTTCCTACTGCCGAGGAACGCCTTGTCCCCGAAGGCGCTCGACGTGAGGAAGTATTGCGTGCTCTCGTCACAAGTAGTGGCAAGATGATGCTTCTTGATCAACTTCTCACCAAGCTCAAACGTGACGGCCATCGTGTCTTGATTTTCAGCCAGATGGTCAGGATGCTCGACATCCTCGGAGACTATATGGATTATCGAGGTCATGCTTATCAGCGTCTTGACGGCACTATCGCGGCTGCTCCTCGCCGCATCGCCATCGATCATTTTAATGCTCCAGACAGCACCGATTTCTGTTTCTTGCTCTCCACCCGAGCTGGTGGTCTAGGGATCAACCTTATGACTGCCGACACGGTCATCATCTTCGACTCCGATTGGAACCCACAGGCGGACTTGCAAGCGATGGCCCGAGCTCACCGGATTGGCCAAGTCAGGCCAGTCAGTGTGTACCGCTTGGTCTCCAAGGAGACCATCGAGGAAGAAATTCTCGAGCGTGCCAGAAATAAATTGATGCTGGAATTCTTGACTATACAACGCGGTGTCACCGACAAGGAGACGCAGGCTCGACGCAATGCCTTGGTCGGTGAACCAGGCAGCTCTAGTGAAATCTCAAGAATTCTCAAGAAACGTGGTCAGAAGATGTTTGAGCAAACTGACAACCAGAAAAAGCTCGAAGAGCTGGATCTCGATGCTGTGCTCAACAACGCCGAAGACTACAAAGTTGAGCAGCCGGACGGCACCGACGCCGATGGCGGAGAAGAATTCCTGCGAAGCTTTGACTTCGTTGATGTCAAGGTTGATGAGCTTTCATGGGACGACATCATCCCCAAAGAACAGTTAAATGAGATTAAGAAAGAGGAGCAACGAAAGGCGGATGAAAAGTTTCTTGCCGAGGTCATTGAACAGAACAAACCTCGAAGCCGCAATCACCAAGTGGAAGATCGCGAAGCGCGCAAGGCTCGGCGCCAGGAGCAGCGTCACAAAGATATTGATTCAGAGAGCGAATCCGACGAAGGTCCCAAGGCGGACCCCGCACGACCGTTAAGTGAGCGTGAATATCGATACCTCATCAAAGGCCATCTCCGCTACGGCTCTATCGACGACCGCCAAGAAGAGTTTTTGGCCGAAGCTCGTCTCCGAGGTAGAGACCTCAACGTTGTCAAGGCTGCGATGAAAGAAGTCTGGGACAAATCCGAGGAGCTCTTCAAAGAAGAACAGAAACGGATGGCCGAGTTGGAGCGGACATCGAACCGGCCAATCACCAAGAAAGACAAGAAAGCAGTCCTGTTCGAGTTACATGGCGTCAAACGAATCAATGCTGAGACCATTCTTGAACGGCCTGGAGAAATGCGTCTTCTCCGAGAGGTCACTTCAAAAGACGCAGACTTCAAATCGTTCCGCATTCCTGAAGCGACGAAAGCCGCTGGATACTCCTGCCCATGGGGTGCCAGAGAAGACGGGATGCTCTGTGTGGGTATTGCTAGACATGGTTACGGAGCATGGGAGAAGATCCGTGACGATCCAGATCTTGGCTTAAAGGACAAATTTTTCCTGGAAGAGCACCGAGTCGACAAGAAAGCAGAACGCGAGAGGATGGATGACAAAAATGCCAAATCTCCCGGTGCAGTCCACCTTGTTCGCCGCGCTGATTACCTCCTTTCTGTTTTAAAGAGCAAATATGCAGACGATCCAGCAGCCAAACGAGCGGTTGAGAACCACCACCGCAACAACAAGAAGTACCACCCCGACAAACCTGCCGGATCTCCCGCTTCTGTTGTCAATCGCAAAGCACATCGCGAATCCGAGAAACCTCGACACAGAGCTGTCAGCCAGACTCATCGCGAGAGTTCTGAAAGATATGGGACTCCGAAGTCCGAGGGTCGGCACAGCCATGTCAAGCATGAAAGTGAGAATAGAGAACATAAAGAGCGCAGACACCGTGATGAACATGCTCACTCCTCTCACCATCGGCACGGCAGTGATCACCGACGAAGTGAAAATCCCTCCAATGCCGCCTCGTCGGAAGTTGATCCTCTGTTGGACATGTTGTTCAAGCCTGTTAGGGAAAGCTTGAGAAAGATCAAAGCTACAACAAAGAGCGCCATACCAGATGGACAAACCAGAGCGAATGAATTACGAGTCCTGCTCAAGCAGATTGGAAATTTCATCACCGATCAAGTCGCCGAACTCGACGACAATCAAGAGTCTGTGGAGAAGCGCTTCTGGTGAGTGCCGTTGATGACCGTGCTGCCTCGGTTTAGCTAACTCGTCGCAGGGACTATGCCGCCACATATTGGCCTAACAAGGGCATAAAAGGTAAAGAGCTCCAAAACATCCACGGCAAGATTGTTGCGTCAGACAATAAGCTTGCAGGCGAAGGTTCGCCCAACGACGAGTCGAGTAATGTTGACGGTCGAGCGACGAACGGGAGTTATCAGACTTCACCTCCGCGTTAGGAAGCGGAGGTTATCTTGAGTATACCCAGATGGGTGGTGCGTTCACGGCTGTAAGATACGCAGATATGGGTATCAGAAGAATTTTGTGCCTGCTTGGCTGGGCATTGCATTTTGCATTTACAGCAGGAAATACATATGGGAAGGGGCATTTACTTCAGAAAAGAAAATATTGCTTAACCAGGTTATATTTATGTCGATGGGGTCAGTCAGAAGAGGTTATTGACAGTGTCGGACATGGAGGAGACTCTGCAGCCTCATTGAAAGATGGAATAAGACAGGGCCAGCATGTCTTTGAGAAAGGAAGTGGGAGAGCGAATTTGACCAGGGAATCATCTATCATGCTTTCGGCGCGAGACTGGCACGACTTGTTATTTTGTCGTCGCTTTTCCGGGATTCAATGACAGGCTGGCGTTGAACTGGATTGGACAAAAGTCATTCGGCATGCAGCGACTGCCCAAGCGAGGAGTACTGGAGTTCACACGAAGACAAAGACTTTTTGGGGTGTTTGAGGGGGGGGGGAAAGACAAAGGGCCGAAATGAGGTGCAGGAGATCTACAATACGATCTTGCTGGGGGAGTGGAGACAGCATTGCGAACGAGGCTATGGTGATGGGATCGAACGGCCGTGGGACATGTACACTCTCAAGAATGACGACAACTTGGGCGTGGGAGATAAATCCAAGGAATGCAAGCTGGCACGTTACAGTCTTGTGGGATGAATATGGAATTGCCTACTTGGTCGCTTGCAGCCGAGTATCCAAAGTGGCAGGCTACTGCTGAGAATGATGCTATACATCATCTTCACCGGTGGATGCTTCAGACAGCCATTTGGACCCTTTATTCCTCTAGTATTCATGACACAAATTATCACTTTCATCTTTGGCCTTTAGACCCAGGTTCCAGAGAAGAGGGTTTGGCTCAATATGGCTAGGGACTATGTAGCGTGTTGGCTTCCTGTTCTTCCCTGTCTCCGATTCATGTTACAATAACAGTGGGAGCTCAAAAGAAGAGCCGGGTCACAACTTCAGTCCTCGTTCCGCACGTCCGTCTAACGTCGAAGCATGGTATATCAAACAGGTCCATACACCAGAACACCATGAAAACCACCTCCCAGCCCCCATTCGTCGATATCCAGCCTTAGACTCCAAGCAATGAAACCCCCGTTCTTCGACCATTCCTCTTTTCTCCTTCCTCTCCTAATCGGCAATCCGCTCAAGCCTTCAGCCTCCTCTCTTCACATCCTCCACAAACCGCGCGTTCCTCCACTTTTCGCATAATACCCTTTCTCTTCTCCTTGTCCGTCGGTTCCACACGCACCTCTCTGACGAAGAATCTTCCCTCGTCGCCAAATCCACCGCCGCACTCGCAGCACACGAAACAGGTTCCATGCCATTTCCCACCCAACGCCTCTACCGTGATCTCGTCCAGGATTGGTAGTCTACAGCCACGACAGCGGGCGGATGTGCGTTTCGTGTGGCACCGCACGCAATACGCGTATCCGTCATTTCCTTCCACGAAGGGCGTAGTGGAAGAAAATGGATCTCCGCATTCCGCACAGAAAAAGTGATCGACGTGATAGCTGTGACCGCACGCAATAACGATTTCTCCCTCAATTGGGGTTTTGCAGCTTCGGCACCGAGGAGAGAAGAACTCATGGAAATCTAGATGGCAGTAAAATCTCAGGGGCTCGTTCTCGAGAAGGGCAAGTTGGTCTGGCGTGAGAACCGAAGGGCTTGTGGGATCAAGGTCAGAAGTCGAGGAAATGCCCAGGCGGGAGAGACGAGACGAGTCGGGCTCCGGGTAGAAAGAGACACACTCCAGCGGAGTGGCGCAGTGCTGACAAGTGAAGCATTCGGGATGGAAGCGGGCTTGGAGATCGCGGGGATTGGAGCCGGAGGCGGTCACAACGCGGCCGGAGATGGGGAGGGCACAGCTGGAACAGGAGACAGTGGGCATAGATTGTCGAGAGGCAAGCCAAGGAAGGCGCTGTGAGGGAGTCTTGACGACAGTGCTGCTGGAATTCTTCGGTGTGGACGTTAAGTGCTTTGACAATGGTCTAGATGTTGTCGGTGCAGGATGGGATTCATCTGGAAGGTTGATTGTGGGCACAGTACAAGAGGCATCGTCTTCCTGGATATTGATGACTGAGATCTCTGGCTTTTCGTCTGGGAGATTGATGGTAGGCACGACAGGAGCAGACACCGAGGCTACTGGTACAGTGGGCGCCGGGTTGGGCAATGGTCGCACTGCAGGTGATTCTGTCAGCATCGCGACCGGTTTCTCAATATCTTCGCTTGTTCTCGGTGAATCACTCGGACGTTTCCATGCTGGATCGAAACTGACAATGGGCCGGCCGAGTTGATCACTGACAGCGGTTGGTGTGGGAAGATTAGGACTCCGATCTTTCCTCTTCATACTTGTTGCTGCTCGAATTTCCTCGCTCCGAATCTCTAAAGTGCCGGTGGAAGCGGGTGTGTCAACTTCTTCGATCACATCAACGGCAGGCGCCCGCGGAGGTGTGTTTTCTGTGTACTCTGCTTTGCGTGACCGAGTCGGTGGATTCCTATGGATCTCGAAGCGGTCGAACTTCTTGCCATCGGGGACCTGTGCTGTATCCTCTGGCTTTTCGGAGGTTTTCGTTCTCAGCCAGGGGAGTTTGTTGCGTGATTTAACCCTCAAAGGAAGATCCACGCTAGGAGGCGGGATGGGTGGTCTTGACATATCCTCGTCGGGTTCTGGTTCTTCATATATCTTGTTGTTCGGGGTTGGAAACGAGACCTTCCTGGAACCACTGACCTGACGGTGTCCACTGCTTTGTCGTTCCTCTCTCGACTTCAAATCCGGGTTTCGATACGGAGCCACTTTTTCTTCTTCTGCAGCTTTGGGGTATTGATGCTTCCAGACCAGTTCGGCAGCCTCGTCTTTGGCAGCCTCGTAAATCCTTCGTTCCTCATCCTTTTGATCGATGCGCTCCAACGCTTCCCGTATGCTGTGTGCCTCCTCTTTTTCCAGTTTCCGCGTAACGGACTCGACATAGCCTCCTTCCTGTGCAATCTGGGGGACATGGATAGTGGCTGTCGGAGAAACCTTCCTTCCCCCGGTCAAGATCGGTCGCTCGTTGTCCGGAGGTTGTGCCAGCGGCCGGCCCTTGGATGTGGAAGAGAAAGACATGGACTTTTGCATGGTCGGAAGGACATTTTCAGCATCATTCAGTATATCGCCTTGCTTTGAGCCGATCGTCGGGGCTGAGTCGGACCGCGCCAACGAAGACTGGGACGTCAAGGAGCCATAATTCCTGGATGGAAATGGAGCAGGTCTGGACCCGGTTGGTCTAGCGGGACGATTGTTCCTGAGATTGTCGAGATAGGTGGCTGGGAGTCTATGTGAGTACTTTGATTTAAAGGGAGGCTCTCGTGGAGGCATCGTTTTGGGCTTCTTGGAGAACTGGAGCAGGGAACGGGCGATGGTACAAAGTGACACCTACATTTCTGTTCAGCAGTCATGCATGTGGGTTGAGGCGGAGAGACTTTTCTGCCGCCCACACTGCTTCTCTTGTGAAACATGGTTGTGTGTTCTGTTGAAGTTCGAACTGAGATGGCTTCACCGCATATGCACCAATTTGAGATGTGTACTTCGTATGGATCTTGACGCCCAACTTCACAGCAGTACGAAGTAGGAACAAACGCAGCGTACGTCACAGTATAGACAGATGAGAGCTGAATTGACACAGAGGATACTAAAACACACAGTTCACCAGTCAGTACTCGATCGATGATGCGATAATAATGTCCTGAACTGCTGACGGTCAGTGCGATTGAGAACTGTCAACTGTGCGCAGCCGAGCGCAGGCGGGTGACAGCGCAGCGAAGCGCCCTTTTTTTTTTGTTTGGGCTGCGCGGTTGAGACGACAACCACTCACTCATCATCTCCACCTGCTGGGCATCAAGGCGTCCAGGCCACCAGGTATCACCCCCTCACACCTCAAGCATTCAGCTCGCCAGGTCAACCGTCATGACATCGACAACCCCTCTTTTCCCCTTCTCACGGGAATGAATTGATCAAATGTCTGTTTTACCGTCCTCCAAATACAAGAATGATGACAGCGACATCGTGACAATGGATGCGCCTCGACAGCACATCGGGTTGCATCACAACTGCGCCTGCAACAGCAACATCAACAACAACAAGCTTGAGCTTCTGCTCTCTCTCAACTTGATCGGAAGAAGCGGCATGACAAGGTCCTCTATCTCGCTTCGCTCTCCGCACAATTGTTGATTTCCCAGGTGACTCTAGCTAGGGACTCCTCCTCACTACATAAGCACCACTATGGCTCCATCCCTTTCGCCATACGGACAACTCCGTCCTGCGTACACATCCGAACGCCTCGAAAGGCGTACAGTATTCTGTCCATGCGAATCCTCCCACCAAACCCCCAGTCACCGAATCTGTTAGTCAGGGCCAGTGTCGCATCTCACACCCATGACACCAACGGCTTTTGACCGAGATCCAAAACCCCCTCCCTATAGCCGGCAAATGCCCCCGGACATGGCTCGGTGGGCAGGTCTATTCGGTGCCTTGTGCAGAATTTTGTCGGTAACCCGTAAAAAGTGACGACTCCTCGCCCGATCCGCCTTCGAATTTCCTTTCCCCGTGTCCCTGCCTTCTCATTCTATCTCTCCGGGCAAAGAAGTAGGGAACATGGCAGATAGCGCACCCATTGATGTTGCTGAGCCTCGCAGCGGTCCGCAAGAGATCCGTCCCCGCGATGAAAACGAATCCGAAAGGACGGTCAACATTGAGGAGAGCCCTTCCACTCTGCCGAAGTTGGACGAGCCCCCTCCAGACGGCGGATATGGCTGGGTATGCGTCGCTTGCAACTTCTTCATCAATGGTAAGGATGGCCTTTTTGTTTTGGTCCATGTGACCGAGTTTCGACTCACCTCTCTGTGTATTGGCCAAGCCCGATTTGAGACCCGGGGTATGCGACTAAGTATCAAGCACGAGAGATCTGGAGATTAGCACCATCACGCAATCCGAGGTTGAAGCATTCTCTCGCCTCGAACCACCTCGACTGGGCCACCAATCACTAACAAATTGGCGTACAGGACACACCTGGGGAATCAACTCCTCATACGGCGTCTTTCTCTCCTACTATCTCAACAACAACTATTTTCCGAACACATCTGCTCTGGCGTACGCTTTTATCGGCGGCCTTTCCATCTCCCAGGCTATGCTCGTTGCCCCTCTAGCCACACGCATCATTCACCTCTACGGTTCCAAAGTATGCCTTCACCTGGGCGTATTCTTTGAAACCCTCTCCCTGATTGGCGCTAGCTTCGCCACCCGGAAATACCAGATCATCCTGGCCCAGGGGTTTTGCTTCGGCTGGGGCATGGGATTTCTGTTTGTGGGCTCCGTTGGTATTATAGCGCAGTGGTTTACCAACAAACGCAGCGTGGCCAATTCTATCGCCGCGGCGGGTTCAGGTCTCGGCGGATTGATGTACTCCCTCGTAACACAGCGAATCATCGATACAATGGGTCTTCCTTGGGCATTTCGCATCCTAGGAATCTGCTCATTCGCAGTCAATTTGACTGCGTCAAACCTCATTCGTGACCGCAACAAACAAACGGGTTCGCGCCATAAGGGATTTGACACCAAAATCCTCTCCCGACCCGAGTTTCTGCTCGTCCAAGGTTGGTCCTGGTTCAGCATGTTCGGTTACACCATCCTGCTCTTCTCACTGCCTGCCTACGCGCGTTCAATCGGACTGAGCGCAAAACAAGGTTCAGTCCTCGGCGCCGTCTTGAACTTGGGCCAAATGCTTGGACGCCCTTTCATCGGTCTATCTTCCGATCGCTGGGGCCGGATCAACCTTGCTACGTTCTTGAGTCTCTTGTGCGGCGTTTTTTGCTTCGCCTTCTGGATCCCCGCCGAAATAGTCTCGTCGCCAATGGGATTGTTGTGTTTCTTCGCTATTGTTGGTGGTGCTTTAGCAGGGACTTTCTGGACGACCATTGCCCCCGTCGGCGCCGAGGTGCTCGGCCTTCAGGATTTACCTGCAGGGTTGTCGCTAACGTGGCTGCTCATGGTTCCACCCACGACGTGTGCAGAACCGATTGCTTTGGAGCTTCGACGCAGGAACACCGAGAATTGGATATACCTCCCGCCCCAGATTTTCACCGCCTTCATGTATATTGGGGCAGGACTGTGCCTATGGGTGGTCAGAGGATGGAAAGTCGGCGAGTTGAAGTGGAAGGCAAGATTGGTGAGGGAAAGAGAGCGAAGGCAAGAGAGGATTCTGCTGGACGAGAAGCAGTCTGTGACGGAGAAAGATGGTGCAGGAGGATTGAAAATGCAGGACGAGAATAGGAATGAAACCGATCGTGATGTTGACGAGGTCGAGGTCCGACAGTTCATGAAAAGGGAGATTTGGGGGCCGCGGAATCTCCTCAAAAATATGATTGCATGGCAAGTTGTGTAGATATGTATAACGACCCACTGCACCGTAGCCCTCTCTGGAAATCGGTCAAGGAGACAAATAAATTCTTGTAAATGTTAACGCGAGCTTGATGATGCCTTTACTTCCAGGTTGTCATATAAGGTCTGACAAGGTTGTGTATCCGGAGTTACGGGGATCAGGCTTCACGATCCCTATCTGCCAACAGGGCTTTGCTGGCTCTGATCACATTTGCGACACGTACTCAAGTGCTGGGACAGATTAGGACTACCAGCGAAACTGGAATATAAAAGAGTGGATAGAGTTCAATTGAGTAAGATCTAAATACTACATAGAAAGAGCAGGAGCAACAGATAACAGAGGCAGACCGACGTGTCTTTGCTATGCTCCATTTCCCCGTCGCTCAATGCCAAAGGACAAAACGAAAGAATTACGCAGTTTCTGTCGACTCCGGAAACCCCTGGTGCCACTTCTCAGCTTCTTCTGTGAGTCTCCCACCTCGATGTCTCCCTCTTATTCGAACTGGCAAAACATGCACACTGCATCGGAGTCAAATGTGACAGTCGAGCCCTCGTCGCTGCTGGTGCCCGACCCCACCACCGTGCCCAGGTCACAAGCTACCTTCCCGTCGGCATCATTGCCAATCCGAGTGGAAGTGAAGAGGCACAGGGCCGAGGTGAAGAGGCCTGACGCCTGGATGTCCGAGTTGCGGAGCACGGCGCTCGAGGTGCTGAAGCCGAAGGCTTCGCTGCCGGACGTGGCGCCTTCCACGATCGACACGCCGAGGGTCTGGGTCTGGCCACTTGTGAGCACAATGTCACCGACGTTGACGCGGACAAGGGAGGCAGATTGCTGGGAAACAAAGATATGTCAGCAAGGCTCGTTCAATGGGTATGCCAGAAAAGGGGATGGAGCGGCATACACGGGCACGAAGACCATGCTCGGTAGCAGAGATGCCGAGAGCGAGAGCCAGTGTGCCCACAGTGATGGTTGTGAATTGCATTGTTGTGAAAGATTCCTTGCTTTTGAAGGGTTGATTCTTGAAAAAGGGAGTTAAGGCGTCAAGAGGAGGGAAACAAAACGAGAGCTGCCTGATTTGTTTTCGTGTGGTTTGTGTGTCTGCTGTGTCATGAAGAAGAGGAGAAGAGGGTTCCAGAGTCGAGGGGATGCCTTTATATACCTTGATTTCAGAGCCGTGGCGTGCTACGTGTCTGTGATTTTTCTCACCTACCGTCCCGAATCTGACGCATTTGATCAGCCAGGATGATCAGCTGGGCGTGCTTGGAGAGTAGTCATCAGAAGGGTATGTTTGCCATAGCTCACTGAGAATAGGACAGTGGCGCCCATATCTCAGTGTCTGTCGCCATGGACTATGATCTCTCGTAAACGATGCTGTCGGTGGAGCCCTGACATAAGTGCATCTTGGTTCATGTGCAAGAATAGCAGTAAATGGCCCCCGTGCCCCGTCGTCTTGTGCTCAATGATTCTTTTTCGGTGGCCTCGAAGGCCAGCAGTGCACCTTACCTCCTCGGGGTTCTTGGAAACAAGGGGCGGTGAGTTCGTGGATCTCTCAAAAGTAGGTGGCCAGCATTACAGTCCCGAGAAATATCAGTCTAGATCGATGGTAAGTTTTGCTGTCGAAAGCAGTATACCTCGTATCAGGTATATTGTCAGTCGTAGGTGGGAGCACAAGACCGAGGCGGGGAGGCGAGTGTGATGCTTGGCGCGTGGCACGACATAAGAAACTTGTTCAGGCCAAGAAGCTGACTCCTCTTCCACCGCACGGTCGAAGCATCTTCTATACAAAGAGCTTCTCGACATTAGCTTGGCATCTAGGTGAGATTACTCTGGATGGAACGTGTTTCTCAGAGGATGTTCGTTGCTTACCTACATGATGATTCGTATTATATGAGAATAGACCTCAAATATGAACCACGAGGTGAGAAAAAGATTCGGGCTTCAACTTCCAGCTGGATCCAACGTTTTTCAAACCTCAGCTCGGGTTTCAGAAGGATTTGTCAAGCTGCGGGCTGTTGAATCCGTTTGATGGTTCGGACGAAGCCTAACTGCGGCAATGACTTTGCGGCAGAAGAACTGCACCCCTTGCCAACCATGGGACGTTCACGAGTTCCTGCTTCTGCCTCTCGGCCTTCCTGCCCGATGATGCCTAGCCTTGCTATAGATCCGGACGCGACTCAGAGCTTTCGAAGCAGTATTGGGCTGTCGGATGTGCCGAGCACCTCAACATGGAGCCCAGGACATACCAGCCTGGCGTTCTGTGCAGGTGGCGGCGGATACGTGTTTGGAGAAGCGTTCTTTTGAACTTCCGGCTGGAGGCAAAGCCCTAGGGAACGGCAGAAAACATAGATGTCCAGGCAATATAATGATGCAAAGTTCGGATCTGGGTAAGACGGGCCGGTTGCCAGAGGGGCTGCAGCCAACGACGGAGTCGAAGCATTTTCGAATGTAGACTGAACCACCATGACGAGCTTCGAGACGAGCATCTCTTAAGGAAAAGCGAAGGTCTGCTCGTCGACACTTCACCAAATGAGCGGCTGTTTTGTTGATCCCTTTCGTTCCCAAGGCACTTCCCGACGTGATTGGTGAGGTCTAGATGAGATATCTCTGGGAAAGGCCGTGACCAAAGTGTGTTCGCTTAGAGGACCTTGAGGAGATGGGATTAACTGATTTCCCTAAATCATTTGACGAGTTGCAGAAAATCCGCGGAGTTGCCACCGAAGCCGGGAGATCGAATAACGGGGGACTCCTCTATTGAGTATTGCCTGGAGACATATGTAACCCATTCCTGCCCATTTCCTGTGTGACAAATTTGATGCAAAATGTAAGCATAGAGTTAGAGTACGGATCTGATTGCACCTTGGGCACCCAAGCCATTGGACAGCAAGGAGCGTTGCCAGTTACAGACTGGAACTTCAGGGGAAGTTTCAAGCTTGATTGACTGATGGGGCCAAATGGGGCTTAGCCTGGTGCTCAGCCTGGTGCTCAGCCTGATGAGCCACATCAGCCTCGGCCTCTCGCGGTATCGCGCATATGCACTGTCCAAGACTGTCCTATGTAGGCATTCCGTCTATGCTATCTCGCACCTCCCCCATTTTCTACCATTCATGACAGAGACACAGACGCTTTCACGACATTACAGAGCTCGACCAGCGACTGAGCAGGAGATTTGTGGCAATGTTGTCCTCGCGCCATGCTTCCGCGAGTTGTACATTTCCACAGAGACGGGAGCCACGAGAACCGGGCAGGCCGACCCAACAGCCGCCATAATAACGGGAACAGCTATGGGACTAATTTCAGCCAGGCGTCTAGTACAAGGTGCATTTGCCCGCACTGAAGCCTTTTGGCCTCTCCAGGTCTCGTTACTGACGTTACTGACGAAAACCCCACATGCAGCAGTCGAACTTCCAGCTCACGGACCTCCGAAACAGGCCAATGGCCGCTTGCACAACATTACTTCCACTCCCGAACAACTTCGTTTAACACCCCGGACGGACTGTGGCATTCTCTGCCTACATTCGACGACCGTCAAGATGTCAAGATTGCCATAATATGTGCCCTGCCGAAGGAGGCGGATGAGGTTTTCGCTGTCTTTGACAAACCGGGGGATGATAAGAGACAATTCACCAAGACCGCCCGCGATAGGATTGCATACACTATCTGCTTCGTTGGGGAACACCCTGTTGTGGTGGTCCACATGCCTGGTGCTGGAAAAGTCAATGCAGCGGGCGTGGCGGCGTACCTCAGTAGCAGCTTTCGCAACATCCAGCTTGCTTTGCTGGTTGGTATCTGTGGAGGTGTCCCTGGCGGCTCTGACGGCTCAGAAGATGTTCGCCTGGGTGATGTGGTGATGAGTCAGTCGATTGTTCAGTACGACTCTGGCAAGCAATATCCAGAAGCATTCGAACGGAAGCCCTCAACAACCAGCGCCTCGTTGGATCTTCGGACTGCCCTGAACCAATTGGAAACCGAGTATCACCGAGAACTTTTGCAAAAGAGGCTCTATGATCTACTAAGTGATCTTCAGACTCGTCGTTCAAAGGTGGCATACCCTGGCACAGAATTCGATCGGCTTTTCGAGCCGGCTTACCTGCACAAACATTGGAATAATACTTGCAATACTTGCAACAGTGGGGCTGGCAGGGTTTGTTCAGCAGCGCACGGCTTATCGTGTCCCAGACTTGGTTGCGAAGACGAGCACTTGGTGCCCCGTCCAGCTCCAATCCTGTCGTCTGATGGCAAAAGAGTGCCCTCCATCCATGTTGGAACCATGGGATCAGGAGACAGGGTTATGAAGTCAGGCACTCACCGTGATGCCATTGCAGAAAAGGAAGGTATCATCGCTTTCGAGATGGAGGGCGCAGGATTGATTGATCATTTTCCCTGTCTTGTGATAAAGGGCGTTGCCGACTACGCTGATAGCCACAAGAACGACGTTTGGCACCACTATGCCTCTGCCACCGCCGCATGCTGTGCAAGAGCTTTCCTCGAGAGGTTTTGGACGGCACAAGCAACGGAATACCACGGTCATGGCTATGATCCGTGGTCCTTTCTCGGCTCGCCTGATCCAATGATGGGCTCCCACCGATCTGAAGCTCCATCCTCTGAAGGTCTTGCCCATCAATCCACAATTTGGTGTGTGCCACTGCGACGCAAGATCAGTTTTGCAGGGAGAACCAACGAGCTTGCCGCCCTGGAGGCCATGTACACCAACCCCGATTGCTCGTCCATATCTTTGCTTGGCTTGGGGGGTGTCGGCAAAAGCAATCTCGCCCTAGAGTTTGCGTATTCTCTCCGGGAAAAGTCGCCCGATGTTTCCATCTTTTGGGTCCAGGCTTCGGACGCGATGAATTTCGACAATGGCTACGCGGAAATCGGTCGTCAACTAGAGATCTCTTCCATGGCAGAGCTGCAAAGCGATCTGAAGCAATTGGTAAGGCAGCGTCTGAGTCAAGAGAGCTTTGGTCGGTGGCTTCTAATTATCGACAATGTGGATGACTTCGGGTTGTTCTTTGGCGACGAGGGAATCACCCGTTCCAAGTCACTCAACTCCTTTGTTCCGCGAAGCTCTTATGGCTGTACTCTCATCACCACTCGCGATAGAAAAGTGGCTCTCAATTTTAGTCGCAACCACACTATTGAAATCCCGTGCCTGGATAAGGAGGGCGCTCTCACGCTACTGGAAACCTTGCTTGAGCCTCTCCCATCTGGTCTGGACAGAACCCTCGCCTGTTCACTCGTGGAACGTCTTAATTGTCTTCCTTTAGCGATTGTGCAAGCTACCGCATACATCAACCTCAACAGAATCGACGTTTCAGACTATGTGAGTTTGTTAGATGACAAAGAAGAAACTGTGTTTGAACTTTTGGATGAAGATTTCCAGGACGAAGTGCGGGCCCCGGGCGCGAAAAACTCCATAATTTCAACCTGGAGAATCACTTTTGAAAACATTGCGCGCCGAAGCCCCTTGGCCCAGGAATGCCTGACAATGATTGCATGCATCGATTCCAAGAACATTCCCGAGCGGCTTTTACCAGAAGGTGCCTCACGGAAGCACACGATAGACGCCATAGGACTGCTAACCGGCTACTCTTTCTTGACGCGAAGGCATTCAGATTCCGGTAGCGGTACAACCTACGATATGCATAACCTCGTCCACCTGGCGTGTCGCAGCTGGCTGCAAGAAAAGTCAGCTTTAAAAACATGGGCGCCTAGGGCGCTCAATCGCATGCTGGAGACCTTTCCCAAACCCGACCACACCAACAGATCTGCCTGGTCTTTGTACCTTCCACATGCGTCTCGACTTCTACACTCGGTTCACATTGCTGACATGGAAAATTGCTTTGAGCTCACTTTCTTGGTGGGACAGTGCCTTTTTCTAGAGGGCAAATATCGTGACGCGGCTATAAATTTCAAAATCGTTGTGGAGCATAGAGAGAAGACACTGGAGCCTTTTCACCACAACCTTCTTCAGGCTTACACAGAGTTGTCAATCGCCCTGGAACGCTGCAGTCAACTGGAAAAATCACTGGACTATGGCCAGAAAGCACTCCGTGGTTACACTGAAACATTGCCTCCAAGTCATCCCACTGTACTCACTGCCTTTTCCAACATCGCTTCGGTGAAACGAAGACAACATCGGTGGAAAGAAGCCCTGGAGTTTGATCAGGCAGTCATGGAGGCAAGAAGGACGGTTCTTGGCGCCAATCATCCGGACACGTTGAGCAGCATGGCCAACTTAGCGGCGTCCTACAAAAGCATGGGCTCTCCAGAAAAGGCAGAGGAACTTCTTCAATGTGTAGTGGAAGGTCAGAGATCGGCTTTGGGAGAGGATGATCCAGTCTTTCTCTCATCCCTGGCGCGCCTCGCCTCAACATCTCGCTATTTAGGCAGGCTTGCACTCGCTGAGGAGCTTGCCCTGGATGTGTTGAATAAGAGAAAACGGGTCCTTGGTGCGCATCATCCTGACACCATCCGCAGCATGGCCAATTTGGGCTCAACATGGCGGCAGCAAAAGCGGTGGGAGGATGCCGAACGTATTGAAAAGGAAGTCCTTGCATTGCGAATCGGCATCCTGGGGGAAGAAGATCCCCATACTTTGACGGCCATGGGAAACCTTGCAGCTACCTATCGCAGTTCAGGCAAATATGCCCTCGCGGAGAAGTGGGATAAAGACACGCTGAAGATCAAAGAACGGATATTTGGCCCGAACGACCATTCGACTCTGACTACTATGTCTAGCATAGCTTCGACGTACCGGAAGTCCAACCGAAGGGCGGAAGCAGACGCACTGAGCAAAGAAGTGCTGAAGCGCTGTCGCCAATCAATGGGGGAATTGCATCCTCAGACCCTCGGCTGCATGGCTGAAGTTGCTTACATTTCCAAGCGAGAGGGGAAGTTATATCTGGCGGCTTCCCTGGCCAAAGAGGTGATAAAGGGGCGAGAACGCCTGCAGGATCCTCAACACAAGCAGGTTCGGGAAATGAGACATCTACTGTCAAGCGTGAACAGGCAGCGCAACCGACTCAGAGGGAAGAGAGAGCATTCGGCGGGATAAGCGAATACCTTTGAACCCCCTTGCCGCCGACAACAAGCGTTTCGAAGGCACTCGTCCTGGGTTAGATTCAGTAAGAGAGCCCTTGGCGATGATGACACAATCCCGGCCCAGGAGGAAAGCGGCCGGAGATCAAGAGTTCCTCGTGCACAAACCCCAGCCAGTCCACCACGATGTTTAGGACTAGTAAGCGTCAGCAGTCAAGCCGCCCGAGTCCGCTTCAGTCTTGCAATTATGGATTTCATGACGAAGCTGATCCACAGAAGGAGAACAAAGAGTGCAAAAGATGGCTCCTCGCGACGGCAATCGATCAAATGCGAAGGATGGGAACGAGCCATACAGTGAGCCTTGTCGCCGACATTGTCATCTATTACACTAAAGGATCGTGTGAAATTATTGTGCCAGCCATAATCTATCCTGGTCCTGCCGGGATTAATTTTGACTAAATCAGACGAGAGACGACTGTTATTTCTCGGGCCTAGACAAGCAGCCGTTCGGTCTCTCGTTAGTGAGTTGCCGTGCTTGCTAAAACTTGGAAGTCAGGCGATGTGATCGAACTTCTGTCGTTCAAAGTCAAGATGGCAATGGCTCCAGCAATCTAGGGAATGGTTTGTCACCTTGTTGAGGGCTGCTCGTGAAGTAGCGGGCTCCGTTCATCTGGCGCTAGGTGGTATGAGACGATCGATGAGGTGTGAGAGCGAGTCCAAGTATTCCAGCCTTCGAAATGTGCCGGAGTAGCACAATGTTGTTTTCCCAGTTTGGCCAGCCTCCGGTCCCTAACCGTGAAACAGATGGCCATGCCGATCAAGATGATCTGCATTGTCCCTACGAGCACGTAAACGATCCACGCACTCCAGCCTGCCACGTCGACTCGGAGCATCAAGTTGATTCCAAATATCCAAGTGTACTGGCCGGTGGTGTCGAGCTGTCAGCCTCCAGGGCGCAACACAGCAACCAACGGCAGTGAAGAAGACCTACAGGAGCCATTAAACAGAGAGACACTGGACTCAGACTTCCAAGATGTCCCAGGTGCCATGTCGTCCGGACCTGGGGAATCCATTAGATGCACGCAAAGACTGTAACCCACGCCTGTGCATAGCAGGGGAAGCGGTGCAAGATAATGGCTGACACCAAGAGGACGGCAAATGCGAAGCTGCATGCGGCGATGAGGACTCTCCATGCCCGCTTTGCTCGCCGGAATGTACGGTCGGGTCCCGACAATGATGGTCGACGCCCGTGCAATTCTGCATCGGCCTCTTCCTCCGAGTAATAGACGTACATGAAAAGGCTAGAGGAGTTTTCAGCATGATCCCACAATAGAGTAGGCGATTAAGAAGTGCTTTGCAGGTGCAGAAAGCTTACACGATCCAGAAGCATGCAATGCCAAAGATGACCTGGAGCATTCCGAGAAGGCTACTGATGCAGGCGAAGCGCGTGTTGGTCCTGCAGCAACCGATGTCAATTGCGCTAGAGGGGAGCATCATGATATTGCCCACGGCACACACGCCTGATAGAGAGCCGAGAAGGATATAGTATGTCGACAAGCCCTCTGCGGATCTGCGCGAGATGATCCGGCCCCATTGTGGAATGTAGCAGATGAGCAGCCAGCCCATCAAGGAGCTGGGCGATATAGGATTAGTACATGCTTTCACCTCCTGTCCTTGTCGACCAACAGACAGACGAAGCATACCAGGAAACGACGAATTGGGGTATGGATGGCTTAGCGAGCTCGTCACATTGGTCGGGCTCAAACATCCGAGTAGGTGGGGGATCCATGTTTGCTTTGGATCCACGGCCCAGTCCAGCACAACAAGGTCGATGAGTCCAAATCTGGCAGAGGTTTATCGAAACCAAAGATCTAATGAGACAAGACAAGAAAAGGTAAGCAAATGCTAAACAAGGACGTAGAACACACGAAAAGAAGGAAGCGTAAGGGGCGCAGAGGGAGCAAATACCCTGATAAGAAGGCATACAGGCGCATGTGCGCCGCGGCCTCAGCTATGACGAAACCCCTTTCAAGCCCTTTTGAAGCAGCCGGTTGGCTGGATGTTTGAATGTGTTATGTATGAATGATGGAGATGCGCATCGTCGTCATCAACAACCATGCTGTGTAACCTGGTTGTGATGTAGGTATGTACTGGGTATATCCATCGAAGATCCATGTCCACTGTTGCCAATAAGAAGGAACTGCGATGCCGAATCAATGCCAACTAGAAGCGCTCTGTATCTTTCCAAGATGTTTAATGGACAAGGCTGAGCCGAGAGGAGAAGAGAACGGAACCTTGGTCTGACGTCCTTCTGAACCACTTGGTTACTTCAACGGGCCTATAGTCACCGTGATGACTACTCGGAGAAGCGGGAAACGTCGACCTCACCCGCGACCTCAACACGGCATCCCTTGGAATGCAGGATGGAGCTGACCGAGTGGGCAAGGTATGCTCAACAGAGGACAAGGGACCATATATAGATTGACTCGCGAGCAGACGGCACTAGCACGATGGGTTCGGGGCCTCAGCTGGAGCACGTCCCTCGTAGTGGAACTGCTTGATCGGCTTCGTATGGTTCCAGCATCTCTGTACGATAGCTAGATCCTCGTATGGCTCATATCAACAGTGTATACCTCGTACCTATGGCGATGTTGCAGGAAGAATAGCGTGATGAGGGCAACAGGGAATGAAGACAAACTTCGCCTCTGGGGCCCCGGATCTGCGTGGGCAGCTTTGGCTCTCGGTTAGCAGCGTCGCAGCTGCGGATTTGGTCGCTCTGGTACAAGGGATCCGGTACATCCAAGGCAATACAGTTGCTGTTGCCGTGTGCTGTCGCTGTCTCATTCATCTTCTTCTACATTCCATGCGTCGTCTCGCCTAAACATGAGAGAAGGCAGTCTCCGATACTGGCTCCGATGAATCAAATGCCCTTCTCCAGGAGGAGCTTGTACGACCACGCCATTGAACCACTTTTGGCAACATTCAACCGCCGCACCCCCCTCCTGCTGCTCTCCGTCTTTTGCACCTTTGCCTTATTCGCATGGTATAGATCAGCCCGTGGATCTGCGGTCCCGTTGATCCACAGCGACTACGGTGCCTATGGCCGGAAGAGCGGGTTCGACGGGACATGGAACTACCAGAGGGACGCAGAAAACTTGATGCTGGACTCGCAGCAATGTGAGCAGGCCTTTCCAGGTCTGTTTGAGGAAGTCAACCGACCGGTGAACGAGAGGATGCACAATCCCATCACGTTTGAAGAGATCGATGCGATGCGAAAGCAGAATGGTTATGTCCGCGCCATGATCTACAACCAACAGGTATGCAACCACCACTTTGGGGAACGTCTCAATGGCGTCCTCTCAACTGCCACTGTGTTTCGGTTGCTAACTGCTTCTGCTGGTATAGCTCTACGTTATTGCGACTGCAGGAGGCATATACTCGCGCGAGATTGCCACCCTTCATGCCTTACACCGCGCTATTCTCACCTCTCCCGAGCCCCTTCCCAACATTGAATTCGCATTTAACACAGACGACCGCATCCCCTCCGTTCCTTTATGGGGTTATGCCCGCCGTGCAGAAGACACACACATCTGGCTTATCCCAGATTTCGGCTACTGGTCCTGGCCCGAGACGAAGGTCGGCTCAATGCGCGAAGTCCAGATGAAAGCCGCCCTGACGGAACAAGTCGAGGGATGGAGTTGGGGCAAGAAAAGGGGCAAACTTCTTTGGCGTGGCGCCACTATGGGACTAGAACTACGCGAGAGACTGATTCAAGTCACCACCGACAAACCCTGGGCGGATGTCAAGGCTCTGAATTGGCATGACAAGGAGTCCATGACCCACGACCTGAAATCCATGGCCGAACACTGCCAGTACAGGTACCTCGCACATACCGAGGGTAACTCGTACTCCGGGCGCCTGAAATATCTCCAAGCCTGCAAGTCGGTCGTGGTCGCGCACAAGATGGACTGGATCCAGCATCACCACCCACTCATGCGGTCCAGTGGGCCCGAACAAAACTACCTTGAAGTCGAGCGCAGCTATGAGGATTTGGAGCCAAAGATTACATGGCTGCGGGCTCGCGACAAGGAAGCCGAGCGCATTGCTGCGAACAGCGTGAAGACGTTCCGTGAGCAGTATCTCACGCCGGCGGCGGAGGTGTGCTACTGGCGCAAAGTCATCTATGGCTGGGCCCAGGTGAGCTTTGAGCCCGAGTTTTTTAAAATCGTCAACGGATCAGCGGTCTGGAGGGGTCTCCCCGTGGAGTCGTATCTTTTGGAACGGAGGTTGGAGTGGGATCCTTATTAGTTGTTTATTCTTTGGCACGAAACAACATGTCTGAGTTGTCAAAGCAAAGCCCAGGGGTCGGGCGACACGCGTCCAAATCTTGTATGCATCTATGAGCCGGCGGCTTTGTATTGTACATATATATTTAGCTAGAAAGGAGCATGCAGTATACGATATAAAATACACCTACTTTTATTTGCGAGGATGAACTACAGTAACGAAAGGGACGTCGTGAATCGAGTATATGCATTACTACTCCATTCAGCTTCGGATCAGAGAAACTGGGATTTTTGGAACATCTCGCCCGTGAGTGACAGGGACGCGAGCTCTCGTTGTCTGCCTCTTGTACTACACCAGCCCGTAATCATCTACACATAGGTATAGCTATATCCTTGTTCAGCACCACGCACTGCAGGGACAAGAACAGGAACCCAGACAAGGACAAGGCAATAGAGAAGGGGTAAATGCGAATGCCAAGTTGGGTTTCCCTGATCTCGTTGATTCATTTTGCGCAGAGATCTCTGTATCAGCAATGGACATGGCGCAAGAAACTTTTGTGCAACTTTTCCGAAAATAAGTCTCATCGTCTCTTGGGGATTTGACACGGCCACAAGATAGAGTTTGTTGTCTTCAATCGCTGAGGGTGTAGACCGGAAACGAACCTTCTCCCGTCACATCATCATGTCTCTGGGCGTTCGATGCCGTTGTTTGTCACTGGGCCAGCTTCGCTGTTTCGGCCCTGACAATCTCGCGCACCTTGTCTGGCACATCTTTCTCATTCTCTTCGAGTGCTTTTCCCAATCTCTCTCCCAACTCTTGAACCTCGCTTTCCTTGGCACCCAGGCTCTTCAGCTCCAGCAGACACTTCAACGCAAGCAGATACTTCTTTCTTCTGAGGTGAACCTCAAATCCAGCCTCCTGCGCCTCCATAACATCAGGACAAAACTCCAACAGCGGACCCAGAAATTTCATCGCGTCCTTCAAAGGCTCCTTCGTCTCGACAAGAGTCTTACCAAAAGGGTCGGGATCTTCCTTCTTGGTTTCCCCTTCGTCAGCTTTGGGCGTGGGTTTGCTCGCCTTTAGCGCGGCCTTCTTCTCTGCGTCGGCCTTTTCCATTTTCTCTTGTTCCCTTTTGGCCTTCTTGAGTGCCTTTTTGCGGTCCGCGGCGCTCATTTCTCCCGTCTTGTTTATACCATTCACAGTATCCATAATTGGCCCGTGTACCAAGTCAGGGTTGTCAAACAGCAACAGATACGCTTTCACTGCGGAGACGGCCATCTTGGAAAAGAAGGGGTGCTCTCTCAGTCGATCCTCCCACCGCAGCATGTCGATATACGCCCGTATCATGCCCTTGCGAAGCGAGAAGTTGTGGAAGTCAAATTGATCTTCTTGCCAGAGGTCAAAGATACCGAGGATCTGGTGAAATCGTTTCAACGCAAGGCCGAGTTTCCGTTGGCGCAAGTAGGACTGCCCGTCTTCCGCGAGATACCAGATACATTGCATGTCGACGAGATCCCCCAATGGCCCTCCTGTGCGGTTCTGTGTGAATTTACTTGCGGTCTCGAGGGCTTTGTCATTTTGATCGCAGCGAAGTTGGTACTTGGCGCATTTGGTGTTGATTGCACGGTCTTTCTCGTCGAGTGAGCGGGCGTGGTCCATGATCTCGGCACCTTTCGTCAGCTCCCCTTTGTGCTTGTACGTACGAGCTTTAACTGATTGGAAGTCAACAGATTGGGGGTCTAGGGCTATACATTTGTCGGCGTAATCGAGAGCTTTGTCGAGGTCGCGACTTAATTTGTAGTTATAGTGCTGGGCGAGGAAGTAGAGAGCCGAGGATCTGAAGCGTGTTTCTTCTGTATCCCCATTTTCTTTGGCTCCGTTGGTCTGTGGTTGTAGATGTCCGGAAACATAACCCTCCACCAACCCCTGAATAGTGTCTCTCTTCGATCCGTTGGTGTAAAGGTGTTTGATATTTGCAAAGGTCGAAGGAACTCCTTTTCGTAGCATCCTCTGGAGGTACTGGTCTGCTGCTTGTTTGAACTCTTCCCCCGATAGAACATCCAATGGTCTCCGACGGGGAAGGTCAGCTTTGGGGTGTCTCTCTGCCAGCTCCTGATATGCCTTGTTGATCTCCGAAACGGGGCCATCAGTTAGCCCTCTGGCAGCGATATATCCATCATAGTATGCAGAGTCATCCGGGTTACGCTCGAGCAACGCGGCGTATGCTCTCTCGGCTTCGGCTTTTCGGCCCAACCTGGCCAGATAATCTGCCCTCATTTCCATCACTGCAAGGACATCGGGGCTCTTCTTGCCCACGGCCTCCAGGTGATCTAGCGCCTTCTCGAGTTCGCCCGACTCTGCAATGACGTAATTCTTGTAGAGCACGGCTTCCCAATGCTCAATGTCTGACCTGGTCGGTTTCGCCTTGAGCGTCTCCTCATAGGTGGTGAGGACATTCTCTGCATCCTCGTAATTTCCCGCTAGGTGGTGGGCGATGGCTAGAGCTGTCCAGTTTTGCCGGAACCCCGGTTTCTGCTGCAGCATATTTTTCCGGCTCTGGATGTAGCCTTCATAATCTCGCATTTGAACCTGAAGATGTGCCAAATCTCTCTGTATGGGCGCGGAGTCGGGTTCTAACCGCAGCGCGAACCTGTATGCCTTGATAGCCTCCTCATAGTTCTTCACGCCGCGGTACAATAAGCCGTACACGTGCCAGCAGACATGCGACTTCATGTTGTTGTTGAGCGCGATTTTGGCCAGGGCAAATGCTTCTTCGGTGTGGCCTTGATGGCTCATGATCAGGGCCTTCATGGCTTGCGTGTCTGCATGGTTGGGAGTTTTCCGTAGGATTTGTTCGGCTGCCTTGAGACCTGTATGGGAGTGAGCTTTGTGTTTTCAGGACAGTAGAGCACGAGACCCGCACCCTTTTTGTATTGTTTATTTTCAAAGTTGCGCACAACTTGCCTGAACAAGGCCGCATCTTTGTGGCTCAGTTGCGGTTGTGATTGCGCCATGTTGGACGTCAGAGTAGGCTGGCTTAGTTACTAGGTATGGCAGGATGATCCAGAACGGGCGAAAGTGTGCTGAGGCTTGACGCTGTACAGGGTACGGTAATGTAGAATCAGGATTTTCAAAGAGTGTCCAAGGTTAAACCATGTTCAAAGAGAAGGGAGTTACGCTATAGTCCACCGCTCTGCAACAGCGACAAGGCACCGAGACCACTTGATGAAGGGCGGATATTGTGGAGTCGATATTCCCTGCTCAAAGTCAAGTCTGCAGTCGACTGCGGCTCGGAATTGACAGCCTCGTCAGGCTTGGCGTTGTCACCATATTCTGTACTCGGTTCAGCCTTGCCAGGGACCTATTAATATGATTGTGAGACACTTCGTCTTGGTCGTCCTAGTTTGAGAGTGTGTGACGCTGCTTTTGTGGCTTGGCGCAACGTGGATTCCTTGCCCCTTCTCTTGCTTCCCCCCCTCCCAAAAAGGCTGCATCTGCCATCGCCGTTTCGGGCACCAAAAGGGAAAGGGAAAAGGAACCAAGGCTGATCTCTCTCCAAGACTCCAACACGCCCATCTCTGTCTCCATCCGTCACAACCTTCGTCGTTTCCCCTTTACTCCCAGCGGGCCCATTTTCTCTTCCACTGCGTCATGTAATCGCTTCAAATGAAGTGACACCCTTGCTTTCCTCACAACCATGTCCGTCGTCTGGGAATCAACACCTGTCCAATAACGACACGATGCAGTCATCAGCCGTAGCAGGAGCCCAACGGCCTTCGCAGTCTCAGCGTCGACAACAGGATTTCCCGGATTCAATGTATTCCCAGACCCAACCTCCGACCATGAATCCCACAACGAGCTCCGCCTCTCAGCCAAGATCGTCTTCTGGCTCAGGCCGTTCGCAGAGAAGCGCCAATGTGAGTGTCTCTTTGTCTAACTACGGGTGTCTGCTCTGACTCGAGCAATCTCCAGCCCGACAAGCAGATATCGCAAATAGAGAAGAGCGTCACCCATCTACTCGTCGCCACGAAACAACTTCTCGAGACATTGACGCAGTGGTCGCGTGGGCAGGCGCAGGAAGAGGAGGTTTCGGATGTCTATGTTCGACTGGGATACGAGTTCAATCTGGCCTGCCGCGCCTTCAATTCAATAGGTGTCGAAACTTCCGACCTCGGCCCTGTCCCTGATCTCTTGCGGAATATCCTCGAGGACACCCTGAGCCAACCGGCTTCTCCTCAAGCCCTTGACAACTATCTACCTCGTATCCGCGACATCATTATCAATCTTCTACATGGCCTCAAGAGGAAGCAAAGTCGACTACGAGGGCGGACCACCAAGGACGCCTCAACGACATCGCAACCGAGACCACCTACTACTCCAGGCAGACAACCTAGCGTATCTACAACAGGAAGCAATGAGACTGGCTTGACGCACATGCTCGACGATGTACCCAGCGCCACTTCGAGTATGCGTGCTCAAACACCTCCCCAAAGCGGTGCAACAGCCGATCAGCCTTGGGTTGCGGCAAACACTCCGGCCACGCAACCGCCAAACCGATCATCTATAAATAGACACTCGATGCGACGGGATGTTGCTCCCCAACTACCTCAGTCGGATTCAGGCTCGACAATATCTTCAAGCACTCCTCAAAACCCACCCAGTCTGCCAGTCTATCAGGACGTTGACCGGTCTCCTACCGTTCCTCAGATCAATTTCCCACATCCTCCCCCGCCACCGCCGAAGCAAGCAGATGCCCTCACTAGATTACAGCGTGGCGGAGATTTGGAAAGGCGAGCCTCAAGAAGATTCTCAGCCTACCAAATCCAGAAGCATCTTGGTGCTTCACCTAATGGTGTCCCGGTCATTCCTGCCGCTCAAAATTCTCCTATCCCAAACAGGGGAAAGGAGGTGCGCGAGTCTTTGACTGCTGTTCGATCACGGAGTTCCTACCAACAATCAAGAGCGAAGTCTCTACGTCAAGGGGATGTGTCGCCCAGCAGGAGTGGGACTGTCAAAGCACCGCAACGCATTTCAGAGGAGAGAGAGGAGACCCCAGTTCTGACTTTGCAGGAAGTGCCTTCAATGAAACGACCCGACGAATCCATCAACTTCGACAGCCCGACCGTAAAGACCCCAGACGAGTATCTGCCGGCCCCAAAATCCGATTCTGGCAGCGGAGATAATGTGCTGATGGGAGCAACTGTCAATGGCCCTCTCAGTCCGCCCCCGGAAGAGTTGCAGGCAACAATATCCCTCGACTCACAAGTCGCGCCAGCACCTTCCGAACACAAAGCGTCTGTAGATACAGAACCAGTCAAGACGCCTGAGACCGTTCAGCGAAGACCACGAGAGAACCTTACGCCACCGCAATCGCAAGTTCTAACAGACTCATCACCTCTGCAAGGCAAAGAATTGACTCTTTTCTTGCAGTATAGAAGCAAAATCAAGAAATTCGTTCTCGCGGACGGCTACGAAGAACTCACTATTGCTAGGTTGCAGCTTGCTTTCATTGAGAAATTTGCGTGGAACACTCAACATAACGGAGTAGACCTCCCCGAAATTTATGTGCAAGATCCGGTCTCTGGCGTCAGGCATGAACTGGAAGACCTTTCGGATGTTAAGGATCGAAGCGTCCTCGTGCTCAATGTTGAAGCTCTAGATGAAGTCAAAAAGCATATTGATGAAGGCATGAGCGGTCTTCAAAAGGCTTTGGAGGGAGTGCGGTCATTGCTAGAAGGCCAGAGTACAATGATGCAGCGATTTTCGGACCGACAGCTCGAAACCTCAAAGGAGATGGCAAGGATGTCTGCGATGCCTGCACAGCATCCAGCGCGGACCCCGACATTGGCTTCTGGTACATTCACAGCTCCGCCATCTTCCGAGTCTACTCTGCAAGAAATCCAGAACCTTCGTCGGGAGATTGCAGTGTTGCGCCAGACATATTCGACAATGTCTTCAGACTTTACTGCAGCCATGAGCGACATTAAAGCCAAGGCGGCCAACGTCAAGGCTGTTGCTGCAGAGGCCGCCAATGCAACATACAAAGGGGACGCCGGTCGGGCACATATCAACGAGGGCAAGAAACAACTCTCTGACGACTCTGAAGCACTTGTCAATCGTGTTGATGATCTTTCAGATATTGTCGAAGAGCTGCGCAAAGATGTTGTGGCCAGAGGAGTCAGGCCCCTTCCTCGACAACTTGAGGATATCAGCAAGGAGATCAGCGCAACCGCCAAGCAACTGGGGAAGGTCAAAGAATTTGTCAAGCGTGAGAAGCCCATCTGGACTAAGATATGGGAACAAGAACTGCAAGTCGTCATGACGGAAAGAGACGATCTGACACAGCAAGATGAGTTGATGAATGATCTCGACGGCGATCTTGAGGACATCACAAATGTCTTTAAGCTCGTGGAGGAAGCCACAAAGCAGCAGAATTTGCAGAGCGCCAGTAGTGGTCGCCATCCCTCAAGGAATCTTGCCTTTGATACGGATGTTGATCCCCGCGAAGCCAAAAGTGGTATGCTAGATGAAGTTCGAGCTTTACAACCGAATCATGAAAGTCGCCTTGAAGCAATAGAGCGAGCGGAGAAAGTCCGTCAACGAGAGCTGGAGAGTCGAAAGGTTGGCGAATTCCAACGGGAGGTCGAAAAGTTTGTTGAAGAGGGGAAGTTGAAGAAGACAGGCGGCATGGATGAAGTGGAACGTAGGAGGAAGCTGAAAGACGAGCTGGCGAGGAAGGAGAACTGGGAACGACAACAGGCTAGAGCGGCTGAACTGGAGAGGAAACGGGCCGAGGAGGCGGCGGCAGCGGCAACAGGGCCTCCAGCTGAGACGAACGGCGCAATACAGCAAGACTCAGAGCACGATACCTCGCAAGAAGAGGAGACGGCATTACAGAACGCGAAAGAGGAGGACGTACCGTCGCCTAAAAGAGCGAATTCGACAGAGCCGGCCCCTGCGGTGGTGAGAGATGATTTTGTCGAGTCAATGTCCGCGGGGGCACCACAGTTACCAGAGATTGGAGTTGGCAACGAAGGAGAAAGTGAGAAGGGACATGGTATGTCTTTTTTCCGTGATTCTATGAGTGAGGCTGGTTGATGGCATTTCCACATTGTAATACGACTACAATTTCTGATTCAGCCTATTTTCCATCTCAACCTCGAGTATATTTGGGATTCGGTACTGATTTCTGTGATTCTGTACTTGATAGATTCTACCACTTCGGCCGGGAGCGCTGAAGCAACCGAAGACGGAGCCAAGAAGAACGCGAGCGACGATCACGAGCAGGAGGAAGGCAAAAAGGAAGACAGCAAGGCAAGTGGGAATTGGTGGCAGCCGGCTGTATTTTCCAGCTGAGAGCTGGTTCAATATTGTTTGCAAGGATCAGTTGTTTTTTTTTTTTTATTATCTTTGCATCATTTGGCAGGCGTGGAGTTTGCGAGCTTCTTTTCTGTCTGTTGATTCAATCGCATAATTTGCCCCCAGATATTTGAATCTGCTACCTTTATATTCTTAACGCGGAAAAGGTGTTGGTTGTTGTACAGTTGCCATTCTGTCTGTCCTGGCATAACCACCAAGCAGCTAGCCCTTTCTTTTTGACGACTGTCGGGTTGATGCTGGGGATGAGAATGGGAATGACTCGGTTCGCAATCGCCTCCCACGGCCTCCATTCTCCGTGACGGGGAGACATTTGCCATGTACCACTTTCTGAATTTTAGGCCCGGAGGTTCTGGACCGTGTCATTTGCGCTCCCACCCCTTTCGAAACTTTCTTGATAGTCGGGACATCATTTTGCAGGCAGCCGTTGTTCGAGAAGGGAAAGGAACACTGCAGCTGACAAAATTGTTGGCGGGCGACGCTGTCTGCAGGCCAATTGATCACGCAGAGATACTCGAAGACTGCAGAATCTCGACGCAACATCCCTGTCCAATCCAAGGCGGTCATCGTAGAAGAGTGCTTCGTGTATGCAGGGGAGAGTCTGGGGCGAAGAAAAAGATAAGAATGTCCCCCTTAGCTCATCCCGAGGATTTTCTCCTCGGCTAATTTGATAGCCTCCTTCGCCCTGAGCTTCACTCCCTTACTGAGTGCTTCTTTGCTCAGCTTGTCAAGAGGAGCCATGAAAGCTTTCGCAGTAGCCAGGAGGGCCACTTTCTTCTCTTCGCCATCACTCTGCCCAGACTCGTCAACGACCTTTTGAGCCGCGCTCAGTTGACCGGCAAGCTCTTCAACCCAGATGTCTAGGACATGTAGCCTCATTCCATCGGGGACCTTGCGCTCGCGGGGACTAAGGGGCCAGATTTCCAGGATCTGGAGTTGCCTCGCAATTCGATGTTGTGATGCCGGTTCCCCCGTGCTTACCAAGCCGAGCGTGAGGTTGAACAGTTCCCGCACAATGAAACGCACAAGCAAGAGGACTTTGTTCATGCGCCACTGATCAATCGAAGACCATTCTCTGCATACCGTTTCCCAAAATGCTGCCGTCCATGTATCTAACCATGATTTGCTTTGACTGTCTAATTCATCTGCGGTGGACTCGCGGTCTTTTTCGTTCATGATTCTGAGCGTTCCAGCAAGTTCGGCAACGAGACTTTGGACCGAGAGCGCATACCTGCTGTCATGCATGTAAAGCCCAACGTAGAAGCCGCGCCAGATTTGAAGGCATTCGGTTAGCGTTAATGGCGACGAGGCGCTCTGATCATTCAGGTAAGTCATGATGGTATTGAGACATGCACGTCGGACAGATGCTTCTACGTCTGAGAGTCAGCGGACGAGGATCAACCAAGTCAGAAACCACTATGCTATGTCGCAAGAAGCCGCGATTTAGCAGGCTCTATTCTAGAACACCTACTCCTTCCTCAATGCTTCCAGCGATGATGAGGTTGACAGCGTTTGATTCAAATAAAAAAAGATGCATATCAACACTTGGAAAAGGGGTCAACATACCGCTACTTGCAAGATCCTTGACCGAAGGAATGGTCGCCGCCTCGGCGTGCTGGGCCATGGCCATCCTCATCGAAGTTCCTGACGTGGGAAATTGATCTATGTGACTATGAAAGAAGCAGTAGTCAGAGGTTCAGCTGCATGCTCAATTGACCATAGATCTATCCTCGAAATCAACGTGAGACAACGACTTTGGGGTGCAAGTATTAGAGCGAGAAATATGAAGACGAAAAAGTTTCATCTTCGAATCAGAGGTGGTGAAGTCTTGGCGCCGGCGATAAGGCTGTAGTGACAAGGCTGGACAAGGCTGGACAAGGCTGAGCGAAACTAGATTCAATTAATTCACTTTTATATTTCCATTCCTTCGGCCATGTACAGAAAGCGAAAATCTACTAAATCTCCAAAAAATCGCGTCTATGTGTACAGAGGATGGGGTTAACCACCGAAGGAGTCTGCAAACCCATCTCTACCTCGCCTTACTGTTGTGTTAATCAACACTATACGGTGACCTCGCACATTCGGAATCGTTGAAGTCATCCCATTCATCCCGAGCGTCCTCCTCTGGATTGTACTTGGTGGCAAGGAAGCTTCCTGATAATGCACGGTTGTATTCGGACGATGGCCGGCTACCGGGGTGACGGAGGTAGTCCATGTAATGCTTGCTGTTCGATTTCCCGGTCGTAGAATCCATGCCACTTGTGCCCGGTCTCGACGGAGAAGGCGTGTAATCTGCGAACCCGCCCTTCCGTGGGTTGACGGGCGTTTTCTCTTCGTCAGAGAAGCTGTGAAATCCATTCAAACCGTTCGCGAAACCCTTGTCGTCTGGTGACATCGGCGTGACCCAGGTCTTGACAGTATTTGTCCCTGACATAGCGCGCTCAAGAGCATCATTGACAGCCGATAATGTCGGCGTGTTGGATTCTCCGTGTCCATTTAGTCGATCGTGGGCGTATTGTGGGCTCGGCGAGTCGGAGATTCTCCCATTTGTTTGTACAAACCCATCCTTTTCATTGTCAAGCATTATCGGCGGGTTGGGGCTTTTGTGGTTCAGGACGGTCTTTTCTTCTTCCTGTTCGACAAGTGTTTCATCCTCTGGTGAAACTAGCTCATGGTCTTGCTCTTTCAACACCTCTTCTTGAGAATCCCTATTTCCCTCTTCGGCGGGTAGGAGAGGCAATTGAGAGTCGCGGGCTTGGTCGGGCGTGTCCTCAACCCTTTTTGGCTTGATCGGAGGGTCTTCGAGTTTGAATTCACGCTTAGATGAATCCCCTGATTCTGACCGAGTCTGTTGCTGGGGTCTGGTCTTTATAGGAATGTCGATCTGTCTCGGGTCGCTAGACCTCGGCTGCTTCGAAGCCTGATCCTCGACTGCACTTGACAAGGTCGCAGGTTTGGTCTCTGTTGGTACTTTGGTGTTCTCAACAATCACAGCCATCCAGACACCGATCCTATTGTCACTTCCAAGCAATGGCGTTGCAGAAACCCAGCAGACTCTGCCCTGTCCTGCGTCTTGGAGTTTGTTCCCTACGCGGGTTACTGTCCCGTCGTGTCGATCGCCAGCTTCGAGCAGCAAGGTGATCTTTGCCGAGACGGGAACACCAGCGTAGAAGCTCTCTTTGAGCCCTTTCAGAGTATTTGTGGAAGCAGCAACATGTGATAGGAATGGGTGCTGGATGATATTGCCCACGCGTCGCCGTAAGACAGAGGACACAAAGATGATTCGGACAGAAGGCGCTGGCCTGACCAGCATGTAGCTGTCGTAGACGCCCGGCAGCTGTCCTGACAAGCCAGATCGTCCTGACTGACCAAGTTCCCAGATCTGGTCATCGTCTTCAGCGAATTCTTCGTCGGCGTTTTCTAAATTCACATCGGTATCACCAAGAATACGTCGAGTGACCTTGCGGGCGCTTGCGACACACTGTTCGTCGTCTTCCCTTGATGCTGAATCAGACCCCTCATGCGAACGCACAACGGCGGATTCCTCCAGGTCAAACATCGCACTAAGCTCCCGCAATTTTTCCAGTGCCTTTGGTTTTTGGTGGCCTTGATTGGCCCCCCCATCTCCATTGCCGTGGGCTTCTCTTTCACGTTTCTCTATCTCCCGGCCGCTAAGGTACCGTTTCAATCCGTCCAATCTCTTCCCGTGTTCGACTATTCCTGTCACGTCAACCTGGGCGCCAATGTGATATTTGACGTTGCCTTTATCGTCGTGAAGAGGTGCAATCATCAGTAGATTTATAAACGGTCTACCGTCTCTCCGGTAGTTCAACAAAGTCTCACATATATCTTCGCCTCCTTGAATGCCTTGTCTCAGTCTCGCTACAGACTCTCTGTTCGTTTTGGGGCCTTGCAAAAAGCGACAATTTTGCCCTATGACATCGTCGGGACCATATCCTGTCTGTCGGTAAAACTCCTGGCTGGCAAAAATGATCGGATTATCCTGCTGTTTCGGATCTGTAAGGCAGAATACTTCGGACAAGCCTCGTGCCAAATCTTTTGTATAAGTCTGTTTGCCCGTAATCTCGTCTATGAGATATTCGGTCACCAATTTCACCAGGTGGTACGTGACATACATGGGAAGGGCGGAGTCGACCATAAGGCGGAAGGCAGCACTACTCAACTCCTCAAAAGCCCTGTCGAGAGTTGCTGCGATAGAAACCTTTGGATTCGAGGGGTCACCATCGTCTGAAGAGGAGGGGATTCCTTCAGCAATCGCATTTGCGTACTCAATGGCCTTGATAGCCTTTTGTGTTTCGAGATATCGCAGAAGGACATGATGATACTGCGGTCGATACCTTGTCAGAAAGGAAGTGAAGCGGGCCAGGTACTGAGGATCGCGAAGGAGAGTATTGAGATGGCCCGAAGAAAAGAGCGACTCTGAAAGTGACTCGGCTGAAGGAGGTCTGGGCCGAGAAGGAAGGGGAGGCGGGTGCAAGTCGAAATCCAGAGCAGACGACTCAGAGTTCAGCACGAGCCCAGCGTCCACCTCAGACACAGCGCGTGGCAAAGAGGACGGGCTTGAGCCCGGTTCCTGACCATCGTCCTGGCGAGGACAGTCTATTCGAGGGGGCCGGTCTGAGGGAGATGGCCTCGGATCAAAGTCGGTGGAGGCATGTGGGAGTTTTGGTCGATGCAGTGGAGTGTTTCGTACGTCGACTGATAGAGGTTGAGAGACGTCTGGCGTTGGCTGTAACTTGGCCGGCTCAGCTTTGGTGATCAGCCGAGGAGGTGTCTTAACCAAACCGTTGGCGGCAATGTTCTTTGGACCTGGCTGGCTGGGGTGAGCATCCGCGGTGGACTGGACGGTGGGTTGTTTGCGAGGCTTCTTGGACCGGCCAGAACGAAGTCGGAGGCTTTGCTTGATTCGTTCCAGGTCCATGGCGCTGGAACCTGCTTGAGGGTGGACTTGTCAAGGCTTGTCCAGCTTATCCAACGACGGATGGACCACGAAGAGAAGGGCCAGCAACGACGACCGGAGAGATGAACAAGGACATTCTCTAGAACAGAAGCTATCACGACAAGCAGACGTTCAGAACCGCCGGAGGCAATGGAGGCAATGGAGGCAATAGAGGAAATGGAGGTAAAAAGCAGGTGTGATGTGCGAGGTTGTGAGGAGCGGTGGTCTGAGGAGTCAGTAGCTCTGGTGGTTCTGGTGGCTCTTCTTGCCTGCAGCTCCGATTCGCGAAGGGCAGCCCGATGACGGTGAACAACCATTGTCAATCAATGCCAGATGGACGATGGATGGCGATCTGGTGCAGCTCGAGACGATCCAGCACATCAGCATCACCGACGAATCAATCTCATGCAATCAATGCAGGGCACTAGGGCGCTTCCATATCGGGCCGCGCTGCACCCATCAGACCGCTGAAGTGGACGGCGAGATGGGTTGGACGGGCCATGTGGTGCAAAGGGATCAAAAGTCTTGCTCGTCATGACTTTGGGGGTGCTGGCTCCACTAGGCCGGGCATTGGCGCACCTCGTCAACCAAGGCCTGTGATGCTTGGGGGGCCAACGACATCCATTTTCGAAGAGTGACCTGCGCAGTGTGCTCACTATTCTTACCGGGCAGATTGCATTCTATCTCGAGCCCCACGTCTATGTATTCTATCTTGTCTTTATCGCGCCCTCTCTTTCAACCCTCCATCATTCGCCTGAGCCTTCTCCTGTTCATGGAAGCTCGGCGGCCCATAGCCGGGTATGGGCAAAAACTTTCCCACTTGTTCCCGGTATACCTTGTATTCCGGATACTTTCCCGAAGACAAGAGCTCTGTGAGCCAGGTGCTGGACTGGAAAAGGAGCAGATAGGCCGCTGCTCCAATCCCGCTCCAATTGTACAAGGTCCCCGTGGCCAGGCACGACCACAGGTACAGGGTGACCCAGACGCCTTGCTCTGCTGCGAAATTCGGGTGTCGCGAATAGGCAAACAGGCCTGTGGTGAGGAAACCACGGTCCAGATCTGCTCGTTCCCAGCCAGGTGGTACTTTGGCCGTTTTGTGATACTCGGCTTTGGCCGCATGGTAGTTCCACTGCTGCTGGTCTGCCACGTATGATATGGCGATAAAAGTCATCATGGCGGCAGCCGCAACAGCATCGACCATATTCCAGGACCGAATAGGGCCGTCATAGGTTGCCAGGCGTTCGGTTAGCAGGAGTACGTAGGCTGGAGTCGTGATGCAGACGAGGAGCAGGGACTGTGCCAGTGAGATGAATAAGACATTGAAGAGGAACATCAAGGCAGGTCCGGCATAGTCCTTCACGGTGGCCCATCGGTAATCCTCGCTGCCAATCGAATAGCCTCCCTTTCGATAGTAATTGTAAGTCAATCGGGCCTACCGCAATATTAGCATGGCATATCAAACAGTCAGTTCCACTCCTACACTCCATATTGAGATGATGACACAAAGGACATCCAGTCTCGCTGTATGCACTCCAGCAAGGTGGGCAAAGACTGTATAGTGCAGGTTGTAGACGGTTGGCAATATTGACCACACTCGGTCTACTTGGGAGTAGTTCTTGTTTACTTCGGAGATCAACAAGAAGATGGGAGCCAGGGCAAACCCAAAAGCGATGGCGGTGATCAGAGGGTTCGTGTCGAGGTACAACTGTGTCAAAACCGTAAAGTTGGTGGCGGATGAGAAGAGCATGTCGGGGAGAGCTGCAAGTTGGGAAAGATAGGGGGCAACTGTGCGGTTGTAGTCAGCGCATTCAAGCAAGCTGTATACGACGGGTAAAGCCATGTTTGTAGTTGTGAAGGCAGAGTGTGTAATGGAGGAGAGTACATGGAAACAGGAGTGGAAGAAAAGGGACTGTGGATGAAGCCGTAGTGCTCAGAGCTAACAGGTAAGACCAAAATGTAATGACGCAATCATGCTTCCTTCTCCCGTATTGAGTTTTCCGTCACGTGTCACGACTTTTGACACGCAGTGTCACGGACGATGGACAGTTTCATCTTAGTCAGTATGTATCTCGTGCTGCGGCACCCATCGGGCTATACACATAGGTACTAATTACTTGTAGGTATCTATGTAGGTATGTAGGCAGGAACCAGGGTTGCCACCATCTGCTACTGCCACCACTGCCACCACTGCCACCACTGCCGCCTGTAGGTCCACAGGGACATACTCGTAGGCACCAGCTCTACGGCCCGTGCCTGCTGTCGCCTCATTGACGAATCGGTCCCCTCGTGGCGCATTCGCCGATTTTTCAGACGCGTCGGTTCATCCTGCCTGGTGTTTTTCCTTCAGCCACCACCACGACGGCAAACTCCCTGTTGTCGAATATGAGACTCGTCCAAAATGAGCCATGCCTGGCCAAAAAATCCTCTGCGTCGCAGAGAAGCCCGCAATAGCAAAGGCAGTCGCTCAACATCTGGCTGGCGGCCGGGTAACAACGCGCCCCGTCAACGGCAACCAGTATGTCAAGAATTACGAGTTTGACTTCCACTTCCAACAATGGGGCAACTGCTCCGTCATCATGACCAGCGTGCTGGGCCACCTAACTGGCTTGGACTTTGACCCAAAGTATAAAAGCTGGAAGTCGTGTCCTCCCAGTCAATTGTTCGAAGCCGAAACAAAAATTACCATCGACAGAGACAAGCAGTCCATTGCCGAAAACATTCAACGCCAGGCCCGCTCCGCCAGAGTTCTCTTCATTTGGACTGATTGTGACCGTGAAGGCGAACACATCGGCGGCGAAGTACGGGACCAGGCCAAGAAAGGGAACCCTGGCATACTCGTGAAGCGAGCCAAGTTCAGCAATACCGAAAGAGCGTGAGTGTCTATGCCCCTCTCTCGGCTTTTTGGATCTAACTTCTCCAGTCATGTTGTTCGTGCGGCTCATTGTCCCATTGATATGGACGAGCGTCAAGTTAGTGCGGTCGCAGCCAGGATAGAGCTTGACCTGCGCATAGGTGCCTCCTTCACGCGGCTGCAGAGTCTGGAACTCCAACGCCTCAGCGACAACCTTCGAGATCAAACTATTTCCTATGGTTCCTGCCAATTCCCCACCCTGGGTTTCGTGGTTGATCGGTACAACCGGGTCAGGAACTTCAAGCCCGAGTCCTTCTGGCTGATCAAGTTGGTCCATGTGCGGAATAGGATCAAGGTGAACTTCAACTGGCGGAGGATCCATCTCTTCGATCGAGCGGCTGTAACCATCATATTTGAGGCCTGCCTTGACGCGAAATATGCCAAGGTCACCAAAGTCCAGAAGAAGCCGACTTCTAAATGGAGACCGCTACCCCTGACCACAGTGGAATTGCAAATGCAAGGCAGCCGCTTTCTGCGCATGACGAGTCAGCAAGTCATGTCGGTCGCCGAGAAGCTCTACCAAAAAGGTTTCATCAGCTATCCCCGAACCGAGACCGATCAATTCCCGCGAGAGTTCGATTTCAATGCCATAATTCAACGACAAGTCCAGGACAACAGTTGGGGCCAATATGCTCAGCGACTGCTAGACGGCGATTTCAGGACTCCGCGATCTGGTCGTCACAACGACCAAGCGCATCCGCCAATCCATCCGGTCAACTACGTTGCCAGTGATGCTCTTGATGCCCAAGAGAAGAAGGTGTACGAGTTTGTCACCAGGAGATTTTTGGCGTGTTGTTCCGAAGATGCCAAGGGAGAGGCTACCGATATTGAAATCCTTTGGGGCTCGGAGACTTTTCACACCCATGGTCTGCTTGTGCTGGAGAGGAATTACCTTGACGTCTACGTTTATGACAAATGGGAAAGCAGCCAGCAGCTCCCTGAATTCACTCTTGGCGAAACCTTTGAGCCTTCAGAAGCAAACATGCTGGAAGGGAAGACTACGGCGCCCGGATATCTCACCGAGCCTGAACTGATAGCTCTGATGGATGCAAATGGGATTGGGACAGACGCGACCATGGCCGAACATATCGCCAAGATCAAGGATCGATCGTACGTCGACACGAGACGATCTGGAGGCGGTCGCAACTCAGTCCCGGAATTCATACCGACGACACTCGGAGTTGCGTTGATTGAAGGATACGACAATGTCGGACTCGACGTCAGTGTCAGCAAACCATTTCTCCGCAAAGAGATGGAGCTAAAGATGAAGGCTATCTGCGAGGGCCGGAAAAGTCGGAATGAAGTTGTCCAAGAAAGCTTGGAGCAGTACCGTGAGGTGTTTGTCAAGACTCAACGTGAGATCCAAGTTTTGAAGGACGCGGTGACGAGATACGTCGTCAACGGAGGGGTGGAGTGAAGGTTGTCACAGCAGATTCAAAGCACGCAGCCCAGAGTCAGCCAGATGACCTTCAGACATCCACCCTTGCCGCATCGACGGTTCCACTCACTGCACAACCGGACCTCCGCCTACTGCCCACTTACCGTGTGGGCTCTCCAATGCCTTGCTGGTCGCCTTTCTCGCTTTCCCCAGAATTTGAACGGAATGAAAACAACGTCAGCAAATCGGAGAATTTGACGCCACATTTGCTTCTGGTCTGACGAACCTTGTGACGGCCATGACGCACAAATGACGCGAGGTAAACGCGTCTGAGTGTGGCTTGCTGATTTTTCCAAACGTGGCAAAGGTTCAGCCACACAACCCGCAAGGGGCCCTCGATTGGCACCTGCTGTCTGGATCAAGATGCTTCAGGCAAGAGCGTCGTCGCAGGTCCGTGAGGCGTTATGCCCCATTTGCATGAATTTCCATTCTGAAATCGCTGGATTGGGATGGGAATGCTGTATGTGACGCGATATGGCACCTTCCATAATCTGTTCATACATGATGGGTGGAAGGACTGATCAAAACATCGTGCCGCCTACATAAGACCGCATCCCATCTCAATTTTTCCATTTCCCGTCATCATCCAGGACCACTCATGCACCCATACACTGATTGGACTTTCCCTGTATCATCATCCGAAAGCTTTACCAAATTCAACCTTGATCATCCCTTTCGACGTTCGTTCCAATACAGACCCAAGCCACAATGTCGAATCTCATCAACAAGGCAAAGGACGCTCTGGCTGGCAACAAAGGCCACGACGTAACATCCGCAACTACCACTACCTCCGCATATGGCACCACAGGAGCTGGTCCTCATGGATCTGCTTCTGTGAACCGCATGGATCCCACCATCGACAGTCGAACCGGAACTTCAACCCACTCAGCTGGGCCACATTCTTCCAATCTCACCAACAAACTCGACCCCCGTGTAGACTCCGATCGAGATCATCGCGCAAATTCAAGCAACAATGTTGGAGGATATGGAACTACCCATGCCACCACTGCGGGTCCTCACTCGTTCATTCTTGCCAATAAACTTGACCCCCGTGTTGACAGCGACACTGGCCACCGAGCAAATCCAACCAATACAGTTGGAGGATATGGCAGCTCAGGACACGGAACAACATCGATTGGCACCGTCGGTCCTCATTCTTCCAACCTCGCAAACAAACTTGATCCTCGCGTCGACAGTGACGTCGATGACCGCAACAACCCTGCTAGCCATGTTGGCAGTTATGGGGAGACGCGAGGGACATATGGTGGTGGTGGGACAACAGGCACAACTGGGACTATCGGTCAGGGAACAAGTGGCGGTACGGCAGGTACCCATGTTCACGACAGCAAGCTCCTCAACAAGCTGGATCCCAGGGTGAAGACCAGTGGAGGATATTGAAAACAAGCCGTTTCAAGATACCCCAGAGTGTTTGTCGAGTGGGATCAGAAGGGCGATTCGAGGTGGAACACGCATTGTAATGGAAGAATATTCTTATAGAGGCTTTCGGTCGCCACAGAAACCCTCTTCGAAACGCACTTATCAATAGCATGCATCCTATACCCATATTTTCTTTTCCCGAAAGCATGAAGTTGGTAGTGTCATGATGATGCAAGGTAGGCTTGGTAGGTAGATAGATGGTGGCAACGAGAGAAGCCTTCTAAACTGAGTGCAAATGCATTATTAACGACCATCATATTGATAGACTGAACGAAAACAAATCCACTGCTCCATGCAAAGAGTGTATCCCGTACATGACCACAGACATTTCAGACCACCTTTTGATTGACAATGTCATTGTCGAGAACATAGTACACGGGAACATGTCGCTCAGCGGATGGCCTTGAGCGGCAAAAGGCAGGTTTCTCTGGTCTACAAGGTACAGTAGAAGCCTTAATTTATCGACTATTTGAGCTCTGATTAGACTGGCTTGGACAAGGTTTCATACTGCAAAGGACCTTCGTCTCACTGGCTCTTCCGCAGGCGAAGATCGCACCCAAACAAAGAATGGAGTATCAGCCCCTTGCCAATGTGCTGAGCGAGTCGCATAAAGGGGCCTCCTTGGATAAGACTATTGGACCAACAGAAGAAGATGGGACACCGCAAGAGGGAAACAGAAGCATGACTAACTCGACACTCATCGCAACCGTGAGTGGCCCTTTACCGCAACGGGTTCTTGGTCGGACTGTGAGCAACAGGACCATGCTGAGCTCAGCAGTTTCCAGGCCGACAAAGATGCTGTATTGGGGGGAAAGAGAGGCAAGGAAAGGGATCCGTTGTGCAACCATGGGTCTGGGGGAGATGCCCATTGGTGTCTCTTTAGGCTCCACCAAGGATGCCCGTGGGCCCTGCCAGTGTGCACTCGCTACCACCTGCGGACTATTCCTCCCAGACTAGGATCCAATGCCCATCGTCGAGCTTGGATACCATGGCACCGCGCCACGCAAGTGTCAGCTTCTCCGTTATAATGTGGCCTGCCCTCACTGCGCTGCTTTTCGACCATCATTTGAAGTCGTAGCCTCCTGCGACTTTGGCAGCCACTTGACCAAAGTCGAATCTCCAATCCCACTGCTCTCCCTGGCCACTCGGCCCTCGCAGCCACGATGACTACTCCTCCGACACAATCAGAACCATTTCCCTCCTACGTCCCGGATGAGGACGACGTGCCCATCGAGAGGCCGGGCAATAGCACAAGGGATACAAGTCGGAGACCCTCGATCACCTCTCGTCTCTCCAAAGCCCCCTCCTCGGTTCGGTCTCGCACGCGCACAGGTTCTTTGAGACAGTCCTTCCTCGAGAGCAACCCTCCTCTTGGCATGTGGCAGGCCACTGGTGAAATTGGCTCCAAAATCCCTACATTGCCAGAGATCAGAAATGGCGCCTTTGCAGCCGAGGGATGGACCCACGAAGGCCAGATGGAACGTCGGGGGACGAACCCGCATGAAATCCACGCTCGAAGGGTGGCCAGGACAAGTTCTGCCAGTACGAGGACGAGAAAGAGCTCGCTCTCAGCGAATGCACCGCCCTCCATTGCAGAGGAACGACATGAATTCTTTCCCAAGAGAGCACCGACCTTGGTGCGGGAACCGCTGTTTGAAGAGGCAGCGACCACGCAAGAACAGCCGGCTCATGGCCAGCCAGAACAAATCCAGCAAGCGGCAGGGTGAGCTTTTCCCTTCCCGATGTTCGTTTCTATTACACACAGTCCTCTAATATTATTTATCTACTTTAGCTCTGAGAAGCACACCGAGACGGCCGAGTCTCAGGAAAGCGACTCCTCAATGACCCCCTCCAAATCGACAGGTGAACCACAAGCGGTGCGAATCCAGAGCGGTCCAGACGAGACAGGCACATATCCCAATGGCTACCGCTTCCCCAAGAAACATACCTGGGTCCAATCCACCATGATTGGTCTCCGCGCATTTTGGAAATTCTTCCTCACCCCCTTTGGCTTTATTGTCACCATCTACGGTCTCAACATTGTCGCTTGGGGCGCCATGATATTTTTCGTCCTCCTCAAAGCTGCCCCGGCCATGTGTCATCCTTCTTGCAACGACGACAGCAGCGCACGAGAGAAATGGATCGAAATCGATTCCCAGATCCTCAACGGCCTCTTCTGTGTTACCGCCTTTGGACTGTTACCGTGGCGAGCACGAGATTGGTTTTACCTCATGCGCTGGCGCATCGGAGGGAATGAACGCTTCCACCGACGTCTCGCAGGCATATATCGAGGCTGGTACCGTCTTCCCGGCTCCGATAAGCTCGAAGAACACATCGGCCCTCCTCCTGTGTACGACAAAAATCACCCACGAACTCCGGAAGCTCCTCCCCCTTACACTGAAGAAGAAATTGCAAAAATGGAAGAGAACCCTGCCATCCCTATCCCTGCAACATCCATGCCCGAGCCACCCCTTACAGGCATCCGCGCTCGTCCATCGAAATCTTGGACCATCGACTTCGTGGTGTGGATGTACATTTTCAACACCTTTTTCCAAGTCCTCCTATGCGTCTGGATGTGGCATTGGAACCGGTTCAATCGACCCTCGTGGGGTACGGGTGTTTGGATCACTTTCGGTTGTCTAGTCGCTATCGCCGCGGGCCTGTGCGTCTTCATTGAGGGCTCAAAAGTAAAGAAGATTGAAGGTATTCCAGTGCAGGAATACGATGTGCTTGAATCGATCGAAGATTATCACGATAGAAAGGCCAAAGAGGATGCGAAACAAGCCAAGAAGATGGCCAGGCACGAGCACCATCGCCACTTCAGGCACGGAGAGAGCCACAAGGTGGTCAGATCGGAGAAGTTGAAGGGCCATCAGTGGTTCACCCGGCATTAGCATTTTGGATGGGCTGCATAAAATCGAAGGCCCCCATTCGAAATCTTTCCCTGGCGATTGGTATGGTCGGATGCGAATGGGGTGAGGCTCTCTCACTCTCGAAAAGTCCAGGAGCGACCCAGGAGCGACTTTACCAGCGCTCATCATACGTAGGACTTTTGATAGGTAATTTGAATATAATCTTTCGTCGTCCACCCGCCTGCCTTCTCCCGTACTTTCCCTCTGCGCTGCTCTGTCCCGCTCTGCTCGTCTCGTCCCCTGGAGTCCATTTCCCGTTCTCTTCATTCAGTTCCTCCAGTTAGCACCGGAGATATGTAACCCAAGAGCACATCTATATGGGGTGCAGGACTGTATGTGCTGTATGCGTGTGCGTGCTCGCCGTGATGCGCCGGCGAATATCGGGACGCAGTGATTCCCTTCGTTTGGTTTTTTCCCCCCCTCTTCCAAGGAGTTTCAGAAGCCCAGAAGCACGAGGGCAGGAACGGGCACGCATTTCAAATGCTCGCAAATCGGCGCAAACTGGTGCGCAATGGTGATCGGTACCTCCGCCATCATCAGCTGCTGCCTCTGCAGACCTCGAAACCTGCCTGTTTCTGCTCGCTGTTCACAAGGAATTCAAATGGCCCTTGACCTTCTGTACTTCGCGGGGCACTTTTTGCTCGTGTCGACCGTTCATTCATTACAGCTCCAAGCGGCACGGAGGAGTTGGCGTGCCGGGAAACCTGCAGAGATCTGTTGTCGCAAATGGGATGACCAGATCCTTGTATGGTCTCTCGTTGACTTCATCCATTTTGCCTGGGTTTCACCTCCCCTTCCTGCATGATGTAGTATACTACTGTGCCATCGCCGCCCCCGCCTTCGCGAGCACGCATGCCGAAGAGTACTCTTTTGGTGTCTTTGTGTTCGTGTAACGCACCAGCCTTGCAACCAGCTCTGCCAGTCCCGCTTACGGTTGCCGGTCCACCTATGGCCTCCTCAGCCGTTGCTGTTGAATTCTCATTGCCAGTTCCATTCACATTGCCTCGCCTTTCCCTCTGGTCTCTGCTGCTTCCGGAAGGACGCCGAACCCTTACAATGTCCCTCTCCGGCAGCTGGTCAAATATGCCACATAACTTGGCCAGGCTCCATTTCTCGCCGAGTACTAATGGCAGCACAAATTCTCTTTGGATTGGTATTTCCGATTCCTTGATGTTGTGCTTGATTAGGTACGTCTGCAGATCCGGATGCAAGTAAGTGTGCTGAGGAGGGAGGCCAGATATTATGGGTATTGGCCCACCAGGAGTAGTGGCAAGTGGCGTGGATGGTTGCGGTGAGGAGTTTCCGTTACCCGTGGGAGTTGATAAGCCTGACCTGGAAGGTGAGGCCGATCTTGAAGTATTGGAATGCACGAATTTTATCCCGTCTAAGTCCATCAGACCTGCAGGACCATGTTGAGCGGCATGGTTATTGATGGTGCAGATGAGATGGAGTCTCAGATCTGTCCACTCGTGTTGACATTGAAGGTTGTGCAGGACGGTGATGGCCAGAGACTCGGATGCGGATTTGGCAGCTGAGCGATCGATGAGTGTTGAGATGGCCGAGGCGGTGGGTGGTGTCGAGGCAGCGGTGGATGAGGCGGTCGACGAAGCCATGGCGCAAAGATGTGCTCAGATATTAGCTGCGGGTTTCTTCATGACATGTTGAGGTCCATCTACATATCACCATCACTGCTGAGGTGGTTGAGTTGAGGTCGCAACTTTTCTAACAGGCGGCGAAACCTGCCCACGGCTTACCTTCCTGCTTCTCCTCCTTAATGCTCTCCTGCTTCTTCTTCCTGCGTTGCTTCACCAGACCAGCTGCTCAAGTCTCACACCTCGTCTCACGTCTCGTCTCACACCTTTCTCGGTGTTCCCCTTCAGAGAAAGTTCCAGCAACTCTGCTGGTCATCCAAGAAAAGTTGCATCAATTCGGCGGTGCGTGGTCCCACCACGGTGCGAGCGAGAAGTGTTTGAACAAGGGCTATGGTACGTCTCAGACCCAGAAAGATTGAGAAGAAGACGATGGACAGATAGATGGAAGCTCGCATGGCCATCTCTGGCTGTATCTTGGGGTTTGTCGTTGCCGATGCTTCGTCTCATCTCACAGCGCTTTTAATAATGCAAAGCATTCCCGTTACGAGCCAGGCGGGGAAGCGGGTTTTGCGGCCCAGACTCTGATGGGAAGCCATCACACCACCTCTGCGCATCCTGGTCTGCCGATGCGCGACTGGTGGACGCCTACGGAATATCATGCGGTTTATTGCAACAGAATACGGGCGCAATGTCCGTCGAAAGATGACCACAACTGACATGGACAATGGAACCTGGTTGGACAACTGGTGGGGTGACTTGATCCTATTCATCAGCCTGGGGAACAACGCGATTTTTGCCTCGCCTTTGGCAAGGTGAACAGCGCACTCCACAGTCACTTGGACAAAATAGTTGGTAGGTCAGCAAAATGCCTTGGATGCTCTTCAACAAGGTATCTTCCTTTTCTTCCTTCGATTCTACTTGTTCTAGTCTGTTGAGATCGTCCTCGCCCATAACCACCTATATTTCGGGCATCAAACAATAAATGAACGCCCGGCCAACATGTCATCTGGCGGTGATCGCAGATTCGTCTTCGGTTCAACCACGAGTCCACAATCTAGTGGCTTTGGTGGATTTGGCACCAGTACGCCTAGCGCAGGCAAGTATATGTACCTCTTCTCATCTTTCGCCGCGAGCCTGTTCGAGTCCGAGTCCTTTGTCTTATCCATTTGGACGTTAAATGGTCCTGAACTTGAAGCTGTATCCATTCATGTCCCATTGACACGTGCAAATCATGCTTTGGGACCAGTGTTAAACGCAATTGCCCATGAAGATACCCTCGGATATTAAGGCTGATACTCTAAGTACACAGGTCTTCAACCGACTACACAACCCCCAGCCCAGTTTGGATCCAGTTTCACGACCACGGGCCCTAGTCTGTTTGGCAATGTTGGCGGTAGCACTGGCGGACTAGCGTCATCTTCAGCAGGCAGATTCGGGGCTTCTTCAACAAGCGGATTTGGAACTCCTTCAACACAAGGATTTGGAACTTCTTCAACACAAGGATTTGGAACTCCTTCAACACAAGGATTTGGAATTCCTTCAACACAAGGATTTGGAACTCCTTCAACAAGCGGATTTGGGACTGCTTCGACAAGCGGATTCGGGACTATATCAACACCGCTATTCAAACAAGATGCCTCAGGAACACCCGGGACTTTCGGCACTCCAGGCGCCTTTGGGTTTGGAAAGGCTCTGAAAGCTCCAACAATCCCCATGTCAAATGGCACTGCTATTCCTGCTTTCACTCCAACTGTACAGAGAGACGACGTAGGTTCAAACTGCAGGTATCAGAGCATTAGTTTCATGCCTCCATACTCCAACTTCTCGTTCGAGGAACTCAGATTAGCAGACTACAATGCTGGACGTCGGTATGCTACGCCCGTAACATCCCTAGGAGGATTTGGCTCGAATATTTTTGGAGGATTTGGTACGGGCTTCGGCACAGGCTTTGCTGCCCCAGCTACAACAACGTCCGCGACCTCTCTCTTTGGTACGACAGGTGCTACCTCCGCAGGTTTCGCTTCGAAACCTAGTCTGTTTGGCACTCCTCAGAGCACTGCCAGCCCTTTTGGCACTACAAGCTTTTCCAGTTCGCCGTCTCCATTTAAAGGTCTCACGACTACTGCAACAACTTCAGGCCAGGGTCTGTTTGGAAGCACCGCTACAGCAAGTGCACCTGGCTTTGGCAGTTCGGGTGCCCCACAGCGAGTCTTTCAGCCTTTTGGCAGTGGAATGGGAGGATTCGGAACGTCAACAACACAGAATCAACCATCTGTCAGTGCCTTTGGAGGTGTGACCACAGGTGGCACGGGTACGCCATTTCAATTTCCGGCAAGTTCCGGTACCTCTCTCTTTGGAAAGTCTGCCTTCGGGGGAACTCAAGGAACAAGCGCACCTTCTGGAGGAGGTATCTTTGGAGGTGTTGGAACTAGTGCGAGCAGTCTCGCTCCTGTAGGGACTGCACCATCCTATTCCCAACAACCATGGGGCGGCTCCTTTGGAACATCTCCCTGGGGTGTTTCTGGCGAGTCAACTACAACTGCGCCAGGTTCATTCTTGCCATTTGTGAGTCAAAGTACAGTTCAGCAACCATTTGGTACCACGAAACTATTCGGCGGACTTGGTGGTACTTCGCAAATCAGCCAACCAGCTGCTCAGCCAATGCCCGATTTCAAGGTGTCGTCGCTAAACGACCCTAATCCGTACGGTCAATCGTCGCTGTGGACAGGACTACATTTGAAGCCGTCGGACGGTTTTGAGCCGCTCTTTACTCCCCTAGCTGCTACTGAGAAGATGAAAGAGAGTCAGTCGAAGCAACCCGCTGCCAAACCGCCTGCTAAGGCATTTTACATGACGCCTACCAGACGTGCCGGTCTGGGTGTTCGCCCATTGGGCATGACTGTCGAAAGCAAAGCTCCGCGACGTCATTTTGCAGCTGATGGTGATACCGTCCTTCCTTTCAACTCATTTGATTCGTCCCGAAGACGATGGTCTAGCGGAGACATGCAGCGACTGACCATAGACCCAAATATAAGACAAGATCTGTTTCGTCGTCAATCTTTATCACCGGAGCCTCTGTCTCAGGTGAAACCAAAGGCGGCTTCTGTTACCTCTGAGACCGATTCAGGGAAAGAAAAGCCGCTTACGGAACAAATGGGTCCCAGGGAAGAAATCAAATCCACTGGAGTTTCGACCGAGCAACGACCCTACGAGTCAAAGAGTGAAAACGAATCTGAAATCGGCACGGGATCAGACACATCAGGCACTCGTGCTCCTAAGGGGGAAGTTGAATTTATTTCAGAAACTGGAGATAGGTTGCTCGATATTGTCACCGAGGATCGTGCGGCTGGTCAGTCGAGAGGAAAGAAAGCGGCCTCAGAACCTACACCTGACCTCCATCCTGGGGAATACTGGATGAAGCCGAACCCAGACGAACTTCGCCAAATGCCAGCTGACAAGCTTCAGCGGTTCACAGGATTTGTCGTAGGTCGAAAAGGGTGTGGTCGAGTCACTTTCGACGGTCCTGTTGACCTTACCGCTTTACCAATGGATAACCTTTACGATGAGATTATCAGAATTCGACCGCGATCAATCACTGTATACCCGGATGAAAGTTCCAAGCCACCGCCTGGACAAGGCTTGAATGTCCCTGCGACTCTTTGCATTGAAAATTCCTGGCCTCGTGCCGAAGGTAAACCATCAGCGGCAGCAATAAGTGGTCCCCACGTCGAAACCCATATCAACAGGCTCAAGGAAATGAAGGGTACCCAATTCATCGGCTATGAGGTGCCTACAGGCACTTGGACGTTCAAGGTTCCTCACTTCACTGACTACTACGATCCGGATTTGGTTGAACGGAATGAGTTGCTCTAACCGGCCCGCTGAACAACTTGGTCACTTCATCGATTAACTACTGAGTACGACGCAAGGAATTTATGCTGTCAAGCAATAATCCCAAAGGATGGGGGAGGCTTCATGCTTCATGAACAATAATTCGAAAGTTGTGGTTCGTTAATCCTTTTCTTTCTAAGCTTTTCATACGCGATTGGTACGGATACCGAGAAATGCGAGCGCAGGGCAGATGCTTGTAAGGAACTATGCAGCCACTCAGCATCACTATCATGTCGCATTGACATTCAGCTACCACTCTAACCGATGGTTAAGGCTTGACTGTTCGCAGAAGTGCAAAATTGAGCAAAGTTCTGCGCATGTCCAAGTCGGTTTCTCATTGATGACGAACTTCCACTACCGAGGGACATGTGAACCCGATGCAGGAGAATATTTGCCAGATTGTGTCTTTCTTGGAACTGGACATATCCCTCGATACTTCGTTATATTACGAAGAATGCCATTTTTTGCTGGAGGGCGGCCGCTGAAACCGCCTGGGCCCGAAGTGTGGTCCCTACGAGTAGAGTAATCCTTTGCCGTGAGCGATCCCTTTCCCTCTCCGAGCTTTTGTTGGATCCATTACTGAGATTATCTGAAAGCCACATGTGATAATCTGAATATTGCGGGATGTGGATGGTGAAAGCTGTCATTTGATAGATGGCGTGATAAAAAATGAAGTATGAAGGATGGATCCTTCTAGCCTTTTCGAAAAATGTTTGACCCTAAATGGCCCCATCCAACAAGAACATGCCGCCCAGACATCTACAAGTACTTACAGTACAGGTACCTGTTGTACGCTTTCACATGATTATTTGAATTAGGGGCATGATTCTTGTTGATCTCCTCGTCAACGTGGCGTGCGTTGTGTCTCGTTTGAAAATAGCCTAGCGAGTTCGAACAGAGGATTTTAACCAAAGGCCAGTGTGAAGCATATCTCGTGATAGACGAACCATCAGAGTGTCTTCCAAAGAGCAATGCATTGTGCGCAGTACATCAACTCGGCAAGGAGACAGAAGTACAAGCCAACACAACAAGTCACCGACATCTATCTCTCTAACAGTCTATTCGGTAGAGGGAATATATCAGTTTTCTTACCTTTCTCCTAACTTCAATATTCTCGAAGTCGAACCAAACAATCAGTTCGATGTCTACTCTCAGCAAGCACCTACGCAGGACGGCAAAACCTCTACCGCCTATCAACAGCAGCTCGTTTTCGGAATATTTTGACTGGCTAGGACAGTATGACTTTGTGCTGATCGGTGACGGCAGCCATGGCACGTCCGAGTTCTATCAAGCCCGCGCGGAAATCACAAAGCGGCTCATAACACACCATGGGTTCCAAGTCGTGGCGCTCGAAGCGGACTGGCCTGACGCCGAGGCCATCGACCATTACGTCCGATGCTGGCCAAGATATCCTGGCATGTCGGAACCTATGGAGAGCCCTTTCAAGCGGTTTCCCACCTGGATGTGGCGCAATGTCGAAATGCAAAGCTTTGTTCGCTGGATGCGTGAGTATAACGATTCGCTCCGAGTGGGAGAAGACAAGGCTGGGATATATGGCTTGGACCTGTATTCCTTAGGAGCTTCTATGAATGCAGTGGTCAGCTACTTGAAAGATATCGACCCTGAAATGGCCAAAGAAGCCAAACAGAGATATGGCAGACTCCAGCGCTGGGTCGGAAAAGAGCAGCAGTACGGGTTGCAGGTGAAAAGCGCCGGACTCAAGTCTTGCGAGACGGACGTCTTATCGATGCTCATCGAGCTCCTCAAGAAGAGGCTCGAGTATTCTTCCAAGATCCACGACGGCCAACGGTTCCATAGCGCTGAACAAAACGCAGCGTTGATAGTCGACGCCGAAGAATACTACCGCAAGATGTACTACGCCGACGAAATCACCTGGAACCTCCGAGACCTGCACATGTTTGGCACTCTGAAACGTCTGATGGATTTCAAGAAAAGAAAGGTAGTTATTTGGGCGCACAACAGCCACCTTGGCGATGCTAGGCAGACCGAGATGGGGATGCGACGGGGCGAGATCAACCTGGGCCAGCTGTGCAGGCAGCATCTACAGAATGTGGTCCTTGTAGGATGCGGGACTCATGACGGTGCCGTGGCAGCGGCCAAGGAATGGGGCGGAGAGATGGAGATCATGGCAGTCAACCCATCCCGCGAAGACAGCTGGGAGAGGGTCGCCCACGATACGGGCCTTCCTAGGTTCCTGATCGACCTGCGGAAGGGACATTGCGACTGCAGGCTCCGACAAGAGCTGAAGGCGAACAAGCTCGAGCGCTTCATAGGCGTCATCTACCGCCCCGACACGGAGCGGTGGAGCCACTATAGTGGCTCCAAGCTGGCGAAACAGTTCGACGGCTACCTTTTCTTCGACAGCACCCACGCCGTTACGCCGCTGGACAAGAAGCAGCCCTTGACCCCGGTCGGCGAGGCCGAGACGTACCCATTTGGCGTTTAACAGAGCCTTCGCAGAACCTTCGCGACGGGGGTTGAGGTAATGGTCCGGGGCGTTAAAAGTATCTTGATTTTTGGGTCCGCAAACGCCCAAAAAATGAGCAGGACCCCCAGCCTGGAATACTATGGATACCAAAATTGGAAGGGGGTAATTTATTTACTAATTACTCCTCTGCTGCGTACAGTCAGTAGCCATGTAGCTAGTTCGTAAATCTCTTGGATATATCCACGCTTTGGCCCTGGTCAAAAGCATCAGGCCCGTACGGACTGAGAAGTCTCTAGACCCCAAGGTAAAGATGGCCATCCGGGGGGTCCTCAGGGAGGATCGATAAGTCTCTATCCGCATATTCTATGATAGAACGCTAGTCCGTGAACACAGAAGATTGGGTGCGTGTGTGTTGTGTCGTAGACCTGTCTTCCACCATCAGGCTGGGCTTCCTCCTTTGTGTTTCAGCCTCGCGGGGGGCTTCGCTTCATCAACCCGACCCACCTGATGACATATACGATATAATATACGAGTATTATGGCAGGTCGTCGGAGTCGAAGATGCTCGTGTCACCATTCTCGAACCTGAACGAATAGCCGATTGTGCAGTTGGAAATCTGAATGCTCTGGAGCAATATCTTCATCAAGGGCGTTCGTCGGAGAGTTTCATGAATGTAGTTGATTAAGATATCAAAAGCAGATATGCCCACAGATTCTCTGTGCTCTCTGTAGTGGTGTCTCTCTCAGTTATGACGCCTTCGAGCCTTTTGTACATCTTCATTAGATAGATATACACTGTGCAGGGTATCTGAAATCAATCATCGCTCGCTTGGATACTGCCCCTTCCCAAAACTCCTGGGATTCTCCCAGCACTCGTTGCTCAAACCGCTTCAGCAAACCAGGTCAGCTGTACACCCCCACCACAAGAGCGTTGACCACATGCCCTTCTTTCCAGCCTTGATCTAGCAAGGTGAGCTTTTCGTCCAAAATCTTACCAAGGTATGCAATCCGTATCTTGGCTTTGCTGGGGACCTGTCTGACATGTTAGCAAATGCATCAGGGGGCCGCCTTCTGAAGTTCTCACATCTGTTTCATCCCGGATCCTCTGAGCCAGAGCGCTCACCCTCTGGCTTCTGCCGAGCAGAACAACCACATCAGGATCCCCACGATCGCTAAGCCGGCATCTGACTGTAACGGCATCCTTTGGGACGGGCGCTTTACCCTTGACTTCTTTGGCCTTTTCCTCATTAGAGCTATCCTTGCTCCCATCCAGATTGCCGCGCTCTGCTGCCTCTAATTTGGCCGCAATAGCATCAATATCACTGGTGCCTGTGACTGTTTGGGAATCCATGTCTGCGTTATCCTCGATAACGTCCGTTGGATCCGAGATGACGGCCTGGGGTATTTTATACAGATTTCCATGTTCATCATAGGCCCCTTCCTCCAGCTTTCCCGTCGGGAGAGTGACAGACAGGGCGTCTAGTATTCCCTGGGCGTCGGCCAGATCACCTTCATGCAGACATTGAATCACCTGCTTCAAGCCATTCCATATATCGGGGCTTCCAGTGACACGGGTCTCGAAGAACTCATACCTCTCTCTCTGTAACTGAGAGTGAGTCCAGGTTCTGTCTTTGCTCCTCCACGGTTTTGGTGGCTGAAGAGGAATATTGTAATGGTCTGCTAGGGACAATCGGCGGTGCTGGCGTGATCTTGTAGTCTGGTTGACCGAGTCTCTAGGAGTAGAGAGGGCTGACCTGGATGTTTCGCTGTGATGGATGGACAGACCAGAAGGGGCCCCGAAATTGCGGGAGTCCGGGTCGTGAGATGCACCATTAATAGCAGTTTGGGATGTTATGGCCTGAGGAGAGTGTCGAGTCTGAGGCGGGGCATGTGGGTGTCCATGGTCTGGATCACGCGAGTCTGTCGGTCTCGATGCACAGCAACCCTAGAGAACCAGGAACATCAGCCATTGAGCACTTCGGGGAGCGGGAACGGAGCATGAGATGTCTGGAGGGGGGGGATGCTGCAATACCATGGTGCAGGTCAATTCATATCTGTCCCTGGCCCGGTCGTCAAATGATCTGAGGTGTCGAGCTGGGAGTCGTAAGTGTCATCTGCGCCGATTTTCACGTGAAGTGGAATGGGGTACAGCAAGATGGTCGGACAGCAACACAAAAGAAGACGCAGGGCCGCAAACAAACGCACAACCAGCAGCGAGTGGCTTGAGATAGTAGAGCGCAGATACCATAGATGCAAACGATGAGGGGGAATAGTGGTGGTATATGTACGGAGTCCTGCGAATGACTGCGGTGGCCAGATGCAGGACTGAACGTTCTGTCTACCGAATTGGTGAGTGCGGCAAATGGACGGCGGACATACCTAAGAACAAGCAAGACAGGGCATTGGTGGCATTATGGGGCCTTTTACCTAACCATCTTTAACCGTAAGAGCGCATGGAGCCTGCAACGGGCGTGCATTTAGCACTTGGGCCTAGGACCTTGGGTGTTGGCAATGCGGAGAAGGCGCTGGCGCCGAGCAGGGTCCAGAGGCCCCTCTCCAAAGCCCAGAAGTCCAGATCGATCAGGCTAGTGAAACCCCTCGGGCTAGGGGGGGCTTCCCTGGGTGCTTCTCCTCCCTCCTCTTACCTCTTTGCACCCTCCGTAACAGCTCCCAAAAATAATCCTAATGGCGACCCCCCCCCCCCCCCCCCCAAAAAAGCCTCGGTGTTTCTCCTCGGTGTCCACTAAGGACGTACCTGATTCTACGAGGTACATATTACTTCCTGGTGATCCAATCTACATTCATGCATCATGCATCATGCACCCTGCTGGGCCTCAGGGTTAATTGTCATCCCGCCTCGTCTAGTCGCGACTAGCTAGCTGAAGCGGCATGTGCCATGTGCATCCTTTCCTTCCTCAGCATCTGAAAAATCAAGCTTCTTGTCCCTGCACGATGACGGATCAGTGCGATTAGTCTCGCATGCCCGTTCGTTCCTGAGGTCTGCTAACTTGGTCCTGAAGCATGGACGAGTCCGAACGATAAACGGTTTATGTTTCTCCTCTCCCACACAAGCATGCGACCGGACCTGACTAGTTCTCATATTCGTGATGTGGCCATTATCAAAATTCTATCCATCCAGCGAAAAGAAAACGAGACCCCAGCAGTATGATCATCTACAAATGTAAAGTATACACAAGAACGCGTATTGGATCCTCCTCCAACGATCTGGGGAAAAAAACCGGCTGAATTCATCTTTCAGCGGAACTCAATTGCAGGACAGACGCCCATTCGCCAAATACCCGGCTGTCCCTCGTGCTTCAACTCGAGCTGTTGGTACCTGTCGCTGGATCATTAGCCATCAGCTATCTCCGAGCAAGGAGACCAATGGAGGACTTACTTCTCACTTTTGGAGTGGAAATAGATCCCACTTACTCTCCCTTCGATCTGGTTGAAACAGATATAGTAGAACCCTTCAAAACTGGCTCCCTGAATGGACTTCAGCTTGTAGTCTGGCACCAGGAAATGCTCCTTCCACCTCATGAAGATGTAATCTTGCTGCCACCAGTTCTCGTGGTTCATGGGATATACAAAGTTGATGTTGCGCTTAGCGTGCAGACTGAGCGGTCGCCATGCAGGAAACCTGGCCCAATGCGTAAGGTCCGTCTTGTCGCTCGCGCCCCAAGCGGGATCCCGGGTTCTGAAGCTATACTTCTGGTTTGGTCCGCCGATGATCTCGCCAGTGAAGAAGGTGGTCAGCGTTGGATGGTCCGGTGTCAGGCCACAGATTTGAAGGTATCCCGACATGCTGCATTGTTCGATGTCCACGGTCAAAATGGTTACTTCAACGTTGTAGATCTGTCGGTCCGACTGCTGGGTGCCTTTAAATTTGGAATAGGGTTGAAACGATGCCGAGGGATATTGCGGTCGCAGTCGCCGTTGAGAGAAGTCCCATTCTTTCGGATCGTTGTGCGACCAGTCTAGTTCTTGGTCGATCGATGGGATGCCGGCATTGTCTCCAACACCAGGAAAGCCTCTAGTCCGGTTGTTTGTACCCGACGTCAGCGGAGGCGAGGAGATGCCCGGGTCACCTGCGCCGTTTTTTAAGCCTGTCTCATTCGCCGTGAGTCTCATGTCAGATATATGCTGTCCAGCGTTGCCGTGGCCGATGACGTGGGTGGTTGCTATGGCATCAAATCGTCCTGTCTGCCGCTCGCCATCGTTCTCAATGCGCTCGCTTAAGCCTATGTCATCATCGACACTATCTATCATAGGTGTCTCGCTGCCTCCCTCGGATTGCAGCTTCTCCTCGAAACCCGGCGGGGTGGTATACATAGTCTCCTCTTGCATCTGGGCCATGCCGGCAGCGGTGTTGTCGCTGACAGGCCGTCGGTCGACTTCATCTCCGCCCGCCAGTGCCTGCTGCGCGACTAGACGCCTTGTATCCTCATCTGCGTCGATTTCTGGAGGCGGGGTCAATGGAGCCGGGCACGCGACATTGAGTTGGGCTATCTCGGAGTCGGGGGGACCAAACGACGTATCGGGCGCATGGGTTGGCATTGAAAGGCGAGGGACCCCAAGGTTATCATATGGAGGGAGAGCGATGGAAACGGCGGAGCGGTGGGAGAGGGGCGCCGAGTGATGCAATGGCCAGGGAGATCGCAGGAGAAGGGAATACAACCCCTTCGTCAGAGCACGAGATACATGAGAATAGAATGATGAGATGCACGCTGGTCGGCGAGACGGGTGGATGGGCTCTAGTCGATTGGAGATGGAGAAGGACATGCTCGAGTCGAGTCCATCGTGACCCAATTTTTGTTGAACTAAAAACTCCCGCCCCGGCTTTCGGAGGTTCCTCGCCTTTTGCGGGGTACACAGCACGCAAGGTATACTCATCAAGTCGCGGGCCTAGCATCACCAAATTGTCACAGGCCTGCTCGTTCCTGCTAGATGCCCTGTGTTCCAACATGACCCGGCCGGTCAGTGGTGATCGGCGTCCGACCTCGACGTTATACATGCAACCAACTCTTTATGGCTGTCGCCAACCACCATCACGCCTGGAAGAAATCACACCAGGCCCTCTGCTAGACCAAGATTTCTTTTCGGGTCAAATATCAAGGACATATGCTGCGACTGGTACTGGCAGTCCTCTGGCTCCAATGGCAGAGTCCAGTCCTTGCAAGGTATTGAAGATGAGGGGCCGCAAGCGGGTTGGTTTCAGATGGGTTTGATCTGCCGTCCATCTGCTTAGCATCTCTTTTCACTCCCCGTGAATACCAGCTTACCTTGAAGTGGAGAGATATCAGGGAGAACACCAAAGCTTTGAGATCCTGCACTAAATAGTAGAACACTCGCAGCCCTTCTGGGTCGGCCGAATCCGTCACGTCTCCGAGCGAGCCAATTTTCGCAGTCTGCCCACAATCAGTCAAGTCGCAATCAACATGTAACGTCTCACACACCTCAAATTGGATGTGCTCGTTTCCCAATCTGATCTCAAGCTCTTGTCTTCCGTCTTTGTTCTTCTGTGGCCACCGCGAATCATCTTCCTTCGTGATCTCGCTGTCTTTGATAATCCGCTTGATCTCTGAGACGAGGAGGGAGCTGACACACACTGAAAATATATCAGCATCCACACACGGTCCAAAAGCCCAGAACTGACTCTCTTTGCGAATGAGGGAATCGTTGCGGTAGTTGGAGTTGTTTGCATATCTCGCTATTGCGCTTCGACCGTCTCCAATGACTCTGAAGTCAAATTCTGGCTATCCGTCAGTGATACCGCGTCTGGCAGGCTGGAGCTCTTCCCACCCAGAAATTCATGGCCAAATCTGCCAGAATGGCCAGAGCTGCCCGTGGTCAGTATTCTCCAAGAGAAGGCAGGCAAGGGATCAAGTCCATACTAGTATCGCACGTAGAATGGCTCATTCAAGTCTTTCAAGTTCGACATGGTGGAAGTATAGGTTGTTAAGAATGAGGTGTTAAGGTATGCGAGGGTCAAACGCCGTTGATGGTGGCCTTTCAGTGTCAACCCTGGATGTTGGAGATTGCCCGCTCCGAGTCGAGGCTGCGCTATTTGCCCATCGAGCCATCTCAAAAACCGCCGCCGCCGCCAAGAAATAAATCAACGAAGTTCCTGAGACTTCACTTTGTTTGGGCAATTATATGATGCCGCCCTATTCTCTTCCTCTTAAGGGTTAGAGAAATTAGCGCCTTGGCGTATGTTAGCGCGACATCTTGGACAAGTCTCCAGGCAGCGTTAGTAAAGACCGGTTTAGGGAAGCAACGAGATCTATTATCAATACCGAGCGAGACGAGTATCATTACGGAACTGAGAGTACAGAATACTAATCAGCCGGGGAGGAAGCGCCGCTCTCCACAATTATCGACTTTCTCCCCGAGTTGGTGGACGCAAGTCGCTGATATGCATGCTCTTGAAATATACGTAGGTTCTACAGCTCTAACACCTACTAAACCCGGTGAATCCCTCATATTTGCAGGGCTTTGTGGATTGAACTCCGCCGTTCGGCGAATCTACACAATTTAGTGGTTCAGACCCCTGTGATAGGCCTCCGAGAGGCATCTGGGAATTCTATGCTACGCATTAGATATAACGTCTGCTCTTCTTTTGAATCGGATCTATCCACAATCTTGCTGCCATGCCTCCCGTAAGGTGCAACTTTGCCTCAGCCCTCTATGATCGCATGGTACCTCTTGCAATGGGCGAGGTGCAGCCAGCAGGTCTGTCGGTAAACTTCATCGATGTTCATCACCCGCGCGACGTCTTCGACCGGATGATAGCAAATCAGGAATTCGATGCCTCAGAGCTGTCTAGTTCGGAATATATCACCCGCCACGTTGCTGGAGATCGCACTTTCATCGCACTACCAGTTTTCCCCTCTCGGGTCTTCCGGCACAGTTTTATTGTCGTGAATAAAGACAAGATCAAGGAGCCAAAGGATTTGAATGGTAAGAGGATTGGTGTGCAACTGTACACAATGACTGCTGCCGTGTTCATCCGAGGTCTACTTCAACATGAATACGGCGTGGACATATCGTCCATTGAATGGGTGGAAGGTAAGATGGAGGGACCAGGTTCTCACGGCAAACCCTCCGCCCTGAAGCCCCTCAAGCCGATTAATATCACGCAAAACACCGATCCCACCAAGTCTCTCTCCGATCTCCTCGAGGCAGGCGAGATTGACGCCACAATCGGAGCTGATATCCCAGCCTGCCTTGGCAAAGCACCACACATCGACCGTCTCTTCCCCGACTTTAAAAAAAAGTGGAAATGGACTATTACAAGCGCACCGGCATCTTTCCGATCATGCATCTGGTGGCCATGCGCCGAGATTACTATGAGCAAAACAAATTTGCGGCATCTGCCTTGTTCAACGCCCTGGACGACAGCAAGGAACTGGCGAGAAAGCGGATGGAGAGTACGGGTGCATTAAGATACATGCTTCCATGGCTACCCCAGGAACTCGATGAGATCCATGAGGTATTTGGAGAGGATAGCTGGCCTTACGGCATCGAGGAGAACCGGAAGACCTTGGAGGCGTTGGTGCAGTATCTTCATGACCAGTCAGTCGATGATTGAGAGGAAGGTACCTATTGAGGAGCTGTTTGCCCCAGTGAGGAAGATCAACTTTAGGATAGGCTGACAGAGAGGGAGGAGGCAATATAGCTTGATCACGAAAGTTTGAACTGTTGCCAACTGGTTCGCATGTTGAGAGCTGTGTGATATATTCCCCCTGTTTCAGCCTTGTCCTTCCGCAGTGGCTAGTCCCTCAACGGGCTTCGGTCGGGTTTTCCAGCCAGAAGGTCTTGGTCCGGGGAGATGATTTGCTATCTCCGTTTCCCCGCACATATTACTCCCCGTGACTGCCCCGGAACTGCCGCTGTCCCCCTCCTGTTCCCCAGACATTAGTTCCTATTGTTAGGGCCATTTACTCAACACCCCGGCCTTGCTCACATCCAGACAGTGCTGGCAGCTCGAAAATGCATTCCAGCCAGCTGCTGGCGTTAGGGCCGTTGGAGCCATAGCGTCGCGAAGCGGAACATGGTGATAAATAAGATAAACGACTTTCTTTCGTCAAATTGTGTGAGTCTTTCTCGCCCTGAACCCCTTTTACTTTCGGAGTGCAAGGTCAGACTGGCTGCTTGCCGATAGCTTGTTGGACCCCTGTATATTACGGTCCCCCCTTTTCAACTGTCCAGACTCATCTACCTTGGGGCCCGTGCTTGGGAGTCGCTGTCGAACGGTGTTGCCATGGCCGCTGAAGTACTCAGCCAGGAGAAAAATTTGCGTGTCCTGTCGCATGTCGAGGAAAATGATGGCCTTGATATTGAGCTTGCAAAATGTGGCGAGATCCCGGGACTGAAGCTTGACGAGCATGGGCTCCCTCTGGTGCCTCAACCTACTGATCACAAGGCTGATCCACTGGTATGTGTCGACTTGACCAAACCAAGACGCTGGCGTTGACTTAGGAACCAGAACTGGCCGAAGTGGTACAAGTACTACGTGCTGTCGCTGCTGTGTCTCCTCGCCTTCTGTGTTCAGTGTGAGTGTCGCTGGTGTTGAGCTAGCTGGTAGGAGATGGTGCTGACGCTACCATAGTCGGAGCTGGCATGGTTCCTGCCGCGTTTGGAGTGGTTGCGAAAGACTTCAAAGTTACGCACCAGCAAGCCAGCTACTTGACGACATCATATACGCTCTTTGGTGGTATCACTCCTCTTCTGTTGACACCGTATGTCAATATGTATGGTCGAAGACCTGCTTATCTGGTGCGGAATTCTTCAATCCTGTGCCGTGAACGACGCCCGTCTGATGGTAGCCGCAGATCTTCACTTTAATTGCCATAGGCGCAAATGTTGGCTCAGGATACGCTTCAACCTACGCTCGCGAGGTCGTCAGTCGATGCTTCGTCGGTATTGGTGCTAGCGTTGCTTTGGCCATTGGTGGCGCTACTGTAAGCAACAATGCAATCACGACTTTACTCTAGGCGTGAGATTAACCTTCTCTAGATTTGCGATATGTTCTTTCAAGGTGAACGTGGAAAGTATATGGGCTTTTACGCTCTAGCGGTCACGAATGGGGTGAGTAGAACATTGAACCTGAAAGCATCTCAGCCAGCTGACATTTCTACAGCCACACTTTGGTCCCATCGCCGGTGGTTATATCGCACTCAATCTTGGGTGGAGATGGATCTTCTTCGTATGTTCCACGACCGTCAACCATATCCTATCATAATGACTGACCGCCTTCAGATCAACGCCATTATTTTCGGCGCCGTCCTAGCTATCTTCCTGGTCTCCTTCCCTGAGACGCTCTTCTCCCGGACAGACTCTAGCAAACTTGAGAATCAAACCTACTGGCACAAGATGGCGTTCCGTGGAAAGGTCTTGGACCGCAAGCTGACTCTGTCCGACTTCTCTGCCAACTTCAAGATGCTCAAATACGTTGCGATTACGATTCCTTGCATCTACTACATGACGACCAACACCTACGGCTCAATCGTTTTCGTGCTCACCGCATCTTCCATCAGCGAGAAGCTCTACGACTTCAATACGGCCCAAAACGGTCTTTTACTGGGCATTCCTCTCACACTCGGCTGTCTGATCGGAGAATCCTGCACCGGATGGATCTCGGACCAATTGATTAACCGTTATGCCCGCCACCATGATGGTTATAGGAAGCCCGAGGCTCGTCTGTACCTCTGTTTCCTCGGTCTCTTCTTGCCCGTTGGCCTGATCATCCATGGCCTCTGTGTCAACAACAAAACTCCATGGATCGGTCTCGCCGTTGGTATGACGGTTGCCAGCGTTGGCGTCCAGGCGGGCACGACTCTGACCTATGCTTACTGCACAGACTGCTATAAGCCTCAAGCTGCGGAAGTGTCGACCATCATCAACCTGTTCCGTCAGATCTTCGCCTTCACTATCGGCTTCTACGCGCTGCCGTTTGGTCAATCTGTCAGCTTCGGGGCTGCCTGGGGAACCTTCGCCGCCATTAACTTCGTAACCTGGTTGGGTCTGCTATTCCTTATCTGGAAAGGCGAAAAGATCAGGAGGGCGCAAGGTGAGCCGAATCTTCATAAAGATTTGTGAGCCATCTCCTCTTCAAGTCTGCTTTCAGCCGGGTTGTACAGTTGGGAAGTCCATTGCAGGAGATGGTCGGGATACGCAGCGGGTCACACCTTGAATGGATATGTTTCCGGATTTTTGGAAGATACAGTGACCAAAGGACAGGTATTTAGTCAATTACAACGTCTCATCATGTCACCCGATAGAGTCTCACCATACTCGTCTCTCATAGCCATTAGTGTTGTGGTGTGGACTTCCTTTTCACCCAGAAGCTTCAGCCCAGGCACACGACAGAATTAAGGCGATCGTGCCCAGGGTAGTCAGTGAGCTGCGTGACGGTATGCATTTGTTGACATGATCAATTTTAATCCGGCGTCTTTCCGCGCCGTAGAAATTGGAAACATGACCAAGCTCCAGTGATAGGCTCTTCCGCTAGAAGCGTTGAAGGGTTGTCGCGGGATCTGAGATGCCGACAGCCGACTTGGTGGTTCAAGGAAAAGAGGATCTGCTCCGGCTTACAGATTGTGTATCCCCAGGGATATGTAGGACGTAACGCTGAAGAGTTTTGGGAGAGGATATGCGATATTGTCCAACTTTGTGGTCTTTTATCTCCCCGGCTCGCGCTAACATCTTGGCGTAATTCTGGTTCTCCATTCTCCCCGGCCCGGGGGCAACTTCCGGACAACTCCAACCCACACTCATTGTTGGGTAAACCTCTACTGCGCTGCAATTTCCCGCTACGCTATCAATGTGACAGCCCGGCTCCTTCTAAGTCTTTTTGTCCCAATGGGCCCAAGGGTCCCCAAGTCTGGCCGCGGAACCGACCTCTGAGTAGTGCGAGAGGTATGGAAACCTTCTCGGAATCCGCGGTCCTGAGCCTAGTAACGATGCTCGACCGATCAGTTTTGCGGGACCGTCGTGTTGCTTCGCTTCGAAAGGTTGCTTTCTTTACGATCTCACAGGAACGGATTTGCCTTCAAACCCTTCGTTCGAGATCTGCCAAGAAGGTATATACATAACCGGGGGAAAGCTTGGATTCTTGACTCTTTTCAGACCATAGCGTTCAGAACACAATCTTGGTCTCTAGTAATCAGTCAAATCGATCTTTCCAACCATGCATTCAACAACGCTCAGCAACATTGAAATCACTGACCCAGCAACATTCAAAGTCGCCATTATCGGCGGTGGAATCGGAGGTCTCACAACGGCTCTAAGTATCGCATACCAAAATTCCACTCTCAAAAGCATCACCGTCTATGAACAGGCCCCAGCGTACAAAGAGATTGGCGCTGGCATTGGCATCGGCGTGAATGCAGCCCGCGTCTTGAAAAATTTGGGTGTGTGGGGAGCTGCAAACGCCATCTCCGGCGAACGCAATGGTGTCCATCGGAGCTGTCGACGATACGACACTGGTGAGGAAATCGTCGCGGTTGGAGCGATGGATGAGAATGCGGATGGTGGTGTTAGGCAACTGAGCGTGCACCGTGCAGAGATCTTGGATATCCTGTATCAGGAACTGATACGGAACTACGACGGTCGTGTTACGCTGAAGACGGATATGAAAGCTACTAGAGTCGAGGTAAGCGGAACTCAAGAGCTCGATACTCTTTCCCCTTCCGTTGGCGATCTTGTCGGCCAAGTCCCATACCTCTCCCCTTTCGGCCTCTTTGCTCGTATCTGATCTTTCTTCCAGGAGTGCGGCGATGAAGTCGCAATCTACTTCGCAAACGCAACAAACTCGATGGAGGTAGCCAATCTGGTGATCGCATGTGACGGCATTCACAGCACCATTCGGTCGCAATTTGCTCTTGACAAACCCCGATATAGCGGCCGGATCGCCTACAGAGGCCTACTCCCTCTCAGCGCCATCAGCGACAAATGGCCTTATCCTAGCTACGCCGTGAGCTGGTTGGCGCCGGACAAGCACTTCCTGGTCTTCCCCATCTCGCAAAACAAGACGCTCAACGTTGTAGCCTTTGTGACTAAACCAGAGAACGAACTTGGCGATCTGAAAGAGAGTTGGACCAGCAGTGCTCCCCGCGGGGAGCTCGAGAGCGAGTATGCAGGCTGGGAGCCGACTGTTGGAGCCGTGATTCAAGAGATGGAGGCTCGGCCGGGGAAGTGGCGCCTCAATGACCGCGAACTGCTCGAGCAATGGAAGTACCTCAACGGCAAGGTCGTACTAGCTGGTGATGCCGCTCACGCAATGCTCCCACATCAAGGTTGGTATTTCCGCTTCCACTGGTGCAAATGCCACTTTTAGTCTCATCTCGCTAACTCGCGATAACTCCAGGCTCTGGAGCCGGCCATGCCATCGAAGACGCCTACATCCTAGGCCTCATCGTGAGAGACTACTTTGCCAACCATATTCCAGGTCTAGCCGCCTACACAGCCCTGTATCAAGCCGTCCGACGACCCCGCGCTCAGAAGGCCCAAGTCACCAGCCGTCAGGCCGGTGACGTGTATGAAATGCAGGGCAAGGAATTCGAGGGTATCACCTCCTACGAAGATTGTTTGCCCATCGTCCGCGAGAAATTGGCTGGTCGGATGAAGTGGGTTTGGGGTCATGATCTCGAGGCCGATTATCAGAAGGCTCGTGAGGAGGCTGGGTTAGCCGTGCAGACCCAGCCAAAAGCGTCGCCTAGGACGAATGGAACGGTGAATGGAATCGTGGCTGGGACGCTGAATGGCAAGATCGGTGCAGCTCAGCATGGGATCGATGTCCAGGAGGTTGAAGCATGAATCACGGCGTCGTGGCCTTGTGATGCCCGGAGTTGTCGGTCCTTCCCAACTTTCCATCAATAAGAAGGCTGATGTTTCAGGGCAGCATATTTCACCTATTGCATTCCCACTGGCGCAATGGCCTTTTCTGCTCGCTGTGCCCATTTGGAAATTGGAGACCTCCCGACGCTGGCGTCGTTTGTGATTGGAGTTTTGACGTTTTGGCTTAACGTTTCTCCTTATTTGTCTAAACACGTTTTCCAGGCGGCCTGGCGCGGTGCGATGGCTTGTTGAAATGGGGGAACTCTAGAAAGAACTAAATTAGGAGGCCTTTGCCGGCGCACGAGAATTAAGGTAGACGTAGACACACAAAAGATAGAATTCCCCTGGATCCTTTGTATGTGCTGTCTCCTCGCGAGAATGGACAAGGCTGACACCCCTGCACCGGGAAAGGGGCCAGCACCAGCTGATGAAACAGGACAGAATTAGACCACCGCAATATGATCCGTCTGGGAAGCCCCGTACGGTGTAGTTTCCCTTCTGAAATATAGACCGGATGCTGCCCCCGTCGAAGAAAAAAAATTGCCGGAGCTCACAGAGGGTAGTCCGGGGAGATAGGCTTTTGGCTTCTTGAGCGGCGGAAGACGGTGAAGATAGAGTGCGTGTCAGGAGATTCTATTGCGCACGTACGGAGTACGTAGCGTAGCAAAATCATTCTACTATAATGGATTCGCATTGGTCTGTCCTGGTGCGAGTATCGATCGACTTGTTTCGGAGCCGTCTATTTGAAGCATCTAGTCCTTTGAAGCTTTCTGAGTCTTCCTTTTCCTTTGACCAAGTCATCGTCGTCGTCGTTGTCCGTCATTGCTGTCGTCGTATTCATCGCATAATCAACATCAACATCAACAACCATCGTTCTCCTGCGGAAAGGGGACCGACGGAAGATGGACATCCACACCGCCAAACGCACGCTCATAACCGCCAACCACATCCTCCACCACCAAGGCCAAGTCCTAGACGCCTACGGCCACATCAGCGTCCGCCACCCAACTGATCACACCGTCTTTCTGATGGCGCGCTATGTTCCTGCAGCACTAGTCGCGTCGCCCGATGACATTGTCGAATACCGAGTTGAAGATGCGGAACCCGTGGATCCGCATGCTCCGAGAGGTTATACGGAGCGGTTCATCCATTCCGAGCTATACAAGAGGTTTGGAGAGGTGAGGAGTGTTTGCCACAGTCACGCGCGGGAGGTTATCCCTTGGGGGCTGTTGGTGGGAAAGGGATCGGGACTGAAGGCCTGTGTTAATACGAGTGGATTCTTGGGTAAGTCTCGACCCGGGCACAGTGGCGACAACCAAAGCATTTTTTGGCCCGTTTTCTTTTCTTTGAATATCGCGAGGAAAACAGTGTACAAGGGAGAATGAGAGCTTGCGGAACTCACGAAAGTTGGAAAAGCTGAATTGGATTGCAGGAAAGGAAACACCCGTCTTTGAGCCACGTCCGCATTTTAGGCTAGGAGACATCAAAGACCTCCTGATCCGTTCCGCGCATCTCGGTGCTGCGCTTGCAGCATTGTTCACCAATTCAGCCGGTAGTGGCGGTCAGCTTGATCGGAGCGTCGTATTGATGCGAGGCCACGGAATGACTGTAGCAGCGACTTCGACCGAGCACTGCGTTTTCCGCTCAATTTATGCGAGGAACAATGCCATTGTCCAGACCACGGCGGTGACGTTACTAAGTTCGCTGAAGCTGGGATCGAATGCTAGCAGTGAGCACGATCACGAAGAAGAGGGGGGTTTGACGTTCCTCGATGAAGAGGAGGTGGCAGATTGTACGGGGATCAATGTGAAGACCGTCCTCAGACCGTGGACTGCGTGGAGTCGGGAGGTTCAGGCGAATCCATTATATGTGAATCTTGCGTAGGTCTGGGAGTTGAGACAGGGTTAGTCAGCCGTTTGGTGGTAACATATGGTTTCAAGGGTGTAGGTACCGGATTGTTACTCCAATCGTCCATCAGGCCTGTCCAGCCTGTGCTGTCCATGAGCATGCTCTCAATGTTTGCGAACTCGTCCTCGAACCCTGCCCTGAGAAACCCTTCCCCCGGCATCGATTGATATGCATCCTGCAGATAGGCAGGGTACAGGGCATTGGCAGCTTGCTGATGCTGTGCTTGTTGAGAATACTGATATCCAATAGCATTAGCAGATACCTGTGACTGACTGACAGTAGCAGAAGACGCGACTCCTGATTGCGGCCCAGGCCTGTCAGAACTGCTCGCTTCTCTGGAAAGGGGCTTGTTTTTGGAGGTGGACAAGGTCTGCAGCCTCGCTCGCAGTTGTTGAATGGCTTGAACATATCGTGATGCAAGCGGGTGCATTTGACCACCAACGCGCTGAAGCAGTTCAAGGCCTATTCTGACAGCATGGTCAACGTCCACATTAGGAGGTAAAGCAATATCAGCCTTAGATTGAGGATCCACCGTCTGGTAAACGAGGAGGACGCCCAGGGCGGCAAATACGTCTGAATATGAATCAGGAGCGTTGATCGAAAATGTGATCAGAAAGCGTCTTACAATGCGAATTGTGCCAGAATGATGATAGCTTGTTCTGATGATGCAAGCTCCCCATCTGAGTGATCGAGTCGTAAGCTGCTGTTACACAGCGCTTGACACACTTGAGCATAATTTCGCGCTGAAAGTGGTCTGTGACTCGACGCGTGATGTAAAGGAGCAGAGTCTGGCGGTGAATAAGATGCCGCGCGTGAAGATATCTGATGGAATGATTAGTTAGTCCATAGGAACGGGCCCGAAGGCAGAGGCGCCCACCTCATCAGCAGCACATTTCTCTGCCTTTCGAAGTGCCACTCCAAGCCCTCTGCTCCTGGTTTGAGATGGCTTGGGAGATTTTCTTGCCATGTGGTTAACTCTCCATCGAGCTGGATCGATAAGGCCAAGAATTGAGTAGTATCCATTACTGATCTCGCTTTCTGCGTGTTGTCTCCGGGCCCGTCACTGCTGTACAGAGTCTTTAGGATCTTTTCCATCAAGCGGCACTGCGGAATGACCTGATTAAAGTACTCTAGCTTGGAAGGCACACCCTGAGGTTGAATAGACTGACCCTCTTCGCTGGACAGGAACTCGTCGTCGACTGCCAGCGGCATACCCACCTCGATCCCCGGGCCGTCCGGAATCGTGGGTCGTCCGACCTTCATGCTCAAGACTCGATCAAGAACGAAGCAGCCCCACCACACCCTCTTGCGCACTTCTTGCTCTATCTTATCTGATGTGAAGGTGGCAGGGTCGAGGTGCAGCCCTAACCCTTGCGCTGTACGTATTGCAAGTCCGATAACCGTCCAGCAGTTATTGAGCTCGAGGGCCCCGTGGAGGTACTGACCCATCAACAGCAAAGCTTGGACAAGCTCGATGGTGCTGACTTGTAACAGTCCAGCCACGAGCAGGGTCTTGGCTCTTTTGAAGTAACGGGACCGATCACCAGCGGAACGGCCGGTGACATTGGCATGATCGCTTCCGAATGCAAATACAAGGTTGACAAGTCCATACCAGGCTAGGCTCTGCTGTGTGGCCTCCTCTCCACCTAGATCTTGACTCAACCACAACCGTTGATATCTCTGTCGAAACGTTCCTTCATGCAGATAGGGATTCAGCGGATGCCGGTATTTGAAATATGCGTCCACCAGACGATCAGCCACGAGACGCGACGGTAGACCAAATGGGTCATCAGATTCGGCGCTCAAAAGCTCGAACACCGGTACTGATGAAGACGAGATCGCGAGGGAAGCGCTGGGGTCTCTCAAGGCAGATCCCCCGGCGGGAACCCCTGACCGTCTAGTCGGTGCTTCTTTCTCTGGAGAGCTGACTTTGGCCATGAAATCAAAACTCGAAGACTCGCCGAAGTACTCAGTTGGAGTTCCCTTGTTTGCATCGCTCAATACTGTTACGGGATCGGATCTAGCGGTGTGGCTTTCGCTAGGTAATCGCGTTTGTTGCTGTTGATCCATGGCAAGAGGAAGGCCCGCTGGCTGACTTTGTAAAGAGACCGCGCTTTGGTTCCCTGCACTGATCGTTTGACCATCATCGTGGGAGACGTCACTAGAACCTTCAATCTCTCGGGGTAATGTAGGGACATTGCTTCTCATGGTGAGTCGTTGTATGGGGTGGTAAATAGCATTGACTGTAGCACTTACAAGTGGCGCGCATTTGCCCGTTGTGTAGCTGCAAGTTGTCTCTCGAGCGTCTCATTTCGCATCTTGAGCTCTTCAACATAACTTTGGAATGTCAGTGTAGGCATTTCACTTTCTGGGTCTTGCAAGGGACCGCGGTGCCTACTCTTGTGTAACACTCACTCGCGCCCTCTGTGGCGAGTAAACGCATTCTTGCCGACGTTGTCGACATTGATGGCAAGACGGTCGCTCGCCGTCACATCTATTCTTCTTCAGTCTAGAAGTCGTCAGTCGTTCAGTCGTCAATCGCCGCACCCTTGCAAACAGCACATGTGGAGTATGGGGTCGGTAGTCCCACCTGCAAAGATCGCATGCATAGCCAATCCGGCGTCTCTTGGATGGTTGCTTAGTCGCATCTTGATCATTGTCCGCAGGGGAAGCAGTGGCGGACTCGGCTATCATCCTGCATGAGACAGTCTGTAGGTTGTGTGATACCTCGTCTCCTGACCAGGTTGGAAAACGCGGAGTAGGGATGATTTTGGAAGGGGAGATATCTTCACTTCCGCCCTCGGAAAGCTGGGCCGGAAGAGTCGGGGAAATATAGGAGAGCGGGCTAAGGCGGTCTTGGCATCAACGTTGTGTTCTTCCTACTGTTGGCAGCTTGCAGTCGATAGTTGTAGAGTGCCGGACGGACGTGGTATTAGAAGTGATTACTATCTTAGTATACCTTCGGTCGATGACATGGGTTCAGCTGAAACGACACCAGTGTATATTCGGTAGATTTCGAATTGTATAGCGGACTCAGCCGAGCCAGCCTTGTCAAACTTCGGCGGCAGATAGTTGGTTGTGATACATGGTTTTGTTTGCGACCTCCTTCTCCCACAGCGGCCATGGCTTTACAGCTCCCATCCCCGTCGTTGTTCCCGTATCGTGTGCCTCCCGCTCTGTAAAGTACTTCACGGCGCCGCCCAGACTCATCGCACTCCGTTGAACCCTTGCGTTTTGTTGCGTATAGATACTGTTGAAGATGCACATTTCCAGGCTCTCTGAGGTCACAACCATACCGTGACCTCTCATGAGCACAACTGGATGCTTGACCTGACCATTCTCCCCTAGTGCCTTTGCTAGTGAGGACGCAAGCCTGGTGTTCCTGACTAGCATATCCTGATTGTCAGATGGATAGTCTTTGTACACCGAAGCCGCATCCCACACAGGAACAGCAGTTCCTAGAAACCCGGCCATGTGAAAACAGGCGGACAGGGGAACTGTGGAGATTGAAAATGGTACAACCTCCGGGCTGTGTGAATGCACCACTGACTGGACAGCTGGATAGGCCTTGTACACTTCCGAGTGAATGAAGCGCTCCGAGAATCCTGTTTCTTGTGAGCTATAACATTATTCAAGTAGCTGAGTAGAGGGGGTAGGGCCATGATATTGATCAAGTGCCTGCTAACCTCCACGTACCTCTCGGGGCGTCTGGTTTCACAGGCTGTGCATCTTCAATGTTGTATATAACAAGGTCTTCAATGGACGCAACCAAAGCCGGCGCGAGATATTTTGACATCATAAAATTCGAAGTGGATAGACGGACAGAGATGTGTCCGTACGCGTCCACAAGGTCATGTTGATGTAGCTTGTGACAGCCATCAATATATTTCCGGAGCAGGACAGGAGAGACCTGCGACAGGTCTGTAATGGAGTCGACCGTGACCATCAGGCTTGTTTCTTATTGCAATGGTGTGGTGTTGAAAGATGAGATTGCCCAACCTACAAAGCCTGAAGTCTGATGAATAGGGAAGTCAACCCAGCCGTTGTGGCGGATAGGCAAAGAGAAACCTCCAATGGACGCGTTGACGACCAGAGCGCAAGTGTTAATATCCTCTTCTGTGGTAGTGCACAACTCAACAGTTCTTCATTGGCCCATGGTAGTACACGTCTAGAGCGTTGAATCTTTTGTGGCGGGCAAGGACGGAGAGGTGAGGGAGACTCGACCACGCCGGGGAGATAACCTCAGCTGGGTAGATCTCGGCAGTCACATTCCGGAAGCTTAGAGCCACTGCAATGAGCCATACCACGGAAGCTTCGATGGCGTAGCGAAGTCCTCCATTGCTGCCCCATGGTGTGGAGAGGTAGAGGTAGAGGTAGAGGGTATACATACCTACTAGAGGTAGATGTAGCGGTAGTGTGGAGGAGCTTCCATGTGACCGCTGTACAGATTTAATGTCGCTGCTCTAATCGCAGAAGCTACCTAACTATTGTCGTTTAGCCAGTATATTGACTAAAGCAGCCACAAACCTCATTAGTCTTGGTTAGTCCAACAAGCATCGTCTAGCCGCTACAACATCACCGCCAAGGCCATCCACATTTGGACAGATCACTATGTATCCATCTTCTGGCGGTCGCAGTCTCCCCTCGACAACCTATCAACGGCTTCAGGAAGTCCCCTGACTCGCATTCTAACTCTATTCCTTCTCTTGATCTCTGGGACGCTGTGGGAACAGCATTTAGGGAAATTCCACAATGCTTTGATTCTTCTCTACCGCAGCCCACCATCCTCCGCACACTTGTATCGACGGCTTTCAATTGAACATCAGAGTTCTTGGACCCTCTCATCAGAGCTAACGTATTCCTGCGAACATGGCGACCTTTCTCGAGAACTCGTACAGTCTGGTGCACCTTGACAACACCGCGGACCAGCCGAGTCAGCAGGACCTCAAGACACAACTAGAAAAGGGCACAGATGAGACCAAGCTGGACACCATGCGGAGGATCCTCACCACCATGCTCAATGGCGATCCCATGCCCAATCTATTGATGCATATCATCCGTTTTGTCATGCCTTCGAAAAGCAAATCTCTGAAGAAACTGCTCTACTTTTACTACGAGATCTGCCCCAAGTTGGACGCCAATGGGAAGTTAAAACAGGAGATGATCCTCGTCTGGTATACTCAGCTGTTTCTTCAGAGATGGGAATCTTGAGACTGACTGCCGTTAGTAATGGAATCCGGAACGATCTTCAGCATCCCAACGAGTTTGTTCGAGGAAATACGTTGCGCTTTCTTTCCAAACTTCGAGAACCCGAATTGATCGAACCCCTCCTCTCTGCTGCGCAAACTTGCCTTGACCACAGACATGCCTACGTGAGAAAGAATGCCGTATGGGCATTGGCCTCCGTCTATCAGAATGCCCAGCACCTGATCCCGGATGCCCCCGAGATGCTTCATACCTTCCTCGCCGGCGAAAGTGACACAACTTGCAAAAGGAATGCCTTTGCTGCATTGATGAGTATAAGCCATGACAAAGCATTGGAATACCTCACTGGAGTCCTGGACGGAGTACCTAATGCCGACGAGCTACTCCAGCTGGTTGAACTGGAGTTTATCAGGAAAGACGCCGTTCAGAATCATGCAAACAAGGCGCGCTATTTGCGCTTGATTTTTGATCTGTTGGAAGCGAACACGAGCACAGTTGTCTATGAAGCTGCGACTTCACTGACAGCCCTGACGAGCAATCCGGTGGCTGTTAAGGCGGCTGCTGGAAAGTTGATCGAGCTGAGCATCAAAGAGGCGGACAACAACGTCAAGCTGATCGTGCTTGATCGCGTTGACCAATTGCGGAGACGGAATGAGGGCGTCCTGGACGATCTCACCATGGAAATCCTGCGAGTTTTGTCTAGCCCTGACCTGGACGTCCGACGGAAAGCTTTGGGGATTGCATTAGAAATGGTCTCCAGTAAGAACGTCCAAGAGATTGTCATGCTATTGAAGAAGGAATTGGGCAAGACCGTGGTTGAACAATATGAAAAGAACGCGGAATATCGACAACTTCTGATTCAGTCGATCCACCACTGCGCCATCAAATTTTCAGAGATCGCGGCGAGCGTGGTTGATGTCTTGATGGACTTCATTGCCGACTTCAACAATAGCTCAGCAGTGGATGTTATTTCCTTCGTCAAAGAAGTGGTTGAAAAGTTTCCTAAGCTCAGATCCTCCATCGTGGAACGGCTGGTGTCGACATTGGGCGAAGTCCGGGCAGGAAAGGTGTACCGTGGTTCGCTTTGGGTAATTGGCGAATATTCTCTACAAGAGAACGACATCAAGGAGGCTTGGAAACGGATCCGGGCGAGTCTTGGGGAGATCCCGATTCTAGCTTCAGAGCAACGGTTATTAGACGAGCAGACGAATGAGGATGGTGAAGCGAAGGACCAGGTCAACGGCCATTCGGCACCCAAACCAGCCTCAAGCGGATCACGGAAAATCCTTGCAGATGGCACATACGCAACCGAAAGCGCATTAACCAGCGATTCCGCTGCAAAAGCGAGATTGGAAGCAGTCAAAGCGGCACAGAAACCCCCCTTGAGACAGCTTATTCTTGATGGCGACTACTACCTGGCAACAGTGCTTTCTTCGACCTTGACGAAATTAGTTATGCGTCACTCGGAGATCTCGACAGATCAGGCGCGCACTAATGCCTTGCGTGCTGAGGCCATGCTGATAATGATTTCGATCGTTCGAGTCGGACAGTCGCAGTTTGTGAAGGCGCCCATTGACGAGGATTCGGTGGATCGAATCATGTCCTGCGTACGGGCGTTGGCCGAATTCACTGAACGCAAAGAACTTGAGGTATCCTTCTTGGACGATACTAGAACAGCATTCCGGGCTATGGTCCAAGCCGAAGAGAAGAAACGGGCCGCCAAAGAAGCAGTGGAAAAGGCGAAGACAGCCGTCCAGGTGGACGATGTTCTTTCAATACGACAATTATCGAAGAAGAGTGCAGGCGATGGCACAGATGAAATGGAACTGGACCTGGAGAAAGCAACAGGCGGCGATGCTTCGTTTGAAGATCTGTCATCCAAACTGAGTCGCGTCGTGCAGCTTACGGGGTTTTCAGATCCTGTATATGCCGAGGCTTATGTCAAGGTGCACCAGTTTGACATTATCCTCGATGTACTCCTGGTGAATCAGACGACCGAGACTCTTCAGAACCTCTCGGTGGAGTTTGCTACTCTAGGTGATTTGAAGGTGGTGGAACGACCGACGACACATAATCTTGGACCGCATGACTTCCTCAACGTGCAGTCGACCATCAAAGTGTCAAGCACAGACACAGGAGTGATTTTTGGTAATGTCGTCTATGACTCGCCTTCTGGCACGGATACGCATGTTGTCATCTTGAATGATGTGCATGCAGATATCATGGACTACATTCAGCCAGCAACATGCTCCGAATCAGCATTCAGGACCATGTGGACCGAGTTTGAATGGGAGAATAAGGTGAACATCAACAGCAAAGCGACGACCAAGACGCTGCGGGAGTTCTTGGATCAACTCATGAAGAGCACGAATATGACGTGTCTGACGCCGGAAGCCAGTTTGAAAGGTGACTGTCAGTTCCTCAGTGCAAATCTGTACGCACGGAGTGTTTTCGGTGAGTGGTTCAGCTAGGCGTGCGGATTGGGCAAAGTGGCTAACTCTGGTCTAGGGGAGGATGCATTGGCGAACCTGAGCATAGAAAAGACGGCGGACAACTCGATTGTGGGATTTATTCGAATTCGGTCACGGTCTCAAGGACTGGCCTTGAGTTTGGGATCATTGAAGGGTTTGAAGGCAGGCACCTATTAGACTAAGGATCCGAGGAAAAATCCCGAGTAGAGGTAGGGAGGCAAAACACTGGCGGTCCCGGTAGCAATGCCGGGAAGCAAATATCGGTGAGGATTGCAATGTGCGATGCCAGATATCTGCTCAATCCTCGGTAAAGACCATGATGTGCAAGGCTGACCAAGGCCGCGAGATGGGCAGGACGGCTTATTAGCGAGGGTAGTGAGGGTCCACCTTGGTCCACCCACACGGACAACGCTCCCAGTCAAATGGTCGCGTCCCACAGCTGCGTTTCCCGTTTCTCCATCACGCATCATCCCCAGCCATCTCGGTGTGCCAACAATGCCAACACTGCCACCAACTTCAAGTCCTGCTGCTTCATCATGTCTCTAAACCTCTATCGTCAACCTCACTGTAAGCGTCTTGACTCACTCACTCCTGTCTCGTCAGGTGTTTGTTTTTGCCAGTCTACTTGGTACCCCTCTCTCTGCCGTCCCTCGCATCGTCCTCAGATCCTTCTCGCAAGCACATCTGGCGCCTCTCCCCCACGAGAGCAGATCGTGGCCCATCTTCTCCCTCAAGGCCTATGGCACCATGGCTGCAGCTGGCAGCATTACCCTCCTCTCTCCTCGTTCTCATCGCCAGCTCAATTCCCCCAGCATCTTGCCAGCATCTGGACCTGCGATGGCCGTACAATCTCCCCGCAGACTCGAAATACTACCCCGAAGATGAGTTGATGGTCAAGCGGGATATGGCCGTGCAGCGGAAGCTACAAAAGAGCATGCCGACCGGAGTGAGGAAAATGAGTGGAGATCCCGGAGAAAAGTTCTATCTGGAATACTGGGGGTTTGAGGAGCAAGAGGAGGAGTTCAACAACTACTCGTCAGATTGGACCAATGTGACGTTCTTCACATCCTTCGAACAACCAGTCCGACTCCACGACCGCCACCAGCGTCCTCGCCTCTTTCGGCGACTACTACCTGGCTGGCATCTCTTCTCAGAGAGGGATTTCCAGTGTCCCACAGGCACATCACCCTGCACCTCGATCGATCGACCCAACAGCTGCTGCGCAACTGGCTACACCTGTCAACTGGTCCAAGACACTGGATTGGGAGACGTCGGATGCTGTCCCGATGGCCAGGTCTGCGGGAATGCGCTCTCAACATCGTGCGCGAGCGGATATACCTCGTGCCCGAACGATCCAGGCGGTGGGTGCTGTCTTCCGGGATACGCGTGCTACCAAGTCGGATGTGTTCAGACCTCGACCGCGACAATTCTGACGAATCCAACGCCATCAACGACGACTGTGACGAGTTATACGACGGTAACACCTTCGCCCTCGACGCCCTCGACGCCCTCGACAACGACAGTCACGTCCACGACTAAGACCGCCCCAACATCGACCCGAACTTCGAGCGTCACACCACTGCCACCAGTCATTTCAACCGTGACGCTCACAGTCACAGTGACCTCCGCCACGACCCTCCCACTCACGTGCTCCTCTGGATACCAATCCTGCCCGGCCTCACTGGGAGGCGGGTGCTGCCCAACGGATCGCCAATGCGGCTCTGCAAATTGTCCTCCACTGTCCACATCATCCTCGGCGACACCAGAACCACCCGTGCGTCCGACTTCTCTTACGACGACCGTCGAGACGACAACCACGACCACGACCCACTCCACGTCGCTATCCTACCCGGTCACCGGGTGTCCCACTGGCTTCTACGCCTGCTCTGCCTACTACGTCGGCGGATGCTGCCAGATCGGCCGCAACTGCGACTCGACATCCTGTCCCGCTCTGCCTTCCACGACGCTGGTCTCCGGGAGCACCCTGACCATTGTCGCGCCGACAGGTCCGGGAATCACTGCGCCGGGAACACTGGCAACGGGGAACTGTGCCAAGGGCTGGATGACCTGCGCCCCAAGCGTGGGTGGAGGGTGTTGCCCCAGCGGCTATGTCTGCGGCGCAACTAGCTGTAGCGTCCCCGCCGATGTGACTGGGGCAGGTGGAGGCGTTGGGAAACAGGCACCGAATGCAGCGAGGAAGAGGGAGCATTTCTGGGGTGGTACTTCTTGGGTCTTCATGGGTGCGTGGTTGCTCTTTTGACCTCTGTCATGGCCATTGGGTTTTGGATCGGTGGTACCGGAAGGAGGACGCTTCTCGTACAGTGGACAATTTTCCCTGCGGACAGACAGCACCGTACATAAGCGCGCACATGCGCACGTTTGAAGGCAAGACGACAGAATTATTCCATGTCCCGGGCTCCATGGGTCAGGCATGTCGAGATGTCGAGAAGGGGCCCAGGCATAAGGATAACTTGATTCTATAAAGGACTCTGATGTACCTGGAGAGGCTTTCCAAGTATGGCTTTTCCAGACGAGAGACCGTTGCAGCGCCCTTCTGAAGCAAGAAGTGAGGATCTAGTTTCATCATTGTGAGAAATTTGCTCCAGGGTATTGTCTCGTGGCGTCTGTAACGCAAGACAAGTATCTGTGGTCACTAAGGCTGAACAAGTCCCCTTTGACTCGCACACCTCCGCAACATACAAAATTGATGTCCAAAGCCATCGTCTTTGCTACTCCTTTTCCCTCGTTTGTATCCTCTTGTGCCGACCTTTACAAGTACACCATGGATCTTGACTCCTCCTGCCAGCCATCTGGCCTTTGGCCCAAAATGATACTAAACGCCCCGCGCTAATGCTCAAATCATTTTCTCTTCGTAGTAAAATCCTTCCAATACTATAAGACACCCAAAGTTCCTCCCTGCGCCAAAGACGCCGTCATTAGCCTTGTTGCTGCGCTCCCAACTCTTCATACTCGTTCAGCTTGCGCTGCACCAGTTCTGCCGCATGTTGCTTGACCAATTCTTTGTCTTCCCTCACATCGACCTGCATGACATCCCATTCAAGGTCTTCCTCTGGCTCCTCCAGCGTCGCCATCTGGCTGTGCACCATTTCTTCTTTCATATAGTGGCCGACTCGGGCAGCCACCCTGGCTTGCAACGTTGCTTCGTCGACCTTGAGATAAATGAAATGGACTTGGACCGAAGGGTGTTCGTAATTGGCGACCCGGATGACGTCGCGGTATTTCCGTTTGAGAGCCGAACATGTGACAATGACGGAGTTGGAGGTTTGGAGTTTCTTGATGGCCTCTTCACGGAGGGTGATCAGCCAATCCCACCGGTCGGCGTCGGTAAGGGGAGTTCCAGAGGCCATTTTTTGCTTGTTGGCCATGGGATGGTACTGTGCCTGCATTAGCCAGAAAATACAGGTATCAAGGGTAGCGCAACATACATCATCACCCTCGATATAGGGTAGCGACATCTCGGCAGCGAGGTGCTGGGCGACAGTAGTCTTTCCACATCCTGCGGGGCCCGTGATGATCCAGATGTGTTCTAGGTGGTCGACTCCGTTCTGCATGGCTCGTGCGGAGGCCCCGTAGTTCGAGGAAATAGGTCGGTGAGGGTGCCGAAAAGGATGAGGCCTGGTAGTTCGTTCTGTCGACAGCATGGCGGTGGATGTTAGGCTAGCAAACGGGTGATGTCACGATTGAAGCGAACACGAGCGGCGGCGCTTGGAGCCGGGGAAGCATGCGAGCAGACAAGAAGCAATGAACGAAAGGAGAAGTGCGTGGGGGGGTAAAAGGTAGTGCTAAAGTATAAGGAAGGAAAAGGAAAGGGACCGATCACTTACTGGGAGGGAGAAGGAGTGAGATATAAAGACGCAACTCATAAGGAGGGAGGGGTGAGAATTGCCGTCAGGACCACCAGAATTGCTGTTTTGAGTGGCGGTCAATGCTGAAATGCTGGAAAGGAAAGGAATGCAGACTCGACGCGGCAAGCACCATGAACGTCGGACAGAGCTGGATTGAATCCAGGGTGACAGTTGCCCGGTCTTACCCCACACCCAAACACTCACACCTAGAGTCGGCCACCCTGCCGGATAAAGTCATGGAGATCCTCGTGTGCCAGAAGCAAATCGGCTATGGTCTTGAGCAGCGGTACCGAGATGCCTGTCTGTGGGTTGGGCAGGAAGTGGAATAGGTGGAATCGAGCCCGAGAGGCGCAAGTCCTCGTATCGATCAAAATCTTCGCAGGCCAGCGACCAAGGAGTGAAGGAGAGAGCGAGAGAGAGTTTGGAGAATGTGCGGTCGGTCTGCGGGGAACGCGGAAGGAATCCAAGTGTGTTCGGCAATTGAACCATCAGCCTCAGCAGTAGCCGTCGCCGACAAGGAAAGCAGAACGAGGTGAAGATTGCGAGCCCGCTCAAAGAAAAGGTGATAGCCTCCAGGAGACATCTGGTCGCTGGTGGAATAGAGGATGACTCCGTAGCGGCTGCTCAATCGTTCCCGGCTTCTTCTCTTGGTTGAGTACAGCGTCTTCGTCAGCACCAGTCTGTCTTGTCGTGTCTTGTCCTGGTGTCACAGCCTTGCATTGCCTTGCACATGATGCAGGACTCATCGAGGTCTGGAGGCCTCCACACCGTTGATGTCAGGTGAAAGAAATGAGGCGGGTATGGTGAAGTCGACCCGGGGCTTGTTGGGGTAGTTCGAGTGGTGCTGCATCATCGTCGCGCAATCCGATAGATGTGTGTATCAGCATCCCGTGGCATGCTTCATGTCTTTCTTTCTGCCGCGCGAGCTTCTCGATGGCGTGGGCAGATTATGGCGTTGAGTTGTGAGAGAGGCTTGGAGAGGTTTATCCCCCCCAAGTAAAAAACGATGTCAGGTGGTCGTCGCTTAAGCCTGCGCAGGGCTTGGCACTGATCCGGGGCAGCTGAGGCAAGCTGTAGTGGCTGTAAGCTGCACCATCTATACGAAGTAATGTACTGCATCTCATCCTTTAAATGCGACAACATCTCTGTTGCATCTTCCTTACACACAGACAACATCCTCCTCTCCACTTTCATACGCTAGATCTCTACGACTACAGCATCCCTTCCATCTCCCACCCTTCCAGACCATGTCCGCGTTCTTCTTCTCGACACCTGTCGATATCGACATTGTCCTCGAAGATGCCGATGAGCGGCAAACAGTCGATGTCAAGCTTGACAAGAATAGGCGGGAAAAGGCTCCCTTATATCTTGATGGCGAATCCGTGAAAGGCGCAGTCACGATAAGACCAAAGGACGGGAAGAGACTGGAACACACTGGCATCAAGGTCCAATTCATCGGACTGATAGGTACGCCACAACAAGCGGCAGTTGGGTTGTTCACACCCGCGATCTGACTCGAGCTCATCTAGAAATGTTCTTTGACCGAGGAAACCATTACGAATTCTTGTCATTAGGACAAGAACTTGCTGCGCCGGGAGAACTGCAACACCCCCAGACCTTTCCCTTCAACTTCAAGAACGTCGAAAAGCAGTACGAGTCATACAATGGCATTAACGTCAAGTTACGGTACTTCGTCCGCGTCACAGTCTCAAGAAGGATGGCCGACGTCATTCGGGAGAAGGACATCTGGGTCTACTCATACCGGATACCCCCGGAGACAAACAGCTCTATCAAGATGGATGTCGGGATTGAAGACTGTCTGCACATCGAATTTGAATACTCCAAGAGCAAATACCACCTCAAGGACGTCATCGTTGGAAGAATCTATTTCTTGCTGGTCAGATTGAAGATCAAACATATGGAGTTGTCCATTATCCGAAGGGAAACGACTGGTGTCGCCCCCAACCAGTACAATGAGAGCGAAACGCTAGTGCGGTTTGAGGTACGTTCTTATAGCTCTGAATGTTCTGGCCGCTCACGTTTTTTTCAGATTATGGATGGTTCACCGTCACGAGGTATGATTTGCGCCAGTCGCTCCATTGCACGGCGGGACGAAGTTTTAATGTGCACTGGAGACATCGAAGATTCCTGGAATTTAAAATACAAGCGAGAAGGAGAATCAAATGCTGATGCGAGTCTAGGTGAAACAATCCCTATCCGGCTCTTCCTAGGAGGATTCGACCTGACACCCACCTTCCGAGAGGTGAACAAGAAATATTCGACCAGGTACTACCTCAGTCTGGTATTGATTGACGAAGGTACGTTTCTATACTCTGCCCACCTTGCACTGGCCGCCCCAGGCTGGATTTGGTTCAGAGACCGGGGACTATGTGCCAGCCTTGCTCGTACAAAGACCCCTATTTCGGCCGCCCCCACTCGAGGCCCTATTCAAACGCCGACACCGGCATGTGTCATCCCTCAGCACTCTCCCCACACTAGGCCTGGTGTCCGGCGCCTTTTTCGAGGTGCCTTGAAATAACTATCGAGGCTACCTTCTCCAAACCCTTGGATACAGAGGAGCGCGATCCCGTCTTTGGCTAACTGACATCTTGCAAATAGACGCCCGCCGCTACTTCAAGCAATCAGAAATAGTTCTGTACCGACAGGCGCCCGAATTGCTTCCCCCACTAGCAACAGACCAGCCCGGCGCCGGCGGCAAGCTGCCCATCCATACTCCGCCGACACCTGCCTAATTGAGGGGACCTTTTCCCAAGCCTTTTTCCGTTGGCGGGACCCTTACCGGAAAAGTTTCCTGGAAATGAAACTCGGTCGCGGCTGAGAACTAAGGTTACGGTGCACACGCCGCGACTCAGACTGGGCAATTTTGCCCGTCGATTTGTTTTTGGAAGGCTATCGGGCCTGTCAAGAGTGGCAGAATTCCACGATTGGACCTCGTGTCAAAGCGAGTCTGCGTGACGGGGATTTGTCTCTCCGGGACACCCGGAATTGCCCCGAGATGGGCTCAGATACTCTTGATGGCTATTGATTCAGTCGACCGTCTTCGTGGCGTGTCTCCCCCCCGCGAAACTCGTGCGCATTGTACTATTCAATCAAGGGCAACCGCGCTCCCAGTATCAAAGCACAAATCTATCAAATACACCATTCCTCGTGCCAATCAACCTTTCGATTTTTAACATGACCTCTGTCGCTTTCGAACATTGGTCCTTTCCTTCGACAAGATTTCGGTTATTCGTGACTAGAGACACACTCGGATTCCCGTGCCCTGCTCCCCGTTCCTTCGATGGCCTTCCATCTTCCTAGTCAAATCCCGTAAATCCCCATTCTTCGCCGACGGCTCTCCTCCACCGTTCAAGGGCCGCCTCGATTGCCTTACCAGGCTCATCATCTTGCCACGCCCGTGCTCCAAGCCCTTTTAGTCTTGGCAGTCCTTGCCAGAACTTCTGGACGCGCAGCATCATGCTGTAGAGGACGCGAAGGTGGGATTTGCCGTCATCTATCGCGTCCACCTCTAATCTCCGCATAGCAACGAGCAATCCGCTGGAAGGTCCCTTCTGTGTAAGACTCCCCTCGAGTGCTTGCGTCATTTTGGCAATCGCATGGCCATCGCTCCTCAACTCAACGAACTTGGACAGTACGACCTGCAATTCGACTTGCTGTGGCTCGGGTGGCGGAGTAAGACCTCTCAACCGCTGGTCCGCTAGAAACGTCTTCAAGGAATGCGTTACGCGCAGTACGAGATAAGGGGCTGCCGCGCATGCTAACTTACAGCTCGAGCCCCTCTGATCTCTTTGGTCCCCGCTCAGTTGCGAACATTTCTGCTGCGAGACGAGCCCAAAGAGCGCATCCAACGCCGCGTAACAAATCCTCCGTCTCACGGCAAAGACAGGGCGGTGGACACTGCCGGGTCTTGCCTGTAGCAAACCCTTCAACGGCTCATCATTCAGGTCATGTGGAATGTCGTAGAACCAAGGTTTCGCGAGCAGTGAAGCCTTGAATAGGATAATCGGGTATCCCTTACAGGCATCTTCTCCAATTTCTTGTGAAGTTTGGAAAATGGAGACTACAGCTTTGTGTAGTAGTCGAAAGTGTTCGATATCGAAAGTTTCATCGTCCATGGTTGTCTCTTCACTGTGATCCGGACCGGGTGGATTGGACAGGCTACCAGGGTTCAGCATACTGACCGCGATGGAGATGATGTCTAGTCCCAGACCATCAAAGTGAGAGGAATCCGCTGGCCGCAACCTTCTGCGACTCACATGCTTCTGCAAAGCTTCAAGCATGACGACTGCAGTGACGGTGGCATTTCTCCATAGCGGTGCTTGACTGTTTGTTGGGATTTTTGTGTATTTCGTGTTGATGATGGCGGAAAGTACTTGACATGCCATTTGCACGGCTAGGATGTGGATGAAATTCTCATCGTTTGCATGCTCTAGAACTGAATTCCGGAAATTTTCCAGACACGCGAATGCAAAGGCGATGAATGTTGGCTTCTGCGCAGATTTTGATATCGCAGATTTCTTCTGTTGGGCCCCAACTCTTCCGTCCTCGATATTTAGAGTGAGACTCAGCAGCCGGAGGAGGAATTGGGAATATTGCGACACTTGGTCACACAAGAGAGTCTTCAGTATCGCCACGCATTGAAGGGCCTCCTTTTGTTCTAGTGCCAAAGCTTTTACATCACTTGTGTAAGGCGGATGTACACATAACAGAATCCCTTGCTCAATAGAACCCATCAATATTGAAGCATGACCTCGCATATAATTCGATACTGCAGCAGGTCTAGTCTTGTATGCCTCAACAAAGACATTGGCATGCGAAGTGAAGGCTTGTTGATTCGGTAATTCTTCACCAGATAGACGATTAGATTGAGAGTCTCGTCTAAGTTTAGCGGGGTGATAGTCTGCCCATAACTGCATTGGAAGCACGATTAGATCTTCCTCAACATTCCCTAAGACTGAGAGCGCGGAAAGAAGTTTCGATAGATTCGAGAAAGCTAACGAAAAGGCAGCCAGAGAGGTCGTGCTTAACAGAGCCTTCAAAACGCTCATAATGCGCAGCCATGTATTTTTGAACTCATCATGTATGGCGATCACTGGCAGATTTTGAGATATAATTTGAATGATGCCCTCCGTCAACTGAGCCGCTGATGCCATCCATTCGTTCTGGTCACTCTTGTCTGTATCATACTGGCAAATGCAAAATCGAACAGTGTCCAAAGGGCCGGCTTGGAGAGTGACTGCCCATGTATTTGAGCTTAGAGCCTCGCTCGAGGCATCAAGCATTTTCAAGAGGACCTTGATAGCTGCATTTCGAACATCCGCGCGCTCATCTTTACACAGCTCGATCAGTTGTAGCAGAATGAGACTCCAGATTGTGCCGGATGAAGATTCCGATTTCGAAGCGACTTCTTCTACTCGGCCCTCCAGAGTGGGCATCGCAGTGATGTCGATTGTCTCAATTCTTGATAAGGCCTGAGACGCGAGACTCCACAGAACAGTTGTGCTTGTTAGCGCCACGTTCAAATCATAATGCTGAGAGCCAAATTGACGGAGAAGTTGGGCCAGTTTTGCGAGTGAAGTAAGATCAAGTACACCAAGAAAGTCTGACGTGGTTAATTGTATAGATCTGAAGGCAACCCTTAGTATTTGGGCTGTTTGTGTGATATTGTCGGCTTGTTCCATTGATTCGTCGGCGAGCTGTGGCTGTCCCTGTCCTCTTTTTGCGAACGACATGGAGAGAATTTCCAGTGCGATCGGCCAGCAGTTATTTAACGATTCTCCGCTGTGGCTGAGCATACTTTCCAGAGCATCGAGAAGCCTCTTATGGATTTCCAGCTCGACGCCATCATACCTCCGACTTGGAGTCTCGTCAAAAGACTCTAATTGTTGCAAGAGGGATCGCAAACAGCGGGATCTAATGGTGTCCGCCTCTCCCGCTTCGAAACGCGCATCATCCAGCAACTTCACTGTCTCCATGGAGATCAAGTCTAGTATGCTGGCTGATTGTATCCGATGGTTGCCAGCGACACTGATATCCTGGGAGAGGCGCAGCAAACGACCCGCAATTAGATGCCAGGAACAAGACAGTTCTGTAGAAGATGCGAACCGATATATATTGATGCGGGACAAGTCGCCGAGCTTGTTAAGAACGAACCCGATCTCGAGATCAAGCGTTTTCGACTTTGTCCACATGCCAGATACACTCCGTGAAACATGATGTGCCGGCCTCGGAGCTCCTAGTCGAGTAGGAGAGGGAGGGGAGGCGAGTCCTTGCTCCGATGGCTGAGAATTGCTTCCCCCATTGGTCTGCCCGAGCAGGCGGAATAAGGCCTGTACAATCACGGCAAACGACTCCGCGCTGAAACTTCGTGTGCTCTCCAGCATTCTCTTTGTTGCGGCCTGCACAGCGCCTATTTCGGTCGAAAGAGTGGTCTGACTATCAGTACCGGAGACACCGATTCTCGGGCTTCCAGATTGTGCATTGGCTGTCATTGCGCTCGGCATTGCGATCAAAGCCTCGACCGTCTGCATGGTTTCGATGAGGATGAACCAGGCATCTTCCTCCAGGGTCGGCCCAAGAGCAATCCCGAGGTTCAACAAAGCTCGAAGGCAAAGTAGATGCCTGACGTTTAGAGGCGAGCTGCTGACCTGAAAAGTTGGTGTTGGGAGCGGTTCGGTTGGAGATTTTAGCATGTCGTTGAGAATCCCATGCTCCGCACTTGCGGTCCGAGTCGACTTTATGTTTTGAGAGGCAGCTATGAAATTGATCGCATTAGACGGGATGGAGGCTTTTGCCAAGGTCGTGAGCAATGCATCTCTCGGTGTGGAGAGCTCCATCACACCGGAAACTTGAGCTAGCTTCTGGACTGATCGGATCAAGGTATGGTAAAATTCAGAGTCCAGTGCCGCATTGAGGAATGTTGAGCATGTGGCAAGCGCAGCCGGCCAGCAGGCCTCAATAAGTTCTGCAGAGGTTCGAATCTGGGGAAAGAGTCGATGGTTCTCCAAGGTAAGGGGATTTATTAGTCGTTGGTACTTCTGAGAGGAGGATATTGGCCGAATGGATCTCCGTGCTATTTCATCGTCTGTTCGATCCGTGGCAGAACTGTCTCTGCGCCCCATCTCTGAAGATTCTCGTTGTGAGGCTCGACTGGGGACGCTCAGTGGCATAATGAACTTCGACAAACCGTCACATAAGGATGAGATAGAGTCCAGGACTAGAGTGTATATGTAAGTACTTGGGATCGTAGGGGGAGTGTTCTTTTCGGGTTGATCCATGAGTCGAACAGCCACCACACTCCAGTGAGTGCTTATACCAGTAGTACTTGCATCATTCGAAGTGACGGAGGTAATAGCACCACCAAGGCCTTGCGCTTCAATTGACGCAGCCTCTTCACTCTTTGGGTCGGTTACACGTTGGACAGGGACGGTGGACTGACGCCCGAGCCCGATTAACGACGGATCTTCTGCTGCAATGCGGACTAGCGCAGACATCAGTTGGCCTACTAAGTTGACTGAATCTTTTCCCATGTCAAACAGGCGGAAGATCTCCCGGAATATCCCGAAGTCAGAGCAGAGGGTCCGGAAGAATTCCAAGAAAAGTGCCCGTTTCCATGGTGGGTTGCCATCCTTCTCCAATGCGCCTATAAGTAGAGGGGTCATCCTCGCCAGTTGATCTCGTAAGTCCTCAGCGCGAGCTTGGAAGAGCAAGAGTAGAATCGACAGTGCACGCGATGTCATGCCAAAAGCATCTCTCCTGGTCAAGACACGCGAAAGACCGTGCATGAGGTTCTCTGGCCACGTCTGATCGCGGAGTGTCTCAGCTGTAAGAAGAGATTCGTAAGCTGACAGGATCGATTGCAAAGTTTCGAGCAAAAACCCAGGAGCGAGGCTTTCTACTTTTAGGTATTGGGGTCTTTGGTGGTCGAGCAGTAGACAAAAGTCATCGAAAAGCCGGGTTGCATCATCCAAAGCGGTACCTCGTTGATCTCCATCTGAGACATCTTGGTCATCGCGTTCACGCAACGACCTGGCTTTTTCACTCTCCACAGCCTTTTCGAAAACTGTCGAGACCAACTGTTGGAAGGTTGCTGCCGCTGTATTGCTCACAACTGCGGTGCGACTGGATTGAAGAGTCGCACATAGTTCCAAAACTGTGGCGAGGAGCTCTCCATGTATGTCATAGGCATAAAGCTGCAGCAGAGAGGGCAGAGTCTGTAGAATTTTGAGTTGAGGCTCATAGCTTGCGGCCACTCCATCACGAAAAGCGTCTAGAACGTCGGGCAGCCTTGTCCGAGCAAGCGCATTACTTGCTGTCAATCTCTGGATACAGGCAGTTCCGGTGGTTGCTAATTTAGTGTTTCTGGATTTGCAAGCGAGAATAAAGGGTTCAATGAATTGTGGTCGGCGGTACAGGTCGCCCGCTAGCTGAGTCTCGGATGTCAGCGAGATTGTTTTGAGATCGGCGAGCGATTGCTCGGCAGCCGCGCGCACATCATTGTATCTTCGTTTCGAGTCTGAGATGAGGCTCGCCAACTCAGACTGGAGAAATGCATGTGTCATCCCTGCCTTGCCTCATCATGGACAGGAATTGGTCGAGAACAAGCAACGACAAGTTGCGATCTGTGGCTTTTGCTAGGGAAAGCCGAATCGCAAGTTGGAGAGAGTTCAATGGCTACACATAGAGCAGGGGACCGTGTACTGTCTGGTGCTGAAAGAGAAAGAGTGGCCTTTCAGCGGAGTAACGGCTCGACGGCTAGAATGCTGCCAAGAACTCCCGGATTGGGATGGGAGCGATGCCGCCCTATGCGAGTCCGGCAGCCTCGTGGGAAATTTAAAAGTGGCATGGGATGCGTGAGGTGCTCGGTGCGTCACAGGCGAGCTCAAGGAAGGTTTCATCTCTTTGGATAAAATATCGACAATCTCTCATCCGCCTCTAACTTCATTAATTAATGCCTGTTCATGGGCCCCCGAGCTCAATCCTGCCCTTCAACCCCGACGAGATGAAGGGCGATATACGACCTGGCCGCTGTCACCAAGCCGCAAACCACCCAAACGAATCCGAATGCAACATATCCCACTGGCAACCGGTACGTCTTTGCATTGTCAACCGCCAGGCTGGTATTGCGGTTTACTTCGATCAGGTCAGAATCTGAGGCGAAGAGGAGCTGGCAGCGGCAGCTTCTGTAAACACCGGACAGTTGCAGAATCGTGCCAATAATGAGAACAGCTGCATTGACACAGACGAGCAGCCAATAAGTCATCTTAAGTCCCTCTTTCAGGTATTTATTTCCTGGGTTATGACCCGCCCACTGGTAGGCGATGTGCAGCGTGGGAACTACCAACGCAATGATTCCATAAAGGAGGAAATTAAATGATCGGCAGTCTAGGCCGACAGTAGGAGTGTTCTGTCGATTACAAAAGGTCAGTATCGGGGACAGCTATGCTAAAGAAAGATCCGTCGGAACAAATGCAGGTTTCGCGACATACAACCACGCGAAGAGATGGCCAACGAGCAGTTGGAACAAACCGGAGGGTGACATTTTGGGTCGGTGGTGGCCTCGTGATGATTTGCGCTCGTGTTCGGCTTTGAGCTTGAGCAACAGGACGTCCCTTGAGGTTAAACTGGCTAATGCATTGTCCCACTCGTCCTCTATGCGCCCTAGCCATTCATTCCACCTTATGCTGTTGAAATACCGCTCGCGGAGCGGGACACTTCGCTCGGACAGCTGAATATATTGGCCTAGGGTGGTCTTTGTAAAGCCGGCGTTCACACTGCTGGAAAAGCAATCGGCAGCCACCGAGAGAATCACCAGCTACGAGTACCAAATCCCGAAAGCTAACCCAACAGCAGTGTCATTGTCGCCCAGCTTGGTATAAGCATCATAGAAGACGGATGCTGTCACTGCAAGGAAAAGAATCGTTGGCAAGAAGACAGCCTTAAAGAAGTCAGTGCGGGCTCCGATGTGAGTCCTGATCGCAGTCTCCACCATTACTTGAACTTCTGGGCTGTCATCCGCACCTTCATCTAACAGCGACACGAGGGAAGGGTGAGTTCAAAAGTCGTCATGTGGATATCTTTTTGGTCTCTTTATTTTTGACCCATCTGTTCTTTGCCTTCTTGAGGTTGGCATCGATTGAATTCGGTGTCACCAGCCAGGACGACCACCCATCTTAAGAGTTTCAGCCAGAGAAGGTCGTTTGAAGGCACTATTTCCGACTCCCGACGCCGCTTCGTGGGCCAGATCCCCCTTTGTGGGTTGATTTCACGCAACATTGTTGCATCAGACCAGATTTCTGAAAAAGCACCAAAGATCACTTCCTGGGTCGCCTAGCAAATTGATCCACTCCTGAGTATATTTTCGAACTGATTGCCAAAAGCGTCTCCAGACTTTGGTGGGCTTTGTTGAAGTTCGGTCTGCGGGCGGCTTGGTGGGTGGTTTGATGTCGCCAAAGGGGCACAGCAAGAGAAGGCCTATGTAAGGCACAACCCAACTTGTCAGCGGCTGCAGCCACTGGTCTAAGTCGCTCTGCTGACTGCCAGGGCAATGTGCTTTGCACCATCCCATGGTGACATTTATCGAGGGGAATGTTTTCCCTTCAGGGTAAGTTTCGGTACCGTTCAGGCTGCACACGTTCCAAGGGTACTCGTCGAGTGGTATTCGTATCTGAGGCAATCGTGCAGCCTTCATGCAACAAATGTTGCTGTCGTAGGCAGAGGCCGAAGCTATCATGAGACCCAAGATGAGCAGCATCCCTGCCCCCGCGGTTTGCCATGTCGGTAGAGGTGTCCGCAGAGCAGAGAGAGCCGCGCCGTTTGCGAAAGCCATCCTGATCCTGAGCTCCTACGTGGCACGTCAGATGCAGATAAAATTCTTTCAAGGCTCAAGCATCTATCTGACTCACGCGCTGTGTTGACACACTTTATAGAGTGTGGTGCTTGTCAGTGGTGAGGCTGAATCAGGCCGCCTGCGAGACACCATTGACTAAGTTGCTCGACATTGCTTCCCGACAAGAGAGATGAGAAACCCGGTGTTGTATTAAGCATGGCCGCTATGCCTCAGGATTGGAGAAGCAGAAAGACGGCCTCGCCCAAACCAACGTCTCGTCCGCATCATCGACCGATCAGACACCCCTTCTATACGCTTAAAGGGACTAGATGAAGCGCACAGGCCTTCTTTAGGAGAGAGCTTCGGTTACGAGGACACCAATATAACCAGAAGCACTGCAGGCGACCGTTTTCGGTGCGTTGCTGGCAATCCTTTATTCGTCCGTTCTCCTTTTCCAGGCCGGATCATGCCGGGGATGGGAGGAGGTGGGATATGAGAGAGGGAGGACGTGCATTTTCAGCCTCACTGTACGAATCCTGGCATTTACTTCAACCCTCGGGCTCCTGAATGTTATACTCGGTTGTTATACATGTTTTCTCACAGAATTCCTCACACCTTTGCCCCATACCCACTGTTCTGGCGGAAATATTTGACAAATGGCTACCAGAAGCTTGAAACTATACACGCTTTTGATGCTTTTGCACATCCTCACCGATCCAACAAATGCAGGCGCTCAACGGTTGTCCCAACCGATTGATGTTTCCAAGATACCATCTTGTCTATTGGCAAGTTGCGATTCCGATCCCCTAGGCAGCGCACCTACAGATGCATGCAAGCCTACAGAACCGTCGACTCAGCTGTACGATCGAAGCTGCTACTGCGCGCTCAAGGATCCGCTCTACTGTGCATGGTCGTGCACTTGGTGGGAGTGGATGGCCACCGAGGACTGGTTCGTGAGCGAATGTGGACCGGAGTCTGACGACCTTTCTTACGACGGTCTGCCAGACTGCGCGCACAGTTGTCTGCGCGAAAAGCTCGTCTACTATGGCTGTGTCACCGAGGGTCGCAACTTCTTCTGTATCCACGGCAGTCTGTTTGACTGCCAGCCCAACTGCCACAAGGAGAGCGAAAGGACGGCTGTCAAGAACTGGCTAATGGACCGGTGTGGTGTCAGTGCCGCATTGGCCGAGAAGGGCGCCGACACCGGTATCTTCTATGGCTCCACAGACGCAGCTTCGGAGTCGAGACAGTCGCCGATCCTGTTTCGGTCCAAAAGGAAGGAGTTGAAGTGGTACGAGATCTTTGCGATTGTGCTGCTCTGCGTCTCTGTGCTTGTGGAAGGACTCATCTGGATCGATCTACGCCTGAGGCAGAGAAAATCCAGCCGTCACAGGCCCGATCGCAAGGTCGAATATCAAGTGGCCTGAGAGAGTGAGCGAGCTGGCAGTCAGCTGAGAGCTTTTGGAAATTTTATGGACAGGTCTTCCAGGGAAACGTTGAGATGGCATCACTGACAGCCTTGCATATATCACCAAGTCGGAGGCCGCAGTGACATCAAGTTAGGACGACAATGGTTGATAGATAGAAGATTGAGGTTTAGGCCAACGCCGACCTAGCATCCGTCCAAGATAGGTGCTGGAACTTGCACACTGCACGGAGCACATGACTCCCGACAGATGAACCGACCTTGCCACGGTTCTTTTTGTTTTAACGCTTAACCAAGGTGGTTGTCATACGTAAAATCGTACACTAGGTCCAATGCTAGTACATCCAGCCATACATGGTTGTACATACATAACCCCCCTCGCCCCCAGTGCCCTGAAGGCTCTGCGCCCCCGCGAGGGTTTTGGCGAACCAGGCTCATTATCTGCCGTATCCGAATTACACATGCGGCATGTGTCCCGCTATGATTGGAGAGCGAAGAGACTTAGTTCAGAGCTCGCTGGTGTGAGCTCAAGGCAGCCTTGGTACAGCAAAAGAGGCCAGCTTAATCGTTTAATGGATCTACGCAATGCAAGCTACTCCCATCTCCCAAAATTAAAGTAGAAGTTTTCAACTATGTTGCAGACAACACCACCACAAAGGATGAAAACTGATCCAGCTCCCAGATCCTTCTGTAACCTATTCCTCTTGCGCTGTGCCACGGCGGCGATCTCAAAGCCCTGGTTTGCACAGTTAAGACGTGCCTTCAATCGGCTCTCTTCTTCCTCCCGATTGTCCTAGGGACCAGCAACTTCCTTCTCCCCGACCAGGATTTGGATACTGATCTCCAGACATTCTCCACCGAGCCTCGCCAGACCTGGACCACTAAGAACATCCTGGCCAGCAGCAGCAATGTCAGAGGGAAAAGAGCCCCAGGGTGCCGCGACCTGCAGAATCAAACTTATCGAGATCCTCGAGCTTACGAGGTTCAGAAAACCACAGCCATTTCAATCTGGCCACCCTTTGGAGTTTATCAGCACAAGGATGACAAACCATAGTAGGAAAACTCACCTTCGGCGACACGAACAAGCAGAACATCTTTCGCTATAAATACTGCGATCAAGGCATTAATCGACATCAGATGTGGCCATCATGGCAGAGGGCGAGTTGCATGCACTTTCAGAGTGAGGACATTGGCAATAAAAGCGACAACAGCTATTGACAGGCACACCGACTCTACCAACCACAATGACATGATCCGGCCATGGTGACGTCTGCATCTGCTTGCACGCATTGGACAGACTCACCCGTCAACACAGCTTTTGCTTGTTCGCAAACTCAAAGACAATATGGCTTCCTTGGTGAAAGTGACGGCGGACTTCAAATCAAATGTTTTTTGAGATCCTCCACCGGACCGAGCGGCCTGCATTTGACATCTGAAGGTCGTGGCTTCGGAGATCCCTTCGTCGACACCCTCAACAGGGCTTGATGAAGCATTACAGTCCGCACGTAGCAGATTCAGTATGTACTGTCATCACCGAAGATGATCCTCGAGGGCAACTGGAAAACAAGAGGTAGTTTCGCGTCCAGATACGCACTTTGAGCAGCTTCCCAGGCGATTCATTGCAGCCTGACGTTGTCTTGTGGAAGCACAACATGACCGCGGGAAATTCAAGGCCACCGAAGAGGCCATAAGCGGCGTACCTAGGTGCTCCGTACATTGTGTGCACTTTGACAACCCTCTCCCACAGGCTACGTGTGTGTGGATAGTTTCTTCTGAAATGTGCCATATCGTCAGTCAAGTGAAGTAAGCTAGGGCGCGGCTGAGATCTCAGCTGAGTTTCGTACCTTTTGATGCCAAGGCTGAGCATCAAGCGTGACGAGGCTGCGGCGTGTTGCCGTTGCCCGCCTTTCAAGTTTCTCCATTCACCCCTCCCAATCTCTCAGGGATTCATCTTTCCCCGCCACCATCGTAACCCGACAAACAGGAACTCTCATTCTAACACATCGCTGATCGCACGCAATTGCCATCTCAATATGGGTGCCAAAGTGCCGCGGAATTTCCGGCTGCTAGAGGAGTTGGAGAAGGGCGAGAAAGGCCTCGGTGCAGGTATGTGATTGTCTGCGTCTGGTACTCGAGCAACGGCGGCATTAACACTCTTATAGAGGCATGTTCGTATGGGCTGGCTGACAGCGACGACTTGATGATGACCAACTGGAATGGGACGATCCTGGGGCCTCCTCATGTATGTCCCCTTCGAGGCCATTTCGGTTGAGGCGGTCGATTCGGCTGACTCTTTGTAATCCAGAGCGTCCACGAGAATCGCATTTACAGCGTCAACATCCACTGCGGCGACCAATATCCTGATCTTCCTCCTACGATTCAGTTCGTGTCCAGGGTGAATCTGCCTTGTGTCGATCAAAAGACTGGGAAGGTGAGGATAACATCCAAGAACGATCCCGGCAAAACCTGACGCCTGGGGGTAAGGTTGATCCATCAAAGCTGCCTTGCTTGGCGAATTGGAAACGAGACTACACGATGGAGACAATCCTGATCGAGCTGAGAAGGTATGCTGGAATTCCTCCTTTCAGGAGACGGGTGACTGATGTCTGCAGATACATGGCTCTGCCCCAACACAAGAAACTTCCGCAACCTCAAGAAGGCACCACTTTCTAAGAGATGCAACTGCGAGCATTCCTGCATGGAGTTGGGTTTCTAAAGGTACGGCAATGAATCACGAGCTTTTACGAATGCATACTTGGCGTCGGATATTGTTCATAGGACCATTCCAGCTGCAGGGGTGAGGTGATAGCAATGCGGCAGACAGCCAGCAGCAACCACATATGCCTTGTGTCTGAATCTTTCCTCTGGATGCTTGTATGTATGATTGCATGAGCAAGAAATCAACGTGGGCCATCGAGTTTCATCCAGCTTCAGCCTCGCCTTCGGCATACCTGCCTGGCCGTGACTTGCCGGGCTCGCTGGTTTCTTGCAAGGCTGGCTCGCTGGCTTGTTGCATTTTAGTTGTTCGCTTCAGAAACCCTTCCGTGCTCAATCAATCCATCCTGAGATGTGCGGATGCCACGTATTCTTGCTCCGCACAAATCGGGGCTTCATCGACTAGCATGCAAGTCTGACATCTGTGTTATATCCGAAGTTTGCTAACGCGATGTTGTAGGTCTTGCATTATACAAATCTTTGCTCCGTGAGAGCACGCGAGTCGGCGCCGCGATTGAAAGCCCCGCCGTCACTAAAACTCTTCAATCCTTGATCCGCTTCCGCTTTCATCGAGACCGCAAACTGCTTTCCCCTTCACAAATCGCCAATGGGATCAAGGCAGGCCATGGCTCCCTATCGCTCCTGCGCGAATGCACCACTAAATCGGGCGATGCTTTACACAAGCTCAGCCAGACTCTCGAGCAGGTAACTCTACAAGCCGAATCAATATCCGCATACCGCGCCGAGTTAGCCTCACGGTGGAAACCGCCTCCACCCCGCCGGCATGCCCATCTAGAGAACCTGCGCCGCGTGGCCAGCAAGGCAAACCACATTTCCACTCCCGAGAGCCCACGGATCTTTCAGCACCCTAGGCCGATATCTGAACTGAAGTCAGGTATCAGAAAAGTGCCCAATCTGATCTTGGCTCAGGGGGTCCCACTTCTGAAATATCCAGGCCCTACTCCGGTATTGATGAATAGAGTATTAAAGAACAAGATCCTCTGGGGGGTTCGCAAGTGGGCACAGCATCAGGATATCTCAGAAAAGATTCAGCATGGTGAATGGGAAGACGAGTGGGATATAATCCTTGCACGAGAGCAGGGCATCACTGAGTCAGATGAGGCCGCGAACGGGAATGGTCAGGTAGGGCGGTGGGGAGAACAGGCGGAGAAAGGAGGCGAAGAAACGTCGTCGGTGATCAATATGCATTTCGTCAATCCCAAGCGATACAGCATCGGAAACGAGAAGAACAACAACCAGCCACCATCCCGCTTCGTTCCCCGCGCCACGAGAGTCTCATGGACATTAGCTCTTCGCCAGGTCGATCGACAACTCGAACAAGCCGTGCAGGCGCGCGGACGTCAGTACGCGGAGTTAGGGGACAAATATTGGCAGGTTGTTTTGAAGGAGAGGGAGTTGAAGGAAAGAGAGAGGAGAGAGAAGAAGCACGCCAGGAGAATGGCGAGGAAGCAGGCGACAAGCATTTTCGGAACCGCAGAGCGCGATGGGCCTGTCAGCAGCGTGTCTTCTGGATTTATATAGGGCTTTTCCGTGAAGAACAAAGGTCGAATCAAAATCCTTTGCTCAACCTGAATGTGACTTGAGCAATAGGTACACCCATGGATAATGAAAGGACCTGGGTATGCTTGATTTCAGTGCTAGACCCATTTCTGAATGCATGCTCGCTATTATTCTATTTCTAGTACCCAAACCCGAAAGAATGAGGAATATCCCACTTGTAGACACCGACTAGTCACATGAAAGATCCCCCCTAGACCTCTCTAACCGTTTCAAACTCTCCTCAACCCCCCATCCATTCTTCAGCAACTCCCCTACCTCCTCTAACCTCAACCCCATTGTCTCTGGGTAAATCCACCAAACTGCCACCCACCCCAGAGCACAGATGCCCGCGTAGGTTACGAACGTCCACTGCGCCCCCAGAAAATCCATCATGGGCAGAAACGTCAGGCCGACGACAGTGTTGCAGAGCCAGTTCGTCGCGGTCGCCAGGGAGGAGCCCAGTGAGCGGACGGAGAGGGGGAAGAGCTCGGATTGTTGCCAGGGAACAGGGCCGAGCCCCATGGCGTAGGTTGAGACATAGAGGAGCATGGCGATGAGGATGGCTATGGCGGGGAGATGGGGGATTGAGTTTCCGGAGGAACTAACCACGGTTGTTTCTATGTTATCGTCCGAGTGTAAAGGAACGAAGGTGAATGCTCCGGCGCACAGGAGAAGGGCCAGGACCATGACCGGAATAGTGAGCAACAAAATCCGCCTCCGCCCCAGCCGGTCTATCAGATGGAACGCCGCAACGGTGAACAAGAAATTTGTCCCTGCAACACTGAGTGATGTCAAGGTGGGCGACTGAAAGCCCAATAGTTGGAAAATGGTAGCCGAGAAGTACATGAGGCTGTTGAATCCGCAAAGTTGCTGAAGGGCTTGTAATGTACATGTGATTGTTAGCGCTCGAGCATGCGGAGGGTGGAGGAGAAGAGATTGAAGGGTCGGGGAGATCAGGAAGCTGGATGTGGGCTGTGCTGAGTGACGAAGCTGGACGTGCGCCTCTTCTTGGTCAAGCAGCTCTTTTTTGATGGCGTGAATGGTCTCATTGACAAGGCTGGTGGTATTGTCTGTCATTCCGTGATAGACTCTCTTCAAGACTGCTCGAGCTTCCGTTTCCCTTTGCACTTTGGCCAGATAACGGGGCGTCTCGGGCATGAATGCTAACATGACAAGCTGTGCGATAGCGGGAGCACACCCCAAGCCGACCATCCACCTCCATCCACCCCTCATGGTGGAAAAGGCCCATCCGATCAGGTAGGCAATGACCTGACCGCCAGTAATGAAGAGAAGAGACACCGTGACGAGTCTTCCTCTTAGGTGACTGGGTGCTAGTTCAGAGATATACAGAGGCACGATTAGGCTGGCACCCCCGATGGCCAGTCCTACAATACTTCGGCCAAGTATCATCCCCCAAACAGAAGTTGTAAGGGCCTGCCATAATGCGCCCAGTGTGAAAAGAACGTCTGCGAACAAGATGATGTTTTTCCTGCCGACGTTATCCGCCAGGACGCCGGCGATGGGACTTGCAACAAGAGCGAAGAGACTGGTACATGAGGTTATGAGACCCTTGTCCAGGGTGGTCAAATGGCGAGAGGACAAGTCGGTACCAATCGAGACTAAGGTACTGCTGATGACACCTGTATCATAGCCGAATAGTAGTCCTGATACGCAAGCAGAGACCGTCAAAGCCCATATGAAGGTATTTGCGAAGGATCGAATGGTCGTGGTCGGAGAAGCGTGACTGTCGTCGTGTCTTCGGTCTGCGATGAGGGGGGCATCTGGAGAGGCATCATCGTGTGCAGGGGGCATTTCTCGAAGTTCCACCTCTTCTGGTTTTCCTTCTGCTTGATTGTTGAGCATGAAGTGTCATAGTAATCGCATGGTTTGGTGTCGTTTGGATGGTCGCGTGCACAACACCATCGGGAAGCAAGGAAGGCTGCGCAACCTGCGCTCGTCCCGGCTCCCCGGCCACACCCAGCGAAGCCGGCTACATCTGGAGAATTTCGTTTACCTAACGTCTTAGTCATCCACCCACATATGTCAGTTCTAGAACTTGGACTTCCGTTACCGTATTGGCTCGCTGGGTAAATTGTCGAGGCCGACGATCGGACCTCGCACCCATTAATAATTCTTCCACCGTCAAACGATCAAGATAGGAATTTTGACATTGTTCTCAAATCCTCGCTGACGCCATAGGCTTCCCTCTTCTGAAATTGCCCGACCACCGAGAGCAATCGCCTACTCCTAAAGCCAGTCCTTTACCCCTGGCGTGGTCGTCACTCACTGGCAGCCATGAGCGCCATCCTCTCCGCAGACGATCTGAACGACTTCATCTCGCCTGGCGTCGCCTGCATAAAACCCGTTGAGACGCTCCCGAAACAGGGCGATGATGTCAATCCCTACGAAGTAACCACCGAAGATAAAGTCCAGACCCAAAACCCGGCCCCGGCCTCGATATCCCTTACCGATTGCCTCGCCTGCTCCGGCTGTGTTACTTCTGCGGAGGCTGTTCTCGTTTCATTACAGTCGCATACCGAAGTTATGAATACGCTTGATTCTTATCCACCACTCGATGTGCGGTATCTCCTCAACAAGCAAAACGGCCTTGCTAATGGGCACACATCCCCGCCGCCAAACGCAAAACTCTTCGTAGCCAGTGTGAGTCCGCAGGTTCGGGCTAGTCTGGCTGCGACATATGGCATTTCTGAGCGAAGAGCCGGATTTATGATTGAACAGTTTCTCAGCGGATCGCAAGGCTTGCGGATAGGTGGCCTGCACAATAACCGATTTATTTATGTGGTGGACACCAATCAGGCACGGGAAGCGTGTCTGGTACTAGGGGCTGAAGAGGTGGAGGATTCAGTGGCCAAAAGGTCGAAACCAAAGCCAATCTTGACTTCTGCTTGTCCGGGTTGGATTTGTTACGCAGAGAAGACACATCCTCATGTCCTTCCGCATCTCTCGGCACTGAAGTCTCCACAGGCGTTATCAGGGACACTGTTGAAGACAGCACTGAGCAAGACGTTGAACATCCATCCCTCGCAGATATGGCATCTGGCAATAATGCCCTGCTTCGACAAGAAACTCGAAGCCAGCAGAGAAGAATTAACAGATCGCTGGTGGCGACCCTCGGATTCTACAAACAAATCCTCACTTCCCGTACGCGATGTCGACTGTGTGATCACCTCCCGCGAACTTCTGTCCCTCGCTTCAGCGCGCGGTATTCAGCTCTCTGGCCTTCCACTCCGGCCACTCTCATCCTCCGAACGCACCCCGTTTCCGGACCCTCGCATCTCTCACTTCCTCTTTCCCAGACACCGACGATGGCAGACCGAAGAACAAAATGCAATCGCCGGCTCTTCAGGTGGCTACCTTTACCACCTTCTCTTGACAGAACAAGCCCGTCACCAAGGCTCCACCATCTCTGTTCAGCGCGGCCGTAACGCCGACGTTGTTGAATATTCCCTCGTTGCTCCCTCTGGCCAAAGTCTTATGAAGTGTGCTCGGTATTATGGTTTCCGAAATATTCAGAATCTTGTTAGGAAATTGAAACCCGCCAGGCAGAGCAAGTTACCTGGCGCCGCGAGACGCATGACCCCTGCCACTGGAAGTGGAAGCGCAAGTGACTACGCTTATGTGGAAGTCATGGCTTGTCCCGGAGGTTGTACGAACGGAGGTGGACAAATTAAGATTGACGATGTTGTAGAAATATTGCCCCAGACGAGGAGCGAAGATGTGGTCAACAGTGCGAATGGCCCGCAAAGTCAGAAAGATTGGTTGAGGCTCGTGGACGAGGCTTATTACTCGGCTGATTCGTCGGAGGACACTGAGACGAGGGAGGAAGATGGGGACGATGTGCCTATGACGAACGGCAATGGCCATCTGAACGGGTACGAGACGTCCGAGCAGACGGTCATCAGCGGAATCAATGTCAACGAAGTTCACGACTTTCTGTACTATTGGTCTAACCTCGTGAACATACCGGTGTCAAAGCTCGCTTATACGACTTTCCGGGAGGTCGACAGCGACGTTGGCAAGAACAAGCCCGCCAGCAAGAAGAGCGATACGGAGCGCATTGCAAGCATTGCTGGATTAAGCGGCGGTGGATGGTGAAAATGGCCTATTTAGAGATGGCGACGAACTAGACGTGCTTTATGTTATGAGGGAATAGGAGCGACGGGATTGGCGACATATGCCAACAATGCGCGGGGCTGTTGCCAATGCATAGGCGATGAGACAAGGGGACTTGATGAGGTAGATTCGAATTTAATAACCCGGCTGCTGGAGCCCAGGGTATAGATGTTTGTACATGACGCGGCGTAGGAATGATCTATACATTTTATTTCGATTTCACTGTGGGCGCTCATATAGGGTTCGATCTTCTACAACTCAGGCAACGTTATATGTCCGTAGTCCATTCCTCAACCTCTCCTTTGCACCTATCATTAAACGTTGACTCTGTCATTATTTAAATGTGGTCTTCGAATTTTCCTCTCTCTTTCCCCTTAGGTAGTTATGCTATCGATTTCCTCCTTGGTCGGCATCTTCCCTCCCAAGGGATGTTCTGCTCAAATAGGTGCGAAGTACTCTCAAGTTAAAAAAACAATACTCAAGATTTCAGATTCTTTCGACAATTAGTATGTCATTGTGAAGATACAATACTTTCTTCTATTGGGACTATATGAAATGGGACCCTAAGAATGATGGGTTAAACGACACAAAGGTTAAGAAGCAATAAGCCAGTCAGGCAATCACTCAGTCAACACACACACACACACACACACACACATGGAGCTGGAAAACTCGCCATGCTGCAAGAAGTTCAGGACTTGCTTAATCGACCCGATCGTCTCCTGCCCGTGTCATTTGATGCCAGCTCCAGTGATGAAGACTTCCCTGCTTTCCCCTGAGCCGCAGGAGTCTTCCCTGCTTTAAGTGACTTCTCTTCCACTTTCTTCGGTGGCTCATTGCCAGGCTTCTTGGTCTTTGATATTGGCTTAGCATCTCCGTTGACCATGGGCTTCGCCTCCTCTCCGGTTTGCATCTTCTTGCCCCTAGCAGTTGTTTTCTTCGGCATCACTTCTTCTTCGTCCTCATCCTCGTCCTCCTCTTTGACAGCAGACTTGCGCTTCTTTCCTTTCGACTCTTGGGGTTTCTCGTCTTCGTCTTCGTCCTCTTTCGCGGCCTTGCGTTTCTTACCCTTGGTATTTTTTGGTGGATCTTCCTCCTCACCATCTGGGACCTCAGCCTCGCTCATCTCCTTCGCAACAGGCCCAGTCTTCTTCTGAACCGAAGGCACAACAGCACTAGTCCGTCCGCCCACGGTCAGAAATGCAATCTTTTCCCCATTTGGTAAAGTATTTGAGGCACCCTTCTTGCCCTTCCCCCATCGATGCCTGAACAGCCAGTCATCTGGGAACTTCTCAGAATCGGCCAGCAGCTCCACCGAGGTGCTGCAGATGTAATGGATCGACTTGTGTAGCTGTTCGATCTGTTCATCGTTCAAGGTATTTGCGTATTGCTCAGGATGGATCTTTGCATTGTACATGATCTCGTCCCCTACCCAGTTGCCGATACCACTGATGTTGGCTTGATCCAGCAGCATGGCTTTGATGGGCACTTTCTTGCTCTTACACTTCTCTTTGAGCCACTTGACGGTGACGATGTTCTTGTCGATAACTGGGTCCGGTCCGTTCTCGACCAGCGGTGAATGTTGTCGGATCTCAGCAGCAGGACAGTCAACCAGCCTGATTCGGCCGAACCTTCTCATATCGACAAAAGCTGCCTCAATCGCCTCTTCTCCATCTTCTGACTTCATCTTCAGCATAAACTTCATGAATTTTGGAGGCCAAGTCTCGTCCTTCTTGCCCTCTTGCGGCTGGTAGTAGTAGGTGTGCTCAGATTTGAATTTCAACCATCCCGACATGCCGAAATGCATTACTGGGTGAGGTGCACTTGACATGATCATCCAGAAGTATTTGCCTTGTTGGCCAGCATCGACAATCTTTTTGCCAGCCATGTGTTTCTCGAATTCGGCGGCTGAGGTGCCAACCTTGCCGTAGACGCTTGAATCATCTGTGGCGGTGACCTTCGCGATGGTTTTACCAACAAGCAGTTTTCGAATGTAATGTACTATGCGCGCGACTTCGGCGATTTCAGGCATGCTGAAAAACTCGCCTTCGTGGGGTGTTTCTAGCAGAAGAGCTCGTCCTGGAAAGATCGAGTAGACGAGGGAATGATGCCTTCTCCCGTGTTGCTTTTGGATTGGCCAATCCAATCCACTAAATCTGTTGTCTAAACGAATCCAAATATATAAGAGAACGAGACAACAGGTCAAAACAGTCTTGAGTTCAATAGCCGAGCGCAGATTGAAACTCAAGCTGTGTACCTAGTATCGCGGCAGCACTAGGTAGGCAGGGCGATTGTTGAAGGCTGAGCAGGGCTGAGGTCAGAACGCGTATCAATTACGAGGCGAAGATCAGACGCGTTTAGTGGTTTCGACGAGGCGTCGATGACATAATGTGCAAAGGCAGACACTACAGCCTCGTCGTCTCCGCATGTTGCTCTGACTGTCTGATATATAGCGCAATTTGAGCAACCTCCTTGTGGCCAACATTAATCTCATGCACAATACCTGGGTACAGCATTGGTTCTTGATTGAATCATAGGCTGTGGTCGATATCTGCCTCATCTTTGGTCTGATTTCACCATCTACATAATAATCAATCAAGCTGGCGTGGTTCTGGATTTCACCTGCTTCGGAGACGACCTCGGACTCTCCTTCAACCAGCTCGCAACCTCGCACCCAGAATCCTGCTCCTGGTACTCCACTATCCCGACGGTCCAGCCCCCTCCCTTCCATTCCAGACCGAGCTCCGTCAGCTGGTGCTGGAGCTCAGGTGCGATCCAGGTCACGATCTCTAATAATGTCCAAACCCACGGCTCCTCCAACGAACCTCACGCCGCAGTTCTGTTTTAACACCCGGGTTCTACGAGACTTTCTCCGCCTCTCACGCGCAAGTATAGATGACAGCATATCCACCAATTTAAATGCATTAATCACGCCCTCTACAACATCGCCCTTCGACCCTACTTCAACATCAGTCCGTAATCCATCGTTACCATCCTCACTCACCCGCGCACCCATACCTCGAGAAACGAGTCGGACCTTTCTATATTCTGTCCTATTTCCATCGTGGAACGTCAGATCGGATGTGATATCTTATTGCACTAGTGTTGCCACGAGTCCAGATCCAAACGACCCTGATCTCATCGAGCGAGAAGCCTCGAACAGGCGAGATGCCGAGCGGATAGTAAACGAGCGCCTTGACCCCTACTCAGGAAGATTCTTCCCTAGAGAGTCGAGGGCGGAGATGCTGGCAGGCGTGCTGAGGAATGAGAACGCGGTGGAGAAGATCATAAGAACGAGGACGTGGGGGATCGTACAAGAAAGATGTGAAGGTGTTGAGGAAGGGACATGGGAGGAGGCAGTAAACAAATGGAGCGAAGGAAAGGGATAAAGAGCCAAATTTGGATTAATTGGTGAAAATGTCGGAAAGAAAGAAAATTTCCGATGGGGTGTTTCGAATGTGACGTCTGCCGGCACATGGTACGCGGTGAAGAAAAGGTGGTCCTAAGCCAGCTTCGCTGGCGCGGACAGTCGACTCCTGTAACAATATGTTTACGACCATATATGGGAAATGCGGTGCTCTTGATGTCGAGGCAGAGAAAGGGGCCTGAAAGGGCTGAACCCTTCGTTTCGCTCCTCATTCCAGTCTTATCGGGAAGAGAGAGCTGGTGGGCGCAAGCTGCATGGTGGGAGATGGACTCGGGAGTCTGGAAGGGCAACATGGTGCCATGTTGCCTTCCTACCTTGTGTCCGCTGAGAAGAAAAAAGAAAGCAACGCACAGAAGAACAGGGACAAACATCTGAAAGGGAAGAAAAACTCCACTCAACAATGGAATAATACCACGGCAAAAGATCCGCCTCTATATCTCTTCTCCCATCAAAACAAGGCTAGGTTGGACACCGCAAGGCTTTGGGTCTGTTGGTCTCGCCGCATATCTCAAGAAGAGACAAAGACTATACGACACGTTTTCAGGTGTCATAAGACCGCCGCTGCTGCGCCGTGTCATGTACAAATATCTGCTTCGCTCGGACCGTCAAGCCGGATTCAAAAATAAGTGATTGAGTCTGTTCACGGAATATGTACCTCGAGAGTGCTCAATGACGTCAAAGCGGCCGCTATATTGAATGTAATTGACAGTAGAGGATGAACGACAGAGGGCCACTATTGCTAAAGGTAAATAACATACTTATGGTGAATGAAGGCCACCTTTTGATGTAACAGTGAATCACTCTACTCTTGTCAAACTGTGCCACTTATTCTAACTTCTTGTAGGATGGGAAGCTTTAGGGAGCATTGTACGTTTCAAGAGCTATTATTGTATCGATATTACTCGGATACTGCCCATGCTAGTGTAGAGTATCTCTCGTGCTGGGTGACTTTATGGATCTCGGTCTCGAGAATATAGTCCAAAACAAGAAATGAGATCCAATGTAAACAATCTAATATTCTTCCGGCGTTCCCCAACAGGAAAATGCCCCGGGCATGTCAATTCAGTTTCGTGTCCTTTTGTGACCCGGTAAGGCCTCGGAAAACAAAACAACCAAAAAAAAACGAAGGGTTTTAGATATACCGGCATCCTACGAGGCCTGGCCTGACTTGGCTCTTCGCTTGACTAGGGAGTAGTGGAGCCGGTCTCGTCTGACTTCTTCCTCCTGAAAGTGACCTTCTCGACGATCCTGACGGCGAAGTGTTCCTTGGAGGTCGACGATCTCTGGAGGCCGTTCTCTTCGTCCGCACCCACTTGGTCGACTGCGTCGGGGCCAATCTCTGCCTTGTCCAGGGCCCTTCTGAATGACGGGATCAAATTGGTCGCGACCGGGTACGTAAACACAAGCAAAAAGCACGACGCAGTCAACCACCAAGCGTGGGAGATGCGCACGGATTCCACGAGTTGGCCCATCAAGGCGGGCTGCAACGCACCGCCCGAAATACTGACAATCATCATGGTCTCGCAGGTCGGAGTCCACTCTTCGAAACTGGCCGTGGCGCTTTCGAAAATCATCGGGAACGAAGGTGCCTCGAAGAACATGACCATGATGGCTACCGCAATGGCTGCCGTAGCTGTGATTTCTGTTCCGGCGGCAGTGGTCGCGACTGCGCCGGCCATGAAGCACATCAGGACGTACCGGGGCTTGAAGATCCTCGGCATGGTGACTAGCCCTGCGGCAGCAAAGCGACCGATCACAAATGCGGTCTGCGCAAGGGACATGTAGTACGCCGCCCATCTGTCACTGGCGCAGGCGTTGACCTTCATATGCTCAATGAAGAATTGGGCAAAAGTCACCTGGCAGCCGAGATTGACGAAGTTCGCTGCGACACCCCACCAGATGCGAGCAAAGCGCCTGGAGACCAGCGGGTGCTTCCACTTCTTCCATCCACAGTCCACTTGTGCGGAGATGGGAACTTCGACCTCAGGAAACCAGCTGGTGCGGAAGAAGAGGACTGCCACGAAGATCATCAGCGCGAAGACGCAGGCGCCCAGAGCACGGTAAAACGTGATTACGGTGCCCAAGTTAGAGCAGGAAGCGGTCTTCATCGTGGGCATCTGGCATCTACCGGGGTGAAGTGGGTCGGGGTCTGGGCGTGCTGTAGAGGTGTCGGGATTGAAGACGAACGCGTTGGCCAGGAATGGAGCCACGACGGTGCCGATACCGGCCCAGGCTTGCGCCATCAAGATTCGCAGAGCGGCTTGCCTGCGTGGACCACAGTTGACAGCATAAGGATTCGCCGAACGCTCCAAGGTCGAAACACCCAAGCCGATGACGAAGTGAGCAGCCACCATGCCCGCAAGACTGCAACGACTTGCGCCGATAGACATGAACTCGTTGCCCAGTGCAAGAACACCCAGACCCGTCGTCATGGCAATTCGATAGCCTCCCTTCTTCACCAGGGGGCCACCGATCAAAAGTGCACCAGGGATGTAGGCACTATAGTACCCGGCAGCCAAGATGGCGGCCTTTTGCCTGCCGATGCCCATGGCTACCTTGACGTGGTAGTTCATGATGTCGAGCAAGCCATAGGCGAGGCCCCACATGAAGAAGATGAAGATGGAAGTAAGAGTGATGGGGAGGATGGTGTCTCGTCCCCGGATCTCTTTAGTTGGCTTGTTGTATTGGACATCGAGACGCTTGATGCGCTCGAAAACGGAGCTGAAGTTGACCATTTTTAATGGCCGATATGAGGGGAGTTGTAGAAGGTGAAGGAGGGATTTCGAAGGTAATAGGAGTAGACTGGAGTTTGGGAGCAAGGTTGGTCCAGGGTTGTTTGTAGATGCAGGGATATAGAGAAGATATTCGCAGCGGATGAGGGGTTCTCAGAAGAAAGAACCGTTCTCAAAATAGAATGAGAAAGAGAAGATGGAAGATTCTTTGGGAACGAAAGAGAGAGAGAGAGGAGATTCTTATACCTGGGAACGAGAGGGAGTTCTGGGGACCTACTGGTTCCAACATCGTCGCGTTTGGTTGCAAGAAGGCGGACTCAAGCCATGTATTTTGAACTATATCCTGCATGGTGAACCATTCAGGAGAGGAGAACAGCACCAGCACCATGGGAAGCCAGGTCTTGTTTTCTGAGGATCTGTGTATTCCGGTCCAATTCAGAAACAGAATGCACAGTAGTCTCACACCATCCACATGAAGGCTCCTAGGAGAGCTTTCTCAGCCGGGGAATATGGCGGCTGGTGCTCCATCTCAACCCAAGGATGAGAAGAGGCGTCCCGTCTCATGTTGTGGTCTCCATGCGGAGGTGAGAGGGGGTCACCCGTGGAGGACAACTGGGGACAACACCGAATGCGTGGACGATCAGCAAATATTGGCTAAAGCATTCCATTTACTATAACCGGGTCCAGTACAGAGTAGTTGGTAGACATTTGAATACAGATGGTAGTCAAGCATAGGGACGAAAGCTTTGTTGATAGTTGGGCGGAGGGTCATAGCGGGGGCTTGGCAGGAGATCAAGCGTCGGGATTTGATGGCCCGACCAAGCCGACATCTCCATCGCTTGACATTTCTCTTGATATTACCTCGCAGTGCCTCTTTATTCGTGCATGCAGCTTTGGCCTTTTGACCGTCTGATGAATAACTTCCGACGCAACCATAAAGCCTCAACAATTCTCACAGCATTTTCCGGAGCTATTCTTCCGAGGACCTTGAGGCCACAGACAACGCGGCACTCGAATACCATGCCGTCCGCCAAAGAGCCGAGCAGTGGCCTCAAGGTATTGATGCTTCATGGCTATACTCAGAACGGGACCCTATTCCATGCCAAAACAAGAGCAATGGAAAAGCATTTGCAGAAAGTATTTCCGGGCATTTCATTAAGCTACCCGACGGGTCCTCTGCAACTCAAACCAAGCGACGTTCCCGGCTTTGACTTAAGTTCAAGTGAAGATCCAGACAGTATTGAAGCTTATGGCTGGTGGCGGCGGTCAGACACTTCCGATCCACCTGAATATGTCGGTCTAGAGAAAGGGTTAGAGGCAATCGCCCAAGTTCTCGAGTCAGAGGGGCCGTTCGATGGTGTCATCGGATTCTCGCAGGGAGCATGCCTAGCCGCCATGGTCGCCTCGCTACTGGAGGGAGACTCCAGGAAACAAGCGTTCGGAAAAGCACGAGAGAGATCCGCACTCGCAATCCCATATCCGGCATCCTTTGAGAGACTCAGTCACCCGCCACTCAAATTTTGTGCCGCGTACTGTGGCTTTCGGGCGCCTGGTGAGAGATATCGTGGTTTCTACGAGGACCCCCATATTCAGACCCCAGTCTGTCACGTCATTGGCAGTCTCGATAGTGTCGTCGAAGAGTCGAGAACACAAGCACTGATCGATGCTACTGGCGGTGCAGAGAAGACACAAGTCGTGATACATCCTGGCGGACACTTTGTGCCGAGCGGGAAGCAATATCTAGACATGATTGCAGGGTTTATCAAGCAGACCATCTCAGCACAGGGAGAGGCCAGTGGAACGGAGGAGAAGGTGGAAGATATGGATGTGCCGTTCTGAAGGCATTGGGCGCATCCCTCGCTTTGTCGAACCTTGCAATTGATACCCAATAGAACCTTTAGAACGGTCTAGAATACATAGATGCGACGCGCCAGAGCCTTGCAATCCTGTACCTCGTACCGTGACTGTGCTGGTGAGTCAAGGGAGAAGGCAGGGAAGCAGATAAAGACCGGTGATTGGCTGCGGCCTGTGAAGAACATGCCGCTGTGGGGACCATGGCCTTAGCGGTCTTGGCAGATGGCCGCACAACCCACGACTCCTCAAAGTTGATTTCTACCGCCCGCTCGTCCATCGCAACACATCAATTGATCCATTGCATCTTCGCTTCGACCGTTGACTTTCAGGCAGTAGCTGAGTAGCAAGCAGATACCTCAAATCGCCTCCAAAAATCAGACAAAATGGTATGCACATTCACGCAAAACGGTTCACCAAGTCGATGGTGCTCAAAATTTCTCCTCCTGCCTTTACAAAGCACACGAGCACTACAAAAACCATCACCACCAACGCAATCATCGCCATCTCGACCAGTCGCTAACAGTTTTGATCGCAGGTTCTCGCAGTTGATCTCCTAAACCCAACGCCTCAGGCTGAGGCCCGCAAACACAAGCTCAAGGTATGATGTGGAAATCGCAGTCTCTAGGCTGGAAGTCGTCAGAAAATCTAACAACCCCTCCAGACCCTCGTCCCAGCTCCGCGATCATTCTTCATGGACGTCAAGTGCCCCGGCTGCTTCACAATCACCACCGTTTTCTCCCACGCCCAAACCGTTGTCATCTGCGCAGGCTGCTCAACTGTGCTTTGCCAACCTACCGGTGGCAAGGCCCGACTCACAGAGGGCTGCTCTTTCCGAAGAAAGTAAACGACAACGAAGCAAAATGGAATGAAAACGGGATGGCATTGAGAATTTTTGCTCGATAGAAGATGGATTCCGCAGAAGCTATGCCACCACGACAGGGAGTTCCGGATATCTTGCAAAAAGAAGACTTTATGAGAGCATGGCGGACAGATCGTTTCCTTCTTTTCGCAACGAACCCGGCGTCGAATTTTGTTCCAAGCTGCGAATGGGGGATACCCTTTCGCAGAAAAAGTCTTTATTGCATGGGATGACCGGGCAAGAGGCATCCGGATTCTGCATGAACATACACTTCACTGTTGTATTGTGAGGAGAGCAGGGTTCCGATGTTGAGGAAAGCCTATGACCTTGCATCAGGCTGATCTCAAAGTTATGGTGGGAACGTGGATAGTCATGTACTCGTAGTACAGAAGGCAAAACAACAAAATCTTCGAAAAGCATATCCATTCTCTTGTCACTACCTGCCTCTTTCGACTGGACTCTCAGTTCGGTTCTGCTGCACCTGGTACAATGCGATCGGAATATCTGCCTGCTTTTTAGTCTCCCGTAGATTTCCCGCTCATCACAGGTCTCGCGTGCAAGGCCCGCGTGGTCAGGGACCTGTCCTCTCCTCGACATGTCATCAGTCATGCCAGCGACATAGATGCAGTCTGCGACTCGCCGACTTGAGAAATTCGGTCTCTCTGCGGCAGCTGCGCGCGGAATATTTGTTGCTGGGCTGAGTCGTTTCCCTTTCATTTCCCACCGGAAGAAGCCCATGGCCTGAAGTGAAGTTTCGTTTTGACATCTGGCGACGATCCAAAATCAGCCACGTTCCATATTGCCTATGATCCTATTCATTAGCTTCTTCTGTTCCCTCTCCTTTAACTCGTTCTCGTCCATCTCCATCAGACATCGCCCGACGGCACAGATCCCCTTTATGCCAGCTTCAGGACAGTCAACCCACACTTTCCCATTTTTCCCAACAGCAATCTCGAATCCGCCCTGAAGTTTCGAGCCCAGTTCCTCCAGCGCTGCAACACTTTGCTTCTTGAGAAGTCTCTCAGCAAGGCCGGGACTGACATCAAATACCATACCACCACTAAGCGGGCCCAACCCATCTGGTTCCGCCTTTCCCGTGGAGGGATTCACACAACTTAATTCAATCTCCATGTTTTTCTGCGCAGAGACAACTTTGGCGTAGATGAGGTCATTGGTTTTCAGTTGAGGTCTCGTCTTCTTGGTTGCACCCTCAAAGGCTAATTGTGGTAAAAAGGCCTGAGGCGAATAAGGATTGATGTAGACATGGAAAAAGTCTGCCGTCGATATTCGTACTTGAGCGATGACGAGGTCCCCTGGTCTGGGGATGTAACGAGCATCTGGCGTGGCTATTTGTGCGGTCTTCTTGCGATAGTCAACATCCAAGAATCCCCCGATGGTCGCTAGGAAGTTGGCATCTGCGGCTTGTTGCAGTCCTTGGCCGACCTTGCGCTTTTGAGATGTTGGTAAGTGACCAGGGGGAACTTGATCCCCAGGCAGAAATACTTGCATGGTGGATGTCACAGACATGGGGTTTCAGAGCAATTTAAATTTGAGTTCGAAATTCTAACAAAGACCAAAGCAGTATCGTAGATGAGGGGATTCACGACAAGGCTGGGCAAAAAAGTGGCAAGAGGATAACAAGGCTGAGCAAGGCTGAGCGAGTTGTGGTTCGCATTCGCTTAACCTTCCTTGAGCCGTGAATATGCGCCCGCGAGGCTCAAAAAAAAAGTTCCCAGGATTTTCGTCAAGTCCACAAACTTTTGTTGGTTCCCCGGACCAGGAGCCTTTCAGGATACCTGTGTACATAAATTGTCTTCTGCAAACATCCAAGTCCCTCCCTCGCAGCTCGGCCTTGCTGAAACACACCATGAGTGACGAAACAAACGGGTTGGTACCCCAAGGGTCGCCCGAACACTATGCCATTGGTATCTCCTTCGGAAATTCGTACAGCTCAATCGCGCATATATCAGGAGAAGGCAAAGTTGAGGTCATTGCAAACGAAGAGGGAGATCGGCAGATCCCATCTATTCTGTCTTATATCGAAGGAGAAGAGTTTCACGGCACGCAGGCAAAGGCGCAGTTGGTCCGGAACAGCAAGAACACAGTTGCTTTTTTCAGGGACTTTATAGGCAAAGACTACAAGTCCATTGATCCAACACCTTGCCATGGCTCCGCTCATCCCATCGAGGAAAATGGCGAGATCTGCTTTGCCGTTCGAGACACCGCAGACAGCGAAACAGAAAACAAGGTTCCGGTTTTGGAGGTTGCTGCGCGGCATTTGCGGCGGTTGAAGAATTCGGCGTCCGACTTCACCGGCAAGACTATCACGTCAGCTGTGGTCGCTGTGCCAACAGACACCAATGACGAACAAAAGGCCGCCTTGACGAAGGCCGCCGCAAATATCCAGGTGGAAATCCTCCAATTCATGCCTGAACCGATTGCAGCCCTTCTTGCATACGATTCGCGGTCTCCAGATGCTACCGCGGACAAAAATGTTCTTGTCGTAGACTTTGGTGGAAACCGATCTGATGTCGCCGTGGTAGCGTCAAGAGGAGGCATGTACAGCATTCTGGCCACTGCACACGATTATGAATTGGGCGGCACCCAGTTGGACCAAGTGTTGGTGGACCATTTTGCCAAAGAATTCGACAAAAAGCACAAGACCGACCCACGTAAGAATGAAAGGAGCCTGGCAAAACTCAAGCTCGAAGCTGAAGCGGTCAAGAAGGCGCTCAGCCAGAGCAACAGTGCCACCTTCAGCGTAGAAAGCCTTGCAGATGGCGTCGATTTCAGGTCTACAGTCAACAGAACGCGGTATGAAATTCTCGCTTTGAAGACATTTGGACGGTTTACTAGACTGGTTGAGGAAGCGATCAAGAAAGCCGGACTCGACGTACTGGACATTGATGAGGTCATCATGTCTGGCGGTACATCGCATACACCAAAGATTGCGAAGAATATTGAAGCCCTTTTCCCGGAATCAACGCAGGTTCTCGCACCGGCAACGACGCCCACGGCATTAAATCCTTCGGAGTTGTCAGCAAGAGGGGCTGCTCTGCAAGCTTCTCTAATTCAGGAGTTCGAGAAAGAGGATATCGATCAATCCACGCATGAAATGGTTACCGTCACGCCTCACTTGACCGCTGCCATCGGCTATCAGGTGACAGGCCAGCCTGTAGATTCGTTCACGTTGATCATTCCTCCGGACACGGCCGTTCCTGCTCGAAGAACGAAAGTCATACTGGGTCTCGAAGGCGATGTTCTGATCCGAATCAGTGAAGGCGAACGAGAAATCACAGTCACGCACCGCGAGCCTCAAGCAAAGCCCGAAACCAATGGAACGAAAGAGGACGAGGATGACGACGACGAAGACGAAGATGAGGAAGACGAGGCTGAAGAGATACGCGAGAAGGTCTGGCGACCCAAGCGGCCTCTGGCAGAGCTGATCTTCAGGGGCCTGAAGAAGGGATCCAAAGTCGAAGTCACGGCCAATGTCGATGCGGAGCTGGCCCTGTCCATCACCGCTCGGGAACTGGGTGGGAAGGGGGGCATTCGCGGCGAGATTAAGGCATCTGAGACAGCGCAGCAGAACGGAAGCGCTTGAGAAGGGGTCGTCGTCTTCTTCTTCTTCTTCTTCTTGTTCTTCTTCCTCTTGCTACCTGTACCTTTTGAACCTGGCATGGCGTCGGCGTGGATGGATGGATCGGTGGATGGATCGATGGACATTTATTTTCGATACTGTATTTGCTGTCCGTTGAGACACTCAAAAGAAAAGAACAGCACAGCAGTCGCTGGCTGGCTCGCTCACTGCTGATGATGAGATAGAACAAGCGTCATTGGTTGATTATTTCTTTCCTTTTATTAAAAGTTAGAATCGAGAAATATCATGACTTGAGAAGCTCTTAATTCTGGGTAGATACACATATCACTACGCGCACGCGCATGTACGCACGGCCATTATGACATCTATTTTGTGGTACACCTTGGTTTTAACGAGATGCTTGACTTTTGTTGTTTTCGCTGTTGTGATTTATCAAATAAGACTTTAATGTGCTGGTATATTCATTTGACGCTGCACACTCTAGGCTCCTTCGCCCTCATCCCTCCTCTCCGTCATTCTCTCCTCCCGGCTCTTTCGCTCCGCAAACAGCGCCAGTAACCCAAGGTCATATGCCGCCTTGAGGGAACCAGCCGCGACAAATGCAACCCAGAAGTGATTGTTTGTTCCGAGGACGCCGGTGATCACGGGACCCATGCTCTGGGCACATGTCTTGACGACGTTGATGGTTCCCATGACAGCGGTGCGTTCATGTGGCAGAACAATCGCCGCGAGGAAAGCGGAGCGCGGAGCCACGTCCATGACTTGCGTGCAGGCACGGCCGATGAGGAAGACGAGGGCGCCAGACAGCGTGGAAGGGATAGGGATCAATGCGAGGCAGATGGCCGAAGGGAGGTGAGTGAAGACCATGGTCTGGAGTCTATTAGTGCTGTCGCTACTCGGGGGAACTCATTTTTTGTTCTTACCTTGACATTCCCTATCCTCTTCGAGATGGAGGATGCCACGAAGATGGAAAGCGCAGAGATGATGCCGGTGATGGAGAATATCGACCCCAGCTTGCCCTCGGGCAAATTGAATTTGCGCTTGAAGAAGTAGGTCACCCAGGACCTGAAATTGTCAGCCAGTGCTCGGGGTTGGACTTTCAATTCTGTTCGGAAGACTTACAAGGGCGCCAACCCGGACGCGAAATTGTCAAACGCGAACAACACACACAATTGTACCAAGACGACTTGACTTTCCTTGCTGATTTCCGGCAAGAGTCTCCATCGTCCCTTCTTCGAAATATCATCGTCCTTATTTTGCTCTCCTCGGTCATTGCCCAGCAAGGGCGCCGTCTCAGTGGGGTTCGCGGATTTTGGCTGAGCATCGACCTCACAATCTTTGCTAAGCATAAGAGCCAGGCACATCTTGGTAACGCCGACGGCCGCGTAGATGACGTAAATGATGCGATCGGCCTGAACAGAATCGTAGTGCTTTTCATGTTGAAGCAACGTGATGATCCAGCCACATCCGATGAACCCCAGGGCTGTGCCCGCGGTCCCGATGAGAGAATACCAGGCGTAAACGTCGCTGCGATCAGAGCTGGCGGTGAGATGGGCGATGGTTGACTCCTCGATTGCACGGAAGGGCCCAATTTCATTGCCACTAGAAGAGTAAACCACCAGTCAGCAAGGGACATGGCCAGGCATAAGAAACAGAGCGGCCTTAACACATACGCAGGACTGATGACACCCAAAATTGCTGCGGCCAACAGAACCCAGTAGTTCCCACTCAGGGCAAACACCACGCCGCTGGCCGACATCAAGGCGGCGCCCAGCACGAGAATCCATCTGCGTCCCAATTGGTCGGCTATTAGGGTCAATAGGAAACTAATAAACACATCCCCGATCAAGGTTAGGGTCATGAACAGGCCAATCCGTGCATCTTCATTGCCTAGGTCGGAGAGGTAGGAGGCGAGGATCAACGTTGAGCCGCCGTAGGCGAAGAGGCGGACGAAGCGCTGGAGGATGAGGATTTTTGTGTCCCAGGGCGAGCGATAGATGGTTAGGAGACCGACTTCTTTGAGAAAGGCTTTGACAGGGCGGAGGATCTTGGAGGGTGTGCCTTGATGTTGGTGATGTTCTTCTATTCCCCGAGGGTCGGCCATTGTTCTCGAGGCCCCTCGCATGTGCTGGAAGAGAGATTGGTGCTCAATGCTTCAAATGGTTCAAGGGAGGAGAGCGAAAAGAGGGTAGCTGTCGAGATGTCCGTCCTTGCTCTTGTATTTGTCCTCGATATATACAGTGATGTATGTCATTCTCGGCCTCGCTTGGTCTCTTCTCGCTTATATCGCCGAAGCTGCAAGGCCGAGGGATGGTGACGAAGCTCTCGAATTTCGCTCCTCGCTATGTCTTTCCGGTTCGGGCAAAAATCCAGCGAGTGGGAGATGGTCTCGTCGAAGTAGATGTTGTCTGGACCGTGCAAACTCTGTCGAAAGTTCTTAAACAGCTGCATGGTGTGTGGCCAGCCTCAGGGTCGTTCGCGCTACTTGCATGGAGTAGAAGTAGGTCTCTCTTGAGCAGGGTATATTGGCAGCATCAACATTCAAGACGGTGATGGAATGAAATGATAATCCGGAGAAATGACAGAATGACAGTTAGAATGACAGTTAGAATGACAGCTAGAATGACAGCTAGAATGACAGCTAGAATGACAGCTAGAATGACAGCTAGAATGACAGCTAGAATGACAGCTAGAATGACGTAGCAAGCCCATTTCCCCTGCTTGAGAGAACAATCTTCCACTTCTCCTACTTCGTCCTTCTGCTTTTGCTTCCTACCACCACATGCAACCCTGGTCAGCTGTTGCGACCAGCTAGCATCCGACGGATCCCGCGAAAACACGTCACTGATAATTGGCCATTGGGACCTCCATCAGCGCACTCGTGGGAAGTCCTGCAGTATGCGAAACAACAACAGTCGGTTTCCATATTTTCCATTCGGTCTTCCACCATGAGAGTTAACATGCCGAAGTAGAAAGGCAAGAACTTCTTGATCGTTTCCCAAAACAACATCTCTGCCTAGAAGATATTAGCCTCCCATGCTGAGGTGATAGCGTCGCATGACTGGGTGAAGATGAATACCAAGACAACCGAGAATCGCTTGTCGAGCGACGCCTTCACCGCAGCGCGTTGCGCATCCAATGCGTGGCAGAGCCCAGCCAAAGAAATAACGAAATGACAAAAAAACAAGGCCAAGCAGGTGCCATCGATCAACTCGATCTAGTTCTCGTCGAAGGCTCCCATACGCGTAAGAGATTACCGCATATATCTCGTCATTGAGCCGACGTGTTGCCTCTCATTCTCCTACTCCGTCCCGGCGCGTTCTGTACTTGTCGGGCAGTTGTGCCATTTCTTGTCTGACAATTCGTTCTTATTCTTCCACTTCCGGCCGCTTCTCTTCCTCCGGCCGAGCGCTTCGTTTCGGATTCTCTCTAGTGATCACGCCCAAAGCACCGACCAGAAAAAAAGAGAAAAAGAAGAGAGAAGAGAGGGAAGATGTGGTGAAGCGAAGGGAAGCCCCCCCAGCCCAGTTCGAAAGCGTCAGGAGAAGTGCCTCCAAACTATCCTCTGGCCGACCAAAAAAGGTGGGAATGGATTTCAATTCCAAAGGCACAACAGCGTCTGCCAATGCTTTGCCGATGTCCCGCAGCCCCCTGAAGGGACCATGCAGACTTTCCAATCCGTGTTGCGGAATGAGAGAGTCGATTGTTTGCCAGATGGCCCAGCTGAACGCTGGGAAGGATCCGTCCTGGAGGGGCATGCCAGTTGGAGCAGGGGAAGGAGGCGTGGAGAGGGTGGGGAGAATAGCTCTGTGACCACTTGCGTCAACGGTTGTGGTGTGGCTTTCCGTAGGTGCAGTCACTGTTGAGACGAGGACATGATGGATGGTAGAGTACACTGCCGTGGTGACAGGAGGAGTAGCCTCCATGGGACAGGACACTGCAAAAAATGGGTGCAGAGTTCTGGTCGAAGAAGCCGATAATGTCGGTCGCTTTCTCTTGGAAAAGCATCGGACAGGCCGCCACCAGGGCCCAAAGACCAGCGATATTGGTCATTGTTGCTGGTAGTCCTGCTGTTGTTGTTGTTGTTGCTGTTGCTATGGGTTTGAGGAGAATACGATAGTGACGGTAGCAGATGGGGAAATGTTTTGAAGGATGAATGGAGAGTTTGGACGTCTGGAGCAGGAGACAATATTTCTGGGAGACCACACAGGCGGTGGAAACTTGGCGATTGTAGAGGATGAATGGCCGTAATTCACTCAGCTGGGTTCCTTCAGTGAATGGTTGATTTTGGTATTGTTGTACTAGGTGCGGCAGAGCAGCCAGAGGCCGAACCATTCTTCCCTCCACCCATGGTATTGTCCATCTCTGTCATAAAATCCCGAATTTTCTCCCTAATCACAGGGTGTATGTATATATATATATATATATATATCTCTCTCTCTCTATGAGGGATCATGTGTGGCACATTGTGCAGTTTTCAGAGATACTGCAAGTTTTTTAGATTTGCCTTGATAACTTAGCTCTGCCGTTCGCATTGTTGTCCAAAGCCCATCCTTTGCTCCGTGTTGTGCATTGACAGCCTTGTGATGTGCTCCTTATATTCACAGCCTTGCCAATGCGACATGGTCTTAATCGCGAAGCTATCCTAGCCTGCAACATTTCTGGGTACATCTATAGTCAACAGGCTCTCTGGCTCTGTTACAATCTATCATGTCCTCCATTGATTCACACTTCTTGATCCCGGGGAGTGTCAAGGGATATAATGACCAAGGACCCGTTAGTAACCCCTCGAGCCCTTTATAGTATCTTTGAAAAGTTGCGAGACCCTCAGAAAGTATATAGTCAGGTGCCCCCTAGACCCTCTCGAAAATATATCATATCCTTCAATTAAGCCACGTCTAGTAGCAACCCTTTAGACAGCCCTCGCGAAGCCCAGACTAAGCCCCCTAGGGCCTCTCTCTTCCTCAAAGGCCAGGAGAAAAATGGACTCTATTAGCAGCAGGTTTTGGAAGGGGGCCAGTCATGGAAGCCATCCCCTTCTCGTATCAGCTTGGCCCAAGTCGATGAAGACAGTTTGGTCGTCATCAATTTTTCACGAGGTACAGTAATGAAGGTCAATCCGAACTGTTTTCCTATTTGGGTCTTCTCCGGTAATTGATAATAAGCGAAAACACCATATCTTGTTCTCTTCATAGAAAGTCGGGATATATCCAGGCTCCATATTGTTACAGTACCTCTCTATTCGATACTTTTATGCAGGACACCGCCAGATCACTCCCACTGATCATCCCCTCCCAGCCACCATTTCTGATATGACGACCCGTTCCAGCCGGACATCCATCGCGCAAGGAGTTTCGTAGGAGCTGCGATGTCGAATCCTATCGCGAGTCCCGAGTCAAGTATTTCCTTGTACGCTGACAAAGCCCACTGCCTGTAAGGGTCAGGAAGCGCTACGGCCGCCCGAGGGAGGCTCAGATGCATGAAAAATGCCCCGACTGGTTTCAGTGGTCGGACAAATTCAAAGCATTTGCAGATATTGATCGCGGCCTGTGCTTGGTCGCGTCGATGTTTCGACGTGATATCGTCAGGGAAATAATGTTGTACCAGTGCCGAGACGAGGATGAAGAGTTTCCACACGTTGCACAGAGTCTCGCATAGTTGAACGTCGGAGAATCGGTAGTAGGTCTCGAATGGGATATCGTTGTCTTCGGAGCTCACTTCAATCACGAATGTGCAATCGCCCATGAGATTCTTCACCTCTTCGCTCATTTGGGAAACCCTTCTCCACTCTTGGTCGATAAGTTTGGCGGTCTCCGGTGAGATGCCTTCTTCAGTCTTATTTCTCAACAAGCGGACTATGGTGGCTAATCGCGCGCAACATTTAAGATATTCGAAATTGATCAGCTCACGGGCTGGGATTAATGGTTGACAAGCGGCTCTGTCAAACACGTCCGTCCATTCCAGTTTGTCTAGGAAGCATTCCTGACCGGTTGCCAGCGATACTGCAATCTGGGAGATACTGAGCACGTTTCATCAGGCTGCATACTCATGCTTACTGACCAGTGAAGAGGCCATCACCTCGAGCAGATCCAGAGCCCATGCAGATCGAATACTACCCGGTTCCCAAGCTTTAAGAATTGCTTCCGCGCCCCTGGCATGGTCGAGGACATTTTCGACACGACCGCAAGCAATCTGCCAACCTGGTCAGGCCTGTTACTCGAACGATGTACCGTAATTATATATCACGCACCTCGAAGTCTCCAAGGACCATCATTGCCGCAACAACGGCTTCAAAGTCCACCTCTCGAGGCGATTCCACGGCTTCTTTCATGTCGCGAAGTGCTTGGCTGTACAATTGATGCTGATACTGTTCCGTCATCCCAGCAGGGCATAGTAACTTCGTATGTGCCGACAGAAAGCACGCAATGGCGGAATCCAAGGCCTTGTTCTCGCCGATACGAGCTGGTAATTGGACGAGATGCTTGCCTACCAGTTCTAAGGTGAAACCGGTACCCTTCGTGTTCTCAATAGCGTACACCAGTCTGCTGGAAAGGCTCTGGTCTTCGCTTAAACGCGGCGACGCCACGAGAGCTGGAGGGGACGACTCTAGTGCTCGAGCCGCCAAGATCGGTGAGTGTCTTTGTTGGTTCCAAGGCTTGGTTACATGAGAACGACGGTTCGAAGGCACGCTCCACCTGATCTTCGCCGGTGTAAAGGACACAAGAGATGCGTCCCCATCCAATTGAGTCCAAGAAGGCGTAGCAGGTCCGGAACATTCGCGGCCGGATTTTTGACAATTGAGACAGACTGGCTCGTGCTCATCGCACTGCATCTACCAGCTTAGACAGTCTGCCTGAGACGAACTCTACAGGGTTTATATCAGACTTACCTTGATTTTGCGCTTTTTGCAGACGCTGCACCCCAACGATTGTCCTCCCGCCATATCTTGCCACTGAATAAAAAGATAAGCTGATCGCAATGAGGTGGAAGAGAACTTTGCGCTCCGTATTGAGAAACCAGAAGATCCTTCTGCTTTTATGTAATACGTGAATTGGGCACAGGCCCGGCACTAGCAGGAATCTCGCCAACACCAACCTCCAGGTATGCAGTGCTACTGGGCAGATTAGTAGGCCAAATACTACGTTGCTTAGTGAGGCATCCAACGGCGAAACCCCTTCTCCCCATCTGAAGCGGCTAGCTACTACTGCAAACAAGTTGATTCCCACTAAGTCACATTCGTGGTCAATGATCACCGTATACTAGATACATACTCAAATGCAAAGCGATTGATCGAATGAAAAAGCCTGCTCTACCCTAATTAGCGCCTGCGAAGTTTCGGGCGTTCTCGTTCCACCATGGAAACCCATTCCTTGTTTCCACTGGCACGACCTCGACAGTAAACCCTGCGCTTCTCTGTTGACCCTGAAGCCAGTCAATCTTTCCACCAATGTGATGTCTCATGTATCATAGATAGTACCGACACCTGGCAGTGTCAGATTCACCAAGTAGTTGTCTATAGCACGCTGAGTGTCTCCATGTAACCCGTAGGAAGTGTGGCCGTCCCCTCTCCGGGTAAGGAGGACAGAACCTTCGATTTCGGTCTGGAGGTTGACAGCCATCTCGTACGGAGTTTCGGGGTCAAACAGGGCATTGACCACAAGGATGTTTGTCGACACACCGGTAACATTCAGCGGCTTTTCAGGGTTGACAACCGGAGACGGCCAGCCTAGGCAGACTGCTTGCGCTGCGGTAACTTCACTGACGCCCTGAAGGCGAGGTGATACACTGCGTAGCAAATCCTGTCGATTGGTCCACTCGGCCCAGCTGCTGTTCCACATCCAGTCCTGACACGAGATGGCGCTTTGTGAGAAGTCCGTACTCGAAGAAGCCGTATACCATGGTTTGGAAAGGAGCGTCGCATTGCCCTGATGAGCCTCCTTCACACCTTCGGCGAGTAGCCCCCAGGTGCTTTGTTGGAGTATATACTCTTGGGTGATTGTCTTCATCTCTTCGCCACTCACATTCGGTCGGCATGGACTGCTTGACGACGAATCTTGTTTGCACCCTGGGGCGGGGATGGGCGCCTCTTCAGCTTTCGCAAACACGTCATCAACCATTGCCGAGACGTTGAGTCCTTTCAACACTGAGTTCTCGTTTGTACTCGCCCACTCAACGAAGTGATCGAGGACGATCTCGTAGTCTTTTACTTCCACCGCTGGGAAGCTGGTCTTTTTGAAAGAGTGGTCGGTCGCACCGTCGAGCACCATTGACCGTATGTTAGACGGGAAGATCTCGGCGTATTGAGAGCCAAGTTGCGTTCCATATGAAAACCCAAGGTAGTTGAGACCACCCTCACCTAGAGCAAGGCGTATTGCCTCTAGATCGTGAGCGGCACTGATCGTGTCAGAGTAGTTGAAACTTGCACCCGTCCGTTTCATACAATCCAGACCAAGCTCGCGCCAGTGCGCAACCATACTGTCGAAGGCTGCTTCGGTTCTGGGCTGTTTCGATACACGCTGGTTCCAAAGGCCAGGGTCGCACTTGATTGGAGCACTCAAACCAGTGCCTCGAGGATCTGGACCAATTAGGTCGAAGTATTCTCGCAGATACACACTGCTGCCCGATACATTGTTATAGGCAAAGTTGGCTAGGAACGTACTTCCAGCTCCGCCCGGTCTGTCAATCAAGTTAACCCCAGGTCGTGGCTGATAGAGGGTAAATGAAACCAATAGCGTTCCTGGGGTATAAGAGCATGAGCTTACTTACCCGCCAGGGTTCAGGACGAGACTTCCAATACGCTCCTCTAGGTTTATAGCCGGAGCCTTGTTCATGAAAAGCCTAATTTTCGGCCCTTTGGGGTACTTCCAGTCCACCGGAACCTCAAGCTCGGTGCACTGGAAGTCTGAAGGAAAGCTATAGTCCTCGTTGCAACTATGCCATTTGATGGTTGGGCCCTGGACTTTGTTATGCGGCGAGGCTGAAGCAAAGTTGGGAGTGCAAAGCAAAGCCAGGTAAAGTGATGAGGACAAGAATGTCAACATCATGTTTGCGAATGTCAAGGGCGTAGGATGGTTTAGCAGGAATATCCCAGAAACACGAAGGAAAGGGAAGAAGAAGTTGGTATATTTGGGTCAAATCGAGAACAGATACTAATCCAATACTTATACCTCTTCCTTTGTAAGTCCAAAAGGTGGTATCATCTAGCGCCTCTGTTTCTCAATTTACCATCCCGAAAGAACGGACGGGACTAAGTCGAGAGACGTCGGAGATGATGCCTGGAATTTCGGCTCTCTATCCAGAATCAGTAGTGAAGTTGACAAGGTTGAGCCTTTGATGGCAACTAAGCCTCGAAGCTGAAAGTCATCCTGCACAATATTCCATGGCGTGGATTGCACTGACCGAGCTCCGTGGACACCTAGCGCTCAATTAACAGCAAGACTCATCAAGGTTAATCTCATTGCGAGTTTTGAAGTCCTCCGACTCGCTTTCTCAGCCCCTCTGTGTCTCATGGCCTGAAAACTTGCGTGCGATATGCGAAATAGTGTCCAAGACGATCAGCAAGTCCTGAAAAGTTGTGATGGTTTTGCCTCGGATTCTAACCTGATGCGGTAGGCAAAATTGAGTATTGTGGCCTTGGGAGGCCTTATAATCACTTGGCCAGACTCCACCTAGAACAATGCTACTCTACAGGAACTGCATTGCACCGGATCAACCAGATCATTCTAGAGTCCGGAGCAGGAGTATGCGAGGGCTTTTTGCGGCACAACACGCGTGGCTACATTCCTCAGTCGCCCCAGTCCTTTCTTTCATCTTCCAGCTGTCAATCACCCATTCTCATCGGTTCCCCAACTACAGATACCTATCCGAGAGGCAGGTGTAGCTGATTGGTGGGGGGCGCCTGATTTGACCCTTGGTGTGTTGCTCAGGGATGTTCAGCGAAAGGCTCAGTTAAAGCCCAGGTTAAAGCGTACCTTGAACAGCATGAGCATAAACACGAGCCTGTGCAGGGGACCACAACTTGGGCTCGCTGGGTTCCCGGTTTCTGGCGCTTCCAATCTTCAAGATAGCCCCGATCCAGATCCCTTGCTCGGTTGTAGTTGTGATGAGTCCTCTCGAGGCCACTTTCCGGGTCAAACTGCTGCCAGGGATGGGCAACTTTTAATCAAACAGTGATGTAGCTAACTCTGGGTGGTTGTTTCCAAGATTCCGTTCTACTGACAAGACTGTGGTTCAATTTGATCCTTTGTAAAAGGGGACACGACGACGCGAATGATCAGGCAAAGGCGCCGAATGGTACATCGAGGACTCAAAGGCATGCCAGGAAGGAGGGCCAGGAGCTCATTCGTTTGCCGAAGTTGGATTCCGGCTGCGCACTGGCACCGTGCATCTCTCGTGCCTTGAATTTCGACGTTTCTGGCTGACAGGGTATCTAATTCGTTCAGTTATGGTCATGCGGACTAGACATTGGTTGTGGAAGGTAGACTCATGCAGGTAGAGCACTGAACAACAATTATCCTTTCGCCGGATGAACCCTCATCGAGCCAGAAATGAGATAGCGTTCCAGTGGCTGTGTGGTCCCCGATATCATTGGGTCTACCGGAACCGTTTTATAGAGTTGTGTTATGATCGATTTCATTTCATTAAGCAGGAGGAAGGCGGTGTCTTAATTTTTTTTTCATACCTACCTCGACGCTGTACTAGTAAAATGACCTAATAACTATGGTCGTGCAAAGTATATTTCTTCATTAAAATAGAGGATAGATCTTTACTCAGTAGGAATACTGCATACGTGTTCCAACATTAAGGAACAAACTCGAAGAGACCAGGCAGAGATTTAGTGAGCGGTGTCCTCGTGAGGCTGAGGAGCCCACAGCGGATGCGTATATATAGATTTTGCGTGCCCCTTGTTCTTATGGACGATAGTCAACTAAGCTGGCGCAGTCTGTTACAAGAAAAGTTGAAAGATGGAGGGCTAGGATTAGGGACGAGGTGGATCTGATCGGGGAGAGGTTGCACAACTTTTAGGAACCCACGCCGAAGCTTAGGAACATGAGCGCTTCAAGCAGGAAAGGGAAGGGAAGGGCGTCGAGAGGTTGGGGTCTAGGGGAGGCTTGTACAACTTGGCATAGTATAGCGTCTTCATGAAGTTAGAGTGGTCTTGAGGCGCAAGGCGCTGTACCTCCGTCCACCATGAGCTTCAGCATTGGTAGTTAGAAGGAACCTCACTCAATTTTATTATGGATCGCCTCTAATGCCATGTGCTACGGTTGAGCATTTGCTTCCTTTGCTTATACGGATGACCACTGGGGCCACCGTGGTAACTTGCCCGACTTCTTCGACTTCTGAAGCCCTTTTAGCCTTTCTCCGTAGTCGTTACGTTGCCGCTACTCGCTCCCGATGAGAGATTCGCTGTCCCTCGCTGGCTGTACCGAGTAGGTAGGCACCCGTTCACACGCACTAGTTCCTGACCTCGGCGGACCCGACTTCGACAACCAACGGTTTCAAGGTTATGACCAACGCCCAAGGTTGGAACATGACGCCACTTCGAGCTGGCAATACTGGTCGAGCTCGTCGAGACTGGACCGAGTACTGGGTATAAGCGAAACTTATTTAAAGATCTCCCGCAAGACCGCTCACCGGAGAAGGGTGTACCTTTGCTGCAGGCTATTGTTGGCCCGTTTCTGTAGACATGGTTTGTCTTCGGCATCATGCAGGAGGCCCTGCCGAGGCCAGTTTCAAGATCTGAGGCTTCCAAAAGCATCACACGCATCGATGAGGGTGGAATTCTACGCAAATCAGATTTATGGCTTTGCGCAGTCTCTTCACGGAATTCCTCGACGCCAGGCATGACTGGAAAAAAGCTCCAGTTTGGGCCGTTCACCCTGCAGATTACCTAAACGAGGTGGCATGGACACTGCTTGATCTCGACCGCTTCTGGAAAACGATTGGTGGTTCGTTCCTGTCTGGGCCGTCCACCTGTCTCTATCGATACAAGTGTACCAAATAAGATCCAATCTTGCCATCTTCTACATACCCGACATCGATCTATCACAGTCGCTTGCGTTTGTGGCAAATTGCGAAGCTCTCCGACAAAGGATGTCAGCTGCCGGTTTTGGTTTTAACTTGCTCGACAGGATCGGCATGGATCTAGATGTCGAAGGTCTTTACATTCCCTCTCTCATTCCTGAATTTGGAACGAGTCCAATACATGGCAAAGTGTGAAAGTGTGACTGACAGCTGCGTCGGCGCAAATATCGAGAAAGGCACATACCGGACTCAACATATCCCACATTACTGTTTGTGCCAGCGGAGCACATGTGGTCACAGCACATCGCAATGCCACTGCACTTATGTCATTGTGCCAGAGACTGACCTCGCCGAGGCTCTCAAAGAGGGTTGCTTTCCTGTTGTGCAATTTAAGCACGATGCAGGTGAGGACATCGAGATAATAAGGTATGATCCGTGGGAGTACGGCCCTGCATATGACGCTTTTTCTCATGTCTGGAGTGACGGGCGAGGAAATGAACAAGGTGACGCCTTACCTCTCTGTCGGCTCATGTCGATCCGTGCATATGTCGAATATGTGCTTCTCGGTTAAGATGCCCTATTTTGAATTGACACTCCATATGTTCCTGTCCAAGAGCCTTTGAGAAGTACGGCAATCATGCGAATGGCCGACTTGTGCAGAGAAGCAGTCCAGGTTCTCGTCTTGTCAGAAGAGATTCTCGCATACGACGTTCCATCGAGTGCAGACCAAGCACTATTTTTTTTTGATCTTCTGCAGTAAATGGCAGACGCGGCTCTGGACGATGCAAGAAGCAGTTTTACACCCGAGGACGAGAAAGTGCAGACTTTCTGGGCATGTTAAGCAGACGTCCCAGCAAGCGTGCTCTGGACGACTGGATACCGTTTTTGAAGGTGGAGAATATGACCATGTTGTCTTCGAGGAAAATGACGCCTTCGATGAGGCACAGGCGGCCGTTGTGCACATGAAGCTGGAGACTCTGGAGAGAACCGGGTCACCGGTAAAAGTGTGTGGGAGCCACCACGAATCTCTCTGAAGTGCTTGTGTATTCATATCCACGAGAGCAATCGCTCTCGCCTATCTATGGCACGAGGGTGCCTCTTCGCCTGCCGGAGGAGACAGAGAGAAGGCACACCACATAAAGCGCATGCTGAATGAACGGGATTCTGCATTGCTAAGACCTCGACTTAGCCAAGAGGCCCACAGCGCCGTAGCAAGAATTGAGCATGGTAGCGCCGATGCCCTCACAGCGCGGGAAATATACAGAAAGGCAGATTTTGCTTGCTAACCGGTTGTGTAGACGCTCCCTGGTTCCCGACTTGAGCTTGGATTGCGCTTGAACCATTCAGACAGTGTCCCATGCACCTGTTCTTGGAAAGATCTGTCGAAGCAGGACCTGGCAGTTCCCACATTTCACGATACATCTAGCGCTGGTTTTATCTTGTCGCCGTTTTGTGCAGCATCACAGACATAGCAGGCTGACTACTGTTCAAGATCTCCCCACCTCTTCGCTTTCGTTCTCGAAGCAACTCGCCCTTGATGAGGGTCAGTTCAGATATGTAATTGGGACAGACGGAAAACGGTTTCATTCAAAACCGCGAATCGACTAACATGCCCGCTTCTCAGCACTCCCAAGGACAGCGAATTCCATGCCTCTTCAAAGGGTAGCCCTACTCGTACGCATGGCTTTGGTGCCATGTTTGAGGTCCTGCCAGTGCAACCAGAATGGTCATTGGCAAAAGTGACACTCGAAATGGCGCTCTGACAGGGTGTCTGAGTATTGTACAGTGACGCTCTGAGCATGGTCCATCGCCTACCCAGTATTATTACTTGTAACATATCTACACATTCTGACTATCCCGACCGTCTGGGTCCTTTTGTCTTCTTCGGACCGTCGATTTCGAAAAGGCTACGGCTTAGATCTTTCGTGAAACGATCGAATTCCCTCTGCCTCAGCACCATTCGTACGTCAGTTTTCGATACATCACCCCGACGGACTTTTGCTACTCGGAATATGGCGATCGCTGGGGAACTAAGTTAGGCCCTCGTCGCGGCTCAGCCTATTCTCGGCGTGGGTTCGGGAGGTGCTCAGGGAGGGAGTGCTCCGTGAGGCTCAGTTCAAAGTCAGGGTGAACCGGCCTTCACTCCCCTCCCCTCTAGGGTCGAACAGTATTTGGGGGATAGGTCGTCCGTTCGCGAGTAAGTGAGGTAGAATGAGAGGCCCTGAGCCCCCCATCCAGCTCGCGAGCCTTGCTCTCCGAAAATAAAGGGGCGGGCAAGCCTCGGCCACGAACTGTCTCGATCCGCAGTCCCTGATGCTCTATATATATATATATCTAAAACCCCCTTTATATACTTTGTACTTGTGGTGCTTGTAGTGTTCATTCTTCGATTTCAATCACCACCTTGCCAAAGAATTTCTGCGCTCTCAGATACTCGTAAGCCTCTCTGGCCTGCTCCAACTTCCACGTCTTCCCGTCTATCACAGGTCTTATGCCTTTCTCCTCCATGAAAGCCAGCATATCCCTAAACTGTCTTTTGCTGCCCACGAGCACGCCTCGCACGAGACACGCACTCGCGAAACAGTCCCAGAACCCCGTCCGCCTCTCACCAGCTGCTGCTTCGCCCCCAAGGAACCCGATGATCGAGATGACGCCTTCCGGTGCGACGGCTTTCAAGCTCTGCTCCATCGACGTCTCGCCCCCAACCTCAATCACATGTTGCGCTCCCGTGCCTCCTTGTCTCTCGATGTATTCCTTCGCGGCGATGCCCCATTTGGGATCCTCGCGGTAGTTGAGCACAATGTCGGCCCCGAGGTCCCGCAGCCGCTTCTCCTTCCCTTTGTCTCCTGTCGTAGCCACCACATGAGCCCCGAGTGCCCTGGCGAACAGCAAGGCAAAAATACTGACACCGCCAGACCCCTGGGTCAATACCCAGTCTCCACGCTTCAACGCTCGTCCCTCGACGCCGAACAGAGCATTCCACGCCGTCAAAGCTGCACAGGGCAATGTGCTTGCCTCCTTAGCGCCGAGAAACTTGGGCACCTTGATCAAACCCTTCTCACCAAAGACGGCGTGCTTCCTGAGCACTCCATCATTTAGCCCTCCGAGACTGCTTGCGCGACTCTGCTTTGTGGGATACCCGTCTTCAAAGTCCTGGAAGAATGTAGGGCATACTTGATCCCCGACCTTGAGGGACTTCACATCGCTGCCGACTGCGACCACCACACCGGCCCCGTCTGAGCATGGCACGACGTCTTCTTTGGTGTAAGCGGGGTATAGCCTGAGCGGCATCGCGATGTCGCGATAGTTGAGGGAGACAGCGTGCATAGCCACGAGGCAGTCCTGTGGGCCCAATGGCGCAACAGGCATCGAAGGGTCAAGTCGGAGGCCATCGAAGCTGCCGGCGGTGAGGTCTATTCGAAAGCCAGAGGTGGTCGTGGGAATGGAAGACGCCATGACAACCCGTAGTCTTCCCACGAGTGTGGAGAATACTGTCTTACTGAAACAGCTTTATTTATAGCGTGATGAAAGTGGAGAAGAATACTCGGTACTCAAATATCTAACCCCACACAACTCAGCCCAGCGACTCGGCAGGACTTGATTCCTCTTCTCCAAAGCTTTGCGACAAGGCCAGCAAAAAGGGAGGGAAACAATGATGAAAGAAGTTATGAGTGATTCACGATGTCGAGTTCGTTATTGAGATAGAGCTGTGTAGATGGTTGTTTCTGAACAGACGATCCATGGGAAATCTATTCTCTCCCCGGGCGATATGAGGATAGATGTGGATGAGTATTCTAGCAGCTTGAGGCCTTTTCCCATTCCCACATGGATTGGGAGACGAGATAATACTGCAAACCGTCTAGTCGTGCAGACCCGATTCCTCTAGAGTCTCTCTGCCACCAGACTCAAGTATATATTCCAGCACAGCGCGACCATCGCAAAGAACGGGATTCGCCTTTCAAAAGAAATCACGCTGTGCGCAATGATGTTGGCAAACGGCCAAATCTTGTACCCGTTGACAATGATGGTTAACGTCTTCGTACGCAGATTATGCGGGATCTTGCCAGGCTGGCCGTTCAGAAAACCCATGATGACCAGGAAAGCGACGGTGTTGAGGATGGCGCCCAGTGTGATGCAGTCTATGAACCACTTGGTCCAGATGTTCTTCCAATTCTTCTTTGCCGAAGCCTTCTTTTTCTTCTTCTTCGTCCTCTTCGCCCGTTGTTGTTGTTGTCGCGGACTTGAGCCCTCGGCAACGGTGGTGGGGTCCTGCTCAACTTCCACCTCGTCCGCGTTGGAGTCCTTTTCAACATCATGGTCTTCAAGCGGAATCGAGTGGTAATCTTCGCGTGACGAGGCGGAGGCGGGTGCGTGTCGGGGAAACATCTTCTCGAGCAACTCCTGCCATTTGTAGTTTACCGGAGCGGTGATAAGGTCAAGGCAGAGAAAGCGCAGGAGTCGGGGGAGATCGAATTCAAACGCCTTCTGAGCCTTGGTCAATCTTGCCGCCTCGCTGGAGCCCAGACCGCGAGAGAGAGCATGCACAGTACCTCATTCTTGTACGCATCAATGATTTGAGCGAGAGTGTTGGAGATGGAGACGATGATGGCAGATAGGATCCATGCCTCGAGCAGCGGTCTCCCGGGTCGCAATTTCGACAGCCAGCTGTCAGTTGGTTCACGAGGCATGATGGCGGTTAATGCACGATTCAAGCAAGGACGATTTCAGGGACTGCACATCATGCAAGGCTCTAATGGTGGCCGGCAGCAAGGGATGGTCGACCGAGTGAGACAGGGAGGCCACGCTGCAGAGCCATGATACAAGGTTGGTGAGCCTGATCGTCGCGTGTCACATCAGAGTCTCGGGCGTTGAGTCGCAGACTGACGATGCGATGCCTCGGTGCCAGTACCCAGTACCCAGTACCTCGTGAGCTGTACTGGCTGTGCAATTACCCCACACCTCCCACGATGTCCTGCATGTCCCATCATCGGTCATTACAAGTACTACGGGTGCCTGTAATGCCTGTAGAATGGTTTGTATGTGCATACTTTTGACATTTCAATCAAGTTATTGCCTTCCCTGCCTCCCCCGCCTCTCCCATTAGGCTACCAGCCTTGTGCACAAGCTAACACTCTCCCCCCCCCTTCGACACGAAGAATTGTAGAGAGCGAAACAATTACATTCTCACAATAAATTAAAACTAATAATAAAAAAACCAAGGGCGGAGCCAACATGGACCACAGCACTTCCCCCCTTCCGCCCCAACTTGCCTCCGTCTTCCGCAGTATCAACATCTCAAGCATCCCGGGCGACGACCTCGACCTATTCTTCCACTGCTGGATCCGTCCGCACTGCCCAGCATGCCTGTCCCCGTCAAACCCTTATCCTTGCTCTTGGTGCGCGACGTCTCAGACCTGCGTTCCCAACACTATCTACCCTTACCCGTTCGGCATCCTCTCACCTCTCAAGTCCGCCGAAATATGCCCCTTGGCATGGCGGGAGCGGTGGGAAATGCGCGCCAGGCCGTTTAGTTGTCGGTGCTCGAGCATGACATTTGTGAGTGTCGTGGTTGCAGTCCTGACCACGTTGACGAGCCTGTACTTGATCTGGGCAAGTATTAGGATTGCGAGATGGGCTGGGAGGAAGTGGAGGAAGCGAAAGCAGGGCTGGTGGAGGTTGAGCGATCGGGTGCCTAGGTGGATGCCCTTGTGGAGGGATAGGGACATCAAGCATTCCCCTTCTACAGGGACGAACGCAGAGGCTGAGAGTGGTACCGGTGGGGGAGTAGCATTGGCGGCGGGAGAAGCGACACCATTGCTTGCGTGATCTATCTCAGTGGCAAAGTCGTAGCTTCTACCTTCATATGTGATATTTGACTATTCGTACACAGCGGGATAGTTTCAGCCCTCTTGGCTTGCTCTCTCTGCTCAACCATCCTCTCCGCCATCGTCCTCACCAGCGGCTCCTGGACCTTTACATACCTTACTAATGCGATACTCAACAGTCAGTCCCCCTTCTCCGACAATGAATCTCCCAGCACCGACAAAGAGCGCCTGTTCCAGGGCTTTGTACCGCATCGACCCCGTCTCAAACGATACTTGTATGACTTCCAACAAGCGAGCCCCAGAGGGTGCCACCGTTAGCACCATACCGTGTATGCGGCCTCAAAACGGTCTGGATAGGACAACATCGAGGAGGGGGGAAGGTCAGCTGGGGCCGGATAAGACGTACACGAATTACCAAATTCGGTAGATTTTGCATTGACGCTGCGGCCGAGGATCCGGCGCATTTCATTCGTGATGTCAACTATTCCAGTGTAGTGGATGTGTATCGTCTGCAGGGCCGGAACAAAAGAGATCTGGTCGTCAACCATCGGCTCCCAAAGTGCTCGTTGGTTTCAAACTGAAAGAAACCGTCGACGGGGAGACGGCAATGAACCCAGGGGAACCTGGATGGGCAACTGGAAAGTCTACTGACCTCTCCATTTTGATCTCTGATATTCCTCCCGAAGACATCAATCAGCCTTTTCTCACCACACTCTAGCTCTCCTCACAGAAACAACACAGAAACAGCTGAGTGCTGCAGAAGATGGAACACTCACCCAACAACCAAATCACTCCGCAGCCGCATCCGCCCTCCATCGGGATCATTATGCACATAATCCACGCCCGGGCCTTTCAACCTCGCATCCACTCTGACAGGAAAGCCTGGTTCACTCACAAAGGTGCCGGAAATGAGTGGGACGACGGTCAATGGCGTGCCGCGAGAGAGCGAGCCGACGGGCGTGGCAGGACCGATGATGATGGTGAGGTGAAAGGCGGGCTGGAGGCTGGGGTGGTCGGCCAGGGTCGAGGAGCGCGTAGCAGGCGAAGTGCTCGTGGCGGTGGCCATTTGTGTAGATTCAGGAGTCCACGAAGAGTCGTTGGGATGAGGTTCGTTGGCCGTCATAGATTGAACTGGCTCTGGAGTCGGATCATCCTTTCAGACCCTCACATTCTTGACAAGAGGTTGAATGTCAATAAGGTGTTAGAGTGGTTTAGGGAGAAGTAGAAGGAGAAGTAGAAGTAGAAGTGGAGGTGGAAGTGGAAGTGGAACGAGAAAGACCAAAGATATGTACGGAAGGATCTAATGGGGTCGTAGACAAGCCACATACTATTCGTCGTGGAAGGAGTACTTACTATTCATCGTATGTACCCCGCAGTGAGCACTGTCACCGTCTGCAATTGTTATGAAGTTCTAGTACACGAGGATCGAGTATTCAGTATATGTATACGCCCGACTTCCACAAACGGATCCAACCGCATCGCCCGTAATGTCATAAGAAGTCATCAAGTCTCTAACCTGTCCCGGTTCCATAGATCCGTTCCATACCCGAATTCACCGGCACACTCCAGGGTCGTTGGCTCATTATCTCACTGATCGTACATTGACAAGAAACGTCAAAGAAAATAAGAGGGGGCCAGAGAGGAAGCAGCACTGGCACTGCCTGGCCTTTCTCCCAAAGCGGACATTCATCCAAATTGCTGATCGATCTCATCGTCAGGTTTCGTGTGCACGAAGGCCCGCTTAATAAATGTCTTCCATAGATGATTCTTGCGAGTCTTTGTCTCGTCCTTACGGCCGCTTTTCTTGGAGGAATCGACATCAATCTCGACATCCTCGGTATCGGCATGGCTCAACTTCAGCCTATCCCGTCCCATCTTCTCGGCCAGATCCAACATGGAGCGCACCGTCAAATCTTTCATCTGATATGCACTGTCGTTGTTCGTTGTGTACTCTGGGTAGTAATTGAAGTATTGGTACCGGTCTTGCTTCGGTGACTTGTTATTATGCATCTGCTCGTGTATTCGAGTCAGGTTGGCGTAGTATTGCGTGAACGACAGCAGTGACAGCGACTGCGGAGAATAAGCGGGTCCGGGAGGAGACGTCTCGGATGGTGGTTTGGGGACTGGGAAGTTGGGTTTCTTCGGCTTCTTCTTTTTGCCTTTCTTCTTCTTCTTCTTGAGATCGTGGACATCATCTTCCGGGTTAATGTCTTTGTCAGACTCATCTTCCTCCGATTGCTCCAAGATCATCTCCTCATATGCTTGACCGTCGATGTCGTGTGCAACCGCAGGTTCCCCAATCGCCCCGTCGGCTGGGTGATCATCCTCCATCCCTGTGACATTGTACTCCACAACTCGAAGGGTCGGAAAGAAGTTTGGAACAACGCTCGGAGATACCAAGGACATGCTGAATCGTTCAGCCCATGGCCCGCCGATCGCCTCCAGAAATTTTGCAAGCTCCCTCTCTCCATCCTTCTTTCGGGCATCGACAAAATCATCCGGGATTGCCTCACCATCTACAGACAAATATGAATGTCCGACTGGCGGTGTGGGTAGTTCTGACCAGCCTGATCTCAATTCATTCAAGTATTGGGCTTTGGCGGCGATGGAAAAGGTGGCGTTATCTGGTTGCGATCTTAGCCGCTTGTCGACACCCTTGATCTTGAACTTGTAATGCAATTCTTTGACATCTTGGAACATAAAATGATCGATGTTCATGTGTCCAAAGATCGAGGTGACAATGACATCTCGGTACTGTCGCATCCAAAGGGTAAACTTCTGGTAACAGCTTTCATCCCAGTTCTGTTTGCTCTCGGTCCTGGCCGGCGGCACATGGCCTATAAGGATGGCCTTCATTCCTCGGTTGCGGAGGAATTGTAATTGGATCCGCAGCCACTCCATGTGCTCGTAGCCCGGTTCCGACTTCAAATCGCAGCCATCAACAGCCGAGTTTGAATCGAAAAAATACAGAGTGTTGAGACTAAAGACCGCCAGTTTATTAGGGATGACTTCGGTGAAGAACCAACCACCTCTTGCAAATGAATGACGTTGTGCCTGTGGAACAAACCGGTTCCATACATCCAGGTAGGCCCGCGTCCATTTGTTCGGCCCAGGTGTGAAGATGTTGTGAGGAAGAATATCGTTGTTCCCAAAGGTAGGAACAATTGGGATTACGAAATCGTTGGTCGGGTCCGGGTCGTCTATGTTGTCCGGTTTGCCGAAAGCCTCGATGAACTTGTCTACAATGAACCGGTTGAGCTTGAGCACCTGTTTATCCGATCGGGGAAGGCGTTCGTCGTTGTCGTGGCGGGCCGAGTCGCCAGTCCAGACGACAAAATCAATCTCGTCTTTGAGATTCGCTTGAATCCATTGGAAGGTGGCATTAACCAGGCTTATGGGGGCATCGCAGTCTGTTACTTCTGCTCCAAAATATGCAGCCTCGCCATGGCCCGAATGGCATTGCTCTTCAGGATCGGAGTGGGACTTGTAGAAGGGGTCGGGATGAATGTCTGCAGAACGGGTCAGCGCAGCCGGGGTTGTTGGGGAACCCGCAGTTACCTGTAATGTGGAGGAATCTACCCCTTAATTTTCTGGGAGCAGGTTGGGATTTTGAGGTCGACGATCCGACGATTGCTTGCTGCAGGCCATCATGTTTCCGAGGGATATTTGGAGGTGCTGCCGCTGCGAAGGTTGCCCAGAGCACCAGGCAGCGGGCAAGGCGAACCATGGCTGAGCTGCTAGTGGTGGTCACATCGACTTGCCCAGGTCGAGGGAACAAAGGGCATCCGAATGAACGAGCGAGAAAGTCGATGTACCTGAGCGAAAGAATGTTCCGAGTGAAAAGAAATCCCTTGCAGTCGACGAGCAAAGGCGCAGACGCGGGTGAAAGGTCCTCGAGGTGAAGGTGGTGGAAAATTGGGCTCAGAGAACCCACGTCATCCGGCGAATGGAGGATCGGTCAAGCGGTATGACTAGCCGGAATGCCAGGGCACCACTGGGCAGCCAAGGGCACCTCCGAGGGCACCTGCGGAAGAAGGCGACTGGCTAGGCGAGCCTAATTGGACCAACCGCCCCTGCAAGTCCCCCCTTAGATGCGCCCCGCGATGCTCAGGCACGGGTCCGAGATTCAGGAAGCAATACCCGACCGCCAGCTGGGCGATGTGACGTTGCGGGAGGCCTTTTTTTCGCGCACGAGGTCGCCAACAACACTTTGAGACAGCTGTGCGAGCAGATTCCTTCGGGGTTTGAGCACATCTAAATATCGATTGCGGTATCCTGGGACTGCGCAACTCCTCGCTTGATCCTGCAGCTGCCCCCTTTTCCCAAGGGCAAGTTGACACTGTTGCTTCTGCAACCCCCAAAACTCTGACCGCGAGATGAGGTTGTCCAAGGCCAATTAGCTGGACCATGGAATCCACGTGGGCTTCGTTGCGCTCTCACCAGCTCTCAGATGACTTGGGCGCCTGCCCTCCTTTACGGGAGCTGACACCCTCCTTGGTCGCCCTTGAGCTGCTTTAGGCTTCTTGGGCCCCGTTATTGGATTCTAATGGGGACGCAGCGCGTGGTTTGGGTGAGGGCCGTCGCGAATGGCTTGCATATAACGGATATTCGAGGACCTTTGACCAAGTGCTGCTTGAGGCACGCGACAGACTTCCATCCCGCACTATTCCTAGGCAGTCCGGCCTGATGTAATTTCTCATCCATTTGCACCAGTGCTGCCCTCAACTGCGTCCACCATAAAATTCATAGCTCCGTCGAGGCAGCGACCCTTGCGGCATGGGGTACAGCGTTGGCATGTGATAGTCTTCTGGTGGAGTCAGCATTGCTTGCTGCTGCATACTAGGTTGGACAGGGTCATGATTGATTGGAGGACTCGGGAGCTGGCTCATGGCTGGTCCATCGTACGGATAGGCGTTTGTATCTGGAAAACTGTTGCTTGCCATACTGCCATATCCGACATTGGTGGTCACCGGAGCATTGACATTGACCGTGCTCGGATACTGCGCAGTGCCTCGTTCCATCTGCCTGCTTTTCAATCGTGAAAAGAGTACGGCCGATTCTTGCTCAAACTTTTCCCGCATTTCCGGCATTGACCAGCGATGCCGTGCAAAGTCGAGAATTTCAATAATCTTGCGGAGGCAGATGGCCGCCCGTTGGCCATTGTCTAGAGGTACATTGTTGGCGAGAGGCGAGCCTTCACGAATGGAATGTGTGGTTTTTACGAGTCGATCAAAATCAGACCACATGACTTCCAGGAACTTCTGTCCCACGTATTTCGCTCGACTGATATCGGCGAATGTTAAGTATGCGTGCCAGGTAACGTCTTGCGTGATAGGCTGCAGAAGGTCGGCATACTGCGCCGAATATTCGAACACGAGTTCCTTGTTGAGATCCGTCATGCTGCTCGCGGGAACCCGCTGGTTTGGCGAAACTACCAGGATTTGGCAATACAGCCTTTCAAGATTGAAAAGCATCAGATGAGGCTGTGATAATGTCGCGGGAATGGTAGAATACCAAGCGTGAATATCGTTCGATACAGAACTGGAATAGGTGGCCGCCGTCGCCAGAGGCCACCGAGATCGAGAAGACCACCTTGTACTCTGATAGAAGGCTGACTGAACGCGACGAATATCGAACAAATAGAGGCATGGTTTGACCGAATGCAGAAACACTTGGGATGGAGAAGGGTCGGATGCTGATTCAGGTAAAGGCACCTCGGAGGCGGAGTCGTCAGTGAATGAGAATGCTCGATCAAGGGACATGCTGACAAGACGGTCAAGAGCGTATACACAGTGGAATATCCTTCGCCGCAGGTCCAATGTATTCTTGCTGATCTTTGTCTCTGGCGGTGGCTCGCAGTGCAGCCCGAGATCGACCATGAGGCGGGCAGCCATGCCCACGAGGTACCAGGGGTCGTAGTGTGCAGGGTCTACCAATGAATACTGTACGAGCAGGAGAAGAGCTTGTACTCCGGCAATCGATCCAGGATGTAACACATAGCCAGCTAGTCCTCTGGCCGCCGACATGTGCTGTAGCGCCGTCTTGTCATTCTCATCTCCTTTGCGTTGCGAATTCGAGGCATACGCAATGGCCAGGATCAGCCGCACATTCCACACGTCCAATGGCGTAACGGTTGATGAGATTGCCGAAGACTCATGGTAGATGCGGGACAGACTTGACATTAGATCTGTCTCGGAGAAGAAAGGGAACAGCACGTATACATTTTCGAGATATTGATTGATCATAGGAGTGATAGCGTATCGTGGGGGCAGCCCTCGAGATTCGAGAGCGGGTAGCTCCTCTCGCGCCGCTGCTGACAGGAGAAGCTTCGCAAATGACATGGTTGAGGTAAACCCGTGGAAATCACGGGATGTGGCATTGACGGTGAGAAAACCAAAGTCACTGACCAACTCGTCGACATCTGAGGCCTCCTTTCGGCGGGCTCCGCTTATCTTTCGTCGCTGAGGAGGGCGCCCTGTCACCGACTGAGTGCCGGACAACGTCCGCTGACTGGCAGCCTCTGCTCGAGCAACATCGATCTTCTTTTGTAGCCGTTGAGCCGCAGCTTCCAGAGCCGCAACATAGCTTCGTTCCTTGCCTCGAGCAAATTCGTCGTTGGCACTGGTGCAGCTGGTGGATTTGCCAGATCTCTCACAAGCAGTACAAGCGGGCAATTTTCCATCGCATTTGATCTTCGCAGATCGACATCTGGCGCAGGCCGCAACGGGTCTGGACACCCTCAAGGAAGGCGATAAAAGGGCCTCGATGGACTCGGTCTTGGTCATGATTGAGGAAGGGAGTGTGTGGAAGTGACGGTCAACGCATTTCTGCTCGGGGGAAATGTAGTCGCCGGGTCGATGGTAATATGAACACTAGCTGCAGACTGGCAACGCGGCTTTGGTAGGAGTGTCAGAGTGCATTGATTTCAGCAGAGATCAAATGAGCACATGGATTGATTCGACAATCTGGTTGCCAGCCCAATGGGAGCTGAGTTGACGACGTTGCCGTCGTTGTCCGTTGTGGTTGGCGATGATGATAATGAATTTGTCCTGCGCTCTGGCTATTATCAGTGAGGCTCATCGTCATGTACGAGTTATGTACTGAGGGGTCTATGGGCACTTAACCTCAATTATGCCCCCTTCTCCCCTCTTTTGAAGGCCGCTGCAGGTCACTGGCGCACCCACTGGCGCACCCACTGGCACCCACTGGCTTACATGGGCACTCCACTAGCACCTGCTCCCCGCCCAATTGGACAGCGACCGAAGGGCCAACTGCTGATAGCTACAAGTAGACTTCAGCCGAGAGGGATCCCTGAACGCCTGGATCCCCGTTGACCCCCGTCAGACCTTAACGGCCCCTTCCCGCCCATCCCAACCACAGGCATTACAGGTCAAGTCTTGGGCACCTCCTAGGCGAATAGGTGTCACGGCAGCCCTACTTGGCAGCCTCCTATCCTCCTCAGCTCGATGCTTTCAGCTCATCGTCGACCCTGTCGGTCTGAGCTGCGCAGGAGCCAGAATCCTCTTGACAGTTGACTGGCACTCCTGTTCGTCACCATCTATGGCCGACCTTTACATCTGGCCTTAGCACCTGGATCTCCATCACTAGTTTTTGTTGCGCTGAAGTCTACCTCTCACTGCTGACAGGCTCACCGGTTTTTTGATAGGCGGTAACCCTGTGCCCAAACTCTCAACGCAATCCAATGGAGGCTGGCCTCACCTAACCCACTGTCCAACGTCTGATCATGAGCGAACTCCCTATACTTTATTTATTACTGGCAGGCCACGCACGAATGATGAGGAATGGAACTCGATCTCTATTGCAGACAACGCTCACCATCATAACAACCTAGACGTCAACCTCTGCTGTCGGCTTCCTGAATTGATGGCAGACAGCGAAAATGCGATCATGGCTGACTCGCCCGAGACGGCGCGAGCCCGTGATAAGGTCCACCACACGGTGACTGCCTGCGTTCGATGTAGACAAGTGAGCCTCCTCGTTCCGTCAGTTTTCTTGGGGTAGTCGTCATTGACTTGTCGCAGAGAAAGACACGGTGCGACCCCACTCTCCCCCGATGTGAGCCATGCGAGAGGAGCAATGCACACTGCGAATACTACGACTCCACTAAGAATAGGACCATTCCGAGAACATACATCACATCTCTGCAGGAAACTGTACGCCGACTCAATGAAGAACTCAAGGCTCTGCAGAAAGAGGAGGACTATGAGCCCGACCACGAGGCTATGGCGCGTGGCGCCGGCCTAGTCAAATTCAGTGAGAACGACGAATGCCGGTTCCTGGGTCCCTCGAGCGGCATTGCCATCACCCGGTTCGTTATGGAGTTCGCAAAACAGAACTCTATCCGGAGGACCATCAAGGACGTTGTGCCGCAGCATGCTGCTCAAGAGATCAAAGACAAGTTCGATGAGGAGAGCAGCAAGCCTACGTCGAAAGTTTATCCTCTCATCAGCTCAGTCGCTGCTCCCGAACTCCCAAATCGTGATCTCATGGATCGTCTAGTCGAGATTTACATGGTTAAAGCCCAATACATGCTCCCACTTCTTCACGAACCTTCTTTCCGCAAAGAGCTCCAGGCTGTGTATGACGGTTCAAACGATCCTACTCTCAATTTTCAGGTCCGCCTTGTTGTTGCAATTAGCATGCAAAAGCTAGACCCGCGATACGCCGGACTCGCCGACAGCTATTATCTGGCTGCCCTGCCTTTTTTATCGAGCGCTGTCCAGAAGATGGATGTGTCAACGCTTCAGTGCTTCGCGCTTATCGCCCAATATTCACTGCTCACACCAACTCGAACAGCAGCATATTGGGTGGTTGGGATTGCGGCAAGGCTATGTCAAGAGCTGGGCTTGTGTGAAGAAGAGACGATTCATCGACCGCCTTCTGGCGTCCGGCCCAACGCTCTGGAAGTGGACATGCGACGGCGATTATTTTGGATCATAACGTCCATGGAGTACGGTCTCGCACACAGTCTCGGAAGACCGAGCGCCTTTGGTGTGACTGTGGACAATATCAACGTCAATTTTTTCGAGCTTTGCGACGATAAATATATCAGTGCGGACGGACTGTTACCAGGTCACCATGCAATCATGAAGAAATGTATCTCAATCCATTTTTTCAAGATGAGGCTGCTCCAGGCCGAGATCAGGCGAACTCTGTATCTCAAGAAGCGCGAGGCACCGATGCACGGCCAAGACCCATGGTTTCACCAGATGCTGACCAAGATCAACAACTGGGTTCATGATTGTCCGAAGAACGACGAGGGATCTGGGTTGAGCGAAGCCTGGTTTATTGGCCGGAAAAACACAATGATTGTATTCATGTATCGACCCTCGCCTCAAATTCCCAGCCCATCACTCTACGCAGCCCAGCAGTGCTACTCTGCAGCCATCTTTAACATCCAGCTCCAGAAACGCCAAGTGGAAGGGCACTTGATCGACATCACCTGGATCTTCACCCAGGCCATCTTCATGGCTCTCAATACAGTGCTCTGGTGCCTATCCTATCCTGGTATTCGTCAACAGCATCCCCTGGAAGAGGTACAGATGCACATCCGAGACGCCCTCAGTGCGATCGACCTGTGCGCCGACCGCTGGCCGGGAGTGCGCTCCGCTCAACAACTCTACGAAAATCTCGTCTTCGGCTGTCTCAAGGCCTACGAAGCCGACAGCAAGGAATCACCTGCGTCGCAATCAGACTATGTCTCCTCCACGGCGACCCAAGATTTGTGTTCGTCCGCTGCGTCTCAGTTTGCGAACAGTCCAGCCAGCACAACAAATACCTCGGTCTATGGAGCCCAGTCCCCGCAATCTATTCACAGCGTACACGGCACACCAAACAATCACAGCTTCAAGAACGCAGCGGCCGGCTACATCGATCATTCGACGCAACAACAATTCCTTCCTCAATCGGAGATGCTCCCTACATCAACACAACCCCTGGCCAACCCGCAACAACAGTATATCCCCGTCACCGCACATCCATCCCTTCCCCGCATCGATGCTGCATCCATGCATTACAGTCTTCCTGGCTTTGACCCACTTTCCTTCCCAGCAACCACCGGCGCCACCACGGATGCTGGTGGTCCCTGGACAGCTGCACCCCTAATCCCGGGGGTGATCCCCGGCATAACCGGCTCTCCCAATATGAACTACGATGAACTTCCATACCTTGCCTCTTTCGGTCAAGAGTATAGTCGGTACATGGGACAATATTTCCCTCCACCGGGCCCGCAAGGGCCTCCTGGTTCTACTGGGACGGGAGCGGTACCAGGCAGTCATCGTGGTGCGGCTACCGGAGTAGGCAGTGCGGGTAATTATGCGATGCAGAGCCTCAGTTCCCAGCAACAAATGGAACTCATGGCGATTCTGGAGAGTGAGCGGAGTAAAGGCCAGCTGCCGGACGTAAGTGGAATGGTTAGTGATGCGACGACGTTTTATACGGCGCAATTGCCGTAAAGCATCATTTCTACGCCGCTCGACATAAGATCGGACTCGCGGCCTTCAAACGGGGCTAGAAATGGGAGAGGGACACGAAACGCACTGGTACAAAGAAGCAACAGGCACTCATTTTCCGGCCCGTCGGCATTTTACTCCAGGGCCAATTGGCTTACGTCGACCCTGTCCATTAACCGAGCACAAGATCTCAAGCCAGGAGGAATGGTCCAAACTCGTCCCTTTCTTCCTCTGAACACTATTATTCGATACCAAGGATCTACCGGATAACTCCAGGAGATTGGTACCGAAGGGCCCCCATTGTTATTCCAGCTAACCATCGTCTATCTTGGCATTCGGCAACTTTTGCTCCTAAGAACATGAATTGAAACCCAGGCTCCAAGGCAGACACACTCACCCCATTTGACATCCACACTCACATCCCTAGAGAGCAGATTCGACGTTTAAACGCGATGCGCCTTACGTCTTGCCTGCCAAGAGCCTAATTTAAGGTTTTCGGGGCATTGCATTGAAACGGCCATACCTTCTCCTCTCGCCGGGGTTGGGAACCAGGCTCACCATCACGATCTCGATGGCGCCTGGTTCGAAGCCAAGTCGAGAGCCTAAGTCTTCGGCCAGCAATCAGGCGGCCGGGAGAATATCTATATCGGGGGCACACTATCATGTAAGGCAACGCCAAGCAGTGCGTGGCGTCCATCAAGCACGACATGGAATATGTATAGAAGCGGTGGAAGGCGCATATATTTAGCATTCTTGATGTAGGGGACAACAGTACAGGCGCAAGGGAAATGGTGGCGGCTTGATGCCTCAAGGGAGGGTGGGAAAGGAAAAAGGAAACGGAAAGGCCAGCCGACAGTCGCACTTTTGCGAGCCTTACACTTCAGACCGTGAGCCTTGGGTCTGCGACCTCTGAGCCTTTGGAGTGAGGCCCGAATCGTGTATGATGCAATGTCCGGTAACATTTGCAATGTTGGAGGCCTATACGAGGTAATGGGAATCGATATCCAATGCAATGCAATGCCATGTGAAGGGAAAGAAAGTTGAATGAGGAACATGCTGCAGACGGTCAACCAAATATTGCGCACGCAGTGGCCTGCATGCATAGATCGGGAGCCACGCAACAAAAGTCCAACAGGGATCGCGCACACCAATGCACGCACGCAGTTCCCAGCACTGTTCCTTATGGATCCTTTGAAAGCGCCCGAGGAATTGCGTAATCGGCTTTTAGTAGGCGCGAGGTGGATACACCATACGCACACAGTAATCAGGCGATGTGTTGCTTGATTATGGTACATATCCGTTGCACGGAGGAGGGAGTTCTTGTCACAAAAAGCCCCCCAACGCAAGCGAACGAGCACCTGGGTCCTCTGCGCGCCCAATAGCAATCGCGGAGGGAAGTTCCTCTTTCTGGAACAATGTCCGGCTTCCCGGAATCATACTGGTAGTCTCCCTGCCAGCCAGACAGGGTCCGCCGAAACCTTCAAAGATTCCACGCACGAAAAGCAGACCCGAGGTACCAGTTCACCGGGGGCCCTTCTCGGTACATACCCAGTAGAGATAATGGCGTTGTCGGAGAGTTAATTAGTGGTCTGGTTCGCGAACCGTTTCTGCAGGGCGGGATCAGGCTGCGTGTACCCGGTATATATCCTGCAAGGAGTGAGTTGGGTTTTGGGGCCTGAAAGTTCCCTTTCGGCGGGTTTTGAGATGGATGGTCCAATCTTTTTTCACGGCTGCATTGATGTCGGAAAATTGGCGTCAAATGATGCGGCGCCATTGGTGCCGTGGACTTGCATTTTCACGGCCATTCCGGGCCGTTGAGTCGATAACACGAAGTGGATGAATTGGTCAGACGGGCAGCACAGCCACCTTGTTCTGCTTGGTGGCCTTGACACGAGTGGACAAGCCACACAAGAGCCTTTTCGCTTGTTCTTGCATCTGGCTGCGGTTTCCCCATTGATCCGAGCGTCTCGCCAGCAATGAGTGAGGCGTGTTTTTCTCGCATGTCTTTTGCTCGCCTCGGTTGAGGTGAAATGATGTGGAGGGTGCTCCGTACTTACAGAGAGTACCCAGTACCTCGTACTGGGTATCTCATTGCCCATTCGTGAGTCGGCGGAAGGCTTCAGCCACAGAAGAAGCGGGTGTGGCGCCGTGTCTGCGATTGGCCTGCACCGCTGAGCTTATCCTCGATCGTCGGCTTGGCGCACAGGGGGTTGATTTTGACTTTTGGACCTCGGCACTCCGTCAAGTTGTGGAGCCCATGTCTGCCACAGCGTCCAGTCGCGATGCCCGAAGCCTCACGGCCCTTGAGGCTATGCAATACGGGGCCTATTGCCAGGCCTTTTGTCGGTTTCCACAGGAAATGACGATGGCGCCACACTTGCGATTTGTTCAGAGGCCCAGGAGGCCCAGAGCCGCATAATCCCACGACTTTTATCCCCAGCACATCCTAAATCGGGCCAGGAAGCCACACCAGTGGCTTGGACGTGCTAGATCGGTGTTGGTGACATGGGCATGATGCTGGCCTGGCATCAAGTCTACATCTACGGGTTGCCCCCAGGCTCGAGTCAATATCAACTCACCTTGCTCCGCAAAGAAATGGTTCGTTTCCTTCAACATCCTGCGTTGCACAGATCCAGCCGCCGGCCACTTTCATTCAACCTCCCAGACATGCACCCACTCCCCTTCTTCTCTTCACAGTCTCTCGTTCCGCCGCGTTGAAATTCCTTGCCTTTGGTGTGTCAATTCGTTCCAGGCCGCTGGTCGGGTTTCCTTGTCGTCCTTCCTGGCAGTGCGATTCTCCCCTTGGCGCGCTGACTGATTGGTTGTAATCTCGTGCCACTGGTGATATAATGGACCAATTCAGGTTTCCTTCCTCGACGCCCCATGCAGACCATCAGTCGCTGTCTCCGCCTGTCGGGCGGGTGATCCACAGTTCAGCTTCGGAGCTAGAAACCCGATATCCTAGCCAACTAGGACTTCATCCGCATGGTTCAATCGCCACCCCGATGGATCCAGCACATGCATTCCGGCAAGCAATCTGGTCACAGCACCTCGAACACACCCCGGTCAGTTTTTCGAATGACAATTCGCAAACGTCCCTCTCACATCACCAAACGTCAAACGCTCTCATGGCCGCAATTCTGAGTCGACCCGACATCGGAGCCTTTCGAGACACAGTATGCAGCTACCTCCGCCTGACGTTCGGACTGTGGGCTGAGTTGTACAAACCTCGAGAGCACTCAACTGCTCACCACCTCCTGACCCGCTACCTCTCCCAGAAGTACGGCAGACTGCCTCCTGACTTGTGGCGCCTGATCAACGAATTAAAAGACCAGCATGATTTCGAGCATTCACGCCATGACTATATCGATATCATCTCCTCGATTCCGACGCCGCAAAATCAATTTCCGAACCACTTGGGGCCCTCTCCGTACGAAGGCCGAGCATTCAGCGGTCCTTGTAGTTGCCCGGTTCCTTGTCCGCCTGAGGAGAGCAGTCCCCTCGTGGACCAAGTCTCCAGTCCAGTTCCTGGCCAAGTCGGTCAAACAAGATGCACAACACCTGTTTTTACGGCGAATGGCAGGAGGAAATTCCAAAGTTCTTCCAATACGAGGAACAGAGGAAGAGCACCGAAAGGGGAGAGGTACAAATGCCCTTATACGAATTGCAGGCATGACGCTTTTAGGAATGCTGGGAACTTCAGCAACCATATGCGCAATTGTCATGCGGAATCTGAGTATCGCAACCGGCATCCAGCAGATTTTCTGGTACCAGACTCGTCCCCCCAGCTGAGCAATCAGGGCGACACCACGTCTTCCGTGGTTACAAATGCGAGCGACTCACCTTTGACTCGGCGACGATTGTCCGAGGAGTCCGGCACCAATGAAGACGGGGCGGCGACCGCTGACGACGAGGATGTGAGAGATATCGGCGACATCGTTTTCCCTGCTGAACAAGATGAATTCCAAGCCAGCATGGGCAAGGGGATGTTCAGTGAAGGCACCCCAGGAGCGCCTGCAACCAGCGGGCTAGCGTGCGGTTCTCTTTTGGAGGCCTTCAGATTTGTTCCACCTAACTATCAAGCACAGCATAATGTCATGTCACAAGGCGGACTCAATGACATGCCTCGATTTTCTCCCAGAGATGATGTAGGGTTTGGCCAACTTCAAATCATGAATGAACAGGGGTGGAACACACGAAGAAGAGGTTAGCTTGGACGGACAGCAGAGCATTCAGAAAAAGGGGAATGCTTGCCACGAGGCTGTAGGCAATAGCTCGAGATGTGCATGCTGCAAGTGAAAGGTACCAGCCTAGACGTAGGCCGTTTTTGCCGACGTTCCTCCACTTAATTGAATTGATCCTTTACAAAGCTCGCATTGCTGGCATGGGGCCAAAACACACGAGGTCGGCAGGGACCTATAGCACTTACAGGCGCTGAAGAATTTCCATGTTAATGAGTGATTGTATCGCCATGACGATATCACAAGAGGCTGGTTTGGCAACAAATGTTTTTAAACTGGCAGGTGGATCTTGCCAGGGAATTTCAAATCACCGAGTGCCTGGGGGCGGAGTCTGGGTTGCCGCTGGGCCGGCATGATGTGGTCGAACATCTCGGGATGGCGGGAACGTACCCCGTATGCAAAAGAAGTCGACCCTTTCTTGAAGGGTCGACTCGTGGAGGCGAGATGCAGTTCCTTGTCTGGTGCCGGCATCAGTCCGCCGAATGGCCCTTGCCGACAGAGATGGATTATGACCAGAGGGCATGGAACTTTGCTCGAAGTCGCCTGAGGTGGCAGTGGGAAAACTCGTTGATGGAAGGCAAACGGATGATGCCATCAAAAAATTCCTCCTCTTCGATTTGATGATATAGAGGAGAGACGAAACCTGAAACACACCTGTTGGAGCTAGTCTCTGAAGGAGCTCACCTTGTGACCGCGCCTCCGAAGTCTAAGAATAATCTAGGGACGAGGAGAAATAATGATGTCGGAGGACAGGTGCCTTCAGCTGGGAAGGGTGGGAAACTTATTCGGATCTCCATTATAAGCGAAATTGGACCAAGCGAGTCAGGAAGCGTGGCAGTCCGTGATTGGAATCGCGGATGTGAGCGGGATTTGAGGTCGCGGCCCAGAGCAAAAAGCAGCTGGAAGTTCTCACCCTCGGTGCCCTTTTAAACTGCAGGGATGGGTGACGAGCTCCTGAAACGAGCAATCGCCTTTCGCTGCGGGTGGCAGACTTGCATATGGAGCTGCTGCGCAACAGTTGCGCTGCAGCAGTCGAGCAGCTGAACGGCACGGTTCGCCAGTCCCTGGAGCTCGAATGCAGGTCCCCAAGCACCACGAAGGCCTGTTGAGTCCTGGTGGTGTTGACGCCGAATGCGTTTGCGACACTGATCATGCAGCAACCCTTGCCGAGCTGCACAGGTCTTGTGCCGGCGCGTCGAAGGTGCCTCGACTGCAGCCCGGACCAGAGAATTGGAACTGGCATTTGTGAGGTGGGCCTTGCTAGCACGAGCGCGATGACTATGAATCCGGTCCTCATGAGTCGCCGCCTACACCACGATTCCATACTTGCAGATTGCGAGCCTCAACTGCACCGTGTATGGTTTGGTTATCTCGGTCGCAGTGGCAACTCGTAGCTGTGCTGGTACTGGTGCTACTGAGAAGGGGCGCATATTGGGGGCATCTTTCCAAAAGGAGCCTTCGCTGGGTTAAATGTCAATACCCTCTTTGCAAACCGGGGTGGCGATGACATAGCACTGATGTCCTTGCCACAACGGCAAACAGGTTGGCAGACGCCATTTTGTAGGTAAGGTACGGTGGAGGTACGGAATAGGTACGGAGCATTCGAGGGGCTCCATCCAGTGCATCCGCCTTGCAGCGCCAGGCACCAGTTGCAGGTTGCGTGTGGTACACCGGGTTCCGTGCGAATAGCAGTATCTAGGGGGGTGTGTGTGTATGTGTTTCGCTGACCGTTGGATGTACCTACGGGGTACGGGGGGTTCATGCCCACCTCTGCCTCTGTGCAACAGAAGCAGAGCACCTAAAACAAAGGCCCACCTGAAGCACCAAGAACATTACCTACCTAGGCGGGAATCGGTGGGATAGAGGTTGCGATGGAGAGTGATCGGCCGTGTTGTGCGGGAGGACGGACTCGCATCAAAACTCTCGAATCGCGAGGACGATGCATAATAGGGTCGCTCAGCGGCTTCTGCTTGGGCAACGAGGGATGAGGCGAAGGCGCACGATGATTGTAACAAGTAGTGAATACTGGTCATGGCGGATGGCGGATGGCAGATGGAGGTGTACGAAGGTAGACCGCAGCTTGCAGGGGATACCTGGCCTCTCTGGTCTTGGCGGGAACCACGAATCAACAGCCAGACACGCCGTCACCGCCCCCAATTGGATCCCTTAGAGCCCACCCAGAGCCCCCTGGCCATGACTGGGAGGCGCACCAGCCCCAGGTTGGGCGCGGTCGCTTGACGTTTTGCCATGGGCACACCCATGTCGAGGGTGGGAGGTGCAGGGGGCACTCTTTAGGCTTTGCCAGCCCCGAGCCAGCCTCGACAGTCTTTACCAAAGCGAGCCGAAACAATGAGACTTTGAATTCTCACCTTGACCTGTTCCTTTCCTCTTCTTCTTTCGATGCTCGCACCACAACGCTCTTCTGCGCAGTCCACACTCATTGATGATGATGCCCGTATCTGCCTTGTCTACTTGGTTTCGCCCGCCCTATGCCATATACAATGCATGTCTCCCCTTCTCGCCGCTGCCTGGCACTGGCCGTCTTTCCGTACCTGCGTTCTCACCCATATATCACTGCGTTGCGAACCCGTGCCTCTCTGCCCGCCCTCTGCTCCAGCTCGTTGTTCACCCCAGAGCCCAATCAATCTTCCCATTCCTAGCAGTCTTTAATCTTTGTTGGTAATATCCATATTCGGTTGCCCTTGCTGCTGCCTTACCCTAGCTACGACTTGGGATCGAAGGCGTTCCCTCACGGGGACAACCTTGGGCTAGGGAGGCGGTCTTTGGCAGCCCGCTTCTCATTGCGCTCCCTGCACCACAACAGGTCGATTTCGGACCGCGGGCGATTGCGCCGTACCTCCTCGTCCTACCTATTGAGCCCGCTCGGTCGCCCTGTGCCCTCTCATTGCCTGGGACCAACCATCATGGAAAACAATCCTCACGCCAATCGGCCCCGGCAGCTGCAGGCCACCCATATCTCCTCTTCCCCAAGGCCTCCCCAACACCTCGCTAACTGACCTCATCTCGTCCAAAATTGACAAGCTGACCGGCCATCCGGATTTCGTCCTCTTTTCACCAATCATCCGTACCATACTCGAAGCGAGTGACAACGAGTGGCGGACGCTGAGCGATATACGTCGGGAGCTGTCACGGTCTGCCCTGTTCCGAAACCACTATGCGAATGTATTCGACACCCCTCCGCAAGAAATTTTCGAATTCATTGTGCAGATTAGGACGGATAAGAGCTGGAACACCAGGAGGCAGGACGTCCTCATGCAAGTCAATAAGCGGCGCCTCTCAGGATCTTCTTGGACGAGTTCTCAAGGATCTGGTCACGCTACAAGTATCCCAACTACCTTCACCAGACCTAGGGAGGGACCATTGCACTCTCCTTCTCACCTCCGGCAGGGCCATTCGGGATTTGTATCACAACATCCCGGTCGTGGTGCACGCTCACGTTGCACTGGAGGCAGCCCGACCTCTACCGAAGGCCATTCTTCTGCAGTGAACGATGGTCGGACCGCACCGCCCGGCTATCGTTTCTACTGTCTGTCGCAGAATTGCACGAAAAGCTATTCTCGACAAGGACATTATGAGAACCACATGCATCGATGTCATGCCGAGATTGCTCGGCACGATCCTATCATGGCCCTTGACAAGATATCAAGCCGAGGATACCCGAGTGCGGTCGACCTTGGAGGACACGTTAGACCAATAAAGGCGAGGGGAGGTGCACCGCCGACAACTCCTCAGCCAGCGCTTTCGACATCGATGCTGCATACGTCGATTCCACCATCTCCAATACCGGAGATCGTCCCTCCGCCTGCTCCAACCTCACACACTGTCCATTCGCTCACAATTGAATCCGGTACCGGTCCGCAAATCAGGCTTCCCCAGAAACGGCCTCTCGAAACAGACATGTCGCCGTCTGCATTTCAATATGATGTTGACACATCCTCCCACAGCCCCAGCTGGTATTTCCTTGATGGTGTACAGCCATTTTTTGGAACACTGCTCAGCCAGACAATTTCAAACTCCGGCCAGTCTTTTTTCCCCACTGGCTCTCACATGGGCAGTTGACAACCTATCGACCACGCGAGCGAGGCCATCAAGGTAGTCGCAATACCGGCTACGCTCACAATCGGTTCAATCTGCTACCCTTCAGCTCGATGATACATGTTCTACCTTGTCCGGATCTTGTTCCAAGAACCTAGATAATCCTCCCATGGATCGCCGGTGGGTCTGCTGTGGATTTCTAGACAATGCGTGCATATCAGCACCCTTACAAAGCTACCCCGTTACCAGCACGGGAGACACTTTCGTTATGCTTGCATGGCTTCAGGAGAATGCAGGAGGTCATGAGAAGACGAGCCATGAGATGACCAATTCTTAGATTGAGGATACAGCATCTGGTTCCGACCGGTCGATTTCTTACCTTTTATCGGGATCATGTGTTCGGCATCATGTGTTTTTGAGCTCCCAGCTACGGGGCATTGGGCAAGAGCCAGGTTCACAGGATATCACGAGATACGGATTTACGGTTTCTTTATCGATCTACCAGAAGATCGGAGCTATGTCTTATTATTCCCCCTGATGCTTCCACCACAGCTTTTGGCTAATGAGGCTTACTCCTCCGCCTGGGACCGAAAATGTCCAACTAAAAGTTTGGCGCATTTTGTTTTTGCTTTGTTTGTCCGGAGATATCCCTGTACAATTAGGACCGAGTTTATGCAGTGCTAGGAACTTGTCGACCGCCACCTCGGCGAGCGGCACACAGCACTGCTCGGCGTCGGCGTGTCTGGAGTATGCTAGCTGTAATGCAGCTAGTTAAGCCTCGGTAAGTCGAGATGAGGGGGGGGGGTCATTTGTTGTATATGTGAATGTCTTTACCGAACTAGTTCCCAACTTCCCCCCATGGGCTGCCCACTGTTCCATACTCCGTGCATAGTAATCATGAATTGGTTCGGCGTGTGAGATATACCAGGCTCGCCTCCAACCTCCGTTTCTACTCAAAGTTGTCAAATCTCTCATCTTCGTATCTAGAGACACCAAGACGCCCACCATGTCCTTCCAACAGAACGCGTATGTGCTCGGCGTGGGTCTCACGCAATTTATAAAGCCCCGAGGGCTACGCGCCTATCCTGAGTAGGTTTCATGCAAACGGCTTGGTCCAAGGGAAGAAGAAATTTTAAAAGCCTCTGCTATCTAACGAATAGCTTTCCCCATTACTGACCAAAGGCTAGGTTAGGCTTTGAAGCTGGCACCAAAGCTCTGCTCGATGCCCACATCACATACGACGATGTGCAGACCGGAGTGGCGTGCTACTGCTATGGCGACACCACTTCTGGCCAGCGCATCTTCTATCAGTTCGGCATGACCAATATCCCCATATACAACACTAACAATGCCTGTGCAACGGGATCTACAGGCCTGCAACTCGCGCGGACGCTGGTCCGAGGTGGCATCGTGGACGTCGTACTGGTGATTGGGTTTGAGACCATGAAACCCGGACCCATTAAGGGTATCTGGGATGATAGACCGAGTCCCATGGGCCTGGAGACCAGGTTGATGGAGGAGACGAGGGGAAAGCATGATACTCCGAAAAATGCGCAGTTCTTCGCCAATGCTGGAAGAGAGTACATGGAGAAGTGAGTCCCAACCCGTCGGCCTCTTCGTTGGTGGCCGAAACCAATTTCAGCAATGGCCACTTTTTCCTCTCTCACACAAGGCCACAAAGCCGACACCCACTTTCCCCTTCATCTGGTTGACTGCTCACTGATATACCGTGACTGCCACTCAGATACGGGGCCTCAGCCCGCGACTTCGCCGAAATCGCCCGCATCTCGCACGAGCACTCTTCGCGGAATCCCTATGCCCAATTCAACACCGTCTACACCCTCGAAGAGATCGAAAAGTCGCCCATGATCCACTATCCACTGACGAAACTCCAATGCTCGCCCACGTCGGACGGCGCCGGGGCAGCCGTTATCGTTTCTCAGCGCTTCCTCGACTCGCGACCTGAACTCAAGTCTCACGCCATCCTAATGGCCGGACAAGCACTTATGACGGATTCTCCCGCCCTGTTCTCGCGCTCAGCAATTGACCTCGTGGGCTACGACATGACTAAACGCGCAGCCAAAGCTGCGCTGGAGGAAGCAGGCGTGTCCGCCCGAGACATCAAAGTGTGCGAATTGCACGACTGCTTCTCCGCCAACGAACTGATTCTGCTGGAGGGCCTGGGGCTCTGTGATCAAGGAAAGGCGCATCTTATGGTGAGGAATGGGGATATCACGTACGGCGGCAAAGGGCCGATTATAAATCCTTCTGGAGGACTGATTTCAAAGGGCCATCCGCTAGGTAAGCTACATCCCACGCCCTTCTTCGTCCCCACCCCCCCCCCCGGGATAGATGGGCTCACACAATTCAACCAGGAGCGACCGGCCTCGCCCAATGTGCCGAGCTCGCGTGGCAGTTGCGCGGCTGGGCGAACAACGGCCGTCTAGTCAAGGACATCGACGTCGCCTTGCAGCACAACCTGGGCCTCGGCGGCGCCGTGGTGGTCACCGTGTACAAGCGCGCCGACAGGCGGAAGAACACGGACGTCAAGGAGAGCGATGCCCAGATCGCCCAGATGAGCGGCCTCGGCTATAATCCCGCCGTCGAGGCCAGAGGGGTCAGCTTGGGCGACTTCGAGAAGGTCAGGAGCAAGAAGGCAAAATGTGAATATGCTCTGGGCGAGACGGCCGAGAAGTTGCAGGCTAGATTGTGATCTCGGAAAGGAGAGGCTGCAGTGTCTTGTTTGTCTTTCCCTCACCCCCATGTCCCGTGTACTCTAGGACGTCCTGCCGTTCTGATTGCCACCACAAAGCAGAGGAAATTGTCACAAACATAGTTTTACTTTATTGGTTCTCCTCTTGAAAAGCTTGAGCAGATCCGGAGTGGCTGATGCACACGTCGAGTCAAGGAGTTCCGTCAACAGCAATCGGGCACGGGAAGACTGTTGCCTGAAGACTTTCCCATTCCTGGCCTTGTCTGGGCGATAAAACGAGATGGAAGCATGGCCTTGATGCTGCGAGAATTTCCAGACCGCATCTTCGTCAGATTTTCGTTTAGCTTACAAAACCCAAGTTCACATTACTACTGACTAGCAGGAGGTACACGAAGCTTTGGGGCAGCTGATCTTGACATTCTTTCAGCTCCACTACGGATCATGCTCGGCTCTTCCAGCCCGTGATGATCCCTACTCCTCATCGTCATCACTTATCGCAAGTTCTCATTTCTCTTCACGGCCAAAAAGGTCAAACTCCAGAGTTGTCGAATGTCGCTTTCCGTTCCGGCACCAACTCCCGGCGGAGGTGGCAACACACCCAGCGGCGTCGTGACGAAGCTGCCCGTACTGTTGTTGAACGTCCAGCTCCACACTTCGCCCTGTAGCTGCGCAGAGTTGGCTTCAATGCTGTCCCAGAGCATATTGTATGCGCGGATGACGTTGTTGTACACCGAGGATATGCTGCACCAGGCTGGCGCAGTTGAGGTCGAATTCGTGGAGGTGCTGGTATTGCACCTCGCAAGCTGTCTTTCTAGACCCTTCGCCATCATGGAGAGTTGAAATGACCATATGACGCACCCGTGGTAAGCAGCGTTGGTGAAGTTTGCAATTAGTACGTCTGAGCCTGAAAGTGCTGGGTTCGCCACAATCATGCTCTTTGGTGTCATCAGCCCTGCCGGAAACGGTCGGATCAAACTGTTTGCTGTGGCGTTGATGAACCGCGTTTCCTGCGCTTCGGCTTCGGGGGTGGAAGACGAAGAGTTCACGAAGAACACGCGGAAGCTGCTGTCGCTGTGCTGCACGTTTACCGACGACAAGTTGTCGTAGCCATTCAAGGCGATCGAATAGGTCGTGACGTTGCCTGAGGATGGTAGCGACGAGGCGTTGGTCGGTCCGTTGTAGAATGTAGCTGAATCCACGAACTGACCGAGGCGAGAACGGGCGATCGACGCCGTGATGTTTGTCTCGAAGAACTGGAGTGTGTTTTCTTCCCAAATTTGTGCCCGCGAGTCGGCCAATGTGCGCCATGAGGTGGTATTGACACTTGTATTGTTTGGGAAGACACCTGGTGTACGCGCTAATCGACCTATGGCTCGCAGGGCTGCAGGTACCAGAGCCGTGTTGACGTCAAAGGGAATCCGACCTCCTCCAAGTCCATAGGTAGAATCCCGCCATTGTCCGACAATCTGGTCAGACTTGAGGTGGACAAGATTGGCCGAGGTCTGGTTCTGGGCGAATGCAGCAGTGACATTCATGATTTTCTCTGCATTAATGAGCGCCAAGTCCCGATATGTCAGGTTGCGATTCTGTACATCGATCGAGCCAGCCTTCCGGCTCAAGAGAGGACTGATGCGAGAAGGGCTGCTGTTAAAGTATTGTGCCATGAGGACCGGGAGGTAATAGTCTGTATCGATCATAGGGTAGGTAAAACCTGGTGCAGTGCTTGTGATGTTGTCCTGCAAGTTCAGGTAGGTTGCATAATCACCTATGGTCTCTTCGTGACACACGGATCCGTCGCTCCGATTGAGACGTTCAAGAACCGCCCCAATCACGGCTTCTGTCGCCGAACCATTACCTTGGCTCAACACCGGTTCCAGAAGCAATGCACTGATCATGCTATCACGGCCGAAGTAGGTGAGAAACCTCCACGCTCCTGCGAGCAATTTCTCAGTGTAGGAGAGAAACGAAAGTGATGTGGTTTGATCCGGCTGTTGGGTGATCAGACTTTGCGATGCGGCGTTCAGGACTCGGCTTTGTGGAAGCTGCGTTAGTTGTGGATAATTGAAGCTCGCGGAGAACAGATAGAATCCTGCCCCAAAGCTGATGGTCTTGCTCCGCTGGTTGATTGTGATATTGGAGCTTAGGTTTTCGTATGGTACCATGGTGAAAGTGGTAGTGGTGACATTGTCTAGCCAGAGTCGCGAGAATGTCACCCCAGTGCCATTCGACTTTGTGACTTTGATGGCATCCTGAATGACCGGACGAAGAAGACTCGGGCCTTCTGTGAAGTCTCGAATGGTCCTTATACTGCCCAAAATTGAAATAGTCAAGGTGGCGGAGGTGTTGAACGAGATGACTCCCTGGACACCAACAAATGGAACTGCCGAGCCCTGAGACGTTCTGTAGACCGGACCCAATGGGGATCCAACAGTGGAATTGACGAGCTCTATGGCCAGCGATCCATTGGGGCCATTCTGAGGCTGGAAGAAGGTGCAAATTCCGCTGTTGCCAGCGGGCCAAGCAATGATCAGTCTAGGACCGATTATAGTCAGGTTCGAGTCTGAGAGTGGACTGGTGACCACCGCTTGCGAATCACTGTGACAGTCCGAGTAGAAGTAGTTGTCATACGGTGGATCAGTCAAATGCTGGGTCACAGCTGGGCACGAATTTTGGGCCCAGCAAGACTGAAGCCAGAGTGCGAGGAAGAGCACAGGAAATGCCAACATGGTGAGTAACGTCTGCGGTGTGTTTACCTTACCCCATACGAAGCGAATACCATGCATCTAGGAGAAAAGGGAAATGCGTCGAAGAGAGAAAGACGACAGGCTTTTATTAGAAAGTCATTCGCCAGCGGCGACCTCAGTGACCCCGAAACACGAGCTGCTAAAGGTCTCTGGAAAGCGATCGACAATGACATCAATGGGGGAAGCTCGCGAAGAAATGAATGCGGAGATGCTGATCATGTCGCGCAAAAGGCATGGCCAAGCGAAAGAATCAGGGAAATAGCCGAGAACTTGACACGTTTTTGGACTGGGCAAAGCGGAGAGAGCAGAGTGAGGGCCTACCTATCCAGTAATTTTCGAGCGGCCAGCTGCGGACGCTGAACGCGAAGAGGAGATCCGCAGGAGAAGAACGAGGCAAAATGAAGGCCATGGGAGGTGGTGCTTTGACGGCCAATCAGGACGCAACAGTCAATTGGGGCTCATTTACTCCGCCGTTACGGTACCGCACTATCAACTCAGGTGCAGTCTGCTATGTCCAGGGATATATCGACACTCCGAGGTTGCCATCACCGTTAGGAACCTCGGGCATCCGCATCCTGAAGCTGCTGTTGCCAATTGGACGGATACCTCTGGAAATGCTCCCTGCAACCTCCACGAAGTGCGCGCCGCTCTGAACGCCCTGGGTCATGGACGAGGTACAGCCGCCTTTTAAACGAACGCGTCAGGCTTGCGAGCCATGCCGGTAAGCTCAGTTGAGCTCGCTCCTCGATGCCAATCGTATCAAGCTCATCCATGCTCCAAGGCGCAAAAAGTCAAGATGTACAGGCGAGAGGCCGGTCTGCTCTCATTGCGCACGTCTTGGAAAGCCTTGTACCTACGCCACTGGGGCTGATCGACGCATAACGGCCTCGCAAGGTTTGGATCTGAGAAACAGGGTATCGCCAGGAAATACCGCCCTTCTTCTGCCTCAAGTTGGCCAAGACACGGTAATAAGTGCTCCCCCCCAGCAAGATGCGGGTTGAAGTACCATTGAAAAGGGCATGCGTTGACCCGGGGCTGTAGGCCGACAGATTGGGCGCCCTCGAAGCACAAGTGGCCGAAATGCGAAAGCTCTTGGAGTATGTTGCTTGCAACTTTGAATCCCACGCCATGCACGCTAAGACTGACTGATGAGGAGGCGTCAACCTACTTCAGTGACGCAGCCAGTTCCATCGACATTGTCCCAGACTGCTGCATCGCATACTGATCTCGACACGCGAATCGCGGATACATCTCCCAGCGACAGGTACGCTATTCTGACCCCCATCACACGCTGCTCCAGCTTATACTAATCTGGATCATATGCAGACTTCCGCCTTGGGGGGTGGTCGGCTATTTCGTCCAGCTATATCTCAAATATTGCAACTGCCAGCCACTTCCTCTGTTCTCCTCTGAGGACCTGACAACCACTTTTAGCTCTCGAGACCCCGAATTAATACTAGCGATGCTGGCCCTGGCGTCGCGCTTTGACCCAGATAACTCCGCCGTCAGTCAGGCAGATCTATCACGCACGTTCGAAAGTCGCGCAACTCCGGCAAGAGACATGATCATGCGTCGAGTTACCCATGGTCCTGTTGAGCTTTCCACGATCCAAGCATTATGCCTCCTCAGCGTAGCAGAATTCAATCGTAAGTGTACTAAGACACTACCTGTCGCTGCGGTCGCTGATGGCCCCAGACGGAAATACGCCTCGGGCTAGCACCTACATTTCGCTGGCAATTGATCTCGTTTCATCTTCAGGACTGTCTTCAGAGCATCGAAGACCGAACTGTGACTATATTGACGACGAGCGACGACGATGCTATTGGAGCGTAGTACTTTTGCGAAATCTCTACGGAGTATCGCCCAGCACATTTTCGTTTGTTCAGGATGAAAGGACACCCAGGCTTCCCCAAAGACCACAACCTCCTTTAGGGATTAGCTGTCAAATAACCGATGCAGCCCTGGAGCAGCCGGATGGTCCGAGTTCCTCTAACGAACCATCTGATCACGGAATTTTCGCGTATGTCGTCCAGCTGAGTCAAGTCTGGCAGAGAGCTGCCAGGTTTGCAAACAGGCGTGGAAACGTCGGTAGCCTTCCTGCCTGGTCTCCACAATCCGAGTATTCCCAGATCACTGCTGAACTCATGGAAGTCGAGACACGATTGCCGTACAAGTATCGCTTTCGGCCTTCACGATTTCTGAATCAAGATCACCATGAGCTCGAGCAGCACCGTGACTTCTGGGCCTCCTGGATTTTGCTCCAGATTCTTTACCACACTATCCTCTGTCTGCTTAACCATCCCCTTCTATTGTTTCTCCGCCTTCGGGATTTCAGAGTCACGATGGTACCAGAGGTATTTCTTCAGCACACTGCTGATCTCACGGAAACTCACACAGAATGGGTCATACACATGCTGGACTTGTGCGAGAAGAATGAATTCCGACTATTTGATCCATTCTTGGCGCACTGCGCCGCTATTGCTGCAACAATCTATTTGCAGCAGAGCTTTTCCGATGATAACGAAGTGAGGACGGCGAAGCAGCGCAGTTTCGGAAAGTGTGTCTCATTCATTCGAGATCTGGGCTCATTTTGGCCTTACGTTAATCAACTTGTGGGCATTCCCTGTCTCCCATTATGCTCGCGGCCTGTCGAAATATTCTCTGACTTCTTCAACAGGCCGACAAGATTGAAGACTTTGAAAAGGTCGTGTCGAACTCTTTCCGTGACTCTGCATCTCAAAGACCTCCAAATTCCCGCATCTCCATCGATCTAAGCTTGTTCTGGGAGATTATCGAGGCCTCCTTTGTGAGTGAGCTCCCCCAGGATGCTGACGGTTACTTCGGTGCTTCCCTCACCTCTCATCGTCGATCGTCTTCCTCCGGAGAAGTCCTTCGCAGCCGTCTTTTACCCAAGCCCACTCGTCTCAATCATCATAGTATTGGTTCACGGTTTGAAGACGCCGAGTCCACAAGTGCCCTCCTTTCGAGAGATTCTACTGAAAATTCCGAAGTTCGTACTGCAGACTTTATGAACGAGGAAGTGTCGATTTTGGCACAAAGCTATTTTGCACAGGGACAAGATTTGGCTGGAAGCCTGGATGATTGGTGGCTTTCAGGACAGCCGACCTGACAGCCAACATGCTACCTAACAAGTACAAGCAATTCCAATTATTGTCTGCCAATCACGTGCTCCGTATATCCAGCCGGCAGGGAACCGTCGCAATAGGTTCTCGCTCACCATACCAGATTTGCTTCTCATAATCTGACGCTCACTACCAAGTACAAGTACCTGTACAAGTATATGCCTCATCGATTGCGAACTACCCTTGAGCAAGGTTCTACTATCAGAGGCTCACGGGACCCCCCAACCAATCAAGATGCGGTCAAAATTCTCTCCTGAGCAACCATTTTATCACCCCATCCGTATCCGCCTCCGACGGATGCTGACTCCTTGTTACGAGAATGCTCTAGTCGATGATGATGATGTCTGAATCAGTGAAAAACGTGGTGATGCCTTCCGACATCCTGTCAATGTTCTCCGGATAGACATACAACTCCATCATCTCCTCTACAACCAATGTCAGTGGACTGCTTGATTCGATTCACCAATTCCGAGATGAGAGAAACGCCTGAAGAGTTGATTCAAACATGCGGTATCTCGGCCAAATATGGCTTTCTCCCTGATACCGATCCTTTACAACGCCTACCAGATATTTACTACGATCCTTGGGAGGCACTTGCGGAGAACCTTCCCAAGCTCATAGCGAACGACGCAGTCAGGTCAAAGATTGACCAGCTACCAATCCTTGGCATTAGCCAATTGCACACGGACGCAGAGTGGCGGCGGGCATACGTGGTGTTGGGATTTTTGACTCACGCATATATCTGGGGTGGTGAGCGACCCGCCGAGGTTAGTTTCGAAGTCGTGGCACTGCCTGACATGTAGCTGATGGTCTTTATAGCGACTCCCACCCCAACTCACATGCCCCTTTCTGGCAGTGTCGGAGCATTTAGGACTGCCACCAACCGCGACGTTCTCGACACTCAGTCTTTGGAATTTCGGTTTGCAGACTCCGGGCAGTGATCGAACTAGCCCAGAAAATCTCCGTTCCCTGGTCTCATTCACCAACACGAAAGATGAAGAGTGGTTCTGCATGATATCCACCGCCATCGAAGCGAAGGGCGCCCCTCTTATCCTAACGATACTTCGTTGCATCCAGGCCGTGGATGACCATAATGACAAATTGGTTTTGTCTTGTCTTCAAACTTTGACTAATGGGATTCATGAAATCGAAAATCTTCTGAAACGGATGCATGAAAAAAATGACCCACAGGTTTTCTATCACAATATTCGTCCGTTCTGTGCAGGGACCAAAGGAATGGCGGCGGCTGGCTTGCCCAATGGTGTCTTTTACGATGAGGGCGGGGGTCGAGGCCAATGGAGACAGTATAGCGGCGGGAGCAATGCTCAAAGCTCACTGATCCAGCTCTTCGACATTTTTCTTGCTGTTGATCATTATGCAACGGGAGGCGGTGACATTCGCCGCCCAGTGTCGCAGTATGGAGGTGCTGGTCCCAAAGGGTATTTACACGTGAGTTCTTCGGCATGCCACGCCGTTTTACAGCCAACTGACCCGGAATAGGAAATGAGAAACTACATGCCACGGCCACACCGCAAGTTCCTCGCAAGAGTTGCACGAATGAGGAACCTGCGCGAATATATCTCGCGCACCACAACTTCCACAGAGCTTCAGGCGGCATACAATGGCGCTGTTACCGCCGTGGTTCGGCTCCGAAATAGCCATATCCAGATCGTCGCCAGGTACATTGTCATGCCATCCCGGAGCCCGCCTGCCCAATACATCGTCCAGCGAAAAGGGGCAAACCTGGCTACGGCATGTTCAACGCAACAACATGCTGGGGAAATGGACGAGGATGCATCAGTGACGAGACAATTACACGGCACCGGTGGAACAAGCGTGATGCCCTTCTTGAAGAGGACTCGGGATGAGACCAGGGAAGCGATGATGCGTGTCTCTTGAATGCTACATATAACCAGCGAAGGCTGACATTTGAACCTGGGGTCGCAAGAATGAAATGAAGCGTACCAATGGCCATGAAGACTCAGTGGTGTCTCTTCTCCATGTTTACTCGCACTTGGAGAGGCTCTGGATCATGTGAGTTCTACTTTTATGTACAAGTATAAGTACTTGTTACTTGGTGCTTAGCCCTGACCAACCTGACTTGTACCAAGTAAGCATTCCATCCAACTCCCCCTTTCCCCGTCTGCCACGTGATCACCAAACTCGCTCAGACATCGAGTCCTGAATCCCTATGGAATCCCTGGGCCGGACGGTCGCAATATCCCAGGTCCAGGTCAGCAGACACACCGGCCCCTCCGTACGAGGGTGCCCGGTCCTTGTCCAAACCACATGGAGAACGTCATAGACGTCATTCCAAGGGTTTGGGTTCCCCCTTGGTGCCGCCTCGCCGCCCTGTGTCACGCGATAGCCCATGCAGCGAGACTCGGCTTATTCTCCATCTCCGCCGGCCACGGGCCGTGGAAGCGGAGCAGAAGCAACAAGCACGAGTACGGTGGTAGGCAGGTACGTAAATGGAGATGTGGGTTAGATAAACGTGTGTGCCTAACAAGTACTTCACAATCGAATGGTCAAGCTTTTAAACCGCCCTGATTGTACAAGTACATAGGACTTGTTCCGCTATTTCTGGTTCATCACTCGCAATCATTCGATTCGCCGTCCCCATTGTCCTTTTTGGGTGGTCTCTCCCGTAATGCTCTACTGTAGCCCCATCCACACCAGAGTGAACACAATCGAAGGAAGATTATATGTTGATTAGAACATCTGGATATGTATGACTCTATTTATTGATTGACGCAGAATCCTAACACTCACGAGTCCCTTATACCAAGCTCGTCAGATGAAAAGTCACTCAATCAGTGCGTCGGGGGGGAAAGGGGGGGAAGAAGAGTATGAAGAGGGCGAGGGAAATGGGGTCGACATGTGCTTCGGCAGATCAGAAACTATCACCTTTTTCATACTTGCCCATCATGCTCTGGTTTCCCATTGTGGTCCATCCTCGCACGCCTCACGCTACCTCTCGAACGCAGATGGTGGATGGCGTCTGCAAGCTTGCTGGTCAATGGAGATAGCTTGCTCGACCCACTCACCCCAGATTCATCACCCTGCCTCTTTCTGTACCTGTTCATAGAATGCCGGCTTGGGTTGTCTGAGTGACCTCGCCTGACTAACAGTTTTTCCTCAACTTGCTGGAACCGGAGACTCAGTGACTCGCTCCAATATCCAATCCAGACAGACAAAGCGACGACAAAGACAGTCACAGGCAATGCGGTTGCCCAGAAGATCCACAGGCCCTCCCCAAGGCTGCGGACGTCCTGTGTATTCATGCGGAGGAATCCCGCAACGAAGGACATGGGCAGGAAGATGACGGTGACAAGGGTGAAAACCAGAATAGCCTTCCCATGGTCCTCCTGCTGGATCTCGACGCTCTGAACCAACAGGGAGCGGAGCCGCGGTATACCCTCCAGGATTTGCTCGTACGAGTCGCTATCCTCCCACTGTTCCCGCCGTAATTTGTAAAAAAGAGGCCGTTCAAAGTCTTGAAACAACGCCTGACGTGTTGTCGTCGTCGCTAAAAATCCCTCTGGAGCGAGTTTCTCGTTGTAATTGTTTAGAATCGTCCAGGATTGCTCCATGACACCTTGGACGGCTTCTGTTTCTTCTTCGAGATTCTGTATCTCTTGCAGGAGACGGCGCCGGGGTCGACTATTGATCTCATAAATCTTCAAACATCGAAATGAGAAAGCCATCAACAATATAAGCAGATGAACGTCAATGGGGAGTGGAAGAGGTCTTGGCGGAGACGGGGAGAATACGTACCAAGTGGTCAAGCTGTTTTTGATATAGGCCAACCAGATCCAGTGGTCCCGGACGGTGTCGACTAGTCGTATGGCATCACATTGCAGTTGAAAAGCGTCGATTTGGTTCCCTGCCCTAACCCATTCGTGAATGTCATTCTCCGATGCCGTCGCCGAGGTGAAATGCACCTCCCGCAAGTGCTGAAGCACATTTTCAAGACGCGGGTATGACTGCCGATCCACACACTCAGTGCAATGGTCTACATCGCGATCAGGGTACTTGAGCTCTGGCAGTTGAGAGCTTCGAGGGGCCCAGTCGGCTCTGACAACGTAGTAGATATCGGGAGCTTTGGCAGGATCCGGACGACGCTTGGTGCCAGTGGTGGTATTCGGAGGTGTATCTTTTGCTGAACTGCGGCAATCCTCGAATCCATAAATCAACCCCGTACCAGAACTTCTTAACTACCACAGACGGGTAGTCCTGAGGGAGGAAGAATTCCAATAGTTCAACTAAGGTATCGAAGCACAGTCTCACTTGGGTACAGATGTCGAGATTCGGCTTTGTTTCATCTTTGGCCTTTCCTGATGAACCAGCTCCGCAGAAGCTGGTAACCCTCTTGGCGACTGCGTCCCTTGACGATTCGAAAAGACCTTTATAGATTGGCGCCTCTTTCTCACTAAGCTCACCGAGTCTATGAGCTTGAACTCGATTACCTTGGGTGAGATTCGAATCGATTTGACGAAGTTTAGTACCTGTAAATGAGAAGTGTCACCTATAGTCATTTGATATCTGCCAACATCGTCAAGTGGCGCGCTCCCCACGTCGCTAGTATTGCTTGCTAGATCCCCGGTGACTCTGTTAGTTGAAGGGGCAGATTTACCATGGTGTTGTTGTTTCACAGAATCAATAGGCCAGAGGAAGACAGGTGGCGGCGGATCCTGAGGTTTGTCCGCCTCGTTCCGATGCTTTTTCCAGGCCGGTCTCGGTTCTTTGGTTTGTCTCTCCTCGCCTTGTAAGGGGGGCTGGGAGTTCGAAGGAGATATATGTGCTTCAGGTCCCTCGACTACCTTCCTCGTTGTTCCACTCTTTTCATCCGTGTCCAGAGGACGTTGAGAATCTCCCGCAGGCGTTATCAAGGAGTCGAGAACGTCCTCGGGAAAGTAGAAGATATGGTCAAACTTGCCACCATCACGGCCAGCAGCGTTCATGATGATATTGGGGATACTGCGGATAATGTATTTTGGGTCTTTGCGTCTTTGCGTCTGCCATGTCTCAAAATCGACTTCCTCTTCCCGAATTACATCCTTCTTGATAATGAGAGCTCTGTTGTCTCGGCCTGGCAGAAGATCTGGTGATGGTGATGATGATGGCGATATCCTTCTAAGAGCCCAGTCTTGTTTCTTGCCTGCACTCTAGTCCTGTGAGAGGTTGTACTCAATTGACCAGCCGTTTCGCCGGGGCCTCTGTAAGGAACTAAAGCCAATGAATCGCCGTGATGTGACCTTCGTTGTCCGCTTCTCAAGCTGCTATTTCTGAAAGGGTTGATTGCAGGGTAAGATGGTTGAGTGGTGTCCGTGGTGTCCCTCCGGCTAGCGATTTCCTTCGGCCTCGGCTCGCGCTGCTTTTGAACATTGATGTTTTCATCAGCGGGAGACTCTGTTAACTCGGAAGGCGAGTCTACAATGTCCCCCTGGCTGCCCTCCACCAGGACCGAGTGGACCGTCGTCTGTTCTCTATGGTCTGCACGGTAATCATCAATGTGGTCTGTGACAACGTCATCAGAGTGTCTTGGGGGAAGATGACGCTGGTCGAGCTGGATTACATTGGCAACCTCGCGTTCAAGTTGATCTCGCCTCGCTTTTACTTGTCTTTCCTCATCCAATGTACTTGTCTTGCGTTGAAAGGGTGGTATTCCGTTTTCTTGTGTGACGCCACGTGCACGATCAATTGTATTGATTGATTGCCGGGTTCGTTTCGGTCTTCTTGACCGCGGACGCTCCAAGCTGACCTCACGGCGTCGTACGACAAGCTCATTTCGACCCCTAGGCCAATCGTTGTTAGGTGGCAGGTCCTGGCCACTGCTGGGTGGTGGGGGTGCTTGAGGCGGCGGTGAAGTCGAGTATAGCCAAACCCGCACCGTAGCGCTAAAGTCATTTTGATTACTGATAAACTGCTGCCACTCCGCAGCGGTGATCTCATTCCCGTCTTTGTCACTGAGACGGTACATCTCCGGTGTGGCTCCAAATCTTCGAGTGCAGAGTCCCACAACTTTGTCCATCCTAGCCTAGTCCATCATAAACCGGATGAGTCATTAATGAAAGTAGTATGGGAGTCGGGTATGAACATCAAGAAAGGTCCGCTTACAAACCAGGTCCGACACTGACCTAGGGGAATGAAGAAGGTTCTGTCGGTCGGGTCAAGCAGCCGAATGATCTGCAATTCACCAGTTTCGACCTGATTGGTAACGTCTTCCATCAGAATCAAAGGGCCAAGCATCTCATCAGCGGGATCTGGAGAACTCGTGACCAGGGTTCCTGGCCGATTGTTAAAAAAGACGGAATTGCAACGCCGACGGTGGCAATACCTGAACTGAACAGCAGTGCCCACAGACTGTGCATCGAGATCCCGGTCAAATTTCCCACTGTCTAGATAGGGTGTGGACAGGAAAATGACCCATTTATCGGGCTCTGTTTTCTTGTGCCCATCACATCGATCGACTCTTGCCCGGAGGAACTTTCCCGTAGTATGATCCTGCCCAAGCTCTGCGGCGACTTTGCCTAGTAAGATGGATGCGAGGCTGCGCTCGATCGGATCTAGTGATTCAATCGTCGTCGCAAAGGTCTAGCTTGCAAATTAGCTCTCGGTGGCGTATATATGTTTGCGTTCCGTTGTTCACCTGGAAATGCTGCAGCTTCCGGTGCGTAGTCTGTAGGTGGCTGCGACAGAGGAGGAGTTGTTAGGTCTGCTGGATGTTTTTTTCCACGTGTGGATAGGCTGCAACTTACATCCACTGAAACTGGTCGCTGTTCTTATATCCAGGGTCTGCAGTCTGGGATTGTACGACGCCGATTTCGCTCGCATCTTGGTCGACGTACCTACGGACACTAAGGATGTTTCTTCTTTCGATAGCCTCAATGTGGTAGCGTTGACGCGCATGTGCCAGCTGTTCGAGCCTCTGGCGCGTGGATTGCCTCGCAGGTGTTTGTGGATCAAAGTTTGAATCGCCAGGGAGGTCTTGAAGTTCGATATCAATGACATTGTCGGGTTGTCGATAGTTCACGCCGTATCTCTCGTATAGCAGTTCAGGTTCAAGAGTGCTCGAGCATATAGATTCTGAGTAGGATGTCTGCCTGCGGCGACCGCGGGTTTCAGGACTTCCAGAGCTCCTAATTCTGGAACGGTTCCGGGCACTGGGGTACTCACCATATTCGCTATGTGATGTCCTCCGGGTGACGATGGTACGCGTATCCGGAGGGGGAGGGGACCTAGTGGGAGAGCCATACGCCATTATGTTTTGCTTGTTGCTCTGCCCGACGAAATCCCTTGGTCAAGGCGGATGAAACAATTGACACACTCTCAACCAGCCCATAGGCTAGCCGTACGTGCTGCTGCTGCTGCTTGCTTGCCGATAAAGGACGTCGATGGGTTGATTGTTGGACAAGATGCTCCCAACAACTATGGTCTCCTGGGTGGCGTAAGGCTGTATCGGACACCGGCTGGTGCGTTGCCCGCACTAATATCAAGCACAATAACTGGACGTAGTGGCAAATAGAAAGAGTCCTTTGGTTCCGTACATATGTGAAGCATCTTAAACGGGGCTCGACCTCAAGTTTGTTTGGCCGATTGTTGATGATCATCAGAGCCGTAGCAAGAAGTGAGATGAAGATAAAAGAGTAGAGACGCCGCCTCGCAATGGCAGCTTGCTCCCAATAGCTCTGCGGTTGGGGACCTTACCACCTGTTTTACTTGAGTATTCCGAGGTCCCGAGCATGAGCTTGTGTCGGAGAGTCGAACGCCAACCCATCTCGGGCAAAAGGCTAGCTTGATGGCGTTTTGGAAGTGTGTCTGGTGTTCCCTACCTTTGGCCCCATTTGGTGTAGATGTTCTTTTCAATGCCAATGCAGGTCATCAGATGTAGGATGTACCAAGTCTTCCACGTGTGTGCTCGCGATTGGCGCCGCCATCTGCTTCCTCGTAGGAGACATACTGCAGCTAACTTGTTCTTTTGCAACGACCGGCAGCTTCTTCCGGCTAGCTCAGCTTCAGCCTCATTCCAGCCGGAGTGCGAGATGTGAGTCATGGGTGTTCGTTCAAGTCTTTAGGGACGCCGCAGGCACAGATGGGCATTGGAGGCATGGCTATCGACTTTCATAACGATACAATGTTCGTAGTCGTCGAGGCACGGATGGTGCCAACATGTGATAGATGAGATAGTTTGCAGAAGTGCCGGCCGAGGCTCTGCAGGAGTGACGGGAGAAGGAGAGGGCGCGGTTTAGCTGCTGCGCTTTAGGGGTCGAGGGGTGTACCTAGAGACCTAGCGAGTAGGCAGGTAGCTCGCGAGCTTGGTAGATAAATATGGACAAGGATGGAGTACATATGTAGCGAGGTATTAACTACTGTACGTATTGCTACGTACCGAGACACCTATCGGTGCCTAGCTAGCGAGTAGGTAATCAATGACCTCATTACAGCACAAGCCACTGATCCGAACCTTCAACCTTGGAGCAACGAGCTTCTTCGTGACATCAAACGCCCACCAGCCCACACGCCGGAACCACCGTCAATAGTCTTGGGTTATGGCCCTGTAGATTTCCAACTCGGCTGTCTGCTCCTCTCGCGTGTCTCCTCTTTGCGTTGGCCATACCACCAACAAATCAGAGTTAAAGCAGTCAACGGCATAGTAATGACCCAGTATATCCAGAAACGGTCCGAGATCAACCAGTGTTTCGCTCCCGTCGCATTATCTACGTTGAGTGTGAAAAAGCTCATGCTGAATATCGTCTGCGCGGCCCGTTAGCTACCTGTCGAGGGATGCTCTGAATCTTGGTGACATGGAAAAAGACTCACGCAAACAAATGTGGCCGGCAGGAAAGCAAGGGTAACTACTGCAATCGTCTTCATCGATGCACTATCGCTTCGCGCCGCGCTACTGATGTCGACCGTCATCCTGCTAATCATGACCGTTTCCCGCGTGTCTCGTTGGACCACGAGGTTGAAGCCCTGGTTATCTGTGTTAGATGGGCTCGAAGGAAGCAAACATAAGCCATACCAGATTGATCTCGTTCGACAGTCTCTCATTCAGAGACTTAGCTCGTCGCCCAAAATTCTCCAGAAGTCCGAGCCAAAACGACATCTCATTGTGAGGGCATTGTGGCTGCATCGAAGGCCCAAAGCCGCTTGGACATTGACAGAGCTTATCCGAAGCAGAACGGTAGTCAGCCAACAGCGTGTTGATGGTGTCGACAGCCACTGCCAGCACTTCGCAAGTATGGATGGTGTGTCGAGCGAGGTCGTGCAATTGAGCGAAATCGAGGACCGAATCAACATAATGAGCGGCGGATCGCGTCTTGGGATTCCCAGAGCAACGGTAAGCGAGATTGTCTTCTCAAAGGCACGTTGTGGTCAATACCTTTTCAATATCCCTGATCTGATCCCTCAGAGTCCAAACCGAGACATCGTACAGTCTCGATATTTCTGCAACAATCACACATTGCAGGAATGCCATGGCCTCGTTTGGTGCATCACCCTTTCCCGAGTTCAGTCTCTCGAGAAGTCCGTTCTGAAACACTGTTGGGGTATCGATACAGAAAGCCACCGAAGCCCCGCTGGACAGAGCATATATGAAAAATCCCATCTCATACCAGTCGTAGGCATATATCTGTTGAGCACCATTGACGACGCCTCTCAACTGCTTGATCAGGAACTGGAACCACGAAGCTGGAGAATGATTTGTTAGAGCCGGAGGTATGAAAGAGTCACTTGAGAGCCGTACTGTCCACCGGTGTCTTCTGGTTCTTGTCAAGACCGTGGGCGCTGCCCGCGTAGCCGTTGGCTAGGTGACAGACCTTTGTCCACAGCATCGACGGATATGCCCATTCGGTGCACATAAGCTCCCTCAGGTGCGTGTCATTCTGGAAGACTTCCCATTTTGCGAAGCTGCACCACACTCGTCAGGTCTTTGCTCCAATGCCCAGGGGAAGTGAGTACCTTACACAAATTGGACACCTTGCTCTGGCTGAGTCTGCCAAAAAAAAAAATATTTTAGTTCAAGACCTGTCAACTGATCATTCTATTGCCGACCTACTCTAAGAAATGCACCTGCGTCGACAGAGATCTTCTGAAATTTCCCATTTACTGCAAGTGGTCCTCAAGGTCAGTTCAATAGTGCTCTCAGAGGGGCTTGAATGGTGCCATAGGCCGTCAAACCTTGTCGAAATACCTCGAACGATGCCATCCTCTATATTCGGAATACTCTCCAAGGAGGTTGGCATGACATTGTCTGAAAAGCTCTAGAAAGACAAGGAAAGATAGAAGGTCGACAGGAAGATCAGGCTGAGGTTGCCTTCCCGGCCGCTCTTTATGTATATAACGTGTCCCAGGTCTGGTGGGGGTTGTGAAATGGGGGCGAAATAGTTGCTTGAGGCGCTGACCCAAAACGAGGCTGGTGCTTGAGCCGCCATGCAAGAGTCGGAATCGACCTACCGCTGCACCTCACCGAAGTCGTGCTGGGCAAGGCGGAGGACGCTTCTAACTCGTACCATGCCCTCTGTAATACTCCGTATTATTAATAGTCCGGAACCAGATGCTCTCCAATTGGGTTGCCACAGGACACCGGTATAGACCCAACCAACAATGCATTCACAAGTTCGATTCATTCCTCGTTATATTTATATCGCGACATCGACTGACCTGGTTCGATGAGAGGCGCCATCCAACACACTAAGACTGTCCTGGATATATCTGGTCTCATGAACCATTGCGGCTACTTGCTGCACTCTTTGAAAATCCATGATACGACTTCGGCATGGCTAGTACGGACGGCAATCTGGAGTGGATTATCTTGATTAAGCGGTGACAAATGGGCCACACCCCATCCGCTCAAGGTCTGGTGTATTTGCCATTTTCCCAGGGAGGCGGCTATATGGAGCGGTGTCATGTGAAGGCTATCCAAACATGTGTCTGGGTCGAATTCTTCATGTTGGTAAAGTTGCCTGATCTTTCTGAGGAGATCCAGATCGCAGGAACCTGAGCGCACCACGAGGTGAAGGCGAGTGTGCCCGTTAACGTCTCGAGCTCGTAGGTCATCAACCGACGCGACTTGTCGCAAGAAAATAGGTGTGGCCCTCTCAGCCGGCTTGCTGAAGGATCGTCTCGCCTTTGAAATTCGTGTGACGTCTCTATTTCTCGGTCCAAGAGCAACAGGGCGGTTGCCCCCGAATCCGGTGTAGAGCGCAGACAGATATGGAACGCTCTGTCTCTCCCTCGTCTGAGAGCGTGTTGATATCGGCTCCTTCATCCAATGCTTAAGCTAGCGAAGTTACGGCGTCTTCAGCGGCCCCGAGGACCAACCTCGGATGCAGGGATTTTCGCTATTCAGGAAGCATATCGTGTCTCTTTGGAATTGGTCAGAGCGGCAAGGACCTCTTGGGGAGCGTCCAGGTTTCGCTAGCATCGCGAAGCTCTTTAATATCTGTGAGGACCGACATGCTGAACCCAGAAGAGGCTTTCGGAACAAGGACAATATTTTCCGGCGACCAATCTATCTCCTCCGTGGCCCCCCTGTTTGTGATTGACTTTGGCACAGTCTGATGATCGTTTGGTAGCGACCAGGCAGAGTCGGAAGGACCGCCAGGCTCGGCAATTTCAGATGTTGATTCTGGGACAGAAGGCAGCATACTACAAAGGTAAGCAAACGGCACTTGCTCGTAGACAGGCCCGGTGATCAGTTCGTTTTCGAAAGCGAACCGCCTGGCCGGTTGTGGCTGAGGGCCTGACACATCCGCAATTGAAGTAGCTAAACGAGTGAAGACAGTCGAAGATGGTCTTTTGCGCCTCTCACTTCCCAGCTCTGAGCTCCCCAATCCCAGCTCCTCTTTCTATTATTGTAGCAGAAAAAGGCAATCCGACTGCGCTAGCATACATTTGTATCTATTATCTATCTTGTTCCTCTCGCGAGGTTTGAACGTCATTCAGCAATGTATGAAAGCCGCCATGTGTAGTAATATTTTCTCCAAATGTGGACCCATGCCTCCCCAAACATCAACCCGAAAACCTTGTAACCCCGAACTTGACTTTTCCTTGCCGATTGTCAAAATCAACCGCCCACCGGTAAAGGAGTGAAAACATAGAGAGAAAAAGAAACATAGGCCGCTTCGCTGTGCTGAAGGTGCAAGTCGTCATCATCCGGAACACCGTTTAGTGGATGAGGATAATGTTATGGAAGGAGCGTTAGACTTTCGTCATCATCATCGTAAAGCATGTAGATCGAATGGCCAGCTATGGCTGCTGTTGTTACTAGGGAAGAGGGCCATAGCAGATGTTGGTGACAAGGGGATCGCTCCCTATTTCGCTGATTCTTTTCTGTAAGATATTCCCGTCATGCCCCTTGCCTCTGTAAGTCTCGGTCTTGGTCTCGATAACGCCCGCCATAATAATGGTAGACAAATGGTGCTGTATAACCCGAAAAGAGATATGTACAAGTGTAGCAAGGTGAACTTGTGTATAAGTGATAGGGATCATAGAGGATTTGTACATGTCAGTTGCGGAAGATATCGGAAAGGAGTTTCAGGAGATTGCGTTTGTGTGGGAAGACGGGTAGGCTCCCTATTTCGATGCTCTTGTTGAAATTGTTGAAAGCGCGAGGCGGAGCAACAGACATTGGCCCGACAATCTCGCCATCACCGAGCTTGGGAAATTTGCCACTCTTGTCATCGATGACAGGAACAACTACCCTGGTGAGAGGCTTTTCGAGGACAGAGCTGGACGTGGTAGAGTCTTGCGTCTCCGAATCGCCGTCACTTAGACGGGCGAGAACTGGAGCTAGGGCGGTCCTCATACGATTGTGTTGCCGCTTCCACGTGTCGTCGATTGAAGCCCACTTCTCCTCCGTCAGCTTGTAGACTTTGGAGGTTGACCCGTAGTGTTCAGCGGTTCTCGTTATGTGCTTAGCATAGTGTGTTCGGGCCTGATCCCAGTTGTTGCGGAACTCGGCGTAAGAATCCAAGTCCATGATCTCGGGGGTGTACGGCTCAGGGTATATGGTGTAGTTGGCATGACCCAGACGAACGGCCCAAGGGTCAGAAGGGGCTTCTAACAGCTGCAATGGGGGAATTTCGCCAAAGGGACAATTGTTGACCGTATTTGTGCGGGATCTAGTATGCATAGAAACAATTGACGGTCTCGTCGACAAAGGGGGGGACGGCAGGCATGACAATGGCGCATCAAAGGACGTCCGTGAGCTCACAACAGCGGATTTAGGTGCAATGGCCGGTGATTGGAGAGGAGAATGGACAGGCTCATCTTTCTTGCAGAGCTCGGAGAACATGGGTGGCAACAGAGGTGTGGTAGCTTGCCCTGGCTCAGCTGGATCCTGTTCTGACCTTTTCTGTTCAATGTTGATGGGTCTCACATCCGCTTCTAGGCACGATGACTCGCTCAGCAGCGGCAGACTTGACGAGGGCGGATGGACGGTTTCATGTTTGGAGACGGCACTAAGAGCAGGACTGCAAATGTGTGAAGAGCTTAGGGACCCGGAACGAGAAGCGGAAGAGCTGATGTGGGTGACGATTGACAGCTGAGGTCCAGCGGCCGATCTGTTCTTCCACCGGCGTGATAGTGACCCAAACTTGCTGCTGAAGCGACCTCGCTGGGTTGATGAGGGCTGTTCCACCGATCTGCGTCGCTTCGACTGATAAGGCCCAGGGGTGACGATGGACCCGTCACTGGATGCTGCCAAGATCCAGTCGGGCTGTATCGCGGATATGGGTGAAGGGTGACCATAATCACTCGCGAAAGCCTTGTCATAGTCACTCCAGTCACATGTGCCGTCGTTGACCAACGTGTAACCATCGAACTCGTCTCTTTCCTGAGGCTCCTCGGTGACATCTTCCAACCGCTTGACTGATCCAAACATGTCGAGAGACTCTCGAGGGACGGGCGAGGATGCAGCGGAAGAGTTGGAGCCCCGAGAAGAATGGCCCTTGGAGAACATGGATGTAGTTGGTGAGGAAGTGTCGACCGAAGAGGTGGAAGAGCAAATGGCGGGCGCGGGCGTCTCGAAGGGATATAGAGTGGTATATTCCATGATGGTGAAGTACCGGTAATGGAACAGAACGGTATTATTCTCAGAGCAGGATTGAATAAGTCGAGCGAGTATTTGGAAACAAGAAGGAAAAGAATCCAAGGGACTGAGACTGGTCCGAGTCAGGTCACAGTCGGACAGCTGCGCGCATGATGGGCTTGGGTGAAGGAGGTCTCAAGTGGAATTGGGTAGCGGACGAGGATGTCTTGGTGGTGAGGTAAACACAGACCGGAGACTGGCATTGACTGGCAAAGCTGTGAAAAGCAGGGCAGTCGCAGCATTACCGAGTCCTGGTGGGCGGTAGTAATGGTGGTGGTGAATCTTGGGTGTTAGTCAACGGCGACTGCTTTCAGGCCAGACTCAGATTGACTGGTCGAGGCTGAGGGAAGGACGCTCTGCCTGTTTGCAAATGTCCCATCAGTCGAGTGCCATGTGTACACACAGAACGAGTAGTCGAATGGTGAATAGGGCAGAGAGGGAGTGTTGACAAGTCAAAGTGAAGCAGAGGCGTGAGTGGACAGAGTGAAAAAGTTGTGTGCCCATGGCCTTGGGCTCGTTGGCTGTGGGAGCTGTTGGGTCGAGTCGCAGCAGTGTCGCTTGTAGCCAATCCTTCGCTGCTCGCTTGGGCTAGTAAAGGCGGGCGCAAGGGTGCGACCCTGTGACTTTTCTCTCACCTCAAAACCCCAACACCAACCAACAAGCAGCCCCGCGTCAAGCCGTCAATCCGTCGAGCCCGCCAACGGCCCCCGGCCAGGATGGGAAAAGCTCAGAAGCAGCAATTGCATGGGTCCGAATCACGGCCTCGCCAGCAGAGGCGTCACCCACGACACAGCCCAGAGCCAGAGAAAGTCAGACTCTGGTGTGCCAAACAAACCCACCGCGCTCTCCCTCCTCACCTTCAACTCCGTTTACTCACTATTATGTGATCTTCCCTCCCGCTGTCCAATGGCACGTCTGTCTCCTTTCTGAACAAGAGGAGTTGCGGATGTTGTCCGGTGGACGGAGAAAGAGGGTGCTGTGGAGGCTCGTTTGGATTGCAAGAGAAGACAGAAGACGAGTAAGTTGAGAAGGGAGCTGGTCTTGCGGGCACTGCTGGCCTTCTGCTGCGACATGTCTGAGCTTTTGTGTGAGCTGCAGCTGGTGCTGTTGATGAGGTTTGTGGCTTGTCCGTCCCTGTTTGTGGTTGGCCCTGCTCCTGCGCTGGACTGACTACTGGGTATAGCTACAAAGGCAGCTAGGAGAGCGATGGCTCACCTGCCTTGCAGGTACAACAACCCGGCTTGTCGCATGCTTCAGCGGCACTCTTTGGTGAGCGGAGTCCTGCTGTTGCATGTGTGTTCCACCGCAGCACCAAGACAAGACACAGATTTTGAAAGTCCGGAGCCGCTGTAAAGCATCTGTCTAGCAGCTGTCTAGCCTTGCTAGCCCATGCGGTGCCATGGCGCTTGTGCCTTTGCCCGTGCCGCTTTCATGCTTCCGCCCGTCCTGGATGCTGGGCGCTAGAGGCACCAGAGACTAGGGAGGTACTGGGTAGTTGGTTCTGCAAGGAACCTGGAGCACTAGCTACCCTTAGGGTTATGGATGCAGGAACGGTATCAGATATACCCAGGCGGACAAACTTGCCGGTACAGTACCGCCGTGCTCGCCTTCTCATCCCTCAACGGCGGGTTTACATGCAACAAGAGCCAACACCACTGCTGCCGCTGGTCAGTTCTCAATCTCCTTGCTATCATTTGCATGGCTTCATCCCCCCTCTCCCTTTGTGTCATTTCCTTTTGGGCCTGTCAAGTCGTCTACATGTACACTAGGTACTCGGTCCTCCGTTGGGTACGGAGTAGGTAAGTATTCTACTCCTCGCAACTAACTACTCACAGTCATCGCAGCATCGCGAGGAAGCAGGAAGAATCCGGAGCGACCAGGCAATGCAAACTGCGCGGCCAACCGGCTGTGTACGAGCGAAGTCTGTTTGGTCTACTTAAGTAAGTTTACCTTAAGTGGCCCCTGGTGGCCCTCAATGCCCGCCATGCTTGCTCTTTTTCTCTCCCTCTTTGGTCCATGCTTCCAATCGCTCCACTCTAGTCGCCGTCATTGTTATTTGTCCGAATGGGCATGCATGGCATCATTGTTCTTACAAGGCAAAACGTATTCGTCTACAGAGGGCCGTGCGGAATCAGGGTGGATTTCCAGCACCCCCGAGACGGCGCATTGGGCCCTGGATCCTGGTTGCAACACTGCTCTTCCACTGTTGGATGACTCTATCAACCTACTCGCGAAAGGCGACGACCCAGTAAGTAAGTTGACAGTTACCGAGTATGCTTCCAACCTTAACTTAATGCCGCCGATACCTACCAAGTAGGTGTCCGCCATGGCTCAAGTATCCACAGCTATGTCTTCCGAGGTGTATGTATTGGGTACCGGGTACTCGGTACCGTCCCAAATCCCCTCTCTAAACGTTTCAGCCACAACTCTGTTTGAAAAAGCCCGAGACAATTCCAGTCTCCAACGTGCAGGGATACCGCAGTGGTTGGGGAAGTCGTAATCGATAGGGAGTCGTCTCAGGAAAAAAATCTATTCAATCCCCACATTGCGTCTCGATGAAGGCGTTGTCTGACCGGGGAGCGCCCGTATAAGAAACAGGGTCCTCGAGAAGCACATTCGGAGTACATACCTTGTGGGCTTGCCGAATATTCGGTAGTGCCATGCCACAGGTTCCAGAGCTTCTTGTGCTTTCCATAAGGAATGTAGCGAGTTAGATTTTGTGAAGTCTCGACGGTTGTACCACCTGGCTTCGAAGATCTCTTGTTCCATCGCTGTGGCTCTGCGGGGGGGGAGATTCCCCAACCAAGGGTACACCAGCGATATGTGGGTGAGTGTGGATTAAGCGTTCTTATGTCGGCAAGTACCAAGTAAGGTGGTTATAAAGCGCGTCCAGGGTCTGTGGCTAACCACGGACACAAAATTGCCCTCAGCATGTGACCGAATGCTTGGTTCGGCGTCGGGTACCCAAATGACACCCGGTCTTGACCTCGAAGGCATTGATATTGATCTTCTGCGACTGAAATAGCGGTTCAATGTCCCCTTTTGTCTGGGTTCGGTAGAGCCTTTGGTTGTTGTCGGTAATTTCCTTTGACTGCCATGCATCAAGAGGCAGTCTTGAACTCCTGATTCTTAACACAATCTTCTCTTGGTCTTTTGTCGAAGCTCTCGTGTTGATGTTCTTCCCTTTTGCTCCACGTGGCAGGAAGCGCGCTGCATGTCGAAACATGGCATGAAAAGGATGTTTGTTTCTCGGTACCTGGATTGCGGCCGTAAGTTTCGCAAATGGGTATTCAATCGGGTAGACCCTCGGGGCCAGAGCCGCTACAAGTAGAACGCCAATGATACCTGTTGCTTGGTCAAGTCGTAGGGTATGTCATGATTCATATAGACATACGTCGTAAAATGTTACGTGTCTTGACCCTCATAATCAGTATACCGTGTGGTGTGAGCCCGAGCAATAAGACCTTGAAATCATCACCACCTGCAATGCTCCATCCTTTGATCATGCTCACTGCTAACACGGTGGTACCCTAGATGAGGGCCTGCGCATGTTGCTGTATATGCGTCGTTGCGGACACTGGTCGCTGGAGTAGTCAAAGTTAATGACAGCAGCAAAAGCCATACTGCTTTGCGCTGATTCAATCACGTCGAATACTTCGACACCCAGTATCTTGACCAGAGCTTTTTCTGTTCCTCAGTGCCCTTGAACTATATGTCCCAACATGTTAGTGAGAAGAGAAAGCTAACGTGAAAGGGTAGGAAGAGAAAAGTAGCAGAAGCACCAAGATCACAGAGGACCTACCTCGAAGTCGACCTTATAGATATCTTCGAAGCCTTCCTCGAGCGTAGGTTCCTGGAATCTCTGGACGAAGGAGCGAAATGCAATGCCAGGGAGTTGGGTCCGGTTTTCGGGATTCATCTGTTTATGAGCAAGGGAAAGGTGTCAGTTTTTTGGGGCCTGGGTGTAGGTAGAATGTAGATTGACAGCTCCAAGCCCTGCAACAAGTACCGAGTCTCATATGAGGGGCTGATACACACCATATTTGGATTCATTGCCCTCACAGCATCATTATGCTCTGCAAGGCGAGTCGAGGCTGTGAAGCGAACACACCGGATAGGGACATTGAATTCACGGGCTACTTTCACCCAGTACGCCCGGGTTTCCATGTCCGCATTCGTGTTATCTGTGATTGTAGCATGAGTGTCAGTGTGTAGGGGATGGCGCGATGCGGTGGCATGCAAAGGAGAGGATTGACAGGTGGAGGGCTGAGGCGGGGAACGGAAAGGTAGAATTCGGCTGGATGAGAATTTGGCATATGATGTAAAGTAGGATATTGTGCCCAGATGATCGAGTCAGTGCGATTACAACAGAATCTGGGGAAGATCCGCGAAGGATTGTAGGACAGGGGCAACAAGAGATGTCGGGCAGTGTTGTACAAAACTGACATCGCATGCTAGACATTCCGTTTTATGTGTGACATTTCTGCACGACATGTCATTTTGTCCCTGTCCTGCAGGTGGCATGGGTCACCGTAGAGGCGGAAAGGGGTATGGTTGAACGAGCCAACATCTCGAGCAACAAGAACATCGAACATACCGACTGCCACGGATAACCCTGCCTCCAGGAGTTCCTTTGCTTTCCTGATGCATTTCTCGCGCTGTACGAATATAGCAATGTCTCAGCTTAAAACGGTTCTTTTAGGGCAGGCCGCATATGTAGGGGCTGACATTGTAGGGTATCGTGTCACAATGTCTAAGCAACTCTGGCAAAGGAGTGGCGGTCGCGAAAAGGGCATGGAACTCACCGTTTTGAGAATATCTTGATTAACTCTCTCATAGCCAAGTGGTTGGAGGACGTCCCAGTAGAACGTGCTTTTTCCAGCGCCTGGTGAGCCACAAAAAATGACCAACTCGTGGTGGCTGTTCTTAGTGAACGGCGCGGATATGGCGCTCTCCGCTGCGCCATTCACAGGAGGCTTTGCGGCTTCAAGATGCTTTGTCGGGTCAAAGACGTGCTCGTACGGTTCTGTAGTCTCATCGAGAAAGAATTCTTCGGGGGTCTGAAACTTGATGCCAATGTTCGCCGCAAGGTCCCTGGTAGCCAGTGAGCCTACGGGTTGCGAGTGTCATCGCCTTAGCAAGTACCTGTCGGATGTTGCATGATCCTTTCGTCTCTTGTCGCTCTTATCTCTCCCAGCAGCATCACCCACATAGAACGAGTTTGTCATGTCCACAGCTCCTTCAGCCTGAAGATCATAGTCTTCTAACACCTCCTCCCACATCCCCACACGAGGCTTGCGGTATCGGTCTTGGCCGGTCGCCGCGTAGACACTGATGGGCAAGTCGAGTTGGTGCAGGATTGAATTGACCTGGGTTTTGAAGTTGGCAAGGCTGGCCATGTCGTTCTTGAGCGTTTTGGGATTATCCTTCAGGCTGATGGCTGACTGGTTGCTGAGAATGACGAGGAGATAACCGTCATTGTGGAGAGACTTCAGTCGGTCGGGAACTGATGGATTCCACCACTTCCAACTCACTGCAGATCTAGCCCATTTGCTTCCGGTATTAGGAGCCACGAGAGTGTCATCCAGATCGAACGCTGCGATCTTGACGGGTGGCGCGCGCGGCTGAGGTGGTTTATGGGGCACGTTATATCGGCCAATGATGAGGGTTTGGTCAACGGTGCGCCATACGAGCTTCTCTGGTTCTTTCTGTGACGCAGGCTTGAAGAAACTAGCTACAGCCTTATCTGGATCACATCAGCATTTTACGACGGGATCGGCTTCTTCTTCGTACTGGTGGTAGTCGATTCAATTTTGCGCTTGACAAGCGGTGGAGAGATAGAACCAGCGGGAGGAGGGGCTGATCGCTTCATGGTGTAGAATCGGCTCGGGATATCTGGATCAAGGAGAGGAAAGTGGAAACAAGGGACAGGTCGAGGACGAGGATAGCGACTCAATGGAGTCAGCCATGGACGGGAAGCCAGATTAAGGAAGAGAAAAGGACTTGCAAGGGCTAGGTGAAGATGTCCTTTTTTGTCAGGTACTCGATACTTTTGGCGGCAAAAGTGAGAAGCCAGAAAACTCGACGCGCCGCACCGCGTTTGAAAAGACGTCATTCATCCCTTGATTCGCGTCACGTGCAAGCGGATGAGTCAGCGGCAGTAAGGCGAGAAGGCTGCCACACGAGCAACAGCACCAATCTCCATCAATTCAAGTTCTACCTGAAGTGATAGGCAGCCGCGTATCCAGCGACAATCTATCGCCCGGTGTTAGATCGACTGCCTGCCTCAACGCTTCCTTGACGGCCAATAGTTGTCGGGTTGCTCGCTCCTTAAGCTCTGGATTGTTTCCATCAACCACATCAATGGATGCCTGGAGGATATAGCCGCCAGAGCCATCCAACTCGGGTAGGTCATTGATGCTGGATGAAAATGATTCGTCCGAGATAGCTTCATCCGCGCCTACTTCGGGGAGCCGTAATACCTGGTGCAGGAAAAGAGTAGTGTCATGGTCGTAGAACCTTGACCCAACAACCATGTAGCGAGAAACATAGCTGTGAGCTGGTCAGCCCTGAATTCAGCCTTTGCGGGGACGGAGAGATCATACTCATAGCCAAAATTATCGAGAAACCTGATAAAATTCCCCTCGTCCATCGGCGTCCGGGATATCAGCCTGGAGCTCACTGCCTGCTTTCCCGCATCTGGAGTGTCCCTGAATTCAAAGGACCATTTCACGCTTGACTTTTCCGCCGCTTGGCCACCACTGCCATTTGTCATGGTCACGTCGCCGTTCTCTGCAACCCGAGCCGGTTTCTCCGGCAATACCTCTCCAACAAGCTGGACATAGTACAGGCCGGCATTGAGCATGTTCTTGACGCGCTGGATATCCTGCTGTCGCTGGCTGGCGAGATGCGATGCACCAATAGACTGGACGAGATCGACCCCAGGAGGCTGACGCGCCTTGAAGACCAGGTGGATCTCTTTGGCATCTTGGGGCTGCATACGTGCAAAGCCGGCTAATTGCTGGAGCATTCGATGATGGTCATCCTTGCGCACTTGACCATACAGGGCGAACTCATGCATGGCGGAGGGTATTCAGGGAGCCCTGATACCCGAGGTCCAGATTAGGTGTTGATTACTCGCTGGGGAATGGTTGGATTCGATCTGCCGATATGTCGTGCTTCGGGAGACGTGGCTCGTTGTGGCAATCGGGGTCTGTCAGGAGACACATCATCTGAGAGCTGGGATGTACTGGCACTTGGTAGATGTATTTGTTGCTAGGGAACGAGCGGACATGTTCTCGAGTCAATGGGGGGGAATTTGCGTTGCGTGGAGCATCGGACTTGGCGGCAACTCGAGACAAGCGCCTCGTCGAGAAGAACAAGCTATTAAGTACTGGATAGACAGATCAAGAAGCGACACCCAATGGCACGAATCTACTTATTCAACCATCGGGCACGTTGCAGAAGCGCCGTATTGAGGTGGCCAGACAGAGTCGCTTAGTCTGAATAATTCTGTTAGTGGCACTTGGTACTGTATGTAGGTGGTACTGTAATAGTAATAATGATAATATTATCATTACTGTTATGGAAAAAGTTTGTTCCCGAATCGGCAAAATGATGCCCGTGACGGGTCGTCACGCCTTTCACGCCTTTCTCCGAACATGGACATTTTCAAGCTCTCACAGCTCCCGAGCTACTAGATAAACCCGCAAAACCCTCTTCTTTCGACGGGCACGCGCGCTGCCCGGACTTGTCAACCACTCCTCTATAACCCCTTGTGCTCTCCCCAGCCACAAGGACAACGCCCATCATCTTCTCCGTGCGTCCCTCCCTGCCTCGCTCCTTGCGGTTGTCCGAGCTCGGCCGCGCGAACGGCCACATGTAAAAGAAATTCCAGTTCGGATCTAAGGAAGCATAGGAAGAGCCCCAGCGCAACACTCTCAGGTGGACAAGACAACACTGCTACACAGCCAAAGGCAGATAGAATTTGTCTACACCTCTGACACACCTGCCCAACGACCAGAGCTTGGACACCCGAGCTCAACAATCCACAATGCGCCCCTCCCTCGTCCTCCGCGCAGCCCACCAACGCACCCCCCTCATAAAATTCCTCGGAAAACGCACACCACCCAGTACGTGTTCTCTCGTTTCCCCATAACACTCGTTGTTACTAACCCATATCTCCTTGCAGAATCCGTGGACCACACTCCTCACGCCCACCCTGCTTCACCTACGCACTCCCTCCCCGAAAGCTTCGCCGCCTACCGCTCCAAAGCCCAGCAACATGGTCCCCTACGAGGAGGTGGCGGCAACGGTGGGGTGCCGTCCTCCTCATTCTCATCTGTAGCTTCATCAGGCTCGTCCATGACATACGGTGCCATCGGGGGCACGCCGGGAAAGGCATTAGGGCCGATTAAACCCAAAGAAGGAGAATTCTTCGACAGAGACGAGTTACCCGCCCGATTCCGTCGGAAGGCCTGGTCGGAAGAGGAGATTGAGGCGGTGAGTAGTGGAGGGGCCAGCATGTTTGGTTAGACGCGAGAAGCGGGAGGGTTTTCAGCAGCAGAAAGGCGAATTCGGGCTTTTGGGAGCGGTGGTTTCGGCAGATAAAGAGGTTTCTGTGTACAGCATTTGTGGGGGTTTTATTCAGCTGGCGCCGATTTATCGGTATTCGCCCTTTGACTTCCCGAGACTGTGGCAGCTTGCGGTGGCATGGGGCATGAAGCGTGGTGTTGGGTCAACTTCTGACAGGGAGGGCTGGAGACACACGACGCGACGCACAGCTCCTGGTCCAGTCTCATCGACGACACCTGTTGACGCATAGGCCAAGGGGGAAATGAATCTCCAAGTGCGCAGGCTCATGCATTCTACGCCACTCGACAGCCATCTGTGCATGTCCAGTAGAGGTACAGATGCAGACACAGATCCCTTAGGACAGCACAGCCAGCACCACCGCCGCCGCCGCCAGGTACGGGAGAGCTAGAGCTTGTACATACATACAACACCCATTCCCGATCCCAATACATTGGATACTTTTTGCACTATCTATATACGCACTTACTTTTGAGACACCAGAGCCAGAGCCATAATCGGGCTCAGACCTAGACCCAGACGGAGGAGTGGAGAGGACAACGCCCGAGAAGGGAGGACAATGGTCGATTCGTCTGTTCACCGCATCGTATATATGTATGAACCTAACCTACAGCAAGCTTTCACAAATACCCATGGGGCTCCGAGCTCACGAGCTATCATCAGACCTCTCGCGTCGTCTAAAGAGTATATATATGTCCCAGCTATGAACGCGTGTAGTTAAACAATAGTGAGTGTGCGTATACTCCGTACATTGTGCCCTAAAATCTGGGCCCGCTCTGCTTCCTTCGTACTGTGCTCCATACCTATTAACATACATCGTATCTTCGTCACCTTCCTTGCAACTCGTACCTTGTGCCGTGTGCTTTGTCCCGAGTTCCGAGTCGGACTCTACCTTTCAAGATGAAACAGACAGAGAGAAAGAAAACCGGTACAAGTGATAGGTAGACAAAAGACACGGTTTGTTTGGGGGGAGGGGGTGTTGGGGGGGGGAACCGGAAAATAAAAGTTCGTCTCAGCGCTCCATGCGCCGCCACAATCGTCCCCAGAGAGCTCTCATTCCCGTCCCCATCCGGCCTCTTTTCTCTCCCTGTGCTTTTCGAGCTTCGCTTCGGGGAGGCACAGGCGGAGGTGAACTAGCATTCAGAGCCCAGAACATCGATGGCATCGCATTCTCCGATACGGCCCGGGACCGTCGATTCGTGCTTGTATTTGTGTTTGAATTAGCGATGCCAGAGTGCGCTGTGAGAGAAGTTTGTGAATGACGAATCTGCCCGTGCCAGTAGCTGGTGCGATTGGGCCGGTAGCGCGATATATCTGGCGGAGGAAGGGCTGCCTCTGGGTCCTCCCTTTCATCTCCCGCAGTGTGTAGGCTGCTTGTATAGCCGCTCTGAATGTCAACAGAGACGACATGGTCATTGGAGAAGAGAGATAACATATCATCCATCTCGTCTGTGTACCCGCTTTCAGTGGTCACCTTCTGGAACTGCCTGCTAAAATTCAAAGGATGTTGATGCTGGAGTCTCAGTGCTATGGGCTTGGGCATCGACTCGGCTTCTTCTCCTGTTGCGAATGACTCAGGTGGACTGGCCCTCGAAGCGGTTTTCTTTGGAACAGGGCTATTCGGTAATGTCCAATTGTCACTGTCCTGTTGTACTGCCTCCATGCCACGTCTTGCAACACCTCCCATCCTGGGAAATCGCGACAATGATGCCAACTTCCGTAATGTTCTCGGTTCGTCTTTCTGTTTCTGCGATGTCCGTGACCTCCATCGGGAGTTAGGCCTCGACGTGCTCGGTTCATGGATGTGCTCGCTCTGGTCATCATACCGCACGATGGAGGGTACACCGAACTCGGGCATTGTTACAGGCCTTGACACTTTGTAGACCGATCCCGGTAGTGACTTGACCATTCTTCTACCGGATCTCTTGGGCGACATTGCTGGCAGCGAAGGAGACGGGATGGGTGTGGGGATCTTCATCCTTATCTCTTCTTCTGACTTCGGTTTGGGCTTTAATTTGGGTTTCTGAGATGATGGTGGCGACATCTTGCGCCCGGAATCAATTTCTAGAAGATGCTCGTGCATCCACTCATGACTGCGTCTGTGAATGTAGATATTGGGCATAACATTATCTATGGGATCGCAGACCTCTTCGTCCTTGCAGTCGTCAGTGGGTTTGGAGAAGTCAGCCTCGACACGCTGGAACTCTGGCTGGTCGGGTTGTGCGGCACTAGATACTCGGGTTGTGCTGGTGATATCTGCACGACCTTCGGATTTGGACAATTGTGGAAAGACTCGGGCCTCGTCGTGCCATTCATTTGTGATTTGAGCATTCAATCCCATGCTTGGCAGCAACCACGATAGATGCCTTGACTCTACAACCGGACCATGCGAGAACAGGGACCCTACTGGTTCCTCGGTCTTCATTCCGCAGAGCGCTGCACGTTTCTGCAGGCGTGCGGTTTGAAGCTCGCAGCTACCCAGGCTGAAAGGCCGTCGTCGGACTTGCGGCTCTGTTGGACCTCTTCTCAATGTCGCTTCATTTCCGAACTTGTCTCTTGTGTGCAGCACGGATACAAGAGTAAATTCATCGTGAAGATTAGGAAACTCTTCTGCCGACTTCAAGATGCTCGGGTCTAGAGCACCAAGTTCCGAAACCGAGGTATTTGCAGACGGTGATTTACCCGGTGGCGTTTGAGGGATGTGTCCATGGGTGTTCCTACTGACCTCATCACTAGACAAGTCAGCGAAGTTGATGCAGGCTCGATTGAGTGACTGCCGACGAGATGTTTGAAGCTTCGAGATTTGTGCCGCAGCTTGAAGCACGGGCGTCTTGTGTATAGTGTTATAGTTGCGGGTCGCCTGTGGGAAAATTGAGTGCACATCGTCCTCCCCTGCAGTAACTCTCGGCGAGGAGGCGAGAAACTCCCGAATGGAAAGAAGCGGCTCAGCATGGCCATCTTGCAAAGATTCTCCTAGCCAAGATAATGGCAGATCATCCCGATTTTGAGATCGAGCTGCACCTCTTAAACCTCTCCTTGGCTCATACGTCTGTGCCGCAATGGGCGAGAGGAGCTTCTGCTCAGGTTTGAAAATAGCATTCTTGGGATAATATGCTGGTTTCGCCTCTGCTCTGAATGGATCTTGTTCCACAGTGAATTCTAGACTTTCGACATGGTGCACAAAGGGTGAGGACAGGCAGGAACCAGGTGACGCTCTTCCGTTTGGTGTAGTAGAGGTACAAGGCCAAAAATCGTGGTCTGCAATCCCAGTCGTAGTGGATTCATTCTCCGAGTTGACGATTACCTTTCGCTCACTGGTTGGAGGATGAGTGTCATCGATCGCTCCTGTTGACTGGTTACGATTGGATACTTCATCATTTCGAGACTGCTGGGTAGTTGTTATGGCACCAGGAAAGACAACACTCTGTAGTTTCGACGACCTTGAGGATGTAGACGTTGTATTCAATGTCGAACAACGAGCATGAACCAGAGGGTCAGAAGAAGCCCTCGCTCTCGATTTCGCCGTGGAAATGAATTGTTGAGGCAATGGTGGCAGCGTACCGGCGAGATGCCGGGGGGCCGCCAGCGACTTCGGATTATCCAATTGCTCCTCCCTCGACAGGCTGATAATGCCTCGACTGGAGTAATTGGCCAGAACGACACTGTGTGAGTATTTGTTTGGCATTGATGCTGTCTAAGGACATGTGGTACACAACGAGGACTCTTGAGTTGGTGAAAAAGAAAAGGGGGTACCAGACTAGAGGAAAAGGAAGAACAGGGTTACCTTGACGGACTGCAGAGTTCAGACCTCGAGCTGGGCAGCAGGCTTCGGTTGAAGCCGTGTTTAGGTCAAGAACTCTCTGGATGCCGTTATTGGCTTTCTCGTGTTCATGTCAAACTTTATGGTCGTCCTGGGCCAAATAACCGTGCAGTCGCGATGGGAGGGGCAGAAACAGAAAAAGAAACAGCATTTCGGGGATATGTTGAATATGTTGCTTGCATGTGTATTGACTGGGCAGATGCGAACATATTGCTATGGCCACGGCCAAGATCGGTCTGTGACATGACTATGAGGAGCCGAGGAGCGAAAACGGGTAGCATCATTGGAGGTCTCTAAACTGGATGTCAGATGGTGGTCTCAGCCGATGCGAAGACTGACCGTCGTGGTGGACTTTCAAGCTTCGAAACGTGCGAGCCCAGAGGCTCCAGCGATACTCCCGTGTCCACCAATGCTTGATGCCATGCTGGTTGACAACAGGATTGCCAATGAGGGTCTCTGGGCTCTCATCACGGGAAGACGGAGTCGGCTGGTATTTGCCATAGCCATGTGGACAGGTGGATATTGAATGGATTTTCTTGTGGCGGAGAAGGGGGCTTTTGGCACGGCTTGCAACTCTGTTTGCCCTCGGACCCCGTAGGCGAAGTCATGTCGCCTTGGTGATTGGTGGAAGAGAGAATGAGGACGGATGGCTAGAAGAACGAGAGAGTTGCCCGACTGAACTTTATCCTTCAGCCCTGAGGCCGCCTCTTGGCCGCCTATTCGTTATAGCCGAAGGGGCTCCCACAGAGGCCGCCGATTGGATTGGCCAGCGAGGCCAGCGAGGCCAGCTACTGGGTACTGACCAGGCCATGCAGTGCTGCGTTTCATTTCTTCAATGTCGTAACCCACGGAGGTCTGAGCCACGAGGCACTCGAGGCGTTCTTCCTGTGCCGCTGAAGGGCAGCATCGTCATCGTTCGTCATCATCCCTGCTCTTTACGAGGTACAGTCGACTTGGACTGGCAAAGACTGCTTCTTTCTCGCTGCCTAGGTGCCGTCATGGATTGATGGATGAAGGGAGGTGGGAGATGAACAATCCAGGGAGGCGCACTCGGTAGGTGGAGTGGGTGATGCGAGGCTTTGTTCGTCTGGTCAGCATCTTTTTCATGTGCTGGAGCTTGGGGTCAAATGATCGCCGTGCTGATGATCAAGTCGACGTAGATGGAAGGTGTTGGCCGAAGCAGCAGCACGTACATAGCGGTCGTCGATCCGTAGGCGGATCAGGCTTGGAAGGAGGGAAGAGGAGCTGCAGCCGACCATTGCCGGCAGATTCACTGCATTCACTTTATTCACCGCATTTCACCATATTCCCAAGAAACATCTGCGCAGTCATCCATTTCTGTCCCTGGTCTGGGTGTCATTCGCTTCAGAGAGAGGATCGATATTGGGCACTGCCGTGCCTCCCCGCGGCAGATCATGCTCGTCAAATATTGCTTGTCGATCAATGAATGGCCTGTTGCCTGGTGCGCTTCACACACCAAGGTCGATCGACACACACTGTGTTGCCTTCAGAACGAGCAGAGCAATCAATCATCCCCGTGTCCATGGCGGAGTCAATGTAGAATGGTAAGGTTCATGAGCAAGTGGCTTTCAGTAGCTCACGGCATATGCTTCATTTCGCGGGCAGTACCCAGTCCTTCGACTCGAGTACTCACTACTACTGATTATCCCATATCATCGGCATCCACTAAGCCATGTCACTCATATCCTCCCCCCACTACTCGTTGTGTACATTGAGAAATGCCCCATTCTGTCCAGCTGCGCTCCCGAACTGGGAGGGGGAGACTCCACCCAGCGCGTGTCCCTGACCCAGGCATTTCCTCTCAAATCGTGCTCTACTTACCTCAAAATAAACGATTCATGGAAAAGAAGAGATAGTCCGGCCTCTTGACCGAAACCGGCAAAGACCATCGTAAAAAGAAGAGGCAAGTGCTGAACTCTTTCGCGCATTTCCAGTCCAAAATCACCCAACGCCATCATGCCATATCATATCTCATAGTCGCATTGCGAACTCCATTACCGTCCCATGATCCGAAATGCTGCCGGCTTTTGTTCCCGGTTGGCATGCGCCCATTCCTCGTTCCGTTCGTAATCCCATTGCAGAAAAAACCACAATATCACCTAATCAGGCACAAACCCGTTTTGACGGGTAAACCATCTTGCTTCGAGAAGTCCTAAACGAACCCCCTCTTGCATGTCAGTCGTGCTCACTGCCGCCATTCTTCTTCTTTCCGCCGCTGAAGATCTTCATGGCCTTCTTCCAGCCGCCGCTTTCGCTTCGATGTGGTTTGACACTTGCCATTCCGCTCCCACTCCCATGACTTATGGTTCCACCCAGCTCACTCGTTGGCGGCGTTGTCGGTGGGGTTATGACTGAATCGGCTTCCAGGAGCTCACCCACGGGGGGGCTGTCCGGACCTCCGCTGCTGTCAGTCAATGCACTTTCTGAGACGGCAGACGAATGTGACACGTGAGTCGACAAGCGCGCCCCACTCTGCCGACCTAGGGCCGACGATAACGACGAGGACTGTGTGGGCCGATGCTGCTGCGGAGGAGATCGAGTAGCTTCAAATGAAACCGCTGAGGTGTGTGGAGGAGATCGCCGCCGGCGCGAGGGCATTCGACGATGCAGGCCTCGCTCATCATATGTCAGCCGCGAAGGTTCAAGTTCAGCCATGTCTGCAAAATCCGACATAGGCGTATAGGTTTGCGCATGTGAAACCTGTTTGAGGCTGTTGCAAAACGGAATGAAGATCGAATCCGACATCAAGTCGTACATGCGTTTGACGGCAGCGTCCAGGAAATCAGGTCGAGGAGGCCTGATATCGTATGACCGCTCGATCAAATCATCTCGTTCCTCTGCCGGTAAATTAATTTCTCGCGGGGCCCCTGGCTTAACGTAGATCTCGAGGATCCGCGTCCAGTCCTGTATCAATTCCCATCCCTCCTGCGTCTCTATTGTGAGGGGCATGCCTCCCATACTGGCTGATGCTTCGTCGTATTTGTCTGAATATCTCTTGGCCTCGGTAGTAAATTCGAGCGTTTCTAAACAGTGCTGCTGAGATAGAAAGGCTGTGTAGGCGGCTAGGGTGTAAGGTGATGGTGCCTTATTGTTGAGTACATCGTCCAAAGTTGGTCTTGCCCCTGGTGACATAACACCTTCTTTTCGAGCTGCCATAGTGATGGGCCTTGCCCGAGGTAATTCTTCTTCAGACATGGTGAAGTCTTCAGGAATATCTACCAACTGATAGACCAAAGGTTCAAGACGAGGCGAAGGTTCAGGTGTATATGGCCACGCTATTGAGGTCAATTTCTTCTTAACCATTGCGCTGGACTTCGCCCTGAGTTGACCGTTGCTTGAGTGAGGATAACCTGATTGAGATGTTATGTTGCACGCCTGGTGCCCAATCCTGCCAGAAGAGCGTATCTTGTTCCAAAAAATGCTTGGGGTGACTTGGATCCGAAATCTGAGAATAGAGCCCCGGGAGCAAACACTTCTGTATTCTTCCAGGTGAAGCCCTCTGTGCGCCAGCACCTCGTCCAGGGCAATGGGTGCGTAAGGTATGGCTTTGGGTTGTACAAGCACACTGCAAGATAGAAGGCTATTCCGCTGTATATATCCGAGACTCTTCCCGCCAGCAAGCTTCGCTCCGTGTGACAGAAGAACACTGTGTAACCGCGACAGGGGATCTGTAGGATGTCTTGAGTTGTGAAGCGCCAGCTGTCGGGCTGGAACGTGGCCTCCGATGCGATGAGAAGAGTGGAATTAGGTTGGTTGCAGGAGCTTATGTCGGTGTAAACGTGGCAGAAGGGCGTGCGTCGTGTGCTCGGCTGGTGTTCGTTCGAGAAGGCGTCAACAGGGTGATCGAAGCGTCCAATTGAAGTGAAGGCCGTCGAGATGCAAACAGGCGGCAGACGGAGAGGGTGAGGGTATAATTAGTCGTGCGGGAAGACAGTGGTGACGATCAGAAGATCCTAAAGAGCGACGGGAGAAGGACGAACAGCGCAGCCGCAATGCCAATTCAGCACAAACATCTGATTTCCGAGATGTGATGGAATGTTCCAAAGGGGGTTGAAGAAGAAAATGGCGCCTGGAGGATTGACTGATTGATTGGAAACAAGGTCTGAATCTTTTGCCTTTGGGCTTAGTGAGATCAAGGCCCGCGCACAGTCATAGTGACGGGGTGACGGGGCGGTGGAATGAGGACAATGGTAAGAGGTGACAGTGAGGTGGATGTAGAGGTGGATGCCCAGGACGCTGGGTGACCAGAAGGAAACTGGAAAGTGGAGAGGGCCAAAAGGTGCTCTATGGAAGGTTTAGCTAAGAGTCATACTTCTTTTTTTCCTTCGTGGAGAGTGTGAGGTTTTCTTTTCAGCGCAGGCGTATGTAGGCGCAGGCGGAGGCGAGACGATGGGTGGGTTAGATGAGAAAATGAGAGAAAACCCGGAAGGGTCTGGGTCGGCTGGTCTCAATCGACGTGGTACGGGAGGGTTTAGTCTTTTGCTAGCGGTCCTTTCAGGTCAGGCTTGACAGGCTGTCTGCTTCTTTTTTTTTGGCTCTTGGGGATGTCAGAGAGCTGGTTCAAATTGGAATGGATGATGGAACCAGGATATCCAGTCAGGGGGGAGGGAGGGGATGGGAACGAGGGTGCATTTGAAAGCAGATGAGAATGGGAAAACGCGCAAAGACACAGGCAGCCAGCAGCCAGCAGCCAAAGCAACCAGGGCGCAAGTAGCAGGCACAAGGGCACAGGGCGCAGGCGTAGGCGCAAGTTTCAGGCTCAGGCACAACAAACCAGAAGACGCAGGAAGTCATCGCAGAGCAGTAATGTGTTCAAAGAGGTTCGGACCAGCTGCTGCAACGCTGTTTGTTAGCCCCAAGGAGCCTTGCCTTAAGCACCACTAGTTGCCTGGGCTAAATCAGGCCTGCAGCTTAACGGGCCCTCGTTCAAGCTTGCGGATTGGCTGTTGGGCGGCGCGTTCTGATGGGATGATGACCAAATGAGTGCCACGGGGAGGGGTCCCCTACCCCCCTCCTACGCTTAAGGCAAACAAACCAAGATGCGCAGGCGCAGGATCCCGGGTACAACTTTAACATGTTGCGGCTGCCAGATGCCGCCTGTCTGTCCCAAGATGCTGATGCCGGGGGGGGATTTGTTTAGCATAGGGCTGGAAACATGGACATGGGCAACCAACTGATAATCCAGCGTCTACAGGTGTCCCTAGGCACCTACAGCAGGTACACTCTTTACTGTCTATGCGCTCATGTCCTTTGCTCTTACGTACCTGTTTGCTGCCAGCCAGCCAGCCCGCTCCCGATCGCCCCCCGCCTGATTGGCTTCTAAGCGGCCTTTGCGGGTTTCTAGCAATTCGCTCAGGCTTCTACGCACCTTCCACACGCTTTCTCTCCGGCTTCTATCATCGTTCTACTACCTTTCCTCGGTCTTCTACGCGTTTTCCAGAACTCCGACCCCCCGAAAGTCACCTGCCCACTTTTTAGATGGGCCACTTGGCCATTGACCAGTTTCATCATTCCACAGCGTCTTTCAGTAACCCATTGACATGGAAAGCAAAGAGAAAAAAAAAATAATTCCCGCTAGACCGCACATTCCAATCCTGCCAACCTGGATGATGGCAACACTTCAATTCACCTGGGAAAAGCTTCTCGCTACGCCCTTCCACGCATAGTCGGTGGCTGGCCCAAGGATTTGGGGACCTGCTATCCGGCTTTCTCTCACATCCATCTCTCCCGCTGCCCGGACTTCGACGACAACTCAAACAACGCATCTGATCCTTCTACTCATAATGATCCTGCCGCCATACGCCTCTTCTCGCTTGTGCTTACCCCAAGGCCTCTCTCCCTTCTCCCCTTCACCGCTCCTTCCACCCGGGTCATCCATCAAATACAACCACAAAGCGGCTAATGATAAAAAAAACACTTGCAACGTGCGAGAGAGATATATTACCCTCGATGGTTCCCATTCTCCCGTCATTTCGCCATCGCTGGGATACCACTTCAACACTGCGCCGGGTGGCCATTGGAAAAGATGGGTCGGCTGCAACGTGTTTACTTTTGGCAGGTGGCGACGGCACGCGTTTGTGGAGGTTCACCGAATTCCCCCTGACACAAGTCGCTGGCGATCGGAATGAGCAGCAAATGATGCCGGCACGGACAAAAGGCTCCCTGCCATCCCACTTGTCGGTGCGTATACTGAATTCTGCCATGATTGCACTGCAGATCCCTGCTACAAGACCAGTTCTCGATCGGTTTCGATCAAACGCCAAGTACTGCTGGCGACGAATCTTGAAGTCATAGGCTCCACTTCTGGAAAGGAATGCCCGGTGGTGGACAGAGTAGGTAAAGTGGCTAGTGTGGCCTGTCGCCTGAGATTTCCCCCCTTAGCCCCACAAGACACTCAACAACTCATGTTCCAAGAGCCATTCATCTCCTTTCGTGTACTTGTAAGCCTTTGCTCTGGCTCAAGATTGACAGCCATTCCAGAACAGATTAGACAGTGGTGAGGCCGGACCTCGCTTGCAATCTTCTTTCAATGTTCTGGAAAATTGCCTAGAGGGGAAATCTATCCATTTCGCCGCCTCTTCCGCATTTGGGGCGACATCCGGGTGCATGCAGGCACGTGGGCATCTGGATGCTACAGCAATCAATCACCAGCGCCGGCTTCGGACCACTGGCGGTTGCTCGCGCCAGGACGATCTTCTGCCAGCAACATTGTCGGTGGCATATCCGTGGAAACTGCCGGTCTGCCGTGGCTTCAGGCTTGTCTTCCCTTGTCACCCTGCTCCGCTGCGAGCGTTGCAATACAGACTGGGTTTGGTCCGCCCCTTTCTAGCCACAGAGGATTGCCTAGTTCACAGTGACATATGAGGACAGACTGGCCCTGCCGGTGGGACCGTGGCAGAGTTTTCAGACGGACTGGCTTCCTCATTTGTCTTTTTTGACCTCAAATGGAGCCTCATTCACTCGGACACGGTGACAAGGTCCTCTAATGAGATTTGTGAGACCGAGATCCCAGCCGATGCGCTTGACTTGGTCCTGCATCTTCGGCCATTCTCGTCGGTTTTCTTGGAGTGTGTCAATGATTAACTGAAGGTTTGGGTCAAGCCCATCGTACGAACGCAAGGACTGGATGTCGACCTTCTCATCGGGACTGGCAGATAGTATGTTTAGATCAAGACCCAGCTTGCTTTTGAGACCCTCTTGGTGTCTCTGGTCAAGGACATGCTGCTGCGATACGTTTGCAAGTTTCATGTTGGGTTCAACCCTCATTGAGACTCGAAGCAGATGGCAGATGGCCTTTGCTTGCGTTTCGCCCTTGGCCGACTCTTTCAGCAGCACGAATGCTTGGTTTGATTGCACGTCACGCCAGAGCAGATAATCTTCCTCTCGAAACACCTCCAGCAGCTGAGCCAAAAGGTTGTACCTGTGAGAGTCATTGCCGATATCGCCCGGTAAGTGGTGCAGGAACCTGTTCACGCTAACACCGACTTGGAAAGCGTTCTGATCATTGAAGGGAGGGAGCATCCTTCTCAGCCCCAAGATCGATTCCTCATCACCTACCTCATTCAGACCTTTGGCCCTACCTCGAAGAAGAGCGCTGAATAGTATAGTGGCTCTGTCCTTGTTGAGCGAAGTCAGACGTACGCTCTGTACAGCTTTCCAATTTGCCCACAAGTGCATTGCTAGCAAGGGAATCAAGCAGCTCCAAGTCTCGAAAGTGCCCTGCACTTTGCTGACCAGCAGACCGCCAGCCCACATACCGACCAAGCTGACGACAGTCTCCTGGCTGCCGTCTTTGGCATTGAGCTCTCCGATATTGCCTTCCTTTGCAAAGTGAGCGCTTAAAATAGCCTTGCTGCTCCCGCCTGAAACCCCACAGACTGCTCTGCAGGCATTGCTGACACATAAAGCGCAGATCCGCTCTAGCAGCGGCAGACCTGGGCTCAAGCAGTCAAGAACGAACGCTATATCGTTGACTATGTCGGCGAAAAAGCGATAGAACTTGACTTCTGCTTCGATCCTCTGCGAAAACTTGTGTGCGAACAATATGGTGGCGACCCGCCCGATGGTTTCTTGTGCAATGTACAATAACATGGTGGTCACAAGCGAGACATCCTTGGATCCCACACCCATTCCCACGAAGACGGCACGTGAAGCTAGCAACCCCGCAATGGTAGAGGCGAAGGCCTGCACGGAATCGTAGATCTGGTACGGAGTATAATCCGGTCGGACGCTCGAAGGGTATCCCGCTGGCAGGAAAGGGCCCATGCACCTCATCAGCAAAGAGGTCCTGGGCGACATGGATGTCAGGGGATGATGGGCCTGAAGCTTCTGAGTTCCACGATCATATCTGAATGTAACTATTGCGTGACCTTCTGGGTCTAGTTCTTGGACTTCTAGATCTGGCACCGACCGTGTGGCCATTTCTTCAAGGTGAGACGGATTGTGCTTTGGCGTCCAGCAAAGGTAACTGGTCCGGTTGTCAACGAAATCCTTCGGAGAAGCGAAAGGAACATCCGACAGACCTCTCTTTACCTCCACCGCAATATGTATGGTATAGCCAAGTCAAAACTTCGAAGGTAAGATGGCGTTGGAGGGAGTTGGTTTGAGCAAGTTCGAGATGAAAGGAGCAAATGGAGGAGAGTCAAACATTCTGATCCACCGTACAAGGACTACTGCGAAGCACACGTGACTTGACTCCAAGCGAGCAGGCCTTGACAGGCTTCGGAGGCCACGATTCAGAAGCGTCTTCGACTTTTCTACCCGTGCTTCTCAGACCGGCCATTACGGCCACTACAGACTACGTATTGGTGCCTCAAATTCGCGCGCCTCTCATTGCTGCTGTGGTGACTTTCAGATAACCTGACCATGCTCAGTCGATGCCATTGAAAACTCCTGCAGAGCCATGTTGATACAAACCCATCTCACGTGTGTGTCTCGTGGTGATTGTTTCTTTATTCTGGAGGATGTAATTCCAGAAGCCCAGGTAAATGTATTTCGGCATGATGCGCGGCTGATTGATATTAGGGGCAAGCTCCATCATGGATAGATCGACGGGCAGAGGCCGGTGGTGCTCCTGCTTGACGTTGTTCATCGCTCTTTCTATCATCCCCTGGCTCCGTAGTTGGGCATGTCTGTCTCTGTCTTCCATCATGCCAAAGTCATCGGGACTTGACCATATCAATCTCTGTCTCTACCACTTGACTCTCCGGCTACTTTCCAAGTTGCTTCATGGCACAGAAGTTACGAAGTCTACATTTCTTCACAATTTCATCCCTTACGGTGTGACCTGCTTTTTACCTGCTATCGAACATGCGTACCTTGAAGCGTCTCCTCTCACCTGTCCTTTGCTGCTTTGGCATGTGTGCTTCTGAAGACCATACAACTTCTGACCTTCAGACCCTGCCTTCGGCCCTGTCAGTGCAATTATCCGCTTCGCAGATTCCGCATGCCGTCAGTCAACTAGGTTCAAACACGGCAGACACAGAAGCCCTCCGCGAATTGTTCCGATCTTCATCTTCAGTCCGCGGCTACCGCACTGCCTCTCTGCCATCAGGCTCGAATCTTCGAAGAGAGCCGTCGTTGGATACTGATTTCAAATTTGGGTCGCAAGGTCAACAGCGGAAACAGCCCAGTCGATTAGAACAATTGGGCAGTCACATTAAGCAGAAGCTTTCAGAGTCAAGGTTGAGCAAGAGCAGCTCGAGACCTCGTATAGCATCTGAAGACGTTCCTGGTGATTCGGCAAGACATGACAATGCACAATTGGGAATGAGTGCCCTAGAGGCGACCCTGAACCAGCGATCCACTGGTCTCCTCGAACTTCTCATGTCGCGGACCGCAAGTGAGGGCGGCTATGACAGCGACGCAAAAAGTATCCAGACAGCCATGCTGAAGGCCAGTGATGGGACAAAGAAACTGAGTCCACAAAGGGAGCTGAGTCTATCTTCACCTGCCGGCGTTCGACCTATTGCCACCGACGGCGCTTCGCCGTCCCCTACAAGCATTCACGTTCGTGAGGACCCTCAACCTGAAGCCGATCACGCGAAGCCTCTTTCCACTCCCTCGAAACTCTCCTTCACAGAAGTTGTGTTGGCCGAAAAAGACGAGTCACCTGTAGAAGTCCTGAACTGTCTCAGCGGTCGAGTTGCAGACGGCACTGTCGAGCTCGCACGTGCACCCGAGTCCAGGACAAAGCCTGCTTTGGCCACCTCTGATTCGAGAGAGCATGATCCCTTCACTAGTTCTCCGTCGAAAGACCATGCTTTATCTAGACGCGATGATACAGAATTTACTGACTTGCTCAAGAAGCTGGGAGATACCGATGCCGTTGCCAAAAGGGAGAGTCTCATTTCCTATACGACAGGTCCACGAGCCAGTTTGGTGTCCGACCTGGATCCGAATTTGCTCGATTTCATCTCCAAATACGGCGAGCGGCCCTCGGTTGACACCGCGGCAAGAACCTCTGATGCTAACGCCGCTGCATCTGTAGCCGAATCGAATTCGATTGCCATGGCTGGCCCGGATCCTGCCAACGCTTCCACGCCGGGACGAGAGGGCATAACCAAAAGGGATCTTTCTTCGCTCGCCGGATCTGACGGAAGCTCACTCCATCTGTACAATATGCGGATCTCTCAACGCCTCGCCAGCCCGTCCTTCATTGCTGCTTCTTCCAGACCGAACACTAGCCACACAACGATCCGGGTACTAAGAGAAAACTCGCCAGACCGACGTCTCTCAATCAGCCAGACATCCATGGCAGGGAAGAACGGGGGCCTGACTACAACTGAGCACAATAGAAGACCCTCCGATCCTGAAACCAGACGAATCTTTGAAGGTGACATAGCTAAACAACAGGCGAGCTCCAGTCGGAGACCAGGGACTTCACTGGACCATGTCCCTGGCTTCGGAAAGCCCAAGCCGCTCCCAAGCACTGAAGATGCCTCATCATTCTACTGGAGTGACGGTGAATTCGACGACGTTGGACCCTCTAGGCAAAGCACGCGGAAGAGAAATCCAAATAGCATTGCAATTGGTGGGAGATCAGAGTCCATCAGCCTACCTATCGGCTCTTCCAGTGCCAGCATCGGTAACCTATCAGTTGCAGAAGAGAGTACCTGGTTCAGCAGAAAGCCTTCACAGCAGAAGCAAGTGATTGAACAAGACAGCCGACTCCACCAGTCCGCGAAGAGGAATAGGAGTATAAGTATGCCAGATCGGAACAATCTTGGTTCTTCCGCATATCTAGTCCTTCCTTCCCGGCACCTTCCACACTCGACCGAGACCAATGAGACAATGAGCGAAATCAGTGCTGATCAACTACAAGAGGCTAGGAAAGAAAAATTGACCGAGATCAGTGCCCAAGCCATTTGCGACAGACACAATGAAAGAATGAGCGAAATTGAATCTCCAGACCATGGCTTTGCCACAGCAGCCCAGCCAGGTTCGTGTAGCCACCAATCGTTTTTTGCGCCTCACACGAGACAGTCACCTCCCTTTTCAAGAAGTTCTGTCGTTGGACGGTGTTCGAAATCAGAAGATGACGATGCGGCAAGATCGATCTACAATGGTCCCAACAAGTTCCAAGAGTCTGCCACGGATATTTGGCACAGATCTTTCAAACGAGCTCTAGGAGAACCTGAAAATGACTCACTGGGAGGTTTTCTCACGTCACCACGGTTTGACCGCGACGGCAGGCGGAGAAGTACCAGGTCAAGCGTCAGTGCGGTACAGATGTCTCATCAAGGCCACCGCAACTCGGACGTAGACTTTGATTTAGATCCACTGCAAGAGACCCAAGCCCGGAATGAATCATCTGGGCTCGAGGTTAAGCCTCATACTCAGGTCTGCATGAAGAAACCTGATCCGCTACCGACTGTAAGCCCTAGACGCAGCATTGCCACTATTGATACAGGGAAGAAGGAACCTAACGCCTTGGCGGCGAAGACTTCCAGGAAAAAGAGTATATTGGACATGGGACGACGATTCACGGTCATCGGAGCCTCCAGCGATAGTGAGCCGGCCTCCAGGGCCGGCACTCCACTGAAGGATCTCTTCGGTCTCTGGGGACGATTCCCTAGCCACACGAGAGAGGAGAGATGCGGCTCGGCTGGGCCAAAAGACGGGGTTGCCGTACGAGACTTTGCTCTCGACTATCAGGACGAGAATACTGCATCCTCAACCCCCCGGATGCCGTGGGCCAGACCAACAAGGGCACGAGGTCTTCGCACTCCTGGACCTTGGAGGATGCTCCAATTCAGTAAGAAAGACAATAGTAGGAATGCACATAGCAAAAACACACGAGCCACGCAGTCCCTGGGTGCGCGGCACAAAAAGAGCCAGAAAGCTCTCTCTAGGCGATGGAGAAAGGTCTATCGCAGCAGCAGCACTGAGTTCAGAGCGTACACACACACTCATGGACATCGGAGCAGCATAAGCGTGGGTGCTAGCGTCGAATATCCGGAGCTTGAAGTGATCCCTAGTACTGAATGGCAAGCAGATGGGGATGGGCCCGCAGAAATCGGCCACCTCCACGAGCATCAAGCGGTGAATCGTTTGCAGGATCGCTCCATAGAACCAGTGGATTTTCAACCTTGGACTCGCATGTATCGAGACTGTGTTGGGAGCCTCTCGGACCTGAAAAGCGACCCCGAACTGGGAATGGGGGATCTCATCACAGGGCCCGATCGATTGCACGACCGGCATTTCACTAACGACAGCCTGCAAAGCGAAGAGTTGAGGGACAGCACGGTCGATTTCGAACACCGACTTGGAAAGGAGCACGAGGCAGTCCAAAAGGGCCTCATCCACCAGATCGAGGGTATAGGCCAGAGCGAGGAGCGATTGGATGTCAACGCAAGAGCCTGAGTTGAGGGATGATTAAGCACGAACAGGCCATGCCCTGCAGCACAGGTAATGAGTGTGTGTTAGTGGACTGTATGGTACATAGGTAGTTATGGGAGAGTACGGTATGGTGACTGTCGGCAGTAGAGAAAGCAGAGATACAAAAGTATCAGCGAGCAGGGTTGAAATTCATTTCATTTCATTTTCATTTTTGGGTGTGGAACGACACCTATTGCATCGTATCATGTCATCGTTATCGTTGATGACGAGCATTTTGCATTTCCGTACGAAAGCACTTTGTATCCATCCGATGGCAATCCATGCATGCATGAGATATCCTGAATCGACTATGACGATGAGACTCTGACTCTGACCGACTGAGTGATCCTGGAATCCACCACGTGTATTCTGAATGGAGAGGAACGGTGACGGCCATCACAATAACAATCACGACCACGGAGAAGCCACAAACAAGTAAGGTCATAGAGGCGTCTTGTCTTCCATGCATGTTTCCTTCCTTCCAACCATCCATCACATGAAATGGCATTCAACAAGTCTCGATCTCGAATCGGGTCACCATCAGAACCATCCATAACACACCACGCCACGTCGGAGCACGTCACGTCACGTCACAAGACGAACCAGGCGCCGACGATCAGGAGCAATAAGGCAGTCAAGGTGTGCATGGTGAGACGCGTCACCGAGGACGATGTCGTGACAGAGGACGTGGTGTTACCACTCGTGGTGGATGTCTGTGTGGCGTGGTGGCTGCTCATGCTGCTTAAGAAGCTTGTCACCGTGGGGTGCAAGGTTGTGCTGCTGATTGTTGCTGTATTCGCCACGGTAATGGGAGATGTGATGTTGGGGAATGGCACAATGGTGGCACCAGTGGTTTGGACAGTAGGGACGACTGTGGCGTTTGCCAACGACACGGTAATGTTCCCGACAAGAGAGGCTGAAGTCACCTCAACTCCGATACCAGTTCCGGTTGGATTTCCGGGGCTCGTGACAGGACCAGTTGCACCGGTGGTAGTGATCGTAAAGTTGGCAGGATGCGCAGTAGGAATGTGTGTCGTTGTGGTCGCTGTCACGGTCGACGTTCTCTGCACCGTCGTGGTCAACCAGATGGTAGAGTTTGCTGCTGCTGTCAACGTGGTGGTTTCATTGACGTGTGCGGTGCAGTTGCAGGGCACAGTCGAGACCGAAACAGAGACTGATACTGAGACTCCAGGGGCGGTGGTAGGCATGATGGGTGCAGGCGGGGCAGTTTCTTTTCCAGGCTGCGGGAGTTCATTCATTGCTCTGGCAAAGATCTTTATCTTGGCCAAGTCGGCGACCATGAGGAAGCGAGTAAACAGACCAAAAACACTAGGGACGCGCAGGGAGGGTGCTGCACCGGTCACGGTTGGAGTGTACACCGAGACTGCCGACCTGGCTTGAGACGTGGATGCCGATGCGGACACAACAGGTAGCGACAACGACACATTGCTTGCGATGGTAAAAGTGTTGGCGTCTTGGCTGTCGGTAGGCGAGACAACAGAGAGGACGGGCACACCGAAGGGCTTTGTAGAAGGAAAGAATGCAGTGGCTGATTCCTTGCTTGCAATGGTGTCGCTGGTATTGAAGTGGTTGATAGCAGTCACAGATTGCTCAACTGTGGAAGTTGTAGTTGCAGTGAAGTACAACGGGACAGTCACTGTGAAAGTCATCACACCACTGGTCGCACTCTCTGTTGCTTGAAGAGTCGTGTAGATTGTTGTGGTTGTGGTACCTGCGCCTGTAGTCTTGCTAGCGATTTCTGATGTGGCAACGCTGAGGACAGATGAAGCGGCGCTAAGAACGGACTCGAGAGGTGTAGCAGTAGTTGAGGTAGTGACAGTCTTGGTTTCAATCACTGAGGTAGCATTGCCGAGAAGGGAGGACGCAGCGCTTAACACCGAGTTGACTGGCTGGACAGTGGAAGCGGTAGTTGTTGTAGCGAGCACTAACGTGGCATTGTCCGAGGTGGACTTGATGGCACTAACACTGGTGGAACTTTTAGAAAGTGTAACTGTAGTCAAGATTGTGGTGGTGCTGGTGCTCGTGCTGCCGCCAGTATGGCTTCCGGTGATGCTGTCGATGACAGATGCTGCGACACTTAGGGCAGACGAGAGCGGTGGGGTAGAGAAGGGGAAGCTTGTCTCGAAAGTCCCATTGACGAAGAATGGCCTCGAAGTGTTCACAACAGTCGTAAGCAAAGCAACCGAGGTAATGGTGTCGACGTGTGCAGTGCTGGTCATAGCGGCAGTGAAGAGGGAAGTCAGATTGTGTGTCGGAGGTTCAGTGACTGAGATGACGGTGCCAGATGGACTGGGAGTAAGAATCGGGAATGTCAGAGTCAGAGAGCCGGGGACAGATGCTGGTCATCGGTATTAGTATGTGACAGAAAGTGGACAGCGGAGTTGCGCAACTTTGGGTTACTCACCGCGAGTGATGTTCGTGAAAGGAGGGCTGGGCATGGCAGGGCCGCTAGCGGAGATGATGCTGTTGACTGTTGCTTTTGTGAGTTTCCCAGCCTTGACGAGACTTGGTATGTCCTTTGTTAACTTACCATCAGACGTGATCTTGGTAGTGCTTGTGACTGTCGTGGCAGAACCGGACCCGGCAGAACCAACAACTGCGCACAAATTAGCGGAGGGCCTTGGGGAATTTGGGACGGTTCAGAGCGACATACCTGAAGTAGACTGGAAGCTGGTCTCGTTTCCGACAGTGATGGTGTCTGTGACAGTAGCTGTAGTCGCAGCCACCCCAGGGAAGGTGGTGCCAGTGACGTGGGTGAAATTGAAGCCATCCCAGCCCTCAGTCACGGTGACGGTGGGTGGTCCAGAGATCAAGGAGACGGTTTCCGTGATGGTCTTGACGAGCGAGACAGTGGCGGTCATGTTTCCATTACAAGCCTGAGCATCAACGACGGTAAGAAAGACGGCGAGCGCGTAAGAGAGGACGAACACGATCGCGTCCCAGGTAGTAGTGGTCGCCATGACGAACGAAGGAGGGGATCTTTGAACGAGTGTGAGTGTGTAGAGAACGAGTGTGGGATGGTGAACGGACGAAAAGGTGATGGGTTGGAGAGAGGATCCTGGATGAAATTGAAACACCGCAGGCTGGCTGAATGTGGGTTTGTATAGCCGGCGGCAGCGAATTCACGGCCTCACCTTGGCATGAATATGAAGTAGCATTCGGACCACCTGCTTTTCCTGGATGGTTGACATGTATTCACGTCTTCGGAGAAAATAGACGGCCTTCCCATCTGTCTCCTTTCATCAGACAGCAGAATCAATAAGCCTTCAAGCTCTCTGTGCAAGGTCGTGTATTGAGGCTCCTGGTTATGTAAGTTGTGCAACACCCTTAACTTCACAGCCTTGTCCTGAACGTGATGGGACACATTCGCAAGAGGCATCTCCCAACATTCTGCAGATAAGACTTGCAAAGATGAGGATGGGGACTGCTTGAACAGGAGAGCTTCATCGATCTCTATCACAGCAAAGCCCAACGAACAAAGCCCTCATATCTTTGAACTTAGGTTTGCATATGCCATGTATTCATACACTGACTTGGTTTGGCAGGTCTGCAAGGGATTGGCTCCGGATGTGCTCACCGTTGATCCTGGGCTTTCCCTTACGCCTGGGGACATCATTCATGAATATCTAGGTTCAGAGTCGATATGTCGGCAGGTCGCAGCAGTGAGCCACTTCATGAAAAAGACAAGGGAGATTCTCTTGACCGTCCATTGATCTCTGTCTTGCATGGCTTTTCTCGATTGCGTAATGACAATCAATCGCTGGCCGTCTGTGCAGCTAATTCTCTGGGTCTAGGTCTGGGTCTGTGTGTTCACCACTGAGCTCCATCACGAGTCCGGAGTGTTTTTACTGTCCGTTTTCAGTCTAACAAGGGCTCACGCTCGGGGAGAATTCGTCTTGCCTGGCTTGCTTGGGACCCATGAGCTCTCTATTGTGAGGTGTTTGATAGTTGGGCGCCTTCATACCATGGTCTAAGCTGTCTCTATCGCCAGGCGTCTAAGATGCCGGAACACCCACAGGCGTCAGATAATAAGCTCACAAGCTGATGAGATGATGGTCAGGTCTGCGAGATGATTGTCACTGAGGGAGGCGAGATGAAAGGAATGAGCAGGCGAGTGTCAGGGAGGTCAAAGGGAGGTCAACGGCGCGGGTGGAAATACCAAGGCGCTGCCAAGGCACCAAGACATTCCACCGGCGCCACCCTTCCTTCGTTGGGCGGCGGTAAGAATCTCATCCTATTACGTCCTACTTCGTCCTTGAACCTCCAATGTCATCTGGCACGAGTGACATCCAAGCCATTGTCCGAGGCTGTACGGAGGATTGGTCAAAGACATCACTGGCGTGGTGGTGGCTCGACTCATGGTAGGAATTGCAAAAAAAAGATGATTGATTGATCCGAGAGCAACCGTCAGAACTCCTCCAGTCGATACCCCGCGTGCTAGAACCAAGTCAGAAGAATCAGGTGCAAAATGCCGTCTCACGATCATCATCACCATGATGACTACGATCACGGCCATGGCCATGGTGCCGGTCACGAACACGATCATTCCCATGACCTCGAACCAGCGCTGCAATCAAACCTCTACAAGCAAATCAACTTCGAAGGCATCATTACCCTCAACGAGGCTGAACCGCGTTCAGGAGCCGCAATCGTGCAAAAGACTTGGGATGAGCGTCTGAATGAGCAGCCGACTCTCGAAAGCGATGCAGACGAGCAGCTGCTGATGCATGTGCCCTTTGCCGGATCGTGCAAGCTCTACTCCATCCTTGTCCGCACATCAGATTCCGACTCGGCGCCGCAGACGCTCAAACTCTTCCGTAATAGAGATGATATGGATTTCAACCTCGCATCAGACCTGAAGCCCACTCAGAAGCTGACCCTCCCTAAAAGCAACGACGTGACCGAGATCCCCTTGAACCGGGCTCTTTGGAACGGCACCACGTCGATCAACCTCTTCTTTGAGGACAACCATTCGGGCGGGGAGGAGGATGTGACTCGGGTTAGCTACCTAGGGTTCAAGGGAGATTTTATGGCACTTAACCGCGAACCAGTTTACGTGCTTTACGAGGCGGCGGCAAATCCTCGAGATCATAAGTTGATTCAGGGGTTGACCAACACCAACCAGTCCATGCCGGGCCAGTGAGAGCACAGTGAGAGCACCAACCAGGTCCGAAACTGAAAGGTCCTCAGGGGACTCAAAAGCACATGTTATACCAGACGCTAAAATGCATCACAAAGTGTACTACCATGACCAAAATCATAAAATGTATCTGAATCATGAAGCCTCCAAGGCCATTCTTCTCTGCCGGGCCCTTTCTTTCTGCTTGTGTATTCTCTCCTGTTCCAATTCCAGCTCCGTCTTGGGCACTTCTGGTAGAGTTCCCTCGCCCATTATCGTCTTGTTTGGAGCATCAGGGAGGCCGACAACCTCCCTTTCCATAGCCTCCAACTCATCTTCCACCTCGTCTTCATCCTCATTCGACATCTGGCCCGCCAACGCCTCGCTGATCTCCTGCTGATAGCGTCTCGCCTCCTCTGTCTCACCCATCATCTTCTCCACGCCTTCCAATCCGCCCATCTCCTTGTGGATCATGTTCAAGACCTGTGTCCCCTGTTGCAAGCCAAACAGCACGTCCTTTTGCACCAGCGCAAACTCGACGCTGCTGGTCAGTTTCTCCAACTGCTCCAGCTGCGCGTCCGTCTTGGAGAGGAGCGACTCTTGGTACTTCTTCCGGCGCAGGGCGAGGAGGGCTTTGGCCTTGTCGCCCTTGACCAGGCACTCCTTTGCGATCTCGGTCTCGCGCGTGGTGATGATGGTGATTCGTTTCTGGTATTGGCGCAGTTTGTCCCGCTGGTTTTTCATGTCCAGAATAGCCCTGGAGGAGAGGAAACACGACAAATTAGAATTGTTGGACAAGGGAAGAAGAAGATGTGTAAATGGGCGCCCGCTCAATCCCTATCGGGTCGATTGATCAACTTTACCTGTCCTGCGCCGAGATTTTATGGGCGCTTTGAGAGTTTCCCATGGCTGCTGCATGGCCGCCCTGCGCCGCGCGATTTGATCTGGCTGGCAAGGTCGAGTTACTTTTGAGACAATCGCTAAGACATGGGAGTTGTTGAGAGGTGAAAACGGACACCTGCTCGCCCTGCTCTCTCGGCAGCGGAACTACGTAATTCCCACGGACTGCCTGTTTCGGTTAGCGTACTGTGGGCAACAACTATTTGGTACACATGTCACTGCTTGATATTTTGCGATTCCTTCCCTCAGCAAACCACGAAAATTGATAGGAGAAGCACCGAACTACGCAAGATGCAGATCCCACCCACGATAGGGTGGCAGCTACTGGTGGTGATGCTGCTTCTGTTGCTGCCCGCCTAGTTCGAGACGATCCCGAGAAGAATCCAAACTCGCTCCACGACTTCCACATAGCACAACGAGGGCCCAAGAACGTTCCCGCGGTCGTGATGCCCGCCCCCCCCGTCAAACACTGAGGAAAGAAATTGCCCCGGGAATCCAGGTCCCTCCTACGCGCACACGGAACATGTAAGGTTGGACTCCTTCGATCAACGGGCTTCGAATGCCCCCTTCGGGTACGAGCACTTCGTCTCGCTCCCTCCGTCATACGCCGAAGACTCGGCCAAGGCGTGGCCATTGATTCTCTTCTTGCACGGCGCCGGAGAGTCTCAGCGTGGTAGGCACGAGTCATTCGCGTCCATACGTCACGGCGTGGCCAAGGTCATCCTTTGCTACGACAAGCTGAGAACCGATCCGGCGAATGAAATGCCCTCCATCAACGTCCCCTTGGCCCCTCGGCTGCGATGGAGAAGCAAGCGGACACAACAGCAGCACCAGGGCGATCGCTCCACGGAGCCCGTGCCAAAGGAGACCTGCGAACTGTTAGCCGGGAACTTCAATCACGGTCACGCCGTCGTTGAACATGGGCAACGGCTATGGGTGGAACGCGGCCGTCTTGTCGGCCCTGCTAGATGAGATCGTCGATCGCTACCGCGTCGACCCGGATAGGATTCATGTCACAGGCTTCAGCGTGGGTGGATATGGCACGTGGGATCTGGCCATGCATTCGCCGCATCGGTTCGCGACGCTGGTCCTGATTTGCGGTGGAGGGAATCATTTGCGAGTCAGTCATATCAAGCATGTGCCGCATTGGTGAGTTCTGGGCCGTTGACAGTGTTCTCCCGCCCGGAATTGCTAATGTTAATCATGTAGGGTCTTCCATGGCGATCGAGATGACATTATCCCGGTACAGGCATCGATTCAAATGGTCAACGCCTTGGATTAGGTAAATGCTAGGGAAGTCAACTTCAAAAGATACCCAGATCTCATGCACGATAGCTGGACTCCAACGCACATTAATCCCGATTTGTGTCGATGGATGCTGGCTCACAGGAGGGCAATCATGGGAGACGAGGGAGGCGCTCCGACCGAGAATAAAGCCGTTTCAAGTCAAGAACGAGCAGAAGACGTTTGATGGGACTCATTTTGCATTTTCAACCCATTTGCCAACCCACACCGTCTTCCCCCCCCCCCCCCCCTGTGTCCGCCCACGTCTAGCTTCATCAACAAATTTTCATTTTGTATCATCTTAACGCTCTGAATCAATCCCATCCAGCAACATGACGTCCGACTCGCCCCTCCTTTTGTGCGCGCAGAAATTGGGCCTGCTCAGTAATAATACCTTGGTGGCCTGTAGATATTATTGACGACGACTCGATTGTTGGCAAGAGCACGGGCGAAGGCAGTGGCGTTGTTCCGGTTGAATTGATTGGTGCCTCTTCGGTATCTGTAGTCGCCACTGTCGTCGGACCTGAAGATTCATCCAGACAAAGGACGCCAATCAGCTCTGTTGCTGCAACAACGCCTACTGATTTTGCCTTCAACATGGGTATATTCTTACCAATAATCGGAATGGGAGTCATAGTCCCATGACGCGGGCCGCGGGTATGGACGTCGGGGGCGGTGTTGGTATGGAGGGACGTGGAATGTTGCGCCGATGCCATACCCGAGATAGATGGCTTCGCCGTCACGTCTGCGTCCATGCCCACGTCCACGAGCGCGCGTGAAGAGGAGCGGCTCGTGCCAGCCGTCGGGATGGTACCGCCAGATCTCCATGATTTTACTGTTCTGAGGAATGTCGAAGGCGGTTCTACTGGGCTCGGTTGTGGATTTTTTCCCCCTTGACAAAGTCGCGAGAGTATCCACGGCGTACTTATATGCCTTGGAATTGCTGCAATAGTACACTTGTTGCTTGTACCCTGGGGGATGCAGGGGCCTTTGTATGTAGAAAATGATGGTGAAAACAAAAGGTCAATCAAACGTCCAGGTCAATCAAAAGAAAGGGGCAGTTTGCAAACCATCTTTTCTTGGTGGTCAGGATGTTGGGATAAACGCCGGAGCAGCAGCACAAAGATCAATGTGCTTCATTCGCGCCTTTTGCTTTTGTCATACGCCCTGAAGCAGCGCCGTTTGGCCCATGCATGCAGGGGATTTGAATGCCCATTATGGCACATGTTGTTTGCTGGCGTCTTTGATGCAACACATGGGCCACTTTCAGGTAAGGCAGGCAGTGTATTTTGGTACCACATGGACAACTCGATCTCTTCTCTGTACTGGATCCTTGGAATCTCCGTAGAGGGGAAAAGGAAAAGAATATTAACTACAGTGACCACCCCGAGCGGGTGACAAAAAAAAAGGTGGCACCGCCTGCGCCGTCAGATAACCGTCAGACAGCCGTCAGACAGCACCAATTCCCTGGCTATTGATCTTTGAGATCAATTTCCACCTGATATTTTTTAGATGGCGATCGATGATATTGATATCATTCAGTAGCCCAAGTGCTTGAGACCATAGCTAGAAGACTAGAAGATAAAATGTCTACTGTTGTTACCTATTATCTGGAGTAAAATGGGGGAATAAACAACATCCATTATGGCCATTCTTTCGCTGTGCCACTTTTTTTTTTGTCAGCCCGGCTCGCACCATTACTGTCAAATAGGGCGCGACGTCATGTTCTTGGCAGTTTCTATTACAACACACCTGGGAAATGCCGCTCGTTGGGGCTAGAAAGCCAAAAAAAAAAGGCCAAAAAAATAATTGATACACACCATTCCCTAAATCAATCCAAGAAATGCAAAAAGCAAAAATCGACACCAGTCGGATTTGAACCGACGCCTCCGAAGAGATGTGATTTCGGGAATAAATTCTAGTCACACGCCTTAACCGCTCGGCCATAGTGTCTATGCGAAATGAGACGTGCTCTTTGGTAAGAAATTTCGAAAGTGTGATTAATATAGCAAGTCAAATTCTGGCCGAAAACTGGCCGGTAACCGAGGCTTAGAGGCTCTTGGTTGGCGGATTGGCTCGCCTCCACATCCTGCTAAGACTCGCCTAATAAACTCCTTCCCCCTTGATGAATTCATTTACTGTACCAAGTACAGTACCCTTGGTGCTGTTGACAGGGCAAGACAGGGTCGCAAGATCGCCACTGTGGCAAACCACCTGAGACGCTAGCTGTCTCACCAACTGCGCCACTTACCTCAACACCGTTCTCGTCGATCTGCGATAGCATGACGACGGAATAGGAGGTTTCAGGAATGGCCTTCAGATCACAGGCCAAAGTGTATATAAACAGGCAGAGTCTCTCTGAGTAGGCAGGGGGGCAAGACACAATCAATCAGATAGAACCACTCCTGTTCTGTGTACAACAGGTGCCCTCACCTTACGTCTCTACGCCATCAGACATCCCATGGCCTCTCATCACTCTTGGATGTATAGTCTCCCATCGCTCGAGGCAGAACCTATGGGTTCCTAGTAGAGGTACGTGCAGAGCTGCCTTTCACAGCGTCCAGCGCAGACGTTGAACAAAGTCTCCAATTTATCCACTCAGCCTGCCCAAGGCACATGTCTGAAACAACAGGCGTGATATATTTTGAGAACTATCCTGGAATGATATCGCCTTGCTTGGCCGTCCGTCACTGAGACGGATCCAACACTTTCACCAGGGATATCGGGTCTCTGCCGAGGTGAACGTCGCATGTTGACCATCCTTGTCCGTGTCCACGACTAATCGACATGCCTCGATCGCACCATCAGCAGCTTTGCCGGCATTCTTGTTATAGCCGTTCAAGTTGGTGGCTCTATGGCCCGGGCAAACCGTGTTGACTTTGAAACCTTCCTTTCCCAGTTGAACCGCATACAGAGCCCCGAGCATATTCTCGGCGCACTTCGATACTATATATCCCTTGACTTGGGGCGGATTCCCTAACCCGTAAAACGGGAAGGTAGGGTCCAAAGTGAGGGTGATGGACCCCAGACTAGACGACATGAAGATGAGTCGAGGGACCTGAGCTTTTCGCAATAGTGGAATAAACGCTTCCGTGACGCATGCGGCGCTGATTGCGTTGGTTTGAATCACTCGAGTCATATTCTCGCGGAAGCTCACGCCGTTGACACGACTGATGCCGGCGTTGTTGAGCAGGACGTCAAGCCGACCAAACTTCTCTTCAACAAGCTTGGCAGCTCGGGCGATGGAGTCGTCGTCGTCGACGTCGAGCTCGAGGGGTTCAACAGATGTTCCTCGAGCCAGATCCGCGATGCTGCGGGTTGCTTCTTTCCCCCTGTCCAGGCTTCGAGAGCCGAGCAGGAGATGATAATCGACTTGTTCAGCGGCCAGCTTCTTGACGCACTCAAAGCCGATCCCTTGATTTGCACCGGTTATGAGAACGACGGTATGATCTGGTGAGATTGACACCATGTTTGGAGGTGGAATTTGGATCTCTGGTAGTGACTTTCAGCTCTTTTTCTGCTTTGTTGATAGACAGGTTGATTCGACTTTTTGCAGAAAATCCTCCCCTTTTTGTACCCTGCCCTTCCTCGAATCCCATCGGACTTATCGTACCTTGTGGGCCTTGAGTTTGTCTCTTTCCATCATGACTTCCATTGCAAAATCTCTGCATCATCTGGTCTTGACCGAGCCTTGTGTCTCAAGGCGGCACATCAGTGGACACGCGATGGAGAGACTTTCGACCGCGATATGCAGCTAATGTCTAGTTCGCGAGCGGACCAATCGCATCTTTCGGGCTTAAGTTGCGGATTTATGTATCAAATGGCATTGCTTACCTCCTTGGTAGAACTAGGTTTGGTGTTTCTCCCTGCGGAGACACGGTCCTAAGTCGATCTTCGGCCCAAAAGTCGGACAGGGTACCAAGGATGTCTCTCTGATGTCGAAATCTACTACCAACGCCGGTCGACCTCAGCCCGACTATCAAGAAGGGCGTATCTGGTGGCAGTGCCAGTCGTCCTGTTCACGCATTTGAAAGCGAAAGATGGTCCAGGTGTTGGATCCGGCTACTCACGAAACGAAGATCAGCCCGCCGAGGCGACGTGGGAAGGCTTGTATTACTTGCAAGTATGTGGTCAGAAACCCTTTCGACGACTGTCCGATTCACTTACTCGACGAAAAGAATCAGGCGCGTCAAATGTGACTATGGCCAACCATCATGTAACCGGTGTCTGAACACAGGGCGGAAATGCGATGGCTATCCAACGCCTCAGGAAAAGGGACAAGATCAGGGCCCTGTGGCCGTCCTGCTGGTAATGAACTCTCCTGTTCCTTCGCAATGCGACCCTGAAGCCTCGACGGCAATTCGATTCTTCATCCGAGTCTGTGCCCCGGCGATGCTGAACTATGGAAGTTACCACTTTTGGAACGAGCTCGTGCTGCAAGCTTGCCATGTCGACGAGAGTATCAAGCACCTCACTATTGCGGCCTCCCGAATAGGGTCGCATCGACTGCTTCAGCCATGTAAGCCACCTACTGACAAGGATACCGTCTTCCTTGCACACTACGGCAGAGCATTGAAATTGCTCACTCGAAGCAAGAACCCTGATCCAGGCTTCTTACTCATGGCATGCCTGCTGCTCGTCCTCTGCGATGAGTTCCAGGATAATTCATTCGCAGCTGTCCAGCATCTCATCGCCGGCCGGAAAATCCTCACGGCGTACCAGCCGACAGCGCCGTCGCCCCAGCGCAACGCGACCATCGCGGAACTTGACCAGATCTTCTCCGCACTCGAGCTGCACACCAGCGAGCTCTATCATATCACTAGGCCACAATCCAGGTCCTGGTGGTCACCCAGTTGCAGAGCTGAAGCCGTCCCGGAGAACTTCCACGGTCACCCGCACCTCGACCCAAGGCAGGTCTGGCCACGTATCGAAGAAGAAGCCCGCGCTTTGCAAGACATTGCCTTTGAATGTACGGCGCTGCAACTAGAGGGAGCGCCTCCCCAGACGAGATTCCAAATCGTTCCGGGTCTCACCGCCAAGCTCAACGCCTGGCTGGACCAGCTCACGACGTTCGAATCTAGCATGTACGCCCACCTCACATCCGCAATGCTCACGGACCTGCACTTGCTCAGGACGTACCACCTCTGCCTCCACATCTTGTCGCGCTGCGACCCGTTCAGGCAGGAGGTGGCGTTCGACACGTACGCGGGCAATCTCGAGCACATTGTCGTGAGCTGCGGCCTGCTGATCCGGCGCCGCAAGATCCGCCTCGTGCCCGTCCTGTTCTTCGTGGCCACGCGATACCGCAACGCAAGTTTCCGCCGCAGAGCCATCGACCTGCTCCGCCAGTGCGGGCTGGACGGCCAGATCCTGACCAAGATCGCCCTAAGGGTCGTCCGGATTGAGGAGAGAGGCCTCAGCGCGCCCATCGTCAGCTCTGATGTCCCCGAGGACAATCGCGTGAGATTGGTTGATATCGTCTTTGATGGCGCCGACACGCGAAAGTATCTTTTGCATTTCACTCGTCATCCCTACAGCGCGGCTGGTGACGGCGACAGAGTCCCCCTGGAGGAAACCGTCCTGTCGAGCCAGGCGTGCTCTTGGGCCGTTCAACCTCAGACACCTTCGCATGCGGTTAGTCAGCCTTTTCTTTGGTTTTCCCCTTCCCCCTTTTTTTTTTTTTTCTTTTTTTCCAGAAAATACCCTGCCTCGATTAATGTGGGGGCGGGCACTTGGATGTGTGTATTCGTGAGTGTATGCTCTGGCGGACTGCTGAGACTTACTTGCAGACCGGACTGCTCAATGCTGTTCTGAGATTTGACTTCATGGCATTTTGGAACCAGGAGGATCCGGCATTTACCCTCCCGGCAGGGTTTGGTCTATTGTGATTCCAATGGAGACTATATTTGGCCCGAGCTACCCTGTCAAATATTTACCTGTATACCATCAACTTTTCTTTTTTGGAGGTTTGCTCCGCGCACTTCCTTATTGCCTCTTCCTCGCTGTCTTCCTTCTACGCCGCCCCACCCATCTCAATCTTCTTCCCCTTGACGCTCTTCCATTCAAAGCCCAGCGAGAACAAAAAAGCGATGCTCGCGCACGCGATAGACAGGATGTACGAGTGCGTGACGGCGATGTTGTAGGCGTACAGCACGCCGGCGAGCTGGGAGGGCGGGGTGACCTCGCGGATGTGGGTGGCGCCAGCCATGATGATGGTCTGCGGGTTAATTCCCGTGGTGTAGCGGGGGATTTCCTTGACCAGGGTGTTGGAGAAGATATTCTGGGCGATGGAGATGGAGATGGCGCCGCCCAGTGAGTTGAAGAAGATGGCGACGGCGTTGCCGACGGGCATGTCTCGCTTGTTCAGCACCACCTGCACCGCAATGAAGGGGATCTGCACGCACGCGCCCGCTCCGAACCCCGCCAGGATCTGGTATCCGATCCACGTCCCCGTCGACGAGTGCACCTTCAGGCTGTACAGCATGCCCGACCCGACGGCGAAGACGGCCGAGCCCACCCAGGTGAACGGCACGTAGGGCCCCAACGTGGTGATGCTGGCGCCCACCACGATGGACGATATGGTGATGCTGACCAGGTACGGGATCGTGCGGATCCCGGACTCCTCTGCCGTCGTGCCCTTGACGGCCTGGAAGTAGAACGGCAGGTAGTAGATGTGCGTGTACAAGCCCATGGCGAGGAAGGCGGAGAAGAACGCGCAGACGAACACGGTGCGTTGTCGGAGCATGATCCGCGGTGGCAGCGTGGCCAGGTCGCCCTTCCACAGCTGTATACCCGTGAAGACAATGATCAACAGCCCAAAGCCCAGGATGCAGCCCCAGACCTTCGAGTTAGACCACGCGTACGTCACGCCACCCCATTGCAACGCTAACAAGAGGCAGACGATGGCGCAGATCAGGAAGAACGCACCGAGAAGGTCGAGCTGGCCGATCTTCTGCCGCAAGGTCAAGTTGCTGTGTCTGCGCTCGGGGTTCTTGAAGAAGAAGAAGACGGCTGCGATGGCGATCGCGCCAATGGGGAGGTTGATGTAGAAGCACCAGCGCCACGATACGCCTACGAGGTGGGAGGTAGGTCAGCAAGACAATCGCTTTTCGTTAGGAATCTTGTTGAAAATCAGTAGCGAATTGCCCACTCACGGTCGGTGAACGCTCCTCCTAGAATCGGTCCGACAACAGATGCAATACCGAACATGGAGCTTAACAGACCGATATAGATCGGCCTCTTCCGCAGGGGTACAGAATAGGCCACAATTGTCATGCCGCCGGAGAATATCGCAGCAGCCCCAACTCCAGCCACGGCCCGGCCCACGATCAGCATGGTCGAGTTCGTCGCTGCACCGCACAGCACGGAGCCGACCTCGAAGATAAACAGGGCGCACATGTACGTCCACTTGACGTTGAAATAGGTGTATATCTTCCCAAAGGACGGCTGCAGCGAGGTCGTCGTGAGCAGGTACGAGGAGCCATACCAGCCGACATCGCCCAGGGAGTTGAAGACAGTGGTTATCCTCGGAATGGCGGTTGCGATGATGGTGTTGTCCAGAGCGATGACGAATGTTGATAGAGTCAGGCCGAACGTCAAGAGATGCAAGGGCAGCCCTTTGGCGTACTTTGACTCATCATCTTCTCCGGGTTCGCCTGCATCCGAGGTAGCTGTTGAAGCTCTGCGGGTTACTTCTTCTTCGGTTGTGTCTAGCACGGTCTTCTCATCTGTGGGCGCCGCACCAGAGATATCTTCTCGAGGCGTGACTGCTGGATTTGACGGCGACTCGAGTGTTCCAGGCTCCGCTGCATTCGAATCAATTGAAATTGGTTCCTTCTCGGGATCAAGAGTTTCCGTCGAGAGCGGCTGTTCTGAAGGAGTGCTGAGGTGGCTATCCTGAACACCCGAGTCCGATGACTTGTCCACTTCTCTGGACTTCGACCAAGGAAACTTCATCCCGTGATGTTGAGTGAGATTGGAGGTGTAATTAGCAGACAGAGATATACCGAGGAGTGTGGCACAGTCGGCTCAATAACACGCTGGGACCGAACAATACCAAACCGCTGCATATCGAAATACGAAGAAGCGGCAAACATGAAACATCCAGAAAAACATTGACAAACCTGGGAGGGTTCATCACGACATTTCAGATCGTCCACGAGCTTCTCTCGGAACGATGACCATCCGATCATAACCCAGGTAACTCCGTACTTCGGTAAGTGCAAAAGATTGGACAGGTCAGGCTTCGACGCCGTCCGGTGGAAAAACCAAGGGTGACAAACCAATGGTACGACGTGATCCCCCAGGCGAAGGAGATGACCCGTCTAGAAAAGCCAACTAGTAGAGCTCGCTTGCGATGCGATGGGAGGTGGCTCCCCATCAGCGCCCCCATTCCAAGAGTCGTAAACCATTCCAGTCCCGGCTATGAAGTCGTCTGGTGGATAGCGGTGGGCGAGGAGGAAGAGTTGCAAGCGAAGCCGAGGTTCAAGCACGAGCCATCGTTGGATCAGGTAAAGCACACGACGGTGGCCTCGTATTTCGGGCTAGTGAGGCCATGGATTGCCGCTGGGTCTAGTGGGCCGGTGTTGGCGGCTGCGGTGAGCATTGCGCCATCAGGATGACGGCGCTGAGACCTTTTTCTGGAGGAGGACTGAGGTTAATTGAACTTCGATTTGACTCTAACAGTGATGCCGACATGGGAATGTGCTTCATGAGAAACCAGGAGACGCAATGTGGTAAAATCTGAGATATGTATATGTGGTTGAGGAAGGAAAGGAGTATGGAAGATGGAGATGACCAGCCTGGACTCTGCCAGCCCCTTTACACTCAGATTGAGACGCGGGACTCACATCACATGCGATGTCTCATTCACTCTTCAAGTGGGACATAAACAAAGAAACGAAAAATTCCATGGCATCTTTTTCCAATCCGCAACTCCTGCCAGCTTGGTGACTGGGAAATCCATCCCATTTCAACAAGTGGTGGTGCTCCGGCTTGTCTTGATGTCATCCAATCTTCCAGCATCTGTCCTTTCTCTCCTTCCCCAGTGGAGGAGATGATGGCAGAGAGAAAAGTTGTGACTTGTTCGAGAGACTACGAGCGACGACAAGCACCATCTGACACTACATACAAGAAAAGCTTCCAGGACCGCTTCACGAAGCGTACGCTGGAGTGGTTTCTCTCCGTTTGAACTGAGAGATTTTGCTGCCCACGAATCTGGCAAGAGGAAGGAGGTTTCCTTTCTTTTATTGTGTGTGCGTGTGTGGAAAAGGAGATTGTGTGTCCGATGGTCCAGTACTGCCTCACCCGGCTGGGGCAATGCGTTCTCTTGCTTCTGCTTCTTCTCATGTCGCACGCTGTCGCAACCTCTTTCCTGTTCTCTTTTGCTGTGTCCTCGATTCCCTCTACCATTGGGGCTTGGGTTGCCTCCTGAGCCTGCACTCTCTTGTGCCTGCAGTTTGGGACTGATATCCATTCTCTATCCATAACATGCCCGGTCGATGATTTCCGTCACTGCGGAATACCCTCGCAAGACTTTGAGTGACACAGCCGTGTTCTCAAATTCTAGGGTGTGTTATCTGCCTTTGGAACTCCACGAGCGAACACATGTGCCCCGTGACAGTGCCTCAGGACGCCGACAGACGGTAAAAATCACATTGGTCGAGAACTCGCTCTCATCTCGTAAAGCCTCGTAACTATTATACAACGCGCTTGACCTGTGACGCAGACAACGGTCAGCCAAAGTTCCCACTTTCCTTTTGGGTCCAGCCGGATTTTCGATCAGACAATATCCCCGCCCCACCGGCACAACAAGGCTCAAAGAGGGCGTAAAACCACAGAATCATGGGAGGGGTCGGCTATTCACCTCGAAGAACCGCTTCAACCACCACACTTGGAATACTCCTTCTCCTATCAACACGCCCAGTTGGAATATCGACCACCATTTGACTCTTGAATTCGTGCTTTCTGCGGTATTTCGGTGTGTTCGCTCGCGGACGACGATGTAAGCTTGCTCATCTTTGACTTGAGCCAGGAGATCGGAGAGTTGGCGGACTAATCGAACCAGTTAGTCTCTGTGCTTGTCTCGGTGGGCCCCCGAGGATGTTGGGACGAACCTTCAGTTTCCAGCGGATCTTGAGGTGCCTCGGATTCCGGGACATAGACAATGCCGTGGACGTTGAAGGAGACCTCCTTGCTGTTGGCGGACCAATGCTCGTTGCTGAAGCAGTAGATGTATTTCCCATCCATGCGGGCATCGAACGAGTAGTCGCCCGACGAGACCGAGTTGAGTTGTGTTTCGTAAGAGCCAGAAGGATCGGTGATCTAGACGCACATATCCTCAAGGGTTAGCGGGGACGTCTCGATGTTGGGATGGGCACGACTGGTGACACAGGGGCGCAGCATACGTAGAAATCAATCTCCAAGTTACCAGCACCTCCGAACTCGCGGTCGCCCACTTGGAAGGTCACCGTCATCTTGTCGTCCTTGTGCAATTCCTCGTGGAAACATTCTCTTGTGTGTGCTTTCAGAGCGATGTTGTGCGCCAGGCCTGCCCCTATCCAACCTGCAAACGCGGCAGAAGCCGCTGCTCTGCCAAAGTGCATTCTTCTTGCGGCTGCCGAGTTGAATCTCTCTGGTAGTATGAGGGGAGGGATGCAGGGTATCGGGCCTGTTCGATGGGGAGGTGTTTGACGGGAGAGTCGAGAGTCGAGTAGAGAAGGATTGAGAAATCACCACAACCAAAAAAAAGTACCCAAGAAGTGTCCTCATTGACGTGGACTGCAACTCCGCAGGTTTTGTCCCTTGCTCCCAAGGGTCTCGACTTTGGCCAATCGGACCCGCGCTTGGCATGGGGCGCCCCTTTTCATCGCGTCGCCCATGTCCCTGTCTTGCCCTGTCCTTGCCCTGTCGTGTCCAATATCTGAGAGTCACTGAAACTCTTGAGCATAGCACGGTGAGTTACAAACATGTCCGAATTCCTGCCGCCGCTCGGCGTGTTCTAACATACGGGTCATCCTAACGGCATGTGTTGCCAACATGGCCAACTCTTCACTGCCGGTCACATGTGACAATGCAATTAAAACTAGAGTAATATCTTCCCCTTCCCGGCCTTTTGTTTTCGTAGGAAAGCCTCTCTGCCACTCTATTAATTCTGCCATCTCCGTGAATCCAACGCTGCAATACTCTTGCTTCTCTGCTAGGCGCTTCTCCAGTCGTCACAATGTCTTTTACAATGTGGTACACCAAACCTGACGGCACCAAAAAACCAATCAAGATGTCCATCTGGGATGCTATGAAGGGTGTCCCAGATCCGAAACCGAGAAAGCCAAAACCAAAGCCGGTGAGGAACCTAGCCACTAAAGTCAACCGCCATAGTCCTTGGATGGAGGCTGCGAGGGGCTGGAAGTGCTGATGGTTTTTAGTGTTTGTGCTGTGGAAAGACTCACGTCAAGGATCAGCCCAACGAAGACAGCAAATGGGACGAAAAGAAGGATTCCAATGACAAGGCCAAGGACAACAGCAACAAAGGCAATGATGACACCGAGGGGAACAGCAAGAACGAGGTCTCTGATCTTACCGAGGACGATCGGACCATGCTCCGTATGAAAAGCGAGAACCACCAGGCCCAATGGAAGGATATCCTCGCAGCTACCACCAGCTTCAAGAATGTGGGCGAGCTCAAGGCACGTTGGAGGCAGATAAACCACCGATTCGAAGCTGGAAATAAGGACAATTCCAACGGGGGCAAGAAGGATGAGGACGCGGAGAGGGAAGAGAGGGCTAGGAGGGATCGTGAAGAAGGCTTGAAGAGGAAAGCCGAAAGGGAAGCTACTAGAGCCAAGAAGGAAGAAGAGGAAAAGAAGGCAGAGGGGCAGAAAAAAGATGGCACCAGATCTGATAAGAAGGCATGCCCGAGCGAAGAATACCTTGACCGGCTGTCCGCGGACTAACTGTAGACAGGACCATGACACCAAATCCGCGACATCGGACGGCAACGCGAAGAAATCCAGCTCGTCACCACACAGTCTGAAAGCGTGGGCCGACAACTATGACAAGAAGAAATGGCAGATCATGGCTTCGAAACACTATGACAAGACAGGCGAGCGCATCACTGCCAGCCAGGCTCGGAAGCTTGCTGAGGCAAAGTGATGTGACGAGGACGAGGGAATGCTGGTGTCAAGGACTTCCCAGCTACGCCACGAGACTGGTCAAGGCACTCTTACTGCGATAGATTGGTTGGTTAGGATTCAAAACGAGATGCCTGCGTCGACCACCCCGGGTCTCCAGGCAGGCAATTGGAAATAGAGCATACATACCACTTCCTGACTCTCTCGTTGATTGATTGATTGATTCTCTGTTGTTGGTGGCTGGAGGAAGCCAAGACCTCGCGAGGCTGACAGCCCCCTTTTTTTCCGAGTACTCATCCACCCTCCAGATACTGCTCCCTATACTGGGCGAATTTTGCAGACAACCCTTGTCTACGAGAGAAGGGAAGAGAATACGAGGGGGGGGCCGAACACAAGCCTGTTCTGGCATCCTCCGCACCTCCACAAAGATTGCGGGGGAAAAGGCGATGATCTTGCCTTGTCGACACGAGCACCATCCTTTCAGGCTGAATTCCGGCATCTCTCAAATATCCCCGTCAATAGTATCAGCTTCCAAATCAGTCGAGGACCCGATGTCAATGACGCGTCGAATCAAGCCATTTATTTGTCCCAACCCTACCTAGCACCACCCAAGGGCCGCGCAAACGATGGCGCTCCTGATCACCTTTTATCGCCATTGGGCCGGGTTGCAGGCTTCCTTTCCCTGGACCAACAGTCCTATCGACCGTCCTCCGCCTCGAATTTGGAGGGCTCTGTGAATTTCGCCGCGACGATGGATCAAGTTGAGCCCGCAGTGGGTAGGTTCGGTTCTGCGGGCGGATGGGATGAAAAAGAGGCAAAATGCGGACGTTCATCCTCCAGCTGTGAGAGGGTATAAAGAGCTTTCTCGGCAGCTATTTCAACCCTATCCATCTTGTTGACGGGTACTATTGATACAAACTGGGCTGCTCATTCAAAATGAAGTCCTTCCCCCCTGCAGGATTTCTTGCCCTCGGTGTTGCTTTGCTCACCTCGTCTACCACATGCTCGATTCTCCCACGCCAGAGCAACAGCAAGCCATGGTCGGTTAAAAACTTCAACTCTCTCATCTTGTTCGGTGACAGCTATACGGATGAATCTCGCTTGGGGTGGTTCATCAATCACAATGGGTCTGCGCCACCTGCCGGGACTTTGTTGCCAGAAACTTTCAGTGCACCTGGTGGAGGGCGCACCTGGCCCAGATACGTGGTACAGTATACTGGAGCGACCGTGCTGGGAAAGTGGACTCCTCAGATGACGCTGTACGACTACGCCGTCTCAGGGGCTGTCTGTTCCAACAACATTACCCCGAGGTTGGTCTATTATTTACTTATTTCCGGAGAGCCATCCTGACAAGACGCTCCTCCTAGATGGTTCCCAGCGATCGACGCTCCATTCCCCTCCGTGCTTGAGTACGAGGTTCCGGCCTTCGTCGCCGATATCCCAGCGGCACGAGTCAATTCCACTCCGGCCGTCCAACTTTTCACACCCAAGTTGACAGCCCAGGACGCCGTCTACGCACTGTGGATCGGCACCAACGACCTCGGCGTCTACGCGTTCCTAACCGACTCACAGATCCCAGGCAATGTCCTCTCCGACTACACGTCGTGCGTCTACAGCGTCTTTGACAAACTCTACGCCAGCGGCGCCAGGCACTTCGTCCTGATGAACACCGTCCCTCTGAACCTAGCCCCCTTGTACGCCAATGACTCCTCCCACGGTGTCGGCCCGAACCAGTACTGGGCGAACAAGACGGCAAACCACACCGAGATCGCGTACACGATGCAACAGTTCACCACCACGGTCAACAACGTGTTCAGGTATCAGACGCCCTACGAGCTCCTGGTGGCGAAGCGCTACCCGGGTGCCCGCTTTGCCCTCTTCGACACCCACGCACTCATAACGGACATCTACAACAGCCCCGGCAAATACCTGAACGGCACGGGTGTGGCCAAGGGCGGAGAATGTGTCTGGGGCTACGAGAACCACTGCACCGTGGACCAGAAGACGTGTGTGAAGAGACAGAACGGCACGAATCCCGATGGATATTTGTGGTTTGACGAGTTGCATCCTAGGTGAGTTTTGCGTTAATTTGCCCACTTTATCCGTTTCCCTTCCTCTCACCTACTTCCTTTGCTCTTCTCCATTCAAGTGAGAAGAAGAGTGGGGGTGAATGCGAGAGAGTTGGCTTCGAGCATGACAGCTCGAGATTATGGGACAGAAGAAAATGCTAATCTATTGCATTTCTTGCCGCGCAGCGAACAAACTGACCGGATCATCGCGCGGAATTTCGTCCTGGTCCTGAACGGCACGTCCAAATATGCCACGTATTACTGAGCGAGCGAGCGAGGCCCAGTCTCAGACGGATACTTGGCATGGATAGTAATCCGGCGTTGGAGGGGATGGGATGGGACGGGCTTCTTATGGTGTGGAATGCTATGCGAGAATGCGGCGTGGGATGGCGATGGGCATCGTAGGTATGTTTGGGTTGGGTGCAGTTGGTACGTTGAGCTTATGGTATGGTATTGGAGGATACGATATGACACCACATGGCATGAATCCATGGGATGGGATGGATCACCAAGCCTGACTGACTGACTGACTGACTGGCTGGCTGGCTGGCTGAATGGACGGACGGGCCCACGAATGAATGAATGAATGAATGAATGAACGAACAAACGAACAACGCCATCGACAACGACAACGACAAATGGCCCTGATCCTCTCCATCCTGCATCCCCCGCCTGGCTCAGCCAGTGGAACCATATCCACGTATATCGTATGCGGAAAGGGGTTGGTTCACCCCGCCTCGCGCGTCGTCCTCGGGGAGCGAAGGAGGGATCAGGCTGGAAGGACATATCATATTATATCCTCCATACCGTTGCGTGTGTACCTATTCACGTATACACGTATGCCCGAGACGGACATACACCGAGGAAACAAGCTCGTCGTGCTACGTTGTCCGTCCCGCCAGCCAAGCAACCAGAAATACAGAATCACCGCCGGAAGGGAAAGGACGAAGCGTGTACCACGAAGCACGAACCGTGATTCAATACCGGAAGTACTTATACTGTAGGTAGGTATATAGAGTATGGTATGGAGTTAGGTAGGTAGGGATGTGCTGAAGTGTCGATCAAGTCTTTTCATTGTCGGCAGCTATGAGTACTTATTTATCTAGCTATCTATTTTTGTGTTGTTCCTGCCTTCGCCGGTTAGGTCCATCCGTCGTGTCCAAGTTTCTCAAAAGAAACTCTGAGCCGTAGTACAATTCTGCCCCAGTTCAATGGCGATGTCCTTGCGCCTTGCCTTGCGCCTTTGTCGCCATAGAGATAACATTGCCCATTCCCCAAAAGACACCGCTCGACTGAAAGATTCCGCCCGGTCGTAAGTGATGTCGTAGTCATCCACGAGCAAGGATGCTTGTAGCATGGTTCGTGGCTTAAAAGTTCTCGTCATCGACTCTGTTGTCGATTCCTCCGACCCACCAAACTGCCGCATTGATGATGTTCTCGATGACTTCCAGGTCTTCATTGTTCCTCGGTGCATATAGCAGAACCTGAGAGCCCTCGACGGGGCTCGGCTGGTTCGCGCTAAAGAAGCGCATAACCCGAGACCCAACGCGGCCGGACAGGGGATGTCTTTGACCCCACCCCTTCTCAATCACCGTCTTGACATCACTAGGATGGAGTGTTGAATGAATAAAACCATCTTCGGTGTTGGCACTGAGGATCTCCCCGTAGTACTTTGTCTCGTTGAAGGCGCGGTGGCGGGCGTACAGAGAGGTTGGAGACTCGGGCTCAAACGTGGAGCGGCCTAGGTAGGTGGATTGTGGGTAACGGGAGGGGATGTCGACAATCAGGTTGCGGAGGCGGTCCTCTACATCCTTTTGTTCCCATGGGGGAAGTTGCGTCTTCTGGATGGGACTACTGATGCCTTCGACCTCAGGGCGAGAGCCACGGCGGTGAGGAAGACTCTCCAAGTAGCCTCGCGAAGATAGGGTGGTGGGGTTTGACGGAGGACTGAGTGGGTCTGAGACGGAGAGGATGTTGAGGAAGCGTTCGAAGGTCCTCTGGAAGCTAGCCTCGAGAGCCTTGCCAGGTTTTGTAGAGAGGAAAGGCTTGATGTCGAGCTTGATGAACTTGAGGAGACATGTGACGATGGTGGAGCCGATCAGGATGGACGAGGCCACATAGAAGAGATTGGGCGCCCACAAGGCTGGCATGTAGAAGGCCATGTTAGAGTTGCTGTGTTGGTTGTTCGTGTTCCTCTTGATGAGATGGATGCCCGAGAAAGTCTCTCAACACGAGATTGAACAGGTAGATAACAGAACGTGCCACGAATTTCACTGGGAAGTCACAGTCAAGCCCGATGCTTGAAGAAGACATGGACAAATGACAACCTTTCACCGGTTTCTTTATACTTTTTCAACCCTTTTCTATCGGCGTTTCCATCACCCAAGACTCCGAGAAAGGCTCGTTGGAGGAGGCATGGCAGGGCAAGGACGAAACAGAGTGGCCACGGAATGACGCGTATCGCACTAGGTTTCCAGTTTGCGAAGACCTGAATAGAGACTGTTAAGCTGAAGAGCTTTACATCGCCAGAGACGCGGCTCCTCAGCTACCGAAGACGGAATAAGGCATGATGGAGCCAGCTGGTTGGGTGACCCAGATGGAAGCCGTCGGCTAGGGTGCATGGAACGTGTGGTTCTGCCTGTGTCAAGGGTGAAGGGCGTGAGTGGGCTGATGCCTGGCCGCGGCACGGATGACACCGTGTGGCAATAGTTGTATGTACAGTAGATGAAGCGGGTTGTGATCTGATAAGGGGGGTATGTACTGTACTGTAGTTGTGAATGTGAGGGCTGATGGATTGTTACTGGCGAGTGGGTAGAGACGAGGGAAAAAGGACGCCAAGAGGCTTCAGGCAGCGACATCGGCATGTCGGAGCTTCGGGGATTTTCCGCCCGACACACAAATTCTCCAACTGCTTCACTCCTTCTCCGTCCCTTTCCTTTGCCCGTCTTCCCTCATTACCACCCTACATATGTATTCACGCTCTCTGCTCTCTGCCACTTGGCCTCGGCCACTCTGCGAGTGGCCACTCCTCCCTTCTCCCTTCTCCCTCCTGCCGTCGACTGTCATTCGACGATCCCTGATGGCATAAACCGGAACAGTCAACTCACACGGCGCACTGTAATCTGTTGCTGCATCTGGAGCTCCCCATTGTATGTATATATAGCATCCTGTCAGATTGGCCAATACGCTCCCCACCTACAGGCTCGAGCCGAGACTGCTTCGTGGCTATGACTGCCAGTGTTCTGCTTCGATACCCCTCTGGTCGTGCTTTCATGATGGCAGCGACTTTGGCCTCATCACGTGGTTGCCAGAGTTCAGCTGTGCCTTGTTTGGTTTTCAACATCCGGACAAGATGTCGAACACCATCCGCAACCTGTTGCGTGCGGCGTACACGTCACTCATGGGTTTGCTCCAGTGCTCAAATTCCGGATCTTGCATCCATGGTTGTGGATCCGAACGGTGACAATGCTGACCGCAAATCGAACAGCGAAGCGCGGGAATTCTTCCCAATTCCGTCCTTTTCCCCAGACATTTCCACCTTTGGGGAGTGATCTCCATATCCACCTCTCTACTCTACTCAAATGAGGGAGCAAGGCTGCGCAGGCCGTGTGCCGCTGCTTTCCTTCGGCTGAATACCGGGATCCATCGCAAGGATGTACTCCAGGTGGCGCTAGAGGTTTATGGACAATTCTCTCAAGTATCTAGACTGAACTATTTTGGGAGTACGAGCGTGCTTGTAGCCTGGGGTCGTCCTAACCTCGTCTGATTGTTAAGCAGCGTGTATTGATAGGAAGGCCGTCAAGGTACCATCTCCGAATCGGACTCTGTGGCTTCGTCAGGAACGATTCATCGAAGCCGTCGACTTGATCCGTGCCACCTACGCTCAGGAACGTGGGCTGCATGTTCGGAAACGCCTCCGATAGAACGTAGCGTCTCGTTGTCGAGCGCACATCGAAGGTCTGATAAACCAGTCTTGCCCACGTCCTCGCTCCATTCGGGACGCTCAACCGAGGTATCATGTTGCGCGGCGAGGCGGCAAGGCTCCCGTGAGACGGGAGGCTCCTTGCTTCACAAACACCTAAATTCCTTTCTGACAACACACAAGAAGCGCGCTGCATCAATGGATCCCTTTTCGGACTTCCGTCAGTCGAGTACTAGTCACGAGCGATGAAGCCGAAAGACACAATGCCTGTGGCTGCCGCGCAATCCTCCCTTATACCTTCCGTCTGGAAGCGAAAGAACCTGGTTCTATATTTGACCCGCCCCAGTTGCAGATCAGAGACTTGTTTCTATCTTCAACCAAGGCACTGCGCGAGGGATTCTGCAAGGGATGGTGAAGCTTTACGCAAAAGTCATGTTGTTGTCATCGAGGCCAAGTTCGCCCGTCATGGGAAAGACTACACCTGCTTCCGTCATGTTCCATTGTTTGGCCTCCCTGCTTGCGGGATGTGTCAATTACTCTCTTTGATCAAGGCTCTTTCGGAATGGGAAAGGGGAGAATAATGCAAAACCTGGACCTTTACCGAATAGTTGAACCAACTCCTCTTCTGAGAGCACATTCCCTGGCCCTAAAATGGCACACTGCCCAGAAAATACCCTGCTCGACTCACAATCCAGTGTTCGAACTCTTCGCGCTCTCTCACAGCAGATACGTACAACTGAGACTGCTGACCCACCAAGCCAAGCTCCGCACAAACGACAACTTAACATGCCTATGCACAACTAGATAGATAGGCAACAGCGTATATCGCCCTCGCCACTCCATAAACAAGACAAGCCGCATTGATTTTCTCATTGGCTACCCGCGTCACACTGGCAAAAAGGACACCCCCCGCAAAAACCGGGAAATGCTCCCTCGCATCCGCATGTGCAGCTTCGTTTCGCTTCAACAAATCCAGCTGCAGTCGCATGATCTTGCCGTCTTGGACGGACCTTTCCAAGTACGGCGAAAGGTCCTGCCGCGGCTGCACGTTGTGGTCGATCCCGTAGAACATCTCAAGAGGACGTGCCGAGAGGAGGACGTAGGCGAATAAGAAGATGAAGAGCATGTGGTAAGGGGCCAGCGCCGATTGGAGATTGGAGGGTCGGAGCCCGAGCGTGGTCGAGAAGGAGAACAGGATTTCGTTATGTATGGATTTGAATTATTTTTGGAGGAATTTTGTTATTTGTAAGATAGTAGATAGATAGATAGACAGACAGACAGGTGTTTATCACCTTTCTATTACTCACAAATGAGACATTGGAGACACACTACAAGGGCAATATTATTAATAGCTTGGTCCCTCAGTATCGCATTTCCAGAAGCCACGGTAGCACACCCGCTAACTCGCCACCAAACCAAATCGGGTTTGGCGCATGCTATGTCTTGACAGTAGGGTATACCTTTCTGACCTTTTCCCATACTCGGTACTTGTGGGTTAGATTTATCAAGCACGGAATGGGAAGTCAAGAATGAATCACCAGAGTGGTCGGTGCAACAGGAATCAGTCGTGAATAAAGACTCCTGATACCGAGCGCGAAGGATTTGAAGCCCCGAGGAATAGGAAATAGGACAACATCAGACGTGCTCTTGGGTACTTGGGGCTGGCCGGCCAGTTGCTACATCATTGATACACCACGGTCTTCTTCATGGCCCCTGGATGGATAAAGCACAACCTTACTGTAAAGGTGTTATACCTAGAGATCGGAAGTAGACAGATGAATGCACCCTAGCTCACCATATTCATTGTTTGCAAAACCTAACACTGTTCCCAGATCTCCGTCACGATTATCTTTCGCTTGAACTTCCTCGGAACTGATGTCCACAGCGGTTCGGTCAGCGTTCAACATCGACGCCGAAACTTTTGGAGTTCGTAAAACTCGGTCATTCTTTTATCTCCAAACATGAAGAGAACCAGAGGCCGTGTCGGCGAACCTACCTGTCCCGACCTGTCGTGCTGCTCAGGCAAGGCTGTGAGCCCTTTGCGTTCCCTCTCACCTGTGGTATTCAACCCCACATCTTAACCCCAGACTCGCGTATCAACAGAAGTACCCAGCTTCACAGGCTTTGAACATGACGTGAATAAATTATGTTTTCCCCAATACTCCCAGCCCAGAATAGCTCTGTGTGCCGATTTGCTGGCCGGACAAGTTGGTACTTAGCTTCCGTACAAGAAGTCGTTGAAGATGCTTCCTTTGACTTTTATCGATCTTTCCCTTTCGGAAGAAGAATAAAGAGCTTAAACAGCCCTCGTGAAGACTCGGAAGCCTCGTGACAGCTGAGGGCGCTCGCTCGCTCTGGTACTGTGTTGACGTATTTGCCTGCACGTTCAATCATGAATAAAAGATCTTCCAAACTACTAGGTACCATACTTAGCCACAGCGCTACACCAGACCGCAGGAATTGGGACTGTGGTTTCACGGAGAGTTCAGGGGAGAGTTCCCGGAGCTGGGTCGAGAGAGTTTGAGAATACAGACCAGGATCGTCAATTGCAATGCCCCGGCGTCCGACGCAGACCTAAACGACAGCGGTCTAGAAGAAGACTCGGGATAACTAATTGGAGCTATGACATTGATGACAACAACACCAATGGTCCAAACAGCTCTGCCCGGCGTACCTTTCCCGCAAGCTTAACTCGGGACCCACATAACACCCCACATCTCGCAATAAAATCATGACTAGCCTAATCGAACGACTTGGGGATGCAATATGCAAACGAATTCTCTGCAAGCCTTTGCTCGCGCACTCTAGTTTAGAATCTTGTCTCTTGCAACGAGACAATAACGGACTCCGGCTTGGGCACTCCACCGGTCCGCACGCTGTCAGAGTCCTGCCCTTCCCTATTCGTGACTATGGTCAGGAAGAGACCACAACGGGCTGTCGAGGAACAACAGCCCCGGGCAAGAAGAACCAGTGCCATCCCGCTGTCTCCAAACAGGTGGGTATGCTTGCCGAAAAAGTATTGCAAGTACACACCCCAAACTCCCTAATCCAGAAGACCAATGTCATTAAAAATCCCGTTCTCTTCGGAGAACGACCAAACTGTCGGTCAAAGCAAGCAATCTAAGCTTTTGTCGAACTTTCCTTGATGAGAATTTGGCAATGCCCCGCAATGGCGATCGACAGGTCGACTCGTCTGTCCCACGCCGACTGTGGACTATCAACACGACTTTGCTCGGCCCACGGAATGCCGCAAATTCTGTGCAAACCGTGCTGCGGGCTTCGTGGTCAAGTGAGAAAGCGGTCGGTGGGACGTGGTCGCTCGACAGATTGAGTCCACCATGTTGTCAGTCCTGGAGATTGAGATTCGTGGCGAGCAAGCGCGAGGTCCGTTGGCATCCAGCAACCCTATTCCACGGGGCGCAGACAAGTTAAAGGGCTCGAGATCCTGCCGTTGTCCAATAACTGCGCTAGTGCAACTAGTTTTCGGGGGCTGAAAGGAAGCTCGAAGATCTCTTTTGCGTTCTACACCCAACTACTCTACAAAATGGTAAGTCCCTGTCTGTCCTCGGTGGGATCTTCCCAGACGGGATGGAGACGTTGGGGTCCCGGGTCCTATTCCGTCGCACACAAAGGCAATTCTTTTCTCGAGTCTCTCTAGCAGATCTTGTATCCCACCGGGAAGGGAACTGGACTCCAAAGCCTATAAAGCCGGTATGACCCGACCACAAAGGCCCGGGATGATCGTGTAACAAGAACGCCCAGCACGGTCCTGTTCTCCCTGTTCTCCCTATGCTTGCTACAACTTGGCTTGGGGGCTTCGATTTCCGCGACGCCGAAGGCAATTGGTTGCGCGGCCGATTCACGTCATTTCGTAAGCGATGACAGCGATGGCAACATCTGGCCATGGCAAACCTACTGATCTTCCTGTGCTCAACCGCCCGTACTCCAGACCGACAGGACTGGGGAAGCATTGTTTGACGGTCTGTTGTTCTTCGATGTGGCCCCCTGGCACCGCCATCACAGCCGCTAAACAAATATCACCGTATATAATGACCGATACTGGAGACCTAGTTTGGAGTGGACCCATAGGACCATCCTACAACGTCCGCGTGCAAGATTACAACGGAGCTCCCGTCTTGGCCCACTTCTCCGGTGAAGGTACTGCTGGCGCCTCAGCTGTCGTTGGGCATGGCTATGGCGGCATCACTGTACGGGACACGAGCTACAATGTCATCACTAGAGTTTGCCCGACGCTCAATCATTTCACGATGGAAACGGGCGTCACTGCAGAATGCCATGCCGACGTGCACGAGTCTTTCATCACGGCGCGAAACACTATGCTAGTCACGGCATACAACACTACCCGTGCCGACTTGACAAGCGTAGGAGGACCCAAGGACGGCTGGATCCTGGACTCTATGGCGGTTGAGCTGAACATTACCACTGGGCACGCACTGGGGATGTACTTTTCCAGTCGAGTCCACTCGCCCATTTGCCGCTTAATAAGAACCATTTCTCACTGGCTGGGATCGGTGCCGGGCAAGGTCATAATCAAAGTGTACCTTGGGATTTCTTCCACATCAACGCGATTGAGCTCGTCGGGGAAAATTACTTGATCAACAGTCGCCATTATTGGAGCACTTTCCTTGTCAACCCGCAGGGGAAGATCCTGTGGGAGATTAACGGCTTGGACGGAGGTGACTTCGGAAAGCTGCCTGAAGGGGCAGCGTTTGTAAGTACTAAGCTGGGAAACGACCTCTCTGACATCGCGTGATTTATGTGTAATGCCGTGCGCAGTCGTGGCAACACTTTGCCCGTATCCAGTCGATCAGCTCGACCCAAGCTGTGATCTCGTGGTTCGGAAACAACAACTACCTCCCTGATCTCGGCAACATGAAGCCCACCACGGGCGTGACATTGTAGCTGACTCTGCCACCGGATCCATCGTCACCTCCGGTCCTCATCACCAATTTGACCGACCCTGCGCTGCGTGTCGATGCGTGGTCCCAAGGCTCCTTCCTGCATCTGCCTAATGGCAACATGTTCATGGGATATGTCGGCTGGAACGGTGCCACCGACGTGACGGCGTGGATGGTGTATGCGGGTGCGACCAACACCTCGTTGAAAGCGGTCGGTCGAGCGATGAAATTTGGCTTCGAGACCGAGTTTGCCGTTCCTAACGACGCCGCGTCTGTGCAAGTGGGCGCGATCGAAAATAATGGCAACAACGTAGTGCGAAAGTCACGGGTCGCGGCTGTGGGCAAATAGACCTGGGCCATAGCGAGATTAGGGCCTGGGGGATTCTCACATCTCTAAGATCGCTGAGAAGCCGAGACGCTGAGAGACGTTGAAAAAAAGATCATGTTTTCAAGTCGAGTCAGTCCAAGGAGACTGCGGAACTGCCTCCTTCAGAACATTGATATCAATCTTGTCACCCTTTTCTGGGGGCCATTACATGGTCTCTAACCATGACAGTTCCCACTATCCCCGGAGCCTTGAGTTTTTCAAATGCAACCGAACACAGAAGCTGTTTTGAAAGTTGCCTACCTACTGCCGAGAAATTAACCATACGCGGCGCTGGATTGGCCAGCCTCACCCAGCCTCGCCAGGAATTCTACGACATCCCGGGGTCCTCATGGACAGGAAGGACTATGTTTCTCAGCCTAAGCTTTGAAGCGAGTGGTGCTGAAGATATTCGTCCAGATTGTCCCACACTCAAAGCCTCGACGACTTCAGCGCGTCCTTGCCAAGTATTCTCCTCGGCGCCCCTGGCAGCAAGCCGCAGGCATTCTTCAAGCTTTGCGCTGGACGTCCAATCCGGCGACGTCTAGCATTTTGTAAGAGGAGAGGGTTCGCCACGACAGTAGAGATGCAGCTATTACATGCCTTGCACAGGCTGCTGCTTGGATTTGGAGAGTAGCGTCTTCCATTTGGCTCCAAGTCGTGGTCGAGATTTTCTTGAAGGCGACCGCTATTGAAGAGCTCCAACAGTAGCGCCTGCCAAGGAGGAGGCAATCCAAACAGCTGTGAGAGCCCCGAGCTTAGGGGGACAGAACCTAAGTCAAGTCAGCTAATTTGAACCAAGTATGTGCGTGAATACGTACTCTTCCAGACTAAGACCAATAAATCCACTCCAAAAGAGCCACTGTGCAATCCAAAGAAAGAGCATGCCTATGATCGAGACTGTATACAGCCTCACAAATGCTTTTTGAGGAAGCCGGTTGTTTTGGCCTTCGATAGGGAGAGTGCCATACGCCGTGTAATACCCTCCTTCGCTTCTCAATGCTTCTTCTAAGCTCTTACTCTTGTCCGCCCACTGGTGTGCCCTCTTATCCTCCAGCAATGTCCAATATTGATTGAACAGGGCCATCAACGAAACAAACGCCAAGATAGCGGCAATATGCCACAAGAATGCTCCAGCATACATGGATTTTGCCGGTGGTGCTCGTTCCAGTCGTTCCATATCTTCAAGGTAGAAGTTGTGTTCTCGACCATAATTGACCGTCATCATCATATAATACAATGATGAAAGTTGGAGAATCGCTTCCGCAAACATGGAAGACGCAGCCGGGGAGAAATTCATCGCTTTGGAGGGCTGTTCACAAAGTAGCAAAGTCGCTAGCCAAGTAAGCCGAGGCATTGTGCACCAGAGCAGCATCAATTGAATAACGGGAACGTCCTCATATCCAAGGGTGTTCTGGACAAGAACCGCATTAAGCCAGTTCGCAAGGAGCTGAAGAGCGGCGATTAGAATTCCTGTGCAAAACCAATATTCGGGTTCTGGGTGCCACAGAAAGCCCCGGGCGATTCGATGCAGGCCTGTTCTCCGGCCGAGAAATGCGGAAAGGAGAGTAGCTATATTGACCATAGCAAGGCTTCCGAGCTTCCACTCGGTCTTGGCACATATTTTCGTTGCTTCAACAGATCCTATCGGGGCAAGGCTTGAATCGTTGGATGGTTCGAGGCTCCATTGCCATGGAATCATGTCGAGAGTGGTAGTGGCGGCTAATCGACGCCAATTATCTGGCAGACCGTGCCAGTCCCGCACATTGCCACAAAGATCGTGGAGCCACTGGATATAATCTATTCGGGTCTCGAAAAGATGGCATGAACCTCCGCAGGAATCGTAACTAATGTCACGGCAGAAGCAAGCCCTGTCGACTGCGCGTATGACTCTGCAGTAGCCACTGGAGTCGAGCTCACAAGCGTCAGTAGCACATTGACCAGTAAGCCCAGTCACTTGCTCCGGCATATCCGGGGCGCACCTAGGCCAATGCCAATCTTGGATGGGGATATACGCGAATTCCGTGGTTTTGAGTCCCTCTGTCCAGTTGTGGGGTAAGGACGTCGGTCCACAAGTGGCATTCATCCATAGCCGCTCCTTTGTCAAGTCTATTGTCCCTGTCCCGGAACAGGGTTCCTTTTTGACGTCTATGGTAAACGCGCCGCAGAAGCATTGTTTGTCAAAATAGTCGCCATATCTGATGCTATGTCGGGTGAGGTCGTAACCGACGGTTTCAGAATCCAGCGCAATCATGGATTGTAGGGGCTGACTGTATTCCCAGGGACGAGCCGCATTTCCGGTATGTTGGGCGGTGCTTGTAAAACTGCAGGAGGCCACGACGTGTTGAAATGCTTCCATCGACGAAGCAGAATTCGAATTCGTTAGACATGGTGGTGCTTTGTATATCACGTCAACGACCGCATATCCTTCAGCCAGGGAGGCCGGGGAGAGATTTTGCAGCCCGTTCGCGTCGCCGACATGGACGAGCCACGTCCGGCCGGTAACGTTACGAATCCACAGAGACAACTGTGCTTTGGCGAGCACTGATCGGCTGCAGTGTGGGAGATAAGCCTTGATCACATCGGGGGAAAATCCAAGGCTGAGACAGCTGAGTTCAGTCAGCCATTGATGGTGAGTGCAGATGAGTCCAAAATGTGAGGTGCATCGTTTGCTGGTACATTTGGTCATGGTACTCAGCCAGATGGATTGATCCTGCTGAGCGATGCACTGTGGTATAGGAGGCAAGTCTTCAGGGTTAACCCAGCCATTATGATTGTTTTGGGGGGTCAAGATAGGGCTCTTCCCATTAGAGTTGACACTGGTGGAAGAGAGCACTTCTAAAGTTCCCATATTAGCGTCAGACAGAGAAATGCCTCCCGCAGCAACCCTGCACACCCCGGCCATTAGCAGCACCAGATATATACTGGGTATTTTCATCTGGCCGATAGTGTCCTGTCTTGTGCTCTCGTGCTCCAAAGCACGGGGGTAGTAGAAAGGTCATTCAATTGAGACCCTCAGATGTGGGTTGATGCGGGCAAGATGCGGATTGGCGCGGGGTTGTGGCAATCTTTGTCAATGCTCCGCCCTTGTAATACGGCGGAGCATAAGAGGCATGGCGATGCCGAGAAACTCCGGATCTGGTAAGGCGGCTCGGCAGTTTTGCGGGCCCCCAGCGGCCCCCAGCAGCCCGCAGCAGCCCCCTACGAGGAGGGATTGGATGCTGCAAGCTGCTATGTATTATGCAAGAATGATTCGCATGTGCAGAGCTTGTGAGCTTCTCTGCGTAAACGACGCGGGGAGCCAGGACGAACACCAACTGCACCCTGCTTCTCTCAATCATCTCAAAAGCTTCACTCTTCCGCATTGACCTATTCCCTCTGCCTCGTACCTAGCTGCCAACCCCTTCTACCCTCATGAATTCGCTGGATCAACTTCCTCTCCCCTGATGCCTTGACGGCTGAGTTCCGTCTGTGTGCCATGGCGAGGCTCTCCAACCCACTCGCTTTCACTCGTTGGCCCGTCACCGTCATCACCTCTACTGTTTATCTCGTCATTATTATTGCTCTTCTCATCGTTCATACGACTGTCCCTTCTCCTCCATCATCGCCTACCCCCATTCGCGGTATTAATCTGACGGAAGCGTGGCTGGATCTCCAGCTTCTCACTGCGGCCTACCGCCCTTACAATAGCCGTCGCAACGACCAAGTCCACGACTGGCTCCTCGAACGAATCAAATCGATAGCGAAAGAAAATGATGCTTCCCCGTATATCTTCGAAGACAATACCTCCAATCTGACCTTTTCGGCGGGAGGGATACTATCGGGCCCCGGTGTGTCTGCCTATTTTGAGGGCACCAACCTCGTCGTCTATGTCCCAGGAACGGAAGATGATCAAACAAGATGGTGGCTTGACCCCAGCGGGAGACCATCGAGTCGCAATGCGGTCTTGGTGAATGCACATTATGACAGTGTCTCCACGGGCTTCGGTTCAACAGATGACGGCGTCGGAGTTGTCTGCGTATTGCAGTTGCTCAGATACTTCACGACCCCCAAGAACAAACCAAAGAACGGAGTGGTGCTGCTCTTAAACAACGGCGAAGAAGATTTTTTGAACGGAGCAAATGTTTTCAGCCAGCACCCCATGTCCATGATTGTGAGCGCATTCCTGAATCTGGAAGGAGCTGGTGCAGGAGGACGAGCCGCTCTGTTTCGAAGCACCGACGACGCAGTCACAAAAGCCTACGCTCGCTCCAAGTACCCATTTGGCTCGTCCACCTCGGCAGATGGCTTCAATCGAGGACTTATTAGGAGTCAGACGGACTATGTGGTATTCAATGGCAAGCTAGGTTATCGTGGATTGGATGTTGCCTTCATTGGTCCGCGGTCGAGATACCATACTGACCAAGACGATTCACGACACACCGGGAAAAGTTCCCTCTGGCACATGCTCTCAGCAGCTGTAGCTACGTCTGAAGCCCTGACTTCAGCCTCGTTGAAGACAAACACAGATCCAGGGCACAAGCCAGGGAGTCCGTCGCTCTGGTTCGACGTCTTCGGCCAAACATTTGCCATCTTAAAAGCGCACACCTTCTTCGCTCTGTCGGTCACCCTACTCGTTGCTGGTCCTATCATACTCCTCCTCACTGTTGCCCTACTGTATCGGGCTGACAAGTTCTATCTTTGGGCCGGATCACAGCCCCTTCACCGCTTGAACGGAGATGAAAAGATCAAGCTGTACGGCTGGCGGGGCTTTTTTCGTTTCCCGCTCATCTTGGTTACAGCTTGCGCCGTCCCAATTGCTCTGGCATATCTCGTTTTCAAGGAAAATCAATACATCGCCCATAGCAGCGAGTGGGCAGTGTGGGCCATGATGATTTCCTCCTTCGTCATTGTCGCTTGGTTCTTCTGCCGAGCCGCGGACTATACACGGCCCTCTTCTCTCACTCGTGTATATGGGTTCTCGTGGATGTGGGGAGCATGGTGGGTGCTCCTTGTCGTTGCAACCGTGTTCGAAGAACACTTCCACCTCGTCGGTCTATACTTTGTCCTGATCTACGCGGCTCTCGTGTGGCTGGCTACGTGGTTGTCCTACCTAGAGCTTTTTTCCTTGCCAAGGAAGTCGGTGTATTGCCAGCGTGTGGTTGGCGAAGAAGAGCCATCGCCCCCGCAGGCCAGCTCAGCTTCTGGGGACGGAGGCGATGTGGACCATCCAGATCCCAATGATGACGATGAACCAACAGAAAGGTCGAGCCTCTTGAGGAGAGGGTACCGCCATGGGAGAGATGAACAGAGTCGTGACGGAAAAGCCAGCGAGGACAAAACTGACACCGTCGAAGAGCCAGATTGGAGCAAATCCCAATGGTCCTGGTTGTGGCTATTGCAGATGCTCGTCCTAGTTCCAATCAATCTTGTGGTAGTCGGTGAGATCGCCCTTTTACTGACTGAAGGCCTCCACCAGACGGGACAAGACGGAAGTTCCATGTTTCTCTTATACATTTTGGTCGCCGGCTGCACAATACTTCTCTTCTCTCCACTTGTGCCTATCCTACACCGCTTCACCTGGCAGGTACCTCTATTCCTCCTACTCGTCTTTATCGGCACCATGGTCTACAACCTTACCGCATTCCCCTTCTCCATGAACAACAGATTGAAGCTTTTCTTTCAGCAACAGATCGACCTTGAAGGAGGGAACAACACCGTCTTTCTCACTGGGGTATCGCCGTACACACGCCATGCGGTCAACTACATCCCCAGCTCCGCGGGACAGGATATCACCTGTACACCCGCTAGTCCTTCAATTTCCGGCAACATGGAAACCTGCTCGTGGTCCGGCATCCCGCCCAATGTTGCCAACCCTTCCTCCACCGCTCTTTCTCCCAAGGAACAGTACGACAGCTGGCTCACTTTCAACGTTACCCGTCTAAATGCTAGTGACAGCGACAACAACGCCCGCTTTGTGCTCTTTGGGAAGAACACTCGCGCGTGTAAACTGGTCTTTGACACAGCGCCGATCAAGAAATTCCATGTCGCTGGGCAGGCGCCGAGGGATACACGGTTTCCTCCCGTTCCTGAAGGTGGCAGTCAAGAAATCAGGCTGTGGAGTCGCACATGGGGAAGAGCTTGGACCGTGGACGTCAATTGGGACAATCCCGCCACCAGTCCGGAACAATCGAGGGACTCTGAAGGTTCCAAGAATTACAAAATCTCAACTGCTGAAAACACGATCTATGGCCGAGTGGTATGTCTATGGAGCGACGCGAATAAGAACGGTGTAATACCAGCCTTTGACGAGGCAATGCATTATGTCCCAGAGTGGGTGGCGATTACCAAGAGAGCAGACGGATTGGTGGAAGGATACAAAAGTTTCAAGATTTGATTGAACAAAGTCTAGAAGGGAGTGATCTGCTGAACGCTTGTATTCGGGTGGGGAGGACTGCCGGGTGCAGCATGTGTGAGAGATTTGATCTGCCTGCGTCTGTCTACCGAATGGGTTTTGCTGGTCTTTAATGACCGTTGGCTTGAGCGACACACTGCACCTTGAACACTTCACCTCATGGGGAATTCGGAATGGATCTTCTTTTAGTTGTGTTGGATGTCAACGGACGGGAGGCACAAAGATGCCCCATGAGCCGTGGGTGCTTCGATTTGGTAAACGAAGTGATGTTATTCAGCAAATGCGGGAAGCACCGTTATTGGGTCTGGCTCTCTGAAGTCGTTGTGCAGCTGATATGGCTGATACATTTTCCTTGCTGGGGGAGTCCCAGAGGGCGTAGTACGGCCTTTTTATGCAAATCAAAACTAATATATGTACACCGTACCATGAGCATTTTGCATTGGCCCTTTTCGATTCGGGAAACTCGTCTAAAATCTATTGCTGAAGGGGAATGCAAAGAAAGCGCAAACCATCCAGGCTTACGCTCTTCTTCTGTATGGTCTTGAATACAATGAGAAAGTGCAAGGGAAGGCCGTACGAGCAGTTGGGAGGTGCTGCCATGGAAGCGGCTGATGTCGATTCAGCTCGTGGATTGCCCAAAGTTGGACTCTGTTTGTCGGGTGGAAGACCATGCTGCCGACATGATTGCGAGCTTGACGGCTTGAAAGTTCAAGTGCATATGTGCATCGTACCGCATGGTCGCCAAGGTGAAATTGTTCTGGGGCGAAGAACGATCATGCGTTGTTGTTCTAGGCCCTAGCAGTGTCTGGTAGTGTTTTCCGCTTAAAGAAAGACGAAGACGATCTTCTCTTGGATGTTCTGAGCTGCTGACTGTGACGGAAACCGGTTGCCACTCTATTTTGCGCTGAGTCTTTTGCAGGATGTGTTGAAACTCTTCGCTGTAGGAAGCTGTTAAACTGAGAAGTGGCTAGGCGGTTGATAGCATTTGTCTATCCTGCAAGATGTCTGTCCTTTCAGCGAGTTCCTCCTTGTTTATATAGACATTTGGCCTGTGTTCGGAAAGCCATCCTTAAACGTTTCCAGTCGCCGTTATCCACATCGAGGTCGTCCTGCCGTAGATTTCGCTGGCGATCAAACTGCCTATCAAATTGGCCTGATACTCGTTCCGTCTCACAGATATCAACGGTGTAGACTCGTCGGAAGGGGGCGTATGTCGACAGTCGATTTTCATCCTTCTATGCTGCATCCGTCGCCCTTGCATTTTAACCAACCTCAATGTCCGGTATCGTGAAGAGACGGAGTGCATGGGCGAATGCTTAGACACTTTTGTTGTCCGGCCCGTGCCAGGGTTGACGGCATGATGGCCGGGGTGCGCAAGAAGGACCATGGGGGAGCTTCTGCTTCGTTGGCAACTGGGGAGAACAGGCATTATCCAAGAAGGCAAGAAGCGAACAACAAGATCTGAGTCGGAAAGGTCTAGACTGAAAACCAGTCCTGGCTATTGCACCTCACACCCAACCCATGAGAGCTGATGACTGAAACTGCCAATGAGCGAATGCATGGTAAAGAATGAGACATTGGTATTTGGTTAGCAAGCAAGAGAGAAGAATGTGGAGGAAGAAAGAATCCTCCGGGAAGACGATGACGCAGCATTTATAGTCTGGGAATGAGGACCATGGCAAGAAGACATGGGTTAGAGGCCGGTGAAGATCCTTGTGGCGGTGTCTCATCATTCCCTGGTGCGGTTGCGTTGTGGATGGAAAGACACGATACTTGAACAGCGACGAGGAACAGAACATACCAGACAGCGCCCACAATAGGACAAGCAGCATAGTGAAGCACGCCATGTGTAGAACCCTAGTCATACACCAAGTCTTTGGCCAGTGTATAACTTTATTACCTTTATCACTTCTTCTCATGCCCCTGAAGAGACTGAACCTGCTCCTCTTGCCACCGCTCGTGACGCTCTTTGCAGATGCACATCATTGGGGCTGAAAAGATGGGAGCCCCATTTACCTCGACAGGTCTCCTGCCTCTTTCACTCTCATTTTTCTATTTCTTTTCCCCCGGCTTTATCTTTCACCGCACCAACCACTTACGTCTGAGGCTTTTGGCTTCCTTCGTCGGCTGTCGACTCCTCTCTGCAGTCATCCGTGCGCCTGTCCCTCTCCACCGATTTGAATCTTGCCCGTCCAAAATACGGTATTACAGTCTGCTGCAGGGTCTTCTGTGCCGACGTACCGCCCCTGTCCATCTTTTCAGTAGTGCTTGAAGTATTCACTCCTCATAGCCTCGCGAATACTGACGTTGACTTCTCCCGCTGGAAGGGAATTAGAATTTGACAGTTTGCGGCGGTAGAGCCCCGAATAATTCTTGACTTTGCATTCGAATCCAGAGTCTCTGTCCAAGGCTCTCACATCGCCCAATCCATGGCTTCGCTGCAAGGTTTCGCCATCCAACATTGGCACCGTAATCGATGTGTCGTCAGTGTACTCACTAGGCTTGAGCACGGGACGGTAGATGGGGCATCTCTGAAAGCCGCAGGCGCTGGGATCGACGCCGCTCACGGAAGCGGCAACTGCGTCCCATCCTCCCTTCCTGAATATGAGCTTTTTGTGCGGTTTGGGGAATTCTGAGATTAATAAAGCTGCCGGATTATGAGAGAAGGCTGCTCTGGGTTTTAAAAGTGTAAGTTAGAATGACAGTGCTCGGGCAATACATAGACAATCCAAGCCTCCAATACTTTGCGCAATTAATGGAGGAGAAGGACGATCCTCAAGATGAACTCGTTCCATGTTAGTGCGATGTTTTCCATCCTTTCATGCCTCTTGAAGAGCCTTGGGGTCCGCCTTGGGGTGACGATTGGTGGTGGGGACGTCGGAACATCAATAATGTCTCCCAGACTGAGCAAATAAAACCCTTGCCACACCGGATGATGGGAGTCCCCACGATAGATCGTTCCCCGGGAAGACAAATGGATCGTCGAAATGACTTCTTCAGATCGTCAAAATCGTCCTCCTCTTGTTGCATCGCGGATGCCGAAAGGTGTGATAATGCATGCGCTGCACACCACGTCGTCGAAGGTAGGCATCAAGCCGCCGTGCGATAGTTTGATACAACTGTGTCTTAACTGAGGAAGGTGGAGGATTTGATATTAACATATCCAATTTCACCCATTTTGTCGTAATTTTGCTAGTGCGGCCGCAACGCCGGCGCTCAATTCTGGTTCATTGCTGATCGGTGGCTGAGTCGGTCCTGCATTGTTTGCCTCTGCTTTTGCAGCTTCCGCGTCAGCAAGGGCAAGGAGTGCCGCTTCTTCTTCTTCATCCAAGTCATCCATGGTCACTTCTTCCAATCGAGGACGCTTATGGCTCGGACTCGTCTCGGTAGTATTCTGGGTTGCGGCAGCAGCAGCAGCAGCCGTCCCCTGTCTGTTAAAACTTGGGACAGTGCCAATGGGAATGGGTGTATGTGCGCTGCCCGGTCTGGATTCTGGAGTGCTTGCTCCATCAGAGAGTAAAGAAGTCTCTTGTCTCAGGAGTGCAGCATTGGATTTGGCGGCTCTCTTCACCCGGAACGGTTCACGGAGAGTAGAGTACCAGGCCTTGACTTTCTTTTCGCCCCATCCTGGCACCAAAGCCAGTTCTTCTGGTTCTGCATTTACAGCTGCTCGAAGAGAGCCGAAATTCATAATCAGGCTGGCGGCGTCGGTCTTGTTGATATTCCGTGGCGTCGTAACAAACTCGGTCAAACTCTCCTGGTAGGTTTCTGCTTGGTGGGCTCGGATTGACGCAGATGAGGCGTGCTCATACGACTTGAAGAGTTCCAAATAGCGGCCGGCCTCTTGGGACGACCAGCAGAGGATCAAGGTCAGATTGTTGATCATCGAAGTCTTGGACAGCTCTTTCAGAGCTTCCTCGTGATTGGTGATGTCGACCATGGTCAACAGGATCCGGAGGTTGTAGAGCTTTCCTAGCTGGCGAATGCGGCTATAAATATACTCCGGGTGCAAGCGATGGTATTTGAGAGACAGGAACAATGCGCATGTCGTTGCTCCAAGGACGTAGTCACACGGTATGTCTGAGTATTCCCATGGAAGCTGTGTAACATGTTTGAGAATGGGGTTGCCCTTTTGTCGAGTTGATACTAGAATGGCTGACGGACCCTGTCTTCCCGGCAGCGCTTGTGGCTTTGGCTGAACCACTCTTGCAGGTGTGTTTGATGTAGCAGCACTTGCTGTTTGCTGCGGAGCGGATGGCCGTTCAACCGCTGCCTCTTCTGACAGGAAGTCGATGTTGTCGAACTCTTGAGCCATCATGTGGCCCTTTGCCTAGTCCTCAGAGGAGAATGGGAGATGCACCTATCGCCCTCTTAAACACCCAGACCACCGACCTGCTTTCTCTAAGTCGGTGTCTGTTCACTCGCGAAGCATTCTCTGTCTCTGGTGCCCCTCAGTGCCGCCTTCGACTTCACTGAGCTGGAGCAACTGGAGGTAACTTAGACGATGATTAACTTCGTCTTCGATTCTGTACTTGAACGTAGATAGTACGGCAGATCACAAATGCGCGGGATGAAAAGTGCGACTCCGCTTCGAGTTGGAGAAATTTTTTGGGTTGCGAAAAGTTCAATATTCCCACCAACTCGAAAAAGGCGGCGAGTGCAAGTCGCAAGTCGACCATGGACCAGAGTACCAAGAGACGCAAGCTCTCTAATGGCAGCTACGAAGCCGTCGCCATAGAGGCTTACCACGCGACCCCAGAAACAAATGCCAGCTCCAAGGATCAGAGACGGTCGCTCTTCGTCCGCTCTCTACCAGCTTCCGTGACAACGGAGCGACTCACAGAATACTTCTCGCAGTCTTTTCCTCTCAAGCATGCCACGGTCGTTCTAGACTCTCAGACAAAGATTTCCCGAGGCTTTGGCTTCGTCACTTTTGCCGATGCGGAGGACGCGCAGGCTGCTGTTGCACAGTTCAACAATTCAGTGCTGGACGGGAGGAAGATCAAGGTTGAGCTGGCCGAGGCGAGACATCGAGATGCAGACCTTGGTGGAAAGACCAGAATCAATACCACGGCTGTACAACTTCGAGCACAGCGGCAAAAGAACCAAACAGAGACCCAAGCCCCGAAGTTGATTGTGAGAAATTTGCCATGGAGTATCAAGACATCTGAGGATCTCTCCATGTTATTCCGAAGTTATGGGAAGGTTAAGCATGCGGTTGTCCCAAAGAAGGGACCCAAGGAGCAGTACGGCTTCGGAATTGTAGTGCTTAGGGGCAAAAAGAACGCTGAGAGGGCGCTTGCAGGAGTCAATGGTAAAGAGGTTGATGGGCGCACGCTAGCCGTTGACTGGGCTGTCGACAAGGAGACATGGGAAGAGCTGCAACATAGCAATCCAGAGAATGAACAACCAGCCCAGGACGAGAGTGATGCCAGAACCGGCGGCAGCGTGGACGAGGGTGCAAATTCCGACGGGGCAGCAGTCGATGAAGATGTCGACCAAGCTAGTGACTCGGTCGGAGATTCAGAACAAGAGTCACTTGACGAGCTCGGTGCTGAAAACGACGAAGACGACATGGAATCCGAAACAGAAAGCACTACACCCGACCCCCACGACAACAAAAATGATACTTCTGTGTTCGTGAGAAATTTACCCTTCACAACTGACGACGACCTCCTTCGAGAACACTTTTCCGCTTTTGGTCCGATTCGATATGCACGAGTTGTTTATGACCCAGAGACTGAGCGGTCTAAAGGCACAGGGTTTGTCTGCTTTTTCAACATCGACGACGCAAAAGCCTGCGTCAAGGGTGCCCCGAAGCACGAAATGCCATCCGAACCTGCAACCAATAATAAGAAGAGACGAGGAGAAAGTTTGAGGCATTCAATCCTTGAAAACGAAGCGGCGGACGCGTCAGGCCGCTATACCCTCGAGGGTCGTGTTCTCCAAGTCTCTCGAGCCCTAAGCAGGGATGACGCGGAACGCCGAGCAAGCGAAGCGAGTGCAAAAAGGGACATCAGAGATCGAGACAAACGACGCTTGTATCTGCTTTCGGAAGGTTCCATCCCAAAAGGATCAAAGCTTCACGAGCAGCTAGGCAAGGCAGAGATCGATATGAGAGAGAGTAGTGCTCGCCAACGGCAGCGACTCATCAAAAGCAATCCGAACCTCTGTCTCAGTCTGACCCGACTAAGTGTTAGAAATCTTCCTCGGGGTATCGGCAGCAAGGAGTTGAAGGCATTGGCCCGCGAGGCCGTGGTTGGGTTCGCCAAGGACGTCAAGGCTGGCCGTCGACAGCCTCTCGACAAGGAAGAGCTCCGCAGAGGAGGTAGCGAGATGCAAGAAGCTGAACGCAGACGCAAGCTGTCTGGCAAAGGGATCGTCAAGCAGACTAAAGTTGTGTTTGAAGACAAAGAAGGAAGTAAAGTCAAGGAAGGGGCCGGTCGAAGTCGAGGCTACGGCTTCATTGAATATGTCAGCCATCGGAATGCTCTCGCCGGGCTGCGCTGGCTCAACGGGCACATGGTCAAGCCCGTGAACGCTGGTGCTGAAAAGGGGAAGCGCCTGATTGTCGAGTTTGCCATTGAAAATGCCCAGGTTATCCAGCGGAGGAGTGAAAGAGAGCGAAAGGCCAGAGAAGGTGGCAGGACCAAGGCAAAGGACAGCAAGCAAGACATGTCAGATAATAGCGGTAAAGTCGACAAGAAGCGGAAGCGCAGTGACAGGAATGAGGGTACGTCGGCTTCAAAGGCCTCGAAAGGCCTGGAGCCGCTGGAGCCGCTGGAGCCGGAGGAGAAGAACCGCATTGCAAAAAGGAATCGAATCATTGCAAAAAAACGTCAGGCTAGGAAAGTCCGGAAAGGGTGATGAGATAGATGAACGGATTAGTTGGAAGCAGTCTGCAGTTTGAGCGATGAGCGATGAGCATCAGCCACCAATCTGCTGCTGAAGGCGAGGGAGGGCCTGTCTCTCCTACTTCTTTTCGGGGTATCTTCCTGAATGTCACCATAAATCCATCTCTCCTGCTGCCTGCCGCCATTCCTACCCCGTGTTCTGAGCACCCTCGACCTAGAGGGATGAGCAAACGCAGTCAGCACCTGTCTTGTAACGTGTCACATGCCATATTCCTGCGCCTACGTGGTCCATTTGCATGCTTCTTTCAACGACCGGGATTCGTAGAGGGTGTCCAACAATTCCGAACCCCTCCTCCTCACAGCCGCTGTAGCTTGGGTGTACTGACCTTGCCCACAATGTTATACCGTTTGCTAAAGAAGGTGTACCATTCGTCAAGAACAGTCTTGTACTTGTCGTCCAGATCATACCATTCTGGTACGCAGTCTTCAGGTTTCAGGCTCGAGAGGGCCAGGGCACGAGAAGGATCCTTTCCGGCAAAGACTGGCACGGACGGGCACTGGTAAGCCTGGAAACGGTGGAAGCGCGACGTAAAAGAGTGAGGAACAAAGTGGTAGCCCATACCGTGATATTGGCCCTTCTCGCCATAGGCCTTGTTCTTGGAGACATCGAAGATAATCCCTTTTATCGCAACCCACGTAGGCTTATCCGGATTTGTCCCTATCGCAGAGGCGCAGTCTCAGCAGGGCTCCCTCTCCTTCCCCTAGAGAAGGGGTGTCTTCAGGCGGTTCTTTCAATTGAGTGCGGGGCGTACCATCGCATGTACTCAGCTCTTCCAACGAGATCTCGTCGTTCTTTGGCGGCAAAAGCTCGACCGGAACCTTGGGTTCGAATTTCTTGTTCTCTGAATAAGGGCTCGGTGAGGTTGGGTCAGTCATGATTGATGGGGTTTTTGCAAACAAACCTCGACTCGTGTCGGTCACTGTGAAAGACGGAGAAGAATGAAACAAGAGTCAGTTTGCGGACTTTGGAGTCAAAAGGTATTAAGGTGAATCGTGCCACCCACCAAAGAGGTGCACTGCCCCTGTGACCTTCCGAGAGCGTGTGTGCAAGGGTGATTACATACTCTTCCCACAGCTTTAGAAAAGCGGAACTCTTCAGACTGAATGTTCGACTTGATTGGGACTTGGAATTGGATGGCAGGGTCCAGGCAGTGGTGGCAGCAAGTAGGCTATCGGTGACGGCCATACGAGGGCAATGGGGTGACCGTGGCTTCGATCGCTCACTGATGCGAGACGCAGGGAGGGCGACCAACTGCCCCTCGTCTGTTACCCCTCTCGCGCTCAAGCCCAAGTTGCCCCTCCAGGAGAATTGTTCCTCCGTTCCCCGCCGTCAAGTCTCGCAAGTCAGTTCCAGATTTGACGTGCGAGATCCAGCGACTTGGCGTGACCGGTGAAATCATCGTCTCCAGTGGCCCAGCACTGGCTGACGACGCATTCCATCCATATCGAGGCTTACCCGCCCCAGCCACGGTTCGTTCCTCTTACTATGGGTGTGCAGACAAGGGGGTTGTTGGCAAGGACTAGGTACATACCCAGTATCGGACTCCACCTAGATCGATTCTGGTCGCGTTTCACAGGCAGGATTGTGCGACCGGGAGGACTATGTTCATCCGCATTTACACTCTCGGGACTCTTCCTCTCTAGGCGCTGAACCCTTCCCTCTTGAGTGGCTTCACCGGCGTCTCGACCATCAGGCTCATGAGTCGATGGGCAACCTCTCCAGCTGCAAGGACAGTGGTTTCTCCAGGATTATCATATATGGGAGCCACTTCCACCACATCAGCACCGACAATTTTCAGACCCTCAAGACCATCTAGGATGCTCAGGAGCTCTCTGGTCGTCCATCCACCCACTTCGGCCGTGCCTGTGGCTGGAGCATACGCTGGATCCAACACATCAATGTCGACGGAGACGTAGACATTCGTGTCGCCCACTCGAGCCTTGAGCTTTTCGATAATGCCCGAAACGCCGATTTTGTCAATGTCCCTGGCAGTGATAATCTCGAAACCACACCGTTTGTCGTTCTTCCAGTCGTGGCTTTTGTTCATGACCGGGGCTCGGATTCCCGCGTGTGCAGAAGAGTTGAGAATGAGGCCCTCCTCATGGGCAATATGGAGAAAAGTGCCATGATTGAGCCCGGCATAGTGGGATATTCCTCCTCCAAGGACTTTTGGATCTGCGTGGGAATCAAAAAGTCAGCATCGGATTCAACCGTCAATCTAAGCGAGGGAGAAATGAATGCTCTGGATATTTTGGGGACTTCGGATCCGAGCCTAGCCTACCCCACGTATCTATGTGGCTGTCAAAATGTATGACACTGACAGGACCCCAGTGGTCAATGGTCGAGCGCAACGCCGCTAGGGTGGTTGTGTGGTCACCTCCCAACGTTATGATCCGAGGGACATCGGCCACTTCTGTGGTATTGGCTGTTCGCCCGGAAACCACTTTGTGCGCCTTTTCGAGTTGCTGCAAGGCTATGGTATTGTCCAGGAAAGTGAGAGGCGCGTCGCCGCAATCTACTATGCGTGCCCAACCCAGGAATGTGTTTTCATGGGTATACGGATCCCATGCTGCCGCAGCTTGAATTCGTCGAGAGCCCCTGTTCGCCTAGGTCAGGACATCCATAGGAATCCCCTCTTGCATGGACTTACCATCTGATTCCAGTGGGACCAAACCGCGCACCTGGTCGGGCGGTAGTGCCTGTGTCAAAAGGTGCCCCCAAAAAGGCAATATCATACTGGTCTACATTGTTGTCTGGTGATAAGCAATGTACCCAAGGAATATTTGCAAAGGTGGTTAGTCCAGCGTATTTCTCGAACCCTGCTAAAAGATCCTTGTCCGAAGCGACTGACGATCGATATTGGCCTGCATGGCCTCCAAGATTTGCTTGTAGCGGTGACACCGGTGGGAAAACAATATCCCGGGCTAGTGGAGAAGCTGGAAAGAGGAAGAGTGGTAAGGTCCAAGAGCTCAACATGACTGCGACTGTCCTTGAGAGAGCTCCTGGATAGTTTGTAAGTATCTGCAAGGCGAGTTCGGCGACAAAGGTACAAAGAGGTGGGAGCTGATTCGAGTCTACATACCTAGGAATACATCACTATCGCCGGATCAATTCCGAGTCGAAGATCGAGGTACCGAGTCTCCGGATCATAATACCCATTCAGGGGATTTCCAAGTCGCTCGGGCCCATCAGCAACAAGGCTATTACGAAGCAGGAAGATCCAGTGAGAGCAAGATAAGCACAAGCACAGAAGGACGGAGCAGAGCGAAAAACCGCGCCAAGAAATTACTAACGGTGGCGGCTGGCGGGAGCCTCGGTGGGAGCTTGGAAGCACCCTTTGGCTTAACTGGAGAGCTTGTCTAGATCCCTCCTGCCTCTGCTGCCCCCACCGAGGTCGGCTCTTTTAACTGACTCCGGGTTACTAGGCCGCCCCCAAGCCAAACTCCACCCCTAACGCCTTGCCAAGAGGCCCGAAGCTCCCCCAAGGACACCCAAGACACCCAAGAATCGTCAGCCCAGACGCTTCCTTCAACTTCATCCACTCAACTCGATCTTTTATCGTTTCTTGTCCCTGCAATCGCCATTGCTACCTCATGGCCTCTCTCCCCCAGCTCTCGCGACAGTCACTTCCTTTCAGCTTACAGTAAAATGATCCACGGGCTAAGCCCTTGCCGAGCCTCGAAGCCCACAGGACCAAGATCTTGGTACAAAATGTCCAATGCGAGAACATATACGTGCCGCGCGAGATGCTACCTGTGGAAGCGAACTGGGACCAGGCCAGGGCTTCAAAATGATGGATTATCCTTTCTTGCGATAAGGTCGGCTACGCCGATGTCATATATCGTGCGGTTTCCTTCCTGAGCTGTCCCAGACCAATTTATCTGTTCTCCGACCCTTTTTTTTTTTGGCTGTGAAGTTGTCTTTTCCTGACCCAAACCTCCCGCAATGTCTTCTGCGCACGACTACAGCTTCAGTGAGAAAGACGGCATGCCTCCTCACATGCTGGACGAAACCCCCATCGCCCGGGGCGTCCGTACCCCCTCCAACAGCGACGGTGACCCTGACGAGGAGAACGCTGTGAGACGCGGTTCTACATCACGCAAGCATTCCGTCGTGGCATCCATCAAGGCTAACTATGGCCTTGCCGAAGCACCAGATTATCCTAGCAGCATCAAAGTGGGATATGATAGCACTCATCGAAAATTGAAACCGAGACATATCCAACTCATAGGCATTGGTGGGACGATTGGCACGGCGCTATACGTGCAGATCGGGAGAGGGTTGCTCAATGGTGGTCCTGGGAGCTTATTTCTGGCTTTTACGATCTGGTGAGTCTGAGATCTGTGCATTTCTGTTCGTGTTCTCCTGGATTCCAAATTGGTTCGATCTGTCAATGGATGCAGAAAGCAAATGAGCACTTTAATAAAGGTAAAGGGCCAGTGTCCGTAGAATGGCAGACACAGCTTGTTGAGCGTGATTCGCAATGAAATTTTGGTTTCCTGGTCCACAAGATGTCACAGGATGAATGACACCCACACCCCAGTACAATTAACCAGTGATCATGGACTAACGCAAGATGCATATTCATAGGTGTACATTCATCCTCTGCGTCACGAACTGTATGGCCGAGATGGTAACCTATCTCCCCATTTCCTCACCCTTCATCCGCTTCGCAGGCCGTTATGTTGATGAAGCCTTTGGCGTTGCCGCGGGCTACAACTTCTTCGTCTTTGAAGCCATGCTGGTCCCTTTTGAGATCGTGGCGTGCAACGTCATCATCCACTTTTGGAGCGACATCGTGCCCGCTGGGGGAATCATCACAATCGTGATCGTTTGCTATGCGCTGGTAAATCTGTTTGCCGTGCAATGGTACGGTGAGACGGAATTTTGGCTCGCGCTGGGCAAAGTCCTCCTGATTGTCGGGTTGATCATCTACACGTTCATTGCCATGCTAGGAGGAAACCCCTTGGGCGATCGATTTGGCTTTCGGTATTGGAACAACCCGGGCTCCTTCACGGAGCTCTACTACGACGGCGCACTAGGGAGATTTTTGGGGTTCCTGCAGTGTCTGATCCAGGCTTCCTTCACTATCGCCGGACCGGACTACGTCTCGATGGCGGCCGGCGAGGCTGAGAATCCGCGCAAGGTGCTCCCCAAGGCCTTCAAGGCTGTCTTCTACCGGCTCACGGCCTTCTTCATGCTCGGCTCGCTCTGCGTTGGCATCCTCGTGCCGTACAATGACGCAGAGCTCACCGAGGCCTTTTCGACGGGGAAACCCGGCGCCGCGGCGTCTCCGTACGTCGTGTCCATGAACAGACTGCGTATCAAGGTCCTTCCGCACATCGTCAACGCCATGGTTCTCGGCAGCGCCTTCTCCGCCGGCAACAGCTACGTCTACTGCGCCAGTCGCAGCCTGTTTGGGCTAGCGCTCGAAGGGAAAGCGCCCCGGATCTTCACGCGCTGCACGAAGAACGGCGTGCCTGTGTATTGCGTGGCGCTCGTGCTGGCGATCAGTCTGCTGAGCTTCTTGCAAGTCAGCAACGATGCCGCCGTAGTGCTGAGCTGGTTCGTCAACCTGGTGAGTTTTTAATCCTAATCTGTTCTTTCCGCCTCCATCATCACCAGCATCATCACCAGCATCATCACCAGCATCATCGTCGGCATCTTCATCCGTCTGTCTATCTACCCGGCATTCGTCTCATTGACCCTCCCGTCAAAGCAACAAGACTAATAAGTTACTGAACTAATTTTACCCGATGTATACGAACAGGTAACGGCATCACAACTGATAAATTTCTCCGTCATGGCCTTCACATTCCTCAAATTCAAGCGCGCGCTCGAGGCCCAGGGCATCGACCGGTCCACACTACCCTACAAGTCGTGGTGGCAGCCCTTCTCGGCCTACTACGCGCTAACAGGCTGCTTCATCATGACCTTTGTGGGCGGCTACACCGTGTTCCTCCCCGGCTTCTGGGACGTGCCCAGTTTTCTGTTTAGCTATGCCATGATCGGCGTGTTTCCCGTCCTGTTCGTCTTCTGGAAGTGGTTCCGCAAGACGAAATGGCTTGCGCCACACGAGGTCGACTTGCAACCCAAGGAAATGGATGAGATTGCGGAGTATGAGCGGAATTATACGCCGCGGCCGCCGAGGTGAGTTTTAAAGATGTTCTTTTGTTCGCATGGGCTCCAAAGAGACTGAGGGGCTGTGTGTATCAGTGCAGCGCTAACCTCGAGATATTGTAGGAATATGTTCATGAAATACTTTGACAAGCTCTTCAGCTAGAGTTCCCTGGCGTCTTGTTCTCGAATATATGATAGGGCTTGATGACGCGACGACAAAAGGGGAGGCAAAGGTCAGAAAACAAAATGCTCTTCAGGTTGGATTTTGGCGAAGCTACTCAAAAAATGGAGGAGATGTGGCATATGTAGCAACAACCCAAGATCTGGCATAAACCATGGTGTGATGCTTTCACACCATCCCTCCCTCCCTCCCAAGCTCTCTGTCTGTCTTGATCTTTCTGTATGTGTAGGCTAACGGGCACTGCTCGTATCCTCGACTGATCACTGTTGGACAACCTACAACCCATCAACTCTCGAATGCTGGTATCCATCTAAGCAAACATCCTTAGCATCTACCAGCACTGCCCCGATAAAGAGAGGACGGGGCCTTGTAAGAGCCGGAAGAGGCAGTGCCATAGTCCGACTTGTCGACAATGGTAAATAGACATCGTATGGGAACTCACGTTCCCCTTTTCTTTCCCGGAGGCCCATCTGGACCGAGTGCCCAATGTCTTGTCTGGTTCGATCCTGCTGTCGAGTAAAGATTCCTGCAGTTGCAAAACAGCTTCCTTACCAGCTTTCTTCACAATATTGTGAATTCGCGGAAGAAAAAAAGATCTTCACAGGCGAAGCTGCTGCAGTTCCCAGTTGTGCTGATGATATCTTCTTGAAGTTTCATGAATGCCACTTTGCACCTTCACCATAGCGCAGAGGCATATTCACATCAAATATACCCGCTGATGAATACGCACGATCTTCAAGCCTTGTAGTCTGCCTTTAAGAAGCCCATGACATTTTCTGCGCCACACTAGTGCATCCAAGATATCCTCCCTCGAGAATATTTCTCAGTGTGCATGTTATAGTAGCCAAAATCTTGGCTGAGACTCCATTTAGTCCCGATTTCGCTGCCACGTCCGGCCCAGGAAGATGACAGGCGTAGGGGCTAGCAGTTCTTGAAGAGTCCAAACCCGCTTGAGCCATCCGCTGTCGAAAAGTTCAGACATTTCTGACCAGCATAAGTCCAGATGCGAAGCATTGTCGACAATATTGAGCCGCATTCGACAATCTGTGGTCGGAAAGATAGACATGGCATGGTGCCGCCGCTTCTCAATACCAGCGGTATATGGAATTGACGGCTTCAGACAAGCTCTTGCGCTGCTCCCTTTCAATGCAAACGCAGTCACCATCCTTGCAGAGTTCTCTGAAGAGACTCGAGACGAGTAAGATGAGCTTCGGGTGTCATATGCTCCGGTTTAACCTCAGCCTCGTCCCAGCCTGAGGTGCTCATGCTGACTGCCCGTCTGCTCAGCCATGCTCAGGCCCGTTTTCGGTCCCCCTGCGCTTATTAGATACTCATACCTTTAACGGGTGTATATCTCTTCCTCTAGGAATATAGCTACTTTGCGCTGCGGTCTACGGGGAACCAGATTAAACGTCTTAAATTCAAAGAGAGAAAGAGAAAACCGACAAAGTCGCGGAGACATCGGCGCAACCTTGCGTGTGGAGCCTTGCGGCCGATATCTTGTGAAAGCGACATGATGGGCTGAGACGACACGCCTGCGGCTAGCTGATCCCATTGATGTTGATGTTAATTTCCGCCTCTGCTCAGCGGGAGATGCCATTACCGTTATTACAACTTGACTGGAATTCTTTAGGACGTTATGCCCACCACAATACAATCTTATACATGAGGAAGTATATCAGACCATTTCGCAGTCGCGCAAGCGGCTTGTGGTAAGGCACGAAGGCTGATGAATGCTTCCACAATAATATATAGTCGCGCCAGCCCATATGACCCGATCCAGGTGGTTGCTATCGAGTATTGAAGCCACATCGGTAAACGGAACAAAAGCTCAAGGACAGTATTAGCCCCGGAAACGCCAAACAGGCGACAGGCCGCTCGCAATTGCGAAGCTATAATTATGAAGAATATCCCGTAGCACAAAAAAGCTCCCAATAGAGTCAGAGTCGCTGCGCGCCAAAGTTTTTGTTCAACAACCGTGGGAAACGCAAAATTCCACCCGGTCAAATGAATGCCCATATATATTATTGAGATGGTTGAGATCACCACCGAATCCAGTAGCGGCACACGCCTTGGAGGGTTTCGTCCGCTGTTTTGAAATGAAATGATCGGACCATGCTTAGGAGCGCCAGCCAAACCAAAAAGAAGATGGATCCCCCACTTAGAAGTCGAATCGGTAGGGTTGTGGATTGACAAAGTCAAAAGGAGTGAATCTGGAAGGTGCACCTTTTTGGGCGTCTGCAGACTGAAGTATGTCTTTGATCTGAATCTGGTCCTTTAGCCGGAGAGGAATAGTCGTAGTAGCGTCGAGTGGCTTATGGCGCCACCAGAAGAATGTGGGTAGGGTGCAGAATACGAACGCCAGAGTGGAAAGTTCCTTTGTCGAGATTGGTAGATGCTGTATAGGTCGCCCCAGGCACTGAAGAGCAAACCAGCACACCTGGATTGAGGTGAGAAGACGAGCAAATCCGTCTGCCTTATTCTTTTCCCAAATACTTTTTCTGTCTATTTCAGGCAACACCATGAATTTGTTGGTGACTAGATAATAAATTTGGTGCGCATCGACCGGGAATGGTGTATAGTCAGGGCTTTCCAGCATGAAGCCGCCCATGTCGGCGAAAAATGCATGTCTGAGTGACCATTGCGGGTGGCCGATCTGCGAGAGATCCGAGACGGATTGGGATGCTGAGATCCCTTGAAGCTACGCGAATGCTGCTAACACCTCAGGCAGGAAAATGGTAAAGGCGACCCATGAGAGCTTTGTTAGAAAGAAGTGCCTCCGCCCTGATTCGCGAGGAATATTTAGGAATAAGACCGACCAGCTGCACAAAAATGTCGTGATGACACAGCTCTTTAGAATATCGATTGTGCCTCGCCCATCTGGTGAGTTGACCCAGCCGTGGGTCAACTGGGCCGTTGCATTCATTGTTGTCTAAACACAGAGGGGGCTTTGAATTTTCCCAACCATAACTTAGTCGTGCGGCGAAGATTAATCGATTCTCAAAAATGGATTGCAGAGGAAGGAAGGTCGAGGAGTTTGTTCATCAATGCAAGGGAAATGCTGTGCTAGTATCAGCAGAAGAGAAGCATTTGAAACGGTCGTCAGGGGGGGGGGGAAGTCGGCTGCGGCACGGTCACTCCCTAGTTGCCTAGCCTAAGTACCGAGTAGTTTGCCTCACCAACAATTCCCGACTGGTGTTGCCTGGAGGCACGGCACGTTCTTCGACCTTGGTGTGCGTGTCTAAGACAGTGGCCCGAAACTTGACCTGGCGAAGGCGTCTGGTGGCGTTTTGGCGTGTGGGTGTGCTGTGGCTGCAAACTGACCAGTGACAGGGGCATCCAAACACAGTCCGCGGGACGTGTCGAAAAGGTACAGCCGCCAGGTACTGAGGACGGACTATCATAGGCTTTTAGATCGCCATGCAAATCTCCCGGATGGCTTCGACGAAGAAGACGACGAGGTCGTAGACCGCCAAGTGATGGGTATGACGCCCTCGGCAAGGCGTTAAACTGCCCCTTTGGCCCTGAGACATGGCGACAGAACTGTATCTTTGACTGGGATATGGGCTTTTTACATGTATCTGCCATGGTTCCCCTCGGCTTCAGACCACGATCTCGTCCAGAACCCTCACGGCGAGCGAGGTGAATCCCTGCTGTATCTTTATGCTCGTACCAGCACTCGTTTCACGATCAGCACAGTGGATCCCATATGCGTCTCTGCCCTCGATGCAGGCTTTGACAGCCGCTTCGAACCTGTCACCTGCCTCCGCTCTGACACCCGCAAGCAAAGAAGACTTATTGTCGAGGAGCCTAGTTCTGAGTGTGCTCGTGGACAGCGGAGAGCTATCGGCATCATTTTCGATTCCCACGATTGAAACAATGGGTTTCCAATAGGATATTTTTTTAAGCACAATGCCCAGGCTGTAGATGTCAAATGTCTTGCGATAATACAACGGAGGTCGATTAAACTGGGCATCTGGATGTAGGTATACTTCCGTACCTAGGCTTAGGCGCAGATGACCCATCCCAACACGCCCTCCTGGAGAAGTCGAAGCCGGTGAGATATGGTTCACCTAGCTGCAGAATGTTGTCGTCCGCCTGGAAAAGAAGGATCACCTCGCTTCGGAAGGCTTTGTGCAGCCAATTGACGGGATGCAAGTATAACAAGCACTTGGCGATGCTCTGCGGGAATGCTACTCGTTGTGACAGCGACGGAGGAGGTAGTTGCTTCAAAAGCCTGAAGTAAGTTGATCGGCCGTGTAGTAGCACTGATCTGTTGAGGTCTTTCGAAGACAACAGCGATCTTAGCATGCCGGCCCTGGTTTTCGGGTAGAATACAATACCCGAGACAAGGTGGTATGCGAAAGTCGTCCAGCTTGGTTGTGCTTTTAGCAAGACCGTCAGTTCCTCGATGGGCGAGAGTCGTGAAGCACTCGCATGGATGTCTGGCGACTGTCGAGAGTGCCAAGTCAGCCAGACCTCCTTTGAGGGTCGATTAGAGTCAACGAGTTCGGCGAGGTCGAGCGCGTGTTCTGAAGACGGCGGGTGTGGTCGTCGAACCTGCGAAGCCGGAATTAAAAGAGAGGCCCTGTTATCCAATGTTTGGTCGAGCAGTGATATAGAGAGCTTTGAAAGACGCCAGGTCTCCCAATTCTGCGTCTTGTATCTGTTGCCATTGTGTTCGTGTGGCAGACTGTTGTCGTGATGAGTATGCAGCTTCTGCAAGCGTTTTTAGATCGTTGACGGGATCCCTTGTTTGGATTAACTCCATGTACGTTTGTCTTTGCTCGTCTCTCAGCCCGGGTATTTGGTTCTCGTCCAACAGGTCTTGCAGGCTGTCATTAAGATGTCGAAGTCTGCTTTACTTGCGAACAAGCATGGATTACCAGTCTTGTCAAAGCTCAAGAGGGCGCGTCGCTTCCTGCCTTGCAGGTTGCAAATGCAGGACCAACGTGCACTGCCACGCGCTACCTACAGCCCCTGGACGACTCTATGCTGCGGACTGCTCGCGACAATTGCGTTCAGTCATGATTTCGATTTTCTGTCCGGTTCCTGGGCACTAGATGGACGTCAAGACAGTCAGCATTCCGACTGGGACGCACGAGAAGAACGATCACACGGTTTTGCAAACGACAATAGAAGTCATGCAAGGGGAAAGCGTTCCAACCAGCATCAAAACCAGGAAAGGATTCGGATCGGTCGAGGAGAGCCAATCTTAAGGAAAGCACGCCTAGAAGCCGAATATTGACAGGCTCGCTGGAGGAAGCAGTGCCTGGGGGTGTTTCACACCAGGATGAGAATGTCCTTCTTCTGGATACAGTCCCAAGTGGTGAGGTGTCCGCTTTCAAGGCCATCGTGGTACCAGAACAGAAATCCCAAATTCCATGCCTTAGCATCGATCATTCCACTGCGAGCCCCGGCGTTGTTCATCCAAGTGACAAAGACACTCATGAACAAATCAGAATCCGAGGACTTGAGACGGAACCTGGGACGAAGCTAGTGCCACGAAGGGCCTCCAAAGCCTCCGAAGTCAGTACACCTCTCGTCGCAACGGCCAAATGCACCATCACGCGATGCTATTGAATCCAGTATCCCGGAAATCGATGAGAAGATATCTGGCGAAATTGCCGATCGATTGCGTAAAGCCGGTCGAGAGGAATAGTCCCTTCGGCCACGGACTTATAGAGTGCTCTCAATGTTGAATGCGACGCTTCTGATGGAAGACTTTGTAAGAGCCGATCTCTGGGACATCGCTGTACCGTATCAGCGCAATTTCCTACCCCAAACTCTCTCGCCTGAGCAAAAGGAGGCTTTCCTTGCGAAGCAGCACGCCGTCTTATCCAAAGAGGCCAAGGGCATTGAAGGCGGGCCAAAGACGCCACATGCAAATCTTGCTACGTCAGCAGACGCATACCTCTAAGTCTTCGCGCATCTCGGTAGTGGTGGACATGGCGTCGTCGACAAGGTAAAAGTCAAAGTGTCCCAAAACGCCTATGCTCGCAAAACACTTCTGCTGTCCGACATTGGCCTGGAAACGTCTGCGTTGAAGAATTTCAACAATGAAATCCAATTATTGAAGAGACTGAGGCATCATCACCTCGTCCGTTGCGCCGGTTCTCACACTGATCCGGTACGGGTGGGATTTCTCATGACACCGGTAGCTGACTGCGACCTGCGAGCCTTTCTCGGCCGTCTCTTCTTCACAGTCAACAACTTGAGATGTATCCGAGAAGCTTTTGGTTGTCTGTGTGCTGCTCTCATCTGTCTTCAGGAACAACTTCGTCGCCGCAAGGATATCAAGCCGCGCAACATTCTTGTGAAGGCTGGCAAAGGATTCCTCACTGACTTTGGAATTGCGAACGACTGGAGTGACAAAACAAGAAGTACTACTACGGGTCAGATTCTTTCGTTCTCGCTCCCGTATGCCCCAGAGGTGCTCGACTTCAAGCCGAGAAACACTTGCGTCCGACATGTGGTCTCTAGAGCCTGCACCCCCTCATCACGGATCAGTACAACCATCGTCCTCAGCCGTTTACTCCCTCTAGAGCATCTGCCCGCTTCCATCCGCTCATGATGCCTGCGACTGGGTCCTCTCCACAATCGAGAAAAGGCCCCATATGTGCCTTACCCAGCACCGTCAACAGCGCCACCGTATCAATATCAGCACAGGACGCCTCTGCGCGCCCATCACAAGTCCTCCGGAGAATGGTGGAAGACTCAAGGAGATAAATGAACCTCGTAGCACGAGTTCGAGCGGTTGAACTACTACGGATATGGATACTATATTGAGATACCTCTTGTCGGCTTGGGCCACGTGCTACGAGGGTAGACTCCGGTCCATATGTGACTTAATGGAGGACATGATAGATTCTAACAGGGCCGTGGAGGCCTGTCTGACTGGATAGTATATACTATTTGGTGAATCACACAGGCGCTATGTAGTAGCGCTCGTCCGAAGGCCGAAGACTATATGGCGGCTGCCGTCTGCCTTTCGAAGCGAGCTACTTGCGTCCTGGTGCAGACTGACCAGTAACACTTGCGGGTTGTGTCGGAGAAGACCTTTTGACCAGCCATCGGGTACTCCGTACTTCGTACATCGAGAGGCCTATGATAGGCTTCTAGATGGCGGTTCGAGTCTCCCGAGAGGCTTCGAAAGACAACGGGGTGGTAGCCCGCCAAAATATGTGCAGCACTGGCCCCTCCCTCCCCAAAGCGCCTTGGCTAAGAATCTTCGATATTGGTAGCGATTTGTGCAAAGCCATCACTCATCACAGTGTCGTTCAGACCGACACGGGACAGGATGATTAAAGTATACCCATGCGGTCCGCCTGGTCCGGCTCGAGATATATGGTATTTACCTGCCTGTTTCCAACGAGATCCATCAAAGCCAACTCTGACCAAGTCCAAACTCTGAAAGACTGAGGATTTTCAGACCTCCTAGAGGATAGTCTGGTCTCAAATCAGAACGATCTTGGAGCAGCTATCGTCAAGCTGATTCTGGGGGGGGGGGGGGGGAAGGCGCATTGGCCGAGTGCGCAGAAAGGCCTATTTCTTGGTCGATCCTCTCTGGAAGTGCTTGTCTGTTTCTGCAAATTTTTTCCATAGATTGGATTTTATCTTCCCAAAAGGTAGAAGACGAAGTGATCTTTCATCGTGTGCAGTTCGGTGCAATAGGGCGGGCAACCTTTGACCAGGGACTGGACAAGCATTCTGGTCGCTTATCTGGATGTCCTGTTGAAGACTTCGTTTGAGCGAAGACGCTAATTACCCCGCCATGGTAACGTTGCCTCATCGAAGACGGTTTTGATCAAGGGGCCAATTAAGGTTCATTTCGAGGGTTTGCGTTGGGTTGGTGAACTCGGCCTGGGAACTGGAATTTGGACCGCCAATCCTAAGTTCCGGCCGTCCAAGATATGTCTAGCTCGGCGCAGAGTGGTGGGATACCTGTTTAGGAAGTCAGGTCCATTGTTCGGCTTCGTGCGGCGGCCTGGCAGGCATATCGGAGGATTCGTTCCTTGCTGACTCCGATTGTCCGTCTTATCAACTGTGAGCCCTGATGTAAGACGTCTAGAAAGCGTGGGCTGTATGATCCCCTGGCCGACGGAGGCCTCAAAAATTCCGTTTCCAGAAGAATCTTGCAGTCGGCTCAAGCATCTTCACACATCGCCCTACTCTTTCTTCGTCCGCCACCAAGCCAAGCCCCCGGTGGAGGTTGCAGCAGCCCGTCCACCTCTTCGACAATCTGGTCTCTCCTCTGTTCAGCAGCGAGTCTCTCTTCTTGCTCCTTCTCTGACTCTAATCGCCCTTTAGCCTCCACGGCAGCCGCATAGTTGCCTGCCCCTCCTCTTCCAGCATTTCCAACAGGATATGGATTTTGACTCTTTGGGCTAGGAGGCTTCCCCGGCATAGAAGACGTAAAACTTGCTGGTAAACTCGGGCTCCGTTGGAGGGGTTTCATGTCGTTGAGAACATAGTTTCCAGCTCCACCGCGGCCGGCGGACAGGTACTGAGCAGAGTTCTGCCGCAGGGGCCTCGGATCTTGGGTATTGATGCTTTCCAGCCTGGCTGCTGCTTTGCGACGCTCCGCTAACGAGGCATGTGGCGGTCGGTTTGCTTCGAGGTCGACAGGCGAAGTTGATCGCGGGGCAAGCTGGACCTCTGTCTGCCAGTTGAAGTTCCCAGCCCCCCCGCGGCCAGTCTTGACGTAGGGACCGTAGGCAGAAGACATGGAGATGGAGGACACGGATGATTCGCCATCCTCGTGGGAAGGGTATTCTGAGATGGAATTGGATTCTTCGTGATGGCGAAAGGAGGTGTCACTAGCCATTGGCGACACCGAGGAGGCGTAGGAATCGAGCAACCATGACGCCCATGACTGCGTAGCAGCAGCCCAAGACTGTGTCGTCGAGGTCATTGTTTCTCGAGAAGATGTGTCACCTTGATGGCTTTTTGTTGTATGAGCAATGACGCAGTGACGGCCGCAACTGCGACTGCGAAGGATTTGGATCCCGGGCGAAAAATGTGGGGGGGTTTTCTTTTTTTGGCCTCCCTCCTCGGTCCTTATCGCACTCAGTCGGTTCAAGCACTCTGCGGTCTGAGAGCCCAACTTCTCAAAATATACATCCTGAGTATTTTGTTCACGCAAAGAACAAGCAGAATGGTGTAGACAACAAGCAGGGGTTCAATCCGGGAAATAGATTGTGACCAGCACCTGAGTTTTTCGTATTAGAAGGCCGTTACAAGCCCAAGGTCCGTGGCGCCGGAGCGGAAAAAAAGGGGAGAAGAGGCAACCATGAAGCTAGTGACGGCTTGATTGGAAGATCCGAAAATGGCCGTGGCGAGATGATAGTATCGAGCAGCCACAAGTAGGGGGGGGGACAAGGGAGGAAAAGATTACTTGGGTATGCTGTTCACAGCCTCAGGTCCAAGTCCGACCACAAATCTACCGTCAGGGCAACTAGAGAGAAACCACGGCAGGACGCATTGAGACGATTGCAGCAAGGGTAGAGCAGGCGCCGGACTCGTCTTCCAATAAGCAGAAAGAGAAGGTCGGGCGCAGACAAACAAGCCCCTTCAGCCTCGCGCCAACGGGGAGCAAATGAAAAGGAGAGACACAGGCGGGCTTTGGCCGATGTGCTGGTTTAGTCTTGTTCTCTTCATACTGTATGACAAGCCTCGCCCACGCCGTGTTCCACGTGGCCCGATGCATTGACTGTTTCCAGGGCCGGAGTCGCTAGCACATTTCAATGATCACTGTGCATAATACAAAGCCTTTGATGGTCCCAATCCAAAGTCAAAGCCAGAGACACAACATGTCAGGGAGGACATTTTTTCGGCTGACGACTCCTTTTTGCCAATTGTAGCGTGGGGCAGGGCCGGCAGTCAAACGAACTCCTCTCGACGTACCGTCTTCCCCTCTCGTAGGTAGTATTCGGTCAAGCCTGCTGCGAGGTGAACTAGTCTTGGAGGCTAGGCAGATGCACGGATTGCTTTCATTTGCTGCCCAGTGAGCAGCCACCTGTCAACTGGCATATCACATCATGGGGGACATTTAGAGTGCTCCTCGAGCGCCTTTTGCTCCTGGCTCGGTTTGCGTCTCGGTTTGTGCGCGAACTCCAAGACCCAACAGGATACATAGTTGCCATAAGGAGACCTTTGCTGAGATAGGGGTTGATGCGGGTAAGCGTTATCAGCCATGGATAAGAGCGATAACTTAGAGCCTCGAGACTCTACCTAATTTGTACTGGGGATATTCGCCGATTTCGGACCTATGGATGCATACCCAGTAGTGGAATGACCGCCTCCATATGTAATGTATAACATTTTTATTGATGAGCCTGAGCAGCTCCTCAGCACCACATCGTTTCTCCGCAAAGGCTGTATCCTCAAAAAGGTCTTCCAGACAACCCCCCAAAACTCGGGTCTCGGTTGACCTCGACGGCAACTAGATCGAAAGCTGGGGCAAGCTAGCCTCATACTGTACTTAACCAGGCTCAGCCGAGGCTCCGTCCAAACCCCGCTACATAGCGTCATCTCGGTACTGGGTGGGAGTTGCTAGTTGTCTCTGTCGCTCCTCCTTGGCCTGGCGGAGAATACATACCAACAGCTGGAAGGGGAGGCCAATCTGATTGTCATTCCCGGGGCCGGAAAAGTCGGGTTTGACGGAATTCGTATGATTCGGTAACCAAAATCAATCCTGAGGGCCCTTTGTCTGCGTGCCAAAGCGCCCACATACATCCATAATTCGGAGAACCGGTGTCAGTCAGGATGATCTTTTAGTCTGTCTCTTAGCTTGCAACCTGCTGAATTGTCCGATTGCGGACATGCTGAGGGATCAGCACTTTGATTGATCGACAGGCTTCGGTGCCACGCGGATGGGCATTGACCACTGAGGTGCGTTCTCATTTATCCGAGTACAAATATTCTGGGCATCAGAACACTCCCAAAGAGTTTGTTCCAAGTATGCAGGACTCAAAACGAGATGGTTTCTGCATACAGACGTTTGAGCGATAGAAGACTAACTCGTTTGGCCGCTCATAGTTCCCGTGTCCGTGCCGTTTCAAGACCATCTCCATGATGACGAAACTGACCTGACCAGTGACGCTGCTGACCTCGTGGATCAAGAAATGTTGTACTTGACAAAAAGGGCCACGGGGCCACGGGACGAAGCCGTATCTTGCGCAAGGCACGCATTTCAAACCACAACTCCAGCCGATGACGGCATCCAGGATTCGAATGGTGCGTGATTTTTGGTTGCCTTGCACCACCGGCATCAGACGACTTCGCCTGACGGGCTCGCAAGTCGACCGAGAAACTGGCCCGTCAGTGCGAGTGCCTGGCACCTGCTTGTTATGCACCAGTTCGCATGGCTGTTTGGGAGTTTTGGGTATGGCTGCTTGGGCCCCGATCTTATCGCTGGTTTGACAACTCCATGTCTCGGCTCCCCACAAGTCCTCTAAGAAGCCATGGTGCCTTGCCGGCGAAGTGCCTATTGTTTGCTAGTTGCTGTCCTCGTCCTTCAGTTATCAGGCCCAATGAGACACCTTGTTACCAACCTTCACAATGGCTCTATCGGCGGCTCCAATCAGCAACTCTCTTCAGGCCGTGAAGCGGGCATGTTGATTCGTGGAGTCGCAGCTACAGTCGTGTCTGGAGCGGATACCGAGAAGCGCTCACAACTGCCTGGGGGCATCCATTGTCGTCTTTTTTTTTTTTTTTTTCCTTGAACACCACGAAGCGCAGGTACCCAGATGATTCCTGACAGAGACTCTCCACTTCACCAGGTTCTGAGCGTGCATTCTCCTCACGGGCCCATAAGAGGTCCGTTGTATTCCCCCTCTTTTTCTGTTTTGCCTGCGCGCAGTAGACGGCCTTCGGTCTTCTTGATTCGTGGTCGCAGTGGGCCGCCGTCCGAACCCTGGCTGGTCAGTCCAGAGACTTGGAGAGTTCGAGGGGGAGGAGGGCTGTGGTGTCTGGCGCTTGGGGGTCGAAGCCAGTCAATTTTTAGTCAGGTACGGAGCGGCGCATTTTAGCCCATCAGCCCTGGCTGCTGGCTTGCCTGACCCATGACCTTGAGTAGTGCATGACCTGATCAGGCCATGCCCTTTCCAGCTTTCTGCCCCATCTTTTGCCATGGGCCATGGGTCCATGCCCATGCCCATGCCCCATGCCCGCAGTAGTGGCAGTCTCGCAGTGAGTGATCTGTCGGCATCAAATCGCAAGAGCTGATCAATTCCCAAAGATTATGGTTGCGTTGTCCCTCCCGTGTCCCTTATTGTTTTGGGTCGGAATTTTGCCTCTCTCCCTTTCTTTCGCCCTCTGGGCTGTTTTTGCTTCAGGAACGCGTAACGTGGGATCCGTAGGAGGGCGCGGCTGAGAAGGAGACAATTTCTTCAACCGCCCGTGCTGCTGAAACAAATGCCAGTGAACTGGTCTAGAGCTCGGTACGATTAATTTCCTGCTGCGAGCTTGAGACGCTTAGGCCCAGGCACGGGCGACCCCGCAGCAGTGTGGCAGAAGCAAGGAACACGGTCAGCCAGTCAGGCCAGTCAAACAAAAGGCCAGGAGAGGAGAAGGCCAAAGAATAGTATCAGCACAAGAATACTCAAATCGGCGCGATCAGCAGGTCTGTCAGAGGCAGAAAAAAAAAAAAAGAAGAGGAGATGGTCTTGCCTGACCATCATCCTTTCAAGCACCGTGAAACTTCTCTTCCAGCTTATCCTACTGCACTGTATGCTTTTGGATCCTATTTTGCCCACCTAGCAAGAACGGGTGCCAGAACTCTCGGCTTCCTCTCAACCTGAGCTGAACTCCACACGCTGCTGCTGCGATCCTCTCGATCGACGAACCACGAATCCACCCGCAAGCAAATCCCGAGCCTGGATTCCTAATAAAAGTGCCCCGATTCAGAACAGACAAGAACTATTTCCGCCCACCGTTCCACGCTGCCATTCCCACCGTTTACGGCCCATTCCACACATTTTCCCACAACTTCACTTTCTGTACCGAACTTCCACCACCTGTTCCATTGACGGATTGTTGCGATAGACTTTTTGTTTCTTCAATAGAGTCCTCGGTGACGGCTACACCGCTACCGACTCAGCGTCGGTATTTTGAGTCCAGCTGCGCTTGCCCGCTGTATTCCCCCTCGCGCTCCTCGATCCTCTGATTTCTCGGGCATTCCGAACCCCACAGCGCACAACACTACGCTCTCTCCTACCTTGGCTGCTACTCTTTCTTGACGACTCTCAAGTCTCAAGACTGCCTACAGTTTTGAGCTCGAGAGTCGTCTGATCTCAAGAACGCGACGATTTCAACATGGCCTCCTCCAAGGTGAGCAAAGGGCACGGCCCATTCTCGACCCGGTGCTCGTGCTGACTTGGCTTCGAAAACAAAGGAACAACCAAGTTCCCGTCCTGTCTCTGGCAGCTTCTCCTCCCGGCATCCTCCTGCCTCTGCCAGGCAACACTCCCACTCCGTCTCGCTGTCGGCTACGAACCCTTCTCATCGAGTGAACAGGAGGAAAAGCGTCAACGCAGGTGCTTCCACAACAGCGCAGGCTGCTATTGCCGCTGCTTTGAGGGACCAGGGTGATTTACCTGGAATACCCGTACAGAGCCACCGGAGGAGCGCCAGCTCCAGAAAGATGACGGAGTCACACTCGATGAGTGCTCGACCCAGCATGCACTCTTATTTCAATGGGCCCCCTGGCACGGCAGGCAGCCACGACAACGAGGTTCTTGAGGACAATTCCCATGACGAGGATGTCCCAGCTTCGTCCAGAAACCTCAAGAATCGAAACAGGAGGGCCAGTGAAGGGTCACATCTCATCAAAGGCGAGGGCAAAAAGTCGGGGATTGAATTGCGGTGCGATACCTGCGGCAAGGGCTACAAACACAGCAGCTGTCTCACCAAGCACCTGTACGTAAATCCCGTGGCCCTTACTCCGTTGACTGACACAATGGCAATAGCTGGGAACATGATCCGGCATGGGCAATCACGTCCAAGTTGCTCATCTCCAAACACCAACAGGTTCAATTGCTGGAGGCCGCCTCCGTGTTGTGTAACATGACTGCGGAGAATTTGCCAGCCGGTCAATCCGAGATTGAAGCCTCTGCGATCGATCCAAGCGAGGACTCGTCTGCATCTCCCGGGCTCTCCTCGTCCGAGATGCAGGACGAGCTCAGTTCTGTTGAGACAACCCCTCCTCCCATGAGTGAGGCGGCGTACCCCGTTCCAGATTCGAAAAGATTCAGCAGTGGCAGCACAGGCTTCTCCCGCTCGTACAGATCTATTCCATCCAGCTCCTATGCTGAGAGCTTTCATTCGCCAGGCCTACCGCCTTATCGACTCTCCGGGGCGGATTTCCGACCGAGCACCTCGGGGACTGACGATGGCACGCTGGCGGCCGCGACAGCTGGCCTCTCGTTCAGCAGCGGAACTCCTCGTACGAAGCCGTCCTATTTAGGCGCTGATGTGCCACCTGTACCACCATTGCCACAACAGTACCAATCCTTCAACAGCAAGTCATCTGACAGCACATTGACAGCTATATATAATCCTTTGTTGCAGATGCAGCCTCCCACCTTGACGCAGAAGCTATCCGACGAGCGCAACTATCGGGATGGGAGCGACGACAGAGATGTCCACATGGACGATGAAGAGATGTTCAGGATGGATCAATAACGTGGTGCAACAGAGCAGAGGCCGCGAGTTGATCATATCCGTCCAGTCCTTATGACGACCCTTATTTCCTACTCTCATTTGGCCAGATCATTCGGGCACCATCTTACTCAAATGTACGTATTTCTTGATTCCAACAGAAAACAGAAAACATCTCCTTCTGGACTCATCGGGGGCAATCGTCGAGTTCAGTACGCCGAATCAACCGCTAGGACAGATGACGACAGGAAGATGACGGTCCTTGGTTGCGCCGTTGGAGGAGATAATTCGACATGACGAAATTATTGGGGGCGAAAGCTACTGGAACTATTATATTTTTTCCCCCCCTTGGGTGGAGAAGAAAACTATATAACTTTCTGTGCTCCGCAGACGGATCCTCAAAGCACCGATGAGTCGACTCTTGCATCCGCTACGAAGTCGACGAGGTTAAAGTGAGTGGGACTGTCCAGGACTATGCATCGAGCAGGATACAATATTGCTATAACGAAATGGATTTCACTGTTTTCACCACAAGGTTTGGCATGGCTAGCCTCGCATCCTACCTTCATTGGGTCTTGAAGATCGACCTAGGGTAGGAATGATCATGTTTGCTTGTCTCAAGTTTGGGAATCTCTTTGATGGGGCCCGATAGTGGATTTACTGGTGTATAGCAGAGGCCACGGCATTGAGATTTATTGAAACTTTTCAAAACAACCCCGCGAGTTCGATCGGCAGGGTTTGACCCTTTACTAATTCATAGTGCTATGATTGACGATGGACCTTGATGTGCAGATGCGCGTCAGTGTGTGGACAGCGCTGATCAGGGGCAACTAACTTAGCAGGATGGAGAAAACATGGAGACAATGAAGATCTCAAGATCCTCTTATCTCGAGTCTTTGCCTCTACCTGAGCCCTGGGGATACTATGTCATGCATGGGGATTTGTTCAGGGTTTACTGATCAGCCGCTCTCCGATGGGCCTGTCTGCTACCTCTGGAGCGCTCTACACAAAGGCATTAGCTATATTCGCCCCTTCTGCTCAATCAGCCAACCCAGCCCGAAGATGCCAACCCCTGTTTCGGTCTGTTCAGCCATGCCAGCTAGTACTGGTGGTCGAGGAAGCTCTATTGGCACCATTGGTCATATTGCGGTGGCTGGTTTTGGTTGTCGCTTGCCCGAGCTGGGAGAGGAAAATCCTTTCCTCGAGGGTGATGTCCGGTCGGGAACCGGCAGATCTGCGTCCAAAGAATATCATTGACTTTGACGAACCGGGGCCAATGTCTCTCAGAAGGAGACTCTGTTCAAGTTCAAGTGATGTAGCTACGCATGAGTTCTGTTGAAGCCAAAATGCGATCATGAACTGTGCGACGCATCTATGGCAAGATAGTTCGAGAAAGCATGGATATCCTGAATCGGCTAGATAAAGTCCGGTAGCGTCGCTCTAACCCAATATTTCATCCTCCCGGTTGTCATTCTCGTATTATCTCGCTTTGGTCTGCCACGTATGTACTGTACTACGGTTTTCCATCAACTACCCACGTAGCCTTGCAGCCTCGTCGGATCCCTTGCTTGGGTGCCTCTCTCCTCGCCATTGCTTGCCTTTATCTTTAGATCGCACAACCTAGAAGTACGAAGACACTCTCCCAGAAAGAAGAAAGCGACCGCCATCCTCCGCTCTCTCCTTTCGGACCGAAGGCTTTCTTCCTCCATCTCCCACCCGTCCGAAGACCCCGGTACCTGCGCATAACTATGCCACTCACAGCCGCGGAAATCCTCGCCCATCCGGCCTTTGACACCATCGACTGGCACTTGGCGCCCACACGGTCCGGATATTGCGAGACTGCCACGGGGAGACATGGAGGTCCGTTTAAACTATACTGGGAGATCCATGGTAAGGGAGATGTTAAGTTAGTTGTAGGTCCCCCCTTCCCCTTCTTTTCTTGCTCTTTCCGTCCTTCTTGTTTGCCTTTTGTGTGTTATTCAGTCGGCAGGCTGGAGATGGCGGTTGGATATTGTATTGAATTGAGTGCTCCGGCATCATGAAATGATCGAGAGGTTGGAAAACCACGAGACTTGTCGCAAAACTGGGTCAATTGGCTATGTACAGGACCGCATCATGTTGGGGGAAAGAGAAATCAGGCTCTATTAGAGAGAGGATGTGGTCTGTCTGTCTTGGAGACGCCGACCCGCGTGAACGGCTCATCAGCTCTGTTATCCCTGGTCTTGACCGTCAACTCAGGACAATTCCTGTCCGTGCGGTTACCTCCACATTAAGACCTACGCTGACAGCTTCATCCGCAGTGGATAATGGGCCTCGCCGCCTACCGCACGGCCTGGAAACGGCAGACCAAATACTTCGGCCACGACCGGCCTGACAAGTACTCGTGCTTCGTGTTTGACAACCGTGGAATGGGTCTCAGCGACAAGCCTGCGTGCCTCTATTCCACGTCTGAGATGGCTCGAGACGTGATTGACATGCTCGAACATGTCGGCTGGCTTCCACCGTCGTCTGTTTCCTCTGCATCTCCCAATCATGAAGGATCCGACACAGTCAAGACGAGTCCCACTCCTCCAAAGCGAGACCTGCACATCATAGGCGTCAGCATGGGTGGCATGATCGCCCAAGAATTGTCCCTTATCCTGCCGCAACACATTGCCTCGTTATCGCTGATCTCGACGGCCCCGCGTATTGTGCGCACCGTACCTTTCGTGCAAAACCTCCGCCAGCGCATCAACATGTTCATCCCGCGCGACATCGACGTGCAGCTGGACGAGATCGCGCACCGCCTCTTCTCCGAGGAGTTCCTCGCGGCACCGGACATGGAGCACCCGGAGCACAACTTCCCCACTAACCGCGACCGCTTCGCTGCCGGCGAGCTGCAGAAGCGCATGGACAAGGAAGGATTCACAAAGAAGGGCTTCATGCTGCAGGCCATTGCGGCCGGGTGGCACCACAAGTCGGCCCACCAGATCCAGAAGATGGGCGATCTGGTGGGCAGGGAGAGGATCGCCGTGGCGCACGGCACAACTGATCGCATGATTGATTTCCGCCACTTTGAGATGCTGCGCGACGAGCTTTCCGAGGACCCCGCCGCCGATAAATCCGACAATACAGGGCGGGGATCCTGCGTGTTTCGAGTCTGGGAGGACAAGGGCCACGTGCTTGTGTGGGAGGCTGAAGAAGAGTTCAACAGATTTTTGGAGGAGCGATTCAAGACGTGTGCGAGCTTCGAGGGCTGATCCCAAGCCTTACTCCATCTCCATACTTCTACATCGTGTTCGGAGCGTGTTGGGTACGCGGTGCCATGAGCATTCAGATCGGGAGTGACACTAACATTAACACCTGGAACGGGAGCAGGAGCAGGAACAGGAACAGGCCCAAGAGAAGGAGTACACCCGCAACCAGAGCAGCCCGGGAATATAACACCCCCTACAGTAGGGTACTAGAAGTAGACGCGAAAGACGGACCTCGCACAGAACAGAACAGGATGTATACTACCTATCACCAGCAGCAGGAGGAATACCACGTAATATCCACCGCCTAGATAAACAACCAAGGACAGCCGCATGGAAACATATGGAGCACGGTCCAAGGAACTCCGTATTCGCGGCCGGGGAGGAGACATTTCCTTGTTCTCGAGTCTTTGCTCTTCTTCACACCTTTGCTTCCTCTTCTCCTTCTTCTTCGGAGAAACTCTCAGGTTCAAACAATGAAGTAGGGCTTCAGGGGGAAGAAGGATTGAACAAGGGGCCAGAAGAGTGAAGTAACGGGGTACGACGTTGTCAACAGAAATCTCTTCGTTCTGAATGCGTCTGTCGCCTACCCTTCCATCCTTTGCTCCGTTGATATACAAAACTTCCGCCTTCTCCTCATGCCGCTGGAGATTCCCGTCCCTGTGGAGCGGAGATATATACATGCTCTCTTTTGTTGTACACGTCTTCCGCTTCTTGGACAAACACCTGTCAGTGACGAGATAAAAACTTGGATTCGTCTCTGAAGATGTAATATCCATGTGCAAAGCCATTAATAACGCCGTGCTCTTCTTGCCCGTATATATACGCCTCCATGTCACAACGCCCGCGCTATGCGCCGTGAAAGCCATAAATGGATCTACCCCGAAGTCCAGGGCGTTTGTAGAATGATTTCTTGATTACACCCTTCGTCTCGGTTATCCTCATCACCCGTTCTTTTCCAAAAACTCCTTTGCCTCGTTCACCTTGCTGGCCAAGTACGGACTGCCGCCTCTGTCCGGGTGATTCGACAGCATCAATGCTCGATGATTTTTTCGGATCTTCTCCTTCGTGAGTGTTCTCTCGCTGAGGTCAAGGATGAGCGATGCCTCTCGCCGCGTCATCTTGGGTTCGAAGCCGCCCTTGTAGAAGGTCCGACCAAGGGCGTTGAGCCCGTTGGGGTTGCGCCAGCGACGGAATGCGACCAGGCCAGCACGGCCCTGTGATGGGTTGTTAGTATGCTAGCGGACAGAGAGGGGAAGGAAGTTCAAGATGACGAGAGGGACGTACAAAGAATGCGGCGGCGGCGATGCCCACGCCGATAGCGAGTGTCGAGGCCATTTTGTTTTGCGGTCGAGAAGACGGTGCAGGACGCTTTTCCTTCTTTTTAAAAGGTGACGAGGATCTTCGATGATAAGGAGATGTGGTTAGTGGAGAGGATGAGTCGGTACCAACGTTGTGTCGTGTCGAGGAAGAAGAATCAAGCAGCTCAACCCGCTGCTAAAGAGGTGGACGGCATGGACAATCGCTGCGGAATGAAAAAGATTCGGTTTCTAGAAAGCTGGCTGGTTTTCCGCATGTGGAAGTCCCGATGCCGCGAATTCTCCGAGATATTACCGCGGAGCATTTAATGCGTCAAGCGAAGAGCACTTTTAAGGCTCTATGCTCCGCCGCATTCATATCTGCCCTCGCTGCCTCGCTGTTCTTGGAAGACCCATCAAAGGCCGATGCAGGCACGGTGATAGACTGACACTCCCCGCTTTCATCGTTCTGTCCGCCCAAAGGCCGACGACCCATAGAAAACGCAAAACTGCCTACGTAGATATCTACTTCTCAGTGCCACACCCGCAACATCCTACCAAAATGCCAACACCCTGGCTTCAATGCTCTCTCTGGGTTCCGCATCCTCAGTGCCTACGACGAAGGGACTTCCGTGTCCCCCAGCGGCTGCAACGTCCTTATCGTGCTCACTGTCCGTGTCTGCAAACTTGATCATCATCACCTCGTGCGGCTTCTGTTCAGAGACGTAGTACCATTCGTGGTCCTCGCGCTTTTGCGGTCGCGAGATGGTGTATGCTTCGAGCAGATATTCTCCCTGGAAGCCCTTGGCCCGGTAGTCGAAGGTATGGAGGTCGTTGTGGATATTGCCCGGAGACTTCCAATTCAACACGGCAATGGGATCCCGCTTCACTGTCTTGAGTGGCCTCCACACGCTGTACGCCGCCACGCGCGGTCCTCGATTTCCTGCCTCGTGGGCTTTGATCGCCTCGGCGCCCGCTTCAGCAAAGTCGGCGCGGCAGTATTTGATCGTGTCGCGGAGACCTTTGAGCGTGTAGTCCACGTGCAAAGCGCGGGCCGGTTCGAGAGATCTTTCCGGCTCCTGCGGGGAAACTACAGTGTCGAGGAGTACATAGTCAGAGCATGCTTCTGGTTCTATCAAGATGATTCCGGAGAAGAAGAATGACGGGGTCAACCTACTCATTGGACGGTCAGACGGAAGTGCACTGATCATCTTGTCCAGCTCTCCGCCGCGGGGATGGTAGAAGGTCCTGTCAGCGTCATATTCCCGCGCCTTCTTACGGCGAAAAGCGACATTGTTGACGATTGCGGTTTTGCACCCGGTCACGGTCTCGACAAGTTCTTGCACCGCCGGGATGTATGTCTGCAGGATGTCTTCTTCGGTCGCCCACGCGCTGGGGTCAATGTAGTGCTCGACGACCGTGAAACCATGCTTGTGGAGGCCCTCGGCACCCTTGGCCAACTTCGTGTCGGTCCGGTAGTCGTTGAGGGTCAATTTCTCCTCCCTGAGGTTTCTTGGTGCTGGCCTGGAGAAAAAACTCCGCTCCTCGGCGGGGACAGACCGGTCAGGCTCCTCGTACCGGAAAATGGCCTCAACAGCTGGGGCAGATGCTGTTGTTGTTGTCGCGGTCGTTGTGACCGACATGTTGATACGATGATATGTGGCTGCCCGAAGGATACAAATAAAAACGTGATCTCAACCAAACTGTTGTATCGGTATTCGGCACTGGCAAGGCTACCTACTTACACGCCTGGTTGTTCCTGTTCTCTTCATTCTTTTCCTCCGCCGCGAGGGGCAACCCCGGTTTTATATCATCCCACGCGTGGTAAGCCTAAGCTGACGGCGACATATTTGCCACGGCCCAAGGCCCGCCACGAAGAACCAGACAAGACGGGACAAGACAATATAATGCCCATCCAAGTTAGTTACCTGATACATGTCTACCTGGGGCCTGTCAAGCTGTGTAACTACCTACCTAGTTGGGACGGACGGACGCACCCCGGAGATCCTCCCCCAAAATGGTGGGGTGGGATACATCAGCAATGACATACTTGCACTTTGTCTTTGCGAATATAACCCTTCCAGAACGGGGCCGTGAGCAGAAAGGCAGAGCTTTTTGATTGAAGGATATGTAAATTGTCCATCAATAGCTGAATGAATGGTTCCCGGAGGGCGATTGCCCTTTTGCGTGGGCAGGCCTTTCTCCTTCGTGAGGTGACTTCACGGGTTAGATACACAGGTAGCTATTGTTGTGTAGTGAGCGAACACTGATATTCTTTCTGTTCTATATTCGCAACGCGCTAGTCTATCGCCTGCATCAAATAAAAGGGTTTGGTTGAGCTATTCTTGGATGTGCCGAGTTGCCTGTTCTATTCGACCGCGGCCAAAAGAGCAGGGAGGAAGATTGATTCCACACCGATCAGCCTTCAGACGAGCGACTGATCAACCCTCCTGACGACCCTCGCACGTCGCCACGGGACCTTTGTATTTGCGACGGGCGCTGAAGACGTAGTTGACCGCCGAAATCAACATGACTCCAGCAAAGAGGACGATCGCCCAGTTCATCTGTTTGGAAAATCTCATGTCAGCGCTTTCTTTTCATGTCCGGTCAAAGCGTCAATGGGAACGGTCTTCTCACCTCTTCCGCGTTGGGTTTCCAGTATATGGGCCAAAATGCCCAGAAGAAAGCGAAGGTGGCATAAGTGAGGCCGAGCCCGTTGACCAGGATCCCCCACTTGCCCAGGCTCCAAAAGACCGGCGGGAGAGTCTCTGGCAGCGAGATGCGGCGCCAAAGCACACAGGCGATACTGATTGCGTATGTGGCCATCAGCGCCACGATGGCCAGGCTGATGATCGCGTTGAATGCCACGGGACTTCCCAGGTAGATGAGACTCATGACCACCGTGTACCCCCAGGTGACGTAGCATGCGTTGGCAGCAACGTTGAGCTGCGGGTTGACTTTCTTCATCCAGTTTGGGAAGGGCATTCCGTCGTCGCGGGCGAAAGCGAAAAGTTGTCGCGAAGTCGAGGCGAAGCAGCTGGTGGAGATCATGAACACTAAGATCTTTGGGGCGTGACAATCTAGTTAGTGACCGTGGAACAGTAGCTGAACAAAACGAATTTCGCCAGTGAAACCTTACAAACATGATGGCCGTGATGGCTTGAGCACCCGCCGTGCTGAGAGAGTTTTGCAAGATCCACACAAACGGGAATGCTTCAGTGGTGGCAGTGGCCACGTCGGTCATGCCAAACAGGAAGACAATCAGCATGGCGAACGCGAGAGGAATGTTGAACATGTATGCCCAGAACATAGTTTTCGGCGTGACCACACTGGCGTTCTTGACTTCTTCCGCTGCATTTGCGGGTCAGTGGACTGCTTCAAATCGGCGCCGGGAGGAGATGGAACTGTGTGCTTACAGAGATGAGCGACGGCATCAGAGGCCAGGACGTTCCACATGGCAGGTACTTGGCCGACCATGACAGCGAGTCCCACTACAGACACTCAAGGTCAGTGTATGATGCATCAACTCGAGTAAAGATTCTTTGCAACGGATAGGAAAAGACAACAGTAGTTGGCTGTGTAAGGCTCAACGTACTCAGTGGGAAGTTACCACCATTGTCGGTAAAAGTGAGAAAAACCTCTCTCCCACCGTTCTTGGGCGATGCGACGGCAATGGTGATGAGAACGACAAAAAACCCGGCAACATGCAGCGCGACGAAGACGTTTTCCAGCAGTGCCAGCTTCTTTGCACCCCAGACATTGATGGCAGTCACCAAAGTGCCGATGAGAATGCTCAGGAGCGCGGTGTACCAGTTCTTAATGTCAAAGTCCGGATTCCCGAGCTGGACCAGCGCCATGACAAGCTGGGCCGCGAACATGCAGTCGGAAGCGACAAAAGATTGCCAACAGAGAGAGCTAAGCCATCCCGAAGTGTAGCTGAGACCCTTTTGGTAGCGTCTTGACGCAAATTCGCTGACCCAGTGGTACTGTCCTCCCGCCGTGGGCGCCATTGAAGCCATCTCGGCAAGGCTGAGGACGATGAAGAATTGGCCCGTGATGATCCAAGTGTAGCTCCAGAACATGCCGGCTGTGCCGCCGTCGACGAGCATTTGGAAATTGTTCAAGGCGACAAACTCCGTGTAGCAGCTGTTAGTCCTACTATGAAGAGGTTGGCAGAGGGGAACAGGAAAAGACTTATCAAGTGCCCATTGTGCACGAGGTGAAGCCGACACTGCTGATCCAGTTGAAGTTGCGCTTGAACTCCTGCTTCTTGCCCATCCTCGCCATGTCTTTTTCATCTTGATCGATCGCATCGCTGCTGTTGTCGCTGCCGACTGCCTCGGCCGAGTATAGCCCTTCTTTCTTGGGAAGACTGTCGTCCAAAGTCGCCATTTTTCAGGGTTGCCAGGTTTCGAAAAGCACGGGAGAGGGAGAAGGATGTCAGGACGACAAACAGTCGAGAGGAAACCCGGCTTGACCAAATAATATCATGTACTCGGCGACAAGGTGAATGGTGAAATTAGCAACACAATCTAGACCTCAGCGTCCATTCTCGGAGGCGAGTACAAATGCATCCCAACTACTACCTACCAACACCTTGCCAACACCCACCAGGGATATAAGCTTTTGGTACCTGCTCGTAGCGGTAAGCTTCGAAAGATAAGGAAATTCGGGACTTGTCCGCAGGTTGCCTCGTCAGCCAATTGATTCGAGCCTCGCTAGCCAGCCTTTAGATAAACATCGATGAGGGATGCGAGACAAATCATCTCGGTCTTGCAGAAAGGGCGCAGATTGCAATATCGAGCATCCGTTGCCAAAATAGACTTTGACGGCACCACGAAGCTGGCCTAGGGAATTGTTGACCCCCTTCGAACAGACGGTGTCAGCGGTCAGAATCCTCCACTGTTATCGCCAACAAGACCATCAAGAGTTTCGCTTGCAGTGCGAGTTCTCACTCTGGCAGCTAATTAGCTTCACTCCAGAGACAGCCGTCCATACCTAGTCGGACTTTCTCGCAGTTCAGCGCCATGCTGTTTCTTCAGCCACCACGTGGCTTTGGCATCGCATTGGCTCCGTTTATCCGTGAACGAGGTCAGTGGCGCGTCCTCATCTCAAATGGTGCTTGGTTTAGTACACACTCTCGCAGCCCCGTATCGTGTCTCAGCGTCGAGGCTAGGAGATGTCCATCATTGGCATTGACCCAGGCGTCCTTCCAACGCCACGAGTCAAGGTTGGTATGTACCTCCTTTTAGCGAGTGATCGGGCACAGAGATCAAGTTGCAACAACGGCAATCAAGCCAATGATCTGAAAGAAAGGATGATTTGGTCCCTCTCGATCGGTCTGATCCGATGCCATAATCAAATTAGCTGCCCGGATAGTGAGATCCAAAATCATGGGACGACTGTCCTTTGACACATCCCATCACTTAGCCATACTTGATAAGACATCCGTGGCCCTGGATATAGTTTGCACCCGGGGTGTGATGGGAAGCACTACCATTCTCTTTGTACGGGAAGCACTAGATGAGTGTGGCATTTGAAGGCCTGCTGCTGGTTTAGTCTCGATTTGAGGCTCCCTCTGAACTCTGGTTGGCTGTATCGCAAGACCCCCCGTCGGCGAGGTCCTTTCTAGAACATTGCTCCTCCAATATTGAGCTCTCTCGATATTTCGGGTAAATATACGGGATGTTGACCTGCCAAGCTGGCACGTTGTCCATAGAGAAATACTGTACCTCGTAGAGAAGCAAAATAGTTGAACAGGGCAGTTGGTCTTCGCCATTTGATAAAGGCTCAGAGGGTGTTGTCCCGGCAACAAACAGAATTCACGTCCTCGCCTTGATACTAACTTCCCTCGAATCCTTTATAGAATCACTACACTTGCATCCTTTTCGACTTACAACACCAGCCTCCTTGTACCCCAGACAAGGGGCTCTAGCCTCTCCCTTCCCGCTCACGCGGGGAAGCTCCATCTCCACCTTGTACTCGGTGTGGAGTATTGACAAACAGCTGCTTCGCCTGCGCAAGCTTTTCCGACGACCCTCCGGAGCTTGGACCAGACCCTGACACTCAAACCGAGGCATTTACATCCAGGATAGCATGCTTTCATGTTTTGTAAACACGGTGCCTCCTGCAGACGCCCCTCCTGGATCCCTTGGCGATATATCTACGCTGAATTACTTGACTGACAATCTAGGATTGTAGAAATGACCAGCCAAGGGTCTCTTCCGCCGTATCTTGACTGGCTTCATGTCTTCAGCAGCGACTCTCAAGGTCATTGTAGTTGGTGGCGGCATCGCCGGCCTGTGTACAGCCATTGGACTACGCCGTGCTGGCCATGATGTCCACCTATTTGAGAGAGCGCCAACCGCCACAGCTTTTGGCGCCGGGGTTGTTATCGGCTTTAATGCTTCAAAGGTGCTCACATCATGGGGACTGGACTATGCAGAGTACCACATCAACGTTGCCGAGACATTCAAAATGGTCAAGGGCGACACTTTCGAGGAGATAATGAGTTTCCCGCCCGGCCTATACGAGAAGCTTGCGGGCGGAAGCCGACAGTACTACGCTCATCGCATCGACCTCCAACAAGCCCTGCTCAACCTAGCAACTCAGCAAGATGGGCCAGGACGGCCCGTGACCATCAGCTACTCTGCTGATGTTGCCGCATACGAGCCCGATGAAGGGAACATAACGCTTAGAGATGGTACAAAGGACAAGGCAGACTTGGTCGTCGCAGCGGACGGGGTACACTCGCTTGCACCTCACCGTCTACTCGGCTCAAACGCTGCCGCTTACGACATCTCTCACACAGGCACCACCATCATCCGTTTCATGCTCCCCTCCTCTGCCGTTCTCTCCGACCCGCAAACCGCACACCTCATTGCCTCCTCAGGCCAATTCACCTGGTTCGTCCACCCTGACCGCAATCGCTGGCTGCTGCAATATCCTGTTCGCGATAACAGCGAGATCAACTACGGTATGTACTCCCGCGTAACCACCCACGAACAGGTCACGGAACAAGTGTCTCGGTTTAAATGCAATCGCGAAAGTCTCCGCCGTGAACTCGAAGGTTTTCATCCGGATATCGGAAAGCTTGCGGAGAAAACGAGTGAGATTTTGCCCGTGTGGAAGCTTGCCGAGAGACCACCCCTTCCGACGTGGTTCAAGGGAAGGCTCGTTGTGGTGGGAGATGCAGCTCATCCAATGCTGCCGAATCAAGGTCAAGGCGCGGGTATGTGTATCGAGGACGCAGGCGCGTTGGGAGCCTTGTTTAGCGAGATGAGCGAAACCGGTATAGAGAGTATCACCAGGAGATTGGAACTGTTCTTCAAGTTGAGATATCCGAGAGCTTCGGCCGTGCAGTTGATTAGCCATTGTCCATATTTTGAGGATGCGGTTGGAATCATGTGGGCAGAGCTGGTCAAGGTGGCGAAACCACAAGATTTGCCCAGAGTCAACGACAGGAACAACATAAGAGAATGGCTGTTCGCTTACGATGTGAACTCTGAAGCTGGAAAGATCCTCAAAACAAAGCAGGACTTAGCACTGGGGAATGGTCTGGTATCCTGACAGAATTGAGTGGCAGAACATTCCAAGACGAGAAAACAATGAAGAAAGAAAGATCGTTTCTCTATCCATCACTGCTGTTCTCTTTCCCGAGCAGGAAGGATGCGAGAGACACAAGGGGCCTTGCGAGCTGGGTAAGGGATCCCCCCTTGCTCTCTCAGCCTTGCCATCAGGAAGATTTCGATCCTAAAGCAGCGTCATCTACGACTAACTACCTTAGTGGCCCCCCTTTTACTTTCCACTGTACTACTTTCTCCATCCAGATCTAAGGATAAATGTACGACGTTCGGGAAGCACGAACATAGAAGGGCTATTTCTCAAGCTACTATACAGCATCAGGCAGCTGGCTTTTGACGTCCCCCTTGGATGTTCCTTCCTCCCGCCGTTCAACCAAGTCACGGACTTTGGCACTACCTTGTTGCAGCCATGTTCGGGGCCCCTTGGACGACCTTCACTCAACCTCGTACTTGTGTCTTCAGGTGTTCGTCCTGCCGGCCTGAAGACTCCCGATAAAGTGTCAGCTTAGGACCAAAAAACACGAGGTAGGAAAGGGGGAAATTAGCTGCAACGTAAACGACTGCGACGTAGTCATGTCAGGAGCGGACTAGCCTGGTGTTGCGGCCGTGCTCTCGCCCACACCAAGGTACCAGAGGCGATCGTCAAGGTTTCAAGGGTGGTGCGCCGTCATGAGCCGGTGGTGTCAAATTGTCCAAGGCCGGGCTATGCGGCTAGTGGGCTGAGAAGTCGAGGCTCATACAGTACGGAGTACGGAATGCCAGACGACTACCTATGCGGGTGCGTACTTCAGGAAAAAAATGGCACAGTCTCACAAGGGTCATCGGGGCATGTGTATATGGGAATATGTTCTCCCTCCAAACCAAATACCGTTTGGACCACTGTGTGGAGTATATTCGGGACCATCCAACTTGGTACTTCATGGATGAGGTATCCGGGATCGGCGTAGAGAAAAAAAGAACCACCGTGGCCGGAATCAATATCCTTAGCATTGGCCTTAGTCCGCTTGCTCGCGCAGCTCACTACCTCATGATTCGTGATATTACGTACAATTGTTTCCTTATAGTTCTTCCCGTTCCCCTCGTCGATCTGTAATCGATCTTTTTTCCTCGCGTACCAGATGGCCGCATGTCCGTCCTTGATCATCGCGTCCCCTTCAAATCTAGGACTCCTTTCGTGCCCTCCTTCGTGCAAGGAACGCTTCGACATCGACCTCAGAAACGGGTATCGTGTCCTGCTCAACGACGTGATAATAGCCTCGCATTTCAGGAAAGACGTCGGCAAACTTCTGGCTGATGGACCAGTGCGACAGGCTACATATGTGGCTGGCAAAGGTGTCTGACAGGGTCATGGTCCCGGTCTCCGGGTCCGTCGTGATCGCCGCTTCCAGTCCGTGTGCCCAGTTGACGCTGCATCCGAGAGTTTGGATGGCCATGATGTAGTCGCGCATGTCTTGGATCAGTCCGTCGCGCATCTCGGGGCTGGGGAAAAGGCAAACACCCAGGCGTTTAGCATGCAGAGCAAAACTATGTAAGAGAGGTGGGAGAGACTTACAATATCGGCAGATCCACGCCGGGGTGATGACGGACTAGTCTTTGAAGGGGGGTCGGTTTCATCGCATCTGGGAGCAGGGCGTATGTCTCAGCCGAAGGTGCAATTGTCCACTATTAGTCCGTCAGCTGAGTCGCTTTCCCCCGTTTTTCTCCTTAATTTCACTGGCCTGAGACTGACACGCATGAAATGGGCATAGGTGGAAACCCACGCCAATGCGACATATATGTCAAAGTTCTTTAGGAGACGCATGTACTCGCAAGCCCACGTCGCCGGCGTATGTGGATCGTCAGGCCGGCGCTCGCGAAAATAGAGGGCCAAGTCGACTTGCGAAGATCCCAGTACAACTTCGACGGGAAACCCGGCAGCCAGTTGTCTCCGTCCATAGTCCCGAAAGTCAGTATATGCTGCAGCCATTGGACATCGTTCTCCCTCGAACAGCATCGGCTGGACGAGGTACTCCGGAATGTCAAGATTGACCAGCTGCTGCCGCTGTACCAGCAAACCCTGACCTGTATCCGTCTCAGTTGATAATAAGGGGAAATCACCGAATATGCTGATCAACTCTATGCTTGGAGTCTCGTGCTCCCTCAAACAAAAGATTCGATATTGATCTCTGGGGTCGGTTGGCCTGAGTGTCTGCAGAGTTGCATCGGACAGGATTGGCAGATACCATTGGTCATCGTACGAACCGGCTGGACTGGTCAATATGTTAGAGGGACCTGCCTCAGGCGCGGCTTCAGGGGTTCCTTCCAAGAGAATCGCCCGCCGCCGTGTCAACTCTCCTTTCTGACTCACGTCGTCCTCAAACTGCTCTCGATCTGTCGTTCGAGCTTGGAATAAAAACCAGGGTTCGTGTTGCTCGGCGTGTGACGAGGCTGACGACGTGGCTGCTAGTTCGGGCTCGTCCAAGCCTAGTCTCTCTGCAAGCACTTGAATTTGAGAATCATCTCTGAGCCTTTTTCGGATTTCATCATCCCCGGAATAGATCAGTTGGAGAAGCCGCTGCACCATCTCCTTCTGGAGCGCGGATTCTGTCTCGGCTCGCTCCCAATGGATTTTGCGTCGCCTATCAAGAGTTGCGTCATATACACATGTGAGTCCCGATCGACTGCAAGCGCTACAAGGGTTGCCCGCAGAACACTGATGAGGACGCAAATGTCAGAAGAACACGGTCGAGCATACCGAGGAGGCAGGTCACCTTGGATTTCCGGATCTTGCAGCTGAAACAAGCGGTTGACGCTTTGCGCCTGGACGGGCTCGAACTCGGGCCCAGGGCGAGCGCCTCCACTCTGGGACGGATATGGCTCATTCGCTTGAGCTCCTTGGGCAGGATTGTGTATATCTTGGTCGAGTTCAGAGTGGCTTTGATGCTGAGAACCATTTCTGGGGCACCCACAACTTCGGTGATCGTTGATACAGAGAAGGGTTTCATGGGAGTGGGACCTTGCCATATGACGGTCACTCGGTTCCAACAAGCGGACATAATCATCCCTCTTCTGGTACTGTAGAAGAGTTTCCTGGGTGCATATAGTTGGAACCTTTCGAACGTTGTAGCGCTGTACACGTGACAATGGGCTGATGGTGCTGATACTCGTCGATGCTCCTTTCGCAGCGGGAGGCACCACACTATTCCAAAAGCGGTAAAGCCGCCTGAGAGGGGAACCTTGGGAGCTCCGAATAGTTTTTCCACGCCTTGGCAAAGATTTTCCGCCGTGTTCGTTTCCATGTCGTGGGAGACGATAGCCCTCCCCCGTCGTCTAAAATCAGTTCTCCAGGTCGTCAGGTAGCGGGCAGACCGAGTCAACGAAGAGCAACCACAACCATTGTCACTGCGCCAGAGCTGCGACCCTAGAAAGTTGCCTCAATCGAAAATCCTCAATCTACTACTGCCTACAGCCTGCAAATCACCTCCGTCGCCATGAGGTTCGCCATACCAAAATTCTCCACCCACATTTCTTTTTTTTTTTTGGTTCGTGCTAACACCTACGGTATCTACCAGGATCGAAACCTGCCATCTGTGCTCCCGTCCCGTCTACCCTTCCAAGGGAATAACCTTCGTCCGCAACGACGCTAAAGTCTTCCGCTTCTGCCGGTCGAAATGCCACAAGAACTTCAAGATGAAGCGTCAACCTCGCAAACTGAAGTGGACGAAGACACACCGCGCCCTCCGTGGGAAAGAAATGATCGTCGATCAAAACCTGTTGCTCTCACAATTTGCGAAGAGGCGCAATGTGCCCGTGAAGTATGACCGGAATCTGGTCCAGGCGACCCTGAAGGCCATGGAGAGAATTGAGGAGATCAGGGCACGGAGGGAAAGAGTATATGCCAGGAGGAGATTGAGCGGCAAGGCACAGAGAGATGCACGACGCAGACAGGATCTCAAGGTTGTGGCCCAGGGTGAGCACTTGATTAAGAAGGAGTTGGCCGACCTGGAGGCTGCGAGAGCGGAGATGGAGCCGATGGTCGAACAGGTCAAGAGGGAGATGGAGGCCAGCAGAGTGGTTGGAGAGGAGAGGCTCAGGCAAAAGAGGAAGAGGAAGATGCTTGTGGGTGGAGGCACGGACGGAGAGATGGATTTGGATTGAATTGAACTGCACTGTCCGCTTCCGTGATGAATCTGAAGACTGGACGAAGCTGATGCGATCATGATACCTGGCGTTCGACAGTGAAGTAAGTCGGCAATTTTACTTGCAATTTGGAGGTGATTGATTTTTTCTTTTTCGCGGCGCAAAGGGGCGTTGATAGGCGTGGCAAAAGTTCATTAGATGGATTCGACCTCCTACACACCCAAGACTAAGGACACCCTGGGTCCTGGTTCCTGGAGAAAGAGGAAAGAAGAATTAAGATGGAAGATAGATGATAGCTGGACGTTCCATGACCGAACACTGCCGTCCTCTCAACGTGTGTATCGTTGGATTGTGATTAGAGGCCCATCAACATGCAGACCGCGTGCTTCCAGGTCCTATTACTATGGAGGACACAAGTCGATTAAAACACCCTACTGGGTAGTCCTTCCTGTATGTTCATTGGGCCATATCAAATATCCCGGTTGAGCAGAGCACACTCTCAATATCAGATGTCCATACAGATACCAAAAGTATCTCGTCAGACGATAATGTTCGTCCCGGATACCTCAAGCTGTGACCACGTAGTGCTTGAATTCGCTTGTCTTGACATTGCGCTCGAACATGATGTCGACTTCTTGGTAAGTTCTCCCTTTCCTGTGATGGGCGCGCAACGAGTCAGTAACAGTTCATTCGCGGTCGGGGGAGGGGTATGCGGATATGAATATATATATGCACATGGGGCGGGCGACAAGAGTGGGTTGGTTTACGCACAATTCAGGGACTCGGAAGTACGACCAAGTCAAGCACAGCGCTGCAAGTCCGCCAAAGAAGAAGCCGAGTTTTCCTCGCATGTCCGCTTGGTCGGGGTTGATCATGTATGGAATGGCCACGGTCATGACGATGCCCGCGGTTGCCTGGACGGCGGTGGCGATTGCGATGGTTTTCCCGCGGACCCGAGTGGCCGAGACTTCGCAGAGCAGGACGAAGCACACAGGTCCAATGGACAGGTCGTAGATGAAGTTCCAGATCAGCATCAGGACACTCTGCGCCCAAGAAATGGAGGGCCTGTTGTCGTAATTGGGTGCGCAGTCGAGGATTCCGATGATTATTTGCAGCACTGCCAGTAGAGCGAGGCCCGTGTTGTAGATTGTTCGCCGACCAAAGTAGATCAGCAATATCCAGGAGAGACAAGTGCCCACGAAGCCGATTGCGAGGAAGCCGACGCCCATGTTGAACGCTTGGTCGGAGGGCAGGCCAGCAACTGAACCTGTGTGTGAGCAATTGACAGAAAAAGAAGGAGGATGGTTCATTTCCCGTACGGGTGAAGAAGTAAGTGGCATATCCGACAAGATAAATGCCGGAAAGGACTTGAATGGTGTAGACCCCAACGGCAATCTCTGTTCGGCGGATGTTGACCCTTTTTAAACAGTCCCAGTACTACACCAGCTGTTAGTCTGTGAAACCAGAACGGCGGAGTTATAGTGATCAAGAGGCTCTGAGAAGAGGCGATAACTCAAGAACGAAGAACCCACCGTGGAACCGGCCTCAATTTCCCTCTCCAATCGATCTGTCTCGATAATCATGGCCAGTGTCGGTCGAACATCGACCTTTGGTGAGGCCAGTCGCTTAAGAGCCTTTTCAGCATCCTCGAATCGGCCTTGTCGTTGCAGCCACCAAGGACTAGGTTTCACGTTAGCAAATGGTTGCAGGTCAATAAACCCGGGAGATCTGACCTTTCAGGAGCAAACGGCAAACCAATCAGAATAACTAGTGGCCAAAGCCATTGGATGGCAAATGGCGCACTATAGGCCCAATGACTGTCGAGCACATGTGTTCCAGCGATGACACCATTTGCAATCAACTGGCCTGTCACAAAGCAGATGTTCGTGCAGGATGTAAGAACACCCCTGAGGGCCAAAGGGCAAACCTCCGAAGCGTACGCCGGGGCGATAACAGCATAGCTTCCCAAGACCAACCCTCCAAGCAGTTCACCGGCAAGCAGGACAGGAAGTGATCTCGCAAAGAACTGGATAAAAACAAAACCAGTGGTAAAAATAACACATGCTCCAAAGGTTTTCTTGCGTCCGAAAAGCTCCATTGGTATAGCCGCAAAGAAGGCTCCCACGACTTGGCCGATGGGAGAGCCCATGCTCAGTCCAGTTTGCCATGGAGCCGAGACGATATAGCTTCCTTCATAGAGATACCCAAAATCGCGCTGAAACGCTGGTGTCGCATAGAGCTGGCCCAAAAGTTGCGGATCAAAGGCACACCTAAACATTCAGCTGTTACTGCTGTGTGGACTGCTTGATACTGACTGTCACTTACATTATAACGCCAATTGAGAAGAAAAGAGACCACCCGACAGCTGCTGGGTACAGCCTTGCAGCTTCCCAGAAGGAATGTCCATGCTCTTTGTCGGTGGCAGCACGTGCCTCGGCGTTGATGTCGTCAATAGACGCCGTGGCAATCAGGCCAACAGGCTCTTTTCTGATCTCAATATCCTTGTCCATATCTGCAGTTCCGGTAGTGAGTGACATTGTTCAGGTCCCTCGGAATCGGAAGAGGTAGAGCGCACAGCAAGGGCCAGATGACGGGAGATGGTCAACTGATAAACACCTCCAAACAGGTCTGCGTTATCAAGAACGATAAGAGCATGAGAACGGTATTCATCAGTCTTTGCCGCTTGATTTGACCCCTCCTGGCGGTAGCGAGATACAGCAGTCCGCCGGAGGTGGCCAGGGTCTGGAATGGAATGGTGTCCCATCGCGTGGTTTGAAATCATGGCCACGAGGGCAAAGCCTCACCTTTGCTATCAACCTGAATTGCCGGTGGTACCTGATTCGACAGACATGCCAGAAGCGGCTGCTGCTCTTCTGGCTCGGTGATAGCGTCCATCTCATTGTCTGACTCGTTCCAAATCGAAGCGAGGATGGCAAGGTCGGTCCCGGGATCATCGAGGCAAACCCATGCGATTGCACTGTTGCATGGAGAAGTAATCGCAGGTTGAGTCCCGGACAGCCAGTCCCGACCCTTAATCGAGGCGGGGATCTGCGATGGATGGCATATCAGAATGTTATCGTTACATTGAAAAGGAGGAGAAGTTGGAGGTGGAGGTGCAGGAGGTGCTAGGGTGGTGGCATAGGGATTTGGTACGGTTGGGTAGTAAGACCGGACACGTAATGCGGTCGGCCACATCTCAATATAGCGCAATATCAGATTATGTAATGCGGACCTTGCAAAATCGCAAACCTCCTGCTTACGGGGCAGCCTGAACTGGACAAACTAGCCTAAACCCATAAGAAAGCGTCAATATGGAGCCTCTCCGGAAGAAGATTCGACGAGTAGTGAATAGTTGTCTCGAATGTCAGTTCCATACCCTTGACAATGTCCGCTTCTACCAGCTTAACAAGTCGCAGGCAGAAGGCGAAAGATTCGGTGTGACTTGAGTTCCAATGCATCAGACATATGCACCGCCTGTGCCGCGCGGGGCATTGCTTGCGAGAAATGGGAACATTCAAGTGGCGCTCCCGACTCTTACAATCTCGAGCTCAGCGCAAGATTGCGACGTGTGGAATCTCTCCTCGAAAAGCTGACAGACGTTGAATCCTTGGATGCCGTCGAGGCTGCGTTGAATGTGGGATCCGGGGATGGATCAATAACCGCACCGATTGAAGGGCACAATCATCCGCCCCTTATATCTCTGTTCGACAATGCAGTCGTGCGTTTGATAAGCCGCTCAAGCATCCTCTTCTCGAATTGGCTAACTATTACGGGGAACAGTTTGGCCACCAAGAGCAGTCTACCCCGTCAAGTGGGCCCGAATATCGCAGTCCATCCCAGGTTTCTGGTATTCCGCTCAATGCTAAGCTGGAGAAGCTGCGTCTTGTACTTAGCGCGCTTCTTCCCACACAGGACGATGCAGATCTGATCGCAGCTTCCACGGTGAGTGCTAGAAACATCGCGCTGAATCAACATGCTGATATAATATCTGAAAAGAACGCCTGGGGCCTTGGGCAGTTGGTCTATGCTGCCACGGAAAGATCGACGAAGGCAGATTTGGAGATAGCTATTTTGTCGAAAGGCTCACCACTAACTATAGCGCGCACATTGATGCATTTTGCAATTCTCATCCAACAACTGCCTCCAGAATTTGACACTTCGAGACTCCAGTTCAACTCACCCATCGAAACTGTGCTACAGAAGTATCTGTATTATGTGGTGGATCTTGTTACGTCGAAAGACGATTTTGCTTGTACGATGGAGGGTTTGGAGTGCCTTCTTCTGCAGAGCCTATTCTATATCAATGATGGCAACCTGCGCAGAGCCTGGCTGGCTGCTCGTCGAGCTTTGTACACCGCCCAGTTTCTGGGATTGCAAAAGAGCTACCTCAGCTGTATCCGGAATTCAAATGGCGATGGTGCCAGCCACAGAGCCAATGCCATGATGTGGACCCGAACCGTCATGCTTGATCGCTTTCTGGCTCCTATCCTTGGGCTTCCATGTGGCGCTGGAAGTGATTGCTTTGGCGAAGATGGTGTGATGGTGCCTATCATCGATTTCATTGATGTTTTCGAGCGCAGACTTTGCGTGATTGCCGGGTTGATTGCCGCACGTAACCAAAAAGATCCAGCACCTGGGTACACTACCACGCTAGATATTGACGAAAAGCTTGAGAAGCTTGCAAAGGACATGGGCGATATGCTGACGGAAATTCCAACTTTACACACCCCACATCCTTCCCCAGCACACGAGGATTCTTTCAAATTGGTCATGAATCAGATATGGTTTTATCAGATCACTATCATCTTGCACATACCTTGGATGCTGCGAGCGTTCACCGACAGCAAGTTTGAGTATAGCAGATTTGCTTGCTTAAATGCGTCGCGAGAGCATCTTCGCAGATACCTTGCTCTCCGAGATACAAACAACACTCAAAATACGGCTCGCATTGTTGATTTTGGTACAGTCATTGCGGCTGTGACACTGATACTGAACCGGGTTGAATCCGCGACAAGAGATACTGCCACATCTGATGGAGATAAAGACATGAAACTGGTTTCCAAAGTCGTCGATTCAATGCGAACAGTCTCTCGTGGACCACGGGAGTTCATGGCGCGCCAGGGGGTTGAGGTTATGGAGGCGCTTCTAGAATTAAAGAATAGCAACAGAGATCGCAACACAAGCGACACACTGCGATTCACCATCCCATTCTTTGGGCCGATCGTTATTTCCAGAAGTAACACCCCGGCTGGTCCGACGCCAGCTGCCGCTGCTCAGAACACACTCAACGAAGACGATCCAATCGACAGTCTGCTTCAGTCAAACGGCGTTCAAAGCGGCCCGAACTTCAGCGGCATCCTTGACCGACCTGTCCATGGTCATCACTTGTCATTTGAGCAAGCGAAAGTGCCTGACTCTGGTTGGGTCCCTCCCTTGGAAGCGTGGGACTTCGACACGATTCCTGACTGGGGCGACTCGTTCAGCTTGTGGGATGTCCCGGGCTGGAACACCGACAGTCAAAATCCTGTCTAATGGTAGCAAAGGGACGCAAATGATGTTTAGGGATGGCAAGAGAATTTCTCCCTCGAAACCAGACAAAATACGCCTCAGAGATGAAGACCCTGCCAATTTCAAAGGACTGACAAAAAGGACTGACAGGAGAGAGTAAGGTCTCTTTTTTGTCTTCTCATAATCGAAGACGTGCCGCGAGATCTGCTCGGCCGAGAGCTCCGAGCAACAACCCTGCTACAGTATTCCGCAATGAGGCATGAATAATTCTTTCGCCGATGAAGATTGTGGGGGGATTTTGATGGCCTAGAAGCCTAGTTCAGGTTGGGATCGCTGATGCGGTTCTAGCTTCCATGACCATGATACAATGGTTCATGAGTGCAGCAACAAAACTATCTATCATGTCACTACCAGCTGTTCATTTGACATCAATAAACACTATTATGATTTGTCTGACAGTGCCCCATGCACGGGTGCTGTTCCGCGGTCTGGCCTGCCCCCAGCGATCACAGAAACTAGCGACAGATAGTGCAGCTTTCAGAAGAATGGCGCAGCTTAAAGCCCTTCAATACAGGAGCTCATCATGGCAACCGTTGTCTCACCACCTTGCAAGCCAACCCAGCCTCAGACCACGAAGCGTGCAACAGTGATCAGGTCGGTCTCGAAATGATCACCTGGCTTTCTGGAGCACAGCTTTTCCTTTCTCCAACAACGCTGCATGAATTATCCTGTCCTTAGAATCTCTCTTCAGACCGATCTCGATCATTGCCGCCGCCAGCTCAGCTACGCCGATCACGAACTTGTTAAGGCATCTGGCCGTGATAATGCCCTTTTTCTTCTTGTGCAGCACGCCACAGGGCCTGACCACATATGTCTCGCAATTTTGCCCGTTTTGTTTCTGCTCGTCAGAAAAGGCCAGGGGCCTTGTCTCCGCGACCCCCTGAAAAGGCTGATAGAGGATGAAGTCTCCTACGAGGTGCATGGCAGCAAGCATTACTTTCGCCTTGCGAGGTCCGCCATCAGACCACAGAGAAGCATTCTGATCCTTTACCACAAGAACGCCGCTCAAAAAGACGACTCGGAACAACTTGTTAGTAGCTTCATTGCGCACTACGGAAATTGCTTCACAAAATGCGAGTGGATAGCGAACTTCCATCTCTTCATTGCCGCTGTACCCAGTAGACGCCTAGCGCCTTTATGAAATGCGCCAGTCATTTAGGCTCTGATTTGCGCCCTGAAAGTACGTTGTCTTTACCATAATCAAAAGTCAGCGTCTTTTGAGCTCTTGCAGGACTGAATTTGAATAGTTCGAGAAGTCCTGGAGAACAATAACCTTGACCTTCAAGTTACGCATAGCCGGATCAGGCAGTGCACGCCGCAAGAGGACCACAATCGATGTGATTTGTGCATGGGCATTGCATTGCTCCAGGATGTTTCCGCCGATAAACTCTGTTGGTCCAGTCAAGATTGCTTTCATTTGCAATTACTTTGTTGATTGGCCAAGGCAGACTTATACTTAACTAATTTCCACGTTGTTGCTGCTGCAGGTCAGCGAAGTTCTCGGCCGAGGGGGCTGAATCTCGTCGAGAATTGGTCACATCGTCGGGCGAGAGCTTCATGCCCGCTCTTACGATTGACTGGTGCCTAGAGACACTTCAGATCTTGATAGATCGCGCGAGGGGGACATCGCGTGTTAGTAGTTTTGATAAGAAAGGCTCTATGTAACATAAGGGCGACGAGGCTGAGATATTCAGCCTTGTAAGCAGACATCGATTAGTCATCCGTCTTACACGAGTTCAGGCCTTCCGGCCTTTCTGAGCTTTTAAATTCGACTTGAATCAACATCAATTTTCGCGCTTTAAGATGTCAGAGTTCATTTGTCAAAGAACCTCGTGACACTCACTGCCATGGCTGGGGAAGCGGTGATTTTTCCGTCTCAGCCGCTTTTCATGGTGGACAGAGGATGGCAACGGCGCAAAAAGAAGCTGAAGAATGACGCACTCTTTCAGGAACTCGATCTTCAAACCTCGCGCGTTCCTGAAGTCACCATCAAGGTTGCGAAAGGGCCGGCCGGAGCCAGATCAGCGTCGCCGCCGAAAGTCAAGAACAATGAGACCCACGCAAAGGGCAATCCAAAAGTTCCAGGGCAAATACAGTTTATGGCCTACAAACCCTCGGTGAAGAAACGAAAGCAGCATGTCAAATCGAAGACGTGCGACCAGGATGAAGGGGCGGGGAAAGAAGGAGAAAACACACATGTCAAATTTCCAGTCTGTTCCACGAATTCAGAGGAGGTCCGTAAGGATGCAATCTTTCCCAAACGGACACTCCCTGGAACCGCCACCGCGCTTTACACGGTTATCGATCCTGAAGTGAGCTCTTTCCAACAGTTCATGAGCTACTGTATGTATCTTCTCAACCAAACATCACTATCTTAGCGCTGACGCCGATGAAGATCCTACGCGCCTTGCTACGGCGATGTACCCGATCAGCAGAAGGGTGCCGCTCACCTATAACCCCATTGAAACTATATGGCTGCCTGCAATTGTGACAGACGAGGTCTCTCTTCACACTATTCTGTTCTCTTGCGCTACGCATTTCTTCATGGGGTCCGGCCATCAAACATTCAAGGATTCGCATCTGCTCATGAAAGTAATTCTCAACCGACTAAATCGCAGATTACATGATGGGAAATATTCGGATCTCACCATTGGTGCTGTTTCATGCCTGGCACTATGTGAGAACCACCTTGGTAATCATCAAAAGTGGGAAATGCATGCTGCTGGTATGTCTGAGATGATACGTGCAAGAGGAGGGTTCAAAGCCGTAAGGGATGTGCTGCACATGAAGATCTATCGAGCCGATACGATTGGTGCTGTCGATACTCTTTCACATCCTCACTTCCCTCGTCCGGCCAGAACGACCAAGTCTCTCTATCGTGCTATGGTCCTTCACTCGGCCATGGCGCCTATTAACCCTACGATCCTTGATCTCAGTTTAACGCCAGTCGTATCAAATGCGCTTAGCGAACTCTCCTACTTGTGCCACGCCCTCAACCATGCGGCTGATACCCTAACACCCGTCGACCCTCTTGCCTTCGACGAGGATGTGACTTGCATTCAGCACGATTTGCTACGGTCACAGAACCCAAAGCAGGCGAATGTCGAAAGAGTATGCGTAATAGCAACACTGATCTTCATACAAACGCTCACCCGAGAAGTCCCATTCACCAGGCTTTGCTCCGGCCATATCTCCCGGGAACTGAAAGCAGCCGTGCTAGCTGTTGACCCCGATATGTTACCCGATGGTTTGACTCTCTGGGTTCTTTTCATGGGAGGACTAGTATCTACCGACACGGACGAGTATTTCTGGTTTCGGTCACGGTTGATGCATTTCCGAAGTCTCCACCATGATCTCCTCGCTTGGGAAAATGTTAAAGGTCATCTTCAGAAAGTATTCTGGATGGATAGACTTCAAGAGGACTACGGACTGAGACTTTGGCAAGTCATCGATGGACCTCTATGTCCATCAAGCGGCCCGATTACAGCTTGGACAGATATGGGTCAAACTCATCTCCGCAAGAAACATGTTGATGTGCATTGCGTAAAGCTGCGCGTACTGCCAGATGAACCCATGACCAGCATGAGGATAGGTGATGAGTTGAGCGATTGGAATTTGGTGATATAACTTCCAGCTTTGGCTGGTTGGGATCACCATGTCATTATCACCATTGGCGACGAGAACCGGCGTCTTTAGCTCACCCACTCGGTCGAAAGCTGCTCGAGGATTTTTATTGAACGAATCTATCGCAGCCTCGAGTTGCCTCTGTGCTGCACCATACCGATACAGTAGGTCCAGAATGAGAGACTCTGCCTTTCTCTCTTGCACGCTTGCCCAGGCTTGATTGAAGGCAGCATATCCTTGATCATCGTCGTCAAACATGGAAAACGCCAATGCTCTGGGGCCGTGTTCACTCGTTTCTGCCTCTGCAAGCACTTTCAGTGCTTCAGCTGAAGGGTCCTCCCGCGGCCAGACGACTCCGGCGACATAATCTGCCCATGGAATTGCTGAGTCGGTACTGCTAAGAATCAACTTGCGGATGAGATGTGGCGCCGTCAGTGCAGTCATTTGAGCACAATAGCCGTCCAGAAAGAAGCCCAAAAGATCAAATTTCCTGAGTCCGAGAGCTTCGACAAAACATATCAGGTCATCAGCCCACCCTTGGAACGTTTCTGGACCTTCGCCGGAGTTGCGACCAACTCCCGCATTGTCCAATATGATAACGGTTCTGGCTTTGGCGAGCATTTTGACCAACAGGGAATCCCAAAGGCCCGTATTCGCGCGATAGTGGATATGCATGACCAAGGGGACGCCATCTTCCTCACAATGCGTCGATATGCGAATCAGACTCCATTCTTGGCGGCCAGGTATTGAGTGACATCTGTTTGAGCTGTTGAAATCTTGCCAAATGATCAGCATCTACTTCGGAAGACCCAAATTTATCGAACCTTAAATGTTGCGGGATAGAGAGATACAAGTGGTCACGCCAGTAGACCCCAGGTCGGCAGCGAAGGTTTGGCCATATTTATACGTCCTTTGTCTTGCAGGTCTTTGTCCGCTATTCTCGCTTGGCTGCTCTCTTGCTTACCTTTGGTGAGACATGAGAGGTTAGATTTCTTCGCATTTGGGCCGACGAGAAGGGAAATATCAATATAATCCAGGACGACCGATGCTGCTACTGTGTCGTGAGCACCAAAACAGGAATATCAACACCATTCAGGGAAAACTGAATCTGCCATCGGCAAAGTTCAATCCTATTTGGGGACGACAGAATCGGGAGAAGAGCCACGATAATAGGCCGCATGGTAGGGATCTAAAAGAGGTAATCTTGGACCCTTTTCGGACAGCATTTGTGGCGCCCCAGTCTTGCACTCTGTCACTGAATGCCCCTCCCGTCCTTGATATATATATCGCATGCGGCTTTCTGACTCACCGTATAGAGACGATCGGTCATTTCCGCCTCCGCCTCTATCTTGTTCTCTGTTCCGTTTTCCCCCTTGGTAATTGCCGTGAGGCGCATACCCCTCATCATCGATAATGCAACGTGGTAGGACATCGATGATAAGCACACCCTACAGGCGTTTCGATTTGCAGCCTGCATCTTGTGGCCTCGGCTAGAACGTCCTGGTCCCATGTGAGGTAGGGTGGAACTGGCTCTCTTCTCTTAAGTCGAAATGCCTGTGGGCAGGGGTTGACGTGCCGCGAAGATCTTATTTATTTTTTGTTCTCGGCAAAGCGGGCAAGACGCTGTCGCGACGGAAACTTCATTTTGAATGTGAGGATTGTGTGGAACACGAATCAAAATGGGCTCGTATACTCCCGTCCACGACCAAGAGGTACATACCATCCATATCCCCGAAGAAGTGCGCAGGTCAAGCAAACCAACCCTTGAACTCATTGCCGAAGGCGCTGCCTTCTTGCACAAAGATGGCATCATTGTCCTGGACAACGCCATCGACACTGACCACCTCGATACCTTGAACGCCAAGTTGTCGCCAGAGGCACTCGAGATCGCCTCTGACCCTGATCACCACTTCAACTTCGGCAAGCACACGCGCAATATGGACCAAGCCCCTCCTCCTACAAAAGCTCTCATGTTCAAAGACATATGGTGCAACCCCTTTGCAGCAGCCATCCTAGCGGCCGTCCTGGGCCCAAGACCAGTCATCCACTACGCGAACGGCAATACGGCGCTGAGGGCCCCGCCTCACGGCCGCCAGCCTGTGCATTCGGACTGCGAGTTCGCCCATCCGGCATACTTCCCGTTCGCCTACGTCATCAACATCAACCTCGTCGACGTGACGCCCGAGAACGGCGGCACCGAGGTCTGGGTCGGCAGCCACCATGTCTCCGTGTACGAAGCGCACAGCCGGTCGGAGGATGAGGAGTGCGAGGAGCTCCTCACCATCAAGCCCGAACTGTTGGAGCAGCGGCGCAAGCACTCCCCGCCCGTGCAGGTCAGCACCAAGAAGGGCAGCCTGATCATCCGCGACCTGCGGCTCTGGCACGCCGGCATGCCGAACCTGACAGACGACCCGCGAATCATGCTGGCCTTCGTGGCGAGTCCGGCCTGGTGGCAGGGCCGGAGCAAGATCAAGCTCCCCCTCGAGGTCAAGGAGTTGGTCGAGAGTTGGAGCGACGAGATGGAATATGACGCCGACTGGGTCGACGGTGAGGTTGATCACAAGAAGCTCAGAAGCGCCGGCGTCGATTTCGACGGGAACAGTCACGCCTTAGAGCGGTTTAGGAAGGAACTTAGTGTCTGGCCAGACTATCGGCCTAGATGGTACTAATCGCGCTTTTCTTTTCGGTGAGACAGCGGGAAGTTTGGGCGAGGACGAGGAGGAGAAGGCTTGTTGGGCAAAGGAGCAGAGACACAGAGACAGTGAGACATAGGGCAGAGACCTCGCAACACAGGGTCGTGAGGGGCAATCATGCTGTCTGATGTACAAGGAGCTTCCCATTCATATTCACCTTTATCTTCTGCCATTCAGAAGGGTAGTAGTGAAATTTTCAACGCGGTGCAATAATAACCCCTTTTTTTTGGCGAGATTTCTTCATTGTTTTGGTGTGTTTCAATCTAGCACCGTATTAGACTGTGTCATACCATGGCATATCATATCGGTTGTTATGAATCCCTCCCGATCAGCGAGGCCATGTGTAGATGATACTATCCTCCCAGGTAAGGTAGCCGTGGACAATTATGTCCATCGAAGTATAGCGTTCCCGCTTCGAATCCATTTATATTGGGGAGATGGTTCGAGTGTCCCATTCGCGCGTCATCATGTGGATTGGAGGATGGCATTGATAGATACATCTCCCCATTGGTGTCAACCGTTGTCGTTGGTTTAAAATTCGCGTATCCGTCGTGTTGCGGAATATTCCTCCATTTCCACTTCTGTCCGTTCATCTCGGTAGGTTGTTCTCATTTCCTCTCCGTTGGATGAGAGATATGTTTGATGCACTTCTGTCTCTGGACATGCTGCTTCGAATCCCTGTTTGCACCATGCCAAGATGCTTTCGCGCCGTTTCCACAGAGAAGTGGCTTTTCGTTTCTTCTCTGATCGTCGGCAAATCCATATGGTGGTGTTCCCTGCTGCCAGATGTTTCAGGGACATGGCTTCCGCTGGTGGTATAACCATATGGTGTTGGCGCTGTGCAGTGGATCGTTGAGGACGATTTCTTTCCCGTCGAGTGAGGTAGCTTTTCGGTTCCCAGTTGATTCGTTCTTCCTCCATTGTTGGTTGTCAGATCCAGGGTTTCCCTTTTGCCTCTGATGTGATTATTGAGACATGCTGGCGGACGTGAGTTTTCATAGCTTGCGGAACGTGAATGCAGCTTCCTCATTGGGTTCAGGAAAGTCTCTTTGCTGTCGGCAATCATGTCTTTGATGATGATAAGTTCCAACTTGAAGATGCTGCTGGGGCCAGGCGGTACAATCGCAAGGGCGAGGACTTCAGCTTCCGCGCTTATCCAAGACATCTTTGAAGTCAGCGTAGTTGTTTTTGGTGAACCAGTCGTAAAGCTCGTGTCCGGGCAGTTCAGCGGCCAGCCAGTATGCTTCAGCATTGTCCACTTCTGCTTTGCCCCTGTTCTGCAAGTCAGCCAGAAGCCAAGAACTGTCAGAGCCCGTGCGACGCAGCCTACCAACTGATGGCAACCTGATGTGCCCGGCTCTGCTTACGTCCTTTTCTCGTCCTCAAACAAAGGTGCTTCCCTTCACCCGATAAGTGCATCTGCAATGGCATACTGGTTGACGTGCTCGATCAGCCTTGTCACACTCCCAGCTCGTGATGCACAATTTCTCCTCTCCACTGTGATAAGTGTGACGGTTGGGGCTGACCGGCTAGACCGGCTCCATTGAGTTCCTTCTTTTGCTTGCAAGGACGTCGGTCTTTTTGTGTTGAGGCTGTCAGTCCGGCAATCCGCCGCTTGTCGTGAGGTTGTGGATGGAGTATCGATCCAATTCAGCAGAAAAAGAGTTTGTGTGGTTTGTACTCGAGTAAGTCACTTAGCCTCAGGCAAAGCGGTGTGCTTCTCTCTACTGAAGGCTTCAAAGGTAGAAGTAACCAAATCCCCATTCCGGCTGTCGGCCCTTTGGTCTTCCCTCCGCTCGAAATTTCTTCTCGTATAGTCGCTTCTTCTGTAACAGAACCGAAGTCGGTCCACGGAAGAGAGAGAATCTACCGCTCTGGACGTTTGCACACGCCCAGTTTGCTTGGCTGACTGCTTCTTGGCTCACTAAGCTATCCCAGTAGTGGTCTCGCTTGTCGATGGGATGAAGGCGCGCGAGCTTCCTCAACCTTTCGAGTTGCAAGATAGTGGCTCGTGATTGTCTGCTGTTTGCGGGCTCGTCGTCGCCATTCTTGAGCTCTGGCCAGCTATACTGCGGCTGAAAGGCAGTCGAGTCGGTGTCGCTGGAGTCCATCAGCGTGACAACTTCGTCTGGGATAGTCTCAAACAGGGCATTCGCCTCGGTGAAAGTGAATCTGCTATGTCTTGGAAGAAACGATAGCCTGAAGTGCCTCAGGACATGCTCGATGTCCTCCTTTGGTAACGGATTCCACGGATTGTGGATCCGTCTCCACTGCAGCCGAGCATACACGCAGTGTTTCAGATGTCTCGTGAACTCTGTGTCCACAAGTCCCAGTTGATGTCGGTAGAGCCGGTGAAACTGCCATGGCAACGATGAGTGGTAGTTCCAGTAGTAGGCACACCCGGCACAGTGGACCGCCTCGAATTTCGAGACAGCCGTCTGGAGGGTGCCGTCTACAAAGCGCCTAGACTGGCGCCTTAAGGCGGGAATTCGGACTGCACAGGCGTGTTGTGCGTAAGTTGTTTCAGGCGGAGAGACTTCCTCGGCCAGTAGAGACAAAGGTGTTTGGCAACGGCGGGTTTGTATTGATGAATGCGGCTGTGGTTGGATACTGCGTCGGTTTGCAGGTAGTTCGATTCCAGTCCGGACCAGCGTGATTTTGTCAACTGCTGATTTTGTCTGATCCCGAGTAGGTAATGCCCTAGGCCCTTGCCGTCGGAGAAAGTTTAAGGCGGCCTTGTAGTCGAAAACGTGACCTTTCTGGGCTGGGAAACCCCAGAAGGAGTTCTGAGTGACGGTCACCAGTTGCGGAAGCTTTCTCAGCTCGGCCTGGGAAAGCTTCATGGTGTACTGAGCGTAGCCGAGATTGACTGCTAGGAGTTCACGCTCTTGAGAGAGGCACTGAAAGCAGCAGCGCTTGAGCTGCAACAAGTGCAATATCTCTCCATGCTCCCCACAGAACTCGCATTCAGAAGTGAAGAGGACGTCGACCAGCTGGGGTACTGTCCATAAGCAACCGGCGTTAGTAGCCAGGAGTGCGCGGACTGCATCAGGACCATAGCTCATGACGGTTCTGAATGGCTCCCATTGCTCAATGAGTTGTTTGGCATGGGAGTTGGTGGCTCGGAGGTCGATGAGACTGTTGACGGGAGTTGAGGCAAAGATATATAATTGTAATTCGAGAGGAAGTTTGTCGAGATCTCCTAGACCAACATGCCATTGGCTTCTTGTGGTCGTCCATCTTTGAGGTTCACTAAGCCAGATTCGGCGTCTGAGCTCCCGTGAGTCGATAATGAGTGTGTTGTAATCGGGCTGCTTTGTAAGGAAACGGAGCTCTTCGCGGGTCATCAGGGCAGGGTCCAGAGGCTTGGCGGTAAGGGAAGCCATTCTATTGAGGCTTTGCTTTGGAGAAACTCGGGTTGAGGGTTGGTCTGTCCCAGCAAGAGTATTGAGTGAAAGCCGTATGTGTATCGAGATGAATCTGTGTCGGAGCGCGGAGCTTGTGATGTCGAGATCCAGATAAACAGGGAAATCAAGCTAGATTATGATTTATATACTTGGAGGCGAGGAAAGACAGTGGGTGTTAAAGTTTCAGAGCACCATGGTTCGCATGTGGAGAATATATACCAGAGCCAAACGAAGCATCAATAAGCAAACTTTTGACAATCAGAAACAACAGTAGAAGACAATAGGAGGGCACAAACAGTCACAGATGCTGAATAGACATCGGCTGCCGCGCCCTCAGAGAATACCTCGATACATGCGTAAAATGGGAGAAAAATAGGAGATATTCACCGACAGGATAATAGTGGCATGTTACTGGTGACACTCCTGTCAAAAAGGATCCACCCACCTTGAAGAGGCTGGGTGAAACCTTCCATCATCATGGATCGGGCTGAAGAGCGGCTCTCTGAAGTTTCCACCCAGAAAATGTCTTGGGAAGGAAAACAGAATCTCTTTGGGATCAGGCTGTGAGTGGAAGGGTGCTCCGGGCCGACCAAATTTCCTCAGGTAAGTTCGCGGTACCGAGTACTGTACTCAGCACAAGTTGAGCTAGATATTGCTTTGGTTAGCGTTTCAGAAAGGGGGGGCGAACCAAGCGATCCCGACAACAGCCACCGCTGCAATGTAACATCGACTTCCGGTCCGAGAAGATTCGGCTATTCCAGAGACTGGCATCGCTTCGACTCGATGTGTGAAAGAATCAAAGCCGATGTTATCGAAAGGGTGAAGTCGTTGAGGACGTCGATGTCGAGAGGTGAAAATTAAAGTGTGGCCTGCTCGTGTGATACCATGTGATCTCACGTGATCTCACGTGCTGCCCACTTCACAATGGCGTTTTGAGCAACTGCCAACAATTCAATTTCCCGGATCCCGTTCGAATGTTTCTTTTTCATTCTATACGTGCATTTTCAGGATTCGGTCGACAAATTCCTCGCGTTCCGGTTTCGATTTCTTGTCTGGTCAATTCCGTCACGATTTCTACTCTTGGGGAGTTTCTTTTCAACGCGTGTCAGGTTTGTAAGAAGAATTCGAAATGGTGTATATCAGGCAGCGAAACTTGAAGAAGCTCCATGAGTACAAATACTCCGGGGTGGACAAGTCTCTTGTGTCAAGATATGTGCTGAAGCCGTTCTACACCAATGTTGTCATCAAGTTCTTTCCCATGTCAATGGCGTGAGTACAGCGACTCTCCCCGGTGAACAACGTGATACTGAAACTGCTTCAGGCCCAACCTCGTGCGAGGAACCCAGTCTCGACTGTAAAACCCCTTCTAACGCATGAGCAGATTACCTTGACAGGTTTCAGTTTTGTGATCATTAATGTCCTTACAATGCTGTGGTACAATCCGACGCTCGATACCGATTGCCCTCCGTGGGTCTACTTGACCTGGGCCATTGGTCTGTTTCTGTACCAGACTTTTGACGCCGTGGATGGCAGCCAGGCTCGCCGGACACACCAAAGCGGCCCATTGGGCGAATTGTTTGACCATGGTTAGCGAGTATCTTACGACATAGTGAACACCGCTAACCGAATGTCAGGGGTTGATGCGTGCAATACTAGTCTTGAAGTTCTCCTTTTCGCAGCCTCCATGAATCTTGGCCAGTCTTGGAATACTGTCCTCACTCTCTTCGGCACGATCCTCACCTTCTATATCCAGACCTGGGAAGAATATCATACCCATACTTTGATGTTGGGTGTAGTTTCTGGCCCCGTGGAGGGAATCTTGACCTTGGTTGTGGTCTACTTCATCACCTTCCTCAAAGGTGGTGCGAGTTATTGGCAACAGCCAATGCTGCCCAGTCTCGGTCTCCCCAAAAGCGATCTTGTCCCGGCCTCTCTGTATCAAATGGCTTGGAACGAGTGGTACATGGTCTATGGTGGGCTGGTATTGGTCTTCAACACCATCAGCAGCGCATTGAACGTCATGAATGCCCGACGACAAAGAGGCCAGGATCCTTACAAAGCACTCGTCGGACTGGCTCCTTTTGCTATCACTTGGACCTTGATACCGACCTATCTCTGGCTGAACCCGGTAATTCTCCACCGTCATCTTGTTCCGTTCATCATCTTTGCTGGAATTGTGAATGCCTATTCCGTTGGGCAAATGATCGTGGCCCATCTGGTCAAGGACAAATTTCCCTACCAAAACGTACTCGTGGTCCCCTTGGCTTGTGCCATAGTCGATAGTTTGGGCCCCACACTGGGACTGTGGCCAAGTGCGCTCGGTGACGATGTCTACCAGGTGGCGTTTGTTTTCCTGTCACTAGGCCTCGCGCTCGGCGTGTACGGAAGCTTTGTTCACGATGTCATTACAACGATCTGTGACTATTTGGATATCTGGTGTCTCACGATCAAGCACCCTTACGTGGAAGATGCCCAGAATGCTGAGGTCAAGAAGTCCAAATGAGTCGGCCTGACGACTTTTGGTGAATACCACAGCCTCGAGTCAATCACCGCCCACGACTCGGGCTATTGGATCTTCACAACACCAACGTTGACGCATTCGGTTCGATCTGACACCCTTCTCGATTCATTGGTGATTGTGCAAGTCACTTGCAACAAACGGACCTAGCTATAAATGTTGTTCATACATACTAGCTGCTCAAGAAGTCTTTGTCCTCGACCATCCACGAAGTTCTTACCAGTCCACTCTTCACACCGACCCTTTTCCATCATGTCGTCAGAGAAGCAAGAGGCCTCTACCAAGGGTGAGTGCAAGACTAACATCCTGAGCAAAGGAACTGCAAGCACGTTCCTACATCAATTCTGCGGCTGGAAACCAAAATGCGTCAGAAAATCTGCTCAAGCAAAGCTACTGACGGGACCATCTCCATCAGAATCAGAAACCAGCTCTTCTCCGAATGCGGTACTCTTTGGCCCGCTCCACCAATATGGTCAGTGCTAATATTTCTGCCTCCTACCCTTTTGGAATTGTCAAACCAACTCTTTACAAGGACAAGTCTCCTATCTGCACCCCGGGCAGTACACCTCGAACACCGGTATCACGAGAGCCTTCAAGGGGTACATCACGACCACGGTTCACGGAGTTGAAACAATCATGCCAACACACGAGTATCTAGCCCATCCTCAGGATACACGCTCAGCAATTCTCAACCCTCACCTTCGCCTGGATTCCGGGTACTACCCCAATCCTATCAAGCCACCGCCTGATGCTCCTCCCCCGCCGCCTCCGATCGACACCTCGACTGGGAAACCAAAGTCGGAGTCTACCAAAGCAGGTTCCGACGCAGAGAAGATGTGTCCTCAATGCCACCATGCAAGTGCTCCGGCTCTGACAGACGGTGTTTGGATCTGTTCGGGCTGTCTCCAGGGTCATAAGTTTGTACTGGCTAACAATTGCAACAAGAGTTATTAGTCCGGGCCGGTTAAATGAAAGGTTGGAGACCTCGTTGGGTTTCCCTCGATAGCGGTGTGAGGCAATGATGGAGGCGCCTCAATCTCCTGCTCGTGCGTAATAAACGTTCCTACTTATCTAGACGATGCAACATGGCCACATAATATTCTACGGTTTTAGGCACACAACTAGCTTTCTTGCTCATGATTTGAGTGGTTTTTTTGGGGGGGGGGGGATTTTTTTTGGGAGGCAGAGCATAGCGGTACTGAGAGCTGAGATTTTCCACAACACGTACAACTCTTGAATGCCTCCTTGGCTTGAACTAAACGAGGCTCATGGGGAAGGACAAGCCAGTCAGGCTCGATCCGCGGGTGACATGTACATCATCAGAAGCTAGACTCACAAACGAAACAGTGATTTGAATCTCCTGGCTTGCAGGGGAAATGGATTTCCTGGACAGAGTTTGTTTCATCACTTTCTTTTTTCTTTGGTGCTCATGAAAATCCGTAGCTGAAGTACTTTCAAAAGCCACGAAAAGCTCATAACTCCCCGGGGTGACATTCAAGCACAAAATGTGTCTCTTCTCTGCCACCGCCCCAACAGGATTGAATTGCACGATGCCCGCAACTGAATTCCTGCATCTAGCGTGAACATTGTGGGTGATTCCTGATCTGTCGATTAAAGAAATTTGTCCATCATGTCACCGCCCCCTCCAGGGTACGCATCGCCTCCATTTCTCCTTCCTCGTCCGAACTCTTTTTCCCTCTGCTGTGTCTAATGCTCAACATGACTTCGCCACCATGCCTCGACCATCGATAGAAGATGGTAGGTAAAGGACCGTAGGCGTTGAAAGGGGCAACGACGCGCGGCAGGATTTTCGACAAGAGAGTGGTATGGTGGATATTTAGTAGCCCAGCTCGGCCAACTTCTTCTTCGCCTCCACATCCGCAGTCGACTTGTTCGCCTCGGCAAGGTGTCTTCGTTGGGCCTTCTTTCGCTCGTAGTATGCGGCGCCCTTGACTTTTCTTCTCTCCTCGAGTCTGTTGCAACACTGTTAGCCGAAACCCTCGTCTCCCAGAAAGGTCCAACCGCCTCCAAATATTTATCGTGTGGGCAGAGGAGATATCGAACGTACCTCGCAACCACATCCTGGTATTTCCATCCCACCTCATGCGCCAGTCTTCCCACTGTGCAGTATTTCCTTCCTGGCTTTAATCTGAGGACCCTCAGTGCCTGAGGAACAACCATGCGCTGCTTCTTGTCGTATGGCGGAGGGATACCCTCAAAGACCTTCAATCTCTCCAGGGCGGCAGCACCGCGGGCGGTCTTGTGCGGGATCATGCCTCGGACGGTCTTGTAGAAGATGCGGGCGGGGGCGCGGAAGTGGAAAGGGCCACCTCGGGTTGGGTTGTAGCGAGTGATTTTGCGGAGGTAGGCATGGTACTTGACTGCTCGAGACAGAAGAGATTCGTGTTAGTCCAAATGCATCTTTCAATGGCGGTGCAGGGTGTAGTCGAGCAGAGCGGATGGGAGGGAAAAGCGTACGCTTAGCACGGAAGAATTCGCCAGAGATGTTGAGAGCCTCGCATCTCACGACGACGATTTTCTGGCCATTCAAGAGTTGCTTTGCGACTGTACTGGCGAGACGACCGAGCAAGTGTCCCTTGCCATCGATGACAACCTGAAGCAAAAAAAAAGGCCTTGTCAGTACTGTTGATTCAATCCTCTCTCGATGTTCTTTGCGCAATGTCACCGGCGAAAAACTTACAACGGGCTCGAAGGTCGACATCTCGCTGTCAATCACCTGCAAGAAGTCGTACGGGAGAGAATTCGCAAGTTGAGCGAGGACGTGGTTGTTGGTTGAGTTCGTCAGAGGCCGGAGTTGAGTCAATGAATTGTGTTGATGCGCTTTCGTTTCCGTCGTGCGCACGCCAAGACATAATTTCTTGGCGCCGAAATCCAAAAACACGTGAAGTTGCTTAGTCATTCAGTGGGGCCAGATTTAGCAACACCAGCACCTCGTTCTTGAAAAGTTCTTCCCTTCTGTCCGCCTTGTCAAGGAAACAAACAACAATGCTTCGATCCGACATTGGCCGAGAGACATGCTCACAGAAAGCTTCATTGCAGCGACATTGACTGCAAATAAACCCGTTGCGCATGCCAGTGCTGCCTTGAAAGATGTAGGCATTTTCCTTCACGAGTTTCAACCTCAACGCACCTTTCGCAAGGGTTTCAAGAAAAGTTCCAGTCAACCAGGCTGTGTGGCAATCAGTGACTCACACATCTTTGCGGCCCAAGCGGATAAAGCTGTGGTAAATGTTTATAGTCAAGAAAGGGGCAATCAAGAAGCGACGGTTCCATTTCCCGAGCGGATATCCGGTCTTGCCTATGCTCACGGGGCGGAGGTCTTGGTTCTAGGGACCGAAGGAGGGAAACTGATTCTCTGGGAAGTTGCAACTGGCAGAGTAACAAACTCAGCGGCCTCTCATCTTCAAGCTGTGTCGTGTCTCTGCATCACTCCCAGGAACGAATACATCATTTCTGGCTCTGCCGACTCGAGTATTCATGTTTGGTCACTAGCAAAACTGGTCGCTTTCGCGCCATCCTCAGATAGCTATGCAAATCGCGGTGCCCCAAATGCTCCTGTCAAGACCTTTTCCAGACATCGAACGGCCATCAGCGCGTTGACATGTGGCCACTCTAGCATCACCACGAATTTTGCAATATCAGCCTCCAGCGACGGCACTTGCTATATCTGGCATATCGAAACATGTCAAGTCTTGCGGACTCTATTGTTACCCTCTCATGCTGTTTCAATCGCACTTGACCCCGCAGATAGAGCCATCTATTTTGGATGCAATGATGGGAGAATCCAGTCCTGGGACGTCTTTCAACAATCACCAACATCCAGCATTCCACTATCCGGCCCGTCAGTCTTGCCGGCCATCCAGCTTTTAGATAAGGACGGTTGGAAAGAACCGCTCGCCGAGGTCGGAACAGCGAATTGTGTCACACTATCTTATGACGGGACATCTCTCCTTTCGGGCCACCGGAATGGAGCCATCATCCGCTGGGATGTTGCTAAGCATCGAATTCTACAAGTGATGACGAATTTTGGCCAACCAGTTACCAATATCGAGATGCTCAAGCCTGAAGGTTTTCCACGCATGAAAAGACCAGGATACATTATCCCAACGGTTGTTAAACCCAATCTCGAATTGGCCTCGATAGAGGATAACGGTACCTGTGGCGTCCCCGCGAAGTACAATCTCCATATCATGATCACTGCGCCAAGAAGCCTATCCGAAGAAGATGAGTTTGAAAAAGCTCTTACCGGCTCCGGATTCCCACAATCCCTGCTCGACTCAGCCATCCGCTCTCTGGAAACGGGTAACACCGCAACCCAATCCCCGGTCACAACAGATGTCGCCGAGACATCCAAAGCCGAAAGACTAGAAGAGGAGGTCTCCAAATTGAAGCAGCAACTCACCATCCTGCACAACCTAGAAGAAAAGCGAAGAGGCGGGAAGCTTACGAGAATGGGCAAGCGAGACGAATTAGCGTTGAAGAAGAGAGAAGCCTATTTCGAGGCAAAAAGCAAAGGAAAGGACGGGGATGCGGCGATGAAAAAGTGGGAGAAGAAGGAGGCGGAGCTTGATCGGGAGAGTGAGGAGGAAGATCTCGAGGGGGACGAAATGGATGTTGGTTGAAAGGAAACGTTGAAAATCGGTACCCTTGGTCCAGGTTGGACAAGTCCCTCGGAGAATGCCGACGACCTCAATAAAATTGTCAAAAACAGTGGCACAAGCTCAGTCTCATGGTCTCCATTCAGAAGTCTCGACATCCGCAATGCATTTTGGATTGCGGTAATACCGGAGACCATGCTCTCTCCTTGCACGGTGCTTCACCATGCCTCCTCGATGGTCTGGGCGGCCCCGAAGGGCTATCATCGGACTTTGCAGCCACCAATCCTTAGTCAAGGATCTCCATCCGAGTGCAGTCCATGTTGGGCATTGCTCAAACATCCCTAGTGCTCGAACTCCGGATGAATCCTTTCTTTTGGCGGAGCGCCCGAGGAGGAAGGAGAATGCTGGCTGGTTCCTCGGAGGGCTAAACGCCAGCAACAAGCGTCCAAAGATCTCCAGAAGTGGCATTTTGGAATCTCTGAGCCTCTCGTAAGAGTCTCAGTTATGACAATGCCCTGCCCAGTTGTGAGGGATGTAGGTAGCGACATATTGCCCTCAGTTCGGGACGTTTGGTGCAGCCCTTTTCCCACAGGTGCAGAAACAGGCCGCTTGGATTGCCAAATATTTGTGAAAACACCAATGGGCAAGGGCACCTTTGGGCCTCGTAAGTCTCTCCTGAGACGCGGTGGAGATGTGGCAGACATGTCTATCGAGTATATTATGCTATGCATACAAAAGTGTTTGCACTGTCCCTGCTGAATGGAGTACGATCATTTCGCCAGGCCAATTTCAGGTCCGCCACGACGCGGTTTGAGCGAGGTAGATGAATACCCGAAAGTAGATACTGAAGCTCAGTGCCAGCACCTGACCGTGGTACCCCCAGCCTACCAGTGGCATTGTTATACCTGTGGAGTCCGTCGTCTTGTGTCTAGTTCCGTCCCGAGATCTCATATAAGAACCGTTGTTGCCGCCGCTGAGGTCCATGCCGTATTCATCACTCCAATACGCCGTACTGAAGCCAGAGCCGGACAGCGCTCGCTGGTCATATCCGGGGCTGTAGGACCAAGTCGAGCATCCACTAGGACGAGCAGGCCGGGGCATCCTGCAGGAGCTGTGTGAAGGCGCCCCGGGCAGTACGACCAGGGCCGAAGGAGGTCAGGGTCCACGAAGGAAATGTCAAAACTCACCTGAGGGACCTGAGATGGCCCCCTATAGCTGACTATCTGCTAAGCTTTTCGGAGGCATTCTTCATCACCTTCACCCGAAGGTTCAAGGGTTGAAATACTTCCAATCAAGGAGTTAGGTAGCAGAAGAGAACAGTAAAAGTTATTTAGAAGGATGTCGAAGTGATGGAAATGGGAATACCACGGCTCATAAAGCCATAGGCCCACGTTGCGAGGGAAGACCAACGTCTGGCGTCAGTTTTGAGCGTATCTCTACGACAACTACTGCGGATGATGACACCATATAAAAAGGGTCCGAGGGCGTCTGCTTGGGGTGCTTAACGTTGGCCGGTGGCGTCGTTGAACCCATGATGCCTTAAAAAGCACTGGAATGGATGGGGGTTGGATGTGATGGGCAAACGTACAATGAGTACTTGAGAAGACCAGATGCAGGCGTCTGAATATCTAGTAAGCGTATAACACAGGTGTCTAGGAACGCACAAAACGTCAAGAAATACCGAGCGGCATGAGGTAAAGATATATCCTAGCGCCTCAGTTAAAATCATTTGGATTGTCTACACGATGGCTGAACTTGACAGTACTAGCTTTGGCGTCAGTATAAGTGCTTTCCATGTCACTATTTGTCACCTGCACTCCCAAAAAAATTCCGAGTGGCCACTAGTCTCTGGTGGAAACGAGATCGAGAGTCGAGCCGAACAGAGATTGACAATCAAAGCACCATAATGCGTCTCCATACCAAGAGTCCTAGGTGTCTGAGGCGTCGTTGACACCGGGGTCCATCAGTAGACCGACTGAGTCCAGAAGTTCTCGAAGTCATCAATAACCAGAGCGTTAGAATGCGTCGACATGAAAAAGAGGCCTAGTTGTATGAAGGATCTTTGAGACCGAGTTCCGGGAATAGACCAAACGAGTAGCAGATTCTCAAAATGCAGGACATCGTCGGTCACCGAGAGGTCCAGATTGTTAGGCATTCTCTGTGTCCATCGTCGTCCGTCTTTTCATGGTCGTAGGCAAGCACAATCAAGCCAACCATTCTGTCCACGGCAGTCACCCAAATCTCAAATAGCAGCAGTCATATCATGAAAATCGACCAAGAGAGATGTAGTAACCCATTGGAAGGCTTGCTGTCATTTGTTGTTGTTCCTGGCGTCTAATTTCTTTGGCACCCCGAACCGCATCATCTTCACCGCGTTGTTCGAGCCCAGCGTAAGTTGGAACCCGGGGAAGGCAGGGCTTTTCGTCCAACCTTGACTCCAGCGCGGCTTGACGGACTCTTTTTTTTGGCCTGGTACGGGTGCTTTCAGCCGAGGGGATGGGTATCAGTGGCTGCAGTTGCAAGGTAAACCTGCCTGAAGACAGAGTAAGCAAGATTGATGAAAATCGGCGGGAAAACTAGAGAGAGGGATGGGAAGGGGAAAGGGGAGAGGAATGAGGCTCGTTGGTAGGGAAGATGATTTAGAAAGAGCACGAAGGAGCGCTTCTACTTAAACAGGAGAATAAAACCCTCATTTGAGGGAGAATGAGTCGTCAATGGTATCAATGTCTGTGGAAGAAGTCACCGTTGTCAGTGGCTTTACAGCTGTTCGTGGAAACATCCTCTGCGAGTCGTCAGATATTTTTCGTAACCCCAGGCTGAATCTTCTCCAGGATATCGCTTAGTTCCTTCCACACCTTCTCGCCAGCAACCTCACTATCCTTGCTTCTCACGAAGGGTGAGAGCTCGCTTTCGTTGACCTTTCCATCCGACATGTACTTGCCGTGCGACTCCATCCCTGCCTCAGCAGCAGCCACCAGGGTTCGACTACCCACCTCAGTCGAGCGGGCAAGGAAGAACTTCAGCACCTCCAACACCCAGGAGCCATCGCGCGAGAGCTCCGAATGGCATAGGCCAGGGTTAAGATAGTTCAAGATGACACCTGATCCGGTGAGCTGGGGCGCGATCTGGCGAACGACGAGAACTTCTAGCAGTTTGCTTGTCTGGTACCGCTCATTCATCTTGGCTGTTTTCTCGCCATCTAGGGTCTCAAAAATCCGAGGCTCTTTCCATTCCGCAAACTTGGTCCAGCCGTGCACTTCGCTGGATACGATGGTGAGGCGCGGATTGGTCTTGAATTCCTTGGCCGTCGACTTCAGTTTCGGCAGCAACAACAGGGCGAGGAGGAAGGTGCTGATGACATTAACTGTGATGGTGCGCTCGTGTCCTTCGGCCTGGCTATACTTTTGGACTGCGATTCCTGCGTTCTCGAGCAGGACGTCGATACGGGGGAGCTTGGATGCGCGGTTGGCAAACGCTCTGACGGAGTCGTACGAAGCGAGATCGAGTTCCCAGACCTCAATCACGCCGCGGTGGCAGTTCGTGGTCTTTTCGATGTCCTTCTTTGCGTCTTCGCCGGCCTTGGTGTTCCGCACCGCGAGGATTAGTTTCGAGGCGCCCAGACGAGCAAAATGCCGGGCAGCTTCCTTTCCCAAGCCAGTGTTGCTTCCAGTCACAATGACAGTCTCTCCGGCAAAAGACCTCTTCGGGTAAGCTGGTTTGATGAATAGTTGAGAGTATAAAAAGCCCATGATGACGATGTAAAGGAATTGCGCAGAATCCCTCTACCAGCGATAGCCACGAGTGTCAGGCTTGGAGTTTGCAATCGCACTTACGTTGTGATTGACAGGATATCCCGAGGACGAAACGCTCGCCCACCTTCAAGCATTTTATATCAATCCCCAAAGCTATTTTCACCTGCAAAGGAAACCAATTAATCCCGGTGCTACTTCGTAGACGTCATGAAGACGGCTGGGTCCAAACTCTGCCGTTGAAGAAATGACGGGGTTTCTGGGCACTGGCTGGGAAGTGCCTGCAAAAGGCATTCAAGCTTCTAGCAAGCTGGACGACATGCTCGACGCTAAGCCTCGCCGGGCGAAACCGTGCGAAATTGGTCATCACCATCTGCATCCCCAAGAGGTTGTGGATGGTAGTGGTGGTGGTGGTGTCAATGTGGCAGAAAGTGGGACGGATTTAAACGCAGCAAAATCCGCGCGAAGCCCCTTTTAACCGCCTCTGGCACCGTCTGCCGGCGCAAAATCGTCCCGAGCACATGCATTTGTCGGCTGGTCGAGGAGATAACAATACACTAATACAGAGATGGCTGCAAGGTGGTTAGCAGGTTCATACCATCAGCGGAGCATTTAACCCTAACAACGACCTTTGACGGGAGGAAGGGTGTTGGACACAGCAACGAGCGGATTTCCCTGCGGTATTGCTAATACTGTACGGCCTCGGTAAGAAGTCAGACGAATGCCTAGGCTTCTTGCAACTGGCCAAATCAGCCACATACAATTCTCAGCCATATAAGCGGCTGTGCCACCATTTTGACAGAGGCATACAATCGTCGATGATGGAGTAGCACTTTGGACGGCACTATAAGCAACCCGCCCAGCTTCTAGACCTTAAATCACGCCCCTATGTCTTCCTAATTCCTGTCTTAAAATCGAACTCGAGTCTGATTACAGAAGGTGCTCAGACCTCATCTCTTTCTGCTCGACGAGCTCCTTACGCAACGATTACCTACAACACCCTCCTAGAATTACGGTATACAACCCTCTAATTCTTCCTAAATCAATGACCTAAATGAGATGTTTAAAGGACCCTATCGGTAGCGGCCGATCTATCGTTTATTATTATATTTCAGCAAAATTGTCTAGACGCAGAGGTAAACCTTCAATCTGTTAGAGCGGAGTAACGCAGCCATGTTGAGAAGAGGCGGACACTTCCCACACGCTGAGGAATCAAACATTAAAAAGAGGAGACTGAGTGATCGCTGTAGCGCACCGGCCGAGATATCGTGGCCACTGGAGCCTTATTCTTGCCCATAGCGCTGCGTATTAGTGATTTCAAAGATCAGAGAATGGATTCGTACAAATGGCGAAGCCTGAGCCAACCGAACACGATTCGTCTGCTGACGCTTAAAGGTGGGTTGCGTGAACGCGAACTCTGGGGGAACTTGGTCAGTATCACAATAGAGTCTGCTCCAGCCTACGAAGCTGTTTCCTACGCTTGGGAAAGTGACGAGACCCCAAAAATCTTACCACGCCTGAAGGCTTAATCCCGATTCCTGGCTGCGTATGGCAGGCTCTGCTGGGTCTAAGGTTCACCGATCGACGCAGAGTTCTTTGGATCGATTTTGCGTGCATCTATTCCGATCGAACTGCAATGAAACACCTCGGAAACTTGAAGGTTATGCCTCAGTTTTCTGAAGGGGTTGATTTTGTCTCGGAGCGGAAAACGGGATACTCCGTGCTTTCACGCTCCCTCGATTCCGATCCCCCGAAGCAAGTTCGGGTCCCAGGGGACTCCTTTAGGCCTCTGCTATAGTTGCTAGTTGTACCTCTCATCCGTTTTAGCCAAGCACTGCTTCCTGGAAACTTCAATCCTTTTGTCTGCACGGTGACCGTCTTACAGTCGTTCCGAAATCCCCTCCCCTTTACGAACATATTTGTAACTTTCTTCTCCCGGAAGCCAAAGATTTAATGAGTTGCACTTTACTAGAAATACAGTAGTGCTCCCTAATAGATCTTCCAATTAAATAAGTCATTTCTAATTTGGCATTACGTTTGCCGGATCACCTATTGTAAAGATACTGTAAAGTACCTCGTATGTCAATCAAATCTTACAGCATGTTGGTCGACCACTGCAGCTTTTCTTCCGCATCAAAGTTACGGCTCCTAGTATTCCTCCATTGAGTCACACTATAATGAGGGCCTAGTTACGTGGTATCACGTGGCGTTAAGATATAGCTAGAGCTATTAATGTAGACCCACCTTAATAAATTATTCTTCAACGCCAAGGGAAAAGGGTGTTGGATTGGGCTTGACCAAGGACTCTTCTTGGCTTCCTTGGCCATACCAATTGGGTTTGAACAGGGCTCTGGTTGTCCTAGCAAATCTCCAGAGATACGCACACTGTGCGAATGTCAAGGGGAAATCTCTGTCGAGTGCTCTCTTGCATTTGGGTAGCTACGTAGTCACATGCTAGGCCGTTCCAAGATGGCCAACAGAGGGGCTTGCGATTAACATACAGCGACCGAAGTGCTACGGACTCCGTTACAACTTTGCCTTCGAATCACTCACACGCGGGCAGGCAACACTCTGGACCAAAGATGATTTAACTCTTCATTCCGGAGCGGGACAGGACCCAGACCACCTTTTATCTATCAGTGACCTCCAACGAGTTTGTCTTCCGCGCAGATCACTGATATTGCACTTTGTTCCACTCTATCCAGCCGACGCCTTTGCGTCCATCGCGCGCTTGAACTTTCGCCCAGGAGCGTGGAAAGTAGGAAAAGCGGCCGTCCTGGGGCGACTCGAGCAGAAGAGGCGCGTTGCCCGAGGGCTCGAAGTCGAGAACGATGTCCTCCTTGCCCGCACAAGAGTAACTGACAGTCGCACTCCGGACCAGATGGGTTTCTTCGGCCACTTCCTCGGTCGCCACCACACCGGTGAGTTCGGCGATGGGGCTATCCTTGTCTTGTCGGTATCCTGCAGCCATCTTGGGCCTCCTCGGCATGCGAATCTCGACGCCGTGCAGATGTGTACCGTCCTCCAGGTGGAAGGCCGTCCACACCCAATCGGCACCCCACCAGTCACGAGGTCCCCACGAGTGGTCGCGCTGGCCACAGGCGTGGTTGAAGGTGGCCACAGTGCGCTCGCCGACCTTGACGGTGCCACTGACGGTACATGAGATCTCGTACCGAGCCAACATGCGCCACTTGTATGGAGTGCTGGCTGTGTGCCAGGTCAGGTCCAGCTCGACGGGTACCTGGCGGCCTGGTACCCGCGGTCGACGGAGGAGATCGGCCGGGTCGTCGAATACTTCTCCTAGGCCGGTCAACGTCACGCGGTACTGCTCTAGGGGGGAGACGGCTGTGTGGGAGGCCTTGATGTGTGGGGTGTCGATGGTCAGGTCCGATGTGACAGTCTTGACGTTGAAGTCAACCATCGTTACCGTGGGCTGGCCCGGCCCACAGATCAGCGCCGTGTACCACGAGCCCGGCTGATGAGGGAGCACGCCCAGGCGGATCCAGACCCCTGTGGCTTGCTCCGGGTCGGCGACATCAAAGTACCAACTCTCATTATGCGAAGGGTCTTCTCCCCACGGGTGACTTTGTTCGTCCTGAGGGTCAGGCCGCAATGGCGTGGGCGTCGACGGGGCCGGAAGAGTTTCGAGGGCATCAAGATCCAGAATCTGCGTGACGAGCCGATCGAGCAAGGTTAGAAACATGTCATCTCCACGTTCGGTGCGCGCGAGGATCATGGGGGCCAGAAAAGCTCGTCCAAGTCCGAGGAAGCTCTGACGGCGCACACCTTCTCGGCACTGATCGAAGGTGAAGGGCACATTTGCGCCCAGAGCGTCGTAGTATGCCCGCAGGAGCTCGTCACTGTGAGCCCGGCGGACGTCGGACTCGATACTGCATCCGAGAAAGTATGCCACGTCGTGAAAGACGGGACCCCAGGACATGGTTTGCCAGTCAACCACGACGAAACCCCGGCCGGGGTTGTCTCCAAAGAGCATGTTGTCGAGACGGTAGTCCCCATGCACGAGACATTTGGCCGTCTCGGGTGCGCGGAAAGACTGGTAGTAGCTATCGAGGCAGGCCACAAACCTTTCACACACCTGACGGTGCTGAGGCTTCAGTTTGTCCTGGTAGCGCTCCACAAACTGCTTCCACATGATCTCATGAAGGGATTGTGAGGGCACTGGGTCTTCGTGGAGCCACTCGGGCATGGCGTTTTGGCTCTTTGTTGAAGCCGTCTGCAGTCTCGCCAGCTCGACCAGAGCGAGGTGGGCTTGCTCCAGGCTCGCCCCAGCCAGGTCGTTACCTGTTTTGCCAGGGTCAACATCTTCGAGCACTAGGTCGAAGGCATCGTGCTCCGCGTCGACAGCGCTATGGTAGCACTTGGCGAGGCAGGGCACATTGAGCATGGGAGCAACCTCGGAGTAAAAATGCGCCTCGCGCTGGTACAGTTTCCGGGATTTACCGATTGAGCGGCTGTCCGGGTCGGCCGCGGCGGTCTTCAGCACCACGTTGGATGGTCCTTCCCTGGCCCCTGGCGCATATTGGAGCTTAAACCGATAACATTCGCCAATGAGCCCTGTTCCAATTCGCTCGGACGAGATTTCCGTGATATCGGTGTTCACGACGCGAGACAAGAACTCCGCCGTCACATCTCCCACTGTGTGGATGAAGTCGGTACTCTGAGACCCCATGGCGAGGTACAACACCAAGCAATTAGCTGATACTCGGTATCGCGGATTCGGTTTGACTTCCTAGGACGGGCGCCAGCTTTGATCAGTAAGCGAGACATTGAAGGCCTCCTCCACTACGTATATACACATCTGAAGACCTGAGTAGCAGGCAAGCCGAGGCTTGTACACGGACTTTTTCGGCTGGTTTGTGCTCCCGTGTCCGGAGTATATACACATATAAAGACCTGAGTTGTGGGCAAGCCGAGGGACGGACTTTGTCGGCTAGTCTGGGCTCCAGTGAACACCGTGTGTCTGGCAACACTTACAGAAGGGCCCACAGTCGACTGTCATGAAGGAGTTATCAAGAGATGGGCTTCTGAATAACAGCCAGGCCCGAGTCCCGCGCGGACTTTGTCGGCATCCTCGCCACGATGTCCACTCTGTCTCCTGGTCCTACGACATAATTTACAGGAATTACGAGGAGTGTGATCCGTGCACACCAATAGAAGGTTTCCCCACGGATCATGATGATCTTTCCCCGCATGTTTACTGTAGTGAGGCCAATCGCTAGTTCAAACCCCAGGTGCGTCGGGGGCGTGGGGATGTGGGATGTGGGATGGCTGACCGTTAACTCATCTCGATGAAGTGCTACTGAATGTACTGGGTAGAGGGACGAGGCCTTTTACATCCTTATTTATCAGAGAGTGCAGGAGGTATACTAGAGAATCCAGCTTTAAACTTCCGATAAACTCTACGAGCCTCAGAAATCGCAGTCTCCAGACAGGAGAGTAAGGCCACTCACTAGAGATGCACCCCATAGCGATGTAAGGTTTACGTCTTACCACCGACTCCTACTTATTTAGTTCTCCAATCTCCAGATCAGATCTCGCATGCTAGCTAAAGTCGTCACTAGTAAGTCTATCACAACCGATCCTAGTCGGGGGTCAGCCGAAATGCGAGCTCTCTATAGATAGATGGCGGCGCGAGGCTGTGCCGTCGAGGTCCTTTAAAGTCACGTGAGCACACGGACCGGCGGGAGTCTCCTTAAATTATGCTTAATACCACTAAAGCCAGAACCGGAGTCGTTGGATAGAGTTCGTACCTTTCTGCATGGTTCCCAGCGCGCCGACTACTTGACAGATCCCTTAGCAGTCGAGAATGCCACAGGTGCAATCAAACTGAATCTATTTTGCGAAATTGCTGCCGTGACTGAGCGACGCCGGTCGGCTCAAGAACGAAGATGGAGAGAAGCAAACTCCAATCTGTTAGTCGGACGTATCTCGACGAGGTATAAAACCGGCCTCTTGGCCACCTCTCCTTGTTGTTGTCGCAAAGGGTTTTCTATCGTCGTTCTCTACACTCTTCAAGCTTTTTACGTTCTTTACGCTCATTTTGTCAATACTTGATACTGTTACCCTGTTGGCCGTCGTCACCATGCAATTCTACCAATCACTTTTGCTGTTCGGCATAGCGAGCGTCTTTCCCGTCCTCGGCCAGGAGACGCATGTTTATCCACCTGTACTCCAAATCGGACCGTCAGCCGCCGAGTTCACCTCCAGCGGCACCGCATTGGACGGACCGAAGCTCGACAAGATCAAGCCACAAGCTTCGACTGGTGGTACTTCGACGCCGTTTCGGACGACCGACAGTTACAGGCCACCATTATCATGGTCTCGGGAGATAGCTCGACCTTGGGATTCCCGATCAGTGTTGGGACGTCCAACTATGTTTTCCTATTCGTCCTCATACCGGACCAGACTATCTTTCAGGGGGTTCTCCTGAGCGGGGATGCCACCATAGTCACCTCGGGAGATGGTACCTCCGGTAGCTATGCTGACTCCGGAGTATCCTGGAGCGGAGCGGACGATCTCTCTTCCTACGTCGTGACTGTTGACGACCCACTGCTTGGGGTCGTTGGCAATATAACTTTAAATTCGGTAAGTGTCCGCTGCGCCGTTCTTTAGACTATCCGATGACCCCTCCGGGCCGAGCTCTAGGGGTGACCTTTTAGCCTTTTTAGCCTACCTCTCTCTAACTTAGCTACTCACTCACTCACGCGTTTCAAAATCAGGTTGCTCCCGCACACTATGCGTGTGGTACTAACAGCGCGGAACAAAACGAAGAGCTTTTTACCGAACGTGGGATGAGCTAATGCTATTCTCGATGCGCAGCCACTGTCGAGCTGAACATCCTCGGCCAGTTAGTGTCCTTTACCAGACCAGGATATCGTGACAAAGTGAGACGCCCTAGATTTATGATTTTCCGCCGCGCAGTCCCTCCTAATCTTATGGTACAACTGGGGCATCGCACGTATCCCTGCATCGATGAAAACATAGTACTGAGGCCACGGTCGAGTCGGCCCTTACTCTCGGGTCTGGTTCGATGCCATCGCCACCAACGATCAAGACTACGTTAGCGGCTACCTAGCCAAGGATGGCTAAATAGTTTCCTCAGGGTGCAGTAGCATCATTGTCTGGCCCACTGGAGCAAACTCTGAATACCCTCGGGCTCCACGGCAAGGAGAGCCAAGTGGCTTTCACATCGAGTTCACCACTAACGAAGGTACCTTTGTAGCCGATGTAGTGAATAAGGCCGTGTCGTGGCAGCCGCCGATCATCTCCGGCGGCTATACACGCTGGGTGGGCAATATCACCGGCGGTTTCGAAGGTCAAGAGGAGTACGAGGGAGCGACTGTGCATGAGTGGTTCCACTTCTGGCTCAATGTCTAAGGACATCCGGATTTTGACCCTCGAGGTCTACAGCCCCGCCAATCATGAGGAAAGAAACACACGTGGGGACGGGAATGTGGAGATCGAGATGTCGCAGGAAGAATGGTTAATCCATGGGGTGTTCGTTCTTTCCCGTCGCAGCGACGGTTTCTTGTTGTGTTCTCCTAATACCCATCTGCATTGTATTAGGTGGTTTATTTAAGCAATTAGTTCAAAGCACCTAAGATAATAGCAGAATGTCTTGTACCTTATACACACAAAAAGTACCGGGGAACGCTTCGGGGAACTCTTCCAGGCAAGACTGAGATGTCCCTTGATCATCGACACAATATGGCACCGGGCCTCCTCTTTAAAAACCCGGAGCTAGTCAGATCAAATTTGAAAGTCGTCCATGACTCGTGCCTCGAGCAGAAGAGCAACTCACATGGGGTATAAGATCATCCCAATTTATGTTTTCGGTTCTATTCAAACTGTCAAACATCCCATACTAGATTTCGAATGCTCTTGTGATAGGTGTTGACCGGTTGTCTGTAGAATCTTCTACACCCTGCAACGCCCAAGGAACTTGGGCTCTGCCTTTCACGTTAACTGCAACAACGGCGTCCTGAGCGCAAGGTATAAAGGGTATCCTATGCCCCTAGGATAGAACAACAGAGCATCTTTCCAACGCATCAATGCCCCTCGCAAACGGGGAATCGAAGGTGTCCTCCTCAGCATTTTTAGTTGATTCGTACACTGACTTTCTATGGCCCCGATGAATAGTGAGCTTACCCGATGGTCCTGTCAGTCCAGGATTCTTGTACAATGTTCTGCACCGAAAACTGTTGGGCAAAAGCCCGTAGAGTGACGGCGAGATCTTCGGCTTCACTCGATCGAGGGGCACTCAGTGAGTCCAGGATGATGATGGCTGGATCTTTTGATGGCCTTGATAATAAAGCATTCATTTTGACCTCACTGGGCTACTTAGGGGGTATACCTATGTGTGCCCGGATTTCGTAATATCATTGTCACTTAATACATCGACTCGCTCCATGCCAGGTTTCTTCGATCTTGATCATGGCTCTCCGGAAAGCCTCGTACGACATTCACGACGCCTCCGATTTCCGCGGCGTGAAGCAGAGGTTCAACGGGGCCAACTGCATGGTGAAACAATCCTTCGTGTTGGTCAAGAGGTTTGTGCCATCCTCTCCAGGGGCAGATGCCACGTCAAATTCTGTAACTAGGCGAGCACACACCGACTGAAGCTCCATCAGAGCCAGCTGTTTGCCAATGCACGAATACGGGCCTGGTATCGGGTTGATCAGAGAGAAGAATTCATGAGGTACACACTCGACGAGGAAGGTTCCTTAAGGAGCTAGGAGAAGGAGAGAGGAATTTGGAGGGGAGGGGAGCCATCAAGCTTGATTCATACCGCTTGAAAATGGGGCGAATGCCTCAGAATGGTCCGAATACTTGGAATCTTGACCCCTATAGAAGCATGCATCATTAGTCACTATGCCCACTGGGCTCAACACCACACTACTTGTCGAACTCGTCAACTCACCATCTATCCGGCAGGAATTCGGTCGGTCGCTCAAAGCAGCTTTCGGCTATTTGCGCGTAAGTGTCTGTCAGTCGGTCAAGAGACCGAGCCAGGTCGGGGTTCCCGCCCGTCCACTCACCTCTGAACATGGTGTAGAAGGGGATGATGATGTTGACACCTCCAGGGATGTAGGTGTTTCCAAGCTGTATACCCTCCGGCGGGGTCATACGCTGAGTCCCTGACGGTACGGGAGGGTGCAATCTCAAGGTCTCGTTGATCAGAGCATTGAGAAAGGGCAATTTCTGGAGAGATGTGAAGTTGAATTCTCCTTTGAGCGGGGCGAGCTCCTGTCTGAGCGTTTCGATGTGAGCCGGCTCCTTGACGAGATGGTAGAAAAGATGTGTCAAGGTAGCGGCCGTGGTGTCGCTGCCTGCCACAATGATCAGGCGGGAATCGCCCAGCAACCATGCTTTGTCTGTATAACCACTGCCGGCCATGGAAGGAGAGTTGAGGATCCAGGTCGAGATGTCTTGAGATTTGGTCCCCATCGCTATCCGGTCGTCAATCATTTTCTCACAGAATGCTAGGAACCGGCGAAAGTTCCTGTTGAGTATGGGCACGTGGGTAAAGAGGATGACTGCCCAGATGGCTTGGCCAACGGTCCCCATATAGTAGATACCGTCGTTCAGCAGGTCAATCGCCCAATGGCCGCCGCCTGTCTCAAGCATGTCGAAAGACTTGCCGTATGCAAGATCGCCCATGACGTCAAAGCTATAGTAGTTGAACCACTGCGCGACATTCAACGGCTGACCCGTGCGAGCGGCGATTTGTTGGGTTAGACATTGAGTGAATAGCTTCACTCGAGATTCGTAGTCTCGCAACGCTGTGCAGGTGCGGTCAGTTATTTCATGGTCTTTGGATTCCTGGAGCGCAAGAAATGAGCCGACCTTGAGCAGTGAATCCTTTGGCCCAGCTTCGACGGCGAAGATCATGGAAATACCGTGACCGAGTGCTATGCATCGAGGTCAATCCCGGTGTGCTATCGTACCAGGTCCCCTTGGAACATTTGGAAGCGGACCCGTGGACCACCTTCATGGCATCAGGATGGACAATGGACAACTCATTGGGACCTGCGAGAAGTCGGCGTCAGCCGGCTGACCATAGTGATTTCCGGATGGGAAGAATCCATACCGATGCGAACGAATGGCCCATACTCTCGGTGGAGCTTGTCTATCTCCTCAAAATTGCGAACAGAACGCGACGCGATCCACAAATGCCATAGCTTCGAATATTTGGCGAGCAGCGGTCCTGGGAATGATCCTAAGGGGTGAAAGAAGCCGCGATAGACAGCCATGCTCGTAAAAAGCCCCAGGAGGAGGGTACCAGTCAGCGCAGCAACCAGGCCGAGCGCAGCGACTGGCTGCACGCCATGGCGCACAAGAGCCAGCGTGGCAACTACCGGCAAGGCCAGGAGGGCTTGGAAGTAGCGATAGGCCAGCATATGGTGCTCGCCATGGATGAAATACCCCAGATGCAAAAGCACACCCAGCACAAAGGAGGCAGCAAGCAGGCCTGGGCCTTCGATCAGGTCGCTGACAGGGAAAGAGAGCCTTGACATGTTGATCTATGCCGCGATTCCAAGGTACATGCAGCAGAATCTTTCGCAATGGCACATGGCAGGTTCTATATTGCGACAGCGGGGTGTGGTGGCATTAGAGAGGGTCTTGTTGCCTTGTGCATCATACCACCACACTCATCTCCGAGGCAAGGCTAACGTGACAGTCAACTCTACAGGGCCGATCACCAGGAAAGCAGACTGAGAGGAGAGCAGGGTGTCAATTCTTGAAGACCTATGGAGTACGTCACGCAAAGCGCCAGGATTTTCCCCCAGATTCGCGCACGACAACTCCGTCCCGCTCGGGGTGGGGGTTCTCTGGGCCGAGTCTGGCTCCTGGTGCCCCAAGCCAATTGGATTTTGAGCTTCGGCCGAATCGGTAAATGTGCACACAGCCGACGACACAGCCTTGCGGACATGGTTGAGAGAGGATGCCCGGTGGTCAACAGAGACAGCCGCGGCATTTGCTAGGCATACAGGATCCCTTAGGGCTTATTCGTCCAAACTATACACAGACTACTTTATCTTTGCCCGAGCCGTCCAGCGTTGTCAGCTTAGCAGCGACGAGGAGGTTGACTTGTTCTCAGCTGCTTGTGAGACTTCCCCCGCCCTTTGAATCAGACGATAGTGTCTAGTGCACCAGTCGGCAGGAAAGAAGGGAACGTTGACTCCCATGACTTACCGATCTCGTTGGTCGGTTGACATCCCCGAATGCTCGTTTCCGACCTTTGTGTTCGGCGACGCAAAGGCCGACCTGGGCTCAGAGCCATGCTTCTTGGATGCGTCCCATCCAGGTGAGCGTTTGTTAACAAGAAGTTCGTTCAAGCTATGGTCGCAGAGGCTGGCGATCGGGCTGCGGAGGCACGCACATTTTCAGGATGGAGATCGAGTGGTGGTCTTTTCCGGCAACTCGTTGGCGGTGCCAGTGGCCTTCTTCGGTATTGTCATGGCGGGAGGTGTCTTCTCGGGCGCAAACCCCAGCCACACGGCGAGGGAGCTTGCGCATCAACTCCGCGATTCTGGGGCTAGTGTTGTGCTCTGCGCAGACGTTCTTGTCCAGACGGCTCTCGAGGCGGCCAAGCTGTGCGATCTAGACCCCAGTCGAATTTTCCTGCTCAACGACACTCTTTTCTGGGAGGCTGATCCGAATGAGAGGGAACCTGTCACACAAGGGTGCAGAAGCTGGGACGCCCTGATGGCACCGGAAGTGAAAGCGAGGAATTATGCCTGGCCGACGTTAGATGGACCTGGAGACTGCGACAAGACCATCGCGCTCAACTATTCCTCCGGTACCACGGGGATGGCGAAGGGCGTGGAGATCACCCACCGCAATTATGTGGCCAACACGTTGCAACTCAACTTCCTCAGCACGCTCTGGCCCGACCACCGCGAGCGAACCCAAAAGGCCAGGTGGCTCTGCTACTTGCCATTGTATCATGCCCTGGCTCAGACCCTCTATATCGCTTGTGGCTTGCAGCGAAAGATCCCAGTCTATCTCATGGCCAAGTTCTACCTATTGGAGGTCTTGAACAACGTCCAACGATTTCGAATCACGGACCTCGCCCTCGTTCCGCCGATTGCCGTGGCCCTGGTGAAGCACCCTGCGACCAGGACCTTTGATCTGAGCTCCATTTCGGCCGTGACCTGTGGCGCCGCGCCCTTGAGCCGAGATATTTGTCAACGGCTGGAGAAGGTCTGGGACGGCAAAGTCAACGTAAAGCAGGGCTGGGGCATGACCGAGTAAGTGGCAGTGAATTCCTGTCCTTCTCTCCTCTTCTCCCTAGCTCGGTTCTACCCCTTTTGCTCCTTAGGGGCACAGTGCACAACGTATGCTGACTCTGGTTTCAAGAGTGACGAGCTCGCTGTTGGGATGGGACCCAACGCAATACTCCAACTCCAGCGGGGTGGGTGAGCTCAATCCCAATTGCGAAGCCCGGATCATGCAGGTGGTGGAGAAGTCGGATGGCACCGAGGAATTCATCCCTGTCACGCAGCGTGGGCCGGATCACACCGGGGAGCTGTGGGTTCGCGGTCCCAATGTCATGAAAGGATACTGGCGGAATCCATCGGCGACGGCGAACACTTTCGTGGAAGACCGCGAAGGCCGGTGGCTGAGGACCGGGGACGTGGCCTACGTCGACCACACGGGGTGTTTCTTTATCGTCGACAGGATCAAAGGTAAGGGTGATCCACCCAATGCATCATCGTGCTCATCGGTCTGACTGATCACCTCCCAGAGCTCATCAAAGTCAAGGGCAATCAAGTGGCCCCCGCCGAGCTCGAGGCTCTCATTCTTGAGCACCCGGACGTGGTAGATGTGGCGGTGATAGGCAAGTTGACCGAAGAGGGTGATGAGAAGCCATGCGCCTTTGTGCAGAAGCGACCGGGCGCGACGATCACCAGCAAAGACATTGAAGAATTGGTGAGACACAGGACGGCCAGATTCAAGTGGCTGGCTGGCGGGGTTCACTGGATTGACGCAGTTCCGAAGAACCCATCAGGCAAGATCCTGCGGCGGCACTTAAGGGACCTGGCTAGACAAAAGCCAAGTGCGGAAAGACTATAGAAACTGGCATATCGAGCATGCCTCCCGGATCCTGTTATGTTACTTGGTCACCGTAGGTGCACGAAGGATCTGCTTTGTACCTTAGCTCCTTGGTCATACTTGGTCATACCTACATAGGTGTTGTGCCTGGGCCCCAGAAGTGAAGGAGACTTGGGCCGTTAGGCTGTCTGGGGCTAAGCCTAGTGAGCCTAGTGAGCCCCTGCCCCTCGGCTTCCCCATTAAAGCCGCTATGTCGCCCTCCAGCCCTTGGATGCGGGGGGCCCGCTGCGGGGTGAGGAGCCCAATCCTGTATATATTGCTTGGCCTGCCATGCTGGAGAGACCAAACCTAAGACACCTTCATTCTCCTATCTTGTTTCTTTGCTCACTCAGCGGCCAGATTCTGCCTCTCAACTGCATGTCCTTCGCCCTCACGGGTGTCGCAGGCCAACCGGCTCTCGATGAATCTATTATTGCCTAATGGGATCCACATTCTATCTTCAGAAAAAGACCGTGTCAGAAGCACAGCTTGGGAGCCTCGCCAGCCAGCGGCCTAGCCCCAGACAGAGAGCTATCAAGACATGCTTTTCCTGCCGACGCCGCAAGGTGCGCTGCGATCTTTCACACGGCGTTCGGCCATGCACCAAATGCGCGTTGGACGGCTTCACGTGCGACATAGAAAAAAGCAGCCATGGCAGGTGAGTGCACAGCAGCGGCTCACCAGGCTAGCACGCACCTCCTAATCTCGTCCGGACAGAGATGATGGCCGACGCCACCTGGACGGTCGAAACCCTGCCACTGCCAACGCTGCGCAGCAGCGCGTGGAAGTCTCAGTCGCGAGTCCGGCACCGCAGAGTCCTGCTCGCGAGCGACCACAGCCGCGGACGTTCGAGCCTGTAAACATTAGTTTCGATCAGCTGTTTGAGTCTCTTTCGCAGACTTCGGGTATAGGGGATCTATTTACTCTCGAGAGTCCGGCTCCGGCCGAACCGAAAGTCCAGATCCAGCCCTCATGTGAGTTTATAGCAAAGACCCCAGCTCGCCAACATGCCGACATCCCCCTCTCCCCGCCTCTTCCTGTGTTCAGGTCTCAAGGCGCTGTTATCTGACTTCCCGGGTAGACCTAGATGAAAATTGCTTTTTGCAGCAGCAGCTGGGCTTCGGATTACAACCCGTCTGTCCCTCTGTTTCCTACCCACCGGGGAAAGATGCTGCCGATGCCACCTCCTACCCCTTTCTCAAGCGTACCAGGCTCGACCGGCTCGACCAGGACGATGTCAAGTTTCTGGAACAACGGAGATGCTTTACACTGCCCCCCAAGGCCGTGTTGGACGTGTTTATGAGGCAGCATTTTCTTTATGTGCATCCACTTCTTCCAATCTTCGACGAGTGCGCATTCTGGCGCCTCTACCAGCAGCCAGAGTGTGTTGAAGGCTCCGAACACCAGCTATCGCTCTTCACCTTTCAGGCCATGTTGGCCGCTGCCTCGACGGTAAGCGAGCGCCATTTTCCTTGCTCATCCGTTGCCTGTATCCTTGGCTCTCTGGGATGGTCGCTACCAGACTTCAGGCTATGTGCTGCATCAAGGCTAATGTCCGTTGACGGCCCCAGAAAGTCCCCATGGGGACCTTGGTGAATAGCGGCTTTGCCTCTCATGAGCAGGCATGTCGGATCCTGTTCCGACGTGCCAAGGTCAGCATTCTCCCGTCTTTAGGGATTGCGCGACGACCGAACTAACTTGCTTTTCCAGCATCTCTACGATTTCCGAACCGAGGAAGACCCTTTGGCCATCGCGCAGGGGGCCTTGGTGCTTTCCTTGATAGCTCCAGCGGATAGTATGCACCAGGATAACACTCTTTGGCTCAATATCGCCATTCAGTACACCAAAGCGCTGCGAGGGTCTCGGTCGCCGGGTCAAGCATATCCAAGTCCGGCGTGGGCCAAGAGGGCCCAAAGACTGTGGCGGTGCTGCCTTATCCGCGACCGGATCCTTTCCCTGGGCATGCGCCGACCACTTCAGATCATACCAGAGAGTTACGACGCCAGCATGGCCTTGGATTGGATTCCTGAGGGTGTGGGAGAGGACAAGGGCGAATACGTGGGCTCCCTCATCCACGATGTTGATACACAACGCTATTTGGCCAAGCTCCACGTCGTCTGTGTCCGATTTGCCATCATGTTGACCGACCTCCTGATGATGGTGTATCCTCATGACAACGTCGAAGTCACGCCCATCGCCTCGTTGAGCGACCATTCCGACTTTGTCTTGCGCGTGGAGAGGTGTCGGTCCGATCTGTACAAGTGGTCCACCACTTTCCTGACCGAGTTTCCCGACTCGCCGCTCCCCGCCCATACGAGCAACGTGGCCGTCTTCTTCCGGAACTTTCTCCTTATGTGCCAAAGGTACGATACCCTACTCGGTCATTGGATGTGTCGCGATGCTGAAAGGGTAAAACAGCAGCGCCAGGATTGCACTCCATCAGCACGAAATTACCACGGCGTACTTCTACCCGGGCTACATCAATGCGTACGACTCTCGGCGACTGAGCGCGGCGAGAAGCAACATCTACGACAGCATCCAGACCATCTGTGACCTGACGAGAAGGCTACAAGCGCAGGACCTGCTCTCAAAACTTCCTCCGACCGCGTAAGTGTAAAGATGCTGTAAACAAGAAGTGCGCGGCAGACTGATCCTAATACGCAGGCCGGCTTGCATTGCCTACCCCTTTTTAATTTTGAAGCTAAGCATGAAGCTGCAGTCGACCGCACACACGCCTCCTCTGATCATCACCATGTGGAAGACTCTCCAAGAATCCATGGACGTTTACAAGTCTCACTGCACCATCATCGAAGACGTCTTTTCTTCGTCTTGGAAGCTGCTACACATGCCCGATCAGGGACAAGGGCCTGATACCACGACGATCAATCTAGGCCCCACTGGCTCGCAGCAGCGCCTTGCGGTGAAGCTGCAGTGGTGCGACGACTTCAGGAGAAATGCTGAAGTGTGCCTGCGCGCTTCCATGGCTTTGGACTTGAACATTGCGAAAGGGGCTAACAATGGGACGGCCGATCGACTGCCCATCACCCTGTAGCTTGTTCACCCGCATCTGTCAATTTTTTATTATTTTTTTTTTTTTTTTTTTTTCATTGGAGGCTCTGCCGGTAAAGAAGCCGTGCAAATATCTGGTAGCCAAGGGGGTCTAGGAAGGGCTGTATAACAACATATTGAAAAGGGCGGCCACCTCACCCAGAGGTGTATGTATGTCTCGTTAAGGAAGGGAAAACGTCGACCCCACAGGAGACGCCCATCTTGACCAATAGATTCATCAATTATATGGTAGCTGAGAACACACTGCACGCTGGCCACGGCTTTCAACCACATTCATACATTCTACGAGGACCAGTCGTCGAAGTCACCGACGAACACGCGATCTTTTTGTTTTTGAGTTGGCTACCTGTGCAATTAATTAGTTTCCTGGTAGCCTGAAGGGAGAACCACCCTGGGCGATTCAAGCCTGAGCTCCGTCTGAGTTGGGGCTGGCAGGATTTCCGTGTGCCGCCCACCATCCTCGGTGCCGCCTTTTCCTGCCGCTGTCGAGGTCCCGGTCCCGGCATGGTAGCAAAGATGAATGTTTCAAACCGAGGCTTCATGCTTTGGGACCGGCCATGACATGATGATTGGTTCGACCCCGGGAAGTGGATCTGATCTGCCCTCCCTTTCTAATTGCCCCAATCGTCTTTCCGGAGCCTGCGTTCCATCCGTCAAACCGCCCGCTACAACGTCCGAGAGGGCGGTCCAGGGGAGGTGCTGGTTTTCATAGGGTACCGTGATTACACTGAGAGGATAGAAGTGAAGTGCTTCTTATTCAGCTGAGCGGTCAACTCGTTAATTCTCTTGCGTCAAAGTGTATATATACGGAGTATGTACCCGCGGCCCATCAGCATCAGGTCGTCAAACTGACATTGGCAAATTTCCCCCACCGCCGCATTGGGAAGAGAAAAATTGTCTTCTGCGCCATGGCCGACTTCAAATTCGCCCTTCGCTTGGTCGAAGATGGTGTGGGCATCCTTCAGCTGAATGACCCCAAGAAGAGGAACGCGCTGGGCTGGGAACTGCACCGCGAGATCATCCGGGCGCTCGAACTCTGGGCCTACGACGACGCGGTCGCCGCAGTCCTTTTGGTGGGCAACGAGGACTATTTTTGCGCGGGATGGGCGCTCGACGTGCTGCAGGGTACCGACGCGGGTGGCAACGAACGCACCAAGTTCGTCGACCTCGCCTACCAGCTGATGATCGCACTCTACGACTACCGCAAGCCGACGATCGCGGCGGTGGCCGGCACCGCCCTGGGGTATGGCATGGACCTGGCCAACATGTGCGACGTCACGGTGGCCAGCCGCAACGCTCTTTTTGGTAGCACGCAGGTCAAATACGCCATGAACGGCTTCTACCACGGCATGGTGCGCAAGGTCGGGGCCCAGCGCGCGCGCAAGATGTTGTTCACCGGTGACCCCATCACCGCCGAAGAGGCCTACCGCGTGGGAATGGTGGATGAGCTGGCCCCGGTCGGCCAGGTTCGGGAGCGCGCACTCCAGCTCGCCAAAAACATTGCCGAATCCGGCGCCGAGTTGACCACGGTGCTCAAGGAGGTCGCCCTCCGGGGGAACAACATGGACCATGTCGGTGCCACGGCGTACGAGTTGAGAGTCACCGCCGACTTGGTGCAACGAGGACTCTTTACGAGGATGATTGAGACCGGCGTGCAGCGGATGAAGGCGAAGAAGAGCAGAGCAACTGAACGACTCTAGGTTTGACTCGGTCACTCTCTCTCTCTCTCTCTCAAAAAAAAGCCCAATCCGTTTTCTTTGGGTCATCGTAGAAAAATCGAGGGGGTTGAGAAGCCCTTTTACATGCGTAAAAGATTCTACGAATTGCGCGCCTCGTCTGTAACAGCACTTCAAACCCGGGACCCAAACTCCGGCTACTGTCACTGACCCCCTTAAGTGTGATTCGTGCTGTTTGTGTATACTTGGGCGACAAGTCAGTGCGCGGTGGGGAGAGAGAGGCACGACAACACCGACAACAACGAAAACGACAACTGCAAATTGACAATGGTATGGTGTAAGCCTCGGGTTCTCTTGTAAGGGCGTCTTTTGAACGCAGCACATCAGTCTATCCTCGGGACCGCCGTTTGTGTTGGATTGTTCCGGTGCGGTGAACGGACCGTGGTTGGTCAACATCGGCTGGATTGTCCTCGCCTCCACCGTGACCAAGGGCCAGTGGTTTTGCACGGATCGGGTCAGTAGGATGAACTGCAACATGGCCGAGTAGCGGGGGTGGACGAAGCCATGCCGCGAAGGCCTGGCTACTAGGCAACGAGGCGATTTGGGGGAGTGTATGTGCAATAATATATGATGCGCTGGGGGCTGCTGGACGTGACGCTTTGTTGACTGGCTTTCCCTTGCACCTAAAGCTCCTTCTCGGTTTCCCATCACGACTACTTCTGCATTGCGCACCGAAATGGAGACTCACACATCCGCGGTCATCTGTTATCCTCCCACCGCCGGGCCTAACTGGAAGGTGGAGAAGGTGACGCTGTCACGACAAGTGCAGGAGCATGAACTTAAGATTCGCATGGTGGCCACTGGCATCTGCCACACCGACATCTTTGTATCGAGCATTCCGCAGGGTGTGTTCGGGGTCCAATACCCCAAGGTCGTGGGTCATGAGGGCGCGGGCATCGTCGAGGAAGTCGGGCCGGGCGTGATGGTGGCCAGGGTGGGTGATCCCGTGCTGCTCTCCTACAACTACTGCGGGCGTTGCGATCTATGCCGCCATGGCCAGGAGCCCTACTGTCTGGAATTTGTCCCGCTCAACCTGATCGGCCGGGACGACGTGCTCAAGACGGCTGACGGACAGACGGTGTTCGCACAGTTCTTCGGCCAGTCCAGCTTCGCCATGCGTAACATCGTCTCCGAGGCCAGCGTCGTCAACGTGCTGGAGTTTGTCCAGCCGGGCGACGACGCTCTCAAGCTGCTCGCCCCGCTAGGTTGCGGTCTAATGACCGGCGCCGGCGCCGTCCTGAATGCCGCCCGTGCCCAACCCCACGACATCATCCTCGTCACCGGTATCGGAGCCGTAGGACTGGCCGCGATCATGACGGCCAAGATCATTGGGTGCAAAGAGATCATTGCCGTCGATCGGGTACCATCTCGACTCGAGATTGCAAAGGATCTCGGGGCCACCAAGGTCCTGGACACGGGGGCGCTCGACACCGCGGCCACGGCGACATTGGCCCAGGAGCTTATGAAGCTTATCGACAATCAGCGCATCTCATTCGCCATCGAGACCACGGGCGCCGTGCCGGTGATCGAGGGCGCCATCGGGGCCCTGGGCAAGCGTGGCCGTCTACTACAGATTGGCGTGCCAGCCCCGGGGGCGAACATCACATTGCCCATCAGTGAAATGGTCACGTTCAACAAGGTTTTGGAATGCCACTTCCTGGGCGACAGCACCGCCAACGTGTTGCTTCCCCGACTGTTGACCTGGTGGCGGGAGGGTCGGTTCCCGCTTGAGAAAATTGTCAAGCAGTTCCCGCCGGAGAATGCCGTCCAGGCCTTGCAGGAAATGAAGAGTGGAAGTACGATCAAGCCGATCCTGGTGTGGTAGTCCTCGCATAAGACACATTGTGGCTTTTTACACTCGTATTGTAACAAGGCAAGGTGGCTGTGCTGTGATGGGCCGTGCTGGGCTGGTAGAGCGGTGGCAGGGAGGAAAAGTTGTCTAGTCACATGTCAAACCTAAATGAGCTGGCAGAAGGGGGTGCAGAACAGTTTACAGTGCTGGCAGTGAGCCATTCATTAGAGATTGAGCAGAGCATCATGAATTCCATGGTTTTTGGCGCCGTCTACCTAATTCCTGAGTGTTTTTTATCAGTCCTGTCCTGTCCGTCGATACTCCCGCTGTGCTAGGTGTTTGTAGCCCTAGCCGCTGCCCCTCTGGGTGGTGTTGGTGGTGTTGTCTTGTCAGTATCAACCAGAAACGCGTTCTCGATTCCCGATCTGCTGGACAGGCCTCTGTGCGTTGTTGCACGTGCACGCCAAACCCTAAAGTGCTCTGTTACAGTATGTTCGAATCTTTCCCACCGTCCATTTTTTTTTTCTCTTGCTAGGAGTCTGTCCATAATGAAATGAGGCGGTGTATCCCATTGTGGGAAACAAAATCATTCTCTCAGCCCATGCACCATCTAGAAGAATCCGATGACGCATTGGAAGTACAGGCTGTACGGGTTGCGCTGCTGGGCCAAAACCTGCGTTCACAGGCTCATAGCTTTCCCAGCCGCTCTACCGCTTTGCTACGCTTCTCTTTGATCCTCCGCACGCCATCAGCGGCCAACTTTTTGAACGAGTCCCGGGCCAACAGGTCGTTTGTGAAGCGTGTCTCGTAGTAGGTGGCCCCGATGTGGTCCATGTTTGGCACTCTCAAACACATTTCCTTCAAGTTCACTGCCAGTTCCGAGCCTCGCTCGGCGATCTGCCTGGCAAGGGCCATCGAGGTGCTGAAAAGCTGTCCGACTTCGGTCAACTCGTCCACGAGGCCGACTCGGAATGCCTGTATGTGGAGGGATTTTATCAGGGCGGATTCTCATATACATTCCCATCAAAAGTCTGTCAAGTAAGGAAAAGCGTTGTGGTGCGGCTCACCTCCTCGGGCCCCATGGGGTCGCCAGTGAAGATCAACCTCTTGGCCCGCTGGATGTTCATCTTCCGGAACATTGGGTGGGTCATCGGGTTCAGACCGTACTTGACCTGGCTGTTGCCAAAGGCGGCATTTTTGGAGGCAATGGTGATGTCGCAGAAGTTGGCCACGTCCAAGGCGTACCCTGGACACATGCCAGCCACGGCGCACACAGTCGGCTTGGGATAGTCGTACACGGTGATCATCAACTTGAGAGCAATATCGGAGAAGGCCTGTCGCTCGTCGCCACCGGTCGTCTCGAGAATGTCGATCGCCCAGCCCGAGCTGAAGTATTTCTCATTTCCATAGAGCAAGACGCAAGCCACTCGTTTGTCCTCCTTGTACTCGTCCAGCACCTTCAACATGTCGTGGTGGACCTGCCAGCCCAGCGTGTTGCGCTTTTCCGGGTAATTGATCTGAACCACACCCACGCCATCTTCAATCCAGGTGTTGACTGTCTGTAGCTTGGTGACTTGCGCCATGACCGTGATGATGGTCGCTCCTCCACTATCTCCTTGTGGGCCAGTGTCTCATGAGCGAATATTCTGAAGGTGAGCGTAAGATACATTATGTACTTTTGCATGCGGAGGTTCGTCTTGAGATCCTTACCTGACCGACCAACTACATTGCGGCCACCGGCACTACCCAATGGGGTAGGAAGGTTGGCAAGGTCTGATTGATTGGTTGGTCGGCCAGTTGGTCGGCAACCGCGGTGCCTAGGCCACTATTCGGGAGAGGAGCAAGTATCACATGATTTGGTTGCGTGTCGCCGGTGACCCTTTGAAGCTTGAAGTGATGATGAACTATTCCTTCTAGAGAACCTTCAGGCTCTAGCGCCTAGACCTGTATCTGGACTGATGAGAAATGCCCTGGGTACCACAAGGTATCATCCACGGTCCCAGCCTCTTAGAAAGCTTATAACCTTTTGAGGGCTAGACAAGAAGCTGATAAAAAGGATGCTAAGGGACTTAGTGGGAAGCGAGATGAAGCTAATAAGCTCCGTGACGCAGAGAAATACTGCATGTCTCCAAAACGAAAAAAAAAAAGATTACGATCGGACGCTGCAAGGCTACCTATAGGAAGTAAATTTCGTACCGGCCGTGAGAGGAGCCATGCGTTGTTTCTTAACACTTTTGCCGAGCCAATTTTGGGGGACCGAGCGCAAAAGGAAATACCGGGTAGTGTCTAGCTCCTCTGACTGGTGTGCTTCACGCGGATCTTGGACAGTACGATATGGTCTATCTAGCAAACAATCCATGTACCCTTAGGCATAATAGAAACTTGTATCCCCTGCTCCGCTATGCCTTTTTGGCTTGTGCTGCCTTTCACAACTTTGGTTCTCGCTGACGACTGCGGCTGCCGCCCACGCCGGTGACTTCGGCGCCGGAAAGAAGAAAGTCTGGATACTCGAAATTGCCGTATCCAGGCGAGCCGGCAGGCACCGGTGTGCCAGGCACCGCCGTCGACCACGAGGGTGTCTCCATTCACGTAGTTTCCCGAGAGCGCATCGACCCCGGCTTTGGCCACGGCCACATGCGTCTGCAAGGATGCCCCAGTGTAGTGGATGGTGGCAGACACGTAGATGATCCAGCCTCCAGGTCCCCCCGAAGGTCTGGGCAGGGACAATGAGGAGTTGTACTTCTTGCAGGACGCTACGAGGTGTGGCAAAATTAGCTTAGTGACATTGTAGCATTCGAGGATATTAATGTCCATGACCGATTTGAAAGCGTTGGGCGAGAGTTGTGAGATGGGTGCGAGAAAGTTGCCCGCCGCCCCGGCGCTGGGAGCCACCAACGCAGCATTAGCATCGACAAAAAAAAACAGCAAATATTTTTCGTTTGTTTCACCAGTCCGTAGATTGAATACCCGCTTGAGAGGTTGAGAAATGAACTTACATGAGAAAGTCGATTCCCCTAAGCTCTTCCACGCACCGTGCGACGGCGGCTTCCAAGTTCTCGACGTTACGGACATCCACTGCTCCAATGCCCAGCACCTTACTCCCCAGCCGAGCAGATACTCCCTTTCCCTCCGTACAGAAGATGATTTTGCCGACAAACAGATTGTCCTTTCACACCTCCGAGAGGTATTGTTGACAGGGTCTCGAGATAGCCACTGTGTGGTAAACCACCTGAGACGCTAGGCGTTTCATCAACTGCGCCACTTACCTTAACACCGTTGTTCTCGCTGATCTATGATAGTGAACTAGGGCGAGGCTACTAGCCATGGGCATCAACTCGTACGGCGGTGGGATAGCCTCTTCACAGCACGCACGCTCAACCAAAGGAAGTTCTCCCGTTCGTAACTTGATTGATTATTCTATGAATGATAGTCCCCGAGGACTATATTGTAACAGAGCACTTCAGGGTTTGGCGTGCACGTGCAACAACGCACAGAGGCCTGTCCAGCAGATCGGGAATCGAGAACGCGTTTCTGGTTGATACTGATAAGACAACACCACCAATATCACCTAGAGGAGCAGCGGCTAGGGCTATAAACATCTAGCACAGCGGAAGTATCGACGGATAGGACAGAACTGATAAAAAACACTTAGGAATTAGGTAGACGGCGCCAAAAACTATGGAATTCATGATGCTCTGCTCAATCTCTAATGAATAGCTCACTACCAGCACTGTAAACTGTTCTGCACCCCCTTCTGCTAGCCCATTTAGGTTTAACATGTGACTAGATAACTTTTCCTCCCTGCCACCGCTCTACCAGCCCAGCACGGCCCATCACAGCGCAGCCACCTTACCTTGTTACAATATAAGAAGAACCTTAGTCTAGCGTCGACGCCTCAGCTAATTATAAAGCTATTCTCTACTTTAAACTTCTCTCATTATAATAGGATAGCGAGAGAATAGAAGATTTTAGAAATGTTCTTTAAGTTCTAGGCTAAAGTGTATATAAATAGATAGAGTCTCTCTGAATAGCCAGGGAAATAGAATATAAGGAAGAAGATAGATCTACTTTTATTCTATGTATAATAGGTATTAATGCTTTTCGAGAGGCATTCTAAGGACGTCAAAGTGAGAATTAATGCCGCTTAAAGATAAGATGAAAAGAAGTAGAGAGTATCTTAGCTGACGGGGCTCTCTATGTTGCGTACGTCGAAGAATGTCGTAGTCCATAAGTAAGGAATTAAAGCGGCATTATAACGTATAGTTCCTGGACTAATTGTTTTATGCCTGCGCCTCTATTGCCGGCTCGGTAAGAAGTTTTAGGGGAAGACCGAGGCTGGCGGATGAACTGGACCGGGTGAAGTTACTAAGCTTTGACGGAGTCTAGAATCAGTTCATCTTACTTCTTAGCTTATCACTTAGTACAGACTACATAAATTCCAAGGGTCGTATTCGTAGGTCGTGTCCGCACTGCCTCGATGGACTTGACGTCTAAGACTGGTTTTGTCATAATAAACCTCACGACCAAAAGGCTGGTCCATCGATGATCGTGACAGGATGCGGCAGCAGATGCAGTATGACTATGATTGAGGTGACTATACAGTGTTGCGGATCCTCGTAACGTCTCAGGTCGCCCTGATCTATGTGCTGCATCTGTCGCGCATGGAAAAAAACACGATGGATTGAGAACACTGGTATTGTAGCCACTTAGTGGAGATATTGCCTGTTTGATATCACGCAAGGTTGAGGGTCTTGACCCTGGCGGGGCCTAGGGAGGTTATAGAGCGCCTTTGGCAATCATTCCATGCTCAGAACACTTCGCTCCCCAGAATTGCCCAGCCTAGAAATTGGGCGTTCCTGAGAGTTTACAGCTTCGATGCCATGGCTTTCTTGGTTTGTGTCTCTAGGTCTCTGATGAGGCGCCGGAGAGTCTTTCCAGATGGGCTCCTGGGGATCATGTTGACAAACTGGATGCCACCGGCGAGCCATTTATGTCGGGCTTTCTGGGTCTGGACAAGCTGTGTCAGCTCATGGGCCAGAGACTCTGCACTGAGCTCCGCTCCGATCGTTGTCGATCTCTGTATATAGGCTTTGGGAATCTCGCCCACCCGTTCGTCCGGGATTCCAATGACTGCACAATCTGCCACCTCCGGGTGTGTAAGTAAACAAGCCTCTAACTCGGCCGGCACAACCTGTAAGCCCTATTTTCTCGCAGCGTCAGTCACAGGAATGCCTTTACCGCTCGAGAGGAGAGGAGAATAGAAGGCGGAGCGGGAGAGACCATTTCATACCTTGACTTTGATAACTTCCTTCACTCGATCCACGATGAAAATGTGTTCAGTCCCGCTGGGCGCCTGCCGAAACACGGCAATGTCACCGGTTCGCAGCCACCGACCATCTTCGCACTCCAAAAAGCTTTCTTTGGTGGCCGTTGGATTCCCCCAATACCCAAGGATAACGCCAGGCCCTTGGGCGTACACCTCTCCCGGCCGGTCATATTGTGTCACCTCGGCGCCATCCTCGGCCAAGAGCTTCACCTTGACCCCTGGCACGAGGTTCCCTGCACTTCCCGCCCACGGCTCGTGGGTGCTGGTGAGAGAGATGGCCGCGCCGGCTTCGGTCAGACCGTAGCCTTGCCGGAAGACCCAGTGCGGGTAGTGCTCGTTGAGCCGATTGAGCGTCTCCGTGTCGAGGGGCGCGCCTCCGCTGAGCACAGTTTGGATGCTGCTCAAATCGTGTCTTCTCAACGAATGAGGACTCTTCCCCAGGGCCACGATGATGGGGGGCACCACGGAGAAGATGTTGATGTGGTACTTCTCTACAGACTCGAGCATTCGCTCCATCTGGAACTTGGGCAGGATAATCACCGAGTCTCCCCGGTAGGTGCTGAGGTGCGAGATGATAACCAACCCGTACACGTGTGACGACGGAAGCAATCCCAGCGCCACCTGTCGGGCATCCGGTCCTCCACGGCCCCGGAGTTCAAACAGGTTTACTTGCATAATGTTGGCAATGATGTTGCGATGCGAAACCGCAGCCAGCTTCTGAAGCCCAAATGATTAGCGTCTGCCCCTGTCGGAGGCCCTCAGCGGCACCCCTTCCTCAGACATTGTAGATACATCTCGTACCGGAGGACCACTCGTGCCACTGGAGTGGCTTAGATATGCAACTTGCTTTGCCGACTGTCCGGGACTCCACCTCGCCGCTTCAAGCTCAGGAATGTCCTGACCTCGCCGCAACAGTCGACTCATCGTGGTGTATCCCAGACTTTCACCCGAGACCTCATCGCCAGGCATGTCCAAAATGTAGATGTTGTTCGAAGGAATTCCACACATCTCTGCAGCCAGCTTGGCTGTCTCCACCAGGTCCAATACCGTGAATAGAGCCTTGGCTTTGGCTTCTTTGAGCAACGGAGCCAATTCATAGACCGTGTAGGTGGCATTGACGGCGGCAATGATGCCATTCAGGCGATGTACTGCCCAATGGAGGGTCGGAATGTCTATCTGTGGTAAGGCAGTCAATTCTTCTGGCCGCCAAAAGATACTCACACACACACACACACACTCGCGCGCAGACAGACAGACAGACAGACAGAGAGAGAGAGAGAAAGGAGAGAGCGGGAATCCCGAGACTGACTGTGTTGAGCGCAAATATCCCGACCACCTTGTCCATTTCGCTTCCCTCGTTCACGGCCCAACGCAACTCCGAGGAAAGAGAACGAGCCAGGGTCTCGATACGCTCCTTCTGTTCAACTGGCGTGATGGTTTTACCCGAGACGCTGCAGACGTAAGGATCGAGCGATGTGCTGAATGGTGCCCGTCCATACTGCTCGTCGAACATAAAGGCTGGCAGCGACACATCTGGGATCTCCGGCAGAGGAGGTAGCCATGAGTCGGGCGTGAAAACCATCTGCGCGGTGTTTGAGTCGTCGAGCTCGTCCGCGCGTGCGTGAAAGAGTGAGCGGCGAGGCGAGGCGAGGCAGGTGCTGGTCTCTATAAGACCCCTGCTATGACAGTGGATTTAACGGCCTAATCTACAAATAACCCAGAAACTGAAGTGATGTGTAGGAGGTACTCCTCGGGACACCCAAAGCCGACGAGGTCAGCTCCTGTTCGGGCATGGACCCACAAAGGTAGAGGGATGCCAGAGGCCAGTAGAATCCAAAGCTCCGAGGTGTCTCGATCTAGCAATGCCGCTCGCGGTCAGATGATTTGACGGCTACTTCTCGTGTCAGTAAATAGTCATTCAATTGTCTCCAGTAACCCTTCAGGACATGTATTTATTCTGTCGAGCTAAGTGCATTTTCGGGCCTTACCCGTGGACAGGAGGGAGCCGAGGGATCATGTCCTTACAAGGGTTGATGGTCAATCGCTTGTCGGTCGTGAGCGTGACCGTTGGATCGCAGGAAGAGTCTGCTGCGCGCTGGACACCGCAGACAGGACCTTTGATTGAAATAAAGCAGTCCTCGTAAATGTGAAAGAAAAAAAAAGTTGCATAGCATTTTGATTAACTAACCTCACGCACTCTGCTTCGGTAACCACTTACAAGATGGCGAACAGGAATACTGTCGCTCCGGAAGACCCTCAGCTGGACTTGACCCCTTTCGCAGAGGCTCCCTGGCTCCTGGACATACCCTCGCCCTTCTACACGGACTCGCATCGAGCATGGCAAAAAGCATGCCGCGGCTTCATCAACAAACATCTGAGTGAGCATGGGTTGCGCTGGGTCAAGGAAGGCACTGTTCCGCTCGATCTGCATCGCACCTTTGCTGAGGCGGGAATGCTCATCCCTTGCTTGCCAGCACCACTCCCGCTTCAGCGACTCAAGCAACTGGGCATCCACGAACTGCTCGGAGTACTGAAGCTGGAGGACTATGACTATTTTCATTTCTTGATCTACGTCGCCGAGGTATGTGCCCTCTCCGACGGCTGTCGGTCCTCACACGCTGCAGAAGATGCTGGGTCACCCGGCAAAAGCAGTCCGCTATCCTCGTATGCGCCATCCCGTTTCACGCTAATCGCGTGGTTGTCAGCTCTACCGATGCGGCCTTTGGGGCCCGGCAGGAACTCTTGTTCCTGGAATGTCTTTTGGAACGCCTCCAATCCTGCATTATGGAAGTCAGGAGCTGCAGGACAGACTCCTCCCGGGCTTACTGACAGGCAAAACTAGAACCTGCATCGCAGTCACGGAGCCTGGCGCCGGTTCCGACGTGGCCAACATTGAAACAACAGCCACGCTGGTCCAAGGGGGGAAATACTATAAAGTTGATGGCTCTAAGAAATGGTGGGTCTTGATTTGGTTTGATAGAAACAACAACAAGGTGGAGGATGCGTTGCTATATAGGGGCATTGGCCAAAAGACTGACGAGCCGACTTGCAGGATTTCCACTGGCATCTGGGCAGACTACGCGACGACCGCGGTGCGCACGGGGGGACCCGGTCCCTCCGGCATCTCCATCCTCGTGATCCCCCTGAAGGACACGCCCGGGGTGACACGCAGGTCGATGGACATCTCCATTGGCAAAATGGCCGGCACCACCTTCATCGACTTTGACAACGTTCTGGTCCCCGCAACCAACCTCGTGGGCAAGGAAGGATACGGCCTCCGGTACATCTTGACCAACTTCAACCACGAACGCCTCAGCCTGGTCATCAGCGCGATCGTACAGGCGCGCAAAGTGCTCAGCACAGCCTTTGCCTACACCAGCCGCCGCGAAGCCTTTGGCAAACGGCTCATCGATCAGCCTGTCGTTCGACACCGCTTGGCCAAGGCGGGTGCTGCCTTGGAAGCGGAATGGGCGCGCACGGAGCAGCTCACATACGCCATGAATAATCTGAACAAACCCGACGCCGACGCCGTCCTGGGCGGGCAGATTGCCATGGCCAAGGTCGGGGCCGGCAAAGTGCTCGAGAAGTGTGTGAGCCATGCTCAAGTCTTGTTGGGTGGAAACAGCGTCACTCGGACCGGGCAGGGTGAACTGGTTGAAGGTGAGAAGTGTAGCATGTTTCTTTTTCCTGGACAAACAAAGAAAATGCTGACCCGGCGTGCGCTTGCCTACTTAGTCATATCCCGCGAGGTCGGCTTGACACGAGTGCCTGGGGGCTCCGAAGATATTCTAATGGATCTAGCCATTCGCGAGCTGGCTAAACAGTGGGAGCGCAAATTGAAGCAGGGCGCCCGACTTTGAAGTTGCTTGGACTTCGCCTCACCTGTTAGAGAGACAGCATGGTTAGCTCGGCCATCGTGGAGAAAACAATGTTGCTAGAATGAAGAAGTGGCAAGGAGAAGAGCATGCGACGAAGTTGAGACCGTGGAAAGGAGGATGTGGAAACTGGGGGATGAGAACATTGCACCTAGTTTGCTTATCTACTTGTACAAAGCATCAGAGCCCCGGCCACCAGTGACGGTCACCCGACCGAAGAACTAGTATGACATGGAGAGGAGATCGTACTGGCCACATGCACGATTGAGTAGAGAGGAGGACTCAGGAGACAGTTTAGGTGGTTCCACCGCTTGATTCCAGGTTCACACCGCGCCACACGACACACTTATATACCCCACCCCCTTATTGGGGGGAAAGCGTCGATCGTACTGTAGGAGAAATACCCAATCCAGAGAAACAAGAAGTGGTGACAGGATAGAGAATGTTAATCGGCAGACGATCCTCAGCTTGGATTCATTTCGTTGGGTGTGAGGGAACGCATACAACTTTGTTTAGTCTGCCTCAATTATCATCGCCGAAATTTCCAGACAGGCTTTACCCCGAGCTCAGAGCCAGTCTATCACCCGGGACGAATCAGCCGGCCTGCCTAGCCCCCCTCGAGCGGAGAGAAGCAAGGCTCAGGAACGCGACGGACAGCACAAGGCCTGGAGCAAGCAACTTCGCCGCCAGGAACCGCTTCGTGTTCTTGTCCCGCCTTTGATCCTCCAAGGTCTCACCTCGCTTGAAGGGAGCCTTGAGCATCTCTAAGGGCCGAAGAAACCAAGGTAACGCGTACGGGGGATAACGCGGAGACAGAAGACGGTCGAGCCAGGTCGGAGACGCCATGACCACTCGAGTATGAGTGAAAGTCAAGAAGCCGTGGACGCCGTGGTAGTAACCGTGGCCGGACTCGCCCACCCCGCCGAAAGGGGCTCCCCCAACCGCGGCGTGCATCAAACAATCGTTCACCGTCACGCCTCCGGAGTTGCATCCATCAAGAACTGTGCGGGAAATCCTTTAGTATTCGCTCGGAAAGGAGTGAAAGTGAGTGACGGGAATCTACTCACTTTGTTGCACTTCTGTCCGATCATTACTGAAGACGTACAATGCTAAATGCGTTGGCAGACTAGGAATACAAGGGTTAATTAGTAGATGCCGCGCCTGTGGGGAAAAGGGCCTCTTCAGACTTGGTCATAAGCACGGCCACCGAGTCCCTGGGCACCCAAGAAGAAGACCAAGCGTCTCATCACATACCCGGCGATAGAGGTCTGAGCCTCCGCAGTTGTTGCTTTGATGACTGGGCAGATCGGCCCAAAGAGCTCTTGGGACATGAGGGAATCTGCAGTCCATATACAGACTCGGTCAGCGTCACTCTGAGATCACTGAGGGCGAAAAGACGGGGCTGCAATGGTGTGAATGTGCCTTTCAGTGTCACATCCGTGACCACGGTCAATGGGATGGCCAGCCGTTCCCTGTCAGCCTGGCCCACGCTCATGACGGTCCCGTGGGTACTGCCGAGCAACCCTTGCACGCGGTCGAAATGTCCCTCGTTGATGATGGACGGCACGCCGCCGCTCTGGGCTTCAAAGACCGTCATCCAGTGCCGCAATCGCTGCGCAAATTCGTCGTAAATGCACGGATCGGCAAAGACGTGGTTGACGGTCAGGCAGATCTGTCCGGCATTCACGGCCTTGGCCCAGGCAATTCGTTTCGCGGCCAGGTCAACATTGGCTGTCTTGCATACGATCGCAGGGCCCTGGCCGCCCAGCTCGAGCACCGTCGGCGTGAGGTGTCGGGCCGCCGCCGCCGCAATCACGCGGGCGGTCCTGCTGGATCCCGTGAAGAAAATGTGATCGTACTGGCATTCCAAAATCCATGCCATCTCTTCGGGACCGCCGGTGGCCAGCATCACGGCCGAGCCATCGAGATATGTCGAGACCAGTTCAGCCAACAATTGCTCCAACGCCGTGGCAAGTTCCGACGGCTTCATCACCACGCAACAGCCGGCTGCAATGGCCGCCACGACCGGCTGCAACAGGAGAAGGAAGGGGTAGTTCCACGAGCCGATGATCAAGGCCACGCCCAGCGGTTCCTTCCTGATATGCACGCCCAGCATCCGGTTCAAGATCTTCCACGAGCCAGGCTTCTCATCGGCCGCCCAAGCTTCGAAGCTCTTGAGCGTGCTCAGAATGTCCGCTTTCAATGTGAAGAGCTCCAGCCGACGCGACTCGGCCTCGGAACGATTCAAGTCGTGCTTGAGGGCGTCGATAATTCTTTGCTCATTGTCCGCAACCATCCACCAAAGCTGCTTCAGCTGCCACTTGCGCCATGCCGTGTCTTTGGTTCGCCCCGCGGCGAACGTCGCCTTCAACGTGCAGAGGGTCTCGTTGAATAAATCTCGAGTGGTGTGGGGAGGACGCATTGTGCGTCGACTCTCAAGTCTTGTAAAAAGGTCAGCATAAAAGGATGATATTGCCGAAATCTGGGCCGTAAAAGTGGCAGGTATTGAGCAGGTTTGACGGGCTCTTTTTGTCGGTCGCAGATAATTTCTCGATTTCCTTCCGGACTCGTCCCTCTCTGTCTGGGCGGGGAAGCATCTCGGCTAGACATAATTCATTCCAAGAGAACCTTGTAAGCAAGTACGTAGGAGGACAGACGCGCCTCTCCCGTCTGCTCTCGGCCGGCATCAAGCCGCGGCTGTAGTCTCCAAGGCGCCCCCCTGAAGTCAGCAGAAGTAGCACGTCGGCCGGAGCCTGTAGTGCATGTTGCCGGGACCTCCATTGCAAACTGCAACCAACTAAGAAGCTTGATTCAGATGTCGCCCTAGACAAGGGAGCGGGGGTTCCACAAACAACTGCAACAGGGCAACAAAGATGTGATAGCAAGAACCTATAGAGTGGACAGCCTGACTGACCCAATTAGGAATTGCCGGTGGTGCCGAGATTACTGCTTTCGCACTAGTCGATTGTTTGGACTTATAACGTGATAAATCACGTGAGAACAATATCTGTTCAATACGATACTCTACATATATATACTGGGGATGCCCCTAGGCACTAGCTATTTCGGTACTCCGCCTACTCCGTATGTACACACCCTTTAGCTTATTTTGTATAAGAGATATCACATATGACTATACACATAAAATTTCTGTAATATGATTGGCCTCCATGTGATTGGCAGTTGGGGCAAGCAATCGAATGAGACAGTTCGATGGAATTAATGGTGCTGTCAATGATGCAGGAATCGATGCGGCGAGTGGTTGGCAGGTGCCATGGAAGCATACAATGAATTGATTTATAAGGGATAGCACTGTAGGGAATGCACCTATCGCTTCTTTTTGGCCGAATTTCAGTCGCTAGTTCCTGTTGTCAGTAGGCCCGCAGAAGACGCTGTCATAGGGCCTTCTAGGCGGGTACCTGGTGCGTGCCGACGAGCGCTGTCGCTGAGGCTGGAAAACTCGGCTAGCGCTGTCTTGTATAGAGGATTCGCAGTGTTGACGCTCTTGCAAGGGCCGTCGCTGCCTCAAACGGCATGCTCTCTTGTTTCTTCCGCCTCCTCCCCATATTGCCACGCCTCCCCCATCTTGTCTTGTCGCATCCTTCGCAGTATGAAGCTCCTTTCTTCCACGTCTCTAACCTCAGCGGCGTCATTAAGGGCAGCTTCAGATAGCATGTCAGATCCAAAGCAGTCATTTCCGTCTGCATAATTCTTCTGGCATCGTAACGATGTAGTTGACGCAAAGAAACGGAGCACGTTTATGCTCATGCCAACGATTTTGAGGGTAATGCTCTCTCTTAAGTTGATATTCATCCCTGCGTTCTCCTAGCGTTGAGTCGATGTCACGGACTACGGTCCAAGGGACTACTCCAGCTGCCCTTCCCTATATAGTTGAGCTACATACTTCTCCAGCGATCCTCTATTGTCTGTCTCCTCGTTTAGAGTATCCTCCTGACATAAAGACTGGCAGAGAAATGGACGCCCTCCTAAAGTATTTTCCTGACTGGACTGTAAAAAAAAAAGAATGGTGACCAAGAAAGCAAGACGAGCTGTGCTTACGCTCGCCAATGACCATTTGCCAGGCAAGATAAGAGACCGCCCATTGCTCATGTTCTCCAAATGCATCATCAGACCCACGGCCGGTCGTCGATGATGGTCCCTTTTCCAGTGTCGTACTTGACATTGAAGTGAGCCCCCTCGACGATTTCTACATCAACCATCGGCCGCAACTGAGTGCCAAAACTCGTGGTGAAAGCAATCAGAATGGTTGATACGAGACCGAACGACAGTGTCGAGTAGTAGACGATCTTGAAGGACTTGATAAAAGCAATTTTGACTCCCGAGATGGCGATTTGAAGGGCCTGCGGTGACAACTTGGACAAGACGGGATTCGTGGTCGCGCCCGTCGTGAGGGCTTCCAGCACCACAGGAATCAAGCTCGGATCGACGCCCAAGTGGGCCAAGGGGATTGCCACCTCTGAAACCACGTATTCCTTGAGCTTGTTGGTCAAGATAAGGGAGTAGACCAGCGAGCCAGCAAAGTTTCCAATCACACGCAGGAAGAAATGCGTCATGACCGAGGTGGCCAGGTAATGGTGTGGCACGAACTGGAAGACCGAGGAGAAGCCTACCAGCAAGCCGGAGTAAGAGGCGCTGGCCAAGCACGCCAGCCCAGTGGACGCGGCCGAAGATCCCTCAGCTACCCAAGCACGATCAAAAAGTTAGCTGAAGGGTGTCGTCAAGCAGGCTGTGACTGCCAAAGGCGAACGCTGCGCAACTTACTGACGATGGCCTGTAGGGCGGCAAATAGAGTGAGCAAGACGCATAGGCCCGTCATCAACCAGTTGGACCATGCCCCGAGCTTCTGAAAGACCAAACCATAGATGGGAGCAAGAAGCACGCCCGTGATCTGAGGGGCCGAGGCCAGCCAGCCGGCCTTTAACGTGTCCTGGGTGTACAGGAGCTGAACTTGCTGAGGCCAAATAGTGGACGTGGTCGACGCCACTAGCGCACACAGGAGACTGGGAGCCAGGTACAGAGTATACCGACGATATTGGCGGAAGATCGACCTGGGATACAGCGGATATGGGAGTCGTAGTCGCATGAAATACTCGAATGGTATGATGGATACAATTGTGACGATACCGACAACGAGCGGACCGAGGGTCTTTGCACTTCCCCTGTGATGAAAGATTCAGTCAGCAACATCCAAAATCATGTTATGGCAAGGCCGACACATACCAAGGATAGATGAAGAGGCCGAAAGCGGCTCCCAGCAACGCAAGCTGGGCGCCGAATGCGATGAGCGAGCACCCGGCCCAATCGAGGCTGAACAGCTGTTGCCACCTTGTCTTGCCCTTCTCTTTCACATGTTGATCGAGTGGATGGTACCAGAAAAAGATGAGGACCAAGGCCAGGAGGTTCAACGCGAAGGGAACCCAAAAGGCCACCCTCCACGATTGGTGGAGCGTGATGCTGGCCGCTGTAGTCGTTTCATACCCCGTCAGCGATTCGACATGTCCACATCCCAGACTCATTCAGGCAAAGGCCAACGCAAAAGGATAGGTGGAAGGGGCAGTTAGTTGACGCTTCAGAGCTTGCACTCTATATCTACTCACCTATGGCAGGCCCAAACCCCTGTGCAGGAGCGGAGGACGCCCACAGACATCCAAAGGCGAAGGGGCGGGAGGAACGTGGCACAATCTCCGCCAGCGAGGCAATCACCACTTGTTTGAACAAGATTCCGATGCATGTGATGATCTCCGTGCCGAAGATCTGGTCAATGCCATTGATGTTGGCCGTCGTCACGTTGCCAATGGCGGCCAACAAGGCACCGGCAAGCAGGAATTTCCGTCGTCCAAAGATGTCGCTGATGTATCCCACCACTGGAGCGGCCGGTGTGGCCACGATGGGGATCATGCTGCCAGTGAGGATGTAGAACCGGCTCGGGCCTATCAGGGGCAGGCAGCAAGCAAGCGATCAGCATTGCGCGTCCATGGCCACAGGTGAGAAGATCGGAGAAGGGCATGTTACCATAAATTTGGTTGATCCTCGCTGCCATTTGCGAAGAAAGGACCAGGGCGAAAGTGTCGGCCAAGAATGCTACCGCCAACCCCTGGCGAGGCAAGAATCGTATTAGTTAGGAGGGACTTGGAGGATACGTTGTGAAGAGCGTAGAGTATCGATACTTACCGAGATGGCCAAGGCCTTGGTGGTTGTGAAGCAGGAATCGGCCAGCGCATCTCTGCTACCCGCATGCTCGAGATGCTCTTTGTTGGCATCCTGACTGGAGGGAGACTTCTCCAAGTTGCGGTCGGCGTCGAAGGGCCCGGGGCCATCAAAGACTTCATGCTCACGGTCAGCCAGGTCGGCTTTTGGCGCCATTGTCTCAGCTGCTGGTGCAGTTCCAGGAAGGGGGGAGATATCGTGACAAGAAGATAGGCCAAAGAGATATTTCAAAAATTGGCTGCCACACCACAGAGGTGGAAAAGGCAAGAAAAGACCGGAGAGACCTGCTTAATATATCATGATGGTCACGTAGTCCAGCACTTTGCGGTGCCAGGTGTGACCGGTCAGTGCAGATACCCCTGTTCCATCCACACTCTCTCCTCTCCCCGGACTCCTCATTCAGCCCCATAAGAAGCCGGAAGCGACTCGGGCATCCAGAGACGCCCCGCAAAATTTTCAAACCAACCTGATCAGGACGGCTCGGTTTGACCAAAGCTCGCTTAGGGTACTGGTGCCCCCGGGAAGAGAAATCTGAAAGGCTGCCGCGTATCAAGTTTGCAGTCTGCAGAGACAACACCAATTCCATCTGGAGAAGCCGTGCCATTGCTGTGTGCTACTAGTGCTACTTGCGATCGATGTCCTTCCGAGGTGGCGGACGACAACCATCCACAGATCCAACGAAGATGCTAGGCATGATCAGTGACTGTCAACAATTTGTGGACTACAGATGGTTCAAAAAGCGAGATGCCTCTGTCGTCAATTCCGAAGAGCGGTTCACGCGCGCTCATTTGTGGATTGCCTTGCTCGTTACGATGAAAGGGAAGCAATTGGCTAGATCGACATAAAGGAGCCGGCAATCCTGAACAGTCATTGCTGTGCCGGCCGGAGGGCGAAAGCTGGTATCGATCTTGCCTGAGAGACTTCTTCTCCTAATCCTCATTTGATGGTGCTCGTGGATGATCATGGGGAACCAGAGAGGCAGGAAGCTGAGATGACAAGTTAGCTCAGTCCAGTCGTAGGGCATTTCAGACATAGATCAGCCGTATACGCACGCCACACCGAAATTGACTTGGCTGTTGCCCGGTCATAGGCGGCATTGGCGCTATTCGAGCTAATCAGAACTCGAGCTTCGGCCGAGAACAAGTCCGTAATCGCGCCGAGGCTGGCTGCCACAGTCCGCGGGATGACGGGTACAATATTCCTTTAGCCCAGGCCCAGAAGGATACGTAGTCATGTAGGGAGGGCATATGTCCCACGGCGCGGCATCACAATCGGATCCAACAGACCCGGAGTATGGACTCGCAAGTATTAAGTAGAGGAGTCCAGACTAGCACACGCTCATCCTAGGCGGCTATTAACATGGAATTTCGCATGCTGTCTGCAAATCCTGGCATGTGATGGTCGTGAAAGGATATGTGCAATAGATTTGCAGATTGTCAATTGCGTCTTACCACCGTCTGATTTCCTTTTTAGTTTTTTTGCGGCAACGGCGCTCTGTTATTTCAGAGTTCTGCGTCATTGTTTTGGTGTTCGAGAAATTCATCCCACGGAGTCAGTGTGCCCAGAGTTGGAAGTCCCATAGAAAACATGGAATCTATGGCGGATCCCGAGAAGGCATCCAGGCCGTCATCGAACTGGTCTCCGTGTTTTTCTCTACTATTCATAGTCAGATGTTCGGTCTCTTCCTGCGGTCCCGGGGCCAACAAAGGATCAAGGGATGTGTTGTGACTGTCAAGCCATGAATCATTGTCCAAAGTCACCATTTGGGGTGCCCAGGGAATTGGTGACCCGACCCTGGTCGCTTTGACGGCCGCCGATGCAGGCGTGAAGAAGTCTGGCCGAAGCTGCTCCGGCAAGTCTTGAGGTCCGACCTGTTCCCCCCGGGCGATACAGAAGTTCAAAGTCGTGGTGACCTGAAGGTATAAGGCGCGGTGTCGCCTGAACAGTTCACACCACGTGTGCTTAAACGACGAAGTCGAGATCGCATTGGCCGGACGATAGGCTTCTGGCAGCGAAGGGTCGGTTGTGCTCTCATAGATGGGTGGTGCCGAGGGAATCGGAATCAGCACCCCAACGTGATTAAAGACAGGGTCGATCCCGTCCCACTTGCTCTTGTATACTTTCATAGCAGTTTGAAGCGTTCGGAGATGGTGGTGCAGAGTCACTGATTCGCAGCTTTCGGTGTCGAGCTGGAAACCAACTTCCAGGACCTTGAGCGGAAGGGCCGTGTATGCGGGACTGCCATATGCAAAACAAATATCTTAGTGAGAGCTGCAACTCGGCAAGAGAGGAGATCACGCCCCAGAAGAGATAGCTTAGTAGAGGCCGGAAGGGATGGGAAGTGGGAAGGTATAGGACTGGTCAAGGGCTCTCCTTACCCTTGCATATCCAGTTTGGTTTCCAAGCCACGCGCGGACAGATCGGCGGTGGCTTCACAAATAGACATGATGCCCTCGTAGATGGTTTCTCGCGCCACACGGAGCCTAGTCTCGATCAGGGCGTTTGCGTACGACGGATAAAAATAAGAAAGAAGAAACTCGGTAGAGTGGAGAGCGATCTCGGCGGTGCTGTGGTTTTCCGGCGGTCAGCTAGGTGCGGTGGGTCGTCGAGTCGGAACTTGGGGAAGGATGGAAAAGATCCTTACTGGAACGACATGCTCAACAACCGGTCGAATAGTATCAGAGATATGTGCGACGGAGCCTTGAACGACGAATGGAGGCGGGTTGATTCTGACCAGTCTCGTAGATCGTCCTTACACTGCTCTACCCGGAGGAGAGTCTCTGAGTAGTCGCTCAATGAGGATATCTGCGGCACCACTGAGCCATCAGGCGGGTAAATGAGGGTCAGCAGCTTTGATAGGGTGATGGCCAGCTGGAGCTGGCGCAGAAAACACCGTATCAGATGCCTCTGCGTGGTTCGATCATACACCAGCGACCTGTCGCGATCGTTTTCCAAGTCGGCGAGGGTCAACGAGGGGAGTCGCAGTGGATTGAACGTGTCCAAGGTGATGTGGAGCGGTCGTCTTGATCCTAATGAAATGAGCCGGTCCCGGATGATACAGCACCACCATAGCCTGGTCCAGAGATCGTGCGGTGCGGCGGCGTGGATATTGCCGGGACTCGGTCGAGCTGCCGTGGCGTACCGCACGGCCGTCATGAGCCAGAAGCTGTTACCTTTGGCCATATTGTTGTTGGAGCTGATGAGGGACAAGATCAGAGCCCCCTGCGTAACGGTGATCGGATCGTGTTCCCACCCCAAATCGTAGAGGAGCTAACAAAGGTCAGCAGGGGGGGGAATGCATGGATGTCTAGGCCGACTCGGGACTTACACAGGCTCGGCGACACAGCAACCGGCGTGCAGCTTGATGGTCTTGAAATCCGCAGGCACTTAATGTGCCCAGGGGGACAAACTGTTGACGAGCATGATGAGTCAGTCAAACTCTGTGCATTGTTCGTTGACCGAAGAGGGTATCGCAGTCATCAGCAGGGCTTACCAGGGAGCTGGCGGCCAGCACGGCTTGGAACACAAACAAAGACGGACGGTTGGGGACGGCCTTGTCGCCACCAATGTCGCTAAAGGCTCCGCAGAAGTCGCGCTCATGGAGAACAGGCAACATGGGATGGATGTGGAGGAAGTATTCCCTCAAGGAGACCTCGAGCATCACTTTGGGTGGCACCTGAAAACAGCCGTTGTCTTCCAAGAATTTCACGTCGGAGGAGCAAAGCCGGTCCAACATAGGGCTCGGTGAGAATGGCTGCTTCAACCTTGGTAACGACGGGGAGGACTCATCCCCGGACTTTGGCGTCTCGATTGGAGGCGACGCAAGGAGGGGGAAGTCGGTGGAAGACGCGTTCGGCTGCCGGCATAGCTCCGGCACGAGATGCGTGGCGCGCAGGTGATCGGAGAGATGGTGTTGGCAAGCATGGATAGCCTGGACCATGTCCTTGAGTCCGGCATCTCGAGTGCATGAGAGGAAATCGAGCCCGCCATGCTGCGTGACCCAGTTGAAAATTGTGTCGAAATCCGGGCTGTGTGCTTCATCCGCCGGTGTCTCGCCCAGGCAGGCGAGACTGTTGTCGAAGGCGTGGTCATGCACGCTGCCGGTGTATGCCGTTCCCGAGTCTCTTGCAGTGAAAGTCAACAAGCATTGAGGCCATGGTGGAGGCAATGGCATCCGCGACTCGCTGGCCGATGATTCATCGTCCGAGGTAGATGTATGAGCTTGCAAACCTGGGTCTTCGCTGAGCGGTTTGACCTTGGAACAGCGCCTGAGATGGACTTGTCCGGAAACGAAACTCGTCTTCTTCAGTGGCTTTGGGGACAGCGCCGACCTCTTGCGTGAGCGTTGCAGGACTTCACACGAGAAACCCTCGGCGCGGCAACGGGAGCACGGCTGGCTGGTGTGACTGACGTCGCAACGAATCTTCCGTTTCCGACACGACAAGCAAGCCCTGGCCGCCCTCTTGGGGAGGCCGGATGCTTCTAGAATGCGAAACTTGCTTGGAGGCGGAGTCATGGTCGTCGTCCTGTGGCTTGTCGAGGGCGTATCGAGAGCGAACTGGACGGTCAGGTTGGGTTGACGGGCTTACAGGAGGAGGATGGAAGATGGTGCCTGAGGAGTTGTGATCCATGGGAGTCCGCGTCTGAGAATTTTAGTGTCGCGGAGTGATATTGCCCCCGCATTTTGGGATTGCCAGAGTTGACGCTGTGGGACAAAGAGGTCTTGTGTGAGTGTAACAGGCGGTATGGTATTCGTGTATCTATGAAGGAGAGTGTCTGACAGCTGTCTATCTGTGTAATGGATGCCAAGGCGCTAAGGCTCAACAACACCAATGATTTGATCCACACCACGACATGATCAGCCTGGTCAGCCCTCCTGCGGCTGACGGTTGGTGGTACCGAGGCAAAATCTCCACCGTCCTGCCGTCTCGCCAATACGCGGAAGGGGAGGGAGGTGGACAAGTCAGGTTGGTGAGGCCCAGGTTTCTAGCTTCGGGCAAGGAGCCATACAGTATGCTACGTGTGTTGCTTTCGTTACATAGGTAAATAAGATCCGGATCTGTCAAAAGGGTGAATGAGTATCGAAGTGACTACGGCACATCCACCTGGGCCTTGACCATGATGGCTTCTACATCGTATCGACACTTCAAAGTCTCGGTGCCCCAAGAATTTGTCACCCACGTGGAAATCAACCGGGTCGACAAGGTGAATGTCTTTACAGAAGAGTGAGTGACGCGTGGGAAACGCTCTACCACGAATCCTCAGCCTTTCGTCTCGCAGATTTGTATCTCACCACCCTTATCCCAATGTAGCATGTGGATGGAGCTTCGACAGGTCTTTGACGACCTCTCAGAGGATGATTCAGTGCGGGCCATTGTGCTCTCGGGCGCTGGGGAGCGAGGCTTCTCTACCGGGCTCGACCTGGCGGCCGCCCTGTCTCCCGGCTCCCTCTTCAATCCACGCCCAGAAGGCATTGCCGATGGTGCGCGATACGCAGCGCGGGTCCGAAAGTTCGCCGTCCGCGCCCAGGACTGCGTGACGAGCATTGAGCGATGCGAGAAACGTACGTCGTCCCTCCACCCCGCCGATGAGTCCGGGTTGCCCAGCTCACGCTAGTCTGCTCCGCCGTCATCTGCGTCCTGCATGGCATCACGGTCGGGCTGGCAGTCGACATTGCTACGTGTGCCGACCTACGGCTGTGCACGTCCGACGTGACGTTCAGCGTCAAAGAGGTCGATGCGGGACTGGCGGCCGATGTGAGCACCCTGACTCGGCTGCCCAAGATTGTCGGCTCGTATGCCTAGGTCAAGGAGGTCTCGCTGACCGCCAGGGCCTTCGGGGCGGACGAGGCGCTCCGCGTGGGCTTCGCCAACAGTATCTGGCCGACCAAGGCTGCCGCATTTCACGAAGCTCTCCGCATCGCGGTTGCCATAGCCAGCAAGAGCCCTGTCGCCGTGCAGGGGACGAAGAACTTCCTGGACTGGTGTCGTGACCACGACATTGCCACCGGTGAGTGAACTCGCGCTGAACCCTGTCCGGGCCCTGGCTAAGCCTCAAGCCTTGAAAACACAATCTAAGACTGACTCTGCAGGCTTGAGGTATACCGCCGTGTGGAATGGCGGCGCCTTGAACACCAAAGACATTCCCCACTCGATCAGAGCAATCCAGGTGTTGTACACAGAATGAGAGTGGATCTATCTGCTTGATTGTGTTCCGTCCCGCTGGCTATTCAGAGAGCCTCTGCCTGTTTATATACACTTTGGCCTGTAACCTGAAGAGCATTCCTGAAACCTCCTATTCCGTCGCCATCCTATCACAGGTCTGCGAGAACAACGAGGTTGAAGGTAGATTCCTCAGTTGGTGAAACGCCTAGCGTCTCAGGTGGTTTATCACAGTGGCGATCTCGCGACCCTGTCAACACCAGGGTAAATACAAACCCAGATTTGAGAAACTGTGGCTGAGGTAGATATATATCACTGGGTCGATCTTCAGGATCGCCAACAAATAGACACTCGGAGCTCTGACTCTTCCATAGATAAGTTTGAGGGATGCAGTCACATTTTCCGTATGCTCTCGTCGAATCTGTTTGGCCGCCAGATTCTCAAGGGTGGGTTTGAGATTCTGCTGAATGTTCACCCTGCTCATTGGCGTTTGACGATTTCATTCCCAAGGGTATAGAAATTGGTAGCAATGCAGCAACCGCAACCGTTGGTCGAATAAGCCTAGATAGATCGAGAAAATCAAGTCCGTATTCTCCTTGAAACTTCTTTCATTTCAGCCCGTAATGTTGCAGGCTTCAATTCCCAACAACCCGCCCACACGTGTAGCCAGTCTCTATGGCGGTGGAAGTATGTAGTTATTTATCTACGGGGCTAGGGGGAGCTAGGTGGAAGGCCCGGGCTACGTGGAAAGACCAAGGACCAACTGTAACAACACGTCTCGCGACGCATCAAAAGTACCTTACAACGTGGACAAACATGATGCCAGAGAATCGCTGGCAGCCCTTCTCCAGGCATCCATCCCCATTGTGCTTTCAGACTGTCTCTATTGCTCTCTCTGGCTGCTGGCAATCATTGGAATGTGTTGACGTAAACCGGCCCTCTCCACCACGTTGTCTATACAGACAGTTCAGCCTTGCAGAACCTCGGCGCCTTCCGACGGCACATATTCTCTGTCTGGAACCACTGTCGGCGGACTCCTCCTAGAGTCTCTGTCGGTGACTGCCGATCGCCGATATTTTCACGGTCTGGAGCGATGAATCAGGATAGATACCATGGCTAATCTAGAGATTCTCAGTCTCTGCGAATAGGTATATAGAGTGGCACAATTCCTTCAGAATTGACAGGGAGAGACATCATCAATGCAAGTCTTCTCAAGAGACCCAGTCAGACAACAGAATGTTGGAGTTAGGAAGAATGCTTGTGTGGCTTTGCTGATTCCCAGACCTTGATAAGAGCATAGACAATACCACTGACGAGCCCAACAGAGATTGCCGACACGCTAGGAATTGCGACTGGTGCATCGAAGATGATGAGGCCGGAGAGGGTAATAGATGATTTGTTCAGCGCACCAACCATGGAGTAGGTTGTCGAAGACGTAGGTCGGACGCACCAGGCTGACATGTATGAAGTGAAATGAAGAGCAAACACGTGAGAGAGAATCATGGCTTCGATGATTGCATTCCTTAAGATTACAGGGAAGTTCTTGGCCAGCTTGTTTGCAGACCAGTCTTTCCGGAGGCCAACCTCAGCCGAGATTCCAGCAGGCAGGAGTGAGCAGGACCATGTGAGATCTGAACATCAATATCTTCCGCAGAAAAGGTCCTGCGGGAACGGTGTAGACCAGAGTCCCCTACACAAATAGTTCTCAGAAATTACACTGGTATCGATGTCGATCAAAGCGGCTTTTTGCGTGCGGTTTTAGACCGTCGGTTTTACCTTTTCTTCCGTCTTCTATACGAGATCTCATGAGGCCCCTCTATCGCCATGGAGTGAGATGTTTCTGCCAGTGGGCTAAAGCTTCAAAGGGAACTGGCTGCGCGCCTATCATATCGTTCCCTTCAAAAGACCAAAAAAAAATAGGTTGTGTGCCCGTGGTAAAGCTTCCTTTTGCACCACCCGCCTCAAAGCCATTCGCGTTCCAGACCACAGCGGAAAGTATGGAGCACTACGGCTTTCGACGAAGGTGAATAGGTTCAACAACTGCGGCCATGGTCGAGGGGGCTTGCTGGTCGGAAAGCCGTTGACCAATAGCATTTCATTTACCGGTCCGCGCAACTCAGTTCCCGCGCAAGTGCAGGAACCGAGGTTTCTTCAATGCGAGGTTCCAGAAGAGAACGGCCACGGCGGATCGCGAGTGTGGAATACGCCAAGACGCTAGTAATTATAGCTATAAAAGCAGCCTCCCAGGCCACATAGATTTAGCTAGTTTCAATACACTTTTACATCTCATTGCACAGTTGGTAGCAACGCATCTTCCCTTAGTCCGTAATTTTATAACTAATTACCGATCTAGGGGAACGACGGCGAAGCCTCGAGGTAATCGCCTTAGGACTATGTTATCTATAACTCTCTAAACGATACTCTATAGTGTAACAAGGCAAAGTGGCTGTGCTGTGATGGGCTGTGCTGGGCTGGTAGAGCGATGGCAGGGAGGAAAAGTTGGCTAGTCACATGTCAAACCAAAATGGGCTGGCAGAAAGGGGGTGCGGAACAGTTTACAGTGCTGGCAGTGTGCCATTCTTTACAGTTTGAGCAGAGTATCATGAATTCCATGGCTTTTTGGCGCCGTCTACCTAATTCCTGAGTGTTTTATCAGTTCTGTCCTGTTCTTCGATGCTGCCGCTGTGCTAGGTGTTCGTAGCCCTGGCCGCTATTCCTCTCTGGGTGGTGTTGGTGGTGGTGTTGTCTTGTCAGCATCAACCAGAAACGCGTTCTCGATTCCCGATCTGCTGGATAGGCCTCTGTGCGTTGTTGCACGTGCACGCGGAACCCTGAAGTGCTCTGTTACAATATTAACATGGTAGATAGCCTTACGAGATAGGGAGTGCCTAACGAGGCTGGCTATATGGGATAACCCCACATAGTACGAAGTACTTAAGCCTCATATTTCGTATTGGCCTATGTTGATCTCTTGTACAGGGTGCCGGCTCGAGAGCCTGTTTCAAAGAAAACTCCACCTATAAGTCGAGAATGTCTCACCCCGTCTTGATCTAGCCAAGTGGCCTTTTTTTCCGTTGATATCGTGTACGATTCCTCAGAGAATCCTCAACCAATCTTCAGAGGATGCTAAAGGCTTGGAAACAATTAGGGACGCTGAAACCTCCAAGCTGACCTCTTCAACTTGCAAGTCTTATGGGGACAAGAGAGAGCTATTCCGGTCAACATTCACCGTTCATCCTACTTGGTACCTCTTCTCAGTAATACACTCTACGGGTCCGCCTCAGCTATGAACCACAGCCTTTGAAATTCGGCACCAGTGGCCGTCGTGGCAAAGTCGTTGATTTGAGTCAGCTCGAGATCTACACCAATGTCGTTGCTGAGATCGATTACCTCCTCTCTCTCGAGCCTTCCCAAGGCGGCATTCGGGTTGGTGATGACTTTTATTTTGCGTACGACCTTCGTCCTAGCTCTACCAAGTTCGTCGAGAACCATCGTGGTGGCATCTTTCAGGCAGTCGAGCAAGCTCTGAGGGATAAGGGCATGTACCCTGTGAATCTAGGAGCGATTCCCACTCCCGCACTGACATCCTATGCCCTTCAAAAGGAGAAAGGTTCCATCATGGTTACCGGCAGCCATATCCCTTTCGACCGTAACGGGCACAAACTCAACACCTCCACAGGCGAGCTGTTGAAGAAGGACGAGCGATTGATTAATGCTAATGTTGATCGCGTACGTGAGAGGCTCCTGAACGAGCTCTATGCCGAATCCCCGTTTGATGACAGAGGCAATCTACGCAATGCAAAGTCCGATCTTCCGCCCGTCCTAGGCGAGGGTCAGGGCGCCTACATCAGGCGCTACCTGGATTTCTTTGAAAGCGAGGTCCTTCAAGGCATGAGGCTCCTCGTTGCCCCAGAAGGTGGCAAGCTTCGGTTCTTCGGGGGTGACCTCCTGGGCATGATAGTCGCAGAATTCCTGGGGGCCGACGCCGTAGTAGTACCTATCAGCACCAATGACGCGATCGACCGCGGGCCTCTCGCCCCTGCCCCCCAACCTAAAACAAAAATCGGGAGTCCATACGTTATTGCTGGTATGCAAGCCGCAGTTGCCAAAGGCCATCGACGTGTCTGTGGATGGGAAGCCAACGGCGGGTTCCTCACCGGCTCCGACATCAACCGTAATGATAGAATACTGACCGCGCTTGAGTATCCTAACTCAGTGATCGACATAGCCATCCTACCTTACACGTTGAAAGAGAGAAAAAATCGGAACAGCAAAGATAGAGTACATGGCTTTCTGCCTGAAATTTGAGGATGAAGATGTGAGGTGACGAGTTTAGGTATCGCCCTCAACTTGTCATTGTGACTGCCCTTTCGGAAATAATTGCGCTCGTCTCTTCGTCTTCCGCAACCACAACGGTAAGTAGTCAAGGGCATTCCAAAGACACGTGAGGCTTGCATATGGCGACATAGAAACAGACTTCAGCATCTCATCAATCGCTTTTGCCGCAAGGAAACTCTTTCCAGATCATAACCATGCACTATCCACGTCGCCCGCCAAAAACCCAGTCGGAACGTTGTAAGGGTCAGCAATGGGACCTCTCTTCATAGGCGGTGCGTAGACAGTCACAGAGCTATCGTTGGATTGCCGCGGTAAAACTCCAGTCCGCAAGAAGGCGTTCTCGATCTCGGTTGAGTATTGGTCGGGTACTATTGAAAGTAAGGCCCAAGTAAGTTCTCTTTTGTTATGGAAAACTTCACGTTTGCAGGGAGCAGATGGTACTTACAGTTAAATGAAACATGGTCATCGCCATGCCGAACAACTAGATGGCCATTGGGAACATCGCCCATGGTCATCGTCGTCCATTCCGTGGGCGCGCTATGTCAAGGAAGTTGTCAGAGGATTGCTTGGAACATTACCATTTCCGTCCTTTCGTCCAACACCTACCTGCCATCGAAATCTGCTGTGACGAGGAGCATGGGTATTTCTGTGCGGAGCCGTCTCAAAGATGCTGTATCAAAAGGCCAAGCTGAACAAGCAAGCTAGACCCTGTTAGCATGAGGTAGAACGACGCAAATTAGTGAGACAACTGACTTGTGTTAACCAGCCTGTCGTTTGACCCAAGTTGTTGGGATCATGCTAACCGACCTTGGTCAGCCCTATGCCTCCGTCGAAGTCAAGCTTAAAATGAGATTTTACCGCCAAACCATCGTTCAAAGATTTGTGAAATTCGGAGAAGGTTTTGGTTCGTGCTAGACATTCGTCAGATCGACCGTGATTGTTCGTGAATGGAGACACACGTACGAGAGTCACCGCACTCCAGAATGTAAGCAACGATACTCTCGACTGTCAATGCTTGTTCCGGCAAAGCTTCTAGGGCGCTGATGTTCGTCGACAACGTCGAAATCAAATCAATAATCTGGGGAAAGTCTGGCTGGCCTTGAAAAAGCCCAGTGACAGCTGATTGAACTGCCCAAACAGAATCGATGGACGAGTTCGAGGCCGCCTTGATAATCCCACGGTATGCCTGGCAAATTTTAGCATATCATCTTGTCAGGCCCAAGTTCTTGAGGTTATGGCCCTCACTTCTGCAACACTGCCCTTGCCTGCATCTCTGAGGGGGCATGAAGAGTTGTTCTGGCAATATGCATCTGCTCTCAATAAGACCCGATTCGCGGCTACTATCTGATTTTCCGCTTGCTGGCCAGGATCCTGCAAATGGTCATCAGTTCTCAGTATAAACCTCAAAATTGGTGCACGTACAACCCCATGTGGCACTACCGCGTCCAGCACAAAGCGGCCCACAGAGTCGGGATACGTGTGGGCAAATTGCAAAGCTCGATAGCTACCACTGTATTGTCACTTGTAGTTAGGGGCATATCTATCAGCAGCCCAAGAGGGACTTGACTCACTATGAAGCGCCTAGGAAATGTATTTGCTCGTAACCTAGAGCCTGACGAATCTGATTGTAGTCCTGCACAACCTCTCGTGTTCCGACGTGCCCGATGATTCCAGGGGGTAAACTCGAATCAATCCACGACTGTATGGCGGCAGCGGCGATTTCTCTCACATTATCGAATTCGGTCTGAGATGTTGGGCTTTTTGACTGTTATGCTTCGTACACTCTGAGTAAGGATGGGCCGAGAGACTCACTAGGGGGCAAACAAAGGTAGTACTTTGTCCAGCGAAACGTTCAGAGGATTGGAGCTATATGTACCACGAATGTCCATCACTGAGAAGATGATCAGTTTCAACGACAAGAAGCGGCCCGATGTTCCGCACTCATCAAGTCGTAGTCTGTCAACCCCGAGAAATCAGGAGTAAATGGAGAGGTAATATTGAGTGCAACATTCCATGCATATACCACACCATTATCCGAGCCACCGGGACAACTTGCACTAAGTCAATATTCTTTGCGACCAGACATTTTGCAAGGATAAGACCAACAAGAAGATGATGCCTTTTGGCTGAATGGGTCGATACATGGCGAGGCCGAGAGTAATATTGTTACTCTCACTTAGTGGCCTCGAGTAGTCCATTGGCACGACAATATGGCCACATTTAAGCGTTGAAGGAAGGTGTTGAAGATCAATACCGGTCGAGTCGAAAACAGGACTAGGTGGAACGTGCTCGCGACAATCAGTCCAAAGGATTTGTGGGCTAGCTGCTGCCAGGGCAAAAATGAAGCAGGAAAGCGCATATGTCCATCCGAGAATGGGGAATGACATTTGACGCATTTTGAGAAAGTGAGACAAGTTTAGAGAACTGATACCAATAGGAAAATCTCAACGAGTAAGGCAGAGGCGTCCGTCCTGGTTTTTCGTAGGGTAGTCGAGGATTGGAATTTGACTAGAAAGTAACAGCCTAGAGGTTTTTATACCTCGCGAGTCCAAAGTGCTAATAACTATCTTGGAGGATAGCACACCCATTATTTCGAGCCGATAAAACAGAGTACCATTGTTTCAGAGGGATATCTCCTTAAGGCGTAGCAATTGCGAGCCGGCCAATAGCAAGGGCGTGTGCTTAGGACAATTTGCTGCAATTATGGGACGGGGGTGGCTGACGCGGCGCAATAGTAAACTCCATGGCGAAATTCATGTGCGTACCGAGTACGTGCACAGAGAGACTCAATCAAATAAAGAGGATTCTGCAGGGTCAAAAACGTCCGCTGTCCGACCTAGAAGCACACAGCCACTCGCCGAGAGATATTATCGTACACCCACAGTGCAAAACATGTGACGAGAAGGGAGTACTAACACGGAGTTATGGTATTGTGTGAGGCCATGGAGGTATCTTGTTAGGTAGAAGTTCCAAGCATGGGGAAGCGTGTTCAAGTGTATTGGAACTAGCTAGCGAGCTATTATCTGGTAGATCTATTGTATCTGGACGAGAGGCTTGCTCATGAGTATGATAGGTCATTAGCGCTGTGGATATAGGCCACGCTAGTGTCTTGGCATCCAACTTAGGAAGGAGCGACGAGGCTCCACAACGGTAATCGTGCTTGTATGGAGGGGTCGGGAGTAACGGCTGCGAAAGGCTTAGCGTGCACTCCATAGATCTCACGGTGGGCCTTAGGTAGCTAAAGGAGAGCCTGGATTTGTACCTCGTACGGAGTGAGTCCCCCAACGCCAGCGAAATTCGAAGCATCCTCTCAGCTCCACGCAACACGCGAGTAGCGCCACAACAGAGTGAGAAGGTGGCATTCTGCACAAGGAGTTCACACGGTGTGACTGTCTAAAGACTGTTTGCCTACTGTGCGAGTGTGTCTCATGCCATGACTCGTATTTGTGATGCCGTCGACGCAACAAATCAAGCATCGTGCATATGCAAGGACTGGCTGCAAAACCTGCAAGTGTGTACCCTTGAGGGCCTATCAAATCCACATTTCTAATACACTTCCTGATCGTGCTGTCCTTCCTTATCCTTCGTACGCGAATGTCGTGTTTGTATACATCACTAACAACAGCCGCAGGATCCGCAAGGTCAAATGTGACGAATCGAAGCCGCAATGTAATCGATGCCAACGAAGTGGTCGAAATTGTGATGGATATGTGGATGTTGTCATGCACCATCAAAATGTGAAATCTTTCAAGTTCGTCAATTACATAAGCCACGGACCGTCGTTCTCTGCATCTCTTTTCCTACAAGACACACGACAACGACATGCTTTCGAATTCTACCAGCTGCGATCATCTCTGGAACTTTCTGGCCCTTTCCTCGAAGAGATAGATGTTTGGAACAGGCTCGTGCTACAGGCTGCATATCATGAAACAGCCATCCGCCATGCGGTCTGCGCTTTGGGGAGCTTTCACCAAGAATATGAAGATGAGACGCTCTATGCCTCTGGTTTTCTAAGGACAGGCCTAGAACAGTATTCCTACGCACTCAAAGCTCTTGTCGCCGCAAAAGGAAGCTGGAGGTGCATGGAGGTGACCTTAATCGCTTGTATCGTGTTCACATTCTGCGAGCATTTACAAGGACATCTTGGCTCAGCTAAGGCTCATGTGCACAGTGGCTTGAAGCTCCTCGACACCTATGTAACAGTGTCTAGAGAAGTGAACCCAGCTGGGCCGACACACTCAGTTCACCGCCGACCATACATTCCGCTCACAATGCTGATCATATTGTTCAGACGCTTGGATCGCCAGCTGGCAGAATTCGGCCAACAGCCTGCGTGTACAGGTCACCAGTCTCTAAGATTTCAGCCTCCATACCTTCCAGATCGGTTTCAGTCTGTAGCAGCTGCCACTGGATCACTTGAAAACATTGTCGATCAGCTCATTGGAGTTACACTGGAAGCTACAGTTAGACAACTGGATAAGTGCTCTAGTGAGATGGCTGCGTTGCGTGGAACCTGGTACATACGACTTTCGCAACAGCTCGATCAGTGGAAGAGGGCCTCCGACGGGCTTTTATCTCTATCCTCGGCATGCAATCAAGATCGAGCGAACCACTCCAACGAAGCAGTCCTGATTCTCCGTCTCTGGTATCTTTCGTGCTGCCTCTTTCTACTGCTTGATTCTCCGAATGAGGTTATGGATTATGATGGATGCATGCCAATATTCCAGTCAATGGTCGATGTTGCTCAAGCCTTGCTGGAGGTTCAGAACAAATGCCAACCTGAATCGATTATACCAACCATCCGGAAACGCAAGAAGGCATCGACTCCGATAATTGAGGCATTTATGGTTCCCAACTCTAAATATGAATTATGTGGACTGCAAGATTTTGAGAACGGAGACTTTGCCACATTACGGCCCGTATACTTCTCCCGTTTGCCAAAGTTGAACAAAGCCGTCTTTACATGCACGGCTTTGTCCCCAGTCCCCCCGCTGTTCATCGTCGTCACTCGGTGTCGTGAGCCAAAGTTACGACGTCAGGCACTGCAAATTCTCTCCCAACTCAACCGGCGTGATGGCTTTTGGGATTCAACCCTGGCTGCCATGTGTGCTGGAGCTCTACTGTACTCGGAGGAGCTAGACACGACCGATTTGCACGCTCAGAGAGGGAAAGCCCAGGGTCTAGAGAAACCTGGATCTGCAAAGCAAATCCCCGTTGGTGCCCGAATGCTAGGCGTTCGGCCACAGTTTGGCGAAGGAAGATTGCTGACTTTTGAGTTTGTAAAGGCGCAGCCGCGGCTTGAGGCCCTGCGATGTTGATCCGCTGCATAGTAAAAGTGCGTGCTCGAAAGTGTTCCTGATGACGGACAGGAGTGCGCAAGACAGCTTTCTAGAACAGTGTTCAGCAGTCATATTTAACTAGTAAAGTCTCTACAATCTCACGTATTGGCCTGTCTATCGATGTTCTCCCTAAGAACGTTCCTTGCCATGTATATAAAGAGTTGCTTGTGAACAGAAGAGTTTTCGTAAATTCTGCCACTGTATTCGGATTGTTGCACCGCTAGCAATCGCCGCTCAGGAGCGGCGACAGATCTCCAGGATTAGCGCGCCCGAAACTCGTCCAACATTAGGATCATCAACAGGAATATCATCTGGCAGCGTTAGTGCAGCTTAGCGGCAGTTGGGAATGGCTGTATCAATCTGCACAACTCCATGCAGATCTCCGCGGTTGTAGCTCTTGAGTGGCCTCAGAAGATGAAGAGAATGAAGAGTGCCTATGGTATTTGACAAAAGGGCCTAGATATTCCCGTGCATGCTCTGTATCACCCACAAGCCGTCTAGGTCGAATATGCTGTTCCATGCGATCATCAACAATAACACCCTAAAAAGGAGGTAAATATCCAGCTGAGAGTTAGGCGAAGTCAACCCTTTAGGGCCTAGAAATAGCCACCGATTCAGCGTTTCCGCCCAAGGGGGCTGCGGGAGGCTCAACTGAGGCCCCAGTAAAAGGTGTCATTTGAGCCATGGTATTACTTTATTGTCACAAGGTTGGTGGTCTTCACTGCCTCAACTCACTCTCTTGAATCACTGGTTTTTGTTCCCAAGATAAAAAGGCGACTTCGTCATTACAAGTCTTGGCGTCACGTGCATATAATCTTCGACCAGTCTATCACGTGAGCGGAGCAGCCGCAGCCTAAATCCTCAAAAAAAAAAAAGTCGAGTCGACGCAAATCAGCCTTTTGATACACTCACTAACAAGTCTGTTGTACGGATCTCGAGCGCAATTCAGCTCTCGAGTCTCCGGCTTCTTGCTTTCTTCACCACGATCTCCCTTACCTGCTTCATATCACCTTTCGCTTCTTCGCTCCGCATTTCAATCCTTGCAGCCGGTTCTGCATTTGAGCCTTACTCGCAACCCATTCTCCGGAAGACTGCCTCTGTCCGCGTTAACCAAATCTTTCAGACACGCAATTACGCCAAGAAGAGGATGCCTCCCAAAAAGGCTGTGGAAGAAAAGAAGATCCTGCTAGGCAGGCCTGGGAACAATCTGAAGAGCGGCATCGTATGTAGGCAGGTCCCGCACAAGATCGTTCACTTATCCTTGACCGAATCAGTGACTAACCACCAGCTGCTCTAGGTTGGCCTTGCTAATGTCGGCAAATCGACACTCTTCCAAGCCATCACAAAATGCTCGCTAGGCAACCCGGCGAACTTCCCTTACGCAACTATCGATCCTGAAGAGGCGCGAGTCATTGTCCCGGATGCACGATACGATTGGCTCTGCGAACACTACAAACCCAAATCTCAAGTCCCGGCTAATCTGACCGTGTACGATATCGCTGGTCTGACTCGAGGTTCCTCGACCGGCGCTGGTCTGGGTAACTCCTTCCTGTCGCACATCAGGGCTGTGGATGCGATCTTTGAAGTCGTGCGATGTTTTGACGACGCCGAGATTATTCACGTGGAAGGGGATGTCAACCCGACGAGAGATTTGGACATCATCTCCGAGGAGCTGCGGTTAAAAGACATTGAGTTCGTGGAGAAGGCCAAGGAAAACTTGTCCAAACAGACCAGGAGAGGTGGTCAGAGTCTAGAGATGAAGAAGTTGAGAGAAGAGGAGGCGACAGTTGACAAAATCCTACAGTGGCTGAAAGACGGCAAGGATGTGAGAAAGGGTGACTGGGGTCCTAAAGAGGTACGTTGTCACCAATTTATTGCCAGTGCTCCCAATTTTTCATGATGAACAAGAGCTATAAGCTCGACATAATCCCAGCTCGTCGACAGCAGTCTCACCCAATATCTCACGTTAGAGGCTGTTATGAGAGGATGTCCAACCCTGAAGCAATATTTTTTCCGATCTCATTTTACCTACACCATTTCTGGCTATGTTCCTCCAAAACTGACGAGGTGGAAATAGATCGAAGTCATCAACCCTCTGTTCCTCCTCACCGCCAAACCCGTAGTCTATCTTATCAACCTCTCCGAAAAGGACTATCTCCGCCAAAAGAATAAATACCTCCCTAAGGTGATGGAATGGATCAAAACCAACTCTCCCGGTGATCCAGTCATACCCATGTCGGTCTCGTTTGAAGAACGTCTAGCCGCCATGTCAGACGCCGAAGCGGCGGAAGAATGCAAAAACCTCAACACCAAATCCGCTCTGCCGAAAGTTATTGTGACGATGAGACAGGCACTCAACCTAGCAAGCTTTTTCACCACTGGTGCGGATGAGGTGAGACAATGGACAATTAGGAAGGGCACGAAGGCACCGCAAGCGGCTGGAGTGATCCATACGGATTTCGAGAAGACGTTTATCCAGTGTATTGTGTATAATTACGAGACATTGAGGGAATATGGTGATGAGAATGCCGTGAGAGCGGCCGGGAAAGTTATGACCAAGGGGAAGGATTATGGTAAGTTGTCTGATCCTTCTCGATCCCTAATCAAGTTTCCAATTCAGTGGGATCCCTGTGGCTAATGGTATTTGTACGCAGTTGTGGAAGATGGCGATATCATTCTCATCAAGGCCGGGGCGGCAAAGGCGTGAGATGATTGCAAAGGACAGGTCCAAAACTTTCCGCGATTTTGCTCTATCAGATCCGCACCATTGCGCATTGGCTGCTAGCCTTCGATCTGGGGGCTCATGCAGTGCTATCTCTCGCACATGGCAATGTGTTTGTTTGTGATATCTGACTTCTGGGCCCCCACCGAAGGGAAAGAATCGGACATTCCTGATGCGACTTTGACCCAATCTCAACCGTTCCCAGAAGTCTGTCAGTACTGCATGTTCCCAACACAACGAGAAGATCGCGAGCTTGACCTCGTCAAGGCAGACAGACGCTTGATGAATGACCCACTTGGCAACTGATGGCAGCAAACGAATAGACCAGTTCTTTTCAAGATCGAAAACCCGCTTCGAGAATCCCTTTTTTCCTTAAATACCTAGCCGTGCTATCATGTATGTACTCCGCACCGCCTATCTGGTGCGGGCTCGTGCACTAAGATCGTTGCCTCGAAACCGTTCTCCCCTTCCAGCAAAGACCGTGAAATATTCTTTACAGAGACCCCTTCAAGCTCGCGACCTCGCTAGGGTGTCAGGGCGAAATTTATATTCATAGCAGCGCTGACATGTCCCGGCCCGTTTGTTCCTTTAATCTTGAATGCCTGGAGAAGGACAAGCAAGGACAAGTGCCGAGGAAGTAACTAGTAAGCCTAAGTAACAAGAACTACGTCTTCTTTCCGCCATTCTGAGCCTCACCACGTAATAGCCCCTTAATTATTTTTCCGCCTCCCCCATATTCACGTAAGGTCGGGCACTGGGGAGCCATCACATCACATCCCCGTCTATCACGTACCCACTATACCCGTCACCGCCCAGCATCCTCTCCGTCTCCTGGCTCCAGCCGTCTTTCTTTTTGAGAAAGTCCCCGCCCAGCCACAGCCGGATGCACGTGTCGGCGGGCTTGCGTTGCGGCGACTCCATGGGGACGAGTTTGTAGAAGTTCTCGTCCAGAGACGTCGGTTCGCACGTGCACTGCCGCGCCTCCGCGGCGGGGAGCCAGAACCGGTCGTGGTGGTATTCTTCTCCTTCACTGCTGGAACTGGAACTGGTGCTGGTGACGGTGCTGGAACCGGTGCTTGTTGTGCTGGCACGGTGACCGGTGATGGTGGGGGCGGCGGCAGCAGCGGCGGCGAGGCTTTCGCTAGGCCCTGGCGGTGGACAGTGCCGCGCGATGTCATGCTGATAGCCGATGTCCCTGAACCACCACACCCTGTCCGGCGGGAGGAACATTGAAACGCTCAACGTGTGCACGGGCGCGTCGCCCCAGCGACTGTAGTAAAACCCGCCCCGTTCCTCGAGCCAGTCGAAGTATTTCCTGTTCCCCTCGTCCTCGCGGAAGAAAGCGAGCGAGCCGATCTCAAAGTTGGAGAAGAACTGGCAGTTGTTGTAGGTCAGGCCCGTCTGCGGATCGAGGAGCCAGTCGAGGCTTGCTTCGGGGTGGACCAGGTCCGGGTATGCGGTGATGAAATCGCGCGTCGTGGACCACAGCGAGGCAAAGCTCCGCGCGTCGTCCAGGATGGCCATGTTGAATCCATACACCATCCCCGTCCCCTGCATGAACCGGAACGGGTCGTACGGGATGTCGCAGAAGAAGTGCACGTCCGGTTCCACGCGCCAGTAGTACTCATATGCAGCCAGGGCCGGGTGCAGGTAAAAGAGCCCGGATTGCCAGCGGATCATGGCGTGGTAACTGAGCAAATGGCCCTTGCCGACGGACGTCAGGGAGAGGTAGTCCAGAGAGTTGTGGTAGAGAGTCTGGTTGATATGGGAGGGCGTAGCCCAGTGGGCATGGGGGACGAGATGATACTCTGTTTGCGCCAATGTGGCGTTCGAGGTCGCGGCCTTTCCCCAGCAGATGCACATAAGAGTTGTCAGTCAGGGCTCTCAGGATTTGGATCCATTTCATTCGGCACCAGCCTCTTTTCCACCCCAGGTACCAAGCGAGCGCCAAAGAGCAGAGCCACCATGGAGCTGCACGTACCTTGAATTCTTCCGAGAATGGTTTCTCATTAAAGAAGATCCAGGGATACCGATACCGCCGGTTCCAATGGAACTCCAATTGACGCATACTCTGCAATATCCCGTCGAGCTCTTCGTCCCTCACAAGACTAATCAACGCAGCCTTTGGGCTCTTCGCTTGGAGATCGTTCGGGTAGGAATTTTCTGTCAGCCATTTCATAGGTCTGTATTTGTTCTTGTTTGCGCCAAGGCGGTGGGATCCTGAACGCCATTCCTTGGGGAGGTGAAAGAGGAGGTCATTGCGGTGAGAGCGGATGCTGAGGTAGAGTTGGGCGGAAATTAAGACAGCGAGGAGGACAAGGAGCCAGCGCCAGATGGCCCTGTTCGACCGACGTAGGCGAGTGTAGACTGAGTATCGAGTGAGAGAAGACCGTGAACTCTTGTAGGACTGCCTGGGAGACGAGCGTGAGGAGCGAGTGATCGGAGAAGAGGACTGTCGAGTGGGAGGGCATGTGAAGGCGGCAACAGGTGAAGGTGCGCTGGAAGTCGCGGCACTCGAGGCTGAGTTGACAGCTGTCACAGATGAGGGCCAACTGAGGGATTGGACTCGCTGGCCAGTCGGCGTCATAAGGGACGATGGATCCATGGCAACATGTAAGGAACTGGTAGAGCAAGATTTGAAGTAGAAGCGCTCGTTGGATTTGGAGGAGATTGGAACATAGTCAATGTGAACTTTAGTCTTCCATCACCGGCTTTTCACATCCCAGAAGTCATGCCCAATCCAATGATCAAGTGAATTCTCCTGCCGTAAAAATGACGCTCTTCCATTCCTCGTCCCTGGGCTCGACTTGCACTTCGCGTCCAATTGCAGATGCTTCCCGACCAGCCCATGCGCCTCCCGTGCACCGAGCCAGCTTACAGAGCCATTTGATCTTGATCCTCAGGCATGTCGTCCACGATATGTAACATTTTGGCATAAGGCACAGTGATCCGCTGTAGATCCCGATGTTTCCCTGTTCGAGCAAATGAGTAAATGCATACCGACAAACCCGAACACTGGGAAGAAGAGACTTACCAAGAAGCAAGACAACGTCCTTGAGGAGTTCTTCTCGAGGCCATCCGCAGATCGTCTTGGAATCTTCCTCCCAATTGCGGCCGTCCACCGCATTCATGGTCGCCGCAACGCTCTCGCCATCTTGACCTGACGGTTCCACGATACCGCCGATCAGTGTTCTCAGGAGTTCCTCAACCTTCAACCTCAAACCTTCGGCTCCCAATCGTTTTGCGTAGACCAGCAGGTATATCCTGAACTCGTCCTTGGCCCCTAGCATGAGCGCCGCAGCGATCCGATTTTCGAGATGAGCAATCGAAACACCAGACTCGAAACTTTCAAACCCTTCTCGCGACAACAAGACCTTGATAAGTCGCTGTAAGAAGTACGCCCGTCCCCGTAGCAATGTTTCCGACGTGGTGTTTCTCTCGAGCCACGGCACAATGCCGGAAGAGACATCCACAGATTTTTCAAAGTCGGTCTTTGCCTTTGAAGACTGGATGTTTCCCACTGAAGAATCGGTCGTGTTCCAATACTGACTGCCCACTGCCCACCAAACCTCGGACAGCCGTTGCCAACAGAACATCTGAGGCGAATAGGCATACCCGTCGCCATTGGACAAGCTGACGATAATCCGACCCTCGGAATTCAAGCGAGCTTGTGTAATGGCAGGCGCACCTGTAGGGTGAGCAGCCAGTGAATGGATAGCCGCGTCAAGGACGGGTGCTAGCGAAACAGGCGGATGTGGGGATGACATGGTCTTGACATTCCACACATAGCACATGCCAACAGCAGTGATACACATCAGCCAAGAATCGTACGACGCAAGAATCACAGGTTGAGCTTCCATGACCAGCGCACTGTTTAGCCGTCGACCATGCGGTGTCCACAGGTAAATAGAACCTGTCTCATCTGCGGCTGCCCAAAATGTTCTAGTCCCAGTGACCAGAAGGACCGGACGAGGAAGAAAATCCTGCCACAGGGGCTGATCCTTCCTCGTCAGTGTGATTCGACAGGGTTCGCGATCCTGCGCCCTAGGAGTTAATGATTGTCCTGAGGGATTCTTGGCCTCGAAGACAAATTCGGCTCTCGATTTGCTCGCCGTGTCGCTGGATACTTCGCCTGGTTTGCCTGTAGAATCAATGCCCTGGACGATATGCACTCGCACTTTGGGAACGGCAAGCCGAAGTTGACTGACGCTCAACGCCTGGTTGATAACAGCTGGCCGGATGAACTCTGCAGTCACCTGTTGGCCACTCACGGCTGGCTGATGTTGTGCGGGCAGAAGACCATCGGCGCCGTTAACGAGAATGGGTGTAGCCCCCTTCTGGCTCGCTGCCACCACTCGTTTTTCCGTCGTACCTTCTTCTTCCCCCTCAATCTGTGCATATTTCCGTTTGTTTCCAAGCAATAATGCCGCCAGGCCTCCCTTTGGAAGCCCATCAAATGGTTTGGACAGGTCCAACACCGTCTTGGGGGCATCGACCGTCTGCACATTAGCACTGGCACTGACCAGCTTCGTCTGTGGCAATGAAGACTCTGTCCCGCCGGCACCAGATACCAGAAGCGGCCGTATTCTCTTTTTACCATCCTTAGTGATCTCGACTCGATTCTTGAGTCTCTCGAGTTTGGCCTGGTTTTGGTCATCTTGCGCCTTCGCTGCGGCTTGTCCGTTGATCGTCGTTTGCGCGGTGCCATTTGTGAGGTTTTCGGTATTTGTGGCTGTACCATTCGTAGTGGCGATTGCCTTTTCTGCTGTCGCCGGTTGTGATGAGTGCAGATCGCCCATTAACGCGCCCATGCGCCCTTCCACGCCCTTGAGTTCACCCGCCTTGCTCATTTCTTCGAGCAAGAGCGCGTCGGTGCTTTCAGGAAATCCGATCCCCTTTCTTGATGTGCCAAACTTGGAGAGTGACCGGTCATTCTCTTCAACGGGTCTCGCGTAGCCCAATTCTCCCGGTTCGAACATGACCGTCAAAATGGTGCCGTCTAGCGCAGTTGCAAAAAGTATCTGACCATCTGGACTCCACGCGATATCCGAGATCGGCTTCCCAGCTATGTCTTGTTGGACTACAATGGGTCGTGGATTGCTCGTTGTCCAGATACTCAGGCATTTATCCGCCCCTCCGCACGCGATTACCGTTGTGTGAGGCAAAGGATGCTCTTCGAGTGAAGGCTTGCTAGGAGGTTCTCTCCCGTAGAGTCTCGGAGAAAATGCACATACCTCCACTGGCCCTTCGTGTCCGATCAAGGTGGTGTCTCCGTCCCAGGTGCCGCGATTGATGATGGCGATTGCGCTGACAGGGCCATTGACTGCATTAGCCGCTGCAATATGCATTCCATCCGGAGCCCAGGAGCATCTTCGGAAGTACGTTGTCAGGGGTGAGTTCACGAATGGCTGGCTAATGGTCGTTTCTAGTGTGAAATTATTCACTGCGTCGTGTGTGGTGTAATTTTGCGTGGGAGAGGTGAATCGGAATATCCGAATTGTTCGATCGTCGCTTGCCGTCGCAAAGTACTTGTTCGCTGGATCAAAAGTGATGCCTTTGACGTGGCTAACGTGATTCGAGAGTGTCTTCAACTTCTCGAAAGTAAAGCCTGACCATACCACTACTTTTGAGTCCAAGCCCACCGATACCAGGATCGTCCCGTCGTATGACCAGCCCAGATCTTGTACATCGTTGTCATGTCCAATCAGTCTGCGAAAAATGCGCCAGTTCTCAACTGGAGGGGCCTCGTTTGAACCTGTCCCAATCTCAGTATATGCATCTTTGCGCCAACCCACCGCGACTTAACACACCAAATGTGGCATGGCTCGGCGGACTCGGGTCGAGAGTATATACGCAGACAATCTTGTCATCCGCTCCCGAAGCCAGAAATTTCCCGCCGGGGGAGAAGCGCACGGCGTGGATGGTGCCGGAATGGTAACTCATCGATGCCAACTGCTTGGGCTTGTCGTATTTCACGTTTGCGGCATTGTAGATGGCCTCGGTCGACCAGATCCGCACGTAGCCATCTTTCAGTGTCAATCAGCGAGCAAGTCCTTTGTCATGGTGCACAAATGTTGACGTACCGCCGGCTGCGGTGACCAGACGCTTGCCGTCGGGGGAGACATGGCAGCTGTAGACTTCGAAATCTTTCTTTTCGCCTGTTCATGCCCAACTGTTAGCCTCTCGACTGGGTAGAAATGTGGATGCGACGCAGTCTACGCGGTTTGCGACGCGTCCAGGGGTGTTTTGGTGCGGGAAACGTCGAACCTCCGTGGGTGAGCCAGATAGGTTTGATGATGTGCATTGCGGATCTATGTCTGCAGCCGCCTGGTGCACATTCTGAAAGGGGGGTTGACTAGGTCATCTCAGAAGAGCGAGATCAAGATCGGGTTGAAGGTTGAGAAATGACTAGTAGGTGGCTGATGAGAAGCAGAAATTGTGGCCGTGTTGAAGCGTAGTTCGCCGTCCGCAGTTTGCAGTTTGGCATATGACAGCCTGAGAGCCTGACAGCCTCGCAGCCTGGTGGGCTTCTGTTCCGGAAGGGGGGCAAGACTGGGCAAGGCTTTCCCGGTAAGGCTGAATGTTACGAGTACTCGCTGAGAAGCAGAGACACCGATATCCTACTATTTGGTCTGTCTGTACTTTTCCCGACGGTCATGGAGCACTTTGGTTTATTAGTACATGGCTATCGACTTTTTTGGTCCTCAATCCAAACAAGTAATACACGCAGGTTCGCCGTCGCTGCGTCATGAAGGAGTCGAATATTCGCATTTGCCTGAGACGATACGTCCCATTGTTATACCATTGAGGCGTCCGCCTACCTCCTTGCCTCCCGTGTCTGCTCAAACCCTTCGAGGACTGTCTGCGCAACATCTTTGGCATCCCCGTGCTGGGCCGCCTCGATCACTCTCGCCCCAACATCTTTCGATCTGGCCTCGTCTTTCGCAGTCGTTGTGCCAACGACCTTGGCCGCGAGATTCATGGTTTGATTCTCGTTTACTTTCCCATACACAGCCATCGCGGTAGCAATCATCTGGCCGATGTCTCCAACATTGCCCGGCACGACGACGGCAGTTCCTTCCTTGGCCAGGTTGCCAAAGGCTGCAACATATTTCTCTGCAACGCTCAAGCTGACAGCTCCTTGAGCATTGGCTTCTCCTCGTTTGATCGCTTCTGCAACGGCATCGATACCCCGGGCTGTTGCCTGTGCCTTCAGCAGAATGGCCTCGGCTTCACCAGATGCCATATTTATTTGCTCGGCCTTCAAAGCCTCGGACGCCAAGATAACGGATTGTTTACGGCCCTCGGCGATATTGATTGCACTCTGCCGCTGACCTTCGGAATCCAAGATTTCGGCTCTCTTTGATCGTTCTGCCGTAACTTGCCTATGCATGGCGGCGACTACGCCCTCCGGGGCATGGATATCCCTGATCTCGTATCTCAAGCACACCACACCCCACTCTTGTGCGGCTTCGTTGATCGCCTGCGTTATGTTCGAATTGAGATTGGCTCTTTCCTTGAGGACATGATCGAGAGTGAGTTGGCCGATTTCGGACCTCATAGTCGTCTGCGCCAGCTGTGAGATGGCATATTCTGCATCCTCAACCCCGTAACTAGATCATGCTCAGCGCGAGTCAACAGTGTGCTTGATCTTTGCCCATGCTTACCTCGCTTTGTATGCGTCGAATACTCTTGTGTAAAGGACGCCGTCCAATTCGAGCGTGACATTGTCAGCTGTTATTGCGCTCTGGCTGGGAATCTCGATGGCCGCCTCTTTCAATGATTGGACGTAGGCGATGCGCTTTCCTCATGTGTTAGCCCCTGCTCTTTAGTAACTCCAGGTTGATGTCTCATACATCGATAATAGGTACGAGGATAGCTAAACCAGGTTGCAATATCCGATTAAACTTGCCCATGCGCTCCACAATCCATGCAGTCTGCTGCGGTACAAATCGGATAATGGTGTTCGCAGGAAGGCTCGTCTGTCGTTGGAAGTATGTCGGAGCGGAACCGGAGCCGCCCATTCCCATGGGGCCACCTGGAAATGAAGTACTCGAAGTGGTGGTGAACTGTCTCCGGCTCCATACCGCCATCGGGGAGTAACCAAGAGTCACAGTTGAAAGGTCTGCATGTCGAAATGAGGACGCGAGCCGGGGGGCACGCCGGGGTAGATTTCGCAGAGCTATGTGCGGTGCCTCCATGACGGTGGCCCTCGCAGGAAGACTGTGTGGTCGGCAGAGGGCGACGATTGAATGAGGTTCGCAGAAAGGTGCAATTGCGGTAGGCGACTGTGATGATGGAGACGCAAATCATGCAACATGGTCGCTCCCGTCTTGATCCAATCACAATGAGGCACGGCTTCTGGTCGGAACGGAGCGCCGCAACGTTCATCCGGTTCGGCGAAATATAAATCCAGAAGCGCGAATCCAAAAAATGTCTCGCAACCCAAACACCCAAAACACCACAAGCAGGCACAAGTCAACGTCCCATTCCATGTTCGTAAAGATTCCACTTAACCGAAGACAGCTTTCGCTCGCAGTGTCCACAATGACAAGTTCGAGCCAACTATTCTTAATACGTGCATGCCATGCCCCGAGAGACTGGTTGGAGAGTGTAGCTTCTCTATGAATGTCAATGACCAGTCAACAAGTGTCCCCTGATTTCGAAGCATCCTTCGGAGGCGCGAAGATGGAAAAAAGCACTTGAAAATGCCAATCGTTGAGGTAGGATATGCTTTTTGGATCCTCGTCAGAACAGGGCTGCATCCCTTGCCATAGGGACTGGATGATGGTTTTCTGACTAAAAAAAAAAAAAACACCGCTTCGCCGACACATGGCCGATCTCCGAGCGGCCGCCGCCATTGTGGAAAAATATGCACCAACCTCATCGGCTGAGATCTTGGTCGCTACGCGAGTATCTTGGATGACGGCGGGCTTGGAAAAATCACCACTACTTTTAAACGGATGTCGGCAAAGCATTTGACGTACATTAATATGATGCGTTCAGCTTCACTCACACAGCTAGGTGAACCGCACTTAAACCACGATGGAAGGAAAGAAAAGGCAACGCCCAGTCACTTCGTGTCTGCCATGTCGAAAGAGGCGTCTGAAATGCGATAGGGTACAGAACAATGGCATCCTGGATTCGTGTGACGAGCCGATAAAGGAGGTACTAATGTATGCATTTCAGGTGCATCCCACCTGTGGACGCTGTCTGGCTGGTGGCACCGAATGCGTTTACGACGAAAGTGCCAGTGCCAGTGTCAGTGTCAGCGCAGCACCTCGGTCATCTACCTGGCAAAGCTCGACCTCACAGTTCCCGTCTTCGTCATCGACAAGTTATGCAAGGCCCGAAGAGGGGAGGGGGACAGGACCTCAAACTGAGCGTACGTGCGCCTTAATGCCGCTGCCATATGCTTCAATCAGCCAAATTAATAACCCGGATCAGCCGCCGCAGAGCCTGTGCTCAGGCAAAATAACCATGAGAGAGGACATCTTTCTGTTTATGATGGTGGTCGCTCGGCCTACGTAGGCTCGACCTACTGGGCAAACGCGATCCCTTTTGAGGTACACTTGATCTTCCTCGCCCTTTCCATCACTACCTTGCCTCCTTCGCTCCCAATTATGCTTTTGCTGACTAGTGCCCAGATCAACCGTGACACAGTACCTACAACACTCGGCGAGACAAGCCCGTTCCCCAAGTTCCCGGGCAAGATGCAGGATGGAGGACTTGAATGGGCCGGACAGAAGTTTCGCCCACCGCGCAATTGCGGCTTCGAATGGACCAAGTCATCATCGAACAAATGCAAGTTCTGTGGAAGGAACTACAACATCTCGTGTGTCATGGCTCTGCTGCCCAGTCGCGAGATCTGTGAGAAGCTGTGCGGGTTTTTCTTCTCAACCGTCTTCCCTCTGACCCCGATTTTCCACATGACTAGTTTTGCAGAGGATTTCAGGACGTTCTGGGATGGCATTCCACCTACGAATGTGCATAATGCTGAGCCGAGCCTCTTTATGCGCAAGAAGCCAGGCTTTCTCTCTCTCTTGTCCGCCATTTTGTTTGCGGCAGTCTTCTCGGCGGCTCCACCTCGTCTGGAGCGTATCTTTGCAGAGCCCAACAGTGTCAGCCCTGGAGACATGTACTTTATTGCAATGGCCTCTGCTAGCTTGACCGGGTTTCCTCGACGGCCAAGCATCTACTCACTGGCAGCCTACATCATTGCACAGAGCCAATTCGTGAGAGAAGAAGAGTTCTCCGACGCACCTGACTTTATTGCTACCTCTTTTCGTGTTGCGCTAGGCATGGGCCTGCACCGCCAGCTACCAGAATCGGGACTCTCTCTGGCCGAGTTGGAGACCAGACGCAGGCTTTGGTGGTATATTCTTCACTTGGATGTCATGTCCTCGTCCTCATCCGGTCTGTCACCTCTCTTCATCAATCAGAAAATGGCGAACACCGATGCTATATGCCAATACGACGTACAGGGTGAGGGCACGGGTACCCGTCAAGATGGTAAGGTGATCCCCTATCACAAAGTGGATGATGGGTTTTCTGATCCATTGCAGTTGACATCCGTTACCTGGTGGCATCCCGCCGCTACGAAATTACCAGAGAGATCAGAAGAGTCCTTGTGCTCCATTTCGAAGACGCCTTTCAGTCAATAGAAGTGGTTGCAGACTGTGCTGCTCGCCTTCGAATGATAGCTGACCGTACTAGTGCTACGGTAGACACCTTGCTGAAAGCCAGGGCCACTGCTGAAGCAAGAGCCGCGAGATCTACCACACCCCGTCCCGCTGAGCACGCTCCGCCCATGCTGGGTTTTGACAGGGTGTGGACACTTCGACCGGAACCGAGTGATAGAGAGGTTGTTGACTTTACCGCTTGGTCTGCGCTTCTCTTGCACCTAATGGTCCACAAGGCATATTGTGTCTTATACCATCCCTTGTTCAGAGATCCCGCGATGGTTGCCGATGAAAATGTCAGAACAAAGTAAGATAATGCAATCACGACATCCTGTTTCGACACCACACAAATGCTGACTAGGCTACAGTGCTGTCAAACACGCTCAAGCATTCATCCAAATCTTCATTCGTGTCTGCAACGACCCCATTTCGGAACCTTTCCACTGGATGTATCCAGGCACCTATCAACCTCTTCAGGCCGTGTCCCTCCTCCTCGCAGACCTCTTGCAACATCCCTACAGCGACGATGCGGCTCTATCCCGGGGCTTGATCGACGCCATCTTCGAACTCTACCAAGTAGACGAAGGTATAGTCAGCCAAAGCGACCCGCCTCGCCGCCAGCTCTCGCCCTCCGGCAGAGACGCATGGACCATGCTCGTGAGGACACGGAGAAAGGCTCTCGAGCAAGTCGGGATGGACTACCATGTTCTTTTCCCGTCCAACGCGGTCCTTTCGAGCAGATGTATCTGCGGCGAGAAAATCTCCGTCGTCGATAATAACGAGGCCCTTGCACACCAACACCCCCACCAGCAGCAGGCGACGAGGCCGGGAGAAGGAGCACAACCACAGGCCCCACAGGATATGCAGGGCGAGCCGGCTGATCAAACACCGGGGGGGCAGATGCTCTACGATCAAGTCGACTTTGACTGGCATGCTTGGGACAATGCACTGGGGCCCTCGATAGGGCTGATGCCGTGAGAGATGTAATGCAGCCTTTACTGAACGAAATGACCTGCATGAAACGATTGGGGTCCACCCTTTTGCTTCTGAGCCACAAACAAGACAGGGCTTTTCAGGCGGCAAACCCTCAATGAAGAATCATCCATATATCCCTATATGTGTGATAGAGTGTAGTATTGGGACTAGCTAGACGCAACCGACTCGTCAAAAAGCCGAAAGGCGCTTTTACATGGCTGATGACGTTCTAGCGTCTTTTCTAATTCACACATTTGTGCCATACTCTTGAACAGATAGCGATTATAGTAGAGAGGCCAGACAGACAGAGCAATGAAGAGACAAGGAGGAGGAGGAGGAGGAGGAGGAGGAGGACAGTTTGTCAGCGGACAGAATAAGATACATATATGGTATGAAAGTATATAGGATAAGGTGGGCATGGCATGACATAGGATAGTATAGTCCAGTACGGCATAATATCTCAATTCTTAATTCATTTCATGCTGTTCCATTTTAGCTTTGATCTCGATTCGCTTCATACGACTCTACCCGATGTAGAGAGAAGACAGGGACAGAGACAGATTGTCGCTATTAGGCGGTTGCATATTATATCATCCCTGGGATCGCAGCAATGATAGAGTTCTAATCTCAATTTTCAATCTCTGGGCCATTTTCAGGCTCAGTCTCCATTGTGGAGTCGGTCCCAAGCTAGTAGACTCAATGCCAGGCAGTCTTGTGCGGGTGCGCGTGGTCGTTGTCGATCTTTGTCTCAGCGACCTTGTTGATCCTCTCACCGAGTTCCTTATCGACTTTGGCGAACATGGCTGGAGCAAAACAGTCAATACATAGACTGGCGAGGACTGAGGGAAGAGGTAGGGAAAGGCGCCTGTTCCCCAAAAAGGAAAAGAAGAAGGAAAACAAAGAGTTGCATGGGGGCGGATAAGGAGCCAGCTCACCGTAGACTTCCTCCCTCAACCACTTCTCCTTCACGTCACTGGCATGCGCCGCGACGTTATCCACAAACCGGGCCTGCGCGCCCTCCTGCTTCTCCATGATCTTCCATAGCGCAGTTGCCTGCTCAAAGTCCTTCTGGTCGTTGACTTGGGTGAAGGCCGAGATCGGGCTGGGGATCTGCACCTCGTCGGGGTGGCCCAGGCTGAGCTGGTCCATCTGCTGGACGGCCGTGAAATCCGTGCTGGTGACCTTGGCCGAACTGGTCCTGTCCGAAAACTTGACGGGCTTCAGCTTGGTGCCCACGTAGTTCGGGTCGATGCCATAGTTCGGTGTGAAGTTCATGAACCCGTCGCGCTCGATCGGGCAGTAGACCTTGGGCTTCGCTGCGTTGGTCGGCAGGAACTGATAGTTCACGCCCAACCGGTACCGCGCTGCATCCGGATACGCAAACATGCGAGCCTGAAGCATCGGGTCCGGAGAGGCAGCGAGACCCGGCACCATGTTGCTGGGGCTGAAGGCGGCCTGTTCGATCTCTGCGAACCAGTTCTTCGGATTTGTATCGAGGGTGATACGGCCCATTTTGCGCAGTGGGTAGAGGGACTTGGGCCAAACTTTGGTCATGTCGAAGATGTTGATGGGTGCCTTGGAGATATCTTCAGGCCGGATCACTTGAATATATACGTCCCATTGAGGGTAGTGTCCTTTGTTGATTGCTTCCTGGAGATCAACTAGATGCGCGTCTGGGTCCTTGCCAGCGATTTCCGCGCCTTCCGAGTTGGTGTAGTAATGGATCCCCTGTACCGTCTTGACAGTGATCCGAGTGTAGACGTACGAAGCACCATTATCCTTTGTGAATTTGTACGTGTTGCCGCTGTAGCCGTTTACATGGCGTACTGAAGAAGGCAGGCCTCTATCTCCGAAGAGGAACATGAGCGCGTGAATGCTCTCTTGGTTGTTGACATGGAAGTCCCAGAACATGCTGGCGTCAGAGGCATTGGTACCTGGATGAGGTTTATGGCTCCGATTCAACGAGGGAAATTTCATCGGGTCGCGGACGAAGAAGACGGGCTGGTCAATGTTGTCTGTGAGCTGCGTACAATGCTATACACCCTAGGAGGGAGGGAGTAGATTGACCCGCCTACTTGGTTGTTGAAGACCCAATCCTGGTTTCCTTCATTCGTCTTAAACTTGACTGCAAACCCTCGGAAATCGCGAACTGTATCCGCAGAGCCTCGCGCGGGGCCGACCGTCGAGATTCGCATCAGCACTTCAGTCTTCTTACCGATCCCGTTGAGGAAATCTGCGTCCGTCACGTCGGAGACATCGTCAGCGACTTCGTAATAGCCCCTGGCACCAGCGGCTTTTGCATGGACGGTCCGTTCAGGAATCCTCTCGCGAGAGAAATGCGCCAAATTCTCCAGCAATTGGGTGCTTGTCAAGAGGACGTAGCCACCTCCGGATCCCGTCGACAGTTGTTCAATTATGTCGTTTCGAGGCAGAGGAATTCCCTCAGCTAGAGTGTAATGAGGCTGAGACATGTTTTCTGTTGACGTCTTGTTGATGCAACAGTATCACGTCGATTTTTCTGGAGGGGTAGCATGGCCTTCTGGCGTGTATATATCTGCTCTGGTACCCGGGCGACCGGTGTACTTGAAAACGCCCTGGCGGGAAACCATCTCGATACCCTGCGTAGGGGCCGGGAGATTTGTAACCCAACTCTGTGAATGTGCCTGGAACTTGACATGCCGATTCGAGGGCAGCTTGTTAATTGCTCGCACCTTGGTAGCTGTGTATCCACCCTCTCGGTCAGGCTGCCTCATAGACTTTCAATCTGGGGCGAACAAAGTTAACTTCCGGGCCTGCCGCTTGATGCAAGAGTCGAAGGCTGGAAGATGGGCCTCAAGGGGTTTCCAATTGACATGGTTGTACACTGTATCATGAGGGCGTGCCGCTTGCGTAGGAACCTTTCGCACGAAGCCTCGCGCGAATACTTAGTTCCTGGCGAGCTGGATGTAAGCTAAGCAGAAGCTACCCCTCTCGTCTCCATCCAATGATCAGCTTGATGGTCCCTCAAAGAATTTAGACTGCATGATTTATAACCCTGGGGGCCGGCCACTTTGCAAATGAACGTGGGAGGCGTGGGCGGACCACCGATGACTTGAATGCTTGTGGGAGCGATCTCCAAGCCAGACAAGTTAAATGCGCGCAACAGTTTCCACTCGCAGGTTCTGTCGAACGAGGCCTCATTCAAGTTTGTCCGCTTTTGATCACCATTGCCCACAGCCGCGGCCCACGGTCGCGACAAGCTGCAGCGTAGTGGTAGATAGTAACGCAGCCGTGGCATGACATGACGAGCTATACAACAGCAGTAAGAATGTATCAAGAGGTACTCGATACATACAGCCCCTGATACAGCCCCTGAGTCGGTCATGCTTGCTTCTTTCTTCCTGGGGACGCAACAGCGGACGGGCGTCTTCCCCTAGGACATATCTAGCCTGCCAATTGAGTGCCGTCACATCACGATAAGCTGAGCTCTTTGGCCAGCCCCCCGACCACCATACAGACTCATTCATTCACTCATCCACGTCCCGCGGCTCGTTCTCTTCCCAAAATTTCTTGTAGTCATCCCAGGTCTGTGTAGGGAACTCCTCAGGCCAAGTGAGAGGCACCAAAGGCGATCCTGTAGCCTCGAATTGCTTCAACTTGGCCGCTGTGCGGGGTCGGGTCTTGTTGATGCTGTAAACACTGATCCTGTGTGCCGAATGCGTAACGTGGAGACCCCAATTCCAAGCTGCGCGGACCGTCAAGGGTTGGGTGTTCAAGGCATTGTCCCAGCACCGACAGACAATCTCGATCCAACCTTCCACATCGCACGGAAGATCTATCGACCATGTCCTCCAGGTCCATTTGCCCTTCTTGGAGAGATTGGCGTTAGGCACTGCATACCAACTAAAACCTCCGTCTGCCGACAACTCGACTCGCTCTGGCCATCTGCCACCGCCTGAATACGCCCAACCTTTACAATGAATCTTGCCATTATGGATCACGACCTGTTTTGTCCAGGGTGACATAATGGCTGAACTCACGGGCATCTCTTGGATCTGAATGCCATCCGTCGGTTGTTGGTTGTGCTTGCCTATCTGCTGACTACTTCTAGTCAGTATTGGAATTGAACAAGATAAAGCAATGCTTCGGGATACACATATTCTGAAATGTGGAGAACTGGTGGGCACTTACTTAAAGTATAGATACTCCTTGCTTTGGACAGGTGCCAGGGAAGGGTTCTCGATCGCCTTGATCCTATAGATCCATTTGACGCTTCGAGCACCGATATACCCCAATACCATAATTCTCATCGGGTAGCCGTGAATAGCTGGGAGTGGTTCGCCGTTCATTTCCCAGCAGAGGAGAACTTCGTCGTATTTGACCTTGGACCACGGGACGCTCACCACGTAGTTCATCACTATTGTTCGCAGAAATGATTCATTAGCATCTGCTTTGTCTTTCGACATGGGTACACGTTACTTGCCTTCGTTATCCTTGAAGTAGGTCTCGGCACCGTAGAACTCGAGATGTTTGGCTGGTTTGACGAGGCCACCACAGGCTTCAACAACATCCTTCAGGTTGATCCCGAGATACTTCGCTGTTCCTATGGCGCCCTCGGCCCACGGGGCTTGGGGGACCTCATCTCCCTGGCCTGCATAGAGAGAGATTTGCTCAATTCGTCTCGTTCCAGAGCATTGCATCGTAGCCATCTTTTCCATGCGAGGAAATTTAGACTCATCTGTAAGCTCGTCGAACGTGAATGTGCGTGGGTTCTTGACTAGCCCGTCTAGATCTAGCTTCCATTTGTCTTTGTCGATCAATGGAATGCCGCCATGGTTTCGCACAAAGTGAAGCGAATTCGGCGTCACGGCTTTGTCAGTCACCAGTCTCTTGGGAGGCTCTCCATTGTATGGGAATTGCAGTAGATGCAGCATCTCTGGATGTTTCTCACGAAGAACCGTGCTCCAGGAGTCTTCAGGGACATCAGTGAGCTCACCACCAACTGCGTGGTGCCACATCTTCCAGTGCGTGCCAGGGAGCACGGGATTTGTATCAGGAATGGGTCCCATCTGGAACTCCGGGTTGGGTGGAAAGACCTGAGAAGCCAGAATATTACGCGCCCTTTCCTTCTTTTCTGGATATTTTTCCCATTCCACGTAGCTAAGACCGTGTCAATTGTCATTCTCAACCAGGAGAAATTACGCACCCTCTCCAGCCTTCGAGCTCCCGTGTAAACAGCTCATCGCGGTTTCCTACGGCATCGATGGCTGCTTGATCCTTGGTCAATTCGGGCCATTCCCTGGGGTGGTGAAAGACGTGTTCAAGCCCGGTCTGATCCAGAAACGGCAGCTTAGCACCGGCCAAACCTTGTTCGATTTTCCATTCATCGGGTCGGTTATGAATCTCCATTTTGACCGTCGACGCAAGGGAGTCCGAAGAGAGTTGATTGTGGGCGTAGGGTGTTGCTGGCCTTATATGGTGCCCCAAGACGAAGCGCAGAAAATCCCCTCCCACCTCAAGTTGTCAGACCCTTACACCAACAGGGCTAAACAACTCGCCCAAGCCCTTTGGAACAGCTCTGCAGAAGCCCAGATTACGTCTGAGTGGTGTGATACCAACGAGCATCTCAGAAGAAACTTCCCGTGATCTGGCTGAAGCTTTAACCCCTCCAATGCTGAGAGGTACGCGTGCTCGTAATGGGCAAATATCCTACCGTCATGTTAATCAGGGCGGCCGACTCGGGCGAGGTAGTGCAGATGGCTTGGATCACGCGGCTTTGTCAGGAAAATTAGAGCGTTCGTCCTTGTCCGAAGCATTAGTTGGATATGAAGTGATTTGCGGATCCACCGGATAGGGATAGACTTTCTGAAATGACCATCGCGATGTCTGAAGATCAGCCATTGACAAGGCCTGTAGCCAAGAGCTACTTTGAGTTCAAGGGTGATTGGACAACAGACAGAGGAACTGGAGCGTGTTTTGAGAAACAAAGCATGAAAAGTCGTTCGCACGAGCTTTGGTGCGGTTGGGGCTGGCGACCCCTCTTCTCACCTTGGTCTGGATTGTCAGAGGGCACAAGCAGCCTTGACTCTCGCATTGGACACTGTTATAATACACATCGAGATGGAACACGAGGCTCATCTTCTGTCAGCATGAGCCAGTGTGCGTAGTCAATGACTTAAAAGGGAAGCAGGGTGAGGAAAAGGCAAAAGGGATGGTCCCGGAGCGAGCACATGCCGAGAAGCCGAGAATGACTGGTCAAAAACATGAGGAGGAGAGGGAGGAATCCGCCAAGCCAGATACAGCACAGACTAAACAGGGCGGACACAGAGGATAGAAGGGGAAACTCGTTGAATAGAGTGCATCTTTGGAAAGGGGAAGCGAGCCGCCCTAAATAGTATCTCTCCGCCGCCGCCAAGCCGCCAAGCATCACCTCGGCGTGTTGGGACCGTTTAGGGACTTGTGACGTCATTTAGCACACTAGTCCCATCCTGGTAATTATTTCTGTTGAGCTGTATACTCCTCCGTACATATATCTATCCCCAGCTGCCTCAAGCTTGCTCAAGTTCCCCGTGAGATGCACCGAGTACCTCGTACACATCGAGACATCTTCAGGTTATCATGATTTGGCCACCAGTAAACCTGATCTCGACCAGACGAAACCAACGACTTCAACCAATCCAGTCATCAGGAACACCCATCATTGCCTACCGAGTACACGATATCATCAGCTCAACCCGCTAGACTGAACTCGCATTCTGAAGTCGGGCAAACATCTACGTCAATCTCGCTTATGAAATTTCATTTCCGATTCGGAGTGTTTGCCAGAATGAGACCCTGATGGCGAGCTAAGCCCAACTAGGCCCCTGCAAGCTTGTTGAAATGGGTGCAGTAGCTGATGATTACCACGTGGTAAACTGCTTCCCGACAATGAGAAGTCCAAGCCATTTCATCAATGTGCCTCGAAACCTTTTCAAGCAATTCGAGATCACGAATAATCGCCAACTATATGGAAATGCAAAAAATCGTTGTCTGTAGCTCCTCCAGACAAGCTCGCCGCTGGCGTGTCGTACACCCGACGTTGGGTGAGTCATCTTGTTGAACGATCCAACACGCGTGATGAATGTTGAGCTCTGCAAATTAGGTCCAGCGTATGCCAACATGGAAGGAGTCCAGACCGGTCCTTCCGTTGCCAGCGCCAACGAGCATTGAGGAGCGATTTGGTTCCAAAGCGGGCGGCAAAAGCCGCCGAATTTGGCGTTGGGTTGAAAGTCTATTTTACAACGATGAGGATGTATCTAGGTACTCACTATCGTACATAGGTGCCTATATCTATAAGCCTACCCTGGTCTATTCATTGCTTCCCATCATGCTCCGGCTCTTCCTCATTTGGGATTGACCTGATTCTCAGAGCTGCCAGAATCCGTGTGGCTCTCCTTGATGCCTTCTTCGTCGGCCCGCTGGCCTCGAAGCACCACGCCCTTTTCCCATCCAACACGATATGCAAATATCTTGTCCTTCCTCGCCCAGTGGTGTCGATATCCGTCCCATCCGATCAAGAAGAACCAGATCCCTCCCAGGACGCCCATGATTACAAAGTTTCGAACCAGAGAGTGAGTGGCCACCAAGGAGATGGGTACCAGCTGAAACCCCAAGCCGGAGTTGATCCAGCCCAGGCAGATTGCAATGCGGCCGAGCCAACGATGGATATAGGCGAGCATACTCTTCTTGCCTGTCCGCTTGAAATGACGGTGCTGCAATAGCCCCAGTGCCGGCTGGAAGAGGATAAGCGCCGACGTCGCGAGGAGGCCAATCACGACATGTGCCTTGGTAGATGTGCTGCTCGCGAAATAGTTCAGGTCAACATCTGCAATGTCGATGCCTAGCCCCAGTGCGCCGATCATCATCGCCATCCCCAGTATCTGGATCGGTGCGTGGATGAACTGGACCACGCGAACGCCTCGAAGCGGGAGATGTAGGGAAATGGCACCCAACGGGAAGAGGACGATGAAGACGATGGACATCATGCAGGCGTGGGCATTCCGCTTGCGTTTGAAGATCTTGTAGCCGTCTTGATAAAACGCTCGCCTTTGCAGGGAATTTTCCTGCTCAGATTCTTCCAAGATCGTTGCTGCCACTAAAACAATTCACCGTTAGCCATCAGGCGTGCGCGGTTGGAACGCGAGAACGATGACTTACCCGCTGAAGCGGCGAAAAGGATGGCGAAAAGAAGCTTCGACTTCATCTTGAAGAGTGGGAGACGGTATCCTGAGATACAGAGCTGTTGCGAATGACCCGGCGGACCAATGTTTCTTGTTGTTGGCTCCGGGGCGATCAATATCAAACTTAGTTTCTGCAAGCAGGGCGGTGTATTCTTTATAGTCGGGTTCTGTCTGTCGATGATGCTAGAACTGCTCTCCCAGCCCGCTTAGTTGTAATCGCGCATTGCGTGTCATCAGCGGCTTGAGCCTCCTGTGATGTATGGACGAAGTCCAGGAGCCCAAGCAGAATCCTGGGGGGGTCAGCGGCGACTTTCCGACTTGTCTCGTCCTCGTCGCAGGACCAATCTGACGGCTCATTGACCGACGAAGAGAACATGGGGTGCTGATCGGTTTCATGTGGTTGGCGAGATGCCTTGCCACCAGGGTTAAATATAGAACACGGCCTAGCCTCACCTGTCACTCTAGGAAGTCCAAATAGGTAAAGCGTACGACAACCCGTCCCGTATCCTTCTCGGCGTGGATGACATTTTTCCAACATATATATATATATATTTGGGAAAGACTGTTTGATGAGGGATGGCGCAGATCTCGAATGAAGGTGGGAAAGCTCTGACTCAGCGGCTCTGAGGTCGTCCAGCAGGCCATTGATGAAATCTTCGTGTTGCAATTGTGGCAAGGTCAAGCCCTATCAAGTAGATGGACCGCTCTTCAAGCGGTTCAGGCACTTGGATGTGGCTGCATCCTACGAAGGTGCCGGCTTCCGTGGATTTACCATCGAGCGAAAACACCCACCGCTCCACGAATACGGTGGTTGGCATTGCGTGCAGACTACCATGTACTTGCTGGGCAAACCCCGAGAGTAGCGTAATGCACACTCCAGGGACGATACCGGGAATTGCTTCTGATTGCGGCGCGCTAGATAGGCTGCTTGAGCTTGGGGTGTGTATTCCCCGTATGTACCATGGGTCCTGTAACATGCCGTGACGTTGGAGTGTCTGCCGTTAGATCTCGAATGGAGAAAGATTCCCTCTGCATGAAAGTAGTCATCTATGCTGTCCAAAGCGGAATGAGGACAGCACCGATGCCCTTGTTAGCCTGCAGGAGGCCCAGTACATGTCAAGCCGAAGCATCGGAGACTCTCCTGATATGATAGTGGGTCCTATCCAGTCGTGCTTGTGCAGGGGGTTTGAAGAGCCGCGTAGCGACCATCCTATTTACAGAGGCTGCGTGAGAAAAGCATCTGCAGGACGAGATCACGATTGGAAGGGAGGTCTCAAGGATTCTGTTCTCCCCCAAAGATTGATGGAACAACCACATATAGAAGCTCTGTAGACACCAGAAGCAGGGAGGTTTCGTCACAAATTGCTCGAAAATTGAAGGAATGCAACCATCCGCATCTGCGGATCGTGAGGCGTCATAATATTTGACGGATTCCTCGTCATCCTCGAAGACGACTGCACCATCTTGCCGGTGCCTTTCCAGCAGACGATGACGAGATTCGACCAGCTTGCGGTCTCGATAGTTTACACGAAATGCCACTTGGCCAGCAGCTGGAGAGATGTCTTTGGGTCCTCAATGTCAGTAACCGTCTGCTCGGTAAATTAGCCGCCACAGCCCTTGTCACGAGATCGATCTGTCAAGCATCTAGCAATAAAGCGCGCCCATCTGAATGCACTGAAGCACATAGAGAGCGGAAGGTCTGTGATCAGCCTGCCCGCTTCCTGTTCTTATACAGCAGACGCCGGTAGAGTTCTGCGGTGGCAGTTGGTGGAACTGCGAGAGAATACTCTGTTCAAAAGCAACAACATTCGGATCCAGAGATAAATGGCGGAGAGAACATGTCATCGGAGCTGCCATGGAGAAAAAAGAGGCTGTCGGCTGGGATGTTCTTGCAACCCGGCCTTTGGTGGGGTTTAAACACACATTGTGCGACGATCGAATATAGCAATATTTGCCTCGACAATGAGCTCGGCGGGCCATTCTCGACGATGCGCGGACGTTTTAGCGGGCTTGCATCTGGCATAGAACGAAGTCCATCCGGGCCAACATGTATGCCTCTCTGCTGGAGTCTCCGGGCATTTGGCGTTTCTCAAAGGCTGGTCTTTCAGGCAGCGGAAACAGGTCCAAGCAGTACCGCTAAAGGGAAAAGGGTTTCGTGACGCGCTCTCTGATGATAGGATGCGGTGGTCTTATACGTACTAAAAGCTCTAGAAGATGGTCGTGTTGCCTCGACCAGCTGCATGAGCGAGATCAAGCTACCGTAGACTATTTTCGCATTGAGGACCGATAGAATCACGCCTTGTTTCCCCTGTAGTTATCATTCAGCCCTGGTCGTTCAACACCTGCTGCAGTTTCAGAAACCCTCCTCTTTGTCGTTGGCAAGTGTGTGCAGAGCCCCAACGATGTCCAATCCAAAGCTCACGAGCTTCGAGATAATTAACAGCGCAGTCATATTGAAATCGCTGTGTTAACCAGTAAGTGTTGTCAGCCGTCCGGCAGATGGGGGAAGGAACTGTGACAGTAGGCACTGTGATTCAGGCTTTGCAGCATCGTCTTGGACTTGGACCCTTCTCCACTGCTCTCTGTAGTTTTTGGTGGTTTCTGGGTATTTTCCAGTCTTTGAGAAGAGATCCTCTCAGCAAAGCCGGCAGCTTTCTCAGCTCCTGTGCGGGAGGAAACTGTCTCCATCCTCGTTCCACCCAGCGCGTCTTCGAGACCCCTTCCCTAGAGATCGTACTTCTCTTTCAGCCTGGAAGCAGTGGACGGTTCTTTCGTGTGATGGAAGAGAGGCATGCCATCGCCGAAACCGAGACTTTAGGAGAAGGAAAAGGTTCTTTTCGAGCAAGAATCGAACATGTCTAATGTCTTGGTCGACATGGGCTGCAGCCGAAGGAAGGGCAATGCTTCTGGCACATCTGTCGAGCGGTGACCACGCGGGATCTATGACAAGGAACACATCGTCTCAATTTGCCTGCGAAAGAATCCGGTGTACTCGGTACAGGACACGAGTAGAGCAAGAAAAGTCCGCAGCCTCGGCGTGTGGAGACGCGAAGTCTTGGTGCTCAGTACTGTGTACAGATTCCAGCCACTTCCGCCGCGGCCCGTCGAGCATGTTTGCCCACGCCTGGCCATGCCACTCCTGGCCACTTGTCACTTCCCAACTCCCTAATACGTCCAATGTGCTTTATTTCTTCCGAATGAAATGAGCTCTGGTCATCAATCATGAATGACAAGACAGGGGATCTCTCCCGTGACATGCGCAGTGTGCCAGCTACAGAGGCTAGTGGGCAGTGACCCTCAGAGACGCGCTTGCTCTCGTGTTTGTCAACATTTCAAATCGAGGCAAATGTCACGCGCATCTATTACACACAGACGAAGACGGTTGCATTTGGCTGTTCGTCGCAAGAAACCCAGGTGCCCTGCACGTCTTTTGTCCAGGGCTGTCTATATCTACTTGGTACACACGAAAATAGTGTCCTCCAAAGAGATATTAAGGTGCCAGACTCGACAACTCCAACTGTGACAACATCCATAGACTTGAGCAAGGCTGTGGAATGCGGGCGGTGTCTTCTGGCCAGAAATGGCCTCCAAGATCGGCATCATGTTGACTATATCTGCCGTTGCCGTCTATCCATATCCCCAAAAGCAGATGCCCAAGGTCGCTCATCTCCGCCGACACTCTTTGCGGTAAGAGGCAGGTGATACAAGTCGTCGACTTGCCGTCGTGCGTGGGACGTACTTCATATCTTGATCCCTTGTTATCTGGTTCTCCGCACTTGCAGATCCTGAGGGGAGCCACAAAAGAAGTACGGTGATGCCCACCTCTATCGCATCCCAAGGACGTTGGACTATGTTATGGACTTTTCTCACAATGGCAGGTCGAGAACTCCATGTCCAAAGGCCGCATACGCATACCCAATTCATTGGTTGCCCCCCTGGATGTTTGAGATAAAACCATGATAGAGCGCTGCGAGATCGTCGGCATATGGCCGAACAGGACATGTCCCGTCATATACCCTGAGCCAGACATATTTTAACGAGACGTGTTCTCGGATCCCTGTGTCCTCTCAGTGAAGACTACCCGGTCTCTGGTCGATTCGCAAAGATGAAGGACGACATTGAAACACACCAGACGAGGGTGACCTCCGTCGAGAGTATCGACGAAAAGCTTGTTGACTATCAGGATGTGGACGCAGCCCTTGGCTTTTTGCGGGCCAATGCCAGTGCTGGGCAGGCAATTGACATTGACGAGAAGAAGCTCATGCGAAAGGTCGACTGGATGATCATGCCATTGATGTTCGCCTGTTATTATTTGCAGTATACTGACAAGACTCTGCGTGAGTGCACACGCGGTGAACCCTCGTTCAAACGCTGCTGACCATGGTATAGTCTCCTATGCCGCGATCATGGGCGTCATTGAGGACACCCACATGCCGTCGAATGGCTTCTCGAATTTGGCAATCGCATTCTATGTCTCTTTCCTGTTCTGCGAGCCACTTCAGTCCTTCTTCATCCAGAAGTTCCCTACCGCGAAGTATTTGGGTTGCAATGGTAAGTGCAAGAATCGTGAGCCTCGGAAGCAGTACGCTGATAATGCAGTGATTCTGTGGGGCATCGTTGTCTCCCTGAACTGTGTCTGCCACAATTTTGCATCCATTGTCGCGCTTCGGGTCTTGCTCGGCATGTTCGAATCATGCGTTGCTCCCAGGCAAGTGCGGTCAAAGTTCGAGACGAAAATGTGTCTGACCGATTTCAGTCTTGTAATCCTCACGGCCATGTGGTACAAGCGGCATGAACAAGTTTCACGGATGGGGATCTGGTACCAAGGCGTTCGTCTCCTCCCTCCCCTTCCTTCCCATTCAAAGAGTCGATGTTACCAGTAGGTCGTCTTCGACGGAGGCTAACAGATAGATATGTTATAGACATCGGTGGCCCCAGCTGTGTCCTCCTTGGCCTCATACGGCTTCCTCCATTACACAAACTCCCACCCGCACCTCCATTTCAAGTCGTGGCAAATCCTGTTTCTCGTCTTTGGGATCATCACGATTGCTATTGGCGTCTTAGTCGTCCTCTTCCTTCCGGATAACCCTATGAAAAGCCGGTTGTCTGCCGAAGAGAAAATCTACATTATCGAGCGAGTCCGCGAGAATCAGACTGGAATTGAGAACAAGAAATTGAAGACCAAGCAGGTCAAGGAGGTGCTCCTTGATTTCAGAACTTGGTTGCTGAGTTTGGTTGTCATCACCACCAACGTGCCCAACGGCGCCGTTAGCTCTTTCTCCAGCATTATTATTGAGAAGTATGTCAAATCAGACCCACATATACATACTCTTTACTGACCTCTTTGAAAGCTTTGGTTTCGACGAGTACACAACGTTGCTCCTCAACCTCCCTGGGTGCGCGGTCGCTTTCGTGTCAGTCGGTTTCGGAACATGGTGGGCCGGCAGATATAATGGCAGGGGCATCGCAATCATTGTTCTCACGATCCCGACCTTGCTCGGAGGAGCTCTGATGGCATGGTTGCCTCCTTCAAACAAGGGTGGCTTGCTCACGGGCAATTACTTGACTAATACCGTCGGTGCTAGTAAGTGTGGACTTTGGCGCAACCGCCCATGGCAGCTGCTGACAATCGCAAGCTCTTCCGTTGATGTACAGCTGGATCACATCGAACTGTAAGTGTTTCTCAAGTACCATTTTTGGGACATGCAGCTGACGACTAGTAGATGCTGGACATACGAAGAAGATCACGATGAACGCGATTGTACTGATGAGCTTCTGTGTGGGCAATGTAAGTCCCTCTCCAAACATATACTCCGATGAGGAGGCGCGGCTGGTATTTCGGGTGCCAGGACCCGAGTTTCATGCTGGGAGCGCCTCCAACAAAGCTTGAGTCGTCCACTGTTTGAGAGGAGATATTGCTAACACTCTCTTCACTCAAATATCAGATCATCGGGCCGGAGACTTTCCGCGCCAAAGACGCGCCCCAATACATCCCGGCAAAGCTTACCATTGTGGTGATTCTCTCGGTTGCCATTGTCCTGGCCATCACACTTGATTTGCTCTACGTGCGGGAGAACAAGAAGAGGGACCGTGAAGACCATCAAGATCTGCCTCAGGATTACGAGTTCCTTGATTTGACAGATAAGGAGAACAGGAACTTCAGATATCTGCTATGATTGGCTTTTTGTTGGTTCCGCGACCGCAAGCAAGGAAGGGAGCGAGGATTGGTCGCGGATGTAGAGTTCCAGAGGTTAAGTGAAGGCAGGACTGCAGGTAAATATATAGTCACCAGCTTACATACATGGCGATATCCTCAATTGCAGACCTGTATAGATAGGTGCGCGAACGGTTATGGACAAGATCGAGTCTCATCCCCGCCAGCAAGCGAACAGGTCTCCTAGGCGAATTTGCGACAGTTACGGGCGTACGAATGTATGAAACGTTCACCACCACCGCCGTCATCATTGTAATCATTATCGGGGGGTGCACAGCTGCATCATCTCTACATTAACGAAATTGTCAGGCTTACCCAGTATTGTGTCATGTCTACTCCGAACTTAGCTGGTACCAAGGTCCATATCTACACAACCGCATTGGACCATTGTCCTTGGCCACAGCAAGGGCTACGCTAGGATCAGAAATAAAAACGAATCACAATATACCTACTACTCCGATATTCCATAGAGAAGAGATAAACCCCCCAAAAAACTTACTTATAAAAGCAAAAACAATCAACAGTCAGGATTCCCAAGTGGTCACCCACCTTAGTACTAACTGACCGGCATGTGGCTTAAGTACGGCTGAGCGAACGGGAAGCCCTGTTCTCCACATCCTATGGTCGATTGCGATGAACACTGTGCACTTACATTACTTGAACAGCTCAATTGTGTTTGGTGGGACGCCTTTGTTCGCTTTCAGCCGGGGCGGGGGCTGGATGGCTCTGGAGCGAATTTCGCTCGGGGCTTGCGATCCACGCCGGTCTTGTTTTGCTGCTATGGAGTACATTAATCGACGCGAGTGGCTGCCGCCATCGCTTCGAAGGTGAGCATGAGGGATGAAAGAGGGAGAAAATAGACGGGAATATCCAAAAAAAAAAAAAAAAAAAAAAAAGGGCCGGGGAGAAAGATAAATAATTGAGGGAGATATTGCATATATACATGGAGAAGATGCCTCTGACTACGGCCGATGTGCCTGCCCGATTCCTCCAGGCCGCGCTACTCGTCGGCCACATCCCCCTGAGGGCCGTGGCATGCGACCCGCGCGTCTCTTATGCGCTCTACGTCCCGCCACACCACTACAACCCCAGGCCGGCCCAGGGAGAGGACAAGCTTCCGCTCCTCGTGTACATGCACGGCACCAGACGAGACATCTCGGCGATCCACGACGCTCACGGCCTCGTTGCCTTCGCCGAGGCGACGCCGTGCGCCGTGCTCGGCCCCTTGTTCCCTGCGGGCCTCGACGGGCCCAACGACATCGACTCGTACAAGTTGCTACGATCGAAGACGCTCCGGTCAGACCTGGTGCTCCCGGCCATGCTTGATGAAATCGCACAGCGGTGGCCGGGCGTCCGGACGGAGAAGATATTCATGATGGGTTTCTCCGGCGGAGGGCAGTTCGCGCATCGGTTCTTGTATCTGTACCCAGAACGGCTGGCTGCTGTTAGTGTGGGAGCGCCGGGGCGTGTTACGAGTTTGGACAGTCAGAAGAAGTGGCCGCGGGGCGTGGCGGACGGGGAGGCTCTCTTTAGTCGGACGGTCCAGGGAGATATGGTCAGGAAGGTCCCGATCCAACTGGTCATTGGCGGTGCTGATAATGTCGTCCACGGCGGGGAAGAGTTCTGGGTCTGGCTGCGGCAGATGAAGGCTCGAGACAGGAGTGGGACAGTCGAGGCGGGCGGCTACGAGAATAGCGACCTCCCACAGATGGATCAGGGAAGGCTTGAGTTGATTCATGTTCACACCTCGACATCGTGCCGGGCGTGGCTCACGATGATAAAGGGGTTCGAGAATCTGTCCTTCAGTTCATGCGCCCTCATTTGCAGCCCAGAGGCACCGTGCCGCCTGAGATAGGTTGAGTTAGAAGTTCAGCAAAAATATGCGTTCGTGACATGCGTTCGTGGCATGCGTTCGTCCTTCCTCCAAACGATCCGCTCTAGCTTTGGCTTTGCTGTAGAGGTTCTTTTCCGCTCTCATGGTCTGTTGGGTCTTGTCAGAGTAGCGAAGCAGCAAAAGCAAGCACTGGCCTGCCATAGCCCTGAGATGGCATGGTGCTGTCTCAAATGGCTCCTCGATTACAGGGCCAGCGATGATCAATCCAGACGGACACATATTGCGACCGAAGACCTTTGAAAGTGGGCTCCTGGTGCGAAGCCAGGATGATATGCTCGGCTAGAGAGAGGTACCACCAAAGATCCTAAGACGCTGCTCACAGCCGCGGTGCGAGGTGGAGGGTGGAGTTGGCGGATGACGGAGGCGCACATCGACGGCATCGACGGCATCGACGGCATTGATGGCGGAGGTGGAAAATGCAAACTCTCCCTTGGATTTCTCCTCTTCATTCTAGTTGCCCAGATTCCATCATGGAAGCCAGTGAAGATGGTGCTTCCCTTTCCCCTGAACCACGTCCGCGGACGGGTGTTTCACCCTTCCATTCTCGCGCCCTGATCTCATGCAGTTTCTGCCGCAAGAGGAAGCGAAAATGCGATAAGACTTTACCCGACTGTTCCTTCTGCCGAAGGTAAGTTCGTGCCTCTATCTGAACTAGCCGACTAAGAGAGGACGCACCATACATTGATCAACTGCCTCTAGACACAGGAGGAGATGTGTGTATCCCAAGCGCAGAGCGCCGCCCCTGGCAGTGGAGGAAGCGTCTCTGTCTCCGTCCGCAAAAACACATGTCGAACCTCATCCATCAGAGGCAGTGGTTGTCTACTTCCTGGACCACAACATCTTCAGATACGGACAGTTGGTGGTCACAGACGTCCACCCAGCCGTTCCTGAAAGCGTCTCGAGCCTCCTGGGGGATTTTGCGTCCGTCCAGAAGAATGCCGCAGAATATTTTAGGACCGTCCACTGTTGGTGGTCTACCATTTCCAAGCATTCTTTTTACAACCGACTACTAAATCCTCTTGTGCCAAGGCAAGGAGATGTCAGTCTGCTCTTGCTTTGCATGAAATTGATCATCTGGAGGCCGTCCGACGAAAGGCAAGACCCCCGCACACCGTTGTATCTTGCTGCGAAGCACTATTCAACAGAGCTTGAGGTGGCGGGAGCGTTCAGCATCCGTGGGTTACAGGCAGCGGTGCTGATTGCAGTCTACGAATACGCCCACGGGATCTACCCATCTGCATTCCTCTCTGTCGCCTCCTGCGCCAGATATGGGAGAGCGCTTAATATTCACCTGACTCTGACAGACACCTCTGGGGCGGGCATGGACTGTTTCCGGTCAGAAGAAAAGAGACGGCTTTGGTGGGCCATTCTCATTCTCGATCGCTTCGCGAATATAAGCGGTCCAGGAAGACGAGACTTCGAGATTGATGATCCAAGCCCAAGAGATCTTCTACCCGCCGATGATGCGGCCTGGGATGCGGGCATGGTTACCCCATACGACGGAATGACCATCTCGTGTCCGTCGACGGAACGAATGGGTAGATTTGCAAAATTGGCGCAGGCGACACATCTCCTCTGTCGAGTCCTCCGGCATGTTGGTGATCGGTCAATGGACCCAGAATTCCGTGAGAGCCAGGAGCGTCAACTAGAGAAGGCAATCCAAATGTCAATCCGCATGGTCAGTGGCGTCCTTAAAGGTCCCGCAGGCGCTCATGCCCAGATATGTTATAGGTAAGTGTTACTATCTCAGAATGATGAGCTTCGTCTAGGCTCATCAGAGGAAGTTCCCTATTCGTCCTTTATGACGACGCCTTCAACATCGAGCCTTCAACTCCGGCTGAGCTCATACGGCGCGATCATGCGCGCGATTTGCTAGAACGAGTCTCGAAGACATGCTCAACTTCCTCGGGTCACTTCCTACAGGGTAATGCACTCCCTGTCGAGATGGTGGCTCCGTTTGTTCTGCATTGGAAGTATCGAGCAGCATCCTTTTACGTTCGTATGGGCAGAGAAAGCTCCAACAGCGATCATGCAAAGAACTTGGAGATTCTCAAGATGGGACTGAAGAAACTCGATACCAGGTGGAAGATTGCAGGTACTTGAAGTCCGCTCTCGAGATGGCTGATTTAATGAGGAATCTTTCGCAGGAACCTATCTACGAATGCTCGAAGCCAGGGAAGTCATGCTCTGCACCTAGACGCAACTAAAACGGCATCCACTTCTCCTCTCTCTCTCTCTCTCCACGCCAAATGTCCGTCAAATTCCACCGACTCCGTCGCCCTCCACCAGTTTCCTCCTTGTCCACCTGCCGCCATCGTACCTCCACATCCTTGACTTGATCGACACAAGGTTCTGTCACATGCATACTGCTTTCAATAACTCTTGCGAGGCTAGTCAGCGCTAACCAATGCAACTTGCAAAGCATGGCTGCCGCCTTTGACCATCACTCGACCCGGGGCTCCGGATTTTGTCACGCTTATGAATTTTGGCCGACGTGTTCAATCGCTACACAAGTGTCACAGCATAGAATTGTCGAACATACCATCGCAGTATCGTCCTGTCAGACGTAAGCGGGACCGAGGGTCGAAGCAAATCTGTGAGGAGGTCCATTTATTGAATACTCATCAGCTGGGGCTGTCTGACCTGTTGATCCGAAGCAATGATTGGATCCAAGGCAGGCCGTTGACCTCATATCTCGGGTCCATTGTGCAAATATATAATGGAGCACTCAGCGCCCACCGTAGTTCACTGTGAGGGTACTCATCAACGCATTCCGGTTCAGTCGAACATCCTTACACTGAAAGACATTATCCTGCAACAGAATCATCAACCGAGGACTCCAAGCCAAAATGCCTATTTACAGGGTAAGCCACGTCGGCTTTGATCAAGCTCCTCTCTTGATGGCTCGAGCCTTGTCTGAGCCCTCATCCCTCAATATTTCCCGCTCACAATCTCCCTCATAGATCCAACATTCGTGCCCCCTCACGCAGTACCAGAAATCCCTGTTAGCCCACAAGATCACCGTGTTACACAGCACCGAATTCCTGACCCCGTCACTCTTCGTCAACGTCCACTACCTACCCGGCGAGCCGGCCAGTGATTTCTTCCTGGCCGGCAAGCCCTACAACCACGGCCTCACATCGCCGAACCGCATCATGGGCACAGTGCGGACGGGCCCGAAACGCACAAAGGAGCGATTCGACGCTTTTGCCAAGCAGCTCGAGGCAGCCTGGTACGAGGTCGTCAATGGGCCGAAGGAGGAAGGTCAGGCCAACGTTCGTGGTGCTGTCAATGGCCACAGAGGAGAGATCAGCAAGGAAGAAAGATTGGCGAGAAAGCTGCACATTGTGGGCTTTACGCCGGTGATTGGCGGGCTCGAGAACGGAGTGCTTCTCCCAAGTGTGAGCTTTTCTTCCCGTCGCCATCCACCGTGAATTTTCTTTCCTTCCTCTCAAAACTCGACCTAGGCTTCCTCAGAACAATGCTTACGACTTCTTGTTCCTCCTCTGATCTAGGCCGATAACGAAGCGACATGGCTGAAGGACAACATGACCTTCTTCAAGGAGCAGGCCGAGCTCTACGACGACGAGCCGTTCCAGAATCTGCTCCAGGAGTTGAAGGAGAGGCCTGACTTGAGAAAGCTGGTTGAGTGAAGGCACGGAAAACGGCACCGGGCTTTCACCATGTCTCAGCGGTGAGCATAATAGCTAGGCCTTGACACAGATGGGCTGACGACGAACGTGAAAGGGTGAGGGAGCAAGGACAAGGGGACGCGCAACAGCACGAGGCTTAAACCCTGCCTGCTAGCTATCCGGCCAGCTGGCAGCCTCGTCACGGGTCAAGTTAGATAGTAATGATTTTTTGAATAAAATCGATTGGTGGTAAATTCAGCGCCTTTTTGATACGACACACGCTCTGTCTGTCTGCCCCGGATGTCGAACTTTGATCATATTCGGCCCCCCCTCCCCCTCACATGTCCGCTGTATTCAGAGCGTGGTAATGTCTTGGTAAATTCGTCCATACATGCCCCGTCTTTCGTTCGTTTCCACTCACAGTCGGCTCTCGCCGCCTTCCTTCTCCTTGACAACTAGCCCCCGCTGCGACTCCCACACCTTTTCCCAGATGCGCATGCCGCGGTCCCACAGCTCGTCCTCCTTGTCCTCGACCACATTGCCCTCGTGGTCCAGCCACCTCAGAGACCTCTCTCCGCGCGCAGCAGCAGCGCCGGCGTCGAGCAGCTTCTCCCCAGCCAGGAACCTGCCGAACGGCTCCAGGAAACGCTGGATCACACGCTTGTCCTGCGCCGTGTAGTCGGCGCGCCAGCCGCTGGCCCACCATATGGGGGTGTCGAGGCCGTGGCAGACGCCGACGGCGGGCGAGATCCAGTTGTCGAGGTTCTTCGCCCGCCACGATATCCGGTACCGGTGCAAGTTGGGCCGCGGTAGGGGTTTGACCACGGCACCTGTTTCGTGCGGAGGCGGGTTGAGCACGACGTGCGTGAGGCCCCGAAGTGAGGCGTGCACCTGCACGTCCGCAACGATCTGGCTGAACACCTCGGCCCACTCCGCCGCGTTGGTCGAGGTACCCGCCGGCATCGAGTACAGCGGCAAGAGGGCCTTGACCACGTGCGCAGGGTAGTAGTTGGCCAACTGCGTCACGAGGCCCTGGTGCGAAGAGGGCGGATTGACGATTTTGTACAGTTCCTTTTCGTCGCAGACTTCGCCGAGGAAGATGGAGATGTCGTTTTCGGCGAGGCGCGTAGCGAACGAACCCGAATGCAGCGAGGAGAGGAATGTGCTGGGGACGAAACAGTCGTCGGTCGAGGAGCGGAAAGTGTGCATTTTCATCTTCGCCAACGACGCGATCAAGTCCTTGGCCGGGATCTGGCGGAGTCGCTCCAGTTTTTCGCGCGGACTGCTTGAGAGAGGAATCTCAAATATCGCGCAGAGATCATTGAATTGTTGCGTCAGCACCGGGGAAGTGGTTGGGTTTGGCTGGATCGCCACAGCGTTGGACCACAGGTACACTCTCCTGACCAGTCTCTTTTCCCGAGGCAGGAGAATGTCGTAGTTGAGCTGGAAAAAGGTGCTGTTCGCACCCGCAGACAGCCCTCCTACAGTGATGTTGGACGCGTCCCCGCCGAACAGGTGGATGTTCTTTGCCACCCACTCCAATGCGCACCGTTGGTCCCACAGGCCGTAGTTTGACGGGGAAGCGTCTTCCTTCAGACTGGCAAGTTCGGAACCAGCTAGGAAACCGAACAGGTTGAGGCGGTAGGTTGGCGAGACGATTATACGGGGCGTGGTGTGTGCCAGGAGGTCAAAGGGGTCCGTGTCGTTCTGCTGCAGGGCGTCGCCGACTTGGAGCCAACCCCCGTGGATGTGGAATTGGACAGGCCATCCTTTCTCATTGGGGGCAGGCGAGGCTGGGACCCAGATGTTCAGGTAGAGGCAGTCTTCATCCTGGACATTATCGACGGGCGGAGCTGCATTCGGGTTCGCCACGGCTATGGAGCCATGGTCGTAGTGAGGTTGTGGGCAGATGGGCCCGAAGCGTGTGTAGTCTCCCGGGGTGCCTTGCGGGTTGTTAAACGTAAAGGCCTCCGGTAGGGCTTGGGGTCGACGCCAGCGGCGGGACCCCGTCGGGGGAAGTGCATAGGGAACTTTTGTGAAGCGATATAGAATAGGGTTTCCCGCGAGGTCGCGTTGTTCGAGACCCTTAAGGGAGCCCCGGGATGTCTTTAGGATGTATGGATGGGAGGTTGATTCTGTTGAGCGCATTGTGACCTCGTCCAGCTTGTTTGTTGAGAAGGTCTCAATCCAGATAATCAGATTTCGCACGCCCGAGGCAGTTATTTATTTATCGTTTATTGTCGCAGAACGGGGCTGCCAACGCAGATGTCCTACTTTGCTGTACTGCGTACACAGAAGGCAGAAGCAAACCCTCTTTCTCTGCAAGACTCAAATTTTCGACAACATAAAAAAGCAAGCAAGGTCGAGACAGGGGATGTCTCAACCGACTCCGAACCAATAATGGAACCGAGGAAAGACAATGCGGCGTCGTGGATCTCCATCGGCAGTTGATTTAACTCCGCCCCGCTTCCCGATAGCGGAGGCTTTCCGCCAGCATCAGCGCCGAGGCTCCGGAGAACAAGGAGAACACGGGGAGGAAGGAGAAAAGAATCGCGCAATCCTTTCTCAATGGTTGTGCGTCTATGACGGGACGTTGCACTCAACGACGACTGGCGACCTCTCCTTTCATAACAAGGGGCGGAAATCTATACACCATCGCTGGAGAGAAGGGACCCCAGCAAACACGCAGCAAACAATATAACCCACCGTTTCTAGAATTTCTCTGTGATAGGTACAGAGTATGGAGTATGTTTCGATGATCGAGGCAAGACATGAACTCGATTTCGAAACCAATTTGGGGGAATGAGGGAGAAGGCGAGGAGGTATATTAGATATAGTGCAGTGGCTCTATTTGAGGTCCGGTCATGGTGCCCGTCTTTTCAAGTGTTTGGTGAGCCTGGCAGCTCTGGCTATTGCTTCAGTACTGGTATGTCTAAGCACGGCATGGTTGTTTGTCCACCGTTAGACTTCATACTACAAAAAAGTACAAGTAGGTCATTGGTTAGTTCTCTTGGGTGTGATGGCCACGGGTCAGTGGTTTCGTTTCGGCTCCATCGGTCTTGGTGGGCGGCACCAGCGGGAGGCTTGATCGGCATGAGGTCACGGTGGCTAAGTAAAAGCCACAAGCGAGAAATCTGGCTCGCACCAGGTTGACCAGGCTGGCCTGTTATTAGTGGTCGATGACATTGGTAGCCCCAAGAAGCAACATCTGGCTGTGTCTCGGGGTGTTTTCTGGGGCTTGCCATAGAAACAGCTGACATTTCTTGTAACTCGCAATTTCTTCTTCCTTTTTTTTTTTCCGGGCCCAAAGGAGTCTGGAATTTGTCGACAAATTAAGATCAGCAGTGAGCTGTCAGGGGAGATCATCAGGCTATCGGATTCTGGACCGAAGGACCCCCGGCTGGACTGCGACGATCCAAACGGATTGAAACAGCCAGAAACTCACTCAACTATTGGCCAGGCTGGGAATTTCACATGGAAGCCAACAATTCCCCTGTTGCTGGTGCCGTTGTGGTTGCCCAAGGGTTGACGTGACTTGCAGACGAGGGCGTGAGCAGGAGATCGACTGACCGGCCATCTGAGAGATAGCTTCGTCGGCTGTTCAATACGAGCCTGATTGCTCGTCCATCTTTCTGATGAGGCTGACAGTGATTTTCGGGAGCAGGTGACAGGCATCGACGTGGGGGTGTTGCATCATAGCCGCCGAATGGAAGCTTCAGAGCAGCCAGTGCTATTTCAAGCAGCCATCGGTAATTCGTGGGAAATGAGGCAGATAAATCACTCGAGTCCGTACCAGGTAACAGTACTGGGTACAATGAACCAGCTGGACCTGGGACAGCAGATTGGAACAAAATCATGCATGCCCAACCGATGAGGCAAATGGCTTGCGAATGGCGAAACAGGTTGAGGAGAAAGGTGACGGTGGTACGATTTCGACACATTCCAGGCGACACTTTATGGCCAAAAGGCCGGCATGACGCCTGGGGAGGTTGAGCTGCCGACGTAGTTATAGGCTAGGTACCTAGGTAGGCATACCTGCACTAACTAGCGAGGCCTAGGGCCCCCCGCTTAACCTGGCTAGGCACTTGTCTTAGCTGTACGTGTTAGAGGCCTGTTCAAGTACGTGGTTCGCCTGGGCACCAAAGAAAGGCAACCAACCGAGTTTGAACAGGAATTTATTTCTTCGTGATCGAGGTTCGCCGCAACGAGCACGACTGGACTGCCTGGTCCTCTTGTGTATGGGAGTGCATTCATACAAGTACTGGTAGAGAGAGTAAAACGGAGAGATAGCTAATTACCTAGAAACATGGATGGTGTGCATGTAAATGCCTGTTTAGTTAGGACTGTCCGTGAGGTGCAAAAGGGCGCAGACGGGTCGGCCCCTCGACAGCAGCTGGGAGTGAAAGGGCGCGGCAATGACTACCTAGGGATTGGGGGGGGGGGGGGTGACAGTCAAAGTGGCACCCGCACCGCCTCCCGTCGGCCCTCGCTGGTCCCCCCTCGGTGCCCCCTTTTGGCCGCCCGTCTGCCCGCGACCTCCCCTGCAATTGGATGGGCACTGATGGGGACTGCGCTCCTGGCGCAACTGCTCCTCCAAGGTGAGCAGGAGGCGAGAGGGTCAAAGGCCGGTCTCAGCTTTCCAGCACTCGCTTGCCTGTGATCAATTTGCAACCTTTCCCTTTCGTTTCCCGGATCCCGTCCCATCCCTCGTTTACACTCCCTTCATTCCTCCATCCCACCCACCATCCTTCTCTCTCCCCATCTCAACAAACAGAGAGAAGCAACAAGCTTGATCGACTTGTGAGCGTCGAAACTCACTTGTCATCAAGCTTCTCTTATTTCTCCTTCACCTTCGACAACTGCAGCACTAGGTTAGTCATCTCCTTCTTCCCGTCTACCGCCTTCTTTCCCGCTTCGCCCACTTGGCTTTCCTCGCAACCTCGCCATTCTTGATTCACCTACACCGGTTCATCCTTACCCTTCACCTTCACCTTCATTCCCATCCTCATCTTCCACCTCCCCCGGAACCTCAACTACCAACTCCGTCTTCAACTCTCCCTGACCTTGCCTCTCCCTTCTGAAGTTTCAGGAACCACCAAGCTGCTTCAGTCACGTTGTCCAGGCACTGAAGACTGACAAGTGGTGGGCTTGCTAATCAAGGTGGAAATAGGCTGAGACCGCTTCAATCTCTCCTCAGGAGCCACCGCTTTTCCCAGAAACCGACTCAACCTTCAATCAGATCCCTCTCCCCCATTATCCAGATTTCCATCGACAATTGCATTGCAGCGTGTCTGCTCATCATTCCATCAACATGACGACAATGGTATGTAAGAGCTTGAACAGTTTGGTCTCAAGGAGAAAAAAAAAATATAATAATATGGGTGCAAAAAGAGTTGGAAGTTGATTGTCACACCTTGATCCCATCCTTGGTTGTTGCTGCTGTCTTCATCTGCTGACTTCTATCGTGACAGGATTTGCGTGTTGGTAACAAATACCGCATTGGTCGAAAGATCGGCAGTGGAAGTTTCGGAGATATCTACTTGGGCACCAACATCATCTCAGGTGAAGAAATTGCCATCAAGCTCGAGTCCGTCAAGGCCAAACATCCTCAGCTGGAGTATGAAGCCCGTGTCTACAAGTCTCTTGCGGGTGGTGTTGGAATTCCGTTCGTCCGCTGGTTTGGAACAGAATGTGACTACAACGCCATGGTCCTCGACTTGCTGGGTCCCAGCTTGGAAGATCTCTTCAATTTCTGCAACCGCAAATTCTCCCTCAAGACCGTCCTCTTGCTAGCCGACCAGCTCATCTCTCGAATCGAATACATCCACGCCAAGTCTTTCATCCACCGCGACATCAAACCCGACAACTTCCTTATGGGGATTGGCAAGAGAGGCAACCAGGTCAACGTGATCGATTTTGGTCTGGCTAAGAAATACCGCGACCCTAAGACTCATTTCCACATCCCATACCGCGAGAACAAGAACTTGACTGGCACGGCTCGTTATGCCTCGATCAACACTCACTTGGGTGTGGAACAATCTCGCCGCGATGACATGGAGTCTTTGGGCTATGTCATGCTCTACTTCTGCCGTGGTTCGCTTCCATGGCAAGGCCTTAAGGCTGCCACCAAGAAGCAGAAGTACGATCGAATCATGGAGAAGAAGATGACCACGCCCACCGAAGTCTTGTGCCGTGGTTTCCCCAACGAATTCGCCATCTACCTCAACTACACCCGCTCTCTCCGCTTCGACGACAAGCCGGACTACTCGTACCTGAGGAAGATCTTTCGTGATCTTTTCGTTCGCGAATCCTTCCAGTACGACTACGTTTTTGACTGGACCGTCTACAAATACCAGAAGAATGCCCAGGCTATTGCCCAGGCGGCTGGCAACCAGACCACCCAGGAGGACGAGGAGAAGCCACGACGCGGTGCTCACCCTGCGACTGCGGCAGCCACGGGGGCCCCGACTCCTCAACATGCCTCCCAAGCTGGCAAACCGGCCGCTATTTCCAGCTCCCGACGCAAGGTCATCGAACGCGGTGCTAGCGGCAACGACCAGGGAGGAAGTGACAGGATGTGAGTACTGAAACCTCAAGGTTCCCATGTAAGGGATCTCCTCTGCGTTTTGCTTCGGTTTGCGTGGAGGTTTACCATGGCATCTGACTAATGCGCTAGTCTTCGACGTTAGGCTTCGTTCCGGTACAAGGATAACCACTGGCAACGGCGATTATCGTTGAAACGGAATGATGGCTTGGTGTTTCTTGGCACTGAACTTGTTCCACCAACCTTTCTCGAGGACCGCTGTCGGTCTTCCAGAAGGACACAACACACAAATGGGTATGTCGGATCCGGCGCGGGGTTTGCTCTAGCACATGGCAAATCCGGATCGGAAATCGGAGAGGACCAACATGGGCAAACAAAACTTTTATCTGAATGGCTTCCTCGGCTCAATCCTAACATGCGATACTGGAACGATTACCAACGACTGGATGGGCGTCGGTCAACTCTTTCACGAGTAGCCTTGCATGAGACATCGGACATGAACGAAAGTTTGGCAACATACGACATGACAGCATCCATCAAGATCGGTTGCTGCCCCATTTATGCGGGATTGATTCGGGGACTCAACTCCACGAGCGTCCTGCGTCTACCACGATGGATCACTACCTCGACACGTAGACCTAGTATTTCAGAATCACCACCGACCAACCCTCGGCACCTTTGGCACGTTTTCCTTTTTGTCTTGGCTTCACGCTTATGCTCACCGTCCGAGTACTGCTTCAAGGAAGAAGGAGAGAAGAGAGATTAGAGAGATTGGAGAACATGAACTGCGAAGGAAGGCCCCACAAGCTCAGGGATGGCGAAGCTTTATGACCTGCGGCCGGGCTTCCCGAGCAGCAGGAAGAAGGGAATTTAAGTAAGGCAAAGATGGCGAAGGACTTGGGAGGGGCCGCTCCTGGGGAGGCATATGAACAGTAACTCTTTGCTTGGGCGGAAGCAACACCATAATTAGTGGCGAAGCAGGGGAGTCTCCTCATTGACTCGACTTGCTAGTTCAATCAAAATCAATGTGCTACCCAAAAGAGGCTCTGGTCGGTTTTTCTTTTGGCTCAGGTGACAGAAACAAGACGTACCTACCAAGTATGTAGCTGGGTATCTGGTATCTCGACGCCATGTACAGAGTGCTTGGACAACATACTCACAAGGTACGGAGTACGAAGGCTCGACCGCATTTGCGGGGCAGACACCACAGTCACGCGTGCAGTTGCGTCCTGGAACGTTTCCTGTGGTTTCTCAGTTGGTCAGTGCCAAGTTCCAAGATCTGAGAAAGATGGGTACCCAGTATTATGTATGTGCATGGCTCAGAGGAGTAGCGAGTAGGGCTGCAAGAGTCCCTTCCAGCCACCCATTTGACAAGGTGACACGAGCTGGAGGAGGAGCAGGGAACCAAGGCTTCTTCACAGCTCCGCCAGCTTGCAGCTGTTGTTCCCTCTCGACGGGACCGTCTGTCCTTTGTTTCAGCACTTCGAATCCGCTCAATTCTCCCTTTTGGTCGAGCCTTTGGTTCGTCCATTCTCGCTTACAAAACAGTCGCAATTCGGTTAGTCGACGGCTGCACCCCCTCGACCCCCTCGGGAGCTGGAGTGGCAGTACCGGGTAGTCTCAGTCGCAGTTGGTCGACTGCGCCGACCTCGCCCTCTCAGACATCGACCCTAATCAGGACACCCTGCAGCACCGAATAACCCCCAGTCAACCTCGCAACCGCCACGTGAGGGTGAGCTTTGCTGCATAGTGACGGAGCCTAGCTGTAGGCATGGTGTTCTGAAACTACCACCGCTCACCGACTCCCCTTCAGAAACTCCCAGAGCCAACCGCCAACACGTCCAGAAAACAATTATTGGTGAGTCTTTCCAGCAACTTTACCTCGAGCCTGTCTCTCTTGTGCCGCCCCCCCCCCCAAAAAAAGAGAGAGAACAGGGGAGAGCAAGCACCAGCAGAAGAAGAGGCTGATTCCCGGTTGTACAGGGGTTATATATCTGGGAAGCAGTCCGATACTGCCCTCTCCGAATCTACTTCCGCCAGTGGGCACCATCCCCATCATCCGTCATACAGGTGTAAGTAATGATGCGTCAGTTCTCATACGATTGTTTTGTAGCGCGCCCTAGTCTTTTTCGCTGCCACGGATTGACCGGGAAGAGGGATGCGCTGCGTCCTACCCAGCCTTGCGCCTTCGAGGGGACCTGTGGAATCGTCGGTTCGAATAAGCTCTTCAAGCCCGCCCAAGGGAACATGTTCGAGTGAGTCACTCTCTTCTATCCGCTTTGGTGAGCAAAGATGAGGCGCATTGTGGCACCTAGAGCGCCGCCGCGGATGGCTACAAGACTTGTCCTCGATTGCTAACGCAGGAGCCATCAGGAATGGGGACTCGAAGAGTGTGGTCAGCGCAGCCGGAAAGACTCGAGCTCAAACACCCGCCCAAGTCCTTGCTTAGTATACAACACAACAGCTATGAGACCCTTCAGGATGAAGCTACCTGATCAATCCTCAGTCGCAACTTGCTCACATCTGGTGTTTTGTCACATTCTCACGTCGATGGACTGATAATATCCGCTCCTACAGACTCGAACCTCCCGATCATAGGCCGACTGCACTCACTCACTTGACCAGCAATCACCCAAGCCCCTGTCAAACAATCAATCCTTGCAATCTAACCCCCTAGCCAACGATGCCTGTCGAACTACGCAAACGGCCTCCCCCAAAGGAACCAGCTGCCCCGCCTCCGGCCGCCAAACGAGGGAGCGGTAGCAGCACGGTGAAGAAACTCGTCCGCAAGGCCGTCCCCGCCGTTCCTCGAATCGGGTCGTCCAGGACAGCCAAAAAGACCGACGGCTCTGCTGTGGCTGACCTGCCAGAGCCGGAAGCTGCCCCTAGCACCGGCGAAACCGCACCGGCCGCAGGGGCCAGCGAGAAAACCAAAGAACCGGCGGCGAACGGCAGCGCGGTAAAGGGGACTGGGAAATTGACCGTAGGGGGCAAGATCGATCTCGACGGCTTTGGTGGCACGGTGCAGACGCACGATGGAACCAACGTGACGTTGAAAGAGCTGATAGAGAAGAGCGGCGCAGGCATCGTCATCTTCACGTATCCAAGGGCCAGTACGCCGGGCTGTAAGTCGTCCCATCTTCATCTTGCATATCGGAACGAGAGTGGTTTTACTCCAGAGATCCGGTGCAGAGCGGCAGACTGACTGCTGTACAGGCACCAATCAAGCATGTCTCTTCCGGGACAACTACACGCCCATCACGGGTGCATCGCTCGCAGTCTATGGATTGAGTACGGACAGTCCTAAGGCGAACACCACGTTTGCGACCAAGCAGAAGTTGCCGTATCAGCTATTGGTGAGGACCCAATGCCTTGATTCTTCGCCCAGTGCCATCTCCTAGAGAGGAGGAATGCTGACGACAACCAAGTGTGATCCCAATGCGACTCTGACCTCCGCTATTGGGATGAAAAAGCCCGGCGCTGGCAAATCCACCACTCGCGGCGTAGTTGTCATCGACAAACAGGGGACGCTTCGCCTCTGGGAGCAAGCCGGACCGGCCAAAACCCTCGAAGCAGTTTTGGAATACATCAAATCGCAGGGTATGACCGAGACAGGCGCCCCCGCCGCGGCTGCGGCACTGCCCGCAGACAACCCGGTTGCGTCCGAGGAGGCAGCAAAGCTAGCAGATCCGGACACCAAGATGGACGAGGTGCCGCTTGTGAGGACGCCGAGCAAAGCGGAGCAGGAGGCCGCCGAGACAGCAGCCGAGGTGGCCGAGACGGCTGCGATGCTTGCCGTCAAGGAGGGCCACCCAAAGCCAAGGAGGAGTTTTCGTTGAGTTCTGGAAATAGCAGAGAGGAATGGCTGTTGGGTTAATGTTTCTTTCCAACGGTGGTCATGGTAATCCCTCTCCGTCGTCCTGGGGTCATTGGGGGCCGGTGAACAATGTTTCTTGTCTTTCATGTCTCTTGAATTCCTCTTCTCAGATACTCGCAATACCTGGATACCACGCCCTCCCGATCCTCTGAATCTCCGCAATGAACTTCTTGCTCGTGATTGTAGGACTCTTCCCGCCATAGTTTGCAATCTGCAAGGGCGTCCGCTCATCTGGCGTGTAGAAAGGATTCAACATGAGATGGATGTATGCGGTCTGTATGGCACGGAAGGCTGGTTTGAGATCCGCGTCTCTCAGGCCAACGGCTGCAGGTGGAAACCGTCTCTTGTCCTTGGACAACAGATCTTTTGGGGTATCTTCGTCCGACGCAGACGGTGGAGGCCGACCCATCATGTCCACGACGATGATGAACTTGATCCCTGTATTCGTCAGCCAGCCGTAGCACGACAGGCGGTCGTCGATGGCCTGGAGCAGGCCCAGGTCTGAGTCAAGCAGTTTCGTGGTGCGAGCACGCAGGTCGAAGATGTCGAGGCACGAGTTTAGGAGGAAGAGGAATTCGAGGTCGGCGTTGGGAGCGGTATCATGGGGAGGGAAGAGGGAGATGTGCAGTGGTTGGTCGTGTTTGCCGATGACGCCGATGCATGCTATCGACGGTGATGCGTTGAGGGCCATGGAGCACAACCGTTGTAGAGGGATCTTGTGGGTCGAAGAGAGCGGCAATACATGTCTAGGTAATAGAGTAATAGAGTAATTGAGTAATGGGGTAAGAGTATTTTGTACAGGGTACGACGAGATTCCCCAGATATGGCCCGATTGGGCAAGCAGATCTCGCTGTCTTGCGGGCTTGAAGGCCAACCAATGAGCAAGCTCGTAATTCGCCGGCCAATTCGACATCATAGATTCTCCTACAACACCGCACGACACAACGCAGTCTCGCCTCCTCTTCCTTTCCCTCGACGACCTTCAATTCTTTCCCTTTCCACGTCCACGTCTCCCCTCTCTTTAGTGCGAGCGACATCACAGGCCAAGATGATGTCTTTGTCAAGGACAGTCGCTCCGCGAGCTCTACGAGGTATGACGGACAAAGCTAGCTCCCTGTGCCACAAACTCCCAGGAAACCCCCAATTGACAAGATGAATCGACACACAGCGTCAACCATCCTCCCATACTCACTCATCCGCGCCACCCCCGCCGCCTCGATCTCCTCGACCTCTTCGAAACCCGCCACCTCGGTCGTTTCGCAGGCCCCCTCCTCCGCCGGCGGAGATGCCTCACGACTTCCCGTCACGGGCGGTGTTCGTCGCGAAGTGCCCCTCCCGTCGCAGGACCAGAAAAAGGGAGCTATGCAATTCGCCCTGACCACACTAGATCAGATCGCAAACTGGGCTCGCCAAGGTTCACTGTGGCCTCTGACCTTTGGTCTGGCGTGTTGCGCCGTGGAGATGATGCATCTCTCCACACCTCGATACGACCAGGATCGTCTGGGAATCATCTTTCGCGCGTCGCCCAGACAGAGCGATGTGATGATCGTGGCAGGCACACTCACCAATAAGATGGCCCCCGCGCTGAGACAGGTGTACGATCAGATGCCCGAGCCGAGATGGGTGATCTCGATGGGATCTTGTGCGAACGGTGGAGGTTATTATCACTACAGCTACAGCGTGACGAGGGGCTGCGATCGGATTGTCCCCGTGGATATTTACGTGCCTGGCTGCCCGCCCACGAGTGAGGCGTTGATGTACGGCATCTTTCAATTGCAGAAAAAGAGTACGTTTGGATTCCACCTCCCTTCTCAATCGAGAGTGGTCAAACTAATTCAATGACAACAGTGAGACATACCCAGATTACAAGGCTGTGGTACAGGAAGTAAGGGGCCAAGGAAGGAGAAAAGAAAACACCAGAGTTATAAGCATTCGCAGTGATTGGCTGTATGTGGGCAACGGGCGTTTTCGAAGTGGGTTAGAGAGCACCTATCTTGCCTCCGCTCTGTTCTCGGCAATCGCAGATCGTGTACGGAGTACAGAATGAACATTTTAGCTCGATTGACCATTTCCGTTCCAACCTTTTTGTCTTTCTTAGGTGCCCAGATTATGCAAATTTGAACTCACATTGAATGCCAGGGTCTTCGGTGATGAAAACGGCAATATAGTAAGACAGCTATGCTGGCTAGAAGCCAGGAGTGGCGACGTTTCTTTGGGACGGGATGAGCCTGTAGAATGGACAGTCGCTTGTTGCGGACAGAGAGGATGTTCCGCCACGGTAGTATTACCAAGGTGACAAAGTAGACGCTTTGGCCGACGGTGTTCAAGTGCGGTAACTCGTCATCAGCGGGAAATTTGTTGCCGATGCTGGGGGTGACGATGTCGCCGCCAACTACATATCTCGCTACAGTAGCTGGGATCTTTATCAGATTACCGTCGCGTAGCACGAGTGCTTCAGATGGCAGTAAGTCCAAGATCAAGTGCATCGTCTTCCTCGTCAACCAAGCTTGAAATGCTGAGAAGCAGGCTTAGACGAAGAGGACAATGAGGATAAGGATGGCTAGCCCGAGGTAATATGCCCTGTTGGCGGCGTCCCTAACGGCTTCCAACAGAGGAAAAAGACAATAAAACAGCAATCCATAGCACTGAACAGAAGCCACCGAAGACATAGGAAAGTGTTCCCCCCCCCCCCTCTCTCCCCCAGGAATGTTGGCGAGGCTGCGGCAAGATGTTTTTGCCCGTACTTGATTCGAGCTAATGCATCATCATGGCTGAGACTTTCCGCTGGAAAGACGTCGAGCTGTCGACATACATCCTCAGCACTGAGCAAATGAAAGTTGATATGCTCGAGATTGGCACTGGCCGGGCCTGCTCCTTCTCGTGAACCACTCTGTTTTCGCTCATGAGGGTTTGTGACATGGAATAAGAGCGTCCGAAAGCCAGTAGGTATTCCAGATGCCGACCGGGAGCTGCTGCATACACATGCGACTCAATGGAGGACCTGATAGATCACAACAGAGCCAGAGGGCCTGTCGGACTATATACGAGGTACTGTCGAGTAATTTACACTGTGGATATCGACACTAGTCCGAGGCCTTCGTTTTACATCTCTCGGCGACACAAGACGACGTAAATCGACGGCGAGCTCACGTGGGCGCTCACCCGCCCGGCGCCGCTTTTAAGTATCGCTCACCTCCCACTCCAGGACGTCGTATTAAAAGCTACCGAGGGAAGTTGAACCTATGATGCCGCCGTATAAGTCTATCAAGCCATGGACGCCATCGCTGTGAATTTACAGAATCTCTGGATAACGAGTGACTCGTTGTAGCCCACCTGCCGCGTCTGTGACTGCGTCTAATCATACATCATCTCCTCTCTGCCCGGCCTCCTTACCACTATGCCCGTAATAGTATACACAATATTCTCTCTTACTTCAAACTGATTTAACTGTAGGAGCCTGAGCCGTCTGAACGGCTGGAGTTTGGACAGTAGGAGTCTGAGCGGTAGGAGTCTGGTATCGTAGGATTGCAGCAGTGACGGTACCACCCACTCCAATAATCACCACACCAAATGCCTTCGTAATAATTAGAAAGTAGTATTTAGTAAATACGAAGATCACTTACAGCGAAGAGCATTCGGAACAAAAATCGATTCTCAAATTTGTCCATTCTCGACTCCATACTTGTATTGAGGACCTTGATCTGCGCAGAGATGGTTTCACTGAAACATTTCATCTCCGTGGTAATACTGTGAATCTCCGTGGTAATGCTGTGACCGAGGTGTTTCATCTCTGATTTCGTCGCCGTCAACTCTGATTTTATCGTCATTAAATCTGAGTGAAACTGGTTGACCTTGTCCTCGAGAGGTAGGCTGACAGAGGTAGAAGTGGTGTCTCTATCACTATAGAGCGAACCTATAGACCTGTTAACGGCTTTACGATCGTAGCAGAGTGATGTGCCTTACGTGTCATTGCCTGGAAGGTACGGGTTTGGGATATGCATAATGGAGAGATATTCTTTGTTGAACGTGTAACTTGTTGGAGAATGCTGGGTTGTCTAAGGCGGAAGGCTTGACGCAGCATTTTTGAGGATAATGTCTGAAGAGGATTTTGAAGTGGCGTCGGGTCGGGTGAGGGTGGGTGCAAAGGTGAGGGTGGGTGCAAAGGTGAGGCGAGGGTGAGTGCAAAGGTGAGGTGAGAGTGAGTACAAAGGTGAGGTGAGGGTGGGTGCAAAGGTAAAGGTGAGGAAGGTGAGGAAGGTGAGCTCCCGGGGGGGGGGATTTTTGTTATAACCTTTTTATCCAAGACGGCAGGAGGGGTTGAGCACAGGGCAGCATCCATCACCCACGTCCCAAAGGGGGGTGAGCTGGCCGTGGATTTACCTTCTCTTGGCAGTTCTGTCAGTCACATCCGGATCCCTCTTCTTGCCAATGTACTTGTATAGAGGGTTCTCACCCTTTCCATAGACAAGGACGAGCTGTTGCTCGCGCATCTTGTCGAGGAGAGGCGGCGCTGCGAACAGGCCTTAGGGCCACAGCACGAGCGGACGATACGAGTCCTGGTCGACATTGCCCAACCTGTCTAAGCTACTGGATAAGACTGACGAAGCGTCTTCGGCGTTCTCTTTGGCCCTAGACCGCAGCCAGAGAGGTCTGGGTGAAAGACACGCCCTTACTTCGGCAATTCTGAATGACCTGCGCGGGTTGAGGGGGCCATTGCCACCAAATCAAGAGGAGATGAAGTCCTCTTTGAAGTTGCGACGTTTACTTTCAACCGAGCTGAGGCTGTTGGGCTGCCATGTACCGATCCTTTCGAAAAGCACCTGCTGCAGATGAAGGGAGATGGTGTTAAGCTTGTTCCTCGCCCTGCGCAAGACTGTTCCAAGCATCCATACACGTCGACAGATCCTCGACGCAATCGACAACTCGGCGGTGCGATCATGCGTCCACCAGGAAGCGGGAGTGACCATTGACAAGGAAAGAATGTTTCTAAAGGCAAACGGAACAACTTATCAGTTCAATCCGCTGCCCGTGGAAGATGGTCACCCAGCTCTGTTTCAGAAGTTTTACACCGGCGGGCTGTGGCAACCCGCGACGATCTGGTCAACTCTCATGATCCATCTGTCAACTTGGAGTACCAAGAACAGTATGAAAAAGCAGCGGCACAATGCCGACGAGACCTGGTTGGGAAGCTGTGGATACGCCTTAAATACCAGGAGAAGTATAGCAATGTTGGTGACCATAGTGGCGGTACAATGACGAGTTGCTGCACCGCTTGAGTCTTCTAACTGTATTATCCTGGTCGTCATGGCACCGGTGTAGGATGAAATTCAATCTTAGGAGTGCGCGTGAATAATAGAACAACTACCAAGAAAATGGAACCGTCAAGGCCCTCATATTGAGTCTCGCTGTCATCGAGTCCTATCTGACAGTCTTCTGCATTGTGGCAGCTTCCGCACCCGCGCTTCAATATCAATTGGAGCTTGGAAGAAGCGCCGAGCGGCAGAGTGTTCTATCACTTCAGAAAAATGTGAACGAGTAGCCCGAGCAATGCTCCGCCCGTGCTCCGTTTTGTAATACCTCCCATCGTGATCCAGTGGTTCCGAAAATGTGGGTATCTCGATCAAGTTTAACATTACAAGAAACTGACAGTGTCTGGCCGTGATCCATTGGCAGTCGTCAATTGAAAGTCGACAAAACACTCCCTCGCCATGTTAGAATTATGCGGATGGTACCCACTCATCTGTAGTTGGAATTGAATGAACGGAAACAATACTTTTGACATCGGTAGGGGAGCAACGTAGTCGTGACGGAGTAGAGGTACTTCTACAAAAGGGTGTGTGGATGGACATGTTGAGCACTCGCTAGGACCACCGTCGTATCGTGACCGTACCTGGGACCAAGTATCAGCATTGCTAGTGGAGAACAAGGCAGGGGATGCATGTTCAAGCAAATTTCTGCCTTCGAATCTTACCGTCGTCCCGAAGCTCCTGTGACAAATGTCCTTGGTGGTGCGCGCAAAGAGATGGCGATTGAAATTTTCCGCTTCAGCGTGCATACGAATGCAGAGGCGCTGTTGGCCGATCATACTCAGGCATACGCTGTGGAGGTAAAGATTGTAAAGGTTCACGGCCATTGGATCCGTCAGGATAAATGTACCGCACACGAGATTCTTGCATAGCAGGTTGCACATATTGTTCACGCACGACCATCTCCTGCTCCCGAGCAATCCTGCTGTCGTATGCGCGAGACTCGCCAATGGACTCGTAGAACTGACCTACTGGAAGCAATGGTTGCTTTCCCAGATCCCGAGTGGGTCGAATCGGCTCAACCTCATTGCCGCTAGTCGCGGCGAAGTTCTGTGCGTGGTAACGACGCTGAATCGTGGTCGTCTCACGTAGGTCATGAACAGCAGGCATGGGCTCATAGAGACGTACAACAGAGTGCGTAGAATCAAATGCATCGTAGCGGGCCTGACGGTCAACATAGGCATTGTCCCGGACAGGAATCGCCGGTTGTGGACGTGGGCTGGGTCGCGGCTCACCATAATCAGCTGTGCGTTTCTCAGTACGAGCAGCCACCAGCTGAGGCTGCGGAATGTAGCGATGCTCAACAGGCCTGCCAGGAGACTCTCTTCTGTTCGGGCGGCGTTCTGGGACGGGTGGCACCTCTTCCAATCGACGTCTCTTGGGTGTTTGGCTGGAGCTGTGGGTCAAGTCAATATAGGCAACATCCCTGGCATTGCGGCCGTCTTCTCGTCCTGAGTTAGTGTCACGAGGCTCAGAATGTGCTTCAAACGGATTTCGACGAAGCCGGGGAGACATATACGACCCATCAGGTCCTTCAATCGATGGCAATATCGCACTATTGCCTCTCTCAAGATTTCCATTGCAGGAGTCTTGACGGGCGAAGTCTTGAGGCGAAGGAGGTCGTGTTCTGACTTGCGTTCCGACGGCAGGCGGTGCCAGTTGCTTTTGATAGCGCTGTGGTGTGTCTGGGTTGTTTGCATGGGGCCGAGTATCGATGCGTTCATACAAAATGCCATTCGCATCTCTGATATACGTGGGCGGGCTCGGTTGGCGACTGCGAATTGGTGGCTGCCGAGAAGGTCAGTGAACACAGCATAATGTCCGCCTGTTGACAAACAACGGTCAGAGATCACGGGAATCGCTCTTACGTCAAAATCTGCTCTCGCCATGCTTGTGGGAGGAGCTTGAGTGTGGTATATCTGGGCAGGTGAGTGGGTTGGAGGGTCAAGAGGGACAAGAACGCGTGGAGGTGGAGCCGGTGCAGGCTCGTAGAGTCTCTCCAAACCCGCGACTGGCCTCTGCGCGATGCTGGAGCGATAATCTCGCTTAGCTTGTTCCCAGACATCGTATCTGCTTTGATTTCGTCGGGCAATCTCAGCGGCAGATGGTCTGTAGCCGCGAACTGCCGGTGGATATTCCAAAATGCGTTCGCGCTCCAATTCCGGCCAAGGGGAAATGGGACGACCAGAGCCGGGACCGTAGGAAATGCTTGCGAGTTCTTCAACCTGAACACGGTCCTGGCCCAAGGGTTCGACGTGGTCTGAATCACTCTCAGAGGCTTCCTCGTCGGAGATGACAATGACCTCTTTAAGCAGATCATTTTCGGCACCTGTAGCGGCTTCGAGGGTGGTGTCTTCACCACCACGCCACTCAATGAGCTTTATGAGAGTCTCCTTTTCCACCATATGACGGGCCTCATTGTATGGCATTTGTCTCAACAACTTGTCATACTGAGTGTAGTTGTGGCGAATGTGAGCGACAACAGAGAGCTGGGCTCTTCGAACGAGCGGCAGTTCGTTCGCAGTACCTACTCTGCGATCGCCCAGTTGAAACGCGGTTTTGATGATCTGGTACAAATCATTGTTGGGGATGTTGGGAAACAAATCTTTGATGGTCTGTTTGGCATCAGTATTGATGGTGACCTGATCCTTCTCTTCTACTGGACGTTGGCCATCCGTGTTGCGGTAAACTTTACTAAAGAACGTCTCATCATTTGATTCGTCGATGACCTTTCCTTCGCCGTTGAGGCGGATACCATAGTGGGCGCAAACTTGGTCGACAATCCTTGTCGGAAAATGGAAGCCAACACGATGTACTTCCCTCGACAACTCATGACGTGCAGCATGTGGAGTGATCTTGAAAGTCAGCGAGGCACACGTGTACACCATAAAACGGTGGCGGGCTTACCGTTACGGCGTAGATCTTGTGGTCTCCACGGCGTGCAAATTCCTTCAACGCGTTGGTGAGTTCGGGGTTTCCAGCGGGAATGAAAGTGTATCCAGCGGGGGGGCGCTCCTGGAATGAGATCTTTATTTGGGTCATAAGCACTGGTAATACGGCCTCAACAAGCTGATTTGGCTCTTACCACAGTAGGAAGTTTTTTCTCCTGGGGGTTTCCTCCAATTGCGATTTTGTGTCTTTTCTGCTTGGCCACCTGGCTACCTCGGGTTGAGGCGCCCGCAGCTCCCTTCTTGGCCACTTTCTGCCTGACTCTTGCCATCTCACTCTCAACCTACAAGGGGGAAACCGAACAATGGGCTCGAAACATAGGAGAAGGAGGGAACGTGGTCTCTAACAGATATAGCAATCAGTTGAACAACAGACGAAATGGAACAAGTAATATCCCAGCCTGCGCGGAGTGCTCCCAGGTGATGGTCGCTACAGCTTTCACAGAATTGGGCAAGTGGTCAGCTGCACAACGCGGCTTGACGGGAGGCGCCACTGGACTTCCAGGCGCAGGATCTCAGCGTGAGATCGAACTTGTCCAAAGCGGTAGTGAAAAGTCCGGAGATACTGGCATGGAGAATCAACGAGCGGGAGAGTCTCAACAGATGCCGAAGTTGGCGGGTGGTTGTACTTGTTTGGGTGCTTGTGAGAGAAGGAAAGGAAGCACGGAGGAGGCGACTGCGGATGGGATTTTAAGCTGAGACTCGAGGTCTCGGTTTGACAGGCTTGGCGGGCGCTTGCTTGCCGCCTCAACTGTCCAACGCCAACACGTCAACACATCCAACACGTCACACCACAACTGCGCTGGTGGCTGCCGCCGCTTTTGAGCAGTCGGGCGGTTCCTCAGCGATGCACGTGATCTCTGTCCCGATACGATTTTTCTACGGAGAAGTACCCAAAATCGACACCGCAAACACCACTAGTTCGCCGTATTTTTCCGCCAAGCCGTATCTGGCTGTTTCCCCCTGTTCTACCTTTTGGGCTTCATCGTCAACCAGCAGAAACCATTGCCCGCTCACAGCATCGCCAGTAACTTGTCGAGCGCCTTTGCCACTCCCTCAATATCCTGCAGAATCATCTGATGACCGCTTTTGACCACCACAACTTCAGAAGGCCCTCCGACCAAACTACTGATATCCTTTGACCTCTGCGGTGGGCTAATCATGTCCTTGTCACCAGCCACAAAGACAGCAGGACACCTGATGAGACTGTAATCGGGGTCATGGTGATCATCGCTGGCGACCAACTCTGCCGTGGCCGCATACGCTTCAGCAGAGCAAGAGGCCACTGCGCCGAGCACCTGCTGTTCGTGGGCGCCGTCGTTGGCGCGATCCGCTGGGAAATTCGTCTTGACAGCGATCTGCCCAACCTGATCCATACCTTTCTCGCGCGCTGTTTTCGCAAGATCTCGCATGCGCTGTTGTGCCGGCGGAATACTTCTCACGGAACGACCTGGCCCCAGAAGTAAAAGTCCTGCCACTTCGGCGGGGTACAGGGTAGCATAGTGTAAGGCGATGATGCCGCCAAGTGAGTGGCCGACAAGGAGGACGGGTTCTGTGCTGCTGTTGCTGCTGGCACCGTTCCTCGTTTCTGCCGTCGAGGTTGAAGGATGTTCCTGAACATGTGTGATGAGATCGTGTAAGTCGGAGACATAGCGTGCAAACGACAGAGGCTTTCCCTCGTTGAGAGGTGTCTTCCCGAATCCTTCGACGTCTATGCTGACGATGTGATAGCTGGACGGTATGGAGGGTAGCAGGTCTCGAAATGTTTCTGTTGAGCCGCCTAGCCCATGTAATAAGACAGCGAGACGGCCCTGCTGGTTGCCTGACGAGATATAGTGGAAGTCGGTCCCGTCAAGCGTGAGATGTCTTTTGGATGAATGTGGCTGCATCTTTGTGGTTGCTGGTGGTGGTGAAGTATTTCGTTTCGGCAGCAGACAGCAACCAAAGGCCACATGTATGCTTGCGCATCTCATTGTCACTAGGGCTCCCATACTGCAAAACCCGAAGTCGTGTTCGAGGACCCGAACTTCGGCCGGGCACAAGTTCTAGTGTCGGCCGAAGGCAATACTCCCCTGTGAATGCCATGGAACCTCACACCAGCACTTCCTCCGTCCATCTCCAGCAGCATACTCGGCCGGTTGGTCGTGGCCAAGGCGTGGAGTCGCTCATCGCTCGCTGGGGACTAGCGCTGGAAGTTCTAGAGGCGAAAGCTGCAGATTGAAAAGGGCCTCCTGGTTTCAAAAAACTGCAAGTGTACAGTTACCAACCTGTCGCAACCATTTGACAGAACCAACCATTCGCCGCAATGGTTATCGAATCCCTCACGGAAGTCGTCGCCCCGGAAGGTGTCAAAGCAAGGCTCATCGCAACTAGAACATCGGACATCACTCTTCCACACGCCGAAAAGACCAATGGACGAATAGTCCCTATCGAGCACCCGGCTGAAAGCAAGGTTGACTTTGGTGCTGAGGTTTACGGAATAGATCTGAACAAGCTCACGGATGCAGATTTCGAATTGATCTCGGATGCGCTGTATAAGCATAAGGTCTTGATTTTCAAGGAGCAGCCGGAAATGCTCAAACCACAGCAACAGTACCTTCTGACCGCAAATTTCGATCCTGAAGAGACAACAGGAGGCTTCGCGCATGGGGCCGATCCATTCTTAATCTCGCACAACGGCGTCAACATCTATGGCATTCAGAGCAGACCTGCCATTCCTGCACAACCACAAGTGCATATCCTGGGCCGAGGCCAAGTTCCCCAAGATCATTACCAATTCCCGCCCGGTTTCAAGGTCAAGGGTATCGACCATCGCGAATTTCATCTTCCGCCTCACATCCCCAAAGAAGAGCGCGAGAAAGGAGCCAGTCGGTTCTACCAATGGCACTGGGACGGAGCCTTGTACAATATCCCACCTCCAAGGGTGGGCTGTTTACTGGCCGTCAGGGCTCCGAAGGGGCCAGATGTCACGGTTCGCTGGGACGATGGGACCGGGACGGAGATGAAGATCCCACCTGGAGCAACTGCCTATGTTGCCGGATCCAGAGCTCTGGACCTTCTCGACGAAGAGACCAGACAGATTGCTTTTCACTCTCGGATCGAGTACGCGCCGCACGCCTTCAAGTGGATGTCGACCGCTCATAGCGCCAGACTTGGACACATCCTGGAAACTGAAGGCCTGGAGCTTCCACGCGAGAAGCTCCCACCCGTCGACGAAAGCAAAATCTGCATCTACCCAATGGTGTGGACGAACCCCAAGACGGGCGAAAAGTCCTTGCAAGTGCACGGACAGGGAGCGGTCAAGTTGTACCTCAAGAGCAACCCGGATGGGGAAGAAAAGATCATTGACGACCTGAAAGAAGTCAGGGAGTTCATGAACAAGTATGCTTTTGGCCCCGTGATCATGTCGCAGTCATTGTGGACTTCTTGGCTAACAATATCGTAGAATCATGCGGCCTGCAATCTCGCCCGAGAACATTTATGCCCATCCGCACCAGGAGCAAGACGTTGTACTTTGGTACAACCGCGCCTTGTGGCACAGCATTGTGAGTTGACTCCGGTCTTGTCTCGCTATGACGATTTGCTAACACGGCTTCAAAGACCGAGTTCCCCGAGTCATATGGACCAAGGATCATGCATCAGTGTAACATTGCCGCGTCGGACCATCCCATAGGCTAGTGGATTTGGATTTACTGGTTGCAGCGATGGGCGACGCCTGGCGTGTTTAACAGAGGGCGACATACCACCGCCCCATAATTCCCCCTGATATTGTCGGTCACGAACACCTTTTAAGGATGATTGGCGATATCCTGGTCAGGACTCCCTTCCATAGAAGAGCACGCATCTTTGGAAAGGCTCAGGTTATCAAGATAACGCAATGGAATCAAATAAAAAGGACCCTAATAGGGGGGCCAGAAAATCAACTTTCAACTCAGTAAGCCTTGCTTTGTTAAAATCCACGACCTTGATTTGCAAAAGATAGCAGACTGTCGAATGTCTGGGTACCATCTTCATCACCCAGCGGCATACTCCATGACCAATTCAAGTCTGCGGGAAGAGTAAGCGGTTCGTCCGCGATAATTCCTTGAGCGTTGTCCTCAGTTCCCTGTTGCATGAGGTCCAGCTCTCCAGCGGAAGTCAGGCGCTCTGAAATGCCTTGGTTCAGGGGCGACGGACGGTCCTGAGCATCGCAGAACGATTGAGCAAATTCCGCGGCGTCAAAACCTCGGCGTCGTTTTCTTGGGGCGGCGTCTCTAGCGGCATCGTGGGGCCTCTTTCGACTTTCCGTCCGGTTGGCTATCTGCTTCTGCAGCGCGTTCACGACTTTGACTCCTCGAGCGGCTATCATGCTCTTTTGTTGGCAAAGTTGCAGATGTTCGAGGGTTTGGTCCACCAGCTGCCATTCGTCCTGGCCGGAATATTGCGAATGAAGAATGTCAAAGCATATCACTATGCAAGCTGCCACCGCAAACGCCTGATGGGTCCAGAGCATGGGGCTGGACCCGTCTCTGCTGCTCGCAAGGTACTCCTTCAAGATCGTTTTTGATGCGGCCAGGCAGGTTCGACGTGTGAATGCAAAGACCGGGTTGGTGAAACTGAGACCGAGAAGCTTCCTTGAACGACAGCATTTAGCTATGACGAGACGTAGTCTCCAGGTTGTTGGACGTACCTGTGAATCATGATGATCTTGTGTGCGGAACTCATTGCAATGGCTCGACGCGCCCATGGGATGTAGCATGGCCAATTGGTATCGAAGGCCGTGTTGGCAAGGAACGAAGGCCTGCCGGTGGCCAACGATCGCATCTTTTTGTCATAAACCAGAACTGCCTCGTGCTTGGTATAAAGCGTATTGGACAGGGCCATGGCATCCTGTAGCGCAGGCATGATCGCAGCGATCTTGGACAGGAACCTGCAAAAGCTGGTAACAGTCGGCTCCGACTCGTCCAGGACGTTCATGTCATCGTCGCAGTTTTGGGGTGGGGACGACGTCGAATGCAGAGGATTGATGGAGTACGATTCAGAGAAGGCCGTGCTGAACCAGTCCTGAGTGCACAGCTCCTGCCACACACGACGACCGGTTTCCAGCTCGACGGCGGCACCTGGAGCGTCCCCATCCAGTCTATGCAAGCCCAAACTCTGCGCTATACGGACCGCAGATGCCAGCATGACGGACTGAGCATTTGAATGGCCCAACATGTGGGCGGTGTTTGTCAAAGTCGTGATCGCTTGCACGGCATGTAAGCAATGGTGTGCGGTGAAATTTGCGGCATTCAAGGAGACGACGACGGCCTTGTACCACTTTTGCGATAACAGCCGTGACTCGCTTTCGTCGAACCCCCATTTCCTGGCCTCGTGTGCCGGGGCGGAGGTGATTGTCCCAGCCATAACCGAAAACAGCAGTGCCACCCATTGCAGGGCGACTCCCTTCGAATTGAACTTTCCCCCATGGTTGGCGTAGAACGAGCCTAGTTCTTGGGAGAGCGTTGGCGCGAAGTATGATCCATGAAACCAGAGCATACAGTTGCTGTGATAGTCGACCAGTTGATGCACCTGGCGTCGCGAAGGCAGCAGGATCTGCAACCATGACAGCAGATTCCGGCCGGAATCCAAGGCACAGTCAAGCTCTTCGGCTGGGCTGATGCCAATACCATCATCGTGCTCCGAAACTCTGAGGGCTTCGGGCGACAGCATTGCATTGTCGGGATCCTTCATGCGGCCCCAGGCCAAGAACTCCAGTACAGTGACGGCATCCTCAATGTCTGACCCCTGACTCGGCGACGACGACCTCAGTTGCGCCACGGCCCTACCGTCGGCCTGTTCTGTTGTTGCCGTTGCTGTTGTTGGAGACCGTGACACATTGGCATCCGCAATTCTCTCTTGTAGGGCGGCCTCAAGTTCGGCCACACGAGTACGAAGAGCGGCAAGAGCGGCTGTGTCGTCAGGCGGCCGCCGCACACCAGATATACTGCTCGGAGCATTTAGATGGTCGGCATCCTCGCGTTCGCACTCTTCTGGAGTTCCTCTCTTCACGCAATTGTGGCATGGGATCTGCTTGTCACACTTGACCTTACGGCGCGTGCATAGGCGGCAGGCAAGTCTCCTCCGAGGTGCAACGGACATTGTACGTGAGCCGGCACCATAGTGCTGGAATCCTCGGTGATCTGGCTACCAAGAGGGCCAAATGTCTGCACGAAGGCCAGCGGCCTGGTTCTTGTCGTCGAGTTTGTACGACTGATAAGGGCGATTTTGATAAACAACACACTTGACAGGTGATTCGCCCAGAGAGCTATCCACCAAGTACGGGGTATACTAACTAGAAACACGATCTGGATCCCCACTGGGTGCCAATCGGCCCTAGCTTCAGCTCGTCTTGAGTCTGGACTGGTGTGTCTGGAGAAACCCGAGATCTGCCGATGCCACAGATGTGCTTTTTCGGCCGCCTCAGCAGGGAGGCCAAATGGCTGCGATAACAGCGCCCATAGCACCGTGCGATCATAACCCATCAGCTCGGCCGAGGATAGCACTCAGTACGAATACCAGAATGTTGATTGGCCAGTTTTCTGAGGCCAGCTCGGACATATCCATTGATTCTTGTACAACATTCGAATGTCGACGATGGGCTTCGATGTTCATAAACTGTCGCCGCTGGAGTCCATGCTGTGGAGTTGATCAGTGATCATATGTACCATACTTGGCCTTAGCAATTCCGCGAGAGCACAACAGGGAACCATGTCGCCGGCGGCCCTCACTCCCGAGCCATCTTTTCAGGTTCGACCGATCATCAAGCGCAAGGATCAGAAGTTCAACTTCGGCGCTGTCGTGGAGGGCCTAGATCTCAACCATATTTCCGGTACGCAGGTGCCATTGAGGCGACAATAATAGCAATCACCGGCTGATAATAGCACCAAGATGACGATGTCAAGCGGTTAAAAGAGACAATATGGACGCACAAGGTCATTGTTGTCAAGGGCCAGAAAGACCTTACTCCCGAGAAACATTGGGAGCTTGTCACCCGCTTCGATCCGGACGCTTCTCAGGTGCATAGCCACGGAAATCTGGAAACTTTCCAGAAGAAAGGCGGCATGCTCTCTAAAGCTCGCGACGTCTATGGCATCCCTGGAGCCGAAAATGTGCGCCTGGTTGGTAAAGGTTTTCAAGGTAGACAGACAAATTCGACTTGTCCATCTATTTTCTGGCTAACGGGGGGCGAAACCATCTAGGTGAGGACCACTATGGGCTAAAGAATCTCAACGTCAAAGGGTTATCGAACGACTTCCACGCCGACCCGCCAGATGACAAGGACTTCCATGAAGGCTTCACGCGCTTTCAGAGATGGCACATCGACGCGCCGCTGTACGCTCGCGATCCAGCATGGTTTACGACACTCCGAGCGGTCAAACTTCCCTCTGGGCCTGACGTGACGATCCGGTGGGACGACGGGTCCGGGCTCAGCATGCAAGCACCTCCTGGCCTTACCGCATTCTTCAGCACGTCACAGCTGTATGACATGCTCAGCGAAGAGGAAAAGCAGCTTGCTGACCACAGCTGGGTCGAGTACGCTCCGTATCCGTACATGTGGATTGAGAACTGCAAAGCGCCGTCCACAGGACTCGGCCTCAAGTCCGAGGGCAAAGAACATACCATCGAGGAGCTAGGCGAATACGACGAGAAAGACATCAAGAGGGTATGTTTTGTTTTCCACCAGTTTTGGCGCTTGCTCGCTTTTAATTTTTGAGGGCGAACGGCTGACCCACGAGCAATTAATTAGTATCCCTGCGTCTGGATCAACCCCGTGACAGGCGAGAAAGCCTTCCAAGTGCACGGCCTCGCCGCGCGAAAGCTCTTCCTCCGGTCTTCCGCGGACGAGCAAGCCCGAGTCGTCGACAAGGTCGAAGACATCCGCGCGTTTCTGCACAACATTCAATCCCGCGTCCTCCGTCCCGAGTACATCTGGTTGCCGGAGATCCAGGAAGGCGACATCGTCATGTGGGACAACTACGGCCTGTTCCACACCGCGGTGGACTACCCGATCAAGTACGGCCCTCGGTCCATGCACCAGGCCAACATCGGCGCGAGCAAGGGGCCCGTTGGACCTGTGCCCATCCCTCTTGTCTGCTGAGGGTCGAAAACTGCCTCGAAAAGAAGAAGCATCGAGGATGTTGGCTAGTGATCCGATGAAAATATATAGTTTTTGAGTTTTACGGCAGATACTGCAAACCCAGTTCGCAGTATTGTATGAAGCAGTATCTCTCAATCTATGATCTGTGACTGAATGAAGGCGACGGCAGTGGTGGAATGTGATCTTGACTCCGGCTGGGTGAGTGAGTTTGACTCTGCTTTGGATACCGACTTGCTACCGACGAGTGTGGAGAAAGAGGCTCCAGGCTGGTCCATGGCTTCGTGCAGTTTGGGAGGTCTTGCAAGGACTTTTGGTAAATACGTTACACGGTCCCATTCTTGAGAAGTGCTCGTCCATGAGCCCAAGGATGGGTAACTATCTAGTCATCAAAGAATCCCATGCTATCAATGCTCCTTTTCTTTGGTTAGAGACACGTGCCAGTAAGCAAAGTGTTGAGCTAGCCACTAAGTAGCCCGCCTTTACCATGCTTTATGCATCCCGTGATTCCCAGAGTTCGATTGCACCTACGAGTAGTAATCAGGAACCCCCAGCTTCCGAGCCCCAGTTTGTATTCGAGACGATGTCAAGAAGGCAAATCTTGGGTCCTGGCATTCAGACCCGAACCATATTAGACGCAAGTTCGTGCATCGCTCGAGCGGACAGACGGGGCCAGATTTCCTCCACGGGCGAAATGGGCACATTGCTGTGAAGGCTATTATGCCGTGGCCCCAACCGTCTTTGGTCTGTAGTCGTCGGCACGCTTGTACGACTGGACGAATTGGTCGCGCAAGAATTCGGCGACGGAGACGGGACCGTACGGCTCAGACGGTATGGCTGGGCCGTACTTCCGCGCGACTGCCTGCTGCGGCCTCTGCTCCAGGCCCGGGATGGTTTCCAGCGTGTACTTTGCGTTGCCACTGTAGAAGAAGGGCACCGAGTAGCGGCCCGTGGGCGAGCGGTTCATGACGCGGTGCGTGTTGGACGTGTAGTGGTGGTTCGTCCAGCGCGCCATCAAGTTCCCGAGATTGACCACGTAGGCGCCCGGGACGGGCTCGACGTCGAGAAACTCGCCCGTCTCTTCGTCCTGGACCTGCAGGCCACCGACCCTGTCTTGCAGGAGGAGAGTGATGCAGCCAAAGTCGCGGTGGGCACCGCAGCCACGCTCCTTCTCCGACGTCGTCGGAGTGGGCGGGTAATGCACCAAACGAAGTGTCGCGGTCGGTTCTGCGTCGGTGAACCGGTCGAAATAGTCCTCGGGTATGTTGAGTGCTGCTGCCAGAGCTCGCATTACGTCTCGGGCCAGGGTGTCCATGGCCTGGAAGTATTCCATGCACGTCTCGTGCCACTGCGGGCCCAGGCAAGAAGGGTAGATGTTTGAACCGCATCCGTACTCGCCCTTCAGCACGCGCGGGTGGTCAGCCGGCAGGTCTTCACCCAGATAAATGGCTTCCTTGGTGTCCGGGGCCGAGCCAGGCTCGAGCATTTGGCCCCCTATCGTCTCGTAGCCTCGTCCGCTCGTCCCGGGCATCAGTTTGGCTTTCAGCTTTTCTTCGAGAGGGAGATCGAACAGCTCTTTGGACGCCGCGAATATCCTCCGTTGAAGGTCAGGGTCGATGCCATGGTTGGTGAGCTGGAAAAATCCCTTGTCTCTACAAGCTTGTCCAAGTGCCCGCAGAAATTCGGCCTTCGCTACCTCATTTTCACCCCGGAATGCTACCGTTGCGGTCAGGTCGATGACCGTTTGCTCTTTAGGGACACCTTTCACTTACCTGAGAAGTCAAGGATAGGCGGGAGTTTGGACTGTCTTTCCAATGACCCCATCTTGAAGATTGATTTAGGCGTGTAGGAGAGAACGCAAACACGTCTGAGTCGAGATGCTTGTCAGCTTGCACCGATTTTCAGCGGCCCGTGCTTACAAGGTTCGCTTTTAATTTTTTGATAGTATTCGGAGATGATTTACATGTGGACGACGGCAACGAAGACCACTGCCTCGTTATCCCTTTCAGCAGTATTGTCTCGGTAGGCAGGTATCGATGATCCAAAGCCCGGATTCCGAGTCGATGTTTGTTCGAGGTTCAGCACTTATTTCGATGGCGCAACGCAGCTCGGCCGATAGTCATGGAGTTTCCCACCCAACCATGCCAGCCATTGTGCATATCCATTCAGCGCGCGCTATCAAAAGAGGTGTGCTTGATACTTATTGGATCCTGCCGGAGCAGAGTCCCGAAGATAGGTTCTTGACGGGAAGTAATCGCCCTGGAAACGACTTTAGTCTCTGCGGCCGGTCAGACGCCAATCATGCCATTGGTCGCTAAAGATTGTGGCCTGGCAAGGCTGGGATCCAAACAACTGTATAGAGAGATGGCTCGGCCGAAGATTTATCTGGAGTTTCCCGCTGCCCGATAACGCGGTCAGAAGTCTTTCTGCCCGAGGTCATACATGTCCCTGCTTTCTCAATGGCAGATCTGTCATACGCTAGGATGATAAGACCCCGGATACACATCTGTTCCTGGCATTGTGCACTAGCGGTGATCTAGGCATGTCCAGATTTGGCCAATGTGATAAGAGTACTTACTCCTTGTGTGTCAAGTATACCCCGTAGAGTATGTATATAATATACCGTATCCACAAGGACTATCGTGTAGCATCCATGCACTGAGGCATCCTTCGCTTCCACAATGGGTCCCCATATGAAATTTCAGGAGAAGATTCGGAGTAACCTCCAGGACTTTCGACATGCTTTTACCAGCAGGCAAGCTTTTGTGAAGTACATAGAAACGAAGCCCGACGCATCCAGCAGCGCGAACGCTTCCCGCAACCATTGGACGAATGAAGACCTCGACGTCAGCCCTCAGAGCCATCACACATGGGGGTGGTATGACTATGCAGCCTTCTGGTGGTCTTATGGCTTCTCACCGGGCTGCTGGTACCTTGGAGCTGCGTTGCTTGCCATCGGGCTGACTCCTGGCCAAGCATTGGGGTGTCTCTTTCTCGGATTTTGCTTTGGTTCTCTGGGGATCGTCATGCATTCGCGAGCCGCGGCCGTCTACCACTTCGGCTTCCCCGTCGAGACCCGAATGGTTTGGGGTCTTCGTGGCGCATATTTTCCGATCTTGATCCGTGCTCTTTGTGCCCTCATCTGGGCCGGCGTCACCATCGCGCAGGGAGGGTACTTCACAGCGGTCGTGCTGCGATGCATCTTTGGCAACAGTTATTGGAACCTGCCCAATCATATCCCAAAGAGCTCAAATATCACAGTGCAGCAGCTCATAGGTCCGTGTGCCGGGAATACCCTCTTCCGGATCCCTTAGAAGTTGACCGAAGCTGACGACTCGTCTTGTGCAACAGGAATGATTGTGTATTGGGTGATGACATGTTGGACACTGAATGTTCCCATCCCTAAACTCCGGCGGGCATATGAAATTCAAATGCTAGTTCTTCCCGCAGTGATTATTGGTACGCCCGTCATGATATCTCTTACAGTCCGTTTACGAAATGACTTGCTGATCGGTCCGTCCATAGGTCTGTTCGCTTTTTGTATGGTGACTGGGAGAGGACATCCACACAAGGATCTGTACAATGTTGAACATAAGCATGGCGCGGCACTGTCGTGGGCATTGGTAAGAAGAAAGCTTGGTTGCGCAAGTCGGATTAGCATTCTGACGAGGACAGCTTTCGGCCGTCAATTCCGGTTTGGCCAAAACAACCACTCTCATGGTGAACCAACCGGACATTGCACGCTATGCCCGCAGTAAGATGGCTCCGGTCTGGTCACAGCTTGTCATGTTCCCTGTGGCAAGTACTGTTTGCGCAGCCATGGGGATATACGCCACACAGAGCATCTACAATGCATGGGGTAACATTGACTGGAATCCGTGAGTTTTGACCGCTGTCCTCTTCTATCCAGCTTATCGTTGCTGTGGATGCACAAACTGACAAAATACCATCTCAGGTGGGACCTGAATCACGACATGCTCGACCACAGTTTTAGCCACGGTCGCCGAGCCGGCATCGCCATTATTAACCTTGCCTTCATCTTCGGAAACGCCCTTACCGAGCTAGGAGCGAATGTCATCCCGTTCGGGGCGGATTTCATGTCACTGTTTCCGAGATGGCTGAACATCAAACGAGGCATGTGGTTATGCTATATCCTCGGAGTGTGCATTTGCCCATGGCAGATCTTGGCAACAGCGACAGCCTTTCTCAAATTCTTGAACGGGTATAGCATCTTTTTGGGGCCTTTCCTGGGGATGGCCTTGACGGACTACCTCGTGGTTCGCAAGGGCAATGTCTTCGTCAGGGATCTGTACCAAAAGGGTGGCAGGTATTGGTACTTCCACGGCGTGTCCTGGAGGCCGGTGGCCACATGGCTTTTCTCCGTTGCTTTTATGGTACGTCCAGAAACGCAGCCCGATGCCTCCAGCGTGGCGTACGTGCTAACTAGAGAAAATCAATACAGATTCCTGGGTTTGCGGAAACTTTCGGCACCCAAATTCCAAACGGCCAAGGTTGGACTCATCTGTACGCCTTCAGTTGGTTCTACACGTGCACTATCAGCAGTGTCGTGTATTTTGCATTGTCGTTTGTCGGGAATTACGCTGGTGAGGAAAAGGTCATGGCTTTTGAGAGCCTAGCAAATACTGGGTTTGTTGAGGAGGGACAGGCCGTCGAAGAACAGAGCGACGTATCTGAGGTTAATCTTAGCATCGAACAGAAGGTTTGATTGTCCAGTAGGTGCCGAGATAGCGAGGGCGTGATAGCCTCAAGAAAATCAAAGGGACTACCAGGTCATTTCCACCACTAAACGAAGATCGAGATGAATTCGTGTTCCGGTGAGGCAGTTGCTAGCCCGGCGTGGAAAGTAACTGTTTCAGAACCGATCGGAGGCTGCATCATAACTAGGGTAGTTTGGAAAGAAAGGAGGTTGGCAGGTTGAGAAGAGAGAGTTGATATGCACAGTATTGGTCTAGCCTATTTAGGCCTAGTGTATATAATTGGTCTTGGCACGGCGTGCTGGGGCTCAGGCTCCCCAGGCTCCCCAAACTCTCTCTTTCTCCGTACCTGTCACCTCTTTAAACCCTCGTTGTCCTCATTGTCACTCAAGATAGATATTTTACTCAACAGGCCTATTTATGACCCCGACTTGTTCAACACGAAGTGACATGTTCAGCTGTCAAGCCTCGCGTGTCCGAGCTTCTACACAGTACCATGCTCAAAGAGCGAGGTACATACAGTTCCTCTTCAATGCCCCTGAACCGATGGCAGATTCCTGGTCCTGACTTTATGAGTACATTTGCAAGCTTCTGCTTGAACCGATTCCTCTACTGGCTGCTCAGCCTAAATACGTCGCTATCGTATCGCAGGGCCGTTTGCGGGCCTTCGAACTCAATCAAGTATCCTTCCTTGCAGGCCGAAAACATAATCTTCGGCTGTGCGGCATAAAATTGGTCATACTGGGCACTGAGGGCGTCTCGAAGATTTCTGACATTACCCTGCGGGTGGAGCTGAAGCCACGGATCAGTGCATTCAATCCCTCGGCATGACTTAAGGACAAGCAGGAGAGCATCGACTCGTGCAACGAACTTGTTGAGTGCTCGTCCGAGGATCTGCTGCTTTGGGGCTTTGGCGATGTCGTTAACGTTCGGCAGCAGATTCTGCATCTGGTATTTATCGCTCTTCATGTCGTACAGCTCATGCTCGTTGGTGCACCAAACCGAGTAGTAGAAGCTGTAATCAGCTCCTATGATCCTTAGCGACTTGTAGGTGCTATTGTGCTCACCCTTGACAGTGAAGTTCGGATGGGGAGCTGCCAATTCATATGGGTCTGCAACGCCCCAGTGCTCAACATTGACATGCTCAACGTTGCTCACGCCGCTGTCTGTGGTTACAGCTCCAGCCAGGGGCATAGTATGTCCATCCAGTTGAGTCCTTTGTGGCAGGCCAAACAGGTCGAGAAATGTCGGGGCAAGGTCCGTGTGGGTGGTAACAGCTTGTGAAGTCTGACCAGCGGGGACGCCAGGGCCTCGCCATATCATGGGTATGTTGATATCGGTTTCATAACCCGTCTTCTTCCCCGGACCCATCCGATGCTGCCCAATATGGTAGCCATTGTCTGTGGTATAGATGACATGCGTGTTGTTCAAAATACGATATTCGTCCAGGATTGCCACAAGGTCAGCAACCATGTCGTCAAGGCCTGCAATGACGCGAAGCCTTGCACGATACAGGTCGTCGAGCTTGTCCACAACAGACCTGTCTTGATGCGGGAGGTTTTGCAGCCACGAGACGCTTCCTTCTTTCTTCGGGTTGAAATTCTTGACTCTCGGCACTGTCTCACTGCTAAACGCGTTTTCCCACTTCTTCTGTGGAATCGGCATAAAAGTACCGCTTCCTTTTGCTCGGATCCCGACATGAGGCACCGCCGGAGCCACCGTCAAGAAGAATGGCTTTTGGGCTTTAGCAGCCTGATTCAGCATCTCCACGGCGTGCTGATGCGTCAGAGTCACAGCGTTTTGTCCGGGCAAGGACGTCCAGTTTTGTCCCTGTCTGGCCCAAGTTGTGTTGCAGTAATCGTATACTCCCGGCTCCAACAGAAAGCTGTACGAGATGAGTCTCCGAGATGTCTACGGCTTTTGGCTACTTACTTGCTGTCAGTCCAGCCCTTTGCCTCTGGGTCTCTGTAATTGTGAATGCTTTGGCCGTTGAACAGTTTGCCAACATAGTAAGTGTTTTTGCCACCTTCCCTCAACCAGATCGGCAAGTAATCATCATTGAGCCCCTCGCTCACAAACTTTGGATAGGCCCCTAAAGCAGTTCGTTACCTTCCGCAGCGACAGTTGAGCAAGTACGACATACCGTATGGCAGCCGGACATCAGTCACATTGGTGTTGCTCCTTTCGTTAGCCAACATTCTCTACTTCGTGGAGCTTGCACGTACTGAACGCATTTCCCTGTGAAGAGACTGACTCTCGAAGGACAGCATAATGCTGTGGTGCAGTAGTGATTCGAGAAGGTCGTGCCGTTGCTTGCGAGAAGATTCTGGACATTAGGCATGTAGTCCATTGAATTCATGTGGAGATCTGCAACCTCGCGTCAATTGAATAGCAGATGCCCGGAAACGTATTCCCACACCTTGATCATCCGACATGATAAGAAGGATGTTAGGCGTGGCCGATCCATTGCTTATGAGAAGACCGAAACCACCACCGGCGAAAACAAGAATATTAAAAGGATCTTTGTGACGAGCATCAGGTCAATTCTCATATTGGCTTTTTCGACCTCCAGGATAGATGGCTGTCGTCTCGGATGGGGGATTTATTTATACTGCTGTTTGGAGATGGACCTTGTGTGCAAACAGGATTGGAGGTAAGTCATGCAAAGGATCTCGAGGACAAGCCGATTCGCAGGGTCTTTGAGCTACTCAACGAGGCTGGTGAGGCTCTCACAACAGGGTCTTCTCATTGGGGACCTTGTCGCCAGTCAATGTCACATATATCACTATATGCAGATCAACTTCCGCCACCTACAACGGCAACATCGGGTATGGCGCTCTTGACGGACTCTGGGGTATGTAACTCTTCCAGGATCTCTTCCAGCTGTGTGCTACCGAAATATGACCGCCATTCAGCTGGTTGGACGCCTGACTCTTCCAGAACCCTGATTGACTTGCAGCCTTGTAAGATCGAGATCTAATGAGCAGCAGACGGTGTTCAGGTTTCTCCCTAGGTGGCCCACGTTTTCATCAGGCTCTCTGGTTGCCTAATCCGTGCTTTACTTGCTCCCAGTGAGCTTACAGTGAGGGCAGGAGTTGTGGATGAAGCAATTGATTGAACGCAGAGGCCAAACACAAGTGACCGTCATGCTACGCCTCAACGCAAACATCAGCCCATTTCTCCAACTTTTTAAAACAAATGCCAAACGAGGAGCAGGCATCTTTCACGTTCGAAATTCAACGGAAGTTTGAGCACGTTGAAAGATACTGAGCAACTGCAACATGCACATACCAATTGCTGTCGCTGTTCTCTCGTACAGCCTTTTCACCATGGCGCAACAATCCCAGGTGCCTGGACTCTCGGGAACAGTCTCCCTCTCACCTTCACCATCTCTTCCGAGCGGAGCGGCGCAAACAGTCGACCGGGCTTTCCCTGGGCTTGCATTTGAGGCGAGATCATTTTGGTATTATGCAGGTACGAATAGTATAGTCTATCAAAGGCTCTCTCAGAAAGCGAAGGACTGACTCTATATTATCAGGCAAAGCTGGAAAACCCATCAACTTTTCCCTGAACCTGTTACGAACGATCGCTAACAAGACCAAGACCAAGCCCGTTATTCGTGTTGGGGGAACCTCACTGTGAGTTCCTTACTCCAGTTTGTCAGACCGAGCTATGGCTGACATAGGTATCCAAAAGAGATCATTCACTGGGCTATGACCCAGACCAGCCCAAGGCAATCCACATCCCTGAGGGTCAACCTGCCGGTATTCCCAGTAACTTGACCTTCGGGCCGTCGTACTTCGAATCGTTCACCAACTTTCCAGACGCGAGGTACATCCTCGACCTCCCTTTCGCGTACAAGAATCGCACAAACTCGCTCCGCTTCATCGACGCCGCATATCGCAAGATAGGAGCAGACCGCATCTACGCGCTGGAACTAGGAAATGAAGTCAACCTCTATAGACAACCGTCGCACTGGAGCATCGCCGACCATGTGTCTCAGTGGACCGCATGAACAAGTGACATTGTGGCGAGCCTCGGTGTTGGGAACGATACCAAAGTCTGGCAAGCTGCCGCCACCTCTGCGGAAACCGTCAATCTGTTGCTCCCAGGCTATCAACCTGACAATCCATGGCAGATTCCGGGCATCTTCGAGAACGGCACCCTCGTCAAAGACCAGCAGCGTATCAAGTCGACCTCGGTGCACTACTACCAAACCAAGATCAACGAGTCTTCAAGTCTCCAGCGAGACATCATGAGTCACGCGGGAATCGTAGCTGGGTCGAAACTGCTCAAATCGGTAGCAGAATACTTGCACAAAAACGTCACACCCCCTATACCACTAGTGCTAGGCGAGATCGGGAGCTCCTTGGGCAACGGCTCCAGCGACGCTGACCTCTAAGTGGTCCTCGGCTCCGCGCTGTGGCAGGCCGACTTCCTTCTGCATTCCATGGCGATCGGTGTTGACAGAGTGAACACTCAGTTGGGCATCGTGTTCGACTTTTCACTGTGGAGCGTCGACTTCGCAGATGGGAAGACTAAGAGGAATCATACCGTGCTCGCACCTTTCTACGGCCAGGTCTTCGCGGCCGAGTTTATTGGCTCGTCTCTTGGCGAGGACGTGCAGGTGATTGAGTTGGCCATCACAGGTGATGGTGATGGCAATACAGGATCTGGGGCGTTGTCGGCGTACGTTGCCTACGAAAGCGGCCGGCCGGCTCGAGTCGCGGTGATCAACATGCAGTGCTGGAGCGGGATGGCCAATTGCTCATCCTCGGAGTCTTTATCAAGACCGAGTCAAGAGGTCGAGGTCTCCGTCCCGAAGGACGTGAAATCCGCGCTCGTCGAGAAATTAACCAGCCCCTGCGGCGCGGACGCCTTTGCGGACCAGGGCATCACTTGGGACGGAGTGAGCTGGAACACGGCCGAGAATGATGGAATCGGCAGGCAAGTGCTGGACAGGGACGACGACAGTGTTGCGAATGTCACCATCGTCAACAACGGCACAGTAAACGTTCGTGTTGGGGCGAGCGAGGCTGTCATGGTCAACTTGGGATATTGAAAAGAACAACTCGGATTGTCATGGATTTATTATTGATGGAGATCCCTTCCATCCTGTATCTGTGTCACCTGTAACAACAAGTGAAGGAAAAGCTGTTCTCTGCGCGCATCTCCAGACATTTTTGCCGACCTCGGGTCGTGTGGGCCGCCGCTCTCAGAACCGTCCAAGGGGAGCTCAGCCTTGCTTCAAGCGTGGCTTCACCAATGCCAGTTGGGATAGGTTGGATGACACAAACATTCCCTTTATTGGAAGGGGAACCGCAGTTGATCGATCCAGACGCCATTACCCTTGGATACTGGGCATCACAGTAGCAAAAACATCTGTCTCCGGACAGCTCAGTTGCCACAGTCGATTCTGACGTGGTGTAGCAAACAGTCCTGCCTTGTATCCCTTGCCGTCAAGCCTGTCATGAAGTTAGCATCGCATCACAAGGGGTTTCCGGTAGATAGACTGACTCGAAGGTTATTGCGTTGTTAACAGACACAGTAGGGATGTAGTCATGTTTTCCACCTAGCTGGTTGGTCGACATCGCATGGCAGAGGGGCGCCTTGGTCACTTCTGCCTCTCTAACAACTACAATTCTATTATTGGCTGCGCTATGACCTTGACGAATTGATGAGATAGAAACGTGGCATTGGCGTGATTCTCGTTGCCTACCCAGGTATCATTAATATAGAGGAGTATTGGTGGTAACGCTAGAGCCTTTGAAATTGATTGATGCTCTATGATCTTAGCGGCCCTTTGCCGGCTTCTAGGCCGTCTTAGGCACGGCCGCCACCTACAAGGCGATCCATTCAGGTACCTAGGGAGGCTTCCTAGGCACTCATTGCGACCCCAAGGCGCCCACAACCTGTCAGTTACAGCCGGGTTCACTAGCCTTTAGGCTACTAGGCTGAGCCCTACCCTTCGCCCCATCAACAAATTATTACAAAGCTCGCAACAACTTGGCAGTTCAATCCATCGAAACCGATCTTGTACAATTGGACTTTCAACTCTGTGCTCTTCGGACCGCTTCCCTCAAGCAGCAGCGCTCATATCACTCCATCTAAATGAGCACGCCCATCCCAAAACAGTCCATCCTCCACGCTTACCGACACCTCTACCGGACTTCCCTTCGCGCTGTCAAGCACGCGCGCCCCGCGCGCTATGAGATCCGCGACATTCTGCGCGACTCATTCCGCAACTCGCCTCCCACAAATTTCAATCTGCGGCGCATACAGAACACGCTGAAGTTTCTCGAGAATGCAAGAAAGTACAATGGATTCGAACACAGGATCGTGAAAAATTTGCTGCATCTGCAGTTTTGGAAGATTAAGGGTCTGGACAAGAAACTGTACGTGCACGGGGAATTCCTTTGCTGAGCCTCTCGAGGCGAGGCGCTGACGTTTTGGGTTGTAGGATCAAGAATTCGAACACTTCCGAGGCCATCGAGTCTAGGCGACAGATATGGCATCAGTATCGGGCGACGTTGACCATGCTGAACGAAAGTCTGGACATCTGCTTGACGATATAAGCCAGAATGGTAACGTCCTGTCTCGCTGATGTTGACGAGGGCGCGGACAGTGCTTCTGAAAACTACTTCATTGAAAAGGGATTCATGATCCAGCAGAGGCGCACGAAATTGCCGGATCATTGCGGCTCGACCCAAACTCGATGGATGGCGAAGGCTAATACGAACCGACTGCTCTGTCAATTGTGATTGAGGAGGGCTCCAAGCACCGCATGATGGAAGATGTTCTGGGGTGTATGACTACCACCCGAAGAACAGAGCGCACAGAAAAGTGATGATGATGTTCACTTCAGAATCTCGACAGCATCGATTTCCATTTCGAAGCGTCAGCTGTGGACAGAGCGACGCTACGCTGGGCAACTCTTCGCATCCATCTATCCTTGGTCCCTATCCTCTACAGGAGGTTAAATGACCAGACCCTACGCGGCTCAAGTGATGGCGGGAATGGGTCACAGAAACATTCCGATACGTATGCCTCACCGAATCTGAGAAGATAGGAGCTGTTCTCATCGGATACTCCTGCTTGTGACAGAAAACATCTCTGGGGAGGCCGGCGCAATCCGATCCTTCTCCCCTGTAAACCCCCTTTCCATTTACTCGCTCGTCCAAAGCGGCCACTTCCTCCAATCTTTTCAGCCACGAATCCAACGGCATGTCACTGAACTGTCATTCATGGACAAGGGTATCCCCATTTCTTAGGGCCGAGTCCTTCGTCCTTTCTTTCCAACCACGCCTTTCTCAGTACCTGGCTTTGGCTATGCCCCGTTAGGACCATGTTATTCATGGCTGCGCTAGAACTCATCTTTTTGCGTCAGTTACACGAAATTGACGTATCTGGGCGGCGAAGCGATCTAGGCAATGAAAGGAACAGTCTGACAATGCGTCTTCCTAGTAGAATTAAAAGATACCTACCCAATCCTCAAGCTCGGAAGTAACTAGACTCTATCTGCAACCTTCTATCGTCGATCTATCAGTCCTCTTGCCGCCCAGCACGTTGCTCATGCAATGCGCCGTCCCCTTTCAGCCAGATCACAAGCGACCCTGACGTATTGGCTGGGATGTGTCCATATGGTGATCAGCAAGCGTTGACCTTGTATCTGTACACCAACACCTTCATGCCTTTTGTGACTGCAGCGATACCATGGGAATCAGTGTGTTACAGATAGTCCAGAAAGGTACCTCGAACAACACTTTCCTGATGCTATGTGGAACATAGTATAACTTCTTGTTATTGTCACACCTTTCTGAGCGTGGGTGCGTTACCCTTTCCGGGGAACAGCCTCATAATAGCCTTTCTCAGCCTCGTTCTCGATGCCTCCGTCAATCCTTCTTCACGCAGTATATCTTGAGAGAACAATGTACAAAATGTAGTGTGGAATGAAACATATTATCAATTAAAGGCTAAGAAAACAAGTCTATAGCGGTCATGCAGCGACTCTAACTCGCCAGCCCTTCGTGGTCTCATCAACAGTCGGTGCGATTCGTCCTTGTCCTCGTCAGATCAAGGCCGGCCAACGACGTCGACGTGTTCACCCTGTCGATGTCGTACGGGCTGGCGTTATAGTTGGCAGCCTCGCTGACACTGCCAGTCTTGGACCTGACCCTCGTCAACGACGTGCGAGCCCCCACCTCGGATGCAAATGACTTCCTGGTCTTGATCGGTTCGAACCTGGCTTCGTCTTTCTCAGACTCCAAATCGGCGCTGCTAGTAAATCTCCTGATGGATTCCTCTTCAAATTCTCGTGTTTCGTTGGCGCGGACAGCCTTTGCACGGAGCTCGGCCATGACGGCCTCGGCTTGGGCGGCATACACGCAGCGACTCCTGATCCTGGCCCCATACTTCCAGAAGATAAATGGGAATGGAACGCATGCCAATGCTAGGAATCCTGGTATCGAGCTTGCCCAGTGGATACCCAACGCGTCAAACATGTCTGGTGTGAAGAGAGGGAAAGCGGCGCCGAAGAGCGATCGTAGAACCGTGTTTGCTGCCAATGCGGACGCTGCGAAGATGGTGTACGAGTCGATCAGATAGTTGGTGACGGCCAGGAAGATCACGGTGAAACCATAGCCAAACGGCACCCCGGCCAAGACGGGCGAGATCCAATGAATAGAGGCGTAGTTTGTCCAGGCAAACCAGAACAGTCCAATAGGTATCGCAACGGCTCCGTATATTGCCGGTGGTAATCGAGCCTCTGCCGGGGCGACACCGCCATGTTTCGCAGCCTCGTCTGTGTACCATTTATTCGTCCAGCTCGCGAAGACAATTCCCCCCATCATGCCAACGGCGACACCAAGGAATGGAAGTCCGCCAATACCTTCTGACCACCCGCGAACTTGTTGAAACACAATCGGGTACGCCCCGAACAGGAGATACAGCGTACCTGATGCCGTCAGCAAGGCCGAGTTTACCGGAAGATGGGCCGTGACTTACCGTAGACGATCGCGATATAGAGCGACAGCAGCAAAACGATCGGCTCCTGGAACAGCAAAATCCATGGTCGAATGAGCGCGGTCGGCAGGAGGGACTTTAGAGACGGAGCTCCTTTTCCCTTGTCCGTTTCTAACATGTAGACTTTGCCAGTCATCTTTGACAGTTTAGCGACCCTCTTTCGCAGAATGACAGGCGCATAAGTTTCGGGCACGAAGGCAGCCCCTAGAATCCACATGACTCCGGCAAAAATTGCCAACAGACCCATCACCCATCGCCAACCTTGGTTCTCGGCAAGGAATCCTGAGCAGAACGGTCCAAGTGTAGGCCCCATTGAGGGCGCCAGTGCAAAGATTCCCATGGCCAATCCTCTTTCCGACGCCTGAAAGACGTCTGCAATGACACCGCCGGCATTGGTGAATGGAGACGAACCGAAAGCTCCGGCAAAGAAACGCAGGACGAGGAGAGTTCCGATATTATTGGCACCAGCACAGCCAGCGCAGAAGGCTGTAAAGCCGCCGAAACTGATGAAGTAGATTATCTGCCTGCCATAGAGTTCCGACAGCGGTGCCCATAATAGCGGCCCGATTGCGAAGCCGAGAACAAAGAAGGATATGCCGGCGGTTATCAACTCAGTGCTGGCGCCTAAGTCGACGATGAGCTCGCGTATGGTTCCTAAGATGGCAATCAGCAAATGGTGGTCCCGCTAACAGAGATACGATCCGGGCGTCGCAGGCATACCACTGAAAGCACTCGACGCAAAAGCCGTTGCCAGCACTTCGGTTGCTACAATCAAGCTGGTGGTCCATCGCCTCGATCGCGACCAGTTGAACGGGTTGCCCGGATCATTGGGGATGTAAGTGACGAGATAAGGATCCTCCTCTGTGCCTGACCCGGGATATGGATAATTCAGAACTTCCAACGTCACTCGAGCTTGATCCGCTACAAGGCGGAACAATGACAGTGGCATAGATGCAGAATCCGCATGGTCACGCTTCTCAGCCATCGTGCGAGCCGCAGGGGAAAGCCGGCGTCCTTGAAAGAGCAGAACATGATCTGCATCTTGGACGGCAGGACACAGTTTTGTGCATTTCAAGAGACCACATGCATAGGGAGTCGATGAGACATGATTGCATCACCGAGGGCAGAAGGCCATCTCAGAAGAGCATCCCACTGGTGGAAGCATCTTCGACCTTCGATCTGGCTCCACAATCAAATCTTGAAAGCGCATGACGAGCAGCGCAACGTGGGCCTGTAAAGGGCGTCTCGAAACATTTACCTTTGATAACGTCGGTGTCGCCGTTGGTTGGGGTGACAAAGGTCGGACATCGGACCCCTTTAAGAAACAGCCTCCCCGGAAGCTGTGACACTTGAGCCAAATCACATTCTGTACAAGTACAAGTACTCGTTAGTCGTGCAGCCCGGGATCTTTGTGCCGAGACCCTATCTCGAAGATAACCTTCCAAGATTCATAGCGAGAGAAAGAGAAGAAGAAAGGGGCTCCAAGGCTGATTGAGTTTCGTCTCGGGCTTCTTGGTCCTGGTAAACTCTCGGCCGCAAGCAGCAGTGGCCTGTCACAGTTGATCAGGGCATCACAAAAAGGGATATTGGGAAAATACGACATACGACGATTGAAGTCTTCTCGAAGAAGGGGAGTTGCTCCGGTCAATGGCGCCACTGGCATGAAACGGTGGCGACAGCCTCGTGGACCTCGGCTTAAAATTTTGCGCTCGGAAAATTCTTGCTCCGTGGGACACACATCATTTACGGTAGGCGACACAAAGACAGCCTTGCAGTGCAACCCAAGATCGTCCGTAATCTTCGGCTGATTCAAAAGCACATGTTACTTGGCTCTGGTGGCCCTGTGAGGGTGGACCTTGCCTAGGGCATGAATGGAGAAAAGTACTCGGAACAGAGCACCGCAAGTGAAAGAGCCCGGACTGAGAAATTGCAGAGGGCCTTGTGCGATTGCACAGAGTTATGCCGCGACCATAACTCATAACATCGCCCTTCTCTCCTTCTTGACAGCATCTACGTCTTCCAAAACCCTTTCCGGCACATCCACGACCTTGTCTCGGATGTAGTCCGCAAAGCCCTTTCCCAGGGCATCCAGCAGGCGGCAGCTACTCACCCCGCGGCCCAAGGGTCCGTAGATGACAAAATGCACCGCCCAAATATTCGGGAACTCCATCCTCTCGATGAAGAAATCATCCCTCCAGTCATCGCCCATGAGTTCCTGGATTTTTGACCGGGTCATGAAAGTCTGGAGCCAGGGGTAATGTTCAGCGCGACGGACGAAGATGCCGAAGTTGATGTTCGCCCCTTTGTCTCCTGAGCGGGCTAGTGTGATGTCTCCGAGACGAGCTTTGCGTGTGGGTCCAAAGGAGGCCAAATCGACGGGATGTGCGGTCTCGTAATTCTCTCGTGGTGCTAGCTTTTGATAGTGGGGAGGATGGCCGGCGTCTGCAGTCTGCGCGTCTTCTCCTTCCGTTGATAGGATTGCCACTCCTTCTTTAAGGTCGCTCTGCGGGTATAAAGCTGGGTAGAAGGCGAGATAGGATCTCGGAAGTGCTGTTCTATAGTCCAGGGAGAGATGGAAGCCTGAAAAATGCTGCATCGCGATCTCGCTCCACGCTTTCACCAACCCATATATCGCGGCTTCCGTATCGGCTTGGACGAACAATCGGCAATACGTCGTGCTGGAGAACTGCGATCTTGGATTTGCCTCTGGGGTTCCCAGGATCTGGAAGTCCAGCAGTTGATACTCGTCAATGAGGTTCTTCTGCTTGAGAGCGTGCCGGATTTGTGTCTCGAATAATCTCCACTTCTCGGCTGTTGCGTATCCAGTTGCATTGGTCAGCAGCTGCGCCTCGTAACCTCCGTGGTAAAAGATAGCCAGCTTGGTCGTTGGAGGCGGTGGGTATCCTCTGATGTTTGACAACCTGACTCTGTTCTTGCCGACTTGGTTGATCCTGATATCTGTCGTATCGGCAGAGACGTCTGAGTTGAGATATGTGCCTCCCTGGAGTTCATACAAGAACTGACACTTGACGTTGTCCTCGTTGACTAGGCCATTGGTGCCATCGTGCTTGGTGATGATGGAGGTCCCGTCATCCGCAATTTCTGCGATTCCGAACGACAGGTCCACGAAAGTCTCCAAGGGGTATTCATCAAATCCCGAGAAATTCGATCCTGTCGCATAAGCAGAGCATTCAATCAAATGCCCTGCCACGAGTGCTCCAGCCAGTCGATCGTAATCAGTGTCGGACCATTTGTGCCAATACCAGGCTGCTCCGATGACTGGGGACGCATCTGCCACTCTTCCACAGATTACGACATCGGCCCCCAGCTCGAGGCCTTTGACAATGGCTCTTGCACCAAGGTATGCGTTTGCACTCACGATAGGCTTCCCTTTTGTGTCCAGCAAGTCTGTGGCATGTTCTTGCAGCGAGACTTTTTCGTTCTCTCCATCCAGGTGCTGGGGTAGTTTACCGGTTTTCTCCAGGCTGGTTTTTACTTCCTCCATCAGGTTATCGCCGTAGACATAAGCGACCTTCAATCCCAGGTCCCGGTCATTGACAAACTTCTGGGCCTTCTTCGCGAGTCCCCGCGGGTTAAGAGCTCCGCCATTGATGATGATCCTGATACCTTTATCCTTGATGACATCAAGTGTTTGCTCAAGGCCATCCCAAGCAGTAGGTTCCCAGCCATCATGGTTGCCAGCAGCCATCTTCTGGGCATTTTCGGCAAGGTTCATCTCTGCGAGATAGTCGCCAGTTATGAAATCGACAGGCCCAAGTGTTGCCTGACGCCGCATCTGGTATCCTGGATCACCGCGTGCACCAGAGCAGTTGGCGATCCGACAAGCCCGCGTGGCGGCAGTCGAGGCTGGTCCCGGGTCGCCCATCTTGGTAGGGAGGGGTGGTCACAAAATGACAGACCTTGAGTCAAGAAAGGTGCCAGTTGTAAGAATGTCGAGGGCGAAATGCTGCCGATCTTCTGTTTCCAAGATCTGAGGCTCACTGACTCAATGTGCAGCTCTCTGCTGAGACCTTTGCTGTCTAAGTGAAGCTGGGGAGGTTGGGACAGTGCGAGTCCCTTCGACACGACCGACTGTTATGTTTTTCGGGTCTTTCGGCTCCAGCTGGCAGAGATTCTGGTTTCCTGGCGAAAGGATTCAAGGAGCGCTGTCGTCTTCATGATCTGAACGCGGGCTGCCCCGGCAAATGGACTCGATGCCGACATTGCGGGAGCCTTTCTCGAACCTGGATTCTGAAAGGCGCCTCGAGAGGTATTCCGAGGCAATATCTGAACAGATCAGCCCTCTGGTTCTCGACTCATGGGCATTGACTCGAGGCCTACCAATCAGTTCGTCGTCTTCCTCGGTCCATCTCTACCCCTCTCTGCATGTGTTGAATTCCCCCCACGGTGCGAAGCATTCAACGTCTTCATATCCGAAAGTTAAAAACAAGGCGCCCGGTATATTGCAAGACATTAGTTTCATTGACTGGTCCAAAAAAAAAATAAGCATCGTCAGGCCCCTCTCGGTGTTTGCCCATGTTGAGCCGAGGGCCCCTTCATCAACGGACGTTGACGTGAGATCCTATGCAATGGTTCCCGCTCCGTAACACGATTGCATTGGTGAAGCAAAAAGCTGTTATCTCCGAGAAGAGAAGTGTGGCTTTGCTGCCTGATGGGCGTATTCTCACACCTACAGCCATCGTTATAACTCATCGTGGAGGGCAGACAAAAGCCAACGCTGACTTTTCTAGTCTATTGAAAGACAAACACGATCAGTAAACAACCAAAATGGGTAGCGTCGACGCCTCGGTTTCGGATATCGTTTCTTCCTATTCAATCCCCGCGGAATCGAAGAGGCTGTTGACCGAAGCCTTGCTCGAGAATCCAAAGATCGCCAAAGACGTACCCAAAGAAGCCCATGAATTTGCGTCGCGAATCACCTTCAAGGGTACCGACCTCCCTTCGATCCCTATTAATTGGCGCTTCGCCGAGTCTGCCGCAAGTCTGAAAGCCTTTGAGGCATGCATCCTTTACGCGCTCGTGAAGCGCAAATACAATGTAGAACTCACCGGGGCGGAGATCAATACCGACCACGCACAGTTATTCTTCATGTCGACGCTCATCTGGCAGATTGACCCAGACACGGACCATACCATCACTCTGACTAAGAACACGGAGAAGATGTACGAAATGTTCCCCAACTATGACTTCCACAAGATGTCATCTAGTCTGTACAAGCTGTGCGTGACCAATATCTATCAGACGAAAGATGATCGCTATTTCCACCTTCACGGTAGCATGAATCCAAAACCATCTCTTGACAGCATCGGTTTACCTGGAGATCGACCTGACCTCAAGACCTGGGAGGAAGCGATGCAGCCGTTCATCGAAAAGCTGGCGACCATCGACTCGGCGGAGATGCAGCATCTCGCATCTGACGTGTACAAGCAAGCTGGTGTGATAGCGGAAACTGTCGACTCCTTTCGGGCCACTGAACACGGCAGGGCAAACGCTCACGTTGGGCTTTTCGAGATTCATCCTGCTCCGAATCCGTCACAGAAACCTTCCTGGTGGCCATCGACCCCTCAGACTTCGGCCGTAAGGCCGCTTGCGGGACTCAAGGTGATCGATCTGACGCGTGTTATTGCCGCTCCAGCTGTCACTAGGGGTCTGGCCGAGCTAGGTGCAAGCGTCATGCGCGTCACTTCCCCAAACCTGGTGGACTTTAGTTCGCTGCACCTTGACCTTAGTTGGGGCAAGTGGCAGTGCAGTCTCGACCTCAAGACCGAAGAGGGAAAAGAAAAACTGAGAAACCTTATCAAAGATGCGGATGTCGTGGTTCAGGGCTATCGCCCAGGTGTGCTTGACAAGTATGGCTTCGGCCAACAAGGCATCATCGACTTGGTGAAAGACCGTGAGCGTGGTATCATCTCGGTTCAGGAGAACTGCTACGGCTGGAATGGTCCTTGGGATTATCGTTCAGGATGGCAGCAAATCAGCGATGCCTGCGTCGGCATTTCCGCAGGGTTTGGCAAAGCCATGGGCTTGAAGAATGACGAGCCTGTTACCCCTGTCTTCCCAAATAGCGACTATATGACTGGTATCGCCGGGGTCACCGGAATTCTCTGTGCCTTGATGAGGCGTGCAGAGGAAGGCGGGAGTTTCAAGGTGGATATTGCCCTCAACTATTATAATCAGTGGTTAGCAAATTCGGTGCAGGAGTACCCGGGAGAAGTCTGGCAGGACGTCTGGAAGAGGAATGGAAAACAAGTCTTCCGGTGAGTTTCTCTAACACCTTTCAAACCCCTCGCTCTTTCCCGTCGCCAGAAACGTCGCTGAACTCCCTCGGTCATCAGGTGTTACCATAACATGAACTACCTAATACCTCGGTATATGGAGATGATCGCGAAGAACGGTAAGATCTTTCAGCCGTCGTTCTTCGAAGATCGTCAAAGCAAAGCCGTTGGTGCCGTCGTACGCACAATAAAACCAATCATCAAGTTCGACAATGACCAGGTCCGCCCTGGTTACAATGTAGGCACCAGAGGCAACGGTAAAGACGCAGCACGGTGGCCGGATGATCTAATGACCGAAATGGTGCAGTGACGAGTCAATTGGCCCACAGTCGTCAGGGACAAGGAATATGTTTCCCATGCAATTTTTGATTTGTCGTTGATGTCCCTTTGACCTTCTAAATCAGCTTCGGTGGTGAGCAATTGAGGAGTTGTAGCCGCGAATTGGAACATGTTGCATTCCAACTGGGCCACGGTGCCGGAATAGTTGTGCGTCGGTGGTAGTCAACTAAGTCCAAAGAGATACTGATCTATAACTTGATCCATGCGACCTAAAGCTGAAAATCAAATCAACCAACAACGGCATTCGGGTTCCGTATGCGGCCATGGCCGGGGTGCCCCAGGTATGGGTCCGGAATACCCGCTGCCAATCATGTGCAGCGTCGGCAGATTCTGACATATCAAGATCGCAAGGATTTCTGCGTCAAGAACTCTTCGTCAGACATCCTGTCAGGGGCTCAAGAGTATGCGCAAATCAAAGAGCCAGAAATATGGGTTTTAGTGAGAGACGGCGGTGTACTGAATGTGACACTTCACGCCTGTGATGGTGACGCTCTTTGGCTGCGGGGGAATCCAAGCCGAGGATGTGATGCAAACTGCGCAGTGGCTTCGTCGCACGACTCGACCAGCCTGCATCATGGGAGGCCGAGGGGTCTATATAAATGAGGGGTTCCGGGAGATGCCTTGAGAGCCAGCACCAGTTCGAGGCTTTCTGTAACTTGAGCATAGCCTACCCAAAATGCCTTTGAAGGGACAATGCAATTGTGGGGCCATCCAGGTCTCCGTCGACGACGACGCCGCCGAGAAAAGCCAGCCTATCTTCTGTCATTGCTCAAATTGTCGAAGACAGAGCGGAGCTCGTACGTTCTGCTCATCCGATGCGTTCTCATACCGCTAATGGTTTTCAGTTGGAACATACGTTTCCATGTATCCTGATGCCGATGTGACTATAACTGGAAGCCCCAAAGATTATGAAGACCGCAGCACAGATAGCGGGACCCTGCTTCACAGGTGGTTTTGCGGGGCATGCGGATGGTGAGTCCAAATTCCTGTTGTCGAGATCGTTCCACTATGGCGACGTCGCCAAAGACATCTTCTCTTCATTTGCTGAGTCCGAAGTACGGTCGGGGGTGACTGACAAGGCTTCGCAGTCCGATTATGTCCACCTCGGAGAGACTACCAGGAATGAAGAGTAAGTTCTTCAATAACCACCCAGTGAAATAGCCTCGCATATGAACGGAGGAATTGTATTGACAATTTCTTCCATGCGTAGTCATCAAAATGGGCCTGTTCGATAAGATCCACAAACCCAATGCTGAGATATACTGCAAAAACAAGAATGAGTGGGAGCCGGTTGTTGAGGGAACCGCGCGTCTGCAAGGAGCCTTCTGAACGCAGACTGGTTTCGCAAACGCCATGTCTCCGCTTGAGGTCTCCTTGGGAAATCAGCGGATCCGTCTAAGGCGTGCTGCGCAATTGCAAGCGATAATATGGCCTTTCCCAATAGGATATTTTGTCGGATCAAATGTATCACGAAATCTATCCGCTCGTGCTTCTTTTTTTTTTGGAGCCAGGCAAATGGACAAATATGTGCGATAGGTCTCGGCTGCCTTGCGGAGGCAAGAGTCCTTGTTGATACGGCGACGGGACAGGCATAGGTCGCCGGCAAAACTTTCCCCAGGTATCGTGATATCTTCATGAGATAAAGGCATCTTCATTTCCCGGACCCTGATAATGACCATCGTCACCAGGATATGTACTTGTAATCACGCATTATAACTCAGATCGTTCAGAATAAGGGAAGATACTAGCCATTTAACAGCCGGAGGAGCCGGTGGCACCGCAGCTGCCTGGGTATAAGTGCTTGGGCAACTTGCCTGTAAAGTCCTCGCCATAGATACGTTCTTGTCTCTTCAAACGACATCTTTGAAGGAACTCGGATATTGTGCTCCCAACAATGCGACTTCCTTCAGAACACTCCAAGTTGTGCAACACCATGAATATCTGTCGTCACCATATGGCACTTCCGTCGAAGTTGTCTGCTAACACAGAGTATGCGTTAAATGAGGTGATGTTGGCTGTTGGTTTTTTTTCTCCCCTTTTGGTCACTGTGAGCATCACGAGACGTCAAAATGGGTCTGTCAACTGTCATTTGAAACAGATGACGTCAGCGGTGGCTCGGCAGACCTTCCGTGATTCAGAGTGAATTGTATCTTCTCATCGACTCTGCTCTTCTTCCATCCGTCATCTTGCTTGCTATTCCTTTCAGATCTGGTGATCTATCTGGTATGGATGCCACCAGAAATGCTTAGCATCGATTAATCTCATGATCGGGCAACAATTGGACGGAAATTCCCCCATTCTGCGCGATTTCGGCCATAGCCGCCCAATCCTGGCCAGTAAGTGGTGTGACCCTCGGGCTATGCTGCTGGTAACATGATCTCTTTTCATTGCCCGACATTCTATGGTACCATGGTCTCTTCTAGCCGAATCTGTCAACGCGCCAATCCTCGTGATATCCACCCAGTATTACCAAGTGTTATTGCTTCTTTGTGACTGAATCAGTTAACTGAGTTTCTTATAAAAGAAATTGGCCCTCGTCATCTTCAACCCCCTGTATTGGTTTGCCATCTACCAAGTTAAAATCAGAAAACCTCTACAACGATCGAATTGACGACTACCAAAGCAAACAACCCTATTACAAAACATCGCGACGCAATGACCAAACTCAGTTGGAACAGTCTCACCGGCCATCATTCAGAGACTCCGGCCGGCACAGAAAACCCGGTGACAGACCAAACACCACATCACAGACGTGACTCAAAGCTTAGTCACATTATGGACTCGATCCGGCACTCGCTCGCCCATGAACATGAAAAGCTACCCGGCGAGAGTGAAGCTCAACACCAAGGATCCGTGGCCGTGAACAGCGAATCGGGCAACAACGGCTCGATCAGTCCCTCTTTACAAGCAGTCGCCTCATCCAAGCTCAATGAGAATAATATGGGTGAACACTCCCATGAACTGGGGGACACCTGGGGTTGGCCAGGTCTTGGTACTTATGCATCGAATGAATCTCCAAGGACGTCGACGTCGAGACAAGAATCAACCCCTCCAAGACGCGAATCGGTGCCGACAAGAAAGGAGTCTGAGCCGTCAAGAAGGGAATCAACGACATCTCAGGCCAGCAAGAAGAGCCACGACACCCAAACCGGCTGGCCAGGCCTGGGTCCCTTCCCCGAAGACGTGGACGAGTGACAGATTCGGGCAGAGAGACCATCGGGCTGACCGCATGTTGCAACTACCTTGTATTTCAGAGCAAATTTCCTGTCTTTGTGGTGCGTTGAGCGAGGATCTCCGGGGCTACACTATTGGTTGGGTACGAGACGATGGTGGGTTTAGAGCTACGATATCAAATCGAGGGACAAAAGCCATCTTGGCGAGGCTGTTTGTGACTTTACTCAGTCATGGTACTAATACATTGAATTTATACGAACAACTTTACCAACTCTGAAACCATAGGACTACCCAAGGACTACCTTAGCCCACTCAGTTGCCGTTGTGAAATTAGCTAACCTTCCTACAGGCTACTCCCGAGTTAGAAACATACCTAGTTCGGATTAAGGTGCGGCTCGGCTACTATCTGACGAGTACTCATTCTGTCTTTGCCCGTCTTACTGATAGAAATCATCCATCTCCAGCCGCCCAGGCATTGTCAACTTGGTGTCGAAGAAAAGATTAGGCAGCACACATCCACCCAGCTTATTCTGTGACGAGCTCTTCATCCAAGTCAAAAGCTACTGCTTTCAATCCTGTCGATGCACACAACAACATCACATCACACTTCTTTACCGACTCTGGCCACGATAGGTCCTCATTCTGACGACGGCCTCGGCTCTCTCTTCGGCCAAGATTATGTCTGCAGGAATGACAGTTCCCAACACGGTTAAGATGTTGACGACGGGGGCGCGGACCCTGGGCTCCGACCAAGCTATGAAGCCCCGTAAAAGAGTTGGGAGAGGATGGGGCTTTATGAAGGCATGACGCTTCCTAGTGTAGCAGAAGTTCCAGACTCTCCGGTTCCACGCTGCATTGTACTGTAAGCTTAGCCGTCAGAAGACACAACACAGTACCCAATCCTGTGAGACTGGTGCCGGACAGGACTACTGTACTTGTTAGAGGAAGTGTGTCAGGAAGGGACAGAGGAGTGGATGAGGCCGGTACGCACGGAGAAGCGGATGTATCAGATTGGCTAGGACGAAGTCCCTGTCCATGACCGGGGAACAAAGTTGTGCCAAAGCCTGGCGACAAGGAACATACAAGCTGTTTCTCCCAACTTCCGCTAAGTTCCAAGGCTCCTCGTCCATGTTCGAAGGCCATACCATAGGTGGGTGAAGCTCGTCGTGATGGTATCGTGATCACGCCAAATTGTAATGACCGGAAGTCTGATCCGTACACGAGACTTTGTGGCGTCTGCGGTTTAGTGCCGACGATATCCTGTCCAATGGGCTGTTGTCAGGTACAGGCATGCCTCAAAGACTTGGTGCGGGGGAGGTTACCGCCTAGCGTCCACTTGCGTCCACCAACCTCCACCAACACCCCCGTTCTGGCCCCTGCAGGAGCTGCCGGAAAATTCCAGACACATCGGTGGGTCAATACTTGTAATGACGCCATATTCAGGTTTCATTTCGCTTCACATGATGGAGTATCACTTGCAAACTGTGATCCTCAGCAGAGAACCAGATCACCACGACCATTGCGGGGCCAGTGGCCTCGCTGTGGGAAACTCCATTCGAGAACTGACAGCTTCGAGAGTCCAAAACCGGCATCGACTGAAGTCTCTAGAAACCTCACGCCATTTCTGCATATGGCGGTACTCTCGGGATCGTCAAGGTGAGTTCGTCTACTTGGCATGCAGTGCTGGGTCTTGCACCGTTCTCAGGTCTATAAATCAGGCCTCATCTCACCCCCTTCGAGCCGTTCTTTAGCAGACCAGACCAGATCATCAAAACACTTCATGTCTAATACTGTTCGAAGAATCCCACACCGCGTAACTCCAGCCATCGTTAGTATCTCGAAGCCAAAGCGAACCCAGACAAGAAGCATGGCTCTCTTCCCACGTCTCCCTTCCACATTCGGGCCCTACCGCTCCGACTTGGGGCCATTTTTCAATCTCTTCAACGACACCTTCTCTGAGCTCCAGAAGCTGTCTGATACCGCATCCCGCACCTTTGCGCCCAAGTTCGACGTCAAGGAAGCCAAAGACAGCTACATCCTCGAGGGCGAACTGCCTGGGATCGACCAAAAGGACGTCGTCATCGAGTTTGCCGACGACCAGACTCTTACCGTTAAGGGCAGGACCGAGAGTTTCAGAGAGGAGGACGCCAAACCCGGCGCAGCCAATGGCGAGGGCAAGAAAGAAGAAGCTGCGGCTGGTAGCAAAGAGGTAGCCACCACTGGCCCCAAGGAAGTTGCTAAGGCCGAGCCGCAACACACCTACTGGGTCTCAGAGCGCAGCGTTGGTGAATTCGCCCGCTCCTTCTCCTTCCCCAACCCCGTCGACCACGAGAATGTCAAGGCTAGCATGAAGAACGGAATCCTGAACATCGTCGTTCCTAAGATGCAAAAGGCGAAGACCTCGAAGAGAATCGAAATCAACCAGGAGTAAAAAGCTCGAGTAACGGAACAATCAGAACAAATGGCGGGATTTCGAAAGTCAAGCCACCAACCCCAGATCTAACACGACAAAAACTGTTCAACCACGAGTTACGACCATTCGCTCTAGCACCGTCCTTTTCACAGTCACCTACAGTGAAATTCCTCCCTGCTCTTTACACGTTCCTTACCCCACAAAAAGCATAAATGACGATTCCAGAAGCGACGTTCTCTGATGAGTGGTGTTGGGCGTGAAGTTTTCCAATTATGGGTCTCAAAAAAAAAAAAACCAAAGCATTGCCAAGGGCGCTGTACAATACCTCATCAACGGATTTCTACCTTAGCTTCAGATAGTCTCCGTGATTCTGTAATGGCATTCATTTCAAAACAAGAAATATCCACGTTAACTATCTTTTGGTCCTTATGCTGCCACATTCGAGTTAGCACAGAGACATACTGCACATTAGTGCATTGAGTCTAACCGCACCCGGCATGGAGACGGAAGTATTTCTTGCCGAGTGTCAAGGTTTATTCCAGGACCACCGACCTAAACCAAAAAAAGGGCGTATAGCTTACAAGGATCATGAACCAGCATCATATCTGTGGACTGGGTCAGGAAGGAAAATACGAAGACGTGCAAGTAAAGGCTTTGCTAAGTTGCTCTTGCAGCCTTGGGATTCCTTCGAAGGCGCCGCTGTTTGATTATTTGCAGACGCCGAGCTCCGAACACGAGCATTTGACAGAAGTCTGGAGACACCGGGGGAAGAAGAAGGGACAGAAGCGAAAGAGTTGTATGCTCGCGCAAAAAATACGCTCGGGAGTTCTCGTTGCAGAATCAAATTGAACATCACCACGGCACGCACAAACGAGGCTGTCACCTCACACTTCCGTGTCGCTCTTCTCAGAGCCCGACATACAGGTTGCTCCACAAACATGCCCAAGGTCTCCTCCATTGACAGTGTGGACGGATAGGGGGTGTCACCTCTCCAGGTTGCAAGAATGACAAACTACGGAACTGGAGAAAGTCGGGGCAAGGCCGTAAAAAAAATGGCATATGTGCCACGTTCTGAGTGGCACCATCATCCCATTCCTGCTCTCTCCTATTTCATCCCCAACAACTAGCTAAACGCTCGCATAGAGAAGGGCGCTCGTCATTATGGATGTCGGCTCGGAAGTAGCATGAAGGAAAAGCTATACTGCCTTGTAAGCAATGTACTGTGAACACGCCATGGAGGGAGGTCAGATGAAGAACTAGCGACAACTGAAGTGTCATGCAGGCCTTTCAAGCATGTGCTATCCAAACCCGACATGACGACGATGAAGGAATTTGAGGTCGACACATCGTACCAAGTATGACGCAGTACTCTTCACAAACATCAGGAGATGAATTCGACTTTCGCTCTAATCATATCAAAACTTACAAGTCAGTCCCGTCTTCTCCTAGGCCGCAAATCACGGTTACCACGTGCGGTCTCCCTTCAATGGTGCTTCTGATCCCGGTCTCCTAGGACTGACAAAATCGCCACCGAGGAGCTGCTATTCAGATTTGCGGGGTCGTGTCCGGGCTCCTCAGGATTGCCGGCGCGCGAGAGTCCTCCTGATTGAGGCACTCAATCCCCCATTCAGCAGACCACGGGCGGCCTTGCGGTGGCTTGCATTGACCCGCGTCCTGAGGCCGATTAGGGGTGAAAAGGACGCAAATCTACTTGTACCAAGCACTGTATTTTCTGGGCTTTCATCACCGGGAATCTGTTGGTGCCTGCCCTTGCCGTCGTGACACACCGGCGCCCACGATGTTTCGGAAATGCAAAGCAACGCCTGAAACATCCAGCAACATCTCGCGTGATACCTACTGTACCAGTAGTGACAGCATGTATGACCTCGAAGATGTACCGTTGCTTAGATGTATCTTCTTCGGCAACGGTCCTGAATCATGTTGATAATGCAGACCAAAACTTGGAGAGAGCGCGCGCGTGCATATGGTCCATCTGCTGAGATGTTGTTCACACGATACCGACGTTGAGATCTCGTTCTGTTGCATCCCAGCCAGATGAATACCGTCATTTGGATGTTGCAAACCGAAACTGTTCAAGCGAGGATAATCGTGACTTGTTCATGTCGACATAAGATCTGGTGCTGGCATGACCATCAGAGCCATTTACGTCGAGGCAAAGTCAAATGTGGTGTGATGGTGGATCGGCCTTTGGACTGATGTCGTGCCGAGAAGCACCCAGAGGCAGCCAGAGGCGCCTGCAGGCTCATCCTCGGCGGCTTCCGGGGGCACCCCTTGGATAATGAGCTCGCCCAGAAGCCCCCCCAGGCCCCTTCGAGTTAGGCGGCAGCGTCCTGTCATGTCCGCTATGGCGTTTTCGTGGGTTGATCGATCAGGTGCCCCACCATTCCCGAATCTTCCTCTGACTGCCCGGCCATCACCAGACGCATAGACGAAAACCTCCCGACCACTTAGCTGTTTGGATGGAAAAACGAGCCCCGACCCAGCGGAGCGGAATCCCGTATGCGTCGCCATGCTATGATTATGGATTCCATAAAACGCTGAGAACAGGAGTGTCTGAGTCTTGCTTTCATCACTCTACCGATCCAAACAAACAGGCAGAATTTTATCACAAGTCCTCATCAGATCAACCCAAGATCAACCCACCTCTCTTGCAGTTACCTAAAATGGTTCAGTACGATCAATTCAACGGGATGTTCCCTCTCACTTCCCTCCCATCCCGCGGAAGGACGAACAATGCTGAGAATCCTCAAACACCAAGTACGTTCACCCCATCTGGGAATACAAATCATGGACGTTGACTGAACGAATGCTGCAGGCGAGCCAATCCACCCAAGAGTGAGGAGACTGTCCTCGACCAGTGGCCCTCGGCCTCATTACTGCGCCAGGTGTCACTTGCGACGAACGTCCCAAGAACGACATTTTCCGATTGAGCATGACTACTCCTCCAGCGAGGAGGAATGGGAGGGCTTTTGCCCCGACATCTCAATGCCCAAAGACCTTACTCCTCCACCAACACCTCACCACAAAAGACGGCACTCGTGCCTCTGCCCAGCCAGTTTGATCACTCAGGAGCACAAAAGCGGCTCCGTGTCACCGGTGCAGATGACCGTGAAGGAGGCTGCCGCCCGGTGTCCTCATTACGGCCAGCACAGCAAGTGCAACTGCCAGAATGTGCTTCCGGAAGAGAACTTGGAAGAAAGATACGGCCTCGTGGAAGCGCCCGGCCAGACTCGGCGGAAGTTGAGCCTGGAGAAGGACGCCGCGAATCAATTGGCCGGCATCATGCACGCAGAACTTATTGCAGATATGCAGGCCCGGAACAGCAGACTCTGAAGGGACTAGGTGACACCAGCCTGATCTTGCCTCTTTTACGGTGAGATACGAAAGCAATGAGGATTTTTGAATTGGTGCAAAAATTATGTACTTGTATATATATAATGCTACGGCCACAAGGCGTTCGGGACACCTTTTGGGGGGGGGGGGGGCACCAAGGAGCTACGGATTACGAAAGGCTGGGAAAAAGCAATGACGGCTTAGGGAGAGGGCATTTCTTCCCCGCAATGGATCCTCATTCAGACACGTTAGGTCAATAATAAGGTTAATAACTATGACTACTTCTGGCGATATGCGGTGACCTCCACAAATGGTACTTGTATACCCAAGTATTTGTTTCGAAAAGATGAATTGGATCTTGTCTGTCCCTGGACATGGCAAGGCTTGGGATCGAGTAGACGTGTTACTCTTTCTGGCATCGCGCCCGAGTACGTATTTCCTACTTGGTAGAGAGCGACATCAACTAATACGTCAAGGTACCGTGCTATTTTCGGCAACTCATCGCTTTCCCATCCATGACCAGGTGCAAGGCGTTGGGGCAAGGCTCTACAGTTTAAGGGGTTGACGCTTGGCACTCACTCGCTGGGTGGGACCCCGAAAAGGACGGATCTGTGATGGTTTTGGGATGGCCCGAATTGCTAGCTCGCGCTCTTTTTTGCAAACCCGAGCCCAAAAAAAAAGGTCACACCACCTCCTGAGTAACTTTCCGTCTCAGCCCCCCTTTTGTCTGCAGTAGCATCTTAGTAATGCTGGTCCTAAGGGTCCTCATTCTCCCCTGGACAGATGGCACATGTTATGCAGGAGTAAGCTAGTACCCAGTACCTCGTAAGTTTCACACCGTTACGCCCAATTTCGCAAGCCCCTTCATGGCGCCCTGCATTCGAGGTACTCCCTCAGTCTCTTCTTGAAGCTTGTTTCCTCTCCATGATTCCGTGGCTGTTTTCCCTATCTCCAACGCGAGATTATTCTTGATCAACCGGGCGAGGCCGATCCCTGGTCGCAACGTCAAAACATGTCACCGCGGGCTGGAACCCAAGTCGTTGTGTTAGATTGGCACAGTCCAATCATGAGATTGTAATGCTCCGGCAAAAGACAGTGTTTATTCAATCCTATCCCCCGCATTTATGACTTCTTCATCATGAGATCTTACCTGCATGTCCTTGTCCGCTGGCTGCCGCAATATGCGAACGTCCTTGTCCCTCAGTGGCCGTCGTATGATTGTTGCACAAAGGCACATGCAGGCGTGGGCAGGTAATGGTCCAGTCATCGTCGCCTAAGCATGGCATGCATTGCCTTATTTGCGCGTCTTTGCTTCAAACGGGACGAATACAAGGCCCCTCACGTGTGCAGAACCTTTTACACATCAGAAGGTGTGTGCGCGACGATCGACGGGTTACTGGATTCAGCCGCCCTCATCCATGAAAGCTGCGCCTAAACATCATCCATGCTTTCCGGCTGTTGGGAAAAGCAAACGCACGCAATGCGAGGGGAATGCCCCCATTGAAAACCTTGCTGACCTAGATATATAAGCATCCACGTTCACTCTTCGATCAAACACTGTTGTCCTTGACATCAGAGCATCTCGACATATCAGAAATCCCCCCTCCCCCCCCCAAAAAAACAACTTCCAAAGGGTTCGAGTTTCTTTGATCTCTGGAGAAAAGATCCAACCACGTTGCCCCCTTCTTCCATCAAAAGGATTAATATCAGCATAAGTTACCGGAACACCACAAAACCAAAAAACAAAAACCACCAACAACCATGCCTGGTCTTCCATACTCTGTTCCCTCGAACTATGTGATCCGTCTCATCGAGACCGACCCTCTCGCCGCCAGCCTCGGCCAACCAGAGCACTTGGTGCAGCCTCACCCGTCGCAGCCGTCGCATTTTCAGTTCCCGCGCACCTCGCTGCACCAAGCGACGCTGCAGTCACATTTCAAGGGACCCCATGCGCCCAGCAGCGTGCTGGCGCCAAAGTCCGGCACCGCGTTCGCCCCAGCCACCGACATCCGCGAGTCGCTGCGCGCGTACCACATTGAGATCGAGACGCCGGGCGTCACCGAGGAGAACAAGAGCGACCTCGTCATCACGTGGATGAGCCCGCACACCTTGCTCGTGCAGGGCATCGCCACCCGACCGAAGAATATCGGATTGATGGATCAGGAGGAAGGACAGAGAGTGTGGGAGGGCGAGGGCGAGGGATGGGCCGCCGAGGCGGGACATGGCAAGGTACGTCTTGATACGCGCATGACCCACTCTCCTCATTTCTTATGTTCACGGCGGTCCTCGTTTTCAACCCAAGCAAGCACCACATATGATCCATCCCCTTCCTTTCATATGCCATTTCCTATTTTTCACCCCCATTCACATGCCGAGAAAAAAAAGAAAAAAAATTCATCACACTAATTACCACTCTTCCAACCTTTCAACAGCCCCAGGAAGACACTGACGGGGGCCCAATCCAGCGCGAAAAGTCCCGCGAGACGATGGAGGAGGAGGCGCTGTCGGACACGACGCCGACAATCCTGCTCTCGGAGCGCCGCGTGGGTGCGTGGCGCCGCACCTTCACCCTGCCCGAGGACGTCGAGATGAAAGAGCTCAAAGCCCGGCTGGAAGGCGGGTTGCTGCGCATCGACCTGCCCAAGCGCAGCCTCGAGGATATGGCGGCGCTCAAGGGCGCCGGCGTGAGGATCGAGATCGAATAAGTACCTCCTTGTACTTGGGGGGTAAGGTTGCACGTGCCTACTCCGTACAGGTATGTAGAGGGACAAAAAAAAAAAAGTTTAACGCCAACACGTCGAAAACGCGAGCAATGTCTTTTTTCATAGAAAACTCATCTGTCGTCTATTGAGGATCTGGTATTCCGGGCAAAAGGAGGAAGGGGGGGAAACCGCAGGGGGCGAAGGATGAGGAGCATCCTTGCAAAACAAGCAACGGGGCGCCATGCATAGCTTTTCAAAAAGTTCTCTCTCGTGTTTGAAAGCTGGTCTGCTGCTGCGAAGCCAAGCCAGACCGGGGTGAAAATGCAATATTGATAATATTATAATGAATCCCATCACTCACTCCCTCGATCACTCGACTTCCGTACTCACGTAGTTACCCAATTGCCTGGTCAGTTGGTCGGTCTGTGCAGTCCGCTCGATATTTTCGTCGTTGCATGCGTACATGCATACATACATGCATACATACATCCACACATACACACACACACACAAAAATATAAAAACACATACATATACACATATATACATACATATACACATATATACATACATATACACATATATACATACACATACACACACACACACACACATATACATACACATACACGCATATAGACAATACATATTACTACATACAGACATGTCGCTTCGTTCTCAAGCTGCGCGCTTCCTCGACTTTTCTCTCTGTGGGTGGGGCTTTTTTTGTGGACAAAAATAGCGTCTCGTTGTAAACTTCACACTTTCAAGAAGAAAACCAAAGGGAAAGGATATACAGACAGATACATGAAATGTGTTTCGGAGCTCGACCCATCACTTTCTTTTGAGTGGGGGGAACAAATATCATCGTCAATACGTACATGACATACCCTTCAGGGTTGCTGAGGTTCTGGGGGGCCGGCCGCCCAGCCGCCCAAACCACCTTGAAACCTCTCAATCGTCCAACCCATCCCACATGCACTCACTCAATGTGCGCCGGGACTCCTAACAAGAGGTGCAATGATACTTCGTCGCTGTCTGTACATATATACACGGACACGAAAACTTTCCCAAAGCGCGACTTTCGGCAAGTGGATGAAAAGGGGTCCTATGCAGCCGGCAGCACAGCAGCAAAAGATCCCCCGCGCTGCTGCTCGACAGGTCAAGCGCCACAAGCAAGAAGAGACACATAGCCGAAAGGGGGCGTTGATATATGTACGGATGGATACTTGACATTTTTTTTTTTCTTCTTGCATGTTTTTCTTTCTTTGTTAATCCGAAAAATTTAGACTGCTTGAACCTGAAGATTCACCATCTGCTTGAGCAGACTGCAATCCTCGCAACGCACCAACTTCTCCAATACCCGGACCCTTTCGGTCAGTCTGTGGATTTCGTTTTCCATGTGGCGCATCTCAACTTCCGTCTGGTTGACGTAGTTCATCGCCTCGGTCAGCACGTCGCTCTTGCGCACTTTGGGAGGAGGGAGCCCGCTGGCCGAGTTCGCCGCTTCGGCTTCGCCGTCATCGCCGACTTTGGGCCCGTAATGAGACGCTTGTAGCGTGTTGTGCAGCTGGGAAATCTTGGCGTTGAGATTCTCGCGGTACTTTCGTTCTACGAGTGAATGAGCTTGCTTTGCACGTTGTTTGGCGTCAGCCTTGGATGGAGCGGTCGATTTGGTGGTCATCTGCTCGTCATCGTCGTCGTCCGACACCAGCGATGCCGCGGTGGTCATGGTTGGACTTGCTCGATTTTGCCGGCGGGCGGTAGCAGAAGATCTTCGCGGAGGTAGGGGGACGGTGTCAGGCTGTTCGCTGGTTGCGGTGGTGGAACTTGATGAGCGACGGGTGGTTGAAGACCGGGAGGTGGCTGTCGTACTTGTCCTCGTGCTCATGTTGGGTCGCTGATGGAGCTCGACAGACATGCTGTCGTTGCTGATCATGGTCTCACTGGGCGAGGTCGACCCTGTTATGCAGGGGACTGATGTGCACTCCTCAATAGGCGGGAGTGTGGTGAAGTTCATGCAAGGTGCGTCGGGGCCACAGCGTTGTGGTTGGCAGCTGTCTACTTGGCCTGCAATGAGAGGGCAGAGCTTCTCAGTCGAGTCTGCTTTGGATGCTATGGCAGCAGCGATAGGATCCAGATTGGTGATGGACCGGCTGGTGTTGAGAGAGTCAGAAGCTGATAACGTTGTCGTGAGATTGTTGTCGTTGTTTAGCATAGTTGCATCGTCATCAGCGCGTGAGTTGCTAAGGCTCGACTGATCCATGGGTGGAAGATTTGCCTCCATGTTCAGAAGCTGAGAGTAGGAATATTGGCTGTTCGAGTAAATGTCTCCTGAGGATCTGCGTGGTTCGGGAGACTGTTGATGAGAAGAAGAGGGGATCAGGCTACCCGTCGAGCCCTGGCGGTGATTGGAAGATCGAAGATACGCCAGCGGATCCTGATCTCTGTCCATGGCGGTCGAGTATTTTTGGTTTTGGTCAAGGGTTGGGTGTGCGTTCAGATTCCCCCGTGACGAAGTGAGCGGAGTCGTGGTGAAGTCCATCTCATGCCACCCGGTGAAATCGATGGAGTCGGGGTCGACGATGGCAAGCTGGGGATGCTGACTCTGAAATGCATGTTGCCCGAGGAAGTCAGGAGAGCCGTCCTGCTGGTGGAACAGCTGCCGGAAGCGCATTGCTTCCACTGACATGATGCCTTTCCCACTGAAGCAGTCGTTTCCTTGGTTTCAGGCCTTTGGTTGACACAACGGGGACCTCGACGTCCGAAAGATTACCGTTTTCGATGCCCGAGTCAACCCACCAGGCGCTTAACCGGAGGCCGTCTACCAGTCGTCGTCGCTGATGTCCTCGCTTGAGACCGAGATCGTGACCGTCGTTCAGCACTAACAGTCCAATACAGTGGGCAAGTTGCCGTCGATTTGGGGCGATAGTGTTCGAGGAAAGGAGGATGTCAGGCCACGATGACGGTGTTAAGAGGGAATTTTGGCGGTGGAGTTGCGTGTTTGATGAAGAAGTAAGTCGAGTGACAACGTTGGGACTCGGCACTGGAAGTCCGGAGAGTTCCAGCATCGACGCCGGCAGCCAGTGGATGAGTGAGAAAGCCCCTCGGTCACACCACGACCCCCACCTGCCGTATTGCCAAGTCTCTGGTGGCGACATCCTGGCCACTGTCAACCGTCTATTTATCGCTTAACCTTGCTAGCGGTACCGTCGTGACGGCTGAAAAAAACCAGCCGGGCCAGGACCCACGCGGAGATTGTTCCAGACTCGCGGGCATGAGACAGGTCGATAGCGATTGTAATGACGCCAATGACCCGGCAAAATGCTTGGAAAGTGGCGGTATGTAACCGAAATAAATCATAGTGGCCTGACCGTCTCCGTGGCGCCAATACCTCCCGGCGATGGGATCGACCAGTCAATCCTCCTCCTTTCACGCCTCTCCTCAGCCCTCAGCTCTGGCCCAACCTGGCATTCTCCGTCCGGGGCAGGTTCGGCATGCCCTGCATGTCCCAGGCACCTCGCGGAGGCGGCCGCGGTCGATCACACTGTCACCAGAGAACTTCTACTCTTTCTTTGCGACCTGGTGATGTGATCACACAACACCTGAGCCCTTGGAGATCTCTGCTGGTACAGTCTTGCTGATGAGGGCTGTAGAGAAACAACTCCCACCACCAATGGGTGAATTCGGGCACGTAGATGGTGCCTGGCCATGGCGACCAGATCCCAGAGTTAAAAACCGTCATGAGCCAGCACAGAACAAACGGAAACGGTAGGTCACACCAACACCAACACCAACGCCAACACAGCATAACATAACATCTCAACTCAATCTGCATCTGTGCGCCGTCAAACAAAAAGCCAGAAACATCTCCCCGTTCAGTCTCGCCAAAGTCACGATCAACTCTCTTCTCAGCCGCCAAAATGAACGCTGCCCGTCAAATCATCTCACGCCGCTCTGTCCTGGCCATGGGACCCCGACTCACCTCCCCTGCCCGATATGCCTCGACGGCTGTACCACACCATACATCTCACTCGACCATGTCTCCCAAGGATCGGCAGTTCATGCGAGGCATCTTTACTGTGGCAACCATTGCGACTGCAGGAGCTGTGGCCTATGGGGTAAGTCTTGCCGACCGATGATTTAGCTTTTGCAAATGTACCTCGTACGCTTTGCCAAGATCCAGACCGCTGACAAGTTGTCTTTCTCCAGGCTTCCAAATCAGGTGGACGGATGAACAGCCGCTTCGTCAAGCGAAACTCGACCCTGGACAGCAACAAATGGTTCTCAGAGAGCCAGGATTATAACACCATGCTGGATAGCAAACATTAGATTTGCGGTCCTTGGAAATGTCAAATCAGGTGATACATTGTAATGAATGAAGGCGTTCAACCTCTTTTGTGAGGGAGCCGGGATTGGTGGAACAAGATGGCTTGGAGTTACAGCGGCCCCTCCGGGTGGTTGGGTTATACGCGGGCTTTGGCGTTCATCAACAAAAGGGATCCCATGGAAGAAAGAAGATGAAATACAGAGATGAAAAAGCACGACTGGGTGTCTGCAAAGTTTGTGTGTCGTCAGCTATCTGACGACCATAAGGTTTCGTTTCGCCTTGTACATATTCCAAAGTACACTTTTGTGGGTATCACAAGAAAAACTCCATGTGAAGAAATAAAAAAAAAAAAGTTCCTTCCGTCGTCCAATACCATGCCCTTCCACAGTAACTTTCCGTGTGTCAGCCTGGTTCAAAGACACATTGAGACCTCCGATCGACAAGACTCCACGCCAAGAAGAAAAACACGAGAGCTGACAAAAAGATAGTGCAACTGTTCCCCGGATCTCAGCCCTATCCCGAATCCGCTGAGCGATGGGTCACAAGGGGTATAAGAGGCCGAATGGCCCAGACATCCTCCTCCTCTTCCTGGTCGTGCTTGGCGTCTGCGGAGTCGAATGTCGGGCTGGAGCATTCAGACCTTTGGCCCTCGCTTTCGTAGTCCGTGCAGCTGTCATCGCTCTCGGCTGAGGTGTCCTCCTCCTCATCAGACCAATTTCTGTCACAGCTGTCGCAGCTGTCGCAGCTGTCGTAGTCGCTGTCATCTTCCTCCTCTTCATCACTGTTGTAATCCTCGGCGTTCTTGTATTGAGCGGAAGCTGCCCGAATTTGTGCAATGGTTGCCAGTTGAGCTTCGAGCGCGGCTTGGAATTCTTTGAACGAGGGCACTTGGTGTTGGATGTAGGCGGATAACTCATTTGGTTCCGGCCTTGTCTCTGACGATGGCTGCGCCTGCTGGGCTTGTGCAAACGTCCGCGTTCGATCGTACACCGAGATGTGGCCTAGTACCCTCCGTAGTCTGGGTTCTTCGCGGGCTGATTCTGTATTCAGTTTCCAATGTGATTTGAACAGGAGCCTTGCAGCGGACAGAGAGGTCGTGTCTGGTTGGGGTTGGGACTTGGGCTTAGAGGCAAAGCAACGCTGGTCATGCGAGCAGAGGGCACCCAGCTGTTCCATGACGTGATGGACGAACGTTCGTTGCTTGGGAGGTCTGGCTACGGAAGAGAGGCAGCTTGGAGATATTTCAGCAGCAACTGTCCAGAACAAGAGAACAGTGAAAGCCTGATCGGGAGGAATCTGGGGAGAGATGTCTTCTTGAACTTCCCATTAGGCTGAGAAAAAGGACACGGACTGGTGCATCTAGGCCATGAATCAACATCGGTGTGGTCGAGAGGACCTACCAGTCCACAGTTTCTCGTGCTCAATCCTGGTCAGCCACGTTGACCTGGAATGGGGTCCACAAGGACCATGCCTCAAAGGGGAAGAGGAGACAAAGGGGGGGTGCGTGAAATCATTCGATGACCCAAGTTTTGGGAGCCCATGCGGCTGAAAGAAGATTCTGGGGATGGCCTTTCGCAGGACTGAAGAGAAGGTGAAGACGAGCTTGGACCAGAAGCGAGGGGCCTTCCGGGTGGCAGCCCTGTTCAGGAACCACTCAGCAAGCGACACGGTCAGGCCAAGTCGCCTTCACTGCTCCTCTTTTGGCCTGATGGGAAGCTAAGCGAGGGCCAGTCCTCGTCGGGTAACTATCGACTCTTTGAAGTATAATACAGTACCTACATAGACTTAATAAGGGGGGAGCAGGTGGGGGGGGGGGGGGCCTTTTAGGTACCTCGCAAGGGGGAAGAACTCATTGTCGAATGAGTCCACCATGGAATCTACCGTGGAAATACTTGTCAGACAAGGCAGAAGCAGAAAGAGGAGCAGATGATCCCAGGCTTGAGGGCGGGGAAAGGGAGCCATCCACGAGCCATCCACGAGCCATCCATGAGCCATCCACGAGCCATCCATGAACCATCCATGAGCCATCCTTAAGCCATCCTTAAGCCAGCTTGATCCAGGCCCCCCAATGAGCGTCACTGGGCGTCTTGGTGTTTGTCGCTAACCGTAGGCTACGCCTATTGGGGATCAGCTCTCGCCTAATCGACAATGTTTTGGGACTCGGCGAACGCGGTGGGCACGGTGAGCACGAGATTTGACACATGATTCTGGCACCACTTTGGACCACTTTGCTCATATCAGTCGGTCTCAGCAAGCCACTGCTCCGTTCCCAAAACTCAAAAGGACATCTCGCAGATTACCGAAAAGAGGCCTCACCACATGGCGGCCGGGACAATGCTTGACTTTGACGCGACTCTGGCCTCCAGCCTCCCAGCCGCGGCCGAGAGCGCGCCACAGATCTGGTCTATCGAGAGTTTAAACGGCATGGAAAAAGGGGCTTCCTTCCTGCTCGAACCACAAAACAAACACATGATGGCTGCAGATAGGCATGTGCATGGGTGCATGTTGCTGTAAAGCACACTCTCATTTCAGCAAGGCTCGCCGACCTTGTCATGCCGCTACCAGAGATTGGCTTGAAGCGGGTGCCTTTTCTCAACTAAACCCCCTTGGATTAAATCCAAGTCGATCTCTTGCCCTTTGCTGCGAAGCTTCGGCAAGCATTGACGAGGATTGACGTGATGCTAGTGGAAATCGAGCACTTAGAGGGTGCTGGCTGTCTTCTGCCGCCCTGTCTCTAGCTCCTTGCTGTTAGTCCACTTCTTCACCGCCATGTCAACAATCCCCGACCGTCATGTTGACAGTGAGGAATGACATTGATTTCCTACTACAAGTGGCTTCGGGATAGGAGCCGAGCATTGACTACAGAAATCGCGACAGGGGTTCCTTGTAAGCAGGCTGTGGTCGGTGACAGCAACAAAGCCACAAGGCCACCCGAGCTTCGCACATTGCTCAAAGCGTCGACTATTAGGTACCCGGTACTTGGTGAGCACTCGTTCCAATCATTCTGACCCGAACCCCAACAAACAAAGAAGGTTCTCAGTCTGCGAAGTTGCGCTGCCACTTCAGCACCCCTACCCCCACCTTTTGCCCCTCGACGCCTCCTATCTTAGCAGGGTTGATTGTGACGGCATTTGGCACCAAAGTCTCAAAAGAGAATCCACACTTCTCAAACACCTTTCTGCTGGCAAGGTTGTGTTCGAAGTGTGTTCCGACCACCGTGTGAGCATTCATGTGTGGAATGATAATTTCAGCCATCAGTTTTTGCAGGGCGGCCGGCATAATCCCCCGGCCTTGATATTCGGGTATGAGCCAGACTGTGTCTTCGATTAGTGCAGTTCCGGGTTGAGAGCATGTCTGCGGAGAGTCGGTTTCGAAACGAAACGAGGAACTCACATCCGATTTCCCAAGAAATGTTCGGATCGCCAGCTTCCAGCTTGTCGTTCTCTGCTTTCCGCCGCTCTTTTTCCTCTGCATCTACAATGTACAAAAAGCTCTCCCTCTCCACGCCAATATCGCCAATAAACTTCTCAATGATACCTGTCTCTGACTCCTCGATATGTCGGATAGGCGAGGTCCAGTGTCCGCCGAGCCATGGCCTCTGCGACCAGTCGGACGGAGTCCCGATTTCCCCAGCGCTGGGACTTGCCTGCTCGCGTTCCCGGATGGCGTTCAACTCTGCACAGTTTTGCTTCCACTCGCGGGATACCTTGGTATACCATTCGTCCCTATCTCTCTCCGTGTAAGGATAGGGCGGACCGTTCAGGTTCATATACACCTTGGGATCGTTGAGACCACGGATGACGGCAGCTCCATCAGACTCACGAGGCGGAGTGAGTACTATTCTCAAGGTCGCATGAGGCACTGGAATGTTAAAGTCGGAGCTCTCCACGCCCGATTCCATGGTTAAGGGAAGAGCGTGAATCTCTCAGGGGATTTCAAAAGGGATCCGAGAGAACGGGTGTCGCAGATCGTTGAAGCTCCCAATATATCATACAAAATGAGTCAAATGAGATCAAGATGGAGTGAGTCACCTCCGTCCTGCACTCTCGCATGTTCTCATCTGTGCTACCAGAGTCGGTGACTCCGTAAAGCAGCAGGCCTCAGCTATGGTTACATTGAGGCCAAACAATATGTACCGACTCATCCCCCGACAGATTCAAGTTATGTAACGCGTGGCAGCCGTGTGGTTCCAAGGCTTCAGCATCGCCTTTTGCCGCGGATCATTGTTTCCCCGAGAACAGCGACCTTGGCATGGATGATGAGTAACAACCCCCTTTTGCCAGCTCGCTAGGTACTCTGACCTTCCTCGCTGGTTGCGGCTGTCGTTCCCCAGGAAGTAGATGGAAAGGTTGGACTGTCACTACTACATTCCACCACGTTAGACGCTTGGCTGTTCAACTTCCACTAACTTTTACACATTGACAGGTTGGATAGAGGAAGTGTGCCAGTCGACATCTTCCTGGAAATTGTTGGAGACGTCAATGCTAACAATACGCGTGACAGCGCTGTTGCGTTGCAGAAGTGGAAGTCCATAAGTGCGCAGAATGTTGGGACCCGGATTCAGAACCTTAGTATCAGGGACAGGAGTCTGAAAAGCACCGACTCCGCTAGCTGCCCCTTGCCGCTGCCCGACATACACGAGGACTTCGCTACTGCAAGATGAAGCGTATGCTTCCGCAGAGCGCGCAATAAACACTTGCATCCTCGCATTGATATCGAGCCTGAAAGTTCCCCCCCCGGCCTTCCATAACCTTCTTCCAGGAAGCATCGTCTAGCATGTCATTGTACGTGTTGCCCGGTGGGTTGAGTCGGTTGCGGAGCGGGCCCACATTGTCCTTTTTCACACCGAACGAGTAGAAGAGGCTCTGAACGTTAGCCGCGCCAATGATTCCACAGGTTTTAACGTCGGCCAATAGAGATTCGACGGTGGGAAAGTCGATACTCGAGTCTTCACAAGCCCAAAGCTCTCCAGTGGGCGGTGTATTTATCGTAGGCTCCATACTTAGGTTCAATAGGCTCTACAAAGCGCTGTCGTGCTAGTTCCAGCCTTGTCCATTTTGGCCTCGCCTCTCGTAAGTCTCAGATTCCATATTCAGGCATGCCGTCCACTCTATCTAGTTCAAACGCTAACAAATTTGAGATCAATCACTTGCAATCAACAGAAGCAAATCCGAGATTGGCGCATACTGAGACATAGCTCTAGCCGCCGGGCTACGCCGGCCATATCAAGCGCTGCAGCATCAGCAGTCACTGGTCGTGCCGAGCGTGACATTAGAAGTTTCGTGGCTTAAAATACAGATGTAGTGGGAATCTGGCTTTAAATAATCGGCATTGAGCCCATTGATTCTGCCCAGCAACCTGCACACTTCCTCTCTTCTCAACCGAGCACTTTCTGGAATGGCTCAATCGCTTCCGCCCCAACCTGAGATACTATCTCCTAACCAGGAAGCAATGGTAGAGGCATGCAAGGCGGGTCAGCTCGCCGAATTGCAGAAACTGTTCAAGGAGCACGATGTGAAGCATGGCGACGACCCTATACATGACTGGCATGCAACACAAAAGGGGCCTCCAGCGACAAGCACGCTGTTTGCTACGGCTATTTCTCATGGACAGTGCTAGCTGACGCCGGCCGCCACACTCAAGTTCAACAACGACAGAAAACTTCACACCATACCGCCTTGGCTTGCAATATCGACCCTCGCTGTCGGTTCCCATGCGTCCGCATCTCCAAAGCTCTCCGCCACTAGCCCTGCAGAACCTGGGGGGCTCATGCCTGCCTTCAATTGCTTCTCATATGACACCATCCTCAGCCTTTGAGCTTCGCGAGGCGTCAGTGCAAGGTATGCTTCGATGCCTACCGCGTGCAGAAAGAATGCCAGCCAGAGAGCCATTCCGAAAGTGATGCGAAGGCTCGCTACAATCTGTTCTTTGATCCCTCTGAAGAAATCTGCATGTATAATCTTCAACTCGTCCTCCAAGATGCTTGAACCTACGACACAACCAGGGTACATCTCTGCCAAGTAACTTAAGCCATGCATTGAGCTTAGTTCACCACAAGTCATGATCACATTGTACGATTCGGTTTTGGAGGCAATCAAGGCGGCAACAACCATGATGATTCGAGTGGTAATTATGGCGCCTAAATAGAACATGGTCCGCAACATCCAAGCTCGATGCTGATCGACTTGAAGTTTTTTGATGTTACAGTACGCCATCCCCAATCCGATGGTTGTCGAAATGACCAGGACTCCAACCGCAGCTTGTGCTGCCAGTTCTCCGCCGAAAGCACGTCGAGCGATCATGAGCGCGCCTCCGTTGCTGATGAGGATGAGAAGGATGACGATATAGCCGTTGACGCGATGGAACAGCATTGTTCGACCGCGAATGGCTGGAACGAATTGAAAGATCACCAGAATACCGGCCGGTAGGATGGTGGCCAGGTGGAGCAGCAAGCCAATCCGGTAATGGCCGGCTTGATACCAATACCACTCTCCTGGCGCTGCACTCTTTGAGAATGTTTTCAAGTCAAGGTAGCCGAGCTGAGAAAGGCTGAAGCCTAAAAGCGTGGCGGCGAATACGATGACTAGGTAACAGATTCAGCATGGGCTAACGCTTGAGCAATAACACCTCCCACTTACACAGTGGGACATTATATCCCTCTCGGAATCCAAGCCAGGAGTACAGATTTCTCCATCCGCCTCTTTCTCCCGTGTCGTTGGATGGCATGTGGATGTTGTTTGAAACACGAATTGAGGTCGCCATCTTTGTTGAGGTGAGGTGAGATTGTAGGAAAGGGGAGCTTGTTGAATGATTCTGTACAATATGATCTGGCGAGGAGGGCTCAGCGCGTCCATATACCACCACATTCTTTGTATTCGATCATTGAATACGGCTGCCTAGACTTGGCAAGACGCTTGGAACTTGGTCTAGCGTTGGAGGTGCGTCAGCAGTCTCGAGGCTCGAATATCTTACAGTTGTTGAGGCCAATCCTTGCCCTAGAGAGCAACCTTAAAGGCTAAGAGATGAATTCGAATACGATTCCTGGGCGTCGGATATTTGGCCAATGATTTTGGGCATGTGTTACGGCAAGGCTTTTCACCCAAGCAATGATCTAGGCACTTTACCCGTTCTCGTCTCCTTCAACGAATGCATGGCTTCTCCGCAAGTAGACCCGTTCTGAGTTCTTGGTGAGTCGAAAAATTGGTTGAGATGACCAGCCTCGAGATCCATTGACTGTGAGAGAGGCAAAGGCTGAGCAAGGCTGAGCAAGGCTGAGTAAACGGAGTCGGAGTCGGAACGGGAGAATGTTTTGGTGCGGGGAAGATACTAGCCAATCATCGCCGACTTCCTAGTGGCAAATGGTCGGGCCTCCAACTTCAACCATCCAGACTTGAACTTCGTTCCAACTTCCTCTCATCACTGTCGACAAGTGTCCCTCTGCCTGGTGGGTAAACATCATGGCATCGTCGGGAGGACACCTCTTGGTCTCCAAGGCCATGAGGCTGGTCAAGTTCGCAGCTGCGAAGACAGGGAGATTCCTACGTGACAAGATCCCGCAGGCAACCAAACCACTCGAAACCGACGTCCAGCCTGCCTACGCCCGCGTCTCTCAACGCCAGCAACCTGTCAATCGCCTCGCCCAGATCCGTCAGACTCAAAGCCGTTGGTACAGCACCGGAGTGCACGCTCTCAACAACACCAGACACTACTCTTCCCAATCCGGCCCCCACGTCCGTCCGAGTCGTGCGTCCTACCCTTCTTCACGTACTGCCACAGCTGTGGGACGATTGACTGGTCGTGCCCCGTTCGCATCTACCCTTCGACCAAACCTCACGGGAGGCACGTTGAGCCGTCATGCGGGCGGTTATGGATTAGGAGGTGGTCGAGTTGGTGGTGCCAGATACTTCTCTCATTCCCCTGCGGCACCAGCACAGGTGGTCACCAACGTCTCCCAGGCCGTGCGAGCGTTCTGGCTCTCCGGTCAAAAAGCCCGTTTTGATGGATTCAATCCTCGCACAGGCGAGAAGCGATTCCGAGCTGTGTCGAGCCTTCAAGAGGATGCGAGACATACTATGGACATGTCATCAAAGACTGCGCCTGGGTCATTCATTGACTTCAAGGTCTCTCCGACCATTACCGCTATTGGGCCCTTGGCCAGCGTGGCCCGGTCTCCTTCGGCTGCCTCTTGCGACTATGCAGCCCAACAAGACACCTTGAACAACACCACGATCATGTCCAACCTCTCGATTGACTTTGCCCGGGCATTGAAAGACCTTGCTGCCGTCATGAACGATCTCAAGCACTTAGCGACATTGGGGGATCTCCCTATCTCGCTGCACAACAGCGTGACTCTCCGTGTCCGCTTCCCTGGCTGCGACGCAGATACAGTTGAGGCTCTTTGTCGTGAACTGAACATCAAGCGCGGCATAGTCGGCCAAGATGAGGATTTTGATGCGAAGAACGGAACTGAAATGGCTCTTCTGTTCCCTTTTGCGCCGAGCAAGACGGCAAGCGAAGCCGGCTTCGTCAGCTCCAACTGTTGCTACGGTGACAGGCCAATCAAGCGCATCAAGAAAGACCGCGTCGAGTGGCAGGAAATGCTGACTCCGCCTCAATGTTTCTCTGCAGGCTTCTCACATGTTTCAGTTACGAGCAAGTCGCCCGACGCGTTCGAGATGATCGACGAGGCAATGGGCCAGAATCCTTGGATGTCAAGCCCGTCAGGCTATTCCAGTCTGCACGAGAGTGAACTGTTGGAAGCCGAGGACGATGCGGCCATGTACTTTTTCCAGCCAAGAAACAATGCCGCTGGGAGAGAAAGATACCGCGAGCCCTCGGTCAGTGGAAACGGCAATGGATACGAGGGCTTGGAAGGGATCTACAGGTTCATCGAAGAGTGCGATCGGGCACGGTCCTGATTCGGCTCGGGGGGAGCTCAGAAATGGCACACTTCTGTCCTATCTTTTGGTTTTCCTTTTGTTCAACTCGGTTGGTCGGCTGGACTCCAGTGACAGTGGCAGCGCCCAGATCAGCACTCCTTGATCAATAGTTGAGTAGCGTGAATGCCGGGCGAGCTACATACAGTACATCTACAGAGCCCCAGAATGAAATTCTATCCTCTTCGTGTATCAATAAGTGTGCGCTTTGCGTTTATTTTGTGCCTAGCAATTAAGTAATGCTGGTGCGTTCGTAGAGATGGAACCAAAAGGCCAGTGACTGGCCAAGCAGACCGTGTGTTTCACCGCCAGGCTCCTCGCTGTGGAATTATTATATGGGGGTTATCCCACTGTTGTACCGGGTCTTTGGGTATGTTCAGCTACACGCTAAGGCTCTCTTTCTCGCCAGAAAGAGCAGACTTTCGGTTCTCCTGTGCTGTGGACCATGGCCCTAGGGACCTTGGATTTTGGGGCCAATGTTGCCTCCTCCATCAGCCATCGCCGATATCCACGTCCCCGTCCGCGTTCCCATACCCGCTCCTCAACCGGTGCTTGAGTTGTTCATTCTCCTTGATGACGTCCTCCCTCGCTCTCTCCAGCTCGTCAATCTTCTCCTGCAGTTCTGCGAGTTGATCTTCGGCGCCGGAGGAGAATTCCTCGATGATCTTGAAGACGCGCCAGAGCCGGAGGACGACGACCAGCGAGCCGGCTTCTTCCAGCGGGCCGCGCAGGAGGACGTCGATTATGAAGGCAGCAATGATGACAAGGGCATCGAATATGTGGAACGGGGTGTTGAAGTACCTATATATGGTGGAGCACTGAGGTTAACCGCGCGAAGGGACAAGAGGATTGGATTAAGAGTCGCCGGGGCGGGGGAAGTCGTTACCGGAATCCAAATGCAAAAACACTGCCCAGCAATTCGGCCACGAAGAGACACGAGAAGACGAGACTCGCGTACCCCAGCACTTCATTTGCCTGCTCCCAAGCTCTCAGATGGAACTCTTTTTCGCCAGCATGCTCACAGATATGCAGACTGATGAGGAAATCGGCGAAGATACAGCATATATCTGCCGCGACCAGTAGGATCACGAAGTAGTGACCCCATTTGGACGAGAACCAGTGCTGCAGCGAACGTCGGAGTTTCCATACGGCGCTGTCTTCGCCATGGATCTTGACGATGTGGCAGGCTATGAAGTCCTGTGATTGATGGAGGGCAGAGATGAATTGGCGGTCCGACGGCAGCAGAGGCGTGTATTCATTCGTGTTGCGGGTGGCATGGATGGGCGAGTTCCCAGGTTCGGGATCGGCCATGGTGGTACAAATGGAGATTCAGATCGGGGTTCAGGTCAGGACTAATGTTGGAGCTGTCGGGTCTGGACTCGTGCGAATATCCGTGTCACTGTACTCAAGACTTCAATGCGCATAGGGGGAGCCGTGAGCCGTCTTAAGGTCCCCAACAGACACATCAGACGGTCTATCCGGATCCCTGGGTGAAGCCGCTTATCACAGGCTCAAGAGCATGGGAGAAACAGCAGCCTTCTAGCTCTCGAGTCAGTAGCTGCGCTAGATCTGAGGCTGAGGCTGGGGCTGAGGCTGAGGCTGCGACGTATCAATATCAACGTCCAGGACATCAATGGCAAAGCGAAATGATGTGATGACGTAGGCTCCTCTGGCTCCTCTGGCTCCTCTAACGCGTCTATGTTCTAACTCAATGGGGAAGGTATGCCCGGCAAGGTATCCGGAAAAACAATATCCCTATCCCGTCGGCACTTTTGGTCAAGTACCACGAGTAATATGTACTGGAGAAGCACATTCAGATTGATATCGCTTATTGTGTTGTCTATATCGGATGGACCCTCCAAAGCAGGCGACAGGAACAGAACTCTCGACTCGGCACGGTGCCCGCGCGTTCGGCGTCTCCTACCACGACCTTATCAGAAAGTGGTTGTCAACTCGTCCTCGACCAGGCTAGACCGACACCTTTAAAGGTCAGCTTCACATTGCTGAATGAATCCATTAGGTAAGTTTCTTATGGCAGCGGCGGTTGATCAAGAGCATTGGATCAGACGCCATGTTACTCATAGCCACCCGTGCTTCGATTGCTCCGATGTCTCATCGTCCACTCTTGCAGGTAGTAAGCTCAACACCCAAAATTACTCCGCGGCACGCACTACACTCGCAGGGCTTCATTCAAGATCTTTGCAAATAGTTGGCCTCGTCGAGTCGCTGTCCATCTAATATTCTAGCCTTCGGTGTCCCGTGCTCTCTGCTCTTTTAAAGCTTCGCTCTCGAGCGTCGGACGTGGGCGGGTCGATCGAAAATATCCATGAGGCTTCATCCGTCAGGTAGGGATCCTAATTGTTCCTGATGTACACATAATATTCGCGAGTATATCGTCGTCACAAGTGCATCGTTCTACACAGCACAGGATTTCAGTGCAGATTTATCTTTCAGTGCTGGGCCGGCCTGTCTCAAAGGACGGTATCGAGAGTACGAACGAGTTTGATCTTAATAGTCCGTGAACGAGAGGCAATCATTGAACACCACACCACCTGCAGGCTTTCCGCTTCGGAGCATCTCACCCCGAACGATGCTCATGTTCTATTTTCCAGATGAACCGACGGAAGAGTCACAACCCGCACTTCTCCACGAAACGTCTCTCGTCTCCAACTCCTTCTTCGCCCGTCTACCCTCGGAGCAGGCGGGGGTCGTCGCGCAAAAAAGGTTCGCATGGAGGAGTATCGGCTGTATATTATAGTATACAAGGGCCATATGTCTCGGCAGAGAGCATCTCTCAGTGAGGGACAAGTTGTTTTTCGCGATTAAACGTCTGAGCTGCGTGGGTGTAATACCTACAGGTCCTGAGAAGGAGGGACAAGCTGAAATAAAGGCAAAGCAGCTTCATAAATAACTGGTTGACCATGGCGACAATCTTCCCAAATAATCTCTATCGCCTTCGCCAGGCGGGTTCGTTGTGCAAGGTACATACATACACGCATACCTGCTTACCCGACCAACTGCCTGACCGAATATACTTCTCTTCCCGCTCCTACACCCTTCCCTTGCATCTCCAGCACCTATCCAAGGCCTCTCCTGAAAAAGTCATCATACTTACTGTAGCGTATACCAGGCCTTTGGGATCAAACTCACACCGTCGGCGTCGGTCGTGCAGATAGCCGCCTCGGCGGGCTTTGACGCGCTATTCATCGACCTCGAGCACTCGACCCTGTCGACCAACGACGCAAGCCAACTCTGCACGACGGGCCTATTGGCGGGGATCACGCCGTTCGTGAGGGTGCCGTATCAGTGCGGCGACGGGTTCGTCCAGAGAGTTCTGGACGGAGGAGCCATGGGGGTCGTTTTCCCGCATGTGAGCACGAGAGGTATGTATTGTGCGCAAAGAGACCTCCTTGTTGGTGAGGCTTATATTGAACTCATGCACATACACGCCCCCTGTAAATCCATCAAGGCCATGAGGATGTATTCCTTCATTTGCTTTTTCGAAAAGAACACCATGAGCGAGGAGGAGAAGTGAATGTTTAGTCTGATGTCTTTTTGGGACCGAGCATCTAGAGGAGGCCGAATCCGCCGTCTCCATCTCAAAGTACCCGCCGGCCGGTAAGCGCTCGATGACGGGCCAACTCCCTCAGTTCTCGTACGCGGCCCAGCCGCACGCCGTCGTGATCCCTGAATCCAACAACGCCGGCTCGACCGTCTTCGTCATGATCGAAACACAGGAGGCGCTCCAGAATCTCGACGCCATCGCCTCCGTCCCCGGCGTCGACGTCCTCCTCGTCGGGTCGAACGACTTGTCCATCGAACTCGGGATCCCCGCGCAGTTTGACAGTCCGGTGTACAAGGAGGCGCTGGAGAAGGTAAGCCAGGCGTGTAAGAAGCATGGAAAGATCATGGGCTTGGCAGGCGTGTATGATAATCCCACGATTCAGGGGTGGGCAGTGCACGAGCTGGCCGTAAGGTTTATCCTTGGTGGACAGGATGCGAGTTTTATTGCGAAGGGGGCGAAGGGTTGTGTTGACACGTTGGGTAGACTCTAGTGGAAAGAAGAATAAAATCCGAGCTGTATTCAAACGTAAGATGCGAGCTCTGGTGTCATGCCCAAAAAATGGCCATGTGAAATATACAACAACGTCCGCGTGAAAGCATACCTAGCGGTAGCTCTGCTCCTTTTTGGATCCTGTCATCTTAGTTAGTTCGTATGAGCTTCGCGATGAAGAGCACCGGACACGCACGACGTATGTAGCAACAAATTTCACGTGAGGGAAGCATTCATGTTGTCAGCCAATGCCACACGACAAATAAGCCCCTTGCAAAGGGATGCCATTGTATATTCCTGTGACATTCCATGTCGAGTGGGATCAACGATAGTGGGAGGAGCGGCCAAGAAGGGTCACAAGCCGAGGGCAGCGGTCGGTCTGCAATATCATCCCGTACGTTGATGGAGATCCTAATGTCGTGGCCAATTCTTCGATGTCCCAACAGATTCTGTCTTGAGTTTCGAGTTTCGTGAGAATGGTTCGATTTGCTTCTCAGCTCTAACCTGTATTTGCATCCACCAAAGGATGTCGAAACCCCCTATGCTGGCCATGGTGACGAGGGTCGCATGGTTGGCTGGTCTGGGTCTTGTTGGGCGGAGCAAGTTGTACTTGAGACCTTCTGGAATAACCGATGGAAGGCTGGCCTGGGAACGAGATAAGAGCTGACGCGAGTGGAAACAGGAACCTGTCTGGCAAAAATGGTAATCGCGTTGAACAAGTATGTCGCTCCGAGAACTCCCTCGAGGCTGAAGAGTCCATGTGAAAGTCGTTGCCCAAATCTCCCGTTTGCCTTCCAATATAATGTCTCCAATGGACAATACGACTGGTAGAAGCCAGCTCTGTTTAGTCATCATCCTGTCGCTGTGACGTGCCATTGCGCCCCATGCGTTGCCCTAAAGTCATATCGCCAGCCTTTTTATGGTAGCTATTGACAAAATCCGCTCGCCCGCCGTGCTTGGCAGTCCTTGCTCGAGCTGCGTCGTCTCGCTCCCTCGCGGCATTTTCTCGCTCCGCAATTTCAGATAGTCGCTCTCCTCGTCGTTGGTCGAGGTCGGATGCATCCTGTTGCATCGCAGCTAGCCGTGCTGCTCGTTCGTCTTTGTCTGTATCTTCTTTTCTCTGATCGCGACGTGGGCTTCGGTACCTCGGCGGCTCAGGCCTCGAAGAATGCCAGCTTTGCATTTTTCGCACTCCGCTGCCATGGCCGTTTCTTCGAGGAGGCGGATTTGACCGGGACCGAGATCTTGGTTGCCGTCTTTCTTCGGGTGAATATGAGCGTCTCCTCCGATATGGAGAGCGCGACCGTGACCTTGCGGGCCTCCGTGGAGGAGATCTCGATCGGGATCGAGACTCTGAAGGGGTGTATGATCTCCGGCGCCCGTGTCTACTTCGTCCATGCCTGTCTTCATCATCGTCTCGATGTGATTGGGGCTTGTCGCGTCTGTCACGATCATCGCGGCGACTGTGGTGGCGGTGATGATGGTGATGTTTTCTCCTCTTGCGATCCCGTTCACGGTCGTCATCTTCCCTGCCGGCCGCCTTTAACAGAAGCCTGCGCTTGACCGGATCACTCATCATAGCCTCATATGCCGCTTGTTCTTGTTTCTTGATCGCCAACATCGGGTCTTCTCTGATCTTTGCTGCCGTATCTCTCGCCGTGTTTGCGTTCTGCACCGCCATAAACGACTCCTCCTTTGCGGATTTTTCCAACTTCTGAGATTCAGTGCCCTTCAGCAAACCATCTATCCGCCTCTTCCCCAACAAATATCCCTCCATCTCTTCGGTAGTGCCGGCCTGGCCGCTCGAAGGTCCATTATACATCCAGTCGACGCGAGCCTGTCTCTTTTTCCCGCCGGCGGCCTCCTGCAGTTCTTCGAGTTCTTGGATTGCTCTCTCTTCGGCGCGCTCTTTCATGATCTGGTCGATTTTCTTGCGCTCTTCCAGCGCTTTTTTTTCCTCTTCCCATACTTTCTTTTGGTTGCTCATGAGCACGGGGTGCCATGATTTCTTGAGGTTGAGGTCGCCACCCATTCTGACGGTGTGCGGCTCCTTGAAGACGGAGAGATGTTGTGACCGGCGACGAGAGGACAGACGCACTATCTGAGATGTCTCGCTGGACCATAGAGTAGAGCCTGGTTAGGGTGGACGAGAGAGAGGGAGAGGGAGAGAACTAGGTTACGATACAAGGTAGAAGGGTTAGGGCTGGTGTGATTGTCGATGAGGCGCAGGCTGCGGGCGAAAAACTCCGCACATGCAGGTGCGGGACAAGGCTGTGGCAGGCTTCACTTCTCCGCAATTCGTTCACTAACAATTACTGTATCATTCCCTCTCCACGTTTCAGTTGCAGCAAGGGTGTAAGATCGATCTAATTTCTTGTCCCTCGCGACTACACAGGAGATTCTTATTCTCATCTTCAGAATCTGGCTAGGGGCCAATACTTATTACACCTACATAAATATCCCGTTGCCACCAAAGCAGCGTCGTCACCAAACCTCCCGCAGGAACAGTTCATTTAGATCGGCCGCTCATTCCCCAGCCATCCATAACCAACAAGCAAGATGTCTGACGATGATGACTTTATGCAAGAATCTGACCCAGAGCAGTACGCCAGCTCCTCATCCTCAAAGGGTCCTACTCGCGTATCTAACAGCGTCTCCCCAGATATGACTTTGAATACGAGGACGATGATGACCTGGGCGGCGACGACGCCTCCGTCGACATCGAAAACAAATACTACAACGCCAAACAACTCAAAGCCGACAACCCGGCCGAGGCGATTGAAGAGTTCCTCGGTGTGCCCGCCCTAGAAGAGGAAAAAGGTGAATGGGGATTCAAGGGCCTCAAACAAGCGATCAAGTTGGAATTCGCGCTGGGGAGATACGACGACGCGGTGCAACATTACAAAGAGCTGTTGACGTATGTAAGGTCCGCGGTGACGAGGAACTACTCTGAAAAATCCATCAACAATATGCTCGACTACATTGAAAAGGTGGCCGGTCAGCCTGCCGCAGGCGGAGGCTCAGGTGCACGTGCGAGCAAGGGCGACAAGGAGACAACGGCGTACAAGTCCATGGAAGAGTTTTACCGCTTGACGCTTGATACTTTCCAGAGCACAAACAACGAGAGACTGGCCCTCAAGACGAATCTGAAATTGGCCAAGTTGTATCTCGACAAAAGAGACTACAGTCAGCTGAGCAACAAGGTCAGAGAGATCCACCAGGCGTGCCAGAGGGAAGATGGCACAGATGATCCGGGTAAAGGGACGTATTCGCTCGAGGCATATGCGCTCGAGATCCAGATGTACGCAGAGATGAAGAACAACAAGCGTCTCAAGTCTCTGTACCAGAAGGCTCTCACCGTTCGGTCTGCGGTGCCACATCCCAAGGTCCAAGGTATCATCCGAGAATGCGGTGGGAAGATGCACATGAGCGAAGAAAATTGGAAGGAGGCGCAAAGCGACTTCTTCGAGTCATTCAAGAACTACGATGAAGCGGGGTCCATGCAGAGGATCCAGGTCCTGAAATACCTTGTGCTTACAACAATGTTGATGAAGTCGACCATCAACCCCTTTGACTCACAGGAGACGAAACCTTACAAGAACGATCCTCGCATTTCGGCAATGACAGACCTGGTGGACGCCTATCAGTGCGACGACATTCACCGCTACGAATCCATCCTCAAGGAGAACCAGGATCTGCTGGCCGATCCGTTCATTGCCGAGAATATCGACGAAGTCAGCCGGAACATGCGTACAAAGGCCGTCCTGAAGCTGATTGCACCGTACAGCCGCTTCACGCTCCAATTTATCTCAAAGCATATCAAGATCCCCGTCAGCGAGGTCCAAGATATTCTAGCCGTCTTGATTGTGGACAAGAAACTGCAAGCGAAGATCAATCAGGAAAATGGAACCGTTTTAGTGGAAGATGCTCATGCGGGTGACACGCAGCACTTGAACCAGCTTCATGATTGGACCTCGGCTGTTGAAAACTTGTGGTCGGCGTTGTTCAGCGAGGGCGATGGGTTCAAGCTCGAAGACGCCCAGGGCGGTGCCTCATTCTCAGGCGTGAATTTAATGGGCTTCGAAGCGGGCGGGCCGATCCCAAGCCGGGGACCTGGGCGTCGGGGTGGTGGACGCGGTCGGGGAGGCGGGAAGCTAGCTGCTCCAATATGAGAAGTGCATTTTGGCATCTCTCCAAGGGACCGGGAAAATTTGCAGATGGGAAAATTTCAGGTGCGGCTGCATCCCCCTGCGACTAGACAAAGCTAGCTTGTATTTGGGGGGGGGGGAGGGGTACATTTTGACATCTGCCTCGTTTTTCCAAGCCGCTTTCGACACTACCTGGCAAGCGGCGAGCAAATGGAGGGCAACAACACCTGGTCGAATATCATATCATTGCCCCAGGCGAAGATCCGGAGTGGCCTGATGCTATCAATTCAGTCGAGGGTTGCAGGTCCAGCGGCCGCAGCAGGCAGAGAGAGGTCAAGAAGGATGGGAAGGGGGGATCTGAAAGTAGAAATCGGACCTGCGGGAACAACAGAAACTGGGTCCGATTAAGCTTCCTACTTGGGCCGTTTTGATATGGAGTGGCGGAGTGGGCTAGGCCTGTGGAAAATACGGGCAGACCTCTGCTGTTTGCCAGCCTGACAACTGCTCCATCCGCGCAGAGGAAATGATCGATAGGGGGTTTGGTGGCCCATAACAGACATCGGACATACCCGTTTGATAGACAGTGCTGTTGTCACCCTTCGCGAGAATGGAAATGTTGCAGAAAGCCACCGAATGGCTCTTTGGCTTTGATTTTCGTCTTTTCCCCTCCCATGACATGTTGTCTTATCCAATTTCCCTTCCCCTCTCATTTTGTGTCGAGGAGTTTGACCGAGTGCGCGCTGGGTGGGCAAGATGCAGCAAGAGGGTGTCGCCCCTGGCATGATGTTTGCAGATAGAAATTGCTATTGGTCTGATGGTTCTTGCGAGAAAACCCCGCTGATGCCGGAAATGGAAAAGGCAAACGATTGATTGGTAGAGATCTCGATTTGATATCACTTTTCGTCTGGACAGCGGAGCCACGTCGGCTTTTCGATGCTCGACACCAACCAGGCCAGAGGCCAGTAGCCAGGACCTGTGAGGGCGCGCGCCCCTAAGAAGTGGTTGCATGTCGGTCGTGGGGACATGCTGAGCGCCCTGGCTTTCAGCTTACCGCCGATATGGGGCAGCCGCACAGTCACACCAAGGGCTGCCCAGGAAATCGCTGCCTTTTGACATCTCTTTCGGTCCACAATAGGCGGTCTTGGGGCGTCTGGTGGCGCCAGCAACTTCTGTTTCGAGCCATGCCAGGAGTCTGGAGCTAAAGATCAACCCTGACGATTGGACGGGAGTTGATTCCTGAGAGGCATAGGTATGAATAGGTAGACAGTTGTTCTTGCCAGCAAAGCGGGGCCGACAGGGGTATCGCACAGCAGATTAGATAGTCCAGCTACATACAGTATGGATGTATGTATGTACTGTAGGAGGCATTGATCCGACAAGAACGGTCCCATGCCGTGCAGTTATCCCAAGCGTCCACTGGGCTCTATATGGTTCCGAAAGTCTCGGAATGAAAACCATGCCACTCGAGCTAAGCCGAAACGCTGTGGTATCCGAGAACTCCTGGGTACTTGGTACCTCGTACTGGTTAGAAAGCGGTGGGGGGGGGACGCACTGGCTCTGGGGCATATTCCAAAAACGAACAAATCCATTTGTTAATATGTCCTGTTTGCGCGGACAGGTCGGTAGAGCTTCGAGATAGTCTTGAAGTACGTACTCCGTAGATTGAACGCAAAGCTGCAGTTTCCACTGCATCTCTGTTCTCCGCTTTCTGGCGGATGCAGTCGGCTGCAGTCAGTTGCGCAAGTGGAAATATATCGCCGCAGACGGGTCGGGCTGGCTTCTGCCAACGAGGGTCGGGTATCTGGGGCTTTACCAATCGCAGGCTCGTGTCGCGGGCGATGCGTGCCCGGGGGGGCCATCGAGTCAGAAGGGGTTTCCCACCCGCCCACCAGAGAGAACAGGCTGCGAGAATGATGGGCAGGATCTAGAGGTGCAGTAGCTTGTGGTCTGACTTCCCTTCGGAGATGTGGGGGGGGCGTTGAGAGGCAGTTTTCAGGCTGGGAACCTTGCACCGGATCGGCTGGGTCACGGTTCTTGCCTGCAACCGAGGACACAAGTGCTGATTGCGCGTAGTGGATCCCTTCCAAAAGGTCAATGACAGTCTGATGATACAGGTTCTCGACTCCGTGATCCCCTTGCATCTCTTGTTGCCCGTCTTTGCGGAGAAAGGCCAGTCACCGAGAGCAGCAAAAGGTTGACTGTTCCGGAGGATGTATCCGCAGGCTGGGGAGACCGTTGGCCCGACCCGTCCCAAGCCAATCAACGAGTGACCGAAAATGAGCTTTTGCTAAAGTGACAGGTTGCGTCCATCCAGACTGGTGAAGGACAATGCTGGAGTGAGAGACGTGGCTTCGCTAGTTCGCCGGGCACAGAGGAGATTCGAAGCGGTGACTGACTGGGGGGGGCTTGCTTGCAGCAGGAGCGAACATACATAGTCCTACTCGGTACTGTCAGTCACTAAAGAAGGCTGTTTTGACAAGTGGCAGAGAACAACCTTGGAAGCCAAGTTCTCGCACACAATAAGGTTTTGCTTTCGCTGGAAACGCAGTTTGGTGTGGATAGCTGAAGGGTTGTGGAAGTTGAAGTGGTTACTCGGTAGTGTGTCAGAGGCCTGGCGCTTGCATTGAGGGATTTGCCCATTGTTTTCCTAAGTAATTCCGAGTACTTGTAGGTAGGGACAGCACGAGGTGCGGGCAGCAAGATGGCCTAGTGGCCATACCTACAGTACCAAGCAAGCCAGGTGCACCCTCCCTACCACCACCACCAACCTTCCTTTGCCCCTCGCCCGTCGCTACCTACTGGGTGCCCGCCTAACACTTAACACTCTGGCTACCCCACTGTTTGGAGGGGCGTCCTTAGGTCCCTAGGTATAGGAAAGCCTCCACATGGCCCGATGGACAGGCCCGGAGAAGCTGCGCATGCCCGCTGATCAAACGTTCAGCCAGTAAACTTGTCCAGTACTTTGTTGCAGCTCCTCTTCGAAGCCTTAGTTAGAGCTGCCACAGCTGCCAAAGCTTTCAAAGCTGTCGACTGTCCATAATCCACTATCTCACCCAGATCTTGACCTCGTGTTTCACCTGGTGAACCTCAATCTTCACCTCTCCCACCACCACTACCCCCCCCCCCTTTTTTACTACCTCTCCTCCTCTCCTTCTTTCTGTCCCATCGCTCTGTCAACCCTCGAATCGGTCCTCATAGCCCCCAATCAGAGCCATCTCCAACTGAATCCCCCCTTTCCCTCGGCTCATCCTCCGGGTCGAAGGAGCCAGCCACCGTCGCCCTCTCCCAGTTGCAGTCACTGACAATTGACAACGGCATTTCTTATCCGGGCTTGTACACAGGACAGCACTCAGCTGCTAAAGAACATCCCCGATTGGCCCCGAGCGACCATGGCCGATTGATCAACAAGTTAGCTTTACCAACGACCACTCCGCAAGCATCAGGGGGCGCTCCGCGCTGCTGGGTTAAAAGAAGGCCTGCATTGGCGCTCCCAGCTTAAGCAAGAACCAAACCATCGTTTAACCTCACTTCCCATCTCTTTCTCTTGCCTCCTGCCTTGCTCAGCACATCCACGCTCCAAGGTTGCCGTTGTTTCTGGGTGCCGATTTCGCGGATTTGGCTTTTCGGTAACCTCGTCGCTTCGGCGTCAGCAAACGCCCTGCGTGCGATAGGGCCTTGGCCTCTTTGTCTGCTAGTTCGACGGCAAACTCGATTAGGCTTCGCGGGCCTTCTTCTTCGGTCCAGACATGATTTAAAGCATCCAGAATCTACCACCTGCGGTCCACGCAGGTCACCTCAAGGATCCAAATCCAGCTCATCGAACAAATTCAATCACAAGGAAAAGTCTTTCATCCTGGAAAGCCGCCACCAGATTAGCACCAGTGTCCACCGCCCTGGTATTTCATCGTCCAACAAGAGGAGATGACAATTTGTCCAGAACCACTACCTTTTCAGAGTTTCCCCGGTTTATTTCCTGCTCAGCAAAATTCACGTCCTGGCTGGCAGTTCCAGCCCGACAGTCGACGCACCCTCGGGTACGAGCATTTTCTTGAAGCTCCGTACCATCAACACTACGGCTACCCGACACCGGCTGCTTCGAATCGCACGACCTCGGCAATGGCCACTCCAGACATGGAGGAGATGGAGCAATTCCAACAACTCTCTGACCAATATCAGCCAAACCTTCCCGTAGGTGTCTGAGCCAAAGCACACGCGCGCCTTGCTGAGCATATCTTAGGGACCCTTGATAGGGAGGAAAAAGCCCCTGTCCGACCTTGTGACCGAATACGCACAAGCCGACCCAACATATGTGGTCAAGACAAAGGTATGTGAGCTTTATTATTGTGGTGATCTTCATGCTTATGATTGCTAGGCCCTCGAAGCAACCCACTCTGCATATCGGCAAATCAAGGGCGACGGGCAGTGCGGCTGGCGCGGTAAGGGCGCAGATTCATCCCTGGTATCGAGAACTTCGCTAACCTCCTCGTCCGTGGTGCTTGCAGGAGCTGTTTTCGGCTACTTCGAGATCCTGCTCCGATCTGGAGATCCCGGTCTTATCACGCAAGAATTGGTTCGCCTACGCAGTTTTGAGCAGACCATGCGCAGCGTTGGCATAGACTACGATATCATAATCGACATGTTTGACTATACATGGGAGCTCTTTGACGCTCTCAAGGCTGCCATCGAGCGCAGAGATACAAATGAAGCTGTGTTGCTTGATTCACTGAATGACGAGAATATATCGAATTCGATTGTCTATCACTTCAAGGTTGGTTTACCCTTTTGTCGGGGAGAATGCTTTTTGACGCCGTATCAGATGATGACAAGCTCTTTCATGCAACTGCAACCGGACCGATACGAAGCATTCCTGGAAATGCCAGTTCAACAGTATTGTTTGACCAGGATTGATCCTGCAAATCAAGAGATTGACCATGTCGGGCTTCAAGCCTTGACGGATGCTATCATTGCGCCCGCATTCTTCGCACTCGAAGTGGCGTATCTGGACAGAAGCACCGGCGACGAAGTGACCTCATACCATTTCGTGGACAATGCGAAGGAATGGCCCACAATTCGACTGATATATCGTCCGTAAGTTCCTCCTCCCATCCCGTCCTGGATGAGCCGAACTAACCCAAGTATCAGTGGGCATTACGACATCATCTACAAAGAAGATCAGATTCTTGCCCCAGAGCCACAGCGACTGCAGGTGTATCTACAGACGGATGCTCCTCAATATGTAGGGCCTCACCACCATGAAGTCTTCAAGTCCGAAGATCCTCAAGCTCTCGATGAATTAGTGTACATGTTCCCGCATACCACACGGGCGCTGACAGATTCTTCGCTGTCATATTCAAGCAATAGCGTCTTCTCCCCCTCATTCCAGAGTCCGGTGGCTGCGGTGTATACACAATCCAATTCCGCACAGGCGTCCTACTTCCCACCGATGCCACCTACTGGTTTTCACGCGATACCACCTCCGCAACACCAGTCACAGCAGCCAACATGTCCCCCAGTCAGAACCCACTCTCTCCCACAACGAAGCTATTCTTCGTCGATGCTACAGCTAACGCCGCAAATCTCGCCTTCACCACAATCCCCTCAGCCCCCATCTCCGGCGACACCGAATTCTGCCGTTACCAAACCAATCATCATCATGCCCAATGCGAAATCGAACGAACCCCAGATCAGATACAATGAGAACTGTTTCAATTACAGCCTTCAGGGCAACAAAAGCATTCCGCTAGATCCAGCATCTTTTGGCAGGTAAGCATACCCCTCTCAGTCCATTCTCGGCTCTTTCTCCGTCGTTGATGCCGCCGTTATTTCCCTGCATGGCTCCGGTTTGGCTGACTCTTCTGCTGACTCTTTTTCTGATGTATTCAGTTCGGCTTTGAGCCCGGCACACTTTGCCAATTCAGCCTTTCAACCTCTGATATGGAACGCGGAGGAAGAATATGGCAAGCGGGACTGAAATCAGCCCCAATCTGAACCGTCAAGACAGCTTTCCCTCCCCCTGAGGGTCACGCGATGCTCTGGGCGCTTTCACCCGGGCATCCGTGTTATCCATCTCAAATGCGTCAAACGCAACGTGTGCGAATACTTTCTTAATGCATGCCGGGGGCAACGATTCGACAATTCAATTAGTGCTTTGAATAACCCAGCATTTTCCCTGGCGAAGTGGAGCAACCTTTTTCTCTTATATGAGCAGCATACCAGATGCAACGCAATGGAGAGGGATATCCACCGGTCTTTACTGAAGCAGGGCAATTTTCTTTTTATCATCTTCATTCCTGTATGACACGAAAGGGTCACGACTGTCATTACCGCTGTATCAATAATCACGAATTCCAATCCTGATAGAACCGGGAGGAGACGAGAGAAGGATGTCCTCTTTGAGCCCTGTGGGTTAGTTGAAAGTCTTTATGAGAGAGAGAGAGAGAGAAAAAAAAAAAGAGAAAAAAGAGAACGGGAAGGAAAAAAGAGAAAACAGACTCAAGAAGAAAGCTCCAATGGCGCCTCTCAATGGTGATATTGCAGTTGCGCCTATTAGCATGGGCTCAATCAAGGGGGCTCAATCAAGGTGGAGAGGAAGTAAGGCGAGCAGAGGTCGAGGTTTGATCTTGCGCTTGAAATCCAACCAGCCCCCAGTGTGACAAGAGTATTCTAGTCCTTTTAGTCCTCGAATCTATTTTCTTTTCTTGAACAATAAAATAAATGTTTCTCTCACACACACTCGAGGACCTGTCTCGGTCACAGAAGGTCCGTCTCTCGCATGCTGTATACGCCATCCACAGTCTCCTTACCCTCGGCTTTCATGGTATTGAGGCCGTGGACGATCTCGTGGGCAAAGACGTCGGCGACAGATTCCATTAGGATCGGCTCTGCGGCTAGCCCAGCGTGATCGTCGTTGCTGCGCCGTCCACCTCGCCCCAGGGGTTCACCTGTCGAAGGCAGAAATGAGGTTCCGTGTTCCGTCGAGCCCGAAGGCGGGTAAGAGCGCGACATCTCCCTCGTCAGCCAAGTTACGCTCTTCCCTTCTAGTCCGCAGGCGACGATGCGACTGAATCCCCACGAGAGGTAGCCTCGCGTAGAGGGATCGTACGAGGGAGAGGATAATTGTGTGGGTATGAAGTCATAAAGTCCCAGTCGTGAGGAGGACACGGCAGAAAGAGAAGGCGACGGTGACGACCAGGAAGAAGGGGAGGACGAGCCGGATGACGATGAGAGGTCTGCGGATGGTAATACAGACGACGGAGATGCCGAGGGAAGCGGTGCGTCATATACGTTCAACCCGACGCCGTGAGAGGTAACACCACGCGAGACCTGGACACCGATGGCACAGATTTTGCGATCGCTTGCTGCCGATAATTTGGCTGCTGGCGTGGAGGATGAGTCTCGCTTACCCTCTTCCTGGTCCAGCACCCAAACCCCCGGATCGTCCGTTCTCCCCGCCCGAACCCCCCAGCGACCACAGGTGCGCATGACACTCTCCTCCAACAACCTTACCCAGCATCTCGCACTGATGGCAAACCTCCGCAGGTCGACAATCACGTAGCCGGTCAGCTGGCCGGGTGCGTGGTACGTGAGAAGTCCACCGCGCGGGGAGGCGTGAAAGGTCGCCAGGCCCTTGGCAGAAAGGAGGGACTGTTGATCCGCGGAGATGGGGTTGGTCAGGAGGTGCCGACGACCGACCGTGTAGGTGGGAGGGGTGCTGAATGTCAGGAGGACAGGGTCCGGGGGAGTCTGAATGTGCGCAAGCGTATGGGAGCTGGAGCTGATGTCAAGAGGCGAGGGCGAGCTGGCCTTGCGGAGGGCAGTCGTCGTACTATTTGTAGTGCAACTTCCATTTCCGGTGCCAAGCAACGACGAGCCTGGTCGATCGTGATCTTGATCGTGTCGTGGCCTCGATATGCTGCTTGCCAGCCTGGTGCGAGCCTCAGCTGCGTCATCATGCTCAGCAGCAGCACGATGCGAAGCTGATCGATCGATGATACTTCTCGCCGTCTGCCCTGTAGGTCCCCGGTCCTTGCCGTCGAGCACACGGACGTGTGCACTACTCGCTGCCTCGCCTTCTCTTCTTCCTCTCGGCCCCGCCGCCTCTCTCCCGACTGAGCGCAGCCAATCCTTGTGTTGGAAATATCTCTCCAGAATGGCCGTTTGCAGACGCAGTGAGTGGCTGTAGGGGATCAGGCCGGGGATGTGCAAGTGAGCTAAGCGCATGACGGTGCATTGTTGCTGGTATTGTTTTGGCCTTGGTTGCCTCTGAAAGTGATCCTACCCTATCGGGGCATATGGTTCAAGGTGATGGCTTTGAGGGGGTTAGGGATTCACCCGAGGTCTGCTGGTGTCTCTAGGTTATGACATGCTTGCTGAGTTTTGGGCTTGTTTCGGTTTGTTCTCTAGTGTGTCAAAGTGCCGGGCAAAGCTCGTGCCGCGCCGCAAATCAAGGCTGCTGGCGTCTGGCGTCTCGGGAAAAGGCAGACTCTGGAGTGAAGTAGTCGGTTAAACGTGCAGGAAGGGATTCTTCTGCAGTGGAAACAGGAGCTCGAAATGGAAAAGACGTGTCAGAAATGCAAATCAGGGAGACGAGAAGAGCGCAGTTCGCAGGTTGTGTAGTAGTTTAGGTAGCGAGATACCGAGTAGGTATGTAGTTTGGTAGGCATGGCAAGGCAGGGCAGGTAAGAGCAAGGCAGAGCAAGCCAGGGTCAAGTACCTAGCGAGCTGGCTCGTAGTCGCCCGTCAAGCTTTTCGGATAAGTTACCCCAATTATCCTCCAAGGCCATCACGCCCACCATTACCGCCACCACCACCACCACCTCCTCCTCCTCTTCACCTGTTTTGGCCCCTACTTGCCCCTACCAAGTACGCACACCCTACTCGGTACATCCTATCCAATGGTTCTTTTTCTGCATCTCGGCGAGGCTGAACCATTAGTAGGAGGCCCAGCGACAACGGTTTGATACTTGGTCGAGACGACTCATTCCATCCTGCAACACCGCATAATAGACTCCACGGACCATATCGAGGGCTTTGCTCTTCCTCTTTTTGGAGAAAGGCACATGCACCACATGCTACCGAGTACTACAACTTTGTCTGACGGCGAGTATCCGAGGCATCTTCAGTTCACTTCCTTCAGGAAGCCGCCTCTCCGAACCGGGGACGACGGACCAGACAGACTGCCTCTTTCTTCTTCTTCTCCTCTCTCTCCAGCCCAAGACTGTTTAGGTATTTGCACTCACACACGACACACTTACCAAGTACATACACACATATTGCCTAGGATCTAGGTACACACACACATATACACACCCCGTCTTACCGACTGGGTGCTCAATCACTATTGGGCCATGATCCCAAACGCCAGCACCAACACCACACTAACACGAGAAGCTCTTAGCCGTACCCTTGCCATACCGCAATGTTAGGTAACGGATGGGCCCTTCAAGCGAGACCTGGCCAAACGGATTGGGATAATCTCTGCCAACTATTACAGTAGTGGAACTGCCTATTCCATCGCTGTCCAGAAGACCAACTGGGTGACCTGCTCACCCCCGAACGCACCTAACTCGTACACAGTACTGATGTCAAATCCCCCGGCCCCTCGTTCTCTCTTTTTCTCGCTGCTTCTACCTTGATTCGAGAGCTACTGAACTGTCCAACAATCGGGAACTCGCACTACTCTGGCTCCCGTTTGCCTCAGCGTCGACACGGTATAGCCGCGCCCGCCTGCAGTCCTAGGACGAAAATCAGAGCAGTTACAGTGAAAGGCTGAATAGAGTCTGGTCATCACTCACGCCCCGTTGACCGTTGAATGGATCAACGTCATGTTCGCCGTATCCCTGGACCACCTAGATACCAATATCATCCCTCTTCCCCTTCCGTGTGACCGCCTAGGCATTCCATCGACATACTCGCATACATAAATCCCTCATTGCCACTCCCTTGACGGACCGCTCCCTTCCTCCCACGCCGACATTCCTTTCCAAATCGCTGCACATCCTTGCACAAATCTGTACATTGGAAAACTGGACAGCAAAGCCGAAGCCACAGCCTGCTCCTCCCGTCCAACATCCCCCCTATCAAGGACTAGTCCTCAAGCATCCTTCTGCGCCGCCAGCATCAATGAGCACGTCCCACAGCTCCGCTTCTACCAATGAGCCCCCCGCCAGGCCCAAAAACGTTGATACCCAGGGCGCATTCAGAGATGGCCCTCAGGCTCAGACAGATACTCCGCAAGCGCTGGTCGAGGTGAGAACAACAACCCGGGTCTCCAGCGAAGGCCCTTTCCCCGGTAGCCGCTGATTGTGACTGACTCACAGTACGGCGAATACCTCGGCCGATGCATTGCCATGGCTGACCTCGAGCCCGCCACTTCGCAGACGGGGAACAAGCGGAAGCGGACTCCTACTTGAAACGATCCCTCCAGCCTGGAATGGAAGGAAGTCGTTCGATATCTGCTTAAGATTTTGGGCTAAGCGGGAAGCTTTCTCACTGTGCAGCGGGCAGGAGCGGCTATCGCTAGTGGCAAGATCGCTCAAGTGTGGTCGGGAGGAACCTGGAAAGGCAGGCGTTGATGGAATCTCGCTTCTAGAGAGGGTATTTCCCTCTCCTGCATTCATGTCGTGCGGAGCTGCACGCGTGTAGTAAAAAGCTGTCGGTGATCGACTTGGGTCTGGAACGAGTATATTTTATCAGAAATAATCTGCGGCGTCAACGTCTCGGTAGCGCTGCCCGAAGCTTCCCCTCAGCCCAGTGTTGTTCGCAGTACCTGTACTTGTAGTGATGCCATTCGTTTTGCCGTTCCCGTCATACCACCCTTCTGCGAATGGCTTCTCCGTCCTTGTTGTCAGGTTGTGAAAGACATCAACATGCATTGCCCTGTCATATTCACCGCTCGCCTGCCATCCATATGCAACGGGTGGGTTCCCCAGGACCGACACGATCTCATCACCGCGCAGCAGACACCCGCGGTCGCCCAACTCTCGCAGAAGCGTGTGGTAAGCCTTGGCGATGGCGAGATGGCTGTCGTCCTTGATGATCGCCTTGTTCGCCCAGAGGATGACGGCCACCAGCGTGCAAAAGTGGATGAATGGGATGACTGCCAGGATAGTGCCCGCGTACCTCCACGTCACGTTGAGGACTTGGGCCGCGATCGGCTGCTCCTTGCTGATGACCGTCTTCCTGTACATGGCCGGAGAGTTGTCCATGAAAGAGATGGCGCCCATCGTAAACGACGAGATCAGGTCGGCGACGTCCCCCGGTCCAAGTGCCTCCGGAAAGCTCATCTCAGACGAGTTGGTGTAAACGGCATATTCTTCCTTGCCATCTGCCGTCGGAGGATTGTCACTCCATCCAATTGCCCCTGCGAGCATCCTTCCAACCATGTCTTCCGTGAGGTATTCACTAGTGAGCTTATTGTAGTCGTCCTGGACTTGAGGCTGGGGAGATGTCAGCCTGTGCCGAAAGGGACAAAATTTGATGGTAATGGTAGCGGGAAGGATGAAGATGAGGAAACGCCCGAGCCAAAGGGGAGAAACTCACCACCGTATTGTTGCAGATAAAGTATGTCCCGACTCCGCCGTCGTCTAAGTCTCCATCAAAGTTGTCCTCGTCCTCGTCCTCATCGCCATCGCCATTGTCATTGCTATCGGGAGATGTAGCAGCTTGAAAAGTGTGGAACTCAACGCACCGATCACCGCAGGTCGGGTTCAGCTTTGAGATGAATAAAAGCCCTCCCGGCCCTGGAGTTGCTGGGAGTGACTGGTTGACGTCTTTCTTGCCGTTGTTGTAGATGATGTATGAGAGATTGCCATACTGCCCTCTACTGACAGTATAGTCTTGGCAGGAAGCCAGGGATTCAATATATCGAGAAGAAATAATCACTCTATCCGGGTCATCTGCGTTTTGATCCTGGAAGTAGTAGCGCGTATGCCCTTCAAAAGACGAGTAATAGCTCTGTTGCTCTTCCACATCATAGCCCTGGTCCAGTGGAGTGGTGACTTCTCCTCGGATCCCCCATTGTTGAACTGCCGCCAGGTCAGCCGAATAATCGCCAGTCGACAGTGAATTCAAGTCCACTATGCTGGTGCTCCCTTTCTGTGTGAGGACGTAATCGGCGGACGTGTCCAAATTGTAATTCAGACCGATGATGCCTACCAGTATAGTGACTGCCAGGTGGACGAGAAGCCATAAAACGCAAAGAATCTGCGTCCTGGACGGCAAAAACTTGCGTTTCTGATTCTGCGCCTTCCAGAGAAGCTTGATGACGTTCATGAGGCTATCACAACCCATGACGAGATCGAAAGTCTCAAGCGGCCGATAACACGCCGCCAACATTCGCCAACGGAGCAGTTTCGCGTAGCTTCGCAGTGACGCGGCCAAGTTCACCCCGAGAAGCAGAGACACCCCCGTTGTGAGGGCATTGAAAACCCTGCGTTGAGGCACGCTGATGGTGTCCTTCTTGGAATATGCATAGAGGATCGAGAAGTATCCAACACAAAGGGCCAAGGTGTTAATCCATTCACCAATAGTCAGTCGCAAAAGTCGATTTCGTTGTTTGTGATGTCTGTACTCTCTCGACGTACTATGATCGGAATACCCCAATTCCATGATTTCATGAAGCGAAGGGGCAACGGAATTGTATATGCGTTCCTTCCACACGCTCAAGTTCGAGTATCTTTTGTGGTTGGGTGGTTGCTCCACGGGTCTTGTGCCTGACTCTTTTGTTCAATCAGAAGGGGAATCCGCACCGTGAGAATGAATAGACTCACGCGAAAGAGTTTGTGCAACAGAGATATTGTCAGAGTTGTCAGTATTGACCCTTGTGGGAGGCGAGGGCGGCGAAGGAGGCGGAGATATCTCGATGATAGGCACATTTGTTGTTTCTGCATCGTGAGGTGGATTCTGAACATCATTCTGAACATCTTCATGGGCTTCTCCTCGTCCCTCGTTTGCTCCGTTCTCCTCATCTCTTGTTGGGATGGGGCTATAGTTCGCTGACGCCTCGGCAGCCATCTTCACGGCAGAACAGGTATCCGCGCTCCGGACAATACTTCGCCACGGACATTCGCTGGCATGAGTTCGTGCAGGAGTGTACGGGGTAGACAAAGGATATATAACCAGGAGAATCTTCAGCCTCAAGTCTGGATGCCACTAGTCAAAAACGTCGGTTAAATGCCGTTTGATAAGACGATCTCCTCCTGCACGTCTCGAACCCGGGTCTCGCACCCAGCAATGGGGCGCGATCTGATAGAAAGTCCATATTGGAAAAAGCAGGTCGCCTTAGATTGTGTGTCTGGTCTTTGCCCAAGGGGCCGTTTCAGGACATATTTCCAGCACCCGGCGGGCCTCGCTAGCTTAGTAATTTGCCGACATCCCTGCGAACTCCCAAGTCAATCGCGCTAGCCTTGTGATGTAGACCCAAAACCCACGGTCAAATGTCAAGATGGCATGGCTGGTATTAGTCCGCGAGACGTTTCGTGCTTCATTCAAAGCAGGAAATGGCTGGAACGACTGTCCGCTTTGTGGATACGCAAGATATGGCGTGCCTAATGCGGTAAATTGGTGTCAGGATGGCACACTGTCACAATGCGCCACGCCACGTATGCAGGCGCAAGAGATGAGCGGGTTCTGAGTGCTGCGTATTCCGTACCCAGAATGATGTGCGCCATGCAATCTTCGCACATCATTATTAAGCGCTATGTGGTGGAGAAAGGGCACATGTTTCGCGGAGGTTCAGTACAAATTGGTGAGTAGGCCAGTTTCACAGAACACGCCTCCTGGAGTACCGAGTTGTAGAGCCACTATCTATTTGGGGTCACCAGAGCGTTTGCGGAGGGTTTCCGCGGAATTTGGCCCGTACCGAGCTGCCTCTGCGAGCTTGGAACGCACACTAAATCGTGAAATCGGACTCCTCGCAGCAGGAACGGAGTCTATCTCGGTGGAGCCTGGGATCTCGAACAGCCATCGTCGAGTGAGTAACCGGCTGGTTCGTTGCAGTCGAGGCTTTGTCAGCGGAGTTACATAATGCGCGTGAAACTCGAACGCTTCAATGTTCTGGGTGTACTGTGGTACGAAACATCTTCGAGAGGAATCACTCATGCGCCGCCTGCTTATGCAGGGGCGCACTGACAGACTGATTGGTTTGCCTTCCACTCTAAGACTTCATCTTGCCACTTCCAACAATAGCCGAATGACTTGACGAGCACTTCGTGTGTCGTCCAAATTTGCAGTATCTAAGTCCAAAGATATCTGCTAGGCATAGAATTATGGTTCTCCAGACCCATGTCCCTTCAAACAAGTCGCTTTGCGAAGTTGGGCTGCGACAAGCCAGAAGAGAAGGGTTGATGGGTTGCATTTCAAGCAGGGGTAGGTAGCCAGTCATTGATAATCTCTGTTCGGATACAAGGCATCACCACCGCCCTCCCTCCGAGATGCGGCGCGTGGCGCAGGGACGCCTCCGTGTGGAGGGGTGCCAGAAAGAATCCTCGAAATCTTGATAAATGACCGACCCATAGGAGGAAGCCATCTAGATGTGGACCGTGGTTCGGATTTGAAATGGGTCCGGAAAAGGTCCTGGAGCGTGGCGCCGTTTATCGAGCTGCGAAAAGGCAAAGCATACCATGTGGCCTCCTTCACAGTGATCATTCGCGGCAGGCGGGACTGTCTCGTGGTCGGCCACTGAGATCCGTCGTGTGCCCAACGGTTTACACGAAGGCGAGCCGACGCTGGTGCAATTGCGGGACGGGTACGAGGTACAAGCTTGTCGACGACCGTGCGTGCGGACACGACCCTGAAACATTTCGATCTTTCAACTCTTCTTGCTATCGTCAACAGCAGGGCCCGCAGTGTCGGTACCTCCAACCGCAGTCTTTCCAAAATCCAATCCCAAGTTTGACCACTCGTCTTTGGCCATGAGACCCTTCTCCATTCGGCACCCAAGATATTCCTTTGCCAGTAGCCTGCACTCTTCATTGTTCCTGCCGGGAGGGTTTTGCCTTCTCAAACATCGTAGATATGAGGAGATGACGTGCTTACATTCCGCATCGTGATCAAGGGGGAAGGAACCGCGCTCTGGAGGTGTTGGTTTGTAGTTGACTGCGCCGCCACCTGGCGCACCAAAGCCCGACATTTTGAGTGTGTCGAACAGGTTGACAAGAGGACCTTGTTTGGGGCTAGGCGTCGTGAACTCTGGCGTGGCTTGAGTGTTGCAAAGAGTTGATTGTAATTGGAAGTTTATTTCAAGAAACTGGTTTGTCGAGAGATCAGAAGATCTGAAGCTTTTAAAAGTCCGGTATCACGCGAGGCATGGTTTCAGTGTATCGGGCTATCACGTGCTTTACGCGAAAAATACGAAGCTCGACCAAACAGACGAAAAAAGTTCCTGTGACATAGGAACATTGTTGTTCAACAGACATATAATTGTCTACTCGCTACAAGGGGAATGTGGCCTAAGGAGCCAGGTATGGAAATAGGCACACAAGTAGCAAATAGACCACCGCATATCAGTATCTCAGGCTCGTTCACCCGTGTGGTCACATCCATCGACGAAAAAGGCGGAACTAAAATAATATCAGCTAAGGTATCCAAAGACATGGAGGAGCGTCAAAGCGAGGAACGTAAAAACAATAATTCAGTTCTCCAAGGTGATGTATGTTCGACATGGGAATTCAGGAAGAACACAGCGAAATACATGAGATCATCAGGATGGACGCATGGACAGAAGGTATATTCTTACCTGTTCTAGTCCTTGGCCCTTCGAATTGAACTCGAATGTATTAGATTTACCTGCGCCATCCATCCGTTGGTCAGTTCAGCCGAAATGATAGGATATTGGTGAAAACAAGGAAAAGCATAAGCATCTGGTTCAGGCTATTAGCAACTCTGTCAGCGAGCGGTCGTGTGAACAGAACAGTCCAGGGGAACTATACCTCATTAAATCAGAATTTTCAGTGTTAACGTTCATTTCCAAGCAGACGCTCGGTTCAAACAGTGTGAATAGTGTTCATCATAGGATGCAAGTCGGGACAAGAGACACAAGGGGCGTGCAAATACCTAGAAACAGCGCTGTCAGCACCGCTTCACAGATCATATGCGTTTCAACAATATTTTATTCACGCAGTCAATCAGCTGACGAGTTCTCAACAAGTGTCACAGCCCCCATCACATCCACAAGATTGTACGTCCTGCTGTTACAGATGGATGGGGCCACACACGCAGTCTGTCCGCCCGTTCGTTCAAGTCTTCGTCATGGTAGAAGGGATGGGGCAAAGGGGAGAGACGAGCGGCGAAGAAGAACATACCTGTCACAAATTCTTGTTAGCGTCCCGAGCCACCATGAAAAGAGAATGCGAGAATAAACAAAGGTAGCGCATAGATCAGACAAGGCTGAAACTTGTAATAGACAGATTCCACATGGTGAATTAAGTCTGAGGAATGCCATTCGTGTCACGGGGTCATCACCAAAGGGAATAAAGGAGAGATTCCTGCAAGGTCGTACCTTTAAAGAGAAATGCAGTGCAGTCGCCAATGGCATATGGAAGTCATTCAAACACCTGTTACGGCTTTCAAGCAAGTCAGCAGGCTTTCTCCAAAGGCAGAAAGTAGTGAAAGTATGGCAGAGCAGCGGTCAGCGTAATTCTAGAGATAAATTTTGATCCTCACAGAACACTAGTTCTTGGAGTTGGATTGTATATGTTCATCATTCAGAAACAAAAACAGGAACAGAGGAGTGCTAACCTTGACAGCAAATATCGGGAGGTGAACGAGTGTTTACGCCTGGCGGACTGCAACGTTAAATGCAAGGAATGAACAACAGATGAAATACGAACTTTTGGAGAAACTTTGAACTGCGGACAAAATACTAATTGCGCCAAGCCTACCTTTCCAGCCTAGCGCGGTTGGCCCATCAGAGCCTTGTTCAAAATCTCAGCCTCGCGTACCTCGTATTCGACGACAAATTTACACTCTCTCTTTTATTCCTTTCGGTTTCTGCATCAATCGGGATTAACGATATGTCGGTCCTGTTTCCCAAAGCTCCCTCGTCAGCCTCAAAGATCAATGTGGCTTCAGGCCAACTTCCGCCTTATGTTACTGCCTTGCAGGCTCCCACCAAGAAATCTCCGTGGCGGGCCATCCGTGGAGTGGAATACAATCAATACGTGACAGCCATTCTACCTGACGAGTTGTATCATCTCATTTGGGAAAAAGTTGAGGCCAACATTACACATATAGAGTGTGTGAAGGTAATTATGAAACTGGAGGATGTACTCAAAGGGGATTTTTTTACAGAATATATTAAAAGAGGTGAGGCCAACTGAACGCTGCCTCCCGTGGTCACACCTCGAAGATGCGTCCAAATTGTGTGCAGGAATCCTGACCCTCTTTCTGCATGCTTAGGAAACATTCTCATGCTCTCAGAGGGTGAAGCAGGGGTTGATAATGTCTACTCGTTGAAGGAAGGTATGCGAAGCCAACTGGCTTGCCGAAGCAATCACTTGGCATCCAAATGGCAGTGGGCCCACGACATGGACTGATTGGAACACCAGGAGTCCTGAGACTGGAGCTCTCCAAAGATTCATACGAGCGAGCTGGCCTGCAGGGTAAGCCCATACCTTCTGGCGGCAGCAAGCATGTCAAGTTGAGATACCGTAAGTCTCCCTTCCTGTTGTTTCTGCATTGGCGCACTGCGATGCCAGGACCATCAGCCTAGACCTAGATGGAACTGACTGGCTAGCAGTCATAGAGATCAACCTTCGTCTCCCTTCAATGTTGCACGGCAAGAAAGGCTTCGACCGACTCGTTTGGGCTGCAAAGCACGTTCTTAACCAAAGTCTCAACTGGCTTTTCTTGGATCTCAATGCAAACACCATAGGTAACACCTTCTAAATTGTGAATCAAGCTCTTTTCGGTGGTGCTCATGCTCGCTACAGATATCTCGACTCAAAACACTATGCCTTTGAGAGCACACCATCCCACGATTCACACGTTAAAACCATCAACAAGAACTCTAACCAACACTTTGACTCCTTCTACGCTACCTACCATACCCGACGGAGTTTCCCTTCTCTCTGTAGAGGCTCATGAGCCTTTGCGCGATATATTGGAATACATCGATATGCTCTCGCTGGCTTCGCCCCGCCTACAAGCCACCGACCAGACTCACCCTTTCCTCAGCCGATATGAGGTGCCTGACCTCTCCGATGGCGTTGACCCCAATGTTTCCAATAGACTGGGACAATCCGTCAAAATTGTTACTTGGACCGGTCTGATACCGTCTCGCTGGATATTGGAGTTATTGTGCGCTATAATGTTAGTTTCCCCCAATCGCCACCGAAAATAAGGCGCGTGGTTCAAGCCCTCTCCCATTTTGACGCTCTTACTTTCTGTGTTCACTGCTAAACTGGGTCTAAACAGAAGATACTCCCGAACCGAAAATTTCGCAGTCCTTCCGAAGCAGCAGCAACAGTGGCTCGCAATCAGTGTCTCCTCCCACAAAACACAAGCAGTTAATCGGGTTGATGGATATACCATCTTACTTCAGCCGGCCCGCAATACTGAGCAACCTCGGAGTTTTCACCCAAATCGCCTAACACCTACCACTTCTGCAAACATGGACGTTGACATGCAGGAGGGATCACAAGGTACCCCATACCAAGGGCGAAGCGAGGATGTGAATATGACGCCAGCACCGGTGCCCGAACAAATTCAGCAGACTCTGGAATCTGCGCCATCCGGAACCGGATTTCAATGCTATCTCTGTGCGGAATACATTGACAGTCTGACGTAGGCAGGCCGTCATGAGGTTGTCCATCGAAACTTCTCAGAGACGTGACCAATATCTGCTCTTGGATTCGGACATCAATAATCCGGTCGAAGTTCAATCGCGGATGAGTGCGTCCTTCGCTGAATTTGTCAAAGTGGAGCGATGGCTTTGACCTCTTTCCCTGCTGCAAGTCGTTCCGCATTTTTGAATCACAGTTCGACTCAATAAGAGAACCTGAAGGCAGGGTGGTCGTCACCAAGATTATTGAGCTCGGTCTCTGACAAGTTGTACCGATAATCCCTTGCGCCCTTGTCTCGGAGCTTGTTCTCTCTCATGAGATACCATAAGAGCACGCACGAAGCTAGAGCTCCAGCTGAAAGAAGCCCCACGCCTGTTCCAAAACCTGTTGGGTATGTCGGAGCTTCCGATTGGAGGTATATGTTGCTTCCCACGATACCACCAATATTTCCAATGGCTAACTGCATCGCAATTCCCACGCCGCGCTTGTAATGGCCGCCTAGGTTGTTGCTCAACCATCCGACAATTCCTGGCTGCGCTACAACTATGCCGCATTCGAGGATATAGAGGGCGAAATAACGGACTCCAACTGAAACCGAAAAGTATGACAATAAGATAGCGTATGCGATGATGGCGAGGACACACCCACCAAAAATGAACGAGAATCGGTGTTTGAGGTAGTCGGAAACGAAGGCACTGCTCAAGCAAACCACTGTCCCCACTGCGTAAAGGGGTATTGTCATCACCTGGGCTTTGGTCGAGGTCCAGCCCAACTCCAAGAGTATGGTCGGCAGGAAATAAGCGAAGCCATAACTGGTCGTCAGGATGCAAAAATACGCGAAACTTGCAATCCAGATCTTGACGTCGCCGAAGCAACGCTTTATCGCCTGTTTGTCCAGGATGTTCATCTCGATGCTTTCGACGTCCGACGCCAGTCTCTGCGCCCAGAACTGTCGTTCATCTTCGTTGAGAAACTTTGCAGTCTCTGGCCAGTCGGGTAGGAGCCAGTACGCCGGAATCGCTACCGCAATGGTGATCAACCCTTCTATGATCAAGATCCATCTCCAGCCGCCGTAGCCCGCTATTCCGTCCATATGAGCGATAGCATAAGCCAAAAGACCGCTGAATGCTCCTGTGACGAGGGAAGAGCCGTAGAATATGTTCAGTCTCCACTGAAACTCGTGCCTTTTGTAGAACATTGTCATTAAGTAGATGGACCCGGGGTAAACACCTGCCTCAAGCCCCCCCAGGATTACTCTGCAAACAACGAGCCCGGCATATGATCTTGTCAAGCCCTGACACATGGTCACGATGCCGAACGTGAAGGCCGAGACGCTCAGGAACACCGAAGGTCGAATCTTCTTGATCAGGATATTCGCAGGAATTTCCAACAAGATGTACAAGACGAAGAAGACAAACAGGACAATACTGAAGTCTTGGCTATGCATATGGAGATCTTTCTCCAAGCCCTGGATCCGTGCATTTGCGATGTTGACTCTTCAGATCCTTCAGCATGCATCTCACTCAGCAAGTATGGCAAGACCAACCTGTCAAGAATAGTGCACATGAACAACAGACACAGCATAGGCAACAAGTTGAGGTCGCACTTGAAGAGGATGTGTCTTTCAGAGATCCGCACATCATTTGACTCCTGCCGGATCTCTGTCGCGACATTCTCAAGCTCATCCTTCTCCATCGGCTTAGTTCCATGTTGAGCGTCCAACGCCTCCATTTCTGCCTTCGAAATGGAAACGGCACAGGATAAAGCACAGCAAACCTTTCACCTCTGAGGGCAAGCGACGACAGAGACGACGCACATGGCTCTGCGAGAGGGGCAGAGAGACTATCACAAGGGCGATTTCTCTTCATCTGTGCTTTTTACAGTGCCGGCCTCTTGGTCAATGGTACCACGGCTCCCGATGCCGAGTATCGAATGGTCGTCGTTCACGGAGTTTAACCGTGGCATTAATGCAGAGTTACCAAATCTAGCATGAAGTGTAGCGGATTACAACATGCGCTGTAAAGGTATTCGCTAACGTCGAAGCGAGAGCCATGGCCGCTGAGTAATAAGATGAAGGATTGTGTAAGAATGCAGCAGACGCCAGTCTCGACCAGAATGGGCATTTGTCTACACCCAGAACGGCTAACCTGTCACCAGAGAATGTACTGCCGATGCGAAGCGCTTGAACGATAATTTCTACCAACTACCAGCTCCTGTTTCTTTGAGCGCACATGCCCCCAACAGGCAGCCACAGCTCGAGGATCTGGCAAGGAAGTTTCTGAGTCAGGTGGTAGCATCTCCTCCCAGAACTTGAAAGCACGCAGTGCCGCCTACCGAGGGAGAGAGGAAAGTATTACCCGGACGGCTCTGGTATCCAAGGCCACTGTGCGGCTCCTGACTCGCAATCTGTGCGGGTCAACACCAGGTCTACGCATCCACGAACATATCCATCGAGACCAGCCGGCTTATATGAGACGAGATCGCCCCGCGCTGCAAGGCTTAGAAAGTGGATTACGTGTGTCAGGGCCAGTTCTTCCACCTCTCCACTTGGACGGGGATGTCGCATTACCGGCCATCCTATCCTCGTTGTGTTTGTTCACTAATACCAGATTTCTGGGCGCGCCATGACGAAGCAAAATCAGCCTGTGGTCTTTCTCCTGCAGCCATCATCCTCCCAATCACAGAGAGAGAAAGAGCTTCAAGTTTCAGAACGCAAAGCCCACGCTGCCAGGGTTGCACATGCCAGACGCCGCCAAGTGCGAGGGATCGGACAGGTCAGGCAGGGGAGAACCATTAGCAGGGCGGCTGATGTCTCAGTTGGCTCTAGGAGGTCGAGCCAGTCTTCAGACACCACAGGAGGTTCGTGGGTGTTGATTTAAACAAATACTTTACTAAGGACTGCAAACTAACCCTCCTGCTTTATGTTACGGTAGGTGAATACCGTGGAGACGAAACACCACAAGACGACGGACGACTGGTCCTCCTCAGCGTTACTCAACAAAGTCCTCTGCAACTCTCACAACATGGCTCTTCTGATCCGTTCAGCTCTCAAGCCATTCCCATCACTCCGCGAGTGAACCAGGTCTTGCAATATGCAAGCCAGTCGCTGGCCAGCCTCTTTGCGACTAGCTACACGAGACGGCTATTTTCTGGCACCTTGAAACAATCTTTCAATCCCAAGGGCGTCGGCGCCATTCGGGATGTTAAATCACTACTCTGGACCTGGGAATGGTCGTCAGCCGAGGAGGGGTCACTCTCATCCTATGTTTCAATGTACGCGACATCCATGACTCGGTTTCTGCCCAAGCAGATACACAAAGAGTACTCGGTGATGGCTCTGAGCCTCCGAACACGAAGTCTGGAGGTGTTGCGAAAGAGGATTAGCTACTTGGACGCAACCCGCGGACCTGACATGGCGCTTATTATGAATGTCATACGGCTGTTCCGCATGGATTCATTCGCCGGAGACGTCAATGCAGCAAGACTACATGCGAACATGATTCACAGTTTTGCCGAGTCTGTCCCGGAACTGGATCGAAAGGCTCATTTCATCAGTATGACTGCGTACAATGATATCGTCTCTGCGACGAACCAGTTACGGCGGCCGTTGATGAACTATGAAAATTGGATCCAGACGTTTTTGGACGAATGCCGGGAGATCATTGCTCAATATCTCCCGCCGGAACCGACGGACGACAAAGATATTCACCACTCCGTCTCATTGTACAAACTACGCGCTGTCATGAAACGGTTCCGATGGTATTTGTCCATGGGAGGAGGGAAGGCAGGGCTCGCGCCGCGTACGTTACGGGAAGCAGAAATGATCCGCCGCTGGATAATGGTCTCGGCGCAAAAGAACGTGGCAACTCTCTTGCACCTCTACGCGGAATTGACAGAGGATGACGGACCCACTCTGGAGCTCCATCTCACCAACATCGCCTTGACTCTGACGTTGATCATGTCCCTCCAAAAGAGCATCTGGGAGGCGACTCTCAACGGCGCTGATATCTGCGATTCTTCCCGCGTCATTCTGCCCCGATTGGAGCGAGTCATGACATCGATACTCGAGACCGCGACCCTGGAAGAGCTCCATTACTACCGAGAAGCCCATTTTTGGGTCTTCTTCGTCGGAGCCCAGATGGAGCAGCAGAAGGTCCAGGCAAATCATCCAAGCCCATATCAGGCAAACCAGACGCCTCCGCACCCGCTATGGTTCGGCAACATGCTTGTACAGCAAGCGCGCTTTCTGGGCCTGTGGAAATGGTCCGACGCCCGCAAATTGGTGCAGCAATTTGTTTTCAACCAGTTCTGGGAGCCGGCCCCTAGCAGCTGGTACGAGACCGTCGTCCGAGACTTTGGCAACCGGACCGAGGTGGCTCTGGCAGTGCACAGTGGTGGTCAATTAATCCAGGCGCTCCGAGAAACTTAAAGGTACAATCCCAGCCCAGGGATGGAGCCTTGCTCGGTGCACCTCAATCCTCACTGCACGGTGTCTTACTGCATCTCGACGCTAGAAAGACAAACGATAATGTATACTTAGGACTCAAAAGTTGATTCAATCCACAGCTGTGAAAAGTCTGGCTACGTGTTAGTTCCTGTGAAGATCACGATTTTTCAAAGCACGCAGCGTCGGATGTTCCCCTTTCAAGTTTCAGCCTTGTCGGATGACTGGGGAATGCTTGGCGGTCATATCTTTCTTTGTGGCCCAACGAGCATTGACAAAGAAAACTAAAATATTGCAGTCGAACATAATCCGAACTCCATAAAAAATGTGGTCCGAGTAGTAGCTTCTTTACACATTTAACGCTTCGTAGGCCCAAATGATCCCTTAGCTACTAGCCCCTCTGAGTGTAGACGTGTATATATATATATATATATATATATATATATACATTATATCACCCCCGAACTGTTCTTTATCCCTTCGCTTTTTCGTTCAGGAAAGGGAGCGAGGCCGCTTTACTCGAGCACGTGACGGATGCCCGGCCGGGCACGGGAGAGCGTCGCGGGAGCCACGGCAGAGTACGGGGGAGCGCGCCCGAGCACTGGACGAGCCGTAAGGAGCTTGTCTGATGTCCGTTCTTAGGAGCCAGTCCAGGCTCAGGGGCCCCGTTTGGGCCTCGACTATGAGCCCTATACCATATCACTCAGCGGCGAATCTTTGTGACTCAATCGGAGGACATGATCGATTGCAGAGGCCGTGCAGGCCGTCAGACTATATAGGCTATGTAATATTACCAGTGGGGAATACCACAGTTGACGGATGCCCCTGGGCAGTCATTTGATATGTCTGACCGTCACGTGCAGTGCTGACTGCGCCCTCCAAAGTCCATTTCCGGTTTCGGACTTGAGCATTCCGCCTAAACCATTCTTAGCTGTGGCTGTGCAATGCCTGAGCACGGCTTGGGCGAGACCTGAGTCGTACCCAGTATTTTGCCCCGGGGTTCCCAATTTATTGTTGCGGGGTGCCCTCAGGGCCACTTTTCCGGCTACGCTGCTACCTGGAGGTCTCTCGCTGGCTTTGTTGGTGTAAGTTCAGGCTGCGGAGAGAACGCCAGTTTAACACCACCCCCAACGCGTACTCAATACAGCGCGACACCGCGAAACTGGCTCACTTTGCACTTAGGACGGTAGCCCAACAAACGTTGTTACACATTCTAGGCCCCTGCAATACGCAGCAGAAGAGGCCTCTATCCCTGCTCGTGACCAGGAGATAGTGTCTCTTATTAGAACCCGGGGGACAGAACTGAAGAGTGATGACTATTTCTCGAAGAATTAAAGTGTGCCGCACGATGCCTTGAGCTTGAGAGTTCCAAGTGTATTATGTATATACGACTGCGCAGAGAATGAGATTGAGATTTTTTTCTGAACAGACAATAAAATTATTTCCAACTGTTCTCTCTTTCTACACATAAAGTTCGAGAGATGACGGTACGGATGATCTGCGAAGTCGTGGTTGGTTACCAGCCGTCTAGGCTAAAATTTCCATCACGTGCTGAGTCATCCGGTAGAGCGCGGAGATAAATACCTATCTTCTCCCCTCCCTCCATCTCCCCTTCCTCTTTCCACGAGCTAACCCTACCAAGTAGTGGAACAGTCGTATATCGTAACAGGTGGCAAACAAAGAATAATGATGACTTCTCGAGAATTAAAGTGCTGCTCTTGGTTTACTAAGTGCATGTACACTGCGCAGAGAAAAGAAATCTGACTTTGACGTGGGTTTCGAATGGGTTTCCTTGTTTCGAGATCGAGACGAAAGCCTCAACACGATGATAAGTTGCTGGAACGGGGTCTTAAGCAGCGTAGAGATTTAACCCATCGGGCGGTGCAGTCAAAACCGATTACTGGAGACGAGTGACAGAGGTGTTTGGACTGAAGGTGGTTCACTTGAGTGTGAATAGTCGAGGATTTCGAGAAGGGATGTTGAAGGATAGCAGCACTATCGCTGTAGTATGGTCGATGGCTTAAGGGACACGAAGGATTAGACATGGAAAGTAGTGGATCTGTTCTTAGTCAGTCTTGGATGAAGACAGCAATCTGCTGACAATCATAGCAGAAAGGCTGTGCTTACCGTCGACAGCGGAAGCAGCCGATACCAAGTCGTGCATCGAGTGCCGATAACGGGCACCGGGTAACAGGTGATAGCAGAACCTAACTGCGAGAAATCGTGTATGTACGATACAGTTTAGAGATGCATGTTGAATTAACGAAGTGTTCTTCAGTGCATGAAGGAGAGAAATACCGGAGAGAATAGAAGAGAGTTAAAGGAGAGAAGTGAGTTTGTAGAGGAAGTGACGTGAAGAGGAGAAGTTGCAGAGTAAAAAGGGCAGAACTTCTGGTTGAAACGGAGTAGCCTCGACGATTGGAAAGACCCATCAAGACTAAATAATTGGTAAGTTCGACAAAGGATGACGTCTAATCCTTCGAAGGGACGGTGCACCTCAGGATTCAGCGGGAACAATGTCCAGCTGCCCCAGCTTCCAAAATGTTGTAAGGGGAATGATATTGCATCGACGAGAAGAGCCTCGATTCAGTCGCCCAAGATGTCTGGCAAGGCATGTCTGAACGAAAACTTATTGCAAGCAAGCTCAGCATCTTCCACTATCGGGAGCTGATGATCATGTAGTACTACTGCAATCTCGAATCCTCGAGAGCGAGCATCAGGTGAATTTTTGGAGGCATCCAGCTGTATACCGAACGTACGTAGGCATCTCAGCCGCCCAGTCGTCCCTCTTCCAAACGGGTGCCAAGTCCAGGCGCTTTGTCGCCGCTGAATACCACTGCCACTGTAGAAAGCTAATGTGATGGAATCTAAAAAGACTTCCTATTTTTAAAAATGGAGGATTCGAGTTCTCTTCTGTTTCGGAACACCCTCCTTAATTATGACCCAAAAGTTTCACCGTTTCATAGCTTGCGGTGAATTGCGCCCCTTTGGGCAGCTGAAGAATGCATAACTCGCTGTAAATCTCCAAGTTAGTGGTATGGCACGATGAAGCATCTATTTGTCCCTTCAAGTCAATACTGATGTAAAGAGACTTTCCATAATAACCATCAAAATGAAGTTGATGGCACATTTTTCAAGGTGCTCTCCCTCGAGCCACATCGTCGAACCCGGTGATCACACAATCTTGCAGACCAGCGCCTCGTACCTGCCACGACTAATGGGTATCAATGGCTACATGATAGAGAAGGCCCCGGACTCGGAGTCCGCCTGCGCACAGTGGCTAGACGGGCCCTGATCACAGTAGTGTTGCATAGTCAAGCGTACGCCTTTTTGTAACACGATCATGGGAAATATGAGGAGAGTGAGGTGAAAGTATTCACCTAGCTTGCGGGTAAATTGCGCCTGTAGAGTAGTAAGCTCCAGCGATGGCAAGATGCGCATCCACCGACTCCGACTCCAGCCCAAGGTCGCCGTCGCGGATGATGCAAATGGGTGACATGAGGATGTGCATCACGATGACTAATCACGGAACTATATCCGATTGGTGGGTGAATAGTTCCTGCGTCGCCAAGTCTTACCCACATCCACGAAACGTCAAGATACACGTGACTTTATAAGGAGGCTGCGTGAGGCTGCGTGAGGCTGCGTGAGGCTGCGATAATTAACTCTCAGCTCTATTACCTACTATATAACCTAGGCGCGAGTAAGACTCAAGCTAAAACGGGAGCCTTACCGGCGTATAAAAGAGTAAAGAGAGAGATAAGAGAGCGCGGTAAGAGTAGGCCGAAGGCGAAGAGAAGTAGATGAGAGAAGATAAGGAGCCGGAAAGAGAGGAAGAAAGAAGAAGAGAGCGGACGAGGGAGCGAGTCCACTAAATAGTCGTTAGCGGGAGAGTAAAGCGGCGGGGGATGAGTCAGCGTAAGAGTCGCGGGAACTGACAGCTCGGGGACAATATATATATATATATATATATATTGAAGCCTTCAGTACCCACTTATGTACCTTTTACTACAAACAGTAGTAAAGCCCACCTCTATCCCGCATTGTCATGAAGAGTCAACTACGTGCGACCAGATTCGAACTGGATTCCTCTGCCCGCTTCAACACGAATCTGATCTAGAAGCCCTCACCCACTAAATCAACAGACTTCACGTAGTTGGATCTACTCATCAGGAGGTAGTGTGACCATTTGCTGTCACCAGTCACTGTCTCACAAAAACAACAATAAATGTCTTTGCAGGCAGCAAAACATGTCCCTTAGCAAGTCGTGCAATCCAGCAAAAGAGCAAAAAACTCATCTTGTGAGAAAACCCCGCGAAGGATGTTTTTTTTTTGGGTCAACTCCCGGACTCGAGTTGAGCCCTTCTCCCCTCTCGTCACGGACCCCTCCTGCTCAAACCCCTTCCTCTTTCTTCCTCCTCAGCGCTCAACCCCATATTTGCCCTCCCCTGTCTCTCGCTAATCTGAGCCTTGTGTGCTGTGTTGTGTTGTGTAGTGTTGTGGGTAACAATGACTGGGTTACCTGGTCAAGTTCCTGTAGTGACCAAAGTGGTACTTTGGGCCCGCATTGTGGCAACCCATCTCTTGGATTTCTCATTAGGTTGATTTGATGCAGGTAGGATCCGATCAATTATCGGAGGTAATTTGGTGGTTGAAAAATATATTCTTTGAAAACTGGGTGGGTCCTGGGGCAGAACATATAACGATCAACATAGGGAATTCTGAGCTGGTCCTCCGAGCACCTACTCCCTAGCCCTGTGGTCAGCCGCCAAGATGCCTGAGGAAACGCATGACTACTGCGGTTCTGTGGGAGCAGTTGTTTGAATCTCAACCAGGAGCATACACCCACGGGTCAATGCCTCCTTCAAAAGCCACCCCAGAATCCTCTGCCTGGGTGCTCGTATTCTCCATTGTCAATCCAGGAAACCATCGTTCGGTAAACAAGTGCAAAAGCGAGTCGAGTTTCAGGCTGTACATGAGTCCACGAAGTGTCTGACTCGCTTATCGCAAACCAAATACGCAAGATATCGAGCTTCTCCGTCACCAGCGATAAGATACTTTGTTTGGTCGACGGCCCTACCAGGGGGCTGAGAAACAGCTCATCACTCCAGCTAGAAGTCGACAGATGATGCCACCCAACATCCCGCCAGCATATGGCAAACTTTGAATCCATCCTGGTACATTCATGGAGCCCCGTTGCCAACAGTCGAGGGTTTCTGACACTGTGTTGCTGAGGCAGAAACCACAGATTCCATTGCATTAAGCCTTCTTGTTGTGAGTTGATCGACTAGGGTCTTCTCCTTCCTGCCAGGCGTTTCAAGCCTCATCCATGAAAACTCCAGTTCCGTCCTGGTGGAAACGCACCGCAGTTACCCAGTCCGGGCCAGAGGGGGTCCAAGATAACTTCAGTCCTCGCATGCACCGAATGAATCCGGACAGTATCCAGAATGGATGGTGCTCGACACAGCAAAACCCCTGTCGGCATAGATATCTTCACACATTCCCAGAGCCTTGGAAGCACAGAGTCTGCCAGTTGTAAACAGATTAGCCATCAGAGTCACATTCCAGGACGTCTTTGAACGGTCAAAAGGACATCCTTGGTGTGAGAGGGAGAGTCCAGGTCAGTGATTCTCGCATGGCCTCCATTGTGGACGACTTTTTCCTTTGAAACGGGTGTCCTCCAGTTGGTCACCGTGGCATACTGCTGGACCATGGACAGGGAGGGCCGCTGTGTTAGATAAGGGGCAAGAGGGTTGGGTTGTGAAGATGGGTGTTGGCGTGTGACGCCAAGGCGTGATGCCAAGGTTTTATGCCAAGACTACCACAACTACGCGAAATCTCACTCTACTCCACCGCATAAATCTTTCTTCTCGCTTTCGCATGATCTACCGTTCTTTCACGTGACCACGCTAGCGTTTAAAATGGCGTTCCTTGTCGCTCTTGTCGTCCTGGCAAAATGCTGCCTCTTCACAGCCGACTTTCTTCTCTCAAACATCGTCGCCTACTACATTCTCCAGAAGGGCATCGACATGATGGAGGAGTTCCAGTCCGAGACAGACAGCGACTACACCAGTTACTGGCGTGACTGGGTGAGTTTCATCCTCAAAAGCCTCACCACTCTCATCTCAGATGGAACTCACTTGTACCTGGGGTTGATATGGCATGTACCATTGACTGACTTCAATTCCAGTTCATCTCCTCACGTGGAAACGAGTACTTCTGTGAGATCGACGAAGAATACATTACCGACCGCTTCAACTTGACTGGCCTTAACACGGAAGTCCACTACTACCAACACGCTCTTGACCTCATCACAGATGTATTCGACCTCGATTGTGAAGATGACATGCGCGAGACGATCGAGAAGTCTGCACGTCACCTCTATGGGCTCGTCCATGCGCGCTACATCGTCACCACCCGCGGCCTGGCCAAGATGGTCGAGAAATTCAAGAAGTCTGACTTCGGCCGTTGCCCACGCGTCATGTGCGAGAGTCACCCGCTTTTGCCCTTTGGACCAAGCGACAACCCCGGCCTCAAGACCGTGAAGCTCTACTGCGCCAAGTGCGAGGACATCTACAACCCGAAATCATCTCGCCATGCCGCCATTGATGGTGCTTACTTCGGCTCTTCCTTCCACAACATCTTGTTCCAGGTCTATCCCGCCCTTGTTCCAGTCAAGTCCAGGAGACGCTACGAGCCCAAGATCTTCGGCTTCAGAGTTCATCATGCGGCGGTCTTAGCTAGATGGCAGGACGTTGTGAGGAGAGAGCAGCGAAAGCGATTGGAGGAGGCCGGCGCGGTTGCGGAAGGGCAGCAATTGTTCATTGAGGATGCCGACAGCAGCGATGGGGCAGGGGATGGTCGCATCGAGGAACCGGACGACGACGAAGTTGGCGACAATGACGATAAGAGAATGGCTGCCCTCAGTGGCGAGACCGAGGGTGTGGGATTGTATGGCGGTGCGCCTGTTACTGGCCAGGCTGCGAACTGAAGGGTGCAATCACGATATGCATGGAGCAAACGGCGTTATGAAGTCATGGAAGATGGATGGAACGAATCGGTTGCACAAAGCGTGAAGGCGTATCATTGCTTGCAAAGAGAGTGCTTGAGCGCATCGGCATCGGCATCGGCGTCCTGGCGTCCAGGCGTCCATCGTCCATCCTCACATGGAGACACTAAACACACGGGAATTCATGGCTGAGTTATGAAAGGCCACGAGAGGCTCGATCAATCACCAACAGCAAGGGTGTGATGCGCAAAAGGCGCGGCTGATCGATGTCATAGCACACGTATGTAGTATGGGGCTACTCAGATAGAAACTGAATTTCTTCAGCTTCACTAAGCCGATCCGCGTTGTAGAATTTCTTCCTGTTGTGACCGATTAACAGGCGACGTGCTGTTGCTGTACTCTGATGTGCTAACATTGCTGCTCAAAAAAAGGCCCCCCTTCCCTTCGGCAGCCTCGGCCGTGTCGAGGTCCCCAGCATCAACCATGACATCCTAGTTGGTGGCGTGGGGACAGTCGACTTGGCTCGTGGCCTGAGACCTCTAATCTCGTCGTCTCCTCTTGCCCTTTCGCCCTGTATCCTCCTGCGCTTCGTCTACTTCTTCATCCTTCCCTTTTCTCAATTCCTCTGGCTGCAATCCCCAGGCCTCGGCATCGATCCAGTCCTCTCCGTCGGACCACTCGCCCACATGCCCCTCGGTTCTGCACCAGTTCCACACTTTGTCCCGCATCCTTTTCGCCTTGATGAGTTTCCCTATCACGGCCTCGTAACCACGCACGCTTTCTTCTTGTTTCTGGATATACATCATTAGAAGGCGTCGCGTCTCAATTAGTTCGTCGACGGGAAGGCCGAGGCGGGCTAGACTTCGTGGGGGTCTGTGGTTGGCTGCTAGAACAGGAGGAAGGAGGAATAACGGGTCAGGCTGAAGGAGGTAGGAGTCGATGGATGAAACTGTCGAGTCGGGTGAGAGAGGAGGAGTCGGGGCGCTGGAGTTGTTGTGCTCGGCGGCCAGGGCGCGAGTAATTCTTCGCGTGGGTTTTGGGCGACTGTCGTCTTCGGATGCTGCTTCACCCTCCTGCTCCTGTTGTTGCTCCTGTGGTTGTTGTCGTTGTTCTTCTTCTTCTTCTTCTTCTTCTTCTTCTTCTTCTTCTTCTTCTTCTTCTCCTCCTTCTCCTCCCTCTTCTTCTTCTTCTTCTTGGCCATGCACAGCCACGGTAGTAGACACACCTCGTGCTTCATCTGGATCATCCTCAGTTATCTTGTCTTTGGAAGCTGGTTCATCCTCTTTTTTATGAATCCCATTCGTTGTCGGACGATCAGATTCACCAGCTTCTTCTTTAGCAGGGTGCTCGACCGGTATCTCAGCATGCATACGGGACTTGCTAGTGATTATAGCGTGATGCCTGTCATTTGCGGTCGGGCTGTTCTCTGGCACACCAGCCCGAGAAGTGGCTGCACTTTCGTCCTTCCGCCCGTTCGCGTAGTTGTGCCTATTTATTCCGTTCTGGGAGGTCTCGTTCTTGAAGCCGCGCTTCCTCTTCTTTCCCGCTTGCGGTGTGGGCAGCTTGGGTTTGGGCTCAAATAGATCCCAATCATCTGTACCTTCAGTACTCTCACAGGGTATCCACGGCTCATCCCCCATGAACTGTCTGTTCAGATTTTTGGCCCGCCAGAGGTTGGCTCTTTCTTGACGCAGTTTCTCTTCGGTAGATTTGATCATATCAGGGAGGGCACGGTCAATAAAGGGTAGAGACAGCGTAGGGTGAGCCGAAAGCTCAGAGGGATGTTTCAACGGACACAGCAGTTCTGACACATCATATCAGCGGCTGTTCAACAGAGACAATGCAGGTAGGGGCAATACCTTCGAGTCGGATGCCGGCATAAGCGTTCTCGTCTTCAGCGTCCGCATCTGCCTCGGCGTCACTTTCGCTATCTTCGAGTTCGTCCCCATACTCGTTGTATCGTCTCGGGTTGCGTTGCAGGATGTATCGCGTGTAGCCAGCATGTTCTATTTTCTGCGGGCGCAGTGAGCTCTCAGACCTCGAACACCCCACCCGATGCTTAGATCGAGACTTACTTGTTTATGGCCCTCTGGCCCGTGAGGATAAGGCAGAGCGCCGGCGTGAATGTAATTCGCACCACGTGCTAATTTATGACCTCTGTTCGTGGCCGCAGAGGTGACTTGATCCGTGGGGCCTGGTCGAGTGGGTAGGATTAGCACAACAAGGCGCGGCGAGCACGTCTCGAAGATCGAAGTGGTTATTTACCATCTCTTTCGCGCCGTAGGGTTCTTTTCAGCGCTGCGATCGTCTCTGCAATTTCCACATGTTGAGGCGGCATGTTGGCGGTCGAGAGGGTGTAGGGGCGCGGCCGTGCCGGACAATGTTCACGATACCAACCCCAGCAAGTTGGGTGCAACTTAGCGGGGGGGCGCGAACAAGAAGGTGTAGGCGAGCAGCCAGAAGCAGAGCGATGGTCAATTATCACTCAGCATAATGAGTGGACTATTCTGGGCCTGACATTGGGAGAAGGAGTGGAGCGGACGAAGTGAGGAGGAGAGGAGGCTCGCAGGTCGACTTCCAAACTTGACTACTTGTACACGAGAACCCTCACCTGGAGCCCACTCCTCGTCTGCTTGCCCACAAGCAACCCAGCAGCAGCCAACTGGCCAATCACAATATGCGCCCTGGACTGAGCCTCCGGCAAACTTGCCCCGAGAAAAAGCCATCAGGGTTTTCCCAACTTATGACGCAATAATGCCAGCAAAAGCAATTGAGTTCGTTTTGTATGGAGTACCGAGTATCCTCGGAATGTCTCTGGAGGACCTGGAGCACTGAGCTCGCTAGGCTCCGAGGGCTCCCTTCTAGATCTGTTGTAGCCGTCCAAGTCTTTTGAGCATCTATTGTCCCTTCACGAAGAGCACTCCTCGTTCCGTTACGCCTTCTTTCGTTCCTTCTGCTTCGTCATAGACCGGGTCACAGGCCTGTTTTCTCTTTTCGCATAGATTTCGGCAGTGAAGGGACTGGGAAACGTCAGTATTGGTACCTGCAAAGCATCCAAATTGCCCTCACTCTTCGAATCGCAATGCACCGAGATACATCACAAACACTTCCAGGGTCAGTAGCACACCGGCCGTGCGCCCGTAATACAAGGCCGTGCCCAAGAACGACAGCGTACTCCCCCAGTACATTGGTGCGTCGGTGACGTTGAACGGAAATCCCTCAACTTTGTGATCCATCAGGATGCCAAAGTAGTCTCCCAAGTACGTCCCGGTGACGCCCAGTGCGTACATGCTGGACAGCACGAGGACATTGCCAGTGAGAAACAGGGCCACGCCGAGTTCCGGTTGATATAATGGGAGGTAGATTGGCTGCTCTTCCAGTGCGGTCTTGTAGAGGGAGTCTCGAACGACGCCGATGGCGAAGATAGTCACTGCCAGAGCATAGCAGCCATAATAAGGTGAACCAAAGGCCTTGGTCAAAAAGTGGGTTTTGTGCTCTGTTCTAATCAGTCATGAGCTGCCGTCACGGAAATATCTGTCTTACCCTGTCGGGCGACGATGCTTTCTCCAGTTAGTACTAGAAAAACATCCACGCCGGGGGTGTTCGGCACTTACTTCCAAAAGATTGGATTGAACGCAATTGCCGCCGCCGCCACTGTCAGGATTATGTTAGTCCGTCTCAAATAGGCATCAGCCATGGAACTCAGTCCCTACCGTAGAGTGACGGTTGGGACGTGTCGATAAACCCAAGCCTCTCTTTCTCATTCAGGCCAGCAAAGATGTTCTGAATCTTGTCCATCTTTGAGGCAATTTGACCGAGCTTGTCTTTGTCTCGGTCGACGGTCCTATGCAGGAAAGGCAAGCAAGTGAAAAAGAAAACTAAGCAAAAAGGAAGAACCACGCGAACCTCAATCGAGGTGAACAATATTGCTTGGCGTAGATATGACGTGATGCTATTTACACATGTTTACACATGTTTACACATCCTTTTGGCACTTGCTACAAGTTCCCCATTCATGACTTCTTCCAAACTGAATTGGTTGTGTACTTAACAACCGCCTCCTTTTCGACCACCACATACGAAACAGACAGGATCGCAGATGGCATGCCAGTTCTCCAAATAGGGCATTCTGCCTCGTGCCTTCCCAACAGAGATCAGGCTTCCCGAAGAACGGCAATGGATGTGTGCCACCCATCCTCCTACTTGACGAACTTCCTCGCCTCTCTACACAAGAAATTTGACCTGTGAAGCTGCAGGGCAATCCGATGGGAAATACTTTCAAGTCTATCGGGCAAGGAGAGCTTTCTAGCTCACCATTTCTGGGCCCTCTGATGTCGTCAAAATAGCTGCCAACTTGTGCTGCTCAGACCTTGACGAGCACATTACCCTTCTTGTCAACTTTGACTCCATTTCCTCCTGGCAGGATCCGTAGTGTCTGTCCGAAATATGCATCAACCACATTCAGGTGCACTCCGATCCATTCATCCTTCTTATTCGGCAGAATTCTATAGGCCAAAGTCTGCCGACTGATAGGGACCAAGCTGATCGCGCACGCTTTCGGCCCACTGAACGCAAAGTCCTCGCTCGCCTCCATGGACACGTTAAATGTAAGAAAATGCATGCTCGGATTCTCAATCGTGAAAGACAACTTGTATGCCCCAATGTTCCACGACGGTCCCAGACTAGTCGAGGAAACGGTGAGCATGACTCTCGGCTCGGCCATCGGCGCCACGAGTCTAGGCACCTCCAGAAGCGTTGTGCTAACTTCGTCTGAATCTTGTCGACGCCAGCCGATTTGTAGTGCGAGTTCAACCGCCACTGTATGTCGGTCGCCCAGTATTTGTTTCTGGAGCGTGAGATCAAAGTCAAATGTTTCTGTGTGGTCTGGCGTTATCACGGTCGAAATCGTCGCATTGGTGTCCTTCGCCGCATCGCTCGTCTCCACCGTTTTCCTCACGATGCCGGTAGTCGCTGAACATACCGCACCGCCTACGATTTTCGCGGCTGTGAGCAAAATAGCTTCAATGACTAGAGGCTCCGTGGCGAAGGAGTAAATACTCGCCGCGACGGAGTACAGGTGCCTTAAGCCCAGCGAAGCCGAAGCATCGGCGGGTTGTGGGGGCACTTCGAAGAAATTCGGCCAAGGCTCTTCGTCCAACCGGGGGATGAAGTCGTAATTTGCTTCAAATGGGCGGATGACTGCGACATCGACAGTCAGGGTCTTGGTGAGGATCGTCTCTTGTTCGGAGTTGAGCCGGTATGTCGCGAGAAGTTCTATTTCGTGATCGACCGCGGCGGCAGTATCTGATATGCGGAGCGACACAACAGCTTTTCCTGATGATGGAATCGTCCCGAGTTCACGGTCTGGTAGTGCCAGAACACCAGCTCCCGGCGCAGTCGCTCGTGCCATTTCAAGTCCCTCCCCGGTCCACATCATCTGCGCCGCTCCCTCAACCGGGCTGATCATGCGTGCGCCGAGCGATACAATTGCGTCTTCCTCTTCTTCGTTCAAAATCTCAAAGCCTATTGTTATTGATTCGTTCGTGTAGTATGATCGTCTAAGTCCGGGAGCCTCAATCTTCAGCTTTGGTGGCTTGGGCTGCACATTGATTTTATTGAAGGCATTAGACTCTTGTCCAAGTGATCGAGGCGTTGGTACGCCTGCTTTTGATTCCCACCACTGACCTACGGTGTGTGAGAAATTAGCTGAGGTTGCGGCAAAGGTGAGACGATCATCGTTAATGATAAGCGTGACGGAGGCAACGGAGACTTCCCCCGCTTCCCTAGGCACGACACGTAGCCGGAATATCTTGGTGTAGTTTGGTGGAATTGTTAGATCGGCACTGCCAGTCTGAGACGCAACAGCGCCAGCAGAAGATCTTCTTGTACCCGATAATGGCATCGTCGATGATTCATTCAACCGGATGTCTATAAATTGGGCACTCGAAGTGTGGGCGTCGCCGTCTTCTCCTTCTTTGGCAAGCAGATAGACAGGTTTCAGACTGCCTTCGAAGACGACCTTGATCTCCGATAGTCGGATTACCGGTAGACCGACCTGTGCTCGAGATTGTATGCATAGTTGACAGTCCAGTGGCTCTCCAACAAACACATCGTGGGTTGAGAAAGCAAATGTTGCCACCAGCGGAGAAAGAGCCTCATCAATTCCCACGGCAACAGACAGGAGCCCGTCTGTCGAGCTGGATGGTGCGATTACCCGGCGCAGGTCATAGTTGGTGTTGGGCTTTCGATCAAATACATCGTTTGATAGTTCCCAGATCAGCTGAATCAGCAATTCGCCATCTTCCACATGGGCAAGGCAATCAAGAAGTACCCAGCCAAGGCCCTGAAGCAACTTCCACCATCCAGCATGTCTCCAGTGTCGGTTATACCACAACTGTCGTAATGTGGTGGCTGCTTCTGCCCACGATTCTGCGTGGATTTGCTCAAACGCCTTCTGAAGTTCAAGAATCTCCATTTTGCGCAGCTGGCCTCGCTTTGCAAAATGACTGATAGCGGCATCCAACGTGGAGATGATCTCCTCCACATAATCGTACCCTGGGCTTCCGTCTATGGGGACTTCACGGTATGGCTCAAGCGCAAGATATGTGTCGTAAAGATGAGCCTTGCTGGCAACCATGGAAGCTGGCGAACGACCTGGTGATTGCCTGTCGTCTTCTGGGATTTGCAGGGCCCATTGTCGACGAGCAACAATACACTTCTTGGCAATATCCAACCAGTATCCCTCATGATGAAGCTGTTCCCAAGGGACAAATCGCTCGCCCACGGAAAGTGATTTTTCCACATCAACAAAGATGGGAAGCAGGCCGGAGGTGTTGAGGAGTTCCACATGAAGTGGAGGATATTCGGACCGAGATACTAGGTCCGCCATGATTTTTGCCCAGGCAGTCTGCCACGCTTCCCAGCCGTAATTGTCTGTTCCCTTACCTCTTCGATTGACCAAATCTCTGATCCGGTCTCGGTGGGCGACCCATGATCTCACCGCTGTCGTAACCTGATCGGTCCACAAGAGGCACCTGATCGTCCGAAAAGCAATGGCATCCGCCAGCAGCCTCGCTTCGTTGAAACGTGGGCTCCAAACGGCAATAGCATCTATAATTTCGGCGGCAAACAGACTATCGTAAGCAGTCTCATAGTTTCGACAAGCGGCATCCATCTCCTGCCGAAATTCGGCGAAGACGCCAAGTTTGAATTCATACCGGACGTTCCAACCCGGCAGAGACAGTATGTGCGAATTACCCGGCTGTACTGTGGGCTGGGGGGCTGCGTTTCGATTGCGCTTGCGCCGAGCATGCTTTGAAAGGTCCCGGTAATATTCTACGCAAAGAGGATGAAGAGACGAAAGAACAGAGTTGACAAATGCATCAGTCTCTGCGAGCGAAGAGTTATGGGCGAAGAAATAGATGCTTTTGCCATCTAGGCCGGTTGCACGTCGAATGGTGCCGAGACGCTCTTCGAGATCGGAAGGGTTGACTATGCCATCCCCAAGCAAGATTACCACAAGTCGGGTCTTGTAATTCGCCGACGTAAGGACACTGCGCACATTGTTGATCTCCGATTTCAACTTATTGTCCTGAAGGGAGCTTGTGTTGGGGTCGGAGCCGAGAGTAAAGAACGTCAGAAAGGCACATGGCAGCCGTGACTGGTGTTTTGTGATCCACAGCGGAGAAATGATGCCATCAGGATACAAGGGAGAGCTGGGAGTCAAGGGCGACAGCGGAGAATGCAGAACAAGTGCCGGCGGTGGACTTCCATTTGCACCGACAGCCGACAGACGGGGAGAATGGGGAGGAGGCGGTGCTTTGCGAGGCGGAAGAGTGTAGACCTGCACTATGTGTCAGCGTCACAATCATTGAGCAAGGGCTCATGGTAAGGAGAGCGCTGACCTACCCGTCCAACCTTGACTATCTTGAAAACCTTACCATTCCTCGCGGTGGAATATTGAGAGTGCCACGGTATCCCAGTGGCATCTTGTTCGCAGAACGATCGGAGCAACTGTTCGGCGAGAGGGCCGCTGACAACTGGTGCGTCGACCTTGATCCTAAATCCACCCTCGTGCAAGAAGTCGTGCGTCTTCACCGAGGGGTCTGGCTCGCTCGGGCTTCTCGTATTCAGGCCTGAGAGAAGCAGTAAAGGCAGGTTATGAAGGACATAATCTTGCGGGTAACGGTCCATGATTATCGGACATCTTGCGTTCTGGCAGAAGTCAGATGCCGATGCCCATGACAGAGGAGCGGTTCTCTATCTCGCACTGAAGGTCCGGGTTATGCTGGCAGCAAGGAGCCAAGGAGCAATGTCGTCAAACTGCATCCATTGCATCAATCTGCATATGTTTGAAAGGTCGAAGTGAGATGGACGAGTGAACGAATCTGTCTGCGCTCGCCGCAGTTTCCGAATCGGGAACAGCCTGCAGATGCATTCTCGCGCGTGTGGTGGGCAACACTTTCTCCTCCAGGGCATGGGCTTGCCATACAGCTCAAGATCTTTCTGAATTTCCCCACGACTTTTCTCGCACCGTCGAGACATGCAATGATACCTGATCTCCGCTTCCGAGGATGTGGTTCGGCAACATTGCTTTGAATCATATAACCTTCTGCCATTGGTGGTGACTGTCCACCTCAGCAGGGTTTGTCTCGCTGGCTCTACCGAGTACGGGCTACAGAGGACATGCTCTTGAACCATGCGGCCGCTTCAACTAAGCACTTGGCCTACCCACAACTGATCCAACCAAACCCATTACTGCTTCATATATGTGGCTGACCCTGTTGGCTATCTCCTGCGGACATGGCACGTTGTCCGATTGCGTTCACGGCTGCGTTCTAACGCCGAGTCAGCGTGGGCTCGTCTCTACACGCCAGACCCGAGGACGAATTGATTGCTGTCGACATGAAATACTCCTCGTGGAGAGCTTCTTCTTTACTTCCGAGGTTGGCTCATGCCTGTACCGGGTATCCATGGCTCTTTTTGTGCTGATGGCTGCGTGAACCCAGCATTTGCATGAATGATATAAGCTCGATGTGTAAGATGCATTTCGGGCGCCGCATTTTCGTTGCTGGTCCCTTCTTCGAGAGGTCGAGGGCAGTTGAGGGCAGTTACTTGAAAGGGTATTTGTCTCTTCTGTCTCGGCCCGCAGAGCTCAATCTACCACAGCTCCACGGATAGCCCCAGTTTCTTCCAGTTCCAATAATGCAGCCACCTGACTAGACCCACCTGTTTGTCATGGCGCCATGCGAGGAACGGTCAATGCAGTTGGACCCTTTATTGGTCCACGCGACTGTCAAGGCGAAGTCATAGACGCAAACTCTGCCGGGTACTCATTACGACGATGCGTAACAACAGTTCTGAATCTGGAAGGCGCACAGGGCGGCAAGACGGCAAGACGCTATCTCGGTTGGCATAGCACAGTCGGTCCCCCCCCCCCCGGGGCCCCCCAGTGGGCCAGTGCCAGTTGCATGCAACCACCTGCAGCCTAATCTGGCGAGGTCAAAGCTGTGACCCATCCATGCGGGCCCAAGACTTCAGTGCACAGGGATGCACAAGAATGCACGAGGTCGTGTGGACCGTACCGATGCAATACACGGTATACGATGGTCACGGCGCGCTGCTAGCCAGGTGGCAAGGACTTTCGCCCCAAGAATATCCCATCAAAGCAAGCGCCCAAATCCAATGAATGGCCATTTGCAGGGTGGAATTATTCAGCCGGACAATGCAGGTGCAGAATCACCAACATTCCTAAAACAGTAGGTGCTCTAGGGGCCTAAGCCTTGGACGCGGCCTTGATTCCACCTCCTAGGAAATGGGAAGCTCCAGAAGACCAATGGATAGACCGCGCCAGCCTGGCACTCCACTATCCCGCTTTCCCGGCGGCGAGTCAGATCCATCGAGATCCAGAGCCTCGTCCGACTTGCCCTGATGCGGCCGAGACTTTCAGCTTATGGTAACTGCATCCCTCACGTCGGGAAGTTGTGTGATCTCCGCCAGCATCAGACGAGAGTCTTTGTTCTCGATCTCATGGTTGAGGCCTGCCCTTTTTGAGCAAGAAATGTGCTGTACGTAAGGAAAGCTTTTCATTCTCGGAAGCGAAATTGGCGGTGCCGACGTTGTGAACGAGGTATCAGGAGAGCCAAGGATGGTGGGCCGGTTAGTCACAAATTATTCAGCAGGATGATGCGAGTCCAAACTGGATCTGGGCTATCACCAAAGCCTGCCGGCTGATGAGCCTGACAAGCTAGGCTCCAAGGACGAACTGAACGTGAGCTGGAAGTCTCCGCGTCCAAAATGTCTCCGAGTCCTCTGTTCTGAGTAAGGTTTTCGAAGAAGAAAGCCTTCTTCGTCGACGCTCGAGCTCTCCGGCAAATGCAGCTGCTATTTGAGACCGAGCTATCCGACTAAACAAAAAGGCCCTACTCCTCCCCGAGACTCAGACTCTGGCCCAGACTAGCTCTTGTCGCCTTTACTCAGCCAGATCCCGCCCTTTGACAAACTCGAAAGCTGGGTCGGATGTGTGTGTCTCGTGGTTTCGAGGTGTTACCGACAAATGCCTCCCAGGGAGGACGGGGCACCCAAGTCTTTTACCTGGATTACCGGCGATCCACGCAGCAAGACGAACATCACACAGATTCGTCGGCATGCGGGGCAGAATTCCGGGGTGAAAGCTGAGAACAGCGCTAGAGCTCGCTCGAGCTCTCTGCCTAGACCAGGACATCGAGGGTCCGCAAAGGCCTTTAGAGCTGTCCATCCTTCTTCCAAGGTTGATGAAACCGCTGAGAAGCTCCCGAACAATCAGGGCGATGCGAGCAATCTTTCTCACGTGAATTACCCTTCTGCCGCTGCAGGATTTGCCGTCGCTTCCTCGTCTGCCACCAAGAATGAACGGGTCAATGCCTATCAACCATTCTACCCCGTAACGTCGTCCCTGAAGGAGGCAAGTTCAACGAGCGAAGATGCCATTCCCACACGAAAGGTCACTATCTGGGATCTGGTCAATCACTCGGCCGAGGAAGAGGAGAGGCATAGGCTGGAACTGCTGGCCTCGACCCCAGGGCAAGACACCGACGAAGGCCGTTGCGACTATTTCGGCAGCAACATAGATCATGCGGCCCTCAAGCACGCGTTGAGCGAAGCTCGAGCACATTCACCGCGAAATCCTCGAAAAACATCGCCTCCACCAGCTACAACAGCCCTACAAGCCAACATTTCAAAGCGCCGCAAACCCGCTGCTCTGGCAGGTTCCTCAAACGCATCATGGCGCATCGGTATGGCGCCATCCGCCGTCATGACTCTGTCCAAGGAAGACTCACAAATCGAGCAGATCCTCTTACAAGCCAGCACCTTCTACACGAGCAAATTCGAGTCTTCATGGTGCGGACAACTCCGTGATAGTTACAATCCTTCCGACATGGTGAGCGTTGAGAACTTCAACGGCTCCATCACCACGGCAGCAGGACTTATGGCAGTGGGACGAATCGACTCGGCCTCTGCAATCCTAGGCCGCGTCCTTCCCACCCTCTCGGACCTCTTAATCTTGCAGCACCCAAAACTCTACTACGTCCTCGCTGAATTCAGCCTTGACGCCTCCAGCACTGAACTAGGTCGCCTACGCAGCCAAGTAAAAAGGTTCGCCGCCGCCGCATCTCTCACAATCCTCGGCTCTTCTCACCCGATCACAACCCTTCTCCAACTAAGCCTCACGAACGCCGACCAGCGTCTCCGCCTCCGCGAACTAATCCAGCGGAAAATCCACGAGCTGCACGAACAACTTTTCAGCGCCACTTCCTCTGAGACAACCGGGCAGTACTACTATTTCGCGCGTGTGCTGGCTCAGTTGGGACACCTAGATGAAGCAGCTCGCATCCTTTCGCAGATTATTCCAATATGGGAGAATAGCTATGGCAAGAACAGCCTCATGCCTGTCACTGGCCTTCTCGAACTCACCAAAGTCCATCTCGCGTCAGATGATACCTCCAAAGACACGGAATTGCTCATTTCTGATGCTCTACGTCGCACATTGACTATTGAAAAGTCCTCAGAGGACCAAGCCGCTGGGCTGGCAGAAGCGGTACATTCGAGGATGGGCTGTTTGAGGACATTGGGACGGTTACATGTCATGAGGGGAAACGTGGAGACAGCTATGATGCAGTACACCGCGGCGGTGAGTGTGGGAGTGGCCGAGCTGGGAGCCGGTGTGCCTGCTGTGCAACTTGCTTTGGCAGATTTGGACACCGTGACGCGGATGGCTGTGCCCCATCCAGACGACGAAATGCCCGACGACGCAGATGAGGCGATGTCTCCAACAGTGAGGCTGGGACCGGATGTAAGGGAAACGGCGCGATTGAATCTGAGTGCCTTGAATGCTCACGGTCGATAACGCGCGGGCTGTCGTGTAGCGAGGACGAGGTTGGGGGGAGAGGCGTTTAGATAGGGTGACGAGGAATCGACGACATAAGAAATTGCTTTGCAGGGAGGGCTAGCGCTGCTGTTTGAGACGAGGATTCAAGGGTGATTGATTTGATGGGCGGCTTTTCCATACACCCGTCTTTGGGGTTACGAAAATACCTATCAACGCTGGGCGGATCTTTTAGGGGGAGCAAGGGGAGTTGAATTCATATTTCTTTGCGCGCATGATGTGAACCATAGAGAGGGCGTGGTCGGCTCAGAATGTTTCAGATTTTCAGAATGGGAATCTATGTTCATTTAGATCGATAGATCGGTTCTCTCTTCTGTCTTTTCTCTTTTTTCCCCAGTGGTGAATTCATCCGTTTCCGCTGTGCAACGCAATTCATTTTTGTCTTTTTAAATTAAATTTTATCCCCCCCCCATTCTATCGTCCCTTGTCCGCGGATTTCTTCCTCCTCTCTCTCCTTTTCTTCTCTAGATTCTGGATATACGCCTCTGCGGCAATGCCGCCAAAGACCATGCCGATGCCCATCCACTGGCCCTTGCTCAGCGAGTGGCCGAACCACATGACGCTCAACAGCATGGTGAACATTTTCCTCGTCACTGTCACCGTGACGAGGAGCAGGGACGAGAACCGCTCCAGGGTGGCGTAGATGAAGAGCTGGCCAACGGCGCCGCAGAGGCAGAAGAGCAGCACGTCCTTGAGCACGGGCGGGTGGCGCTGGAAGAAGGCGATTGCTTGGCCCAGCTCGTGAGTGTCGGTCCGCACGAACTGGGGGAGGAGCGCCGAGGGGATGTACGGTGTTGCAACGAGGTATGCGCTCATCAGGATCGTGCCGAGAAGGTTGAGGACGACCATCATCTGCGGACCGGACGTCTTCCCGTAGCGGTGCGGGGACTGGAAGATATGGTCTTGAACCGTGTTCGTCAACCCGTCAAACAGCAAGTTAATTCCCAACAGCGTCAAGCCGTAGAGACTCGAGTTCTGTGTTTTTTGTGTTTTTCCCGCCCTCGGCGGATGGTATAGCGTGAATATTGCGACGCCGCTGGTCACAGCCAGCACAATCATGTATTTCGACAACGAGTATCGTTTGCGGAACAACGCGACGTGCAACGCCATGACGGGCAGTAATTTGCACGACTTTGCCAGTACAAACGTGAGGTAGTCGACGTGGGCGAGGGATGCATAGCCGAAGGGAGAAGCGAGGGTAGTGGTCAGGGTGACCAGCATCAAGGGCAGCAGAGAGGAGGTCGAGGGAACCATGTTGAAACGTCCGGTCGTGTAGAAGAGGTAGACGCTTCCGCTTGTGAAGGCGAAGAAGGCTTGGATCGTGTTGAGGACAATGGGAAAGCGGAAGTATTCTTGTTGCACCTGCGCTGCGGAAGGGGAAGTGAGTGGGTATGGCGTGGTGGTGATGCGTTCTTGAAGAACTCCCCATGTCAGAAACGAGGCGTAGATGCCGCCGACGCAGATGAGGAGGGTTAGGAGCCCTGGATGTGACCGCTGTGTTTGTGGCCGTTGTTGGAAGGGCGAGGTCGGCCTTCTAGAAGAGGAGGCGACGTGGCCGTTGCTATACACGGCGCGTTTCTCGGGAGTATCTGAAGGAGCCTGCATGACTTCCCCAGAGTTGATGCGCTGCATTGGGGTGATTTGCTTGCGACGCGCCATGGTCGAGAAGCAAAGGGAAAAGAGAAAGGAACGACTAGAGTGAGTGAGTGGGCGAGTCAAAGAAAAAAAGGCTGCAGAAGGTATAGAGAACAGAGTACCTCGTACAGAGGATTCAATTGCGATCAGGTGAAGTGCAGTGGTAATGTGGCCTGCCAGTGGATCATAGAAGTCGAGCCTCACTGCCTCATCGCCTCACCTGGCTCACTAGCCTGTCAAACCAATTCCATGCTAATAATACTCTTCTCGGCCCACTGTATTTACCCCAGGTTTCCAGAACTTCAGCCCAACCAGGCCGAGGATCGACCACTTGAGTTCAGTTTATATTGCCTCTAGATGCCTAACCGTCTCAGCATGGCTTGTTACTTGATTGACAACAAGGATGCGCTCGAGGTTTTCGTCAGTGAGATCCAGGGCATCTCCAATGACCCTCCATCCTTCTACATCGACGCAGAGGGTTCCAACCTGGGACGATTCGGGACCATGGATCTTCTCCAAGTCCACGTCCTGCCATTGCACGAGACCTTTATCGTCGACGTCTTCACCTTGGGGCACGCGGCATTCGATACCATATTTCAAGGCAACTCGCTCAGAATGCTGCTGCAGTCGCCGTCCATTCCAAAAGTCATTTTCGATGTTCGCAATGACTCGGATGCCATGTTCCATCACTACAATATAGCCCTGAGCGGTGTGGTGGACCTGCAGATGATGGAGTACTTCCAAGAAAATCGATCGAGTAGAAACTTGGCTAGCTTGAGACACTGCATCGAGCACGACGCCACACTCTCACCTGAGGAGATCCGGCGGTGGAGTGAAGTAAAGGCGTCAGTTCTTCACCCAAGAAGGGACAACGCAGATCCAAAAAATTTGCCCTCCCAAAGACGACCTCTGGACGAGAACCTCATATTTTATGCTGCAGGAGATGTCGAGCACCTGCCCTTGCTGCATCGGGCATATTGTCAAAGACTGACAGAGGAAGGCTGGCAGGCCGTTCACATAGAAACTGGAAGAAGGCTTCGACGCTCGATGCAGCCTAGTTATGATACTGAGAGCAAGCAAAAAGGCAAGGGGCCATACCGAATTCTAGGCCCACGAGGCTACAAGCATTTAAAAGCGAAAGCCAGCACCCCGCAACACAACGCTAACAAGCAGAAGGCCAAGAATCACTTCAAGCCCAAGGAATCTTCCAGCAAGGCGACGGGAGCGCAGAAACCGGACAGGAACGTGGGCAGGAACGATATGAACAGCATAGGAGCTCCCTTGCATGGTCTACTGTTGACGGGTGGCCCATCGGGAACCTCTGCCCAGGCACAAGAGGTAAGTCCAATCGCCATCGGTTCGATTGTTGGCCAGCTCACAAGTCGCAAAAAGACTACCATGACTCCGCTTCGCCATCGGCCAACTGCATTTGTGAAAGATGGACACGCTCAACAAGGAGGCCGAAAGAAGAGGAACAAATCACGACAATGGAATAGGAGCAGTGGCGCGAACCCCCAACAGACCCATGAAAATTTACTGGATGATCTGGATTGGACATTGTGCGATAAAGATTGCGGCTGGTGTGGGCGTTGTTACAACGGGTTTGATTTTGATATTTGAACAACTCACAGCAGGGCGGGCGCGATCTACTTCGACCACGCGTTCATGCTTCCGATGGTCGAAGTGATCGTCAGCCCTCAAGTTTGACGACGGAAAGCTGAGGGTCCCGCCCGGTCCAGGGTATGTCGACGGGCCACGATAGATTGATGCGGAAGATTTTCCCTCTCACCTGCATCGGCAACGACATCCCACGGCGCACGTCGTTCAGCGCATGTCTATTGTGCCTTGGGAGTCCAAGTCAAAGGATCGGACACATTGGCGGAGCCAACTCCATCGGACTTCGTGTTCTGATCACGTGGGTGCGAGCCAGGACGGAATGGGATTGGTGAATCGTCTTCAGCCTCGTCGCCAGCCATAATTTGAACTCTTTGCAAAATCCAGCCTTGTCATAAGCGATCAGTCGAGTCGAGCGGAAGCATAGGTGCCCAAGATGCATTCCTGGCTTCCCATTACTCATCATCTTCATCATCACTACCAAAGATTGCTTTGAACACAGCCTGCCCGGGCCTTTGCTGCTCGAGCGCCTCATTTTTGTCCGGGTCTAGCGGGGCAGGCTCATTCTCCACCATTGTTGGCGTCGACGGGTGGTTGAATCGAGCTGCTGCCTGGCTTTTATCGACTTCTGACCCTTCGTCATGTTGGAACCCTGCAGATGCGAAAGACCGAAATTGCGTCGCTGCAGGGCCTGGCTCTCCTGCAGTAGAGGCAGTTCTACTTCCCTTCCTACCTTCCCCCGAAGCTGCATGGGCCGGCATTGGGACATTGAACCTTTTACAGAGTAGCCTGGTAGGGTAGAAGTTGATAACGGACCGTGTTATCGGACCAAACATTCCTAATTTGGCAGCTGATTCTGCAGGGTCCTCTGGCTTTGTCTTTGGCTTGGTCAATAACGAGGACCCGGCCGTGTCGCCAGGTTTACCATCTTGACCTTGTGGAAATGTCGATGAGGAAGTAAAACGACTAGCCATCAAGCCGCTGATGGGTTTAAATACCTCAGCCGCTCGCGCGAACTCTTGCATCTCCAGGACCCAGTCATCCCGCCTCATGTTTTCCGCGCGAGGTAGCTCATCGCTCGACCTTAGACCCGCTTGAATCTCGAGGAAAGTTCGGTACCTCTGTCGCTTGTTTTCGTCCTCAGCGTATGGCATCCAACCACCAACTGCGCGGTTCAGGGCTTGAAGCGCTGTATCTCGTTCAAGTTGAGGAACCACAGTCTGGAGGTCGTCTGTGGCCGATTTGGAAGGCTCATAACCACTTGGCGGCGGTTCGCTCCCTGCTGCAGGCAGGTTTTGACGACCTGATGCAACGACCAGTCGATCACGAGTCGCGGGTGTTAAGAAGTCGAACACCGACTTTCCTGGAAGTTGTGACTCCCCTAACAGTGATGCTCGGGATTTGGCCGTGAGATTGGACGACTTGGCCGCCACAGCTGCTGAGACAAATGTGGATGGAGTGTCTGCTTCCGTGGCTGGCGAAATGGAAGACTTCCAGCCTTCGGGAACCTCCGGAGGTCTGTACTTCTCATCCTTTATGGCCATTGAGCTCAGGGAGTCTAGTTCATCTGCCAGAACAAAGCCATCAGGTGGCAATCGGCCATCATGACACTTTCTCAGAACTCCTTTCAAAGTTGCCAGTTTCTTGGAGATAAATGTGGGTTTGGTCTTCACAAGAGGATTTGCAGCGCTTCCTGAACTCTTTGATTTTGACTTCGACGTCTTTTCACCCGCAATGACCTTGTGATAAGATATCTTAGGACCCATAGAGTAAGGATCCTCCTCATCAGAATCATCATCATTGAGTACCCCAACACCAAATCCAGTCCTTTTCCTTACAGGTGCAGGCTTCTTCGTTGGGCCGAACAGCGGTGCAGTTCCCTCCTCGTCTGAGATTTCGACAGAGGGTCCAGGCCTGAGATTCTTCGTTGTGATGTTTTGACTTGCTGTCTCCTCTTGGTCCTGCAAGTCGCTTTGATATCCCAGGCCTTTATGGTCTGTCTTGCGCACGAATGATACCAGCTTGACATCATCTGGGGCAAAAAGATGTATCTGCGCAGGTTCGCCGTCCTCTTCCGCTTCTTCGCCGAATTTCGCTGCTCTTCGAAGTCGAGGACCGATGCCTTGGCCTTCACGCCAACCCATTCTCTTGAGCAACTTGGAACCAATAGTTTCATCTAAGGGTCGAAAAATGTCAATAGCGGCGGTCTTTCGCACCGCATCGTGCTCCGTGCCAAATCCTGCAAAGTCTGACGAGGTATTAAGTGTGCGCGACTCTTCTGCTTCACGAAGGTCTTCTTCGTCCATGAAATCCTCCGGCTTCTGTTGTGGTACAGTCCGCGCGCCCTTTGCGCGGTTCTGCCGGGATGAGACAAAGGAAGAAGGCGTCCATCCTTCCTTGGAGCCTACGGTGTTAAAATACCTGTATCCACCACTTTAGCCATTGTGCCCTTGAGGTCATTGCTCCGAGTGCTCACCCGGCGCTGAAGCCTCCTGTGAAGGCGCCGTGCAAGCGTTTCCGTCCTCTTTCATCTGTGACCTCCTGCTTCCACACTGGCACAAAAGACCCATCGTCTCGGATATTTTCATCTAGAGGAGGCAGGGGTGTTCCGTACAGGACGAAGGGCGAAGACTGTTTTTGAAGATCGGCTTCGAAGGCTTGCCGAGATCGCTTGTAGGCCATGTTCATTTACTTGGTACATGGTCGGAAGAGGATATACAAGAGGGCCAGACTGAGGGGGCCACGGGTCGGAAACCCGTTGAACAAAGTGCTGCCTATGACTGCGGGCTCATGGAGTCGATTATTCGCACTTTCTCTTCTTTTTTGGCTGAGTAGCTGATGATGCAAGTGGATGGCGTTGACGGTTATCTTGTCTGGCGGACAAAAAGAGTGGACAGCTTGGACAGTCTTGGACAGTCCACCGGAAGTTGGCTGTCAGACGGCCGCCGATTCCAGGGGCGCCTACGCGTCAAGATCCTAGCAGCCGGCACCACGGCTTAGGTCTGATACGGGCACCGATCCCAAGCATCTGGTTAAATGCCGCGTCCACTAATCACATCACTGGGGGCACCAAGGGAGCTCTAAGCACGTAGTCTAAACTGACCACTCGCCAGTAGCTGCGGTGCGAGCCCATTGTTGGCCTTGGACTTGGTAGACTGCTATTATGCAGAGCCTGGAGGTTGTCGCGGAAGCATTAAATCCCCTCATGCGTGTTTGTCAGGTTCTGTGAACCGTGCCTTTGCCTGCGCCCATCAATCAAACCTTCACAACCTGATCCCAACTTCAATCTCCAGGATCTGAACAACTTGAAACACAGCATTGGTACCATCATTTCGCCTCAGGTCATCAATCTCGTTTGCTCCGCCGTCACGACTTCCTCTACCGTCCTCCCCGCCCCAATCTGCGTTGGACCTGACAGAGCTGCGGTCATCTTACCATCTGCTGAGTTCGCCTTCGAATGCATGCGAGAACCCGATGATACTGCCAATCGGGCTATCTCCTCCTCACAGTGATCTCTCCGAGCGTCGTCTTGAGATTCACACGCTCTTCGACCCGTAGGCGACGATACGAACCCGATACTGAATCGAGCATCTCCCGAACAAAGCCTTGTGGCTGCAAAGCCCAAGGGCTCAAGGGGGTTTGACGTTGCCTGCCGTCCGTGCGCCTCATACCGGCAGGCAGTGGGTACTTGAATTCCTCCCGCAAACGTAACACTCGATCTGGTCTCCGATCAAACAACCGCAGAATCTGAACGGCGACCCGGCCGACTCGTCTAGCACGGTTGACAAAACATGGCCACGACGGCATCACAACAGTCTCCGTCGCTGGTGCGCAGTCACTCGACCTCCCGCAACCCTCCCTCTTCATATGCTGCCACTTCGCCCTCACAGCCATTAAGGACGCGTTCTACGAACGCGAGACCCTCAAATCATACCCGCTCTGGATCCAGAACCCATGAAAACCCTCCTCAGTCCAATCCTACCGCCCTTGCGAATGTCGCTCGCAGAGATTTCGAACAATCAAATGTCGCTCGTACGACTTCCTCGCGTCGCAGCACGTCTCGGGACGGGCGAGGTGAATATCATTCAGAGCCTTCTGCTCACGGGCGATCCTCCTCCCGACCTGGATCTCGACGGAACAGTCAAGATCTCACCGCAGCTACAACAGTAGTTGCCAACGGGACAACTTCGCAACCTCCGCCCAGTACAACCTCAAGGACTGAGACGCACTCCTCGCAAACCTATCCCACAATCGGTCGAAGACGGACATCTATTACGTGCCAGACAGGGACTTGGTCACTAGGGAAAACCATTGGTCAAGGCAGCATGGGGAAGGTGAAGCTGGCAAAGAACATCGAGAGTGGAGAACAAGCAGCTATCAAAATCGTCCCGCGACAATCAGCCGACGAGCAGGGGAATCCGAAGGATGAGCGCGCAGATCGTTCAAAAGAAATCCGAACAGCCAGAGAGGCTGCCATGGTGTCATTGCTATGTCACCCTTACATTTGTGGAATGATCGATGTTCAGAGGACCAACTATCACTGGTACATGCTTTTTGAGTACGTGAATGGGGGGCAGATGCTAGACTACATTATCGCCCACGGCAGGCTGAAAGAGAAGCAAGCGCGGAAATTTGCTCGTCAGATTGCAAGCGCCCTGGACTACTGCCATCGAAACAGCATCGTTCATCGGGATCTCAAGATCGAGAATATTCTTATCAGCAAGACCGGGGATATCAAGATCATCGACTTTGGCCTTAGCAACCTTTATTCACCTCGATCGCTTCTGAAAACATTTTGCGGGAGTTTGTATTTTGCGGCGCCGGAATTATTGCAAGCTCGTCAGTACACTGGCCCTGAGGTTGATGTATGGAGTTTTGGGATTGTTCTTTACGTTCTCGTATGTGGTAAAGTTCCATTTGACGACCAAAGCATGCCTCAGTTGCATGCGAAAATCAAAAGAGGTGTTGTTGACTACCCTCAATGGCTGACAGCTGGTACGTTTCGGTCCTGATTCCTGAAGTCTCCCGCTTTCTAACGTCTTCTAGAATGCAAGAATATCATTTCACGCATGCTCGTGGTTGATCCACGAGATCGAGCAAGTCTCCAGGAAATAATGAACCACCCGTGGATGACTAAAGGTTTCAACGGCCCACCGGACAATTATCTTCCACATAGGGAGCCTCTTCAGTTACCGCTCGATCTAGAAGTCATTGACAAAATGCAAGGCTTTGATTTTGGTTCTGCGGCATATATTACCGAGCAGCTCACTCGGATCCTCGAATCAGAGGACTACCAGAGTACTGTGCGCAGAAGCGCCAAGGAAGACTACAGCCACGCCTCGAGCAGTGGAGAGAAGAAGCGTGGAGTGTTCGACTTCTACAAACGACGAAATTCTATCAGTCGGGAAGGTCTCTCGGCACCATCTTCTGAGGCTATTCGAGGACAAGACCCTATCAATGCTTACAGTCCACTTATTTCAATATATTACCTCGCACGGGAGAAGCGTGACCGAGAGCGACAACAACAAAATCCCGGTGCGCTAGCCATGCCCATGACGGAAAAAGAGGCGCCTCTCAAACTCCCTGCGCTGCCTACACCGGAGGCTGCACACACAAACACGTTTGCCCCAGAAATGCCAGGAGAGAAAGCCACAGGTGGCCGGGCGCGACCCCGTGCTCGAACAAACGGAGAAGATGATGTGGCGCATAGTACGAAGACACTTGAAGCCCCTGAGCGAAAGCCTGCTCCCAGTGCAGTCTCCCCGACTGCCATTCCTCAGCCTGATCAGCCTGTAAAGCGCGAGGGCACCGCCCTAGGTCTTTTGCGAAGGTTTAGTACTAGACGCTACAGAGACCGAGATATGGAACGGCCCCAACCCCCTCCCGCTCTGAATATTCAACCTCCGGCTGATTCAGTAACACCTCCGCGGAAGTCCTTCTCTGTTCGACGCTCACGGAGACGAGACCCCAGTCCAACAACTCATCATCAGGGAGGCAGTCAACCTCAGCATGAGGGTCTACTCAGTGCCAGTGGCGGATTGTCCAGAGCCGGGAAATTCCTAGGGAGATCGACCAGTGTCAATTCAGCCGAGTATCGGCCACGACGCGTTCTGCACAGGGGAACGTCGGGTAACGATTCTCCGATGCTTGCGCCTGAGCCACCGCCCACCAGCGGCTCTGATCAATCAAGTGTGAACGCCGGCCGGGCTGGCAAAGGCGTGGAGCTTACAGACAAGCCCGCTCCCAACGCCAGCCCCATGACGACGCCACGTACTCCTACTACTACACGGACCAAATCTCTGGGACATGCACGTCAGGAGAGCATTCAAGCCCGGCGACGCCGTCATGAAGAGCGACGAGCAGAGGCCAATGTGCCCGAGGAGACGGATGCTGAAATGCGAGATGAGGTCGACGCACTCGATACACCTGCGATTCCCGATACCCCCGGAACAGAAATTTCCAAGCCGGCCAGTCTCAAAGGGTTGTTCTCGACGTCGACGACCAGCAGCAAGCCACCCGAGTTTATCAGGCACGACATTATTCGCGTTTTGAATCAGCTTGGAGTGCAATATACCGTGATCAAGGGCGGCTTTTCTTGCAGACACGCGCCCAGCATTAACCTCGAAGGAGTCAAGGAACACGTGGCTGGGCTCGATGAAGACCGGAGTGGACGCGTGACAACCGGACATCAACGACGGATTTCATTTGGCGGAGCGTTCCGGGGCAAAGAGAGAGAAGAGATTAGGGACGACAGGTTAAGCCGACATCATACGAGAAGGCGACAACCAGACCAGAGTTTTGTCACCAACTCCGAAGGGTCGGATGAATATTTGCAACAGAATCGAGGCCCCGATACTCACGACGGGGCTGCGACAAGGACCCGGGTACAAGAGGACAGTGGTGAGCGATTGGTGCTCAAATTTGAGATTGCGATTGTCAAGATCCCTCTTCTTTCACTTCATGGCATTCAGTTCAAGAAGGTGCAAGGGGGAATGAATCAATACCGGTCAATGACCTCGGCGATTCTCAACGCATTGAGATTGTGATGCATTGGGCAGCCAGATGGATTTCCTTTGTTACGGCTTAGCGAAACGCAAATGAAGCAAGCACAGCGCAATAGTCATGGGCAGCGCGGTTTTACTGTGGGTGTACTGGGAACTATAGGGGAGTGAGGTAGAGACTGCTGAGCAGTGATTTGTCAACTTGATGAACGGAATGCCAGAAAACGCAGGTACCGAACAGCAGGAGCCATGGCGGCAGGCAAATCTAGTGTTTTTCCCACGCCTACCTGAAAGATGGATTCTCGTCGTAATGAAGAGTATCGTGATGAATATCAATTCAATGGCGTGCAGTGACCAGCTCCTTTTGGATATTCCTCGAGCGAGATTCCACCACCATTCGTTGGCGCGGGCGGGGAAGGGGAAGGGGAAGCGATCGACGGCCGTCGGAGACGAAGGGAATCGGAAAAGATCCGTGGCTTGCATCTTTTTGCACCTTTTCAACTCCGTGCAAGGAACGATGGATACCCAGAGTACTAGGTACCGAGTAGTGAGAAGCAATTTCAGCCAGCGGATTCGGGGGCGCAGGCATCTCTCACTCAGCAGTCGGCTCCCAAGTTAGGACCGCGTAAAGAGAGAGATGATGTAGGATAATAATAACAGAGCGACTGAGACATTGCTGGACAATTTGTACTCCCTCCTTTCGTCGGGTGAGAGATCTGGAGTTATCATCAGCAGGTGGTTCACGGGCCTAAAAGGGTCAAGACCAGGCAAGCAGGGATAGACGCCTACTAGTAGAGGCACCAGAGGGCATACAGTAGAAAAGGCACCTCCCGCCCGAGTCACGGTTGACGGCTCGAGGGTTCTAGGGTTCCTTGGGTTGTAGGTGCCCCACGGGCCACTCAGCGTGTGGCCCCCAGGGCTCATGGGCTCCAGAACCCACCCATCACCCATCACCATCGGGGATCCAGACTGTCGAACCGTCTGTCTCCAGCTTTTGGCTTGGGTGATTTTTCCCAAAAGCGAACTCCTCAAACAAGCCCGACAGACAAGAAACATCCGCAACCGCAACCGCAACCGCAACCGCAGACACCACCAACACAACCTCACTTCTCTCTTCTCTTTCCATCCTTCTCCCATCCCATCTCATCCGTCTCCTTCGTTGCAGTTTCTGTTCCTCGATTGCTGCTGCACTCTTCGTTCTTCATTCTTGACGCCATCCAGGCTAGACTGTAAGCGGGCCGCTCGCCAGTTCAACACCCTCCTTTTTTAAATTATTCTTGTGCTTGGTTTGCGAGGTCCCAAGCTTCCTGGGGCCCTGTGTCTCGGTCCCGCAATTGTGGTGACTGCGGCCAGTGCCTGCGCCCTTTCCAGCCCAGCTGGTCACAGTTGCCCGGTCCCCATTCCCATTTCCACCTCCCCTTCGACTTTTTTCCCTGAGGCTCGTGCCCTCTGACCACTGCATCTGTCACTGCCAACGACCCTCCCTCCACCGAGACATTCAAAGCCGCTCCGTTGCTGTCTCGCTGTCTATTGTCGAACCCCAGGATTTCAGAAAACCACAAATCCTCCACACCACAAGCGCAGTCGGGCTGGCCGGTTCCTGTCGATTCAGCTCCTACCCAGAGCACCTCCTGTGCGACGTGGCTACCGACACGGGCAGCTCATGGCCTCTGCAGCCAGCATTCCTCCCCCGAATTTGAATACTGCTGTCAATCCCCCACAAAATAATGGTTTAGCAAGGGCCACAATGAGATCAAGTAGTAACCAGAAGGCTGTGGATGCAGGGCGCAAGCAGAGTCCCGGTGGTGGAGGTGGTGGTGGTGACGGAATTTCAAGGTATGTAAACGCAACCCGAGACTTTCCTTGCCCGCCTCTGCAGGCTGGCCTACTCTGTTGCCCCTTTGGCAACTTACTCGTCTCGCCTTGGAAGAGGTGCGACGCAGACATGGTTGTCTACTTCGACGTCAATTCCTACAAAGGTTCTCGCTAATCAAAACAAAGTGCCAGGCGGCCGCCTGCTCAGAAGGTCTGGGGTTCGTCCTCGAATTCATTCCAGCAACGAGGCTCCATGCCAATCCACCAGAATGGGAACACCCCTCAACCCAGGAACACAAACGTTACGAGGTCTGCCACCGCGCAGAGGGATGCAGGCATTACAGACAAACAAGCGCACGAGAGATTGATGTTCCTTTTTGGGGCGGCGATAGTATACTCAGGTCACCACCCCCCAATGGCCGAGATGGTAACTAACATTTAGTGGCAGGGCTTGAACATCATCGTCACATCCAAATCAGGAGAGAAGTTCGAGGGTTTGTTGTCTGGTTCATCCCTCACACCAGCTAGCACCAAGATCACTCTCAAGATGGTTAGAAAATTACAACCTCAGGCGAACGGTGTTGCATCTCGGGAAGCGGCCTTAGTTGGTTCGAGTCCAGAGCATGCAATGAACTTCGATTTGAAGGACATGGCTGACATGACAATCGCCGACTTCTCTCTTCCTGAGACCTCAAAACTTACCAACGGTATGGATGCTCGATCCGACCCTGTCAGGGTGCGCACTGACACCATGCCCGCAGGTTCTTCCTCGACCTTTCAGACTGATACCGATATTTCTGGCAATCAGGTTCGAGGCGAACGCGAACTTCAACGATGGGTGCCAGAGGGACCAGACAACACCGACTATTCGCTGGGGTCGGGCAATACCGCTCCTTGGGATCAGTTTGCTACTAACTCTCAGTTGTTCGGCGCTAAGAGCACCTATGACGAGAACCTTTACACAACCACCATCGATCGTAACGCGCCTTCTTACAAGCGCCGGGAAGCCGAAGCCGAAAGGATCGCGCGGGAGATTGAAGGTTCAACGTCGACAAATGCGCACATTCGCGAGGAACGTGGTCAGGCCCTGGAGAATGACGGCGAGGACGAGGAAGAGAAATACAGTGGAGTTCGTCGGGATGAGCAATCCTACTCCCCACTGGCTGTTGGCGGTGCGAACAAATATACACCGCCGGCGAGGCGTGCCCCTACTGGCCAAGCAACTGTTCCAGGAGCGCCTGTAGATCCCGCCATCATATCCGCACAGCTGTCACGACCCGAGCCGACCGTGGGGAACACCCAAAAAGCCAAACATGAAAGAGAAGGTCCTGTTACTGCCGAGAAGAGCTCAGCGCCCACGGCAGACAAGCAGCTATCTGAGCCAAATGGCATGGCCTCGACACAGAGCGCTCCGCTCGACAAGGTTGCCAAACCCGCTGCTCAAACGACGTCAAGCAAGCTGGAGCCGACAAACGTAGAGCCACAAACCAGCAATAAAGGCATCCCTCAAGGTCCCACTGAAAATGTCGAAGCCAAGGTCCTCCACCAATTCCGCCAATTCGCTGATCTCGAGAAACAAAGGGTCATCGAGAGAAGAAAGGCTCAAGCAAACCAAGATCGCGCTGCTAAGTTAAATGAACTTCTCCGTTTCTCGAAGACATTTAAACTCAAGACCCCCATTCCGAGCGACCTGATCGGGATCCTGGCTAAAGACCCTGCTAAGCAAGAGGCTATCGTTGAAAAAGCACAAAAAGAATCCAGCGAATCAACTTCCACTGCGAAGGCGAGCCCTTCGCAGGCCCCAGTGGCCAGCAACACCACCACTACCACCACTCGCAAAGCCGACGTTCCACAAGCTCAACCGCCTGTGCCGGAACGACAAGTGTTCCATCGTGGCCGTGGGGGATTTCAACAAGGTGGACGGTCTGACCGACCCGCAGGCCAGCAACAGCCACCGCTTTTCCCAGGTCGAAATAACAGCGCTCCATATCAATCCAGATTTAGTGCACATCAGCAGGACCGCAAGGGTATTCAGCCACCTCCCATTCCTGCACCGATTCCCATTATTGAAGGCCGTGTTCCTCCAACTGGGCCCATGGCCGACCAAACTGGAATGACTAGTCCGCAGAGATCCAACATGCACACTCCAAATTCCGCCATCTCTGGAAAGTTCAATCTCAATGTGAAAGCGTCCGAGTTTCGTCCAACTGCAGCCTCGTTCAATCCAGCTGGCCCTTCGCAAACTCCTTCGAGCCCTGGCTCCACCCAACGTGCGGGATCCATCTCCAGAACAGCTTCTCCCTCCGTGTTCTTTGGTAACCGAAAGCCGAAGCCAGCTTCCCAGAGGCCCTCCATTGCCAAAGACTTCAACCCTATCGTTCGAATGAAAGCCGAGCATACCCACAAGAAGGCCACAGATGGTGCAAAACCCGAGGAGGTGCAGAAAGATTATAGCAGCAATGGGGGCATTCCGAATGCTTTCCAAACAGGACCAAGATGGACTGTCAAGCCCGAGAACGATACAAAGACCTATGAGGAAGCATTCGAACACCCCCTGGCACCCCCGGTGGTCTCACCAGCTCAGAGCCGCTCATCATCGAGCCATCATATTCCATACCTCGGGCAGGGTATGGCAATACCTAATGGACCTGCCAATATTCCACACATTTCAACGCCACAGCACTTGCCACACGCTGGCCCACACCAGTATCCTCATCAATATGAGGATGGCAGTCATCGGATGCAGTACGGAGCAGCAACTCCAGGCGTGTTCTCCTCGCCCAATATGGCTTCTCGTCAAGCATCGGCGTATGCTTCTCCCATGACACACTCTGCCCAGCTCTCTTACCAATCGCAACCATATTTCGGGACACCCACTGGCCAGATGCCAATGCAAATGCGACCATATCCGGGCACTCCTGGCATGATGCATGCTCAAGTAGGGCAGATGAGTGCGCCAATGATGGTCCAACAGCCTTCAAATGGTCCGTACATGGCGGTTCCGCAGCATTTCAATCACCAAATGCAAATGTATTCTCCAAACCCCAGCCATGTATACCCCCAGCAGAATGGGGGATACTCCAGTCCGGGACGCATGGCGCCGATGATGATGCAGCAAGGATCACAGCAAGGCCACCCGCCCGCGCCCAGCATGATGTTTAGCGTATCCAACCAAGGAGCAGCGCCGATGGCATATCCACAGCAACAAATGGGAATGCATCGCGGCAGCTATGGTGGAGGGCACCAATACGGTTCTACACCTCACCAGGGGTATGCCATGCAGCACCGAACCATGAGCAGTGGATATGGCCAGTTGCAGCAAAAGATGCACCACCAAATGCCGCCTGTTCATGGGCCTGCGATGAACGGGCCTCCACAACAACCAGCATATGGCCAGCTAGAGGGAGTTCAGGACGATGGCAAATGAACAGTCATGGTGCATTGCTCGAAATTACGTTCAACCATTATTTCTAAGACCTTTCTGGTGTGCCACCACCACGACGACACTGGCAGTCTTGCCTCGTGACAATTCGGCAATTGAAGCCAAACATTGGACCCCCCCCTTTTTTTTTCAGTCCGATGCGCCTTTAAAAACGGTATGTTGCAAAATTCGGAATTTCATACATCTGCTAACTTGGCCAGTGCAATAACAGACGAGATGGAGATTCACCAACCACGGAATAATGACATCGCCGACATCAGACTGGAAATCACTCTCCCAACGGGGCTTGCAGACATTTTATTATTCCATCACAGAAGTCCTGTGGGTCTTTGAGGCTGCGAACTATTTCCATTGCGGGTTGGGAATGGAACCAGAATCAGCCATGCAGCAAGTCACGGTGCTGGAGCAGGGAGCACCAGCGATAAGAAACAGTTGAAGGCATCAGGTATCGACAGGAGGAAGAAGTCAGGATGGGCACACAGGGCTTTTGCAGAAGCTGCATTTTGCTCGTGGGATGCGGCGGGATGTCGGATCCAGCTTGCTGCTAGCCGGAAGAAGGAATTGTTGATATAGCTCAAACCACAGAAGGGGAATTCAGCGGAGCAAGGCAGCAGAGGAAGCAGTTGTTGGCGTTTGAGAGACAGAGTGAGATGGTGAAATAGGGAGAGAAGAACCGTCACGAAAATGAGAGGGGGAGCCCCTTTCTTTAAATGCATAGCTGCTTCTTGTCTCGAGCCGCTCACTGCTGGGATGCTGCGAGGATTAATCGAATCGCTCCAGTTACTACTGCAACTACCTGTACCTGGGACTCCAGACGGTATACTCGGTACTCGGTACTCAGCAGGTACTGGGTACATAGGTAGGTACCCTGTGCAAGCTGAGGGGAAACAAATGGCGATCGGGATCACGGACTTGACTTCTGCACGCAGCCCATCATTTTAGCTTCTTAGCTTGTTCGCTTGGTCTTGGTCGCCTCGGCTGCCGTGATACAGTACAGTAGAAAGTTCTTTTTTGGGCCTTGTCTTGCCCGCTGAGCGTGCCACGTAGCAAACCTCCCTCCACCGCTTGTTCTTTCTTTTTCCTCTGCCTGCTGCCATCTCTCCTACTTTCCTTTACCGCTACGTCAGTCTCCAGCCATGGCTGCCCATCCTACTCGGTGCGGACTGAGGTACACAAAACCAGTGGCTGCATCGACTCGGTACGCCATACTTGTAGGTGTACCTCGTATATCCTAGCAAGTGCCCCATCTTGCCCATCCCAACTTCATGCCCTGTCAAAGCCCCAAACCTTGTCCGTGAGCAGCTTGTCCTGCTCCAGCTAGCCTCCAATCTTGCTCCACAGGGGGTCAATCCAGAGCCAACACGCTATTGCCAATCCGGTAAAGACGGCGACCAGGGCAGCACGCGCTTGATGTGCTGGCACGTTGCACCTTCTCCCAGATCGCCGGCGCTCAGCCTCTCGTCCACAACTCGTCCACCGCTGACCTCTCATCAATCACTTTTCACTTTTCCTTGCCAGTTCCAAGGAGCTCGACGGCAATGGCTTCGTTCGTTTCATTTGCTCTCATCGCCACAGCATGGTGATCATTGGGGACCCTCTCTCACCCCCGTCGTGCACTTCCTCTTGCAGCTTCTCACGGTCACTACCGCTCTATCTTGTGCATTGACTAACTAGGTCCGTCCGACCCCATACTACCTGCGTCTTGCATCTGCACCTATCTGCATCCGCACTACAATCATTCGTCCTGTTTGCAACTGTCCACTATCGGAATCTCCCCTCGTGTGCTGTGCATTTCCCCTGCCTCCCAACCCAGCAAATCTGCCTGTGTGAGCCAACCCCTACATCCACAATCAGCATCCATTCCGATTTGTTCCAGACCTTGGATTGCCCCAGGAAGAAAGAAGAAAGAAGAACAAGTACCTTGCCGGTTCGAGCCCGATAAAGCCTTGGGAGAAGCTTCAGCATAGAATCGGGGAGTGCTCGAATACACCTATTGGACATTTACTCCCAGCAAGACCAAGGGCTCTTTTCCTTCCCAGCTTGCCAGACCAGCAAACACCATGCGTCAGACCAGAACAAGCGGTATCCTACAGCCTCATTTCCAGACAAGAGCCCTGCGGCCGCAATTGCAACCTCCAACAATACCTGTCCCGTATTCATTGGCCACAATAATAAGGGTGCTGGGCGAATAGGCGGTTTTGCGCCAGTGTGCTGTACGTAGGCGCTCCAAACCCCAGGTGCTGTGGCTTTGCATCTTCCTTCAGGAACGGTGCAGAGACGTCATGGGCGAGTCACTTTCGGTCTCAACGAGCTGACATCTGGCCTCAGAAACCCAATCTCGGCAGCACCACACCTGCACAGCCTTTTGTACGGCTGTCCACCCGCTATTACGATCTCTTTTCCTTCACCTGTACATTTTTTTTTTGTAACAACAGCGCATTTCCCGTCGATATTTAACCTTAATCACACTGGCTTTCGCCGCAGAAGTTTGCGCCTCTTTCCTTTCTTCCATTTGTACCAACAGTCGATTCCAACGCAAAGGAACGGTCGCTCAATAGAAAAAGAGAGAAACGAAAGTCACTCATTTGTACACACGCTCGCTCTTCCAGTCGCACTCCAACCTACACCTGAATAGTCACAGAGGACGTCGAAAATCACTGTCTTTGGAAACGGCCGGCTGTCTCAATTGATATTTCTCCGACCTATTAAGAAAATTCTCCGAAAAGCTCACACTTGCAAATAGGTGAATCAAGGCTCTGACAGCCTTGTTCAGCATTTCACACGAAACCCCCAAGTTGCTGAGGCGGGCATTTTTGGCAAGCGCCTTCGCTTTGGCACCGGGCGGCTAGAGGTAAATTGCACTTTTCGCTTGTTTCACAAACCCAAGTTCTTCGTCGAAACACTGCCTTTTTCACTGTTTTTGTGTCCCTTGAGTCCACGCCCACCTCAGTTCTGCGTCCACGGACAACCACCCAGTGCCTCCTTGTTGGGACGAGGCAGAAATCTCTCCGCTGTTCCCGCTCATTGGAGCCGTCGCAAATACAAGGGTCCAAATTTCCTTGCTCCAGTTGACGGATCTTGGCGGTTGTTTTAAAACTTAACCTGCCAGCTGGCACCACGACTCCTGGGTCAAAGAAAGCATGGATACAGATGGGATTAAAAGCGACGACACGTCAGAGTCGCCCCAACCCACACGAACGCGCAAACGATGGAAAGAAGGTTTCGTGGAACTGACATACCTGTCTCGACAGTGGCAGCCGTCCAGTAAGGACCAACCAGACCCTCCATTGTATTCGACTTGGATGGCCTCCTCGGAAGTGGATCAAAAGTTTCTGGGTTATTTCGCAAAAGTTACTACTACGGAGAATAATTATCTTTCTAGGTGAGCCCCCCCCCTGTCCGTTCCGGAATCAGAGAGGATACTTCCAAGTACGTTTCCGGGCCAATCAATCTAACATGGGTATGATGGATAGTTTTCTGTTCCGTGTCCTCGGCCTTTCGGTGATCCTGGCTGAGAAGCTCCTGCGTGCGCGCCACGCAAAACGCCTCGACCCTGTCCGGGACCCAAAAGCCCGCCACTTAATTCACCACATCCTATGGCTCGCCCGCGAAGGGCTCGTTATGGTGGAACAATATGTACTCCCCATGGTTGGCCACTATGTCGAATTAAAGGTGTTGAGTTACAAACTCAAGGCCAGCTTCTACCATATTTTTGTCCTGTTTCATAATGAGCCACCGGTGAATGATCGCATTAATCGGAGTAAGAGCACCGGTGGCGGGGATGCGAGTTACACTTTGTTTCCGGAGCCTTTGAGTCCGAGAGAATCGAGAGATGGCAGAGAAAGGCTGGGCAGACAGGCTACGGTCAGATCTCCCACGGAGAGTGGACGGAGAAGATCGCCAGCAATCAGCCTTGGAGGTCCTGTGGGCGGCAGCGGGGGAGTGGCAGCGACAACGCGAACTCCACCTGGGCTTCCCCTTCCCGCGACGTACCCTTACTACACCAACGGCAACAACAGCAACAACAACAATGGCAATGGCAATGGCACTGGTAATGGTAACGGCACGGCAACGTTCCTCCTCCCTTTACAAGACTACACCCCATACGCAACCCAAGCGTTCCGCGAAGCCGACGAACTCGCCGAGCGCCTGCTTCCTGGATCTCATCCGGTCCGCCTGTCGGTCAAAGTGGAATACGTCGCCTACGTCTATGATTGTCTACACGAAGCCGAAGCCTCAAGGAGGATGGCGAGGATGGCTATTAGGCACGTGTATGAAGCGCAGGAGGGCATGGATGATGATTCCTTTCAGGATGCGGCGGAGATGGTGGGAATCCTGGGGCGGATGATGAAGAGAGGGCTGGGAGGAGGGGGGAGCAGCGGAAGTCAGATGCAGGGACAAGGCGGCAGTGGTGGAGGTGGGAGGAGAGATATCCAGCAGCCGTCGACGTGGGTATAGATCCGGGTCTGCATTTGCCCTGATTGGGATCTGCCATGCCCTTGCCTGCCTCTTGGGTCTGCGTCGAATCCAGTACTTGTGTTGAAACTGGACCATCCAAATGAACCTTTTCCCCGATGCTTTTGGTCCTTTGTTGCGGGGATATCTCAGTGACATTGCTCTGCCAAAGTCCAACCTTCATATTCGCTCACGTTCTCAGGTCTTCAGCCTCGAGCCATTGTCCAAGGAAGACCGTTGAAGGAAAAGAAAAAAAAAACATAAAACCAGGGGGAGGCATGGAAGTAGGTGTTGGGGCATGAATATGATAAAGAGTAGACGCCACTACGGGTAGGCGATTTGTAACGAGATCAGGAGAGGCGAAAGGGCCGCCAGGGAGGGTAATTGGAAAGATACTCTGTATAGGTCAAGTGAGGTTAGGAATAGATGAAGGCCTGATGAGAGAACAGTGAGTTGCGGATGAGAGTGAAGGGCGCTGTTGTCGTGGAACCTGCATTGTCCCTCCTAGTCGGTATGTCAGAAATATCCTATATTAATATACGTCTCTGTCGCCTCCTCCTTGTGGGATGTGGTTCTTTTATGTCTAACAAGTACTCACACCAGACTGCATGCAGCCTGAATATCTCTCCGAGCCTTGCTGCTCGCTTCTACCACGACAAGGGATGTCTGGATCAAGCCAGAGGTCCACCACTTGAGCATTTAGTGGCGAACTTGGATTGATCGTCAGTTCACAGGATTGGAGGAGGGGACGAACAAAGACACCAGGCCGCCCTCGCGCTCTCCAACTGCGTTCCCGGCTTCTATTTGCTATTTGCCATTTGCCATCTGCCATCTGCCATCTGCACATCTGCCATCTGCCCTTTTTCTGGCCCTGCGCGACTTCTAGATATTTATTAATTCCGGCGCAAGACTCCTTCTCCTTCCTTTTGTGTCCCCTCCGCCACTTCAAATTCCCATCACCGCTCCCTCGGCAGTCTTCTCTTCCTCTCTACATCGCTCGCACAGACACCCCACTCCCCGTCACCCGAGAGACTCGCTGGACATCAGTGACAAGGTTCGTTCCACCTCCCTGCACTTGAAACGCGACGTTCCCTAACTCCGGTACGCGCTTTACCAGCCTATTGCCACCGTTCTCACTTTGCTATCTCCCAATCGACCCCTTCCGCCTCCTACACTATGTCAGAAACCGGTCAGGGCTCGCCAAACGGCGCAGCCGGCGACGTGCCTCCCGCTGCAGCGGCCAACAACGAACACTTGAACATCAAAGTCACCGATGGGAATAACGAGGTCTTTTTCAAGATCAAGCGGAGCACCAAGCTGGAGAAACTCATGCGGGCATTCTGCGAACGACAAGGCAAGGACCCGAAGGCTGCACGATTCCTGTTTGATGGGCAGAAAGTGCAAGCGGGCGATACACCCGAACAGGTGAGGGATCGGTCTGCGCAACAGGCCATGACTCAGAGACGGCTGACAAATGCGCGCAGCTGGAGATGCAGGACGGCGACTCAATCGAAGTGCACCAGGAGCAGATCGGTGGTTCCGCTTAAGGCGGCCCTTCGGCCAGAATGTTTCGCAGACGAAAGAATGGCATCGAGCTGAAGGCTACAATTTCTTGCATGGATATCTTCTGGGCATGGTCCACGGAAGTCATGGTGCTGTTTGGTCGAGGATTGCGGACAGCAGCTTGGTCAATGAGGTGACGACGACGACAGCGATGAGGGCGGCGAGTCTTTTTCATGGAGTTGATGATCCCCGGTTGTCACGGTGACATGTGAACGCTTCTTTCTCAGCAGAACTTGAGCATTGCATCTCATCCGGCCAAAAAGACACAGGCGGCCAGTATGGCTGGAGCGACCCGATGGCTTGTAGCTCGAGGTTCACGGTTCAAATATTCAAGTGCTTGTTCCACCCAGCCGCCATGGCACTGGCCTTTGCACATTCTTCAAGAACAACCAGCCTCGATCATGCTGCATCATTTATATCAAGAGACGAGGTCGAGACTTTTGGTTAGTGGGCCGTAGATTTTGGTGTATGACGCACAAAGCGCGAGGCGGCGGTGCTGCTTCACTCCACCACTTCACCATCACCACTTCTTCTCCTCCTCCTCCTGGATTCTATAGAACCTGCCTGCATGATCTGGATGATCAATCTGTCCATCTCGTGACCCCAGTTACAGGGGCGACTAGAGCCGCTGTCCTTGTCCAAGAAGTCGAAACTCATCATCGACGACTATTATTTCCAGGAAGACCGCCTCCATCTTTGTCAGCTCCTCACTCCCTCCTGACTTCTCACCACTGAATGCGAGAAGTATGTGATTCCATAACGCGAAGAGGCTGCGTCCGCCCCATGGGCCGCCATCCAGCTTCCCCTGGTTTCGTGGCCCAATGACACAAAGCCGCTTTGGCCCTTGAGGCTGTGCGTCGGGGCAGAGCTGCATTCGACCCGGACTGAGAAGATCTCAAATACCTTTTCTGCGGCTTTCCCAAGGCAGACTGAGCCTCTCTGGACCTCGCATTATCTGACCTTCTCGCGACTTAGTTGCCTTCTGCTGGGACCGCACTGCAATGTTCTTCACCTTCGATTCGGAGGATTGTTTGAAAATCCGATTCCAGACCTGAATCCGGGCACCGTCCAGTTCGTGCCCTCAGAACTTTGCTAACTGGTCGATACTTCGATTGATACGCCCTTGCAGCGGGCTCATTCCGGGGCTCGCCATTCAGCATGTCGTCCACATCGGACCGCGAGCTGGCAATCACCCAGACGTCCAGCAGCACAGCCTCACAACTTTCCTCTTTTTCCCAGCAAGGCAACGTTGACTGGGTTGCGCTTGGCCGAGTGCAGTATTCTGCGTCAGTGGCCGTCCTCGGTCGTCTGGCTGGAGCAGGAATCGACACCCTTACAGTTGCCTTCGGACAAGCAATGTGCTCTGCCATTCCCATTTGGTGTTCATGGAAAAAAGATGCTCCAAGACGCCATGAAGCGACTAACATCGTGCTCGTCTTTCGGCGACCTCATCTGGTTTAATGTCGGCGTACAACATATTCTTCAAGATCTCATCCAGACCGCGCAGGGGTCGGCTTTGGTTGCTCTCTGTGCTGCTCCTCTGCGAAGGATATCCCGACAGGCATCTCCGCCCTCGTCTTATACGAGATATCCCGGCTGCTTGGAGCACCTGGGGAACTTCGGCCATCATTTGTACAATAGCACGCTCTCACCAAGGTTGCTGCGAGCGTGTTCAGTGATACTACTTTGGGGCTTCATGTCAATCAACTTATAAGACTCAGTGGATTGCCCCAATGTATGGACGAGACGGCCAGCCATCCTGTGGATCTCGCCAAAGTCATTCTCGCCATCGGGAAGCTCACGCGGGGCAGCTGCGAGACACTATACGTCCAAGGGAGTCATGCATGCAGCTGGATCGCTGCTTGGGCGGAGTTCATACTGGGTCTGCGCGTCCGGGTGCTTTCAAGCAAGGGGGAACTCATCTTTACCAATCACGGCAATGACGCGGCTGGTTCTCAAGTCTCTATTACCTTCCGACAAATCGAATCCTCTGAGGCCTCCATCCAATGTATTGGTAACACTATTGCCGTTCGGTGTGGAGCTGCATTTATTGCCGACTGCTTCTCAATTCATTCTGAAGCCGACCGCCTTGATGAGCACATGTACTTCTCAAGTGGCCGAATGAAATGGAGATCCGTGCTTCGAGCCACTTTTGGTGATGAGACCCTGGATCCTTTGACTAGCCCTGGGCCTTCGCCTTCTACAGAGAATCAGTCGTCGACGCCGCACTTGTCAAGCAGGACTAACACGTGCTGCAACATCGAACAAGATTTTACGCGAAGAGCTTTTGTGGGAGCCATTGCCTCCGGAACAGCCCTGGTCTTGAGAAATACGACGATCTACCATTGTTTTGGTGATCACATTGAGTTTATATTATGGTTGACCGATAGGATGAGGGATTTGCAACCTCTAATGTCCCGTCTGGCCGATGCAGCCCGGTCTCTCAACCCATTGCGTGAAGTCGATTTCCATATTGACCAGTATCATTCGGCGCTCCAGGATCTGATCGCTGCCTGTCGATGCAGGCAATGTTCCTGGCACAGGAGTGAAAAGTCCTCTTGCCTGGTTGGCATTGCACGGACTATAGTCAGATTATCAAATCTTCTCCCAAGGTTGATCCTAAAAACACCATTGCGTCCAACTCACAGAGGTATTACGGGTCTGTACCTTGATTTGACTAGGATCAATCTCAACGATCGCAGCATTACTCGCCTCAACAGTCGCAAAGTCAGTGAATTGAGGTGGATTTACCCGGAGGTTGTTGATCCAGGGCTGGATAAGGAATATCTTGCTTGCTCTAGGCTCTTTGGAACTAGCAGCTCGTCCTTTTCACTCTCAGACGCGGATCACTGCGCTTTCGGTAACGGTACCATATTCTGTTACACAGAAACTCTAAGGGAGCCGACAGATTGCGTCGAACAAGCTATTTTCATACATGTCGGGGCGGGTTCAATCCAGTATGGCTCAAGACTATACGACAGGGTATCAGGCCGGGTTCCAATGGAAGCTGATCGCCAGTATCCAGCACGTCATCTCACGCTCAATAGTCCCGTATGTCTCTTGGATCAGGATACGACCTCACCAGAACTTTCTCTAGAAGCAGTGGTCGAGGAAAGAATCAGGGGCCTTGCATTCTGGTATAGAGTTTCCTGCAGACATGGGAAGATCACCTTCTCGCCCACGAGACGGGTGGTTGGATTAGCCAGAGCCCGCGACTACCTCATGCCGCGAGAATGCTCCTGGTCTGCCCAGCATTGGAGTTCGATCCTCGAAGATGGAACATACAAAATGATCGATGGAGAGGGTGACGTTCCTCATGAGCTCCAAATGAACTTTCTCTTGCGTCCTTTGCGAGCGCATCTCCTTGGCCGCTGTGTTGCCATTGCGCGGGCAGGGCGGCCTCGAATTGCCTTGGTAAAGACCGACGACGAGTTCGCCATCTTCGCAAGATACTGGGGGACAACCGTACCAGGACTCTGTCCACCACCTCACCCCTGCAGAATCTTGGAAATGGATTGAAGGTAATGCTAATGCTGCGTACGCATTTGAGATGATTTCTTAGCCGGTGATGACCTTATGTAGTTTAGATACGAGGATTCGACTCCTGCACGCATCCTTCAGGAGGTCCTGGGTTTCTATGAATCATGAGTGACTCACCTAGGGACCTCGGCCGGATATGCATTGGTTAGCTAGCAAGAGGTGATGTCTATGTAAATGGTGTAATCTCGAAACGTTCGGTTGTAAGGCTCTATGAACGTAAATGTTGAACCGCCGTATCGGAGTCATTGGCTCCCTCTCGGGCTTCGCGCCAGAGCACCGTTGAACATAATCACTGTCCCGTTATCTGACGCAGTGAATGGGTAGAGGCCAAGAGGTGCATGAAAGTGTGTTCTTGACCTGCTCACCTACCATATCTAGGCGCCATGCCACGCCGTAGACCCCAAGGCTGGCGGGCTCACTAGGCTGGCTGGGCTGAAGGGCGGCACCGACCAGTAAACTATTCAGTCCCTCTATTCGAACACAGCTACGTGCCGAATATAACGGAGGGCTCGGGTCGCGTTGAAGACGAAGACAAGGTGAAGGTGAAGGTGAAGGTGAAGGTGCAAGGCGAAGGTGAAAGCCATCTGAATGGGTGGATATACATATATATTCAAACCTAACCATGTGTCGATATGTTGATGTGTGGGCAGTGCAAGGCTGTACACGACCGCTAAATCCACTGGAGGACCAAGCCACTGGGACTCTCGCTTTCTCGTTCTCGTTCTCGTTCCAGCAATCAATCTGTATGCCGCCACCGGCATCAAGATATAGGCCAACTAGGTTCTAGGTTCTAGACTAGCATCTTATAATATCCTGGTGTTCACATAGACCAGGACTAAGACCCTGCAAGACAGACACCTCTGAGAGGCATTGGACATACAACAGTCTCTGATGATCTATTTACATCTACATCTGTAATCATAGCTTAGCTACGTTGTCTTGGCCATTGAGGATTTGGTCGAGAGTTGGAATTGCTTGATTTCAATTCACTACCCATTTCGCCACGCTTGCCAGCTTGCTAGGGATGGAAGGCTGGAGTGAGCTTAACAGATGCCTGAGTACCCCTCATACTCCCTGCATCACGTCGCTCTGGAAAAGTAATGAAAACTTGCTGCTGGTCGACGGAGTCCAAACAAAACCAATCAATGGTCCTGCCTTCTAAGTTGTTCACGCTACCACAACCGTGCCATCAACATCCATTGTTGTGTTCAGACGTACACTGACAAGTGACAGACCCAGCTCGCCATGCACAAAAACTTCCGTCTCCGCTTAAGCTTCTTCCTCCAAAGGCGCTTCCTCCTCACCGTACTCCTCTTCGCCCTCGGAGATGCTCGCATCTTGGTACTGCTGATACTCTGAGACGAGATCATTCATGTTGGACTCGGCCTCGGTGAATTCCATCTCATCCATACCCTCGCCGGTGTACCAGTGCAAGAAAGCCTTGCGTCGGAACATGGCAGTGAATTGATCACCAACACGCTTGAAGAGTTCTTGGATAGAAGTAGAGTTACCAACGAAGGTGGATGACATCTTCAGGCCACGAGGAGGGATCGAGCAGAGAGCGGTTTGTACGTTATTAGGGATCCACTCGACGAAGTAGCTGTTGTTCTTGTTTTGGACGTTACGCATCTGGTCCTCGACCTCCTTCATGCTGACTTTGCCACGGAAGATGGCAGAGCAAGTCAGATATCGGCCGTTTCGGAAGTCTGAAGCAGCCATCATGTTCTTGGGGTCGAACATCTGTTGCGTAAGTTCGGGAACACTAACAGCGCGGAACGAGTAGGCGTTACGGCTCGTGAGGGGAGCAAAGCCGACCATGAAGAAGTGAAGCCGAGGGAAGGGGACCATGTTGACGGCCAATTTTCTCAGGTCAGAGTTGAGTTGACCGGGGAATCGCAGGCAAGTGGTGACGCCGGACATGACTGCCGAAACAAGATGGTTCAAATCGCCATACGAGGGGTTGGACAGCTTGAGTGTGCGCATGCAAATGTCGTAGAGAGCCTGGGATAAGTTAGCACAGAACAAACAACGATCAAATGCAGGTCGTACCTCGTTGTCGATGCAGAAGGTTTCGTCCGAGTTCTCGACCAATTGATGAACGGACAGAGTCGCATTGTATGGCTCGACCACGGTATCGGAAACCTTGGGGGATGGCACGACAGAGAAAGTGGCCATCATTCGGTCTGGGAACTCTTCCCGGATCTTGGAAATCAACAATGTACCCATACCGGCACCGGTACCACCACCAAGGGAGTGGGTGATCTGGAATCCTTGAAGGCAATCGCAGCTCTCGGCTTCACGTCGGACGACATCGAGAACTTGGTCCACAAGTTCAGCCCCCTCAGTGTAATGACCCTTGGCCCAGTTGTTTCCTGTAAAGATGTGTTATTGGTGTAATCATTCTCATGTTAGGCAGCCGTTGTCATCTTACCAGCACCGCTCTGGCCAAAGACAAAGTTATCCGGACGGAAGAGTTGACCAAAAGGGCCAGCTCGAACAGCGTCCATAGTACCGGGTTCGAGGTCGACGAGGACGGCACGGGGGACATATTTGTTTCCAGAAGCCTGCTAGATGTCAGAGGCTGGATGAAATCAGAGCATCCAGGGGTCGAGGTACCTCATTGAAGTAGACGTTCATGCGTTCGAGTTGGAGATCCGATGTGCCATTGTAACTGCGTTGGTGGTCAACTCAACGATCAAGGCGTTCGATTTAGACGAGAACATACACTCCAGAGCCGTCAAGGCCATGCTCGCCCGAGATGATCTGCCTGGAAGCTGGTTAGATTTGCAGTGGTCGCGTGTTGGAGACTGCGTACCAGAAGGCAGCACCGATTTGATTGCCCTAGGAATTTTTGTCAGCCTCCAAGAACACACAGAGACTTTTTGCTTGAGAGCACTTACACATTGGCCGGTTTGCAAGTGAACCTATTTGTGATGGACATGTCAGTCTGGAAGTTGTGAAGGTACGTTGATGGTGGGGGGTTCCAAGACCAGGGGTAAACAGGGCTTGAGACGCGTAGCAAACTCACAATTTCACGCATGGTGTTGGATTAACGAGGATGATGGAGAAGATATGGACAGGTTGCGAGATGAAGAGGATGATGGACGAGCTACTCCAAGGGAAGGTCTCTCCAGAAGATGGCAAGGTGGTAAGGTGCAGTGGTGGACAACGAAACAGAATTGAAGACCAGGTCAACAAACTCGAAGTTTGGGCAGTGGCACCGGTGGAGCGCCAAGCAAACAGCGGCGCGATAGGCTGCCGGTCAAGAAGGTCAGGCGGTGAAGAAGGCGCTAGCCAACCCAGGCGCCTTTCCTCTTTCGGCCATCCGGCAATACGGAGCACACAGAACGCAGGGACGCGCAGCTCTCTCGCCATCAGCACCAGGCGAGGCCAGTAGCTTTCCCCCCCGACATCTCATGATCGGAGCGGTGTCGCATGTTTCCTCTTAAAGCTATCCTTTTTAGTCTACCTGGTGCTGTGTCCTCTCATTGTCCATGCAACCGTGACATTTTTGATGCTGGGTATCAAAGATAAAGCATTGGTTTCTGTGTCTGTCTACACTTCATTCGAAGGATACTCCACCTTTGTAGTGGGCAGTGTCTCCTCCTTCATTGACCTCATACTGACAAATCGCGACAATATTGCTGCTGATCCGGCCTTGTCGTTCGTCCCTGAAGCTCGTGCACCTCCAAATGGTTGTTGGCCAACAACAGCACCTGTTCTCGATGTCAGCAAGGGAGGTCCCCAGACAACAGCTCATAAAATCAGCCCTTACCTGTACTCTTGCAGTTGATGTAATAGTTGCCCGCTGCATTCCTCAGCGCCTCCTCGGCATACCTGATCGCCGCACGATCTTGAGCGAACACCGCCCCTGTCAGGCCATATTCAGAAGTGCCGTCTACCAGCGTGCAGGCCTTTTCGAATGCATCTGGCGTCGTGTCATCGTAGACATAGACTGTCAAGATCGGTCCAAAGAACTCGGTGCTGAAACTTGGATGGCCGGGATCTTTGGCAAGGTAGATGGTAGGATGCACGTACCAACCCTTGGAGCTGTCGTATTTACCCCCGGTAAGGAGCTCCAGAGAGCTATCTTGCTTTGCAGCATCAATCACACCAGACAGCTTCTTGAAGCTCGCCTCATGGATGACTGGCCCGATGAAGTTACCAAAGTCTTCTGGAGCTCCAACTTTGAGTTTCTCAGTCTCCTGAATAAGCTTGGTTTTGAACTCGGGCCATATCGACGACGGGACATATAGTCTGGAGCAAGCACTGCATTTCTGACCTTGATACTCAAATGCACCCCTGATCGTTTGCACCACTGCATTGGCGATATCAGCACTGTTGTGGACCAGGTGGAAGTTCTTCCCGCCAGTTTCTCCCACTATTCTAGGATAACCTTTGTACCTGCCCTCGGCAATGCCCTGTCCAATCTGGCCATACAGCTTTCGGAAGACAGCCGTCGAGCCCGTATAGTGTAGCGCTGCGAACTGCTTGTGACTGAGGACGGCTTTGGTGACTTCTTCAGCATCACCAGGTACAAATTGGATGACCCCAGCCGGGAGTCCTGCCTCCATGAGGATCTGATGCACCAAGTAATTTGAGGCAATAGCCGATGGGCTGGGCTTCCAGATCACCACGTTGCCCATCAACGCTGGGGCACCAGGTAGATTCCCTCCAATGGCCGTGAAGTTGAATGGAGAGATGGCATAGACAAAACCCTCAAGTGGCCTGTATTCGACCCTGTTCCACACCCCCGGAGAGTTATAAGGTGGCTGCTGCGCATACAGCTCTTCTGCGTATCGTACATTGAACCTCAAAAAGTCAATTAGCTCTGCAGCCGCATCGATCTCAGCCTGCCATGCATTCTTTCCCTGCCCTAGCATTGTTGCAGCCATCAGCTCGTATCTGTATTTCTTGCTGATCAGATCTGCGGCCTTGAGGAAGACAGCAGCTCGGTCGGCAAAGGGTAAAGACTCCCAGGCGGGCTTTGCAGCGAGGGCCCCTTCAATGGCGTTGTTGACATCTTCGGTAGAGGCATTGGAGTATTTGGCAACGGCCGTCGTGTGGGAGGACGGGCTGTTCTGTGTGAGGAGGGAGGATGTCTTCACGGCTTTGCCAGACACAACTAGAGGGATTTCAAGAGGCGCCTTTTCCTGTAGAGCTGCCACTGCAGCGGCTAGCCCTTCACGCGACGGCCCACTCTTCTCATAATGCTGGTTGGGCTCGTTGGAGATGTTTGGCACCCGGAAAGCCGCGAGAGTGGACATCTTGACGTGAGTTGAGCGTAGACCGTGGAAGGATTGAGTGGTGGCTGCAGTACCAGAAAGTAGAGAAGGTCGAGAAAATGAGAGCAGTGTTTTAATTGAACCAGGCATTGCTATGAGAAGACAAGAAAGCAAAAGCCACCTGAAAAAACTGAATTTACTCGTCCCCTCGTCACAGACCACAAGACGCGCCCCACGTCGAGTTTTTGAGATCAAATGCTTGCTCCCAAGCTTCCCCTCTGGCTATTATCGGCTGGTGGCGGGATGACAGTTGGTGTGAGGAATGGAGATGCCCGTTGGGGCCACTGATAGGCATCAGTTGGGCCTTTCTCTATTGGCGGGAGCTGCGCCGTGGGATTGGGAAATGGGGTAAGAGGCTGAATGAAAAGCCTCCTGCGGAGCCTTGTCCAGCAATTCGTCAAAGGTCACAGGGCGCAGTGGCACAGAATCTCCTGGGAGTCTCTTTCTTATCGAAGATGATCTTTTTCTCTCTGACAGATATGGCCCTTGCTAGTTTCAAGCTCGACGGACAGCAAACGGACAACCACCAGTCCTCTCTGTTTTCAATCTTTCCCTGGTCATCTCCATCTCCTTCTGCCCCTTACCGATGAACACAGATGGGCCTGTAGTCTTGATTTCGAAGCCTTCTGGATACGTGCCTGGGTCTCCTGGACGAGGGACTCCAAGCAGCGAGTGAATCATGGCTCCGGGTCCCCACCGATTCCACAGAGTCGGCTTGACATAAACGGGTGCAGTGTCCCACGTAACATAGTATCTTCTACCGTTCGCGTCAGGCTCCTTGGTCATCATCTTCTTGGCCATGAATGAGAGTTTTGGTAAAGCAAGATATCTCAGATAGACACGTCTCAATTCCATGAAACCGTTGAAGAATGATCGGTATGATGCTGGGGCCTCGTCGAACATGATGGCCTCCCTGAGCCTGTCGTCCAAGGGAGCGCTCACGACCTTGCTGAGGACACCTTTCATAAACGGAGGGTACATGCTCAGCAGTAACTGTCGAGTCTGCACAGCGGTGTCGTAGTTTTTTTGGTGAGGCACCATGCAAGTCTTCTCATACTCCTTCGCCCAGGTATCCAGCTCCCGGTAGAAGTGCAGCCCATCTTTCCATCCCGTCGAGTACGAAGGGAGCTTCTCAAATGAGATCTCCATCCCATCGCCCATTGCTTTGTGGAATACCCCCATGGCGCAAATCTCCAGGTCACTGAGTTGTCTCCACTCGTACTTGTTGATCCATTCCACAGGCTGGTTGAGGAACAGCGACAGTGTGTACAGCATATCGTCATTGCTAATTTTGCCCTGCTTAATGTAGTGACCGTGCAAGTAATTCAGTCTAGCGTAAGCCTCCATGCACCTGTCGCTGTCAGGTTCGCCGCCATACATATCGCCCAGTAGGACCCCAGTGTCGGCGTATCGCTTGGGGACATTTTTCTCCGTTGAGAGCTGGGTGGTCTTGACTAGTAGCTCGCTGATGGTGGGAATGCCGTAGGTGCGGAAAAGAGCAAACTGCAACCCCTTCTCGAATAAGGTCGGGAATTCGAGGTCGCTCACGGCCTTCAGGATATCATGAGCTTCATTGACAGTCATTCCCTCAAAAGACGGATGTTCAGGCGTCCCATATTTATGCTTGGCCTGGAGGGCCTTCAGTCGGCGGAAGCGGAGTGCTGAGCAGAGAAGAGGATAAGCCACAATCGCGGGGACAAGATAGTACGACCAAAACCACGAGAAGCTTGACAGTCTTTGGGTAGAGATCGACGCCAGCTTTGAGAGCGACTCATTTGAGAAGGTCGACATGGTGTATGACACCCCTTTTCCCTCAATGGGCTGTTTGCCAAAGCTGACCAACGGCGTGAAGTTGGGGATGACTACTCCCACAAGACTCGACAACGGATATCCCCTTTGCAAATAATCCGTGGGACGAGGAACGGCAGGAGATGCGAAGCAAGACTACGAGGAAAAGCAGTTACTGACAACAGGAAGAATGGGAGACTGAATACCCAGTACACAGTGAGACTTGAGTCAGCAACTTTATATGATTTTGATTCTCAGCTTGGGCTTAGTGAGTCTAGGGAGCCTGGTGAGCCCTCTAGCTTTCTCGGTTAGCACCACGACAACCATGCACCTACTCACTTCCGTACAAGAACTATTGAGATCGGCGTCTTTTGTGACCTGGGCCAATCCAACCCAACCCAACCCAACCCACGCATGCTGCTCGCACATTGCTTCTATTTTCATCCGTCGCGTCTTTGTCACTCATCCAACACCAGCAATATGGGGTATCTCACTCATCACCTCTGTCGGCCGAGTCTGGTATGGGTCCAAGCCAGCAGCGCCCATCAGGTACGGAGTAGTAAGTACCACGCGGCAGGTTTATGCTACATAGCTGTCTGCACAGGAGACATGGAGTTATGCAACAGAACACAAGAGGCCACGAAAGCAAGAAGCGATATTTTCCTCATCATTCTAGCGATGTGACCAGCGTGTGCACTGCCGAGTCAGTCATGTCGACGTCGATGTCGATATGAGGACTACTACCAGGACCAGCAGGACGGCTTGAAATCACCCCGGTCGAAAGTGAGTGAGGCCCCCGGGTACAACCCAGCTCGGCCGAGTCACTATCCAGCAGCATATTAATATAGCTTGGACGGCTTCTTTGGAGTCGGTACATAGCCGACTTTGTTCAATTACCAGTTGATCTGCGTCTCGATCTTGTCTAGAACATCCTTCGCTTGCAGTTCCCTCTCTTTGATCCGAGATGCATCTAGCCCACAATCAGTCATGTAATGCAACTCCCGCATTGCACCCAGAAATCAAACATCCCCGCATCAGGCTCTACACAGATGCTATCCAAAAACATGTGCAATGCCACCACTCATTCCCGTTTCTTGCATATATGTACTGCCTGCCCCCTTATTCCATCTTCGCTGTCCCGTTGGCTAATGCAATTGCACGGGCAGCTGCTTCTTCGAATGAATCTGTGACAGGGATTATTATCGGTGTCTGGTTCCACGCAACACAGCGTCCACTTACCGTAGGCATCCAGCTTGAGACCACTTTCTCGTATGAGCTTCTGTCCCTCGGCCTCCCGGGTTCCCCGAATACGAACGACCACAGGGACCTGAAGATCCAAATCCTTGAACGCCATCAGGATTCCCCGGGCAATCATGTCGCCCAGCGTCAAGCCCCCAAAGATGTTCACGAATATGCACTTCACTCGAGGATCCGACGTCACGATTCGGAAGCCGGCCTTGATCGTGTCGGAAGTGGCTTTCCCGCCGGTGTCCATAAAGTTTGCTGGATGGCCACCTCTAGCCACCAACGCATCAACCGTGTTCATTGCTAGGCCAGCGCCGTTTACAATTGTACCCAGCGTGCCCTCTCCCGCCAATTTCACGTATATCATGCCCTCTTTCTCAGCCTCGACTTCTTCACGTACCTCGCTCTTGATGTCCCTCAGGGCATGGATGTCTGCCTGTCGCCCCGAGCTTCTGAAGGCCGCATCGTCAAACCCGAATTTGGCGCCTTGCACTTGGAGGCCTCCATCGTTGTCAACGACGATTTTCGTCTGAAGTACAAAGGCTTCTTTGGACATGAAGATGTCGACCAGCTCGCCAATAAGTCTACCCAGCGAATGCTGACCATTTCCAGACACGCCCAAATGTGCTGACACGGTCTGAAGCATTGCATCTGAAGTCGCTTCATCCGTGCCGTATGCGAAAGGGAACTTTTTGGACTTGGCGAATGCTTCCGAAGGATCTGTGGTGGGTGATGCGATGATGCAAGGCTGCCGGGCCTCGCGATCAATGGAGATGGCAATAAACTTTTCCTGGAGTCCTGTTGGATTGTCGACGGTGGGTATACCCCTTTGCTTCAACATATCAAAAGCCTGTGAAGGTTTGATGTATAAGCTACGCCGTTGCTGGAAGGTGACTTTCGTGTCAATCGGTCGAGGCCGCCTTCGCATGGTATGGTAGCCTCTTTTCTGCGATGCCGTTGAGGACCCTAATCTGCCGTTGACACCCGATTTCGACCGCTCAGCAAGTAATGCCTTCATGCCTTCCCCCAATTTCTCCGGATGGTCGACGACTTTCACTCCGACGTCTTCCAGAATCTTGATTTTTTGTGCCGCGGTGGCTTCTCCGGGAGCAGCCCATGCTCCTGCATGACCCATGATCCGGCCAGGCGGAGCCTCGATGCCTCCAATTACCGACATGAAGGGCTTGGGGTTCGCAGTCCGCCGCTGATATTCTTTGATCCACTCTGCGGCTCTTAACTCGGCGCTTCCTCCGATCTCCCCGATCATGATGATGCCCTCGGTGTTCTCATCCTCGACTAGGACCTGGAAAGCTTCGGTGAATGTTGTTCCTGCAAGCACATCACCGCCCATGCTGATTGCGTAGGTCTGCCCCAGTCCCGCCCGTGTCGTTGAGGCGACAGCTTCATAGCTCAATGTGCCCGATTTGGCGACAATACCGACGTTGCCTTCACGAAAGAACGGCAGAGGTTGGAAGCCTAAGCGGCACCGACCGTGAACGTTGATGATACCCGGACAATTTGCGCCAACCAACCTCGTCTTTGACTGTGTTCGTAGCATTTGGTGTATTCTTAAGATGTCGTGTACGGGGATATGTTCGGCAACTGCTACAATGAGAGGGATCTCGTTCTCAATGGCTTCCTCCATAGCCGTGACGGTTCCATTTCCGGGGACGTAGATGGCGCTGGCATCGGGCTTGAGCTTCTCCACTGCCACCCTGACAGTGGGCAGAACAGGTAGACCCAGATGCTCCCCTTCCACGCCGGGCTTGACGCCGCCAACAATGTTCGTACCGAACTCAAGAGATTCTTTTGCATTCATCGTGGCTTGGCGCCCGGTAAAGCCCTGATAGAGCACGCGAGTATGCTTGCCGATCTTGAGGTTGTTGATCGTGTCGGCATAGCTCCACCGCCGAGCAGTCGTCGAGAATGGGGCGACATTTCCACAGGTACCATGCTTGTATAGGACAGACCAAGAGGCTTTCTGGGATCTCAACCCCCTCGGCAAAATGATTCGGGTCATCCCACGAAAGCACGCTGAATGCTCGCAGAAGAAAAGTGCTAGGGCCTCGAGCCAAAGGCAATGATGGATACAACGATTTCGGAGCTCCGAAAAAGCTCAATTGAAGAACCTAGATCAACAGCGAACCTCAGTAGCTAAACAAGTGCCAATGCTCGGTATTGGGTGAGGAGAAATATATACAAAAGATTGGAGAAGGGCTCGTTTCCACACGCTCGGTTGAGTCTTCGGGTACGAGCAGTGAGGCGGGTGAAGATGTTCCGAGGTCGGAGAGGGCGCCATTGAGGAGGACGACATGAATCGAGACGCACATCATGGTGACGCGGGTGTTTGCGGCCTAGTTTCCGAGACGCTAGCGAGTTTTCGAGAGGGAAGAAGCATGATGGCGAGGCGAGATTGGTGGCTTGAGAGGGATGGGGGGGCATCAGGGGGGGCGTCCAGAGAGTGCTATCTCGTACTGGGTACTGGGTACGAGGTACTGGGGGGAATAATATCAGCCGGAATCTCCCCTGTCAGGCGAGGGGTATATGTACATAAATCGTACCCAGTACTTTGCCCGGACTTATTGTCGAGTCTGGGCTCCTCGGCCCCTGTTGCACCTATTCTCCTGCCTTCCGGCCTGCATCAGGGCAGGGGATTCAACGGAAATGCGGGGTTGGTCTTACAGCGTCGCATGCCCCTTGGAGGCGCCCCAGCCCGCCCAGGTTAACCAGAACGTTTCCATGCAGGGCACCCCCAACGCCAGCTGCCGCTTAACTTTGTCCTCCGCTTGCTATTCGTCGTTCCACTTCCGTTGACACGAGATGTCTGAGGGATGGAGCTCGTTGCGGAGCACACAGTTCGTCAAAGGTATCGAGTATCTTATGACATCGATTGAGAGATGATCCGATCCTATTGTTCCTGGAACATTGAGCCATATCCTTGCTCCTGACTATTTGTTTGCTCAGGTGCGCTCCTCCTCTGGCAGTCTTCCCCTTGCTTGAGTATGTCGGCCCAAACATCCATACAATCCAAGCTGCCAGGTTTGCACTTAGACCTCCCTCCTAACCGTCAGCCTATGCTCTCCATGAAGAAAGAAGAAGTGGTTGAGTCTTGGGAAGACGACGATGCTTCTTCGCCTGTCGAAGATGACTGCAATACTCGAACACCTGTCGAAGGAATGGGCCTCTCGTTGAAACCGTCCGAGTCCGCAGACCCTGCATTGCGTCCGCCGCCTCCTACTCCCATTGCCCCTGGAAACGGTGCACAGTACATTGACTGGTCACCTGCTCAAGTCCTTGGGGGAGGCCGTCCCAGCACCAGGCCTTATACCCCTCCCGAAGCATCCACTCCACAGTCTGACTCTGATCGAGATCGACGGAGACCAGAGAAGACCACAGCCACCGCTAGTCGAATGATTGCCTCAGGGTTAGGGATGAAAGCTCCTAAGAAGACCGAGGAACAAAAACAGTATGACCGAGCGGTTAGGGAACAGGAGATGAAACGAAGGAGTAAGGAGAAGGAGGAGAGGGAGCGCGAAAGAGAGGCAGATGAAAAGGCAAAAGCCGCAGTTTGGGACGATTGAACCCTCCAGACTGTCGGGTGATTTGAGGAGGCCGAAAGGGAGAATCCAAAGATTCTGTGTTTGCACAGGTATTCCACTATTTCTACGACTTCTTCTGATGTGTCGCTATATCGAACTGTTGGTAGGATAGGAGGTGTCTGCTCTGCCCAAAGGAGGCCAAAGACTCAAGCAGTTGCACCAAAAGCGAGAGATATCATGCCAATTAGTTCAATCCAAAGCTGCCGAAAGACCACGTTCGTCTCTGGCCTTTGGTCACTTGCACAAAATGTCCACCTGTGTCTGTAGCATAATTTAAGGTCACCAACCATAGACCTTGTACTCGGTATCTGAGCAAGCTGAGATCGAAGGGGATGATGGCGTGAATTGTGGCCACCCTATGACGCACGTCGGTTACAAGGAAATGTTCGCCTACCGAAATCTCTCTTGCCATACATGATATGTAGGCAGGACCACCACGACTATTTTCCCTGGCATCGCTCGCTCACTTTTTGTATTGTCAACCGGCTTGCGATCCTTCAATTTGCATCTTTCAGATCCACCGCCGAATCGTTGACGAGGACAACATAATGGTGAATCCAGCCATGCAAAGTCAAGTTCTCATCCGGTGCAACGCTTACCATCAACCAGGGCCGCCTCGAAGACGATTTAAAGACAGACCCTCCCTGTCATCCCAGAGCGGTGAGTACTCCGTATGTCTTCTTGACATCCAGGGCTTCAGTTATCGCTGATGCCGTTTCTACTCAGTGTGCAATCCAAGGTGCGTGTCACATCGACGAGTCACTGGTAACATGTGCGAAGAGTAACACCCGACTTCAACCAGATTGCCTGCAAAAAAACAACTACAAAGAGGAAAAATGCCAATCAGCAATAGATGCCTTGTACGAATGTTGCAATGCTTTCTATAAGGACAAAGGAGACGATGCCAGTACAACCTCGTGTCCCAAACCCAAGCTGCTGAGGCGGAAGATGGAGCAGCGAGGCCAAAAGTGAAGCTTGAACATCCACTCGGCACGCGAGTCTCTTGGTATAGAGTACATATGTACATAATCCTCGCCAACTTTCAGGATATCGCTGGAGGCCATAGTAAAGTATATGTAGAAAGTATATGTAGCAACTCGATTTTTTCTTTCTGAACCATCAGTCCCATTTGGAGGTCTGGTCAGCTGAATAGCGAATGCCGAAACATACTCTGAGGCAATCGTGAGCACGCAAGAGATCCCGTAGGATCTGAACAAACATCGAATGAGAAAGGGTCTGTTCCGAGACTCTAATGACTACCTGGTTGACATTAGTAGAAGAAAAGGAGAGGAAAGAGGAGAAAAAAAAAAGAAATTTCGAAGCGCCAGTTTTCAGACATTCATCAATAGCCTATTTGGGTTTAGCTTCTCGAGTACACTGCCGCGTCGCGTGTAAAGCGCAAAGACAGGCATGTAAATTCAAAAGAGGTTGCAGCTCCCGGCACAACACCGTCCTCTTGCGATTCCTTTCATTTTAACAGTTCTTATAAGCAGCTCCCATCGACGCGCAGAGATGGCCCCTATTACGAGATCTTCTGTCCATGGAAGGCAGTCCCAGGTACGTCAACCACGCAGCTGCCACAGCGCAGGTACTGACCCCAATGACCAGTTGGACAACCGCAGGATCGTCGAAGAGTCCCATATGCCTGACGAAGACCAAGAGATGGCCGGCCAAGACGAAGAAATGTCTGTTCACGAAGGTGCGACGAACCAAAATAATTTTCTTCTCACTCAGCAAGATGTCACGAACTCTACCACGCTCGAGACGCAGCCAGGATCCAACATGCTGATCGACACCCTAGATGCGCAGTCACCCTTCAGATCCTCTGCGCAGGAGATGCTTCGCCCTCTTCAAGACACTGCCGATCGAGTGAGCAGGCAAGTCGAGGAGTTTGCAAAGGCTCTAGACAGATTTGTGTCTACCCGAGAGCCCACCGATGAGTCTCTCTGGGAGGATGCCTTGGTCCTGTTAGAGCGTTACAGCAAGATTGCGGACATTCAAAAATCAAGGACAACTACGGAGGAGTCTGCGGGAGAACTGGAAAAGACGCAGCTCGAATCCGATTTGTGGATTTTGGTCAGGAACCTGCTCTACTGCAATTCTCCGCCCTCCCTCAATGATGCCCAGATTGCCCGAGAATCGAGGTTGGGTGGTCTGCATCGCTACTCAAGCAATGTTGAAATCTGGACTGCATTCCTCGACTCCGATGCCGCTGCACAGGAGTATGAAACCATCCTGGCGTGGCTGCAAGAGAGGGCTTCCGAGACATCACCTCCTATTGAAGACTGCACGCGCAGTCTAGCTGAGAAGTCGGAACGTGGAGATGGCATTTGGAGCGCCGGACCTATTTTCACACAGGCCGCCATCAAGCAGCAGAAGCGGACCCGAGTTTGGTCACTACCGTTGGAACCTTCAAATCCTGGACTGAACCGGACCCACGTTCGCAAAGGCGACCAGAAACCCCTTGTCGCTCAGCTGGATCCTGATGCGCCAACTAGAGAGTCGGCTGTACTTCAAGAACAAGATGAATTCCACGAGCAGGCCGCCTGGCAAACATACTGGGAAATGCTGCGCAGGGGATACAACAATAGCCAGATTCAGCCATGGTTCGCAGAACGGAAAGAAGTCTGGCGGTATGCAACCATTTGTAGCTGTGGTCCACATGCTGAACAAATGGAGAATTCACCCTGGTTGCGCATTCTGAATTTGGCCTCAAATTCCGAATGGTTGAAGCGTTGCGAGGTACTGGCTCAAAATCCAGCTATCCAAGACCAGTTTCAGAAAGCCGTATACGGTATACTTTGCGGTGATGTTGGGGCTTCCAAATCTGCAACTAGGACGATTGATGATAGTCTGTTCTCTATTTTCAATTCCCTTCTTATCCAGAGATACCAGCACTATCTTCAAGCCTACAGAAAGAGGCTGACAGGTACGGCCACCACTGAATACCGACCCCAGCCACCTTCCACCGCCGAAGTCCAGCAGTATGTCGCCCTTGCTCGGACAAATCCAACTACGAAGGACGAATCTCAAGAACCGCACAAGTTGATGGAACTGGCCATTGTCTCAAAAGACTTCGACAACTTCTTTGTGAACATGGGCAGGGCTGCTGCTCGCATCGCACATACCACAGGTCAGGGATCCCACCTCATGACTAGAAGCGAAACCGAGAGTAGTGAAGTCGCCAAGCTGAATGCTCAGGACCAAGACTGTGTCCGGATGGTTGCCCATCTTCAGTTGCTGTTACGGTCTCTGGGCTTGTTGCGATCTTCATACGACGAACACGAATACGAACTTGAAAACAACATTGCAGCTTACATCGGACTGTTAGAAAATTGGGGCAAGTGGCTTCTCATTCCTCTTTATGCGTCTAAGCTGTCCAAGAAGAGAAGTTACCACGTCCTGGGGGCCATCTTGATCAATGTCACAGATCGGCGTGAAAGAGATTTGCAAGTAAAGCTGATGAAGCAATACAAGATCAACGTGTCAGAAGTCACCTACGGCATTTTCTCTCTTGCCAATTACTCGGACCTCCAGGAACTTCGAAGGTATAAACATGGTCCGATACCTGCCAAAATCACTCTCTTGGGCGGTTCAGGCAAGTTGGCACAGTACAAAATTCGACCTAGCTTGATGACAGGCGAGGTGACTGAGGCAGACGAGAAGGCGGTCAGGAGCGTTGAGTGGATCCGGTACGTTGATGCTGAAAACTGGGGTGCAGCTGCCTGGTCTGTTGCGGTACTCTACAAAGTTTTCTTGATCGAAGGGAAATTTATCGCCATGCGTCAACTGCTTGACCGCGTTCGTCTCTCGGAGATGTCACTTGCTGCCGTGGGGATGAACCTGTATTTCGCCGACGCAGATCCACCGATAAACACCGTTGAAAGCGAGGCAGAGATGGATGAAGATCGTGTGACTCCCATGAGCAGCCCGACTAGGAGGAGAAAGGCAGCTAACTCAGACCATCCTTTGTTGAGGGCTGGGACTGATCGGCAAACGTTGGCGTTAAAATCACTGATTTGGAAACAACTGGAACAACTTGTGGCTGCCATTGATGCTTTGGACATCTTCCAAGAGGTAGCAGACGGTCTCGAACAGTGGGTAGCCCCTTTTCTCCGAATTCTTGCCGACTGAAGCTGACAGAATAATACAGACACCGAACAAACCCCTCGGTTGCGCGAAACTACAAGCGCGACTTGAAGCGGGCTCTGGAGCAACTTCGACAGGACATGCTCCCACTATTTGACAATGACTTTCTTTGCCTGCCTCAAGATGATATGGAAGCCGTGGTCCTGAACGATATACGCAACCACTACATCCCCGAATGTATCCTCGCCTACAACAGTGCTTTGTGGTTTGCAGGCCACTTCTCTTCTCGTGCTTGGCTTGTTGAATGCATGACCTTAGCCCAAGTGGTTGCGGAGACTCCCATGCTAACCAACGCCTTTGTGGAAAGTGGAAGAATGAAGGAACTAGTTCGGGCGTTTGCGGTTGACAGCCAAGCGCTCCTGCAAGCAACAGAGCAAGGTGCTTCTGGTGGTGCCGGGGTAAGTGCCAGTCGAGCGAAAAAGATCAAGACGGATAAAGGGAATGCGGATATCTGGAAGGTGTCGTGGAAGGAAGAGACTGGACCATTGGATCTGGACGCGATGGACTAAAACACACTACGATATGAGTGTATTACCACTCTGGTGTGAGTGCCATAAAGAAGAGAGAACTTATGGCAGGGAGAATATGTTCTATGGTGAAGACAACAAAAGCTTAGTTGCGAAGCACAGTGGGATATCTCCCTTCTGACCATCTACTTGATGAGTGTAACCTGCGAAGCTCACTCCTTCGTCGCGATTTGGCTTTGTTAGAATATTTTCGTTCCGCCTCCTTTCGATCTGGTCATGGTCAGAGGCTGATCAATTTAAATACTCAACTTGTTGTCTGACAATGTCAGAAGACTTTGAAGAGTTCACTTGAACAAGATGACGTTGCTGGACAAGGCTGAAGCGAAATTAGATCTTCCCCTTTCACGCGACTGCTGATCGCGCCGTCTATTCCCAAGCAGGACCATCACAACACACGACACGCCAGCTTCATCGACTGGGGTTTACGTTCCCGTCCAGCGTCGTCCCTCCACTACGGACCAATCTGGGCTTTGTATACGCCTCCCCGGCGAGGCTTTAGCGGGAGAGAAGAAAAGTCGAAACCTCATCACGGTCGCCAGCCATGTCTATCAAGACTGAAGATCCTGGCACTCGCAAGAAGATAGAGGAGATCGTCTCATCTGAATCCGAATCCGACGGCCCAGACGACTCTGCATCCATGACCAGCAACGCATCGACTTCGACGCACACGTTGGAGGAGGCGATCAATTCGGCTAGCGCGATGCGTCTCAGGACGGTCCTCCTCCAGATGTGCCACGAGAACGCCGTGTGCAGATACCTGGCCGGCAAGGCGCTTATGGTTCCGGCGCCAAACGCCGAACCGGACCCGAAAACAGGCATGAAGCGCCTCCGCAAGGCGTACGAGATGTGTTGCCAGTGCGGCAAGGAGTATGAGGTCGAGGAGAACGAGAAGGTCAAGGGACTCATGCGTGTATCATCCTGGTAAATAATAAGCCCCTTCCCTTCTTTCCGTCCCTCAATTCTTCCTTTGCCTCCCAGAAACTTGAATATCAAGACAAACACCAGGTGCAAGGTGGTCGTCCAAGTCTTATTGTTAACATTACCCTTCTCACGGGCTATATTAACCTGGGAGAAAAATTAACAAATTGGTGCAGGGTACAAAGAGGCGAATTGCAACTTGGACTTCTGGGATGACCATGACCCGGACTGTCATGGTGATCCAGACTCCTTTGTCGACGACCCTGATTATCAGGAGGGGTTCATCTGGGACTGTTGCGACGAAGACGGCAACGCCGAGGGATGCCAAACGTCAAGACACCGGCCGACGAGGAGTGTCCGGGCGAAGTATTGAGTGCGATGATCCTTTGCACATGAATGTTTAGGATGGCCCTTCCCCTTGCCTTACCTTGCGAAGGCTTGCTTTGGCAGAGGCTGGTCCGTGGGCACGGGGGTATGGTGGGCATTTGTCATGTTAATAGCATTCTTGAAATGTCAAACATAATAACATCGGGTTGTTCTGGGAAGCAAAACAACATGCCTTGTAGCCTTGATTACTTACCCCCATGCCATACGACTTGCAATTGTCTTTCCTAGGCAAACGTGTCTGAACCTCATCCCGTCTGCAAACTGTTGATCCTGAACCTCTGAAAAAGAAAAACGCCCGAGTGGCAGATGCGCCCTATGTAACTTGAGTCTCCACTGTCAAAGTCGAGCGAATGGTTCTGGGTGGTAGAGATTGCGCCAGCAGGCTCCAGGGGTTTCAGAGTGCTCGATCAAAGTAATTCGAGTTTCCCTGGAATAACTCGCAAGCAGGTGCGAAAGGCTCACGGGTTGAGAATCAGGCCCAGACCCGGCGAGTTCAGTGTTTCTTTGAAGCAAGCACAAGAGACGCCCTTTTCTTTTCCGCGGAGGTCCAAAAAAAAAAGGCAACCTCGTGGAGTCTGGGGACTCGTAGATGACAGGGCGTGGCGTCTGTTAACAGTGAGGACAGACAAGAAGATCAACCGGACTCCATGAGCCAGCCCTGCCCTCGACGACCGTCAATATTTGGCTACCAAGGTTCCAATAAGCGGACCAATAGATCTTTTGACTCGGCATTGCAGGTAGGCGTCATGCTGGTTGTGCACATGGCCGATTACCTGCCTGGTTGGAGCGGATGTGGTAGTGCTCCGGTCTAATCAAAACGTCGAGTTCTTTTCGGAATATTGCCTTTTCCTTCCAAGCGTGGCCGGCATCCAAAGCCTGAAAATGGGAGTTGTTCATGACTCAAAGCGGCCGAACGAGGTAGCAGAGAGTCAAACACAGGGCGGGAGGCGGGACATCGCGGAGAAAGAAACGAGAGTTTGTTAGTAAGATTTTATCATGGTGTTGTAATGCCATCATGTCCGGATGGCTGTGAACAAGACACACTGCTGGCGAACGAGTATAAAATCTACCAGTGGGCATGTCACGCAGTCCTCGAAGCGACCCTGATTCAAAGGCAGCCCACTGTTCTAGACTGTCTTAATACTACACGCGGCCTGATCAGGACTGTTCACCCCGATATCCACCCCCCGAAACTATACAGCACAGCCTTGTCATCTGCGCAGTCTACCCGATAATCACCACTGGCCCGCTTCAACTGTCAAGATCTTGCCAGCACAATGTCTGACAGTGATAAGACCTATGGTTTCACGGCCCTTCCGGCCGATCAGTCGCAAGACAAGCCCAGAACAGCCAGCCCGGAGGCCATGGCCATCTCATCGCTTCAGCCTCCAAACACGCCGCTTGCCACACGCATCGACGGGTACGTCAAGTCCAAGCTCGATGCTGACACCTACCGCCACAGTCTACGCGTGTACAGCTACGGCTGCGCCATAGCAAGGCAGTGTTTTCCGGAGTTTGAGCTCACGCCAGGCTCCAAACTGGACGAAACTTGGTTCTTGACCGCCATGCTGCATGATATTGGCACCTGCGACGAGTTCATGACGAGTACTCGCCTCAGCTATGAGTTCTTCGCCGGCATCCATGCATTTGATCTCCTGCAGAGTCCAAAGGTAGCGGGAGGAGACGATGTTGCCCCTCGAGAACAGGCGGAAAGTGTTGCGGAGGCTATCATCAGACACCAGGACATCCAGGAAAAAGGCAAAGTGACTCTCGTTACCAGATTGATCCACTGGGGAACATTGCTGGACAACATTGGGGTCGCGAAGGAGTTGGTACACCCAGACACTATCGAGAACGTGGTGCGAGAGTACCCTCGCGCAGGATGGAATAGGTGTTTCAAGAGAACGGTTGAGAAGGAAAAGAGGTACAAGCCGTATGCCATGGTTAGCCGGATTGGTGGATTTGAAGAGCTAATCGCCAGAAATGGAGCTCCTGGCGAATTGATGGCCAAATATGACTGAACCTATGATATCTGAACATGACTACGCGAGTTGGCATTGACAAGACCATTTCAAATGATGGAGATATTTGGAAAATGTCGTGTTCTTTGATCTCTTCCGGCCGTGAGTCAAGTTTGACGAAACGTGGAGGGTCGTGATGGGTAAAAGAAGGGACAAAATGATGCCTGACCACCAGAATCCGTCAAGAGCACCCAGCCAATCGCTATATCAGTGTGTCGGCGAGTCAAGAAGGCAACATGATCAGAGCAGTCTCTGCTTCCCCGACGACGTCCATTTCCCGACGGTTGCCTCACTTTCAAATTCACCTGTATGGTCTGAGTTGTCTGCTCCAGACATGAGACGATACCCCATCAAAGGGGATAGAGAAAGATCAAGGTGTGAGAACTAGATTGGGCCTTTCCAGGTCCCATCATCGCCCAGATTGATAGCGCTTTCTTGGATGTTGAAGGCCAAGCCTAGTAGTTTCATCAACAATCCTTTGCCAATTCTGGCGCAAATTTCGGGACGGCGAGTGGCTTCTTAGGACAAGAGCCACGTGTGAGGCCTTGCGAGGGAGAATGGCCACCGAGAAGAAGAAAAGAACAAGAGGGTATGCAACGAGTCGGCGTTATTTGGCATGCATCTCGCATTGCTCTTGTTTCAAAAACGGAGATATCAGAAACCTGCCACTTCAACTCAGCCACTCTTTTTTGCTCCGTATTGTGCCTAATACTCCGTAGCCTGCGCATCCCTCGCGCAGCGCGAATACTCAAATCATCCTTTATATGGGGGTTGCGTGAGAAGTGGAGGCTAGTTGAGGCGAACCAAATTTGACGGAAGGTGATAGGGAGATCAGATAAGGAGGATTTTCATCGTCCGCCAGGCGTAGCCTGTAGTCTCGTTCCCCGAAAGCAATACCTGCTTCCTTACGCCGAGCTGCGAGCGACCAAGGGGGCTGCCTGATGGAGAAGTTTTAGCACAGTGGCAGTGCAAAGCCCTGACCACCCATTCCAAGATGCGATTGGAGAATACCCTCCTACCTGCAGAGGGCGCGAGAGGAAGCGGGGACACAGATGAGGGTTTTTTCGATCCATGGCTGGAGCACGTCAGATGCATTTGCCGCCCACGGGGGCTGTTGAGGCAGGGAGAAGAAGAAGAAGTGATATCACCCCTCAGCGACGCGGGTGTGAGGGAGCAATGTTGAAGGAAGCGGTGCTTGCCTCCACCGAATCTGGATATATGTAATCAGGTACCTGACCACGGTGACAGCGGTGACAGCGGTGACAGCGGTCGGTCTGTGAATCTCCGGTGAGAGAAGAGGACTGAGCCACTGGAAGCCCAAGGATTTTCGCCTGCAAGAAGCTTGGCGCCCTTGCGGTAGTGCCCAGGCTGCGCAGGTGGCAGGATGCCCGCATTTTAGAGCCCGGATTAGTGGTGGGCTTGGTGGTTTAGGGGCCTCGGGGCCTTGTTTAAGTGGCCTAGTGGCCTGGTGGCCTGGCTCCGACCTGGGGCCTGGACCGTTGTCAAGATTCCATCACTGAATCTCCATCCAGACATGGTGATCCCGGAGTGTTTGTCCACAACCTTCACGTATTTCTCCCAATTCATTGATGGTCCTGCTGCAGTCTTTACACCCTTTCCTTTGTACATACTCGCCTTCTTAACGTTACCCGCTTTCTTCACTTTCATCCTCCCTTTTTTTCTTCTATAGACCTCCCTGTTTGATCGTGAGCCTGTGAGCCTGATCCGCCCATCCTCCCCTTGTTGTTCCCTTCGCCTGCCAACTGTACATTATCCCGCATCCGCCTCAGCCTACCCATGGTAGCCTCTGTTCCCTAGCCAGCGCGGAAGCTACGAACCTCTCTTTCTCGGACGGGTCGGACTGGAGCATCATTTGCGGCATTGGGACCGAGGAGTCCGTGGTTTGAGCGTGACTTTTGTTAATTCACCAATCTGTACGTGCATTGCCTTGCCACCTCACGTCTTGTCTCTCTTACCATGAAACCATTCTCACTGCTTCGGTATACCCAGTTCATGTTCAGATAATTCCAACAGCCTACATAATATCGTCATCTATTTCTTCTGCAGGCCGGACTTATTCGCCTCTTCACAACTGGGTGCCGCATCTGGAATTGGCCGCGTTGGAAACTCGCGGCTCCTAAAAGACACTGAGGAGTTGGGTAGATTGCATGCATACTCCTCCTCCAAAGTGGCTCATATACCTCACGCCCTACCATGTCTTCACCCGATGGGCATGACCCAGAATCGCCAAAAGCAGTCCAGCAGCGACCCCGTGCTCCTACAATTAGTATAGACGATTCCGCCGTCAATCCATCCCCCTCCGAGGAACCTCCCAGTGCAGTTTCTGATAAACCTAGTCCTTTACCCCGAATACAAACGTCTGGACTCGATTCTGGGCCTACGCTATCCTCCCCGTTGTCGGTATCCCCAACCGATGTTCGACCACCCTCTGACACGCGCGAGTCGCGCCCAACCTCTCCTCATAATGTTTCCTCTCCCAGACCCCAGTTTCTCGATGGATCTGCCCACAACTTTCTTGCTGTCCCTGGCTCAAGAGCGAGGGCGACATCAATGGAGTCTCAAAATTCAGCGTCGACTTCCGAATTCGGCGGAGAAACACAAATTGCTTCGACGATTTCCGGAACAGACGATTTACGCAAGAATTCGTTGGCCAATAACGATGATGTGATGAACGATGAAGATGCACTGAGGCCAGATCCCGGGATGGAGGCGGATTTTGTGGTGGAAGACAACAAGTTCGCGTTTAGCCCCGGACAGCTGAATAAAATGATCAACCCTAAAAACCTAGCAGCGTTTCACGCTCTTGGAGGCCTGAGAGGTCTGGAGAAGGGTCTGCGAACTGACCGCAACAGCGGTCTCAGTGTAGACGAAGTTGGTTTGAGTGGCACAGTCGGCTTTCAAGAAGCGGTTCAGGCAGGCGCCGAAGCCGAGCAACGCTACGGCACTGTGAAGAGGACAACTACCTCCAACTCGATAACAGCGCCAGCCAAGATTTCCGAAAATTCTTTTGCGGATCGCAAGCGCATTTTCAAGGACAATCGGCTTCCGGAAAAGAAGGCCAAAACTTTCTGGCAGCTTGCCTGGATTGCCTACAACGATAAAGTGCTGATTTTACTGTCTGTCGCTGCTGTCATCTCACTGGCGCTTGGTATTTACCAGACTGTCAATCCTGTGCCCTCTGAGAAGCACGAAGCTCGGGTCGAGTGGGTCGAAGGTGTGGCAATCATGGTCGCCATTTTCGTCGTAACTTTCGTGGGCGCACTGAACGACTATCAGAAGGAGCGTCAATTCATCAAACTGAACCGCAAAAAGGAAGAACGATTCGTGAAAGTCATTCGATCCGGGAAGTCTCAAGAAATTTCAGTTTATGATGTGTTGGTTGGGGATGTGATGCATCTCGAGCCAGGCGATCTGATCCCGGTGGACGGTGTCTTTATTGAGGGTCACAACGTGCGATGCGATGAGTCCTCGGCCACCGGCGAATCTGACATTATCCGCAAAACGCCTGCGGACGAGGTCTATCACGCGATCGAGACCCATCAGAATTTGAAGAAGATGGACCCGTTCATTCTGTCCGGTGGTAAGGTCGCCGAGGGCGTCGGCACGTTCCTCGTCACTGCAACCGGTGTCAATTCCAGCTATGGCAAGACATTGATGTCCCTACAGGACGAGACTCAGACAACGCCTCTCCAAATGAAACTCAATGTTCTCGCCGAGTATATTGCAAAGCTTGGTTTGGCTGCCGGTCTCTTGCTCTTTGTGGTGCTTTTTATCAAGTTTCTGGCAGAACTCAAAAATATCCAAGGAGGTGCTCAGACCAAAGGCCAACGGTTTCTTCAAATCTTCATCGTTGCGGTCACCATCATTGTGGTTGCGGTGCCAGAAGGTTTACCTTTGGCTGTCACACTCGCCCTTGCATTTGCGACGACGAGGATGCTAAAGGACAACAACTTGGTGAGACTCCTGCGCGCTTGTGAGACCATGGGCAATGCTACTACTGTGTGCTCTGACAAGACTGGAACATTGACACAAAATAAAATGACGGTTGTCGCGGGTACATTGTCTACCGCTTCTAGATTCGGCGATAAACAACAGCCCATCAACTCTACGGCAGAGAGTGATACAAAGGTCTCAGGTCCTATTGTGGCTGCTAATGATGTCTCCTCTACTGAGTTCTTTGCGACACTCTCTCCGGACACGAAGTCACTCCTCAAGGATTCGATTATCCTCAACACTACCGCGTTTGAGGGTGAAGAAGAAGGCAAGAAGGTGTTTATCGGATCCAAGACCGAAACAGCTCTGCTTACATTCATTGTCGATCATCTTCCAGTCGAATCAATTGGTGAAGAACGCGCGAACGCTGATGTTATTCAAATGGTTCCCTTCGACTCTGGCCGCAAATGTATGGCTGTCGTCATCAAACTACCAAATGGCAAATATCGTATGATGGTGAAAGGAGCTTCTGAAATCCTCATATCTAAATGCACTAGAATCGTCAGCGATCCGACAAAGGAGCTGGTGGATACGCCCATAACCTCGGATCAAATCGAAACATTGAACGGCATAGTCAGCAATTATGCGTCACGATCTCTGCGTACCATTGCACTTCTATATCGGGATTTCAATGAATGGCCACCGCGGGGAGCCGCTCTTGCGGACGATAAGAAACAGGCGGATTTTGATAAAGTCTTCAAAGACATGGTCTTCCTGGGGTGTGTTGGTATCCAGGACCCCCTTCGCCCAGGTGTTGAAAAGGCTGTTCGCGACTGTCAAGTTGCCGGTGTGTTTGTGCGCATGGTGACGGGTGATAACATTATGACCGCCAAGGCGATTGCGACAGAATGTGGTATCTTTACACCTGGTGGTATTGCTATGGAAGGACCTGTTTTTCGAAAATTGAGCTCAAAGCAGCTGACACAGGTGATTCCACGCCTGCAAGTACTCGCAAGATCGAGTCCCGACGATAAGAAGCTGCTTGTGAGCCATCTTAAGAAGCTCGGAGAGACCGTGGCTGTTACTGGTGATGGTACCAATGATGCACCCGCGCTCAAGGCTGCAGATGTTGGCTTCTCGATGGGTATCGCAGGAACGGAGGTCGCCAAGGAAGCGTCGGCTATCATCCTCATGGACGATAACTTTGCGTCAATCGTCAAAGCCATTTCCTGGGGCAGAACTGTCAACGATGCTGTCAAGAAGTTCCTTCAGGTGAGCCTCCGCTGTCGCACTCAGTTTCTAACCTAGGCTGACAATGGCGTAGTTCCAAATTACGGTGAACATCACTGCAGTCTTTCTAACGTTCATTTCTGCGGTTGCCAATGATGAAGAAAGCTCTGTGCTGACGGCCGTACAACTTCTGTGGGTTAACTTGATTATGGACACTTTCGCAGCTCTTGCCCTTGCCACGGATCCCCCTTCACCTTCCGTGTTAAAACGACGACCGGAACCGAAATCGGCGCCATTGATTACCGTCACTATGTGGAAGATGATTATTGGGCAGTCGATCTATCAGCTGGTCGTGACACTGATCTTGTACTTTGCTGGAAACAGTATCCTGTCCTATCAAACACAACATGAAAAAGACCGACTTCAGAGCACTATCTTCAATACGTTTGTATGGATGCAGATTTTCAACCAGTACAAGTGAGTGGATTTATTTCCGGCGATATTTGGTGAGCGGCAGACGCTAACGATCTTCAGTTCGCGGCGATTGGATAACCAGTTCAATATTTTCGAAGGAATCCTTCGCAATTACTGGTTCATTGGGATTCAGTTCGTCATCATTGGAGGCCAGTGCTTGATCATGTTTGTTGGTGGACAGGCATTCTCGATCAATCAAATCAACGGGGCACAATGGGGATACTCCATTGTTCTGGGCGCACTTTCCATGCCGGTGGCAGTAATCATCCGATTGATACCCGACGAACTGTTTGCGAGACTGATACCCCATCTTCCGCGGAGAAAGAAACGTGGTCCAGAATTTGTGCTCGAAGATGACGAAAAGGTGCAATGGAACCCAGCGTTGGAAGAGATTCGAGAAGAGCTGCAATTTTTGAAGAGAATCCGTGGGGGCCGGATTTCGGAGCTGGCTTACAAACTGCAGCATCCACGAGACACGTTTATGCCGCGGTCACGCAGCCCGTCTCGTTCACGATCGAACAGCGAACTACCGCAGACACCAGAAGGAGATGTCATAGTAGAGACAATGACGGGGTCCCCAGTCATACTTACCCCAGAAAAAGTAAGACGACGGGCAAGATCGAGTTCGAACTCAGTTTTCGGGCCTGCCACAGCAATGGCTGGTATCATTGCAGGAAGCGTCGCTGGAGGATGGTCGCCGATTGAGAAGCGGCCTGAAGAACTCGAGACAGTGCGTTTCACCCGAGCTCGATCTCATTCCGGCGTTGAAGGGACAAGCGGGATGGAAATCCATCCGGCAACGCCAGCAGACGACCCTGTTTTTGCCCGCTCGGCCCCCAGGGCTGGCATCCCTCCCAGCCAAGATCCTGATTTGGCTCCACACTTCGAATATGCACCGCCACATAGCCCTTCCTCGCGGTCTAAAGGCTCACATTCGCGACATGGGTCTTCTGCGTGAAATGTGGAGCAATGCTTGTTGTTGTCCACCCTCCAGCGAGGATTCTACTTCGGCTGAAGATGCCACGTATCGAGGATCGAGCCACTACCAAGTGACAGGGAAAGAGGGTACCCGACAGCTATTTATCTGCTTGGATGAATCCACACCCCCACGTTCAGAACATCGAACCGAAGATTGCATTTGTGAACAAGACCATGGATCGCCAGAGTGGAAAGTTGGGTCTGCATTACAGCGAACTCGGCGAATCCGACGAAGTTGCGGCGATTACAAGGCTGAGCGGGAAAAGGAGGCCGCAAATCTCTGCACTGTGGCATGTTCCGGATCTGACCGGACGGCCGTAAATTTGGGTTGGGGAATGGATAATCAAGGACTGGGATAGTGGGAACAAGAGGAAATCCGGGATACGAGAGCCTCGATGAAGGCTAGGCGAGATCAAGGATAAACTAGAGAGACAGAGGAGGACTGCTCCGGCCCCTGTACAACACATCCGTAGGACATGGCACTTCTCACCGCATGTCGTCTTATCAATACAATAATAGGATATGACGAGAATCCACAGCGCAGCATCGAGCACGCAGACTCTCCTTCACTAATCACTCCTTGGCACTCGGATGTAATACGAGGGACCCAGTACTTGGTCTTGTAAAAGAGAAAAGGGGCAAAAGGGGGTACCCAGTACTGAGGTAGGCTAATTGTGCGTCTTTGCCCCCGAGGCTGGTCCGTGAGGCTGTGAGCCGAGGCAAAATCAGCAAAATCCCAGGGGGAGGGAGCATTTGTTCCTAAGTCACTTCTGTCGCCGTTGCCAATCGATACCAGGCATTTTCGTCCCCAAAACTCCACCTGCGCTTCCATCATTATCTCATCGCCCTCGCTTCGTCGTATTCGGCCGGTCACTGGCGGGCCGTCAATCGCCTTTTTCTTTCTTCTGGATGCCTGGCTGTTGGGGGACAATGGCTCCAGGGTCGTCTGCATTAAATAAAGTCGGGCTTTGCGTCCCTCGCTCATCGCCTTTCCTCAACCCGAGACGGACCAGCAAAGTCCTGTCCACCTGCACATCTTGCTCTTCTCTTGCACACACGCCCTTCCTGCCGTCACTCGCTCATAGACCGATCCACATTGCCACTGGTTCTTTGTCATCGGCGGCGTCAGCGACTGCTCGGGGAAAGGCTTTTCGACACCCAAGCCTAATAAAGGGAACTGCCTGGAGTCCATATTCTACAGGTGAGTAACGCCAGATTCTGTGTCAACTCTGACGGACCTCTGACACGGATGCTGCAGTTGTCGTGCACAACAAAGGACAAGCGCGCGTCCGGCGGACAATCAGCTTCCTCCTCATCAGCACCGTCTCCTTCGCGGTCGGGACTTATTTTGCTGTTACCTACGCCTCCCCCCTCCCCACGGCCCTAATCATGGGTTCAATGCCCTCGGACGTCGAAACCCTCTACCTCTACACTCCCGACAATGACTTTGAGCGTGAAGTCGACGATCACATCAAGAACTGTGCCCTAGCGCAATCCTTGCGGGCAAATCCAGATTTCGTCGAGTCGAGACCACATCTCAAGATTCCCGAAGAGATGAGACAACACAACCTGACCGCCGGAACGTTGTCGGGGCCAGGAATGATTGTGGTGCCGCCATACTACTTCAACGAGAAGGGCGGGAAGTCCATGGCTCAGATATTCTACGTCGGAACTGATGTTTCAGGGCATCCGGGGATCGTGCACGGAGGGTTTTTGGCCACCATGTTGGACGAGGGACTTGCGCGGTGTGCATTCCCTGCCATGCCAAATAAGGTGGGGGTAACGGCCAATTTGAACATCAACTACCTCAAGCCGACCATGGCGGGACAATTCCTGGTGCTGAGAGCCAAGACCACAAGAGTCGAAGGCCGGAAAGCGTGGGCGGAAGGATGGATTGAGAGTCTGGAAGTTGCCGAGGGAGAGGAACCCGTCAAGTTGGTCGAGGCTACTGCGTTGTTTGTTGAACCCAAGCATGCAAAGGTACGTTCGCCTGGATATAGACGTGACCATTGATTGGTGGAGTGCTGAGACTGACAATCCCATCTTATAGGTATTGCAATCTCTTTACCGGGTGACGCCAAACTGAGATGCCGACACTGCTCGAAATCGTTTCTATGATGTTTCAAGGCCTCAGGGTCTTCAAGACGCTGTCTAAGAGGATCACAAAGGGCGGATAGAATTTGCAGCATGGAGTACATGACGGGGGACTTTGCTTTGGCTGGACAGTGGGTGGTAGATCTTGGGAATATACCCAGTCTAATGAGTGCGATTTCGAACGGGTGTGCAAGATGGCTGGCGACTTGTCAACAAGGCTGCGGGCAAATTGGCACAGTTATAGATGTTTGTTTGGCACCTTGATACGGATAGAGGGGCGCATATATCATGTGTAAAGTTTATGTACGGGGTTGGAACAACGAAAATCGGACACATTGGCTATCGCATTTACTAGCCACCAACATTTCCGCCGTCCATCCAATATGTGCACTGTCGTGATTGTTCTCTCGGATGTCGCAAAGGGCCAACGAGATCCCACATGCTTACTGGGGAATCCTTCCGCCGGCGGAATTGGAACAACGCTCAGGGGAAACATGAGTTGGGATGGCTCGACGCAGACGACAGGTCAGATTCTGCTTCTCAGTTGCCATTTGGGGCAAAGGCAAACAAGCCAGGTTCCAGCGAGATTCTCCTACTCGTCCACGTCCGATATACCCCCAAGACGAAACGCATCTAGACTCCACTGATGGGGGAAATGGCAGATGGCATACATATCGGTGGCATGACCATCCGCCGAAGTCGTATGACGGATGGGATACACACTGATTACCCCAATGCCCGCCTCTATGTGGACATTTCTTCCCTCCTCGCGGCTGACTGCCATGTTTCACGATGCCATATGACCTCTACTGCTGAAAAGCTTTCTCTGGTGTCTCTGGTGTCTCTGGTGTCTCTGGTGGCCGCTTTCCTGTCCTGGTTTCCTCCTGGTTGGGCTGGAAGGTTCGATCGCCATGGGGCTCTGGGGCTCGTCTGGGACAAGTGACGTTGCAGGCAAAAGGCTTGGTTGTAGAATCGATGGGCATGGCAGTGTGTTCCCCTTGTACCTCGTAGTGCCGAGGAAGGTGTGGTGATGCTGGTACGCGGCGAGGCGGGGGCTTCGCTGCACCTTTCCCGAACCACACAAATTCCGTCGCTGGCACTAGCCTGATATGGAAAGATGGAGCAAGCTCCCACCACATGCCAATCATTACCCGACCAACCGTAGGCGAGGTAATAAATCCCTGCGCGTCTAGACGCCGATTTCCGGCGGGGGGGCTTATGGGCTAGGTTGTTTTGGGACATGGATAGCGAGGGGGGAAGGTACCTGGTATTTGATTGTTTGAGGGGCAATTGCGAAGTGGCTCCTTTCACTTTGCTCTCTTTATAAGACGCGGGGTAGTTCTGTCCCTTCCCGCCATGTCTTTTGCTCTTCTCTCACCTTCACGCACTTCGTTTCGACTGTCCTTCTCCCTCACCAGACTGACAGGATCCACCGCAACCATGGCTTCAGCTAAATGCCCCATGAGAGAGTCCAATGTCGGCGGCGGCGGCACTCGCAACCGCGACTGGTGGCCCAATGACCTGAGACTCAACATCCTCCGCCAGCACACTGCTGTCTCCAACCCCATGGACAAGGACTTCAACTACGCACAAGCCTTCAAGAGCTTGGACTATGAAGCAGTCAAGAAGGATCTCCATGCCCTAATGACAGACTCTCAGGACTGGTGGCCGGCAGACTTTGGTCACTATGGCGGTCTCTTCATTCGAATGGCCTGGCACAGTGCCGGTACCTACCGTGTTGCCGATGGCCGCGGAGGAGGTGGCCAAGGTCAACAGCGCTTTGCCCCCCTCAACAGCTGGCCCGACAATGTCAGCTTGGACAAGGCACGCCGCTTGCTTTGGCCCATCAAACAGAAGTACGGTAACAAGATCTCGTGGGCCGACCTGATGCTCCTCACTGGCAATGTCGCCCTCGAATCCATGGGCTGCAAGACCTTTGGCTTTGCTGGTGGCCGCCCGGACACGTGGGAGGCTGACGAGTCCGCCTACTGGGGTGGCGAGACCACTTGGCTAGGCAATGACATTCGCTACGGCCAAGGTCACACCGGGATTGAGGGCGAGGGCGTCGTCGATTCTGATGAACATAAAAAAGACCACAAGGACATCCACACCCGTGATTTGGAGAATCCGCTCGCAGCCTCACATATGGGCTTGATCTATGTCAACCCGGAAGGCCCGGACGGCGTTCCCGACCCTGTCGCTGCCGCTCGAGACATCCGCACCACCTTTGGCCGCATGGCGATGAACGATGAGGAAACCGTTGCCCTGATTGCTGGTGGCCACTCCTTCGGCAAGACACACGGCGCCGCTCCTTCCGAGAACGTCGGCAAGGAGCCAGAGGACGCTCCCCTGGAGCAAATGGGACTTGGATGGGCCAACAAATATGGTTCCGGCAAGGGTCCTGACACCATTACCAGCGGTATCGAAGTCACCTGGACCGGGACCCCGACAAAATGGAGCAACAACTTCCTCACTTATCTCTTCAAATATGAATGGGAGCTCACCAAGAGTCCCGCTGGCGCCAACCAGTGGGTTGCAAAGACGGATGACTTGATCATTCCAGATGCGTATGACACCAACAAGAAGCACAGGCCAACCATGTTGACAACCGACCTTTCCCTCCGCTTCGATCCGGCATATGAGAAGATCTCGCGCCGTTTCCTCGAGAACCCGGATCAACTGCACGACGCTTTCTCCCGTGCCTGGTTCAAACTCTTGCACCGTGATATGGGTCCACGGTCCCGCTGGCTCGGTCCCGAGATCCCGTCCGAGGTCCTCATTTGGGAAGACCCTCTCCCACCCGCCAACCATCCCATCATCGATGAATCGGACATTACTAGCCTGAAACAAAAGATTCTGGCCACCGGTATTAAATCTGCCGAGCTGATCACTACTGCCTGGGCATCGGCTTCAACCTTCCGCGGCAGCGATAAGCGTGGCGGCGCCAATGGTGCTCGCATTCGTCTCGCTCCCCAGAACAAGTGGAAAGCAAACAACCCTCAAACGCTGAGCCAAGTGCTGGGCGCCTTGGAGAGGGTGCAACAGGAATTCAACAGCTCTGCAAGCGGTGGCAAGAAGGTATCGCTAGCCGATCTCATCGTCCTGGCAGGTTGCGCGGCTGTTGAGAAAGCCGCTGGCATCCCTGTTCCCTTCACTCCTGGCCGCACAGATGCTACCCAGGAGCAAACCGATGTTGAATCTTTCGAACACCTTGAGCCTTTGGTTGATGGATTCCGCAACTATGGCAAGGGAACATCCCGTGCCCGAACTGAGCACTTCCTTGTCGACAAGGCACAACTGCTGAATCTTTCTGCTCCCGAAATGACAGTGCTGGTTGGCGGCCTTCGTGCTCTGAATGCCAACTGGGATGGGTCTTCGTACGGTGTCTTTACCAAGCGCCCCGGCCAATTGACCCCCGACTTCTTCACCAACCTCCTCGACATGGGCACCGCCTGGAAGGTGGCCAGTAACGACGAGGAACTCTATGAGGGCTTCGACCGCAAGACCGGCGAGAAGAAGTGGACTGGCACCCGCAGTGATCTTGTCTTCGGTTCACATGCTGAGTTACGTGCGATTAGCGAGGCGTATGCTAGCGCTGGCAACGAGGAGAAATTTGTCAGGGACTTTGTGGCAGCTTGGAATAAGGTGATGAACCTGGACCGCTTTGATGTCGCATCCCTTCAGGATCCTGCAAAAGCGCGTCTATAAGCGAGAATGGCTCTGACTCAAAGAAGATGGGGGTTGTTGCAATTCACGAGGAGAAGTTGTCCCTCTATCATGTGGCTCGGATTTGAGCAGTCGACCAGTTCAATGGCTTAGCAAGCTCAATGGACTGCAACCGCATGACATAGCAATCAAAAATGTACCGGTTCAGAATTATATCTAGGGAACAACAGTGTAGAGGAGTTAAATAATAAAGAAGGGACGGCCAAAAATGCCTCCGAAATGGGCATGACGCACCTCGCATTGGGAGCTTCCCAAACGCCAATCATGCTGCGGTGGTGAGGGAGCAACGGAGCTCCATCTCTGCCTACCATCTAAATAGTTCACCCGGATCGCTGCGCGCAGTCAATACCAGTACTCGGTACGGTGTTTCCTCCTTCATGCATATGGTCCTTGGGAATTGAAGCTATTTTCTCTTATCTCTGCACACTATTCCTTCCGCCACCCCGTTGTGTGACCTCCCAGACATAGGCTTTCCCGCACGGTCAACATGTCCGCCAAATACCTCTTTGTCTCTGTTCCCGCCAGTATAACCCCTTCGGGCCACAAGGACGACGCCATCGCCTCTGTCGAGAAAGCGGCAAACCCTTCGAACGGCGACGTCCTCCCCTTCTCCATCCCAGAGTTCAAGATTGGCACCCTTGATGCGCTGTTACAACAGTCCGACGAGTTGGCCAAGCTGGCGGCTCTGTGTCATGGAGTGGTGGGAAAAGTCGGGGACACTTTGAAGAATATATTGGACGGCGACGAGGAGAAGATTGCGATGCATAAGAACGTCAATGATAGTATGTTTCATGCTCTTTGGGAATGCGCCCCAGACGGTGGTACGAGGTTTGGGTAAAGCGCTGACTCGACGCCGTACTACTCCCTAGAACCACTCGAACAATACCTGCGAAGCTTCTCCTGGAACAAAGTCAAATACCGCGCCGACAGGCCGCTCTCGGAGCTGATTGATCTTCTACAGAAGGTATGGTACAGCGGGCTGAGAGCAGTCCCGAGAGACGGGTCACGGCGGATGCTGACTGCGGGCGACAGGAAGCCAATTCGATAGACAACGACGTCCGATCCAAATACAATCAATACAACTCCCTCCGCACCTCCCTCCAATCCCTGATCCGGAAACGAACAGGTAATCTCTCGACAAAGTCCCTTGCCCCTCTCATTACCGACCCCAAAATCCTGGTCCAAAATCAACACTCCGAACACCTGGAAACTCACCTGATCGCCGTGCCCAATTCCAACGTCAAGGAATTCATGAGGACGTATGAAACGCTTGCACCGATGGTTGTTCCACGCTCGGCAACCTTTGTCGCGCAGGATCAGGAATACAGTTTGTACGCGGTGACGATGTTCAGGAAGCATGCCCAAGAGTTTGTGCACAAGGCAAGAGAGAGAAAGTGGGTACCTCGGGACTACAAGTACAAGGAAGGTGGGAAGGAAGAGGAGGAAAGGGAGCTGAAGAGGGTGGAAGCCGAGGAGAAAAGAGTCTGGGGAGAGACATTGAGGTTGGGCAGGACGGGCTGGAGTGAGGCGGTCATGTGTCTTGTGCATGTGGTTGTGCTGAGGGTATTTGTCGAAACCGTCCTGAGGTACGGGTTGCCGCTGGATTATGTGGCCGTTCTGATCAAGGTATGTCATGCTACTCTCCGTGCTACACTCTCTGCTCCCCTTTTGTTTGAGGCCGAAGTCACTACTAACCATGTTCAACCTAACAGACGGACTCGAAACGCGAAAAGAGGGTCCGGCAAGGGTTGGACAGCGAATACTCGTACCTCGCGGGCAATGCCTTTGGGAGGGACAAGAAGGGCAGGCTGCTGAAGGATGAAGGGACGACCCAGCAGGACATGGTTGCCGGCGGAGAACAGGGAGAGTATTCCGCCTATGTGTGTTATGATATCGACGTTGAGTGACAGGATATTAGTGTTGGATGGGACCAAGTGTGAATGAGGGGCATGTCTCTGAATCAGGGAAGAAATCCAGTGACCCGTTCCCCCTGGAAAGCCCCAGGAGAAGCAAGATGTGTACAACCCTTGATTCGCTCCGATATGGTGACGTCGGGAGCGTGCGCAAGCCCTTCTAAGGGAAGGATTCCACGATTTATTGATTGAGGCACAGGAGTCCTGCACAAATGCGAAGCTTTCTCTCTCTCTCTCTCTCTCTTACAAACACGTATTCACGTCTCTGGCATTGGATTGCATTGCAAGAAACGAAGCCCAAGCCCAAGCGGCAGCCCAATATATCTCCTCGTTGGCTCCTTGAGGCTTCGACTCTGGCTCTTTGGGCTTATGTGGACGACTTGGGATAGAGTCCTTTCCTTCATTCTTTTTCTCCATTCCTCCATTGCTTGACTTGGTTTTGGCTTTTCGTTTTTCGGAACCTCGCTGTTGACTGGCTGACCGACAGTCCTAGCTACTATACACGCCTGTGGCTCAAGTAATACTAGGCAATGTCTACGTGAATGAAGCATGGCGGGTCTTTCCAAGGCTGTTCAGACTTTGTTGCTTGAGGAGGTTAGGCGCGGGTTCCCCTGCTCGGGGCCGCCGCTTCAAGATTTAGATATATGAAGGGGGCTCGTCGCAGAGCAAGATTTCTGTGCCGTGCTTGATTACGTGGGTTAGGATTCTGGCTCGTCGATGGGCCATTTAGTCTTTGTGAAATACAGCGCATCTTTCATGATCCCACATGGTATCGGGGTGGAATTCGAGATAGCAGGCTGTATCTCCCTTCCCTGTTTTTTTGTGGATTGCCTCTTTGGAAGTTGGGTTCTCGGGGGACGGTGCAAAGCTAGGGAACGTTGAAGCGTGGGAATAGGTTGGCTACTATCGAGACTATACCTGGGTCAGGCAGACGGGACGAAGATAGATGATCCATCAAAACTTCCGCTGCCGCATCAGCGATGGATGGATCATGACGATAAGTGTACCATGGATCTTTGCAGGACCGCATCTGAGAGTTGAGTTCATTGCTGGCTTGATGCAACTCCTTTTCCTCCTGCTTGTTGTGTCTGGCCTCCGTGCTGAGTCTCAACCCGAGCCTGAGCTTGCCGTTGGCCATCATACAGCCCAGAGTAGTACCCAGCCCAATAATATGCCATCTTGATATTTTCGAGCGTTTGCTCTTGTGAGGAGCTGGTTGTGGTTGTTGAAACTGGGTAGCAGTTAGAACGTCATCAAGACGACGAGGTTTATTGGGCCCGGAATAAAAGTGACATAGGGAAGTGCCAAGTGATAGAAAGCAGATGGGGGCAATGGCGGGTTTAGTCTGCGGAACAGACAAGGGAAAGAAAAAGCTCGTACTTTTTCCATTTGCGATTTCGGTGGCAGGCGGCAAGTTGGGTTCTAAAGCTGGAGTGGTGGTGGTAGTTGTTGACGGTTGTCTCGACGCCACCTGAGGAGGATTTTCTTGCTGTCCTTCTGGCTCGTCTACAATGGATTTGACTGGGGGCACAGAGCATCAGTCAAATGCCACCATCTCACAACTGGCACAAAGGAGAAACGTACATTGGTCCATGGCCTCCTTGCGTTTCTGCTCGAGACTGTGCTGATCTCCTTCGTGGGCACCGTGGCCGTGATGCGAGCTCGCGCCAACCACGCCATTCACCGCATCACTCTCAGCCCCGACATCAGTAACAGCATCGGTGTTTTCATTCTCGCCGGCGGCTGCAGCTTTGGCCGGTGCTTCTGGATGAACCGGTCGCCACTCCCCGGATGCCTGCCTTCCAGAGTCGACGGCGGCGTCGCCATTTTCGTCCTCGTCGTCAAATTCGCCCATCTCGGCCTTACGTAGAACCTCTTCCACGTCTTCGCCGCGTGCGTGGATGCTGTGGTAATACTACAGTTCTGCATTAGCGGGAGAATAGGTGGAAGGACGTAGCATTTAGGGATTAACAAAAGACAGTCTGCCTCGCAAAAGACACTTTTTGAGTTTTTCATCGGATCCTTGAGTTGTAACTGGGCGGAAAGGGAACCGGTGCAGTACTGAATGATCACAACAACATACCTCGTACTCTGCGACAGCATCGTTCCAAGACCGAATCAGCGCTGAATCGTCCCATATCTCGGCTTGGCTGAGCTCTCCTGCGGTCGAGTGTTTTGTCTTTTGCTTTTTCTTCTTCGGCATCGTCACGGCGGGCGGCGGAAAAGACAAAGATATTACGGCCGCAGTGATGTAAGGCTAAGACAAGGAGCACGGGGCTACTTGGTTACAACGAAGGGAGCATCCACACGTTTGTTGTTAAATAATGCGACTTGGATGTCTCGAGCCTCTAAGAAGTGCTCGATGCCAAGACGACGATGTGATTGGCCAGCCTTGTCACCACGAGGCTACTACGCAGTTGTCGAGGTGTATCTGCCGTTCAATGATCGTGAGAGTGCCGTTCAAACGCGTGTATGAGGAGCGTGCTTTAGAGGTATGTCTCGGTGGGGCTTTGCGAGAAATATGTGTACGTCTGAATCCTTTCAGGACTCAGATGCGTCTTCCGTGCATTTTCTGCCACTTGCAAGGTAAGCAAACCAGAACAAAAAAGCAGCCACTGAGGCTCAAGAGAGTCCTGCTTTACTAATTCGAAGCCTTTTGTGCTAAGAGCAACGTTGCGCTTGAGCCACAGCTGCTAGCCCTCGACAAGTCAGGACATATCATGCAACCACTCTCCGCACTCTATCTCACCCACAATGCCTTTCCTACGGTCCACAGAAACGTATATAGAGCAGTCTTGCGCAGTCCAGGACTGTCGAGTTCTCTGCCACATGCCACTACCCTGAGCCTGCCGATCAGGATGGCAGGTCTTGAGAAATTGGGGACAGTTCGCGTGACCAAAGTGGCTTCTGAAGTAAGTGGCTTGGTGGTGGGTGGGGATTCTGACCATGATACCTTTAGGCTGTCCCGGCCCGGGAAGGAGGCAAGTCTCTGCTGTGATAAGAAGGGACGGATCTCTCCCAAAGCACTGACGGGTGCTACATTCTCATCTGACCTCTGAGATCAAAAGATTGCTGGCTTGTGCATACAGTACGAACCATCTGCATCAATTTGTGTCCGAGAATCGATCGACAGGCCCTGCGATTGACGTTCCTCCATCCTGGTTCACCATTGCGGGCGCTTCCAACTTCTCAACAAGGAAACTGCGCACGCTCCATTGCAATGGTAGCCTTTTCGGCGTCGGATCCCGAGCGATATCTCACCCGCGCGTGGACAATCTTCGACTCGGTCTATCTTCGGGTCCTTCTGATTCTACTTGTTCCGTGTATTTTTATCGACATGCATATACCTCGTCGCTGGGGGCAGAAGGGACGGATGGTCCAAGATTCTCCATGACGGATCGCCTTCCCCAGCCGCCCAATCTGGATGCATCAACAAAGGGTCTAGTCTGGTCAGATGGAGGCCGGTGTGCGGTCTCACTTGCCAGTCGTCGGATGCGACAGTTCCAAGCATTTGGTTCTTCAAGCAGCCTAAGAAAGCCAGTCCTCTAGGTGGAGTCGTCACGGTCCGCCCGCAAAGGGACTCGGAGAACAAAATGCGCTTACCAGGATGGCCTCTATCCTGCGAACGTCCTGCTTGGCGGCGTCGAGGCGCTTTTATGCATTCCTTTGTCAAACTTCGGGCCATACGCAAAAGTCGACGCTACCCAGGAGGGTGAGGGAAGGCGGGGATCAAGAAAAGCTGTCTCAATCAGGACCTCGACGCTAGACTCGGTCAGCAAGCTGGCAGCCTCAATACGGTCTCATCTCATATCGAGGTCGACCGAAAATTTAATCAGCCAGAGAGGAAGGCATGGAGCTATAGTGCCAATAAGCGCATTGAGAGGCAAAATGTTCTATACAATCAGAGGACGGAAGATTAGTCGCAAGTTTTCCTATAAATGCCATCCCCGGACGGTTCGTTGACGAGCAATGTGGTGAGAAGGCTTAAGAAGATATTAACTAAATGGGGTATCTATGTCAAATGAAGAGAAAATTGAGCAAAACGCTCATATCGACAAGTCCAAGCTTCCTAGCTTTGTGTACATATGCCCAATACTCGTACAATGGGGTCAAGGACACCGTCTTCAGCTCAGCTCAGCCTTGCGCGAAGAAGAATAAACAATGCAATCAAAAGGCTCAAATCTGAAAAAATTCGGCCTTTTTGCTCGAAAATTGCCAATCAAAAGACAGGCACAAAGGCAAGTTGAAAGTGCAAGCCAGCGCGGGAGGAAGACATAGGTATCGAAGCGAGTGGTGATGCCGAATGCCAAAATGGTATGCTGCTTTTTGCTTGTAGTGTCGCATTCTGTCACAACCCGAGTTGGACGACGAAAAGTTGCAGAAACTCAGTTGCGGCCGGATGACGAGGATGTCCATTCCAGCAGACCTCCTCCCGCCCGACATTATTGATCCGGCCGCAACATCTGCAGTCTCTTGCTCTTTGTCGACCAATGTATACCATATTAAGCCCGCAGGGTGATCTTCAGCTTCAGAAGAGACCTCCGAGGAAGCTTCTTCTCTTGCTGTCATTCCTTCCACCCAGTGCTGGACGTCCGTCCCAAGTTTTGACGGGAACCTCGTCGTAGCCATAGCCTCGACCATCAGATTGATCTCTGCGTCGACGTCGTTCTCTTCGTTCTCGCTCCTTGTCTCGCTCGTCACTACCGCTGGCTGACTTGCCCTCCGCACGACGCGAGCTTTTCCTGCGAGCACGGTACTCTTCGATTTCTGCGTCCGTCATGCCGGCGTATTTGTCACGATGGCGACTGCTGCGCTTAGTCCCGGCGCCTTCGTCTGCTGCTCGTGGCTTTTCGCCGCTCGGATCGAGAATTGTGCCCTCGACAGGTGGGAATTCTGGTGGTTCGTCGGCTTGAGAGTTGATCCATGAGCTGGTCTTGTTGGCTGGTGGTGCGGTTCCCTTACCGCTGCCGCTCCGAGATTCGTGATATTCTTCAACAAGGACGCTGGATCTCTTGCGACCTGATCTCTCTCTGTCCTTTTCTTTGGACTTCCGGTCTTCTTTTCGTCGTCTTCTTTCGTCCTCTTCAGCATAATATGATCTGCGGCGATCATCTTTGGAAATGTCGCGATTTACCCCCTGCTCGGCCTCGAGCTGACCACGAAGTCGCCTGCGCTCTTCCCGCCGGCGTTCTGCTTCTGCGTTGGCCTCGGCCTCCTCTTGTGCAGCGCGTGCTTCTCTAGCAGCACGCCTAGCCCGCTTTTCTTCGCGGCGCCTCTCTTCCTCCTCTTGTTCTCGCCTTTCACGCTCGCGCGCTCTGCGTTGGCGGGCTTCGAGATCCGCCTTTTCGCGCTCTCTTCTTTCCTTCCGTTTCAGCTCACGTTCGACGCGATCGGCTTCTTCCGCCTGATTACGCGCTTCGCGCTTAGCTCGTCTTTCAGCACGTCGAGCTTCCATATCGGCATCCGTTTCAGCAGGCGCATCGGTGGTGAACTCATCCCCCTCCAGGGCCCGGGAATGCCTCCTTGACTTATCTTTGGTCCTGATGGGTAGGTCTTCTGCATCAGTCAGGGTGTGGCTTCGATGCCGTTGTCTCTCTCCGTCGAAGGACCGGGAACTGCCAAAGAAGCTCCCAAAAAGTCCAGTCGATTTTCTGGGGGCAGTGTTGCTTCTCTTCAACGCGGGTGGATGGTCCACAAACGCCATATCGTCAGGCCCGCTTGTGACCAACGGGTCTGCATGTGTAGGGCTCTCGACCATCACAACGTCATCGTCCTGAGAAATGTTCTTGCTGTGGGACTTGATCTGCGTATACGAAATCCGTCCGTCAGCATGAACTTCTTTATCGAAATCCGGCGACCAGGACGGGCGGAAAACGTAGCCCAGACGGCTTGAGGAGGCTTGTGCACCTACCTCTTTCTTTGATTTGGAAGACCTAGACTTTGAATTTTCTGGCACAGATACAATGTTTACAAGCGGAGTATTGTCATTGGTATGGATCATTACCATGTCATCATCGTCGATGGGATACGGATCTGGAACGGCTGATGAAGTGGGATTAGCGACGATCTCCCTGGACGCTATCGCAATTGCCAGCTTACCTGAAGGCCTCCTCTTCACTGATGGACGGCGCTCGATCTTGCTGGACTTCATTCCCATGAGCTTAGCTGCCTTGTCGGTAACTTGAGGCTCCTCCTCGGGCGGAGGGGACGTAAAGCCGTCGACCGACTGACGCCTAGATGAAGGCCTTGAACTGGTCGCACTGCTTGGTCTTCGGCTAGTGGTCTTCGAGCGCGCCATGGCCGATGGTGGTGGCCCACCAAACATGAAGTTCGAAAACGAAGTACCGCGGGTAGCTTTTGGTCTCTCGGCTTTCTTGGGTTTGGCATCTTTGTCAGACCCAGAAGACCTGGAAAGCTTTTCAGCTTCCTTCTTGTCCTCCTGTTCCTTCTCCCTCGGAGTCCGAGTGGATTTAGACCGGGTCAGGCCGGGTGGTGATTTCTCTTTTTTTGGTGGCGGGGGCATGTCTTCGTCGTCCTTTGGTTTTTCTTTGGTCGATTTCTTGGGTGGAGGTGCCGCACCCCAGAATCCCCAAGAAGTAGTTGCAGATCGTTCAACCCTCGGGCGTTCTTTCTTGGTTGCCTTCTTCTCCTCGGGGGGAGGCGTTAGTAACTTGGAGGGCACGGGTTCTTCGTCTTCGTCTGGCAGGCCAATGTCGTCTGTCTTTGACTCTTTAGGCGTGGTGGTCTTCGATTTGGTACCCTTTTTCTCAACAGCAATGGCCTTTGCTTTGGGCTTTTCAAAGGATGTCGGTGGATCGTCGAGATCGAGAATATCGTCCCCGTAATCGTCGTCACCAAACGCACCAGGAAAGCTGCCAGGGATGGAGTCTTTTGATCTTTTCTCCTCTGCCACGGGAGACGCGTCTTTCTTGGTTGTCTTGGTCGTCTTGCTTGCGACGGTTGTCTTCGTCTTCGGGGCTGGCGCCTTGTCAATACACTGCTTTTCCTCTTTGGGCAAAGGCGCGTCGTCTGGTGGAGGCAACTCTTTAGTCAGCACAGACTCGCCCTTCGACTTTTTTCTGCTCTCTTCCTTTTTGCCCTCCAGAGCTTTGATCCGGTCGGCGACAGAAGAGGTTACTTTGGTCTTCGTGCCGGTGGGCATGGCCTTTGCGGCCTTTGAAGCAGAGGTAGGCTTCTCGAAGT